AACCGGGCACGATATATATATAATAGAGAGTCACCTAATATACTCCAACAACACCTTTGGAAAAATCCCCCATACTCGACCGGACGAGAATGACGGGCGTCACCTTAATACTAGATCCAGCTTCGAAAGTCCAAAAAAACCTACAACTCGGAACTCTCCAAACGCCTGAACTCTGCCCCGTCGCACCGTCATACCGTCTCGGAGCATAGTGCACGGGTCCAAGGTTCCCCCCCTCTGCGCCGAGGTCTGCTCCCGCCTGTGCCGCAACAGACTCGAGACCGACCGAGAAACCACCCACTGCGACAATCTATATAATCGACGCGCGCGAATGATCAGTGCGAAAGCTCCTGTGGAATTCCCTTGGCCAGAGAGACACGCGTGCCCATCCTCCTGCGTAGGTCTCCTTAAGTAATTCGACCGCCCATCCCCCTCGTCTCCACAAGTGGATGCGGCCCAAGCTATGCGCGCGGCTGCGCTGGGCGTGGAGCACACCCGAGCACATCCGGACGGCCCAGCAGGAAGAAAGAAAAAGGAAAAAGAAAAACCAAAAAAAAGGGAAAAAAAAGGAAAATTTTGCCAAAAAAGAAAATTTATATGTATATAGAGAGATAAATTCGAACGCATCATGTTAACCCTCCGTTTATGGTCTATCCAGCAAGGTGCGCTCCAGGACCATTGAGTCCGGAGGGAGGGGCGCACGGTGCTGCAGGGATCCGCCAAGAGCAGGAGGGAGGAGCAGCAGCTGTAGAGAGATGCGGACCCAACAGATCATGATACGCGGTGTTCAAGTGTCGGGAGAGGGGTTCAGTCCTCTGGGGCCGGGGGGACTCGGGCGCGGTTCGAGCTGGAGAGTATACGGCACAATAATTTGGGCTGGGCGGCTGTGTAACCCCGATGTTGGCAGGATCCGAGAGACAATAAGATGCAATGGGCTAAAGGGGAGGGGGAGATATATGGTTCATTGGGCAAGAGGCAGGCTACAGGATTTTGTGATCGGAAGGGATAGCCGCTGCAGATATATATATATATATATTCTGAAGGAGCTTATCGAGAAGGGGAGAAGGGGAGAAGAGAGAGAGCGAGAGAAAGAGAGAGAGCGCGAGAAAGCAGCTGTGTGTATATTATCTACACTCCTTCTGAAGTCTAGGACAGTGATTGAGACGTACCGACACCATAGGTCTATTCGTGGGTACTCCAGATATGTACCTCAGGTACAATTCCAGCACAGGAGAATAATCGTGCTCATGGATGAGATCCCCCGTTTGGCAGTGTTTCACAGGGCAAAGAGGGCTGCAACGTAACGGCGGCAGCGGCTCGGCTAGCCAAACCCTGTCCGATCGTATTGGAGGAAGAAGGGGAAGGAGGGAGGGTCGTGGTGGATAATGAGGTTGCGTATCCACGCCCCAAGTGGAGCCACAGGAAGTTTTTTTTTTTTTTCAGTTTTCCTCCGGGTGCTGACGACATGGGGGCCGATCGAGGCGGTTCAGCCTAGATGCGGCCAGGCAGGGGAAGGGGAGGGTGGAGGGTTCTTATTGTGCCCTAAAGGGCCACTGGATACGAAAATAGGACGCTTTTCTGACCACGGTACAGGGGGGTCATGGGCCTGTGCACATAGTCAGAATGGGAGCAATCTCAACCCAAAAGGAAGGGTTATTGGATGTCCTAGATGAGATTTAAAAAAAGAGACAAAAAATGAAAAAAAAAGAAAGAAAGAAATAGAATAGGTATGCCTAAGGGTAGTAATAATGGGAAGGCAAAAAGGCAAGGAAGGGGGTATGGTCAGCAGCATGTGTGCATAATCACATCTGGGCACCACGGGGGAAGGTGGACCTTGCCGCAGACTATACGGATTAGATCCGGAAGAACGGGGGGAAGGTCATGGAAGTGGACAGGTGGAAACGGGAAACGGGAAAAGGTATCAGGATCATCGGTGCTGTATCCACTGGCATGCAGCAACGGGCTGTGGCGCGTTGTGGCTGAGGAGAAAAACTTAGGACGAGCATAGAATTGGTCCAAAGAGAAGCCGCTACAGAGTATTGATATTGAAATAAGAAAATTAAAAATAGTCTGCATCATGAAGGCCTTGGGGGCACAGGAGACCAAAGGAGTCTAGGGTACATTGAAGACGGTCTCCCGGGTCCATCTAGGGTTCAAGGTGCCATCAATTCAATCCATTGTGATCCAAATTCTCGTGGCTAGAAGCTCGAGATCCCCCATTTCAAAGACTAGGTCGGTCTCGTTTCCACGCTTTTTGCGGAGTCCTAACTCTCGAAAAGGAATTTCGAGACCACCCGTAACTCGTGCGGGCTGGCTAGGCCGTGGGGACATCTCAATTTTGCTTGTTGGGATCGGCCAAGGCCCTTGGCGTCTTAACTGCTGGACTTTCCATTCTTCGAGAGTAGATTTGCACCGGAGAGTAAATTCACACCGGCGAGTAATAGCCTCGGTAATTACTGCTTGAGCATCGCCATGGGATTCATTCAGCTAGAAGAGAGCGTCTAGAGCTTTTTGGCCTCCACTACTAGAGTACTGGAGTCGGGCAAGTGGATGCCCTCCCAAGCGGCAGATGGGCAGGTTTTTAGGTACCATCGCCTCGTTTTGTTTGGGATGCCTCACGGGTAGTCATGGTCGATGTTTCTATCAGATCAGGACCCATTTGGCGTATCCAAGAATCAATACGTGAACTGAAGATCGCTGATGAGGCCGTACCGTAAGCCGAGGACTCCACCTTGAATAGGATTACGGAATTATGATGGTCCTAAAGCTCCTATGACTTTGAGAGTAAGCTTTCCTCGGAGTCTTCAGAGCCACGGTCAAGGAAGGCTCGGTTGTCCCATATTCAGCATAATGACATAGGGGGTTCCAAGTCCACTGTTCATCTCTAACCGCGCCGCAGCCCTACCTAGGACCTGACATCATTGGCTGTGTTCCTAGATACTGGTATTGTGGAGAACATCCTGGACGATCGCGCATAGTGATGGGGATGGGTGTTAGGCGGATAATTACCAGATTGAAGGGCAACTCCAGCAAGCAATAGTCAGTACTCATTAAGACGTCATTGTGACTCTTCTTTTGGACTCAATCATTTCTACGGTCCTTTCCCTGAGTAGACTTGCCGTGGCCTGTTGGGCGGATCCAAGAATACACACGTAAATTAAAGTTGATTGAGGCCGCAGCATAGATTGAGAGCTCTCATTTCAATAGGATCATAGAATCGATGATGATTAAGCATGACCTCTATAGGAAGCTCTCTTCGCAAGTCTTGAAAGTAGCAGCCAAGGATCACGTATTACAATAATCATAATTATATAAGGATTTCTAAACTCTCCATCTACCTCAGGCCGCTCTGCAGGCTGATCTAGGACCTGGTAACATTGCTTCTAAGATGCTGGTGCTGGTGACTGATGATGGATCTGATGTTAGATGGTTAGGTGAATGTATCCTGACAATCGGGAGAGAGGAGGGGGGAGGAAGCATAAGGAGGTGAGGGGGCGGGAGTTTGGTGGCCGACCGACTGGGATGGTGGACTGGGGGGGTGGAGGAGTCGACAGGGGGCAGGGATCTAGCTCTCGAGCAAGGCCGCACGGTCCATCATGCCGGGTCTTAGCTTTAGGCCCTGATGCCGCGTTAGGCTAAAGTCGCTAAGGTCGGAGTGGCACGGAGAACAGTCGCACTAGCACACTAACGGATCTTAGCGTGCACACCAGTGCGGCCACGGGGGAGTGCCCACCCCGAGGGGGGGACCCACCAGGGCGCCACTTGGCCCAACCGGGGAGTGTTCGTGTGTCAGAGAGTATGTACATACTCCCTCCTCCCGTTGTCGTGGAATGAGAGGTCGAGGGCCATAATCTGATCCATGATCGTGGGAAGGTATTCTGGTCCTGCTCAGCCTGCTCAGCCTGCTCAGCATCATTCGTGAGCAAGACATCCGGGCCTATGGATGGCATCCAGTACTCCGTAGTCTCGGTACCCTCGGTAGGGCCCCTAGAGGTGCAACCATGATGTACCGACCGTCCCCCACACCCGTTGGTTGAAAAATCCCTTCCGAAAAGAAAGAGGAAATAGAAAAAAAAAGAAAAAAAGACCGCCTCCAGATCGTCTCCACCACGCTAAACTACTTTTGGGTGTCAGCTCAGTTCTCTCTTTTTTTCGGCCTTTTTTTCCCCTTCGTTTTTCTCTTTTTAATTTTATTTTTCGTGTTGCTGGTTCCAGTGGCCGGCAAAGAAGAAGTAATCCCCAGCGGCTCCTCAGTGGCTCCCGTGGGCCCCCCTCCCTCCCAATGACAAGCCCCCCCGGCTCCGGCACGCTGAGTGGCCCAAGCCTCTTCCCCCCCCAAAAAGCCCCAAGTGGCCCCCGCTGGCGGTGACTGAGTTCCACCTCCAAACTGGCTTGCTGACTTTGCTTGACTTTCGCCGTCGTGACGGCCGCAAGAGCTGCGCAACCACTAGCGCCGCTTGGCGGAATTCACGCCTTTTCGCCAGCCTGCCAGCCCCTCGAAACTCTCTCCTCCCTTCTTCTCCTCGGGCTTCAATCTTCCCTTGCCCTGTACACCTCCTTCCCATCGATCTCCTTTCCCCTCCCCCAATCTTCACATTCTCCTATCTGCCAACTCTCTCTTTCCTCTTTCCTTCCTTTTCCCTTCCTCTCTCTGGTGCACGACATCATCTACCTCGTGTCTCCACACGCGCTCCCAACGCTCTCTCCCACAACCCCATCCCTATCGCGTGGAGAAGCACAACACCATCATTTCGCGTCGCCGATCGTTGGATTTTCATCACCGCCGGTCGGAGATTGCGCATCATACCGATCCTGCTAGGTCATAGCGACAGTGAATTGGCGATTGGAAGGGCACAACACCAACTCTCTGCGTTCAGACAGCTTCGCCTCAATTGCGGCCGTCCATCCTCGGGTAGATTGCATCATCGTGTCGCAAAGCCTCTGCCATTCCGGGCTCCTCGTCGGGTGAACCACCATCCTCTCGATCAACACTCGAACTCACCATGTCCCATACCCAACCCTCCCCCACGGCTGGAGTCGCGCCGCACCACCCTGCCGCGCACATGGCCGCGCACGCTCAGGTCAATGGCCACATGCCGCCGGCGGCCATGCCGTCGCAGGGTCAGAAAGGCGTCTCCCTCACCACCGCTCAAAAGATTGCCGCGCTCAATGAGCAAGTGTGGCTCCAGATTGGTAAGATCAAGCTTCCTCGGCATCGTCGATCGATCCTCATCCGTCCCCTTCTGCAATCAACGAACTGACCTGGCATCTCCTGTGGCGAATAGGCAGCTTGACGGAGCTAATGGGCGATCTGGATGGCGCCATGAATGCATATGAACAGGCACTGCGCCATAACCAGTGGTCCATTCCGGCCATGAACGCCATTTCCTGCATCCTTCGCACCAAGGAGCAGTTCCCCAAAGCTATCGAATATCTCCAAAACATTCTGAAGCTCGATCCGACCAGCGGAGAGACATGGGGTAGCTTGGGTCACTGCCATCTGATGATGGACAACCTCCAAGAGGCTTATACCTCGTATCAGCAGGCCCTGTATCACCTGCGCGACCCCAAGGTAAGTCGCCTCACACTCTCAGCCCCTGGCCTACCCAAGTTTCCCCACAAGTTCATGGCTAAGCGATCCTTAGGAACCCAAACTGTGGTACGGAATTGGTATCCTGTATGATCGCTATGGATCTCTTGACCATGCCGAAGAAGCATTCTCTCAAGTCATGCGGATGGCCCCCGAATTTGAGAAGGCCAACGAGATTTACTTCCGCCTTGGCATCATATACAAGCAACAGCAGAAATTCAGCCAGAGTTTGGAGGTATGTTTATCTAGCCCCTTGGGCCTGGTTGTAGTTGGCGGGATTTTTTCTTACTCACCTTTTGACTGCAGTGTTTCAAGTACATCGTTAGTGATCCGCCTCGCCCTCTGACCGAGGAGGACATCTGGTTCCAGATTGGCCATGTTCACGAGCAGCAGAAAGATGTAAGTTCCCCATTTCCTATGACTTATCAGTTGCCGCTGTCTAACACCGTCCGCCTTTAGTTCGATTCTGCACAAGCTGCCTACCGCCGCGTCCTCGAACGTGATCCCAACCACGCCAAAGTTCTTCAGCAACTGGGATGGCTCTTCCACCAACAGAGCAACACCTATACCAGCCAAGAGAAGGCCATTGAGTATCTTGAAAAGTCGGTCAGTGCCGGTGAGTTATATCTTCTTCTGTCGTCTCTCCAACAATAAATATATAGTAGTGCTAACTCCTGGTGACGATGCAGACAACGGTGATGCTCAAAGCTGGTATCTCCTTGGTCGGTGCTATATGTCACAGGCCAAGTACCCGAAAGCCTATGAGGCTTACCAGCAGGCCGTCTACCGGGATGGTCGCAACCCGACTTTCTGGTGCTCAATTGGTGTGCTCTACTACCAAATCAACCAGTACCGCGATGCGCTCGATGCTTATTCTCGTGCGATCCGCCTGAACCCATACATCTCGGAGGTTTGGTACGACCTTGGAACTCTCTACGAGTCGTGCAACAACCAGATTGCAGACGCTTTGGACGCCTATGGACGTGCCGCGGATCTCGATCCCACCAACGTTCACATTAAGGCGCGTCTGCAGTTGCTTCAGAGTCAGCTGTCTGGTTCTGGCCAGCAGAACAATGGCCCTGTTCCCCCGCCACAAGATGTCCACCCTCAGGCTTACCAAGCACCTGGTGTCGGCGCTCCCCCTGCTCCTCAATGGGGTGGCCCTGCGCCCGCGCCAGTCGGCCCCCTGCTCAGGCGCCTGCTCCCCCTCGACAGGTCCCTGACTGGAACCGTGGCATCAATGACCTGCAGTCCCAGCCTCCAGCCCCGCCTGCGAATGGCCTTGATCAGCGGGATGCTCCTCGTGCTCCTGGTGCTGCTCCTCAGGCCAGTCCCCGACAGGAGCCTGGCCGGGCGTTCCCTGATCCTGCTCGTCCCGGTGTTCCTCGTTCCCCTAAGATGGGTGGCCCTGGCGTCTATCCCCCGCCTCACACTTTGCCTCAACTGGGCAATGCTCCCGCCTCTGGACATGAACGTGCTCCGAGTGGCGGCGGCGTGCCTCCTTTCAGCTCTGCTGCTCGCGGACCTCTTCCTCCTGCTCCTCCCGGTGCTCCTGCTCCTGGCGGTCCTAATGGCGGTGCAGCTAGCAGTGGTGCTCCTCCCTACCCCCGTCCGTTTACTCCCCCCACTGAGATTCGCCCCATCCGTGACGAGCCCCGTCCCTCCTCCCCGGATCGACCTACCCCCACCAACAATACCACCATGGCCCTAGTGCGCCCACTCCTGGCGGTGGCAGCACTACTGGTATCGCTTCTGGAGCCCCTGCCCCTGCTTCCGCCGCCACTGCTGCCGAGGCTGCAGCTCGTGAACGCGGTGAAGAGCGTCCCCCATCTGCCATGAAGCGTGGGCGAGAATGGGAGGGCGTGGATGGCCCGGTCAAGAAGCAGGCTAATGAGGAAAACCGGGCTCGTCTAGATGACCAGAATAGCCGTCGTGCAAGCCCTCCGGCTCGTCTGCCGTCTCCCGGTGAGATGCAGCGACGCAGCTCGTCGGAAGCCCGTCGCGAGGACGCCCGCCGTGCAAACGAGAACTACCACCCCTCGGAAGCGGCCCATCACCCTCACACTCTGCCCTCCATCCAGAGCATGCCGCCTCACCCTACCGGTGGGCCCAGCCTTCCTCCCATGGCTGAGAGCGCTGCTCCTGTTCCCCCTAACGGCCCTCCTTCGGCACCTCCATCAGCCAACACCCCGGTCAAGGAGGAAGCTCCCCGCCCAGAGGCGCCTTCATCCCATGAGCCCCCTGCGCGGAAGATGGATGTTGATGAGGACTACGATGACGATGCGGACGAAGAGAAGAAGGCTAGTGGTGCCCCCAAAGGTAGCCCGAACGGCAGCGCTGCGGGCAATGTTGCCAACGGCAATGGCGTTGCCAGCAACGGCCGCCAGGGTACCCCCTCCAAGGCCGAGTCATCTGCGTAAAAAGGAAACTCGACTGCTAGGTGTTTTGCTTTGTCATTCTCGTCATTTCCGATAAATGAACGTTTCTCTTTCCTCCCCCTTTGGCTACTTTCTCATCTGTGTCCTTTTTATCCTCTTTTCAATTGCGTCATGTACGGTATGAATGTGAGTCAACGTCTGGTCGGTCTACTTCCTGCTGAGCCCGAGGCGCTGGAATCCGGCCACGCCTGTATTCGTTCTTTCTGCTCTTTTATGATTTTTTATTAGTTCTTTTCCTTGTGAATTTTTATTTTTGTCTATGCCCTAGGCACCCTTGTGGAAGCACATCCAGCAAATCCAGCCATTTTGACGTCTATATCTTTCAATCGTTGAATTGTAAATTGTGAACTAGAAAATGCTTATAGTAATTAGTAGAAGAAATGGGCTGCAATCGAGCCGATCTATCTTGATCTGTCATTGTCCTGTCCAGGCGGAATTTTTCTGAGCATGTAGTACGATCTCGGGGGCCCGCAAGTCCACTTGTTTGTTAGGTTTGGGGCTTTGGGGGATTTGGCAAGACCCACCAAACGAGAAATATCACGTGAGAAAACTGACGAAGTCCCACGGATTCACACAGTTCTGCACGTGACAGGTCGCTTGTCGAGGTACCTTAGTAAGCACACACTCGGCAAGCGCAAAATAACTTCCACACTTTCGGATAGTCACTCTAACCACCTCGACGACTAACGACAACACAGGGTCAAGATGTGAGTCGCCCTTCGAACCAAATACTTTTGACGGTCTTGTGGAATACAATTGCTAATGTCAATTCTTCTTAAAGGAGTCACCGGAAGTACGAAGCTCCTCGCCACGGTTCGTAACCCAGCATTTTCTCTTTGCGCCGAGTCGAAAAAAGCGAAACTTCGACAAAATTCTCAGATGAACGGTTTTACTGATATTTTTCTTCAGGCTCCCTGGCCTACCTGCCGCGCAAGCGTGCTGCCCGCCACCGCGGAAAGGTCAAGAGGTGAGTTGTTATCGAAATCTGCAGAAATTTCATGCCCGGGATTGTCGAATTGGCGTATACTGAGACTTTTTTTCGCCAGCTTCCCCAAGGATGACCCCAAGAAGCCCGTCCACCTGACTGCCTCCATGGGCTACAAGGCCGGTATGACCACCGTCGTCCGTGACCTTGACCGTCCCGGTGCCAAGATGCACAAGAAGGAGATTGTCGAGGCCGTCACCGTCATCGAGACTCCTCCTGTAAGAACTCCCCTCTTGCCATCTCCGGGCTAGGAAAGCAGACGTATCCTAATAATCATGTCCAATAGCTCGTTGCCGTTGGTGTCGTTGGCTACATCGAGACCCCCCGCGGTCTCCGCTCGCTCACCACCGTCTGGGCTGAGCACCTGAGCGACGAGGTCAAGCGCCGCTTCTACAAGAACTGGTACAAGAGCAAGAAGAAGGCCTTCACCAAGTACGCCAAGCAGCACGCCGAGTCTTCCGGTGCCTCCATCACCCGTGAGCTTGAGCGCATCAAGAAGTACTGCACTGTCGTCCGTGTCCTCGCCCACACTCAGATCCGCAAGACCCCCATCAAGCAGAAGAAGGCCCACCTTATGGAGATCCAGGTCAACGGTGGTGCTGTTGCCGACAAGGTCGACTTCGCCCGCAACCTCTTCGAGAAGACCATTGACATCGACACCATCTTCGAGAAGGATGAGATGATCGACGTCATTGCCGTCACCAAGGGTCACGGTTTCCAGGGTGTTACCTCCCGTTGGGGTACCACCAAGCTGCCCCGCAAGACTCACAAGGGTCTGCGTAAGGTCGCCTGTATCGGTGCCTGGCACCCTAGCCACGTCCAGTGGACTGTTGCCCGTGCTGGTCAGATGGGTTACCACCACCGTACCTCCTGCAACCACAAGGTCTTCCGCATTGGCAAGGCCTCCGATGAGGGCAGCGCCTCCACCGAGTTCGACATCTCCAAGAAGCAGATCACTCCGTATGTTCACCTCATCACACTCCTTTCTTACATTGGTTCTTTTACTAACGATGCCTTTCTAGCATGGGTGGCTTCGTTCACTACGGTGAGGTCAAGAACGACTGGGTCATGCTCAAGGGCTCTGTTCCCGGTGTCAAGAAGCGTGTCATGACTCTCCGCAAGACCCTCTACCCCCAGACTTCCCGCCGTGCCACCGAGAAGGTCGAGCTCAAGTGGATCGATACCTCCTCCAAGTTCGGTCACGGTGCTTTCCAGACCGCCGAGGAGAAGAAGGCCTTCATGGGTACCCTCAAGAAGGATCTTATCCAGACTGTTTAAGGTGTTTAAAGAACTGGTTGGTGGTGGTGCAACGTATTTCCCCGTTCAATAAAAAAGCGAACAATTATCTTCACGACTTGTGTCTTCGTAAAATTGGTATTCGTAACTCGCCGTTTCCAAGTAGATAAAGTAGGTTGGTAGATTTGCGGTATTGGATTCTCTGGATTGTTTTAGACCACTGCAGCCAATTTCTCTGGGAGAGTCAAGCTAGACGTGGTCTAGCAGTACAATTCTTCTACCTGCGCAGCGGTGCTAAAGTCTCCTGTCTACTTGCATTTTGTTGTGATTTTGTTGTGGTTCGCCGTCGACTGAACCAAGTGACCGTGACCAAATCTGCGTCAATATATATATATCTCTCTCTATCCGGACATCCCAGAACGTTAGCGCTATTTTATTGCAGAATCCTTCGTCATCCGACATTTTTTAACAAAAATTCTTACCTGATCGTTGATTCCCAACGTTCCCGTTCTCCTCTAGCCTGCCACCTCGTCATCCGCCACAAAACTTTGTGGTGCAACAGCATGCGGCCGCAGTCGAATATCCATTGCGTCATCCCACACTTGCCCTCAACTTCCCCAAACTACGCACGTCAATCCACACGGACACGCTTTGGACGTCTAACAATTTCGATTCAGCACTCTCAACCTCGAAGTCACGGTCTTGGTCTCTCCCAAATATCTTTGCCCAACCGACCTCTCTGCAGCAACCAATTCTCAACCTGTCAGAAAACCCATCTTGACCTCCCCGCAGCTCGAAGGTCGCTGCTACTGCCAACCGCTTGTCTCTCCCAATACTCTTCCTTCTCCACCTTGTCTCCCAAAATGGCCTCCGACAATGATTACATGTCCTTCTTGAACAAAGCCAACGCAGACCTCGACGCCGGACGTACCCCGCAGCAAGGGGCCAGTACCACCAAAACCGAGACCGTCCATGCCTCCGTTCAGATCCCGGCGTCGCTCCAGTCGGTCGATGCATACTACATTTCCGACGCAGACGAGCCCTTTGAGCCGGTCGCCCTGCGCTGGGAGGGTGCGTCGCGGGGCATCTGGCCCAACGCAGGTACGCTTCGCCTGCTCTCCTCCTACATACTGCCCCGCTGTCCTACATTGCCGGGCCTTGCCGCCTCCAGGGCTCTTCCCCAGCATGGCTATTATCCCACTCCCCTTAAGGAGGATCTTTGAATTCCCTTTCTATCCCTGAAAGCAAAAATTGGAATATCATAGACTCAGCTGCTGACCCCGTCTTTCGTATCTAGATCAACTCTCCGGCCTGATCTCCCCTGATGCCGATCTCTCACAGGCTATCTCGACCCTGACTCCATCTTCCTTCGACCCTAAGAACCAATATGCCTCGGTGCTGCACGCGGTGCGCGCGGCGGCTGTGGAGAAGGACGTTGATGCTGACCAGGCTGGAGTTGAGGTTAAGGTTTACCGAGTCGAGTTGACCAGCACGAAGATCGAGTACTGGGTTCTCGCGCTGAATGTCCCCGAAGGACGTATCGTTGGCTTGCGGGCCAAGTCCATTGAGTCGTAGGCCCGTTCAACCAACAAGACAATCTACGGTAATGGGCTTTTGCCAGGTGAATTGAGTTTCTGCAGCGTTTGCTTTGTATATTTTGTATGTACGGTGTCGCCTTTACGGGGGACAGATGATATAACGCCTCTTGTTTGTATTGGTTGCAAGTAGTCTGTAAAGAGAGGCATGGACTATCTTGCCTGAGAAGCGCCGAATGATTCCTGACCTATAATTGCATACTGATTCCGGCACAGCCGGGTTTCCCGTCTTCTCCGCGTGCCCATCGTCCCCTTGACGCCTGGCGTACCAGTAAGAATGCTCAATCACAAGAAGAGACACTTAGTGGAGGACGGGAAGTGCGGAAGCCGTGCCTTTGAGGTCATCCTGACAGCTTCTCCTTCGGGCATCGCGGCATTCCCGTGCGGCATTGACCCGAGGCCAGGGACGCGTGTTCGGGAATGGCCGCTGCCTTGAATTTGGATAATTCAGGTCTGAGAAAATATCGCAATTGAATGAACGAGAGGACTGGTTCTCTCTGGGATAGGTACTGGGATAGGTGCTAAAAGGTGATCGGACATAGATCGAAGAAGACAAAACGGAGTGGTTGCAGGGCCGCTTCAGCCCGATGCGAACCGTGGTTGGCCCCGCCACCTGATTCGCCCACCACAACTCTACTTTGTCTTCGCGCTCCATCTTGGTGGACTGTATACATTTCTGTCGCCGGTGGCTCGATACAAACGGGCTTCAATCGCAAAGGCAATGCCGATCCCCAGATTCCTGGCCAGCATTCAGGGGTCCCATTCCTCGCTGCCCCGGGGAGGGCTTGTCCGGAATGCGCGTCGCCCTGCAATGGTCATACGGCTTCAAGATGCAGCGCAGAGCATCAACACCCGACAGGAATACGGCTGATATTGAATTGAAACGTTTCATCGAGAAATTCGTTCATGCTTGCATCTTTTGGTGCGGCTGATGGGAAGATTATACTCTGATCCATTCAATTGTGCCCACGAAACTCTCTCTCTCTCTCTGACTAGACACATACCACGGGTTGCCCCCTTGGACGGGCTCTGTCATTCTTGACTCCCTCGTGCACCCAAACAACAATCCCTCGGATCAATCTAGGCTCTTCTTTTCTTGCGCAGGTCTGGTGTTTTCCTTTTTCTTCTCCGTTGCTTCAACGCTGTTGCTGGACACACCGACTCGCTCCGCTTCGCCTAGGGACATTGGATGCCATCCAAGTGGTCCTGTCCACTCTTTCGCATCCATTGCACTTGACGACGGGTCCGACAAATATTGGATCTGTGTTCTTTTACAGTCCTTACCGGCTTGGTTCTGGGGGGATAGAGAGGCGAAGCGCAAGGACGAAGAAACGGGAACAGAGCAGATCGACTTGACCAGGGTATCTCGACCGAAGGCTTAATTGCAAGACCAGGACACGGAAACCGCCACAACATTGCATTTCCCGCTTTGCGCAGACCTTGATGATATAACGCCCACTTGCATTGGATTGACAACAACTGAACCGGAATCGGGTTTGACCTTGGTGCTTTCGCGCTGCAGAAGATACAGATGTCGGACCAGGACTCGGAATCCTCTTCCTCGAGACACGAGATGCCTCACATCCGCCTCAACTCGGGTCGCCAGGACCCATTCGTCGAAACGAATGAGGGGTATGCCCCGCTGACTGGCCGAACGATTCCCAGGCCCTTGACGCCTCAGGGCCTGGATCTACCCACTCCTCTGGGAGCACAGGGCATGTCGCCATATGGCACTTCAAACGCGCCCGAGTCGTCCGAATTCCTGCTCCCACCGAAGCTAAGACCAACCCCGCGTGATGAAGACCGATCTGGCTCGCCGGACCGGTGGACAGCTCGGTCTAGTGTGAGCTCCTTGAGTCGCGAGAGTCGGTTTCAAATGGATCCTTTCGCGGACTCTCGGGCGCCATCTCGTTCTGGAAGCGATGAGTACGACGTGAACACACAAACTGTTTCAGAAAAGTTCAATATCATGCCGACAGATGGATTGCTCCTGTTTCCTGAGGACGTGGAGAAAGATGATTATCTGCACAACCCCGATCCGGCGGACATGGACCGCGACTGTGATGTATGCAATCGTCGAGGTATGCTAAATGTGGGCGGGTTGGTGTTTCTGACACTTGGTATCCTAACCCTGTTTATTGGGTACCCGGTCATGTAAGAATTATCCCTCCATTTCGGTTCGACGCCCGGATGTTCGGACAGCTAACACAAGCCTGTATTAGATCGTGGGTGGAAAGCATATTGAAACCCACATCCCCTTGTAGACCGGGAGATTATCTCTGCCTTGATGTCGGGGAGCAGCCTCTCTTGAGCAATATCAGAACAGGTTTGATTGACCCCGATACGCCTGAGTCTGCAATGACCAAGAAGAATGCAGACGGCACAGAATGGAAGTTGGTGGTATGTTTTGAAAGGATGTGATATTTGAATTACAGCCATATTAACCTGCTGGAACAGTTTTCCGATGAGTTCAACTTGCCTGGCCGGACGTTCTATGACGAGGATGACCCCTTCTTCCAAGCGGTGGACCTCTGGTATGGCGTGACAATGGATAAAGAGGTAATTAAATATGTCGAAAGAAGAGACTAGCTTGCATCACAACTGACCGTCGACAGTGGTATGATCCTGACGCGGTAACCACGAATGAGGGTGTATTAGAAATCCGATTCGATGACTTCAAGAATCACGGCCTGCAGTTCCGATCCGGCATGGTCCAGACTTGGAACAAGCTCTGCTTCAAAGGTGGCCGACTCGAAGCTAGTTTGTCTCTGCCCGGTGATGGACACATTCAAGGATTCTGGCCTGGTTTCTGGGCTATGGGCAACCTTGCCCGTCCCGGTCATGCTGCTACGACCGATGGTCTGTGGCCATACAGCTACCATGATGGCTGCGACGCAGGAATCACTCCGAACCAAAGCTCGCCGGATGGAATCAACTTCCTTCCCGGCATGCGACTCCCGGGATGCACCTGTCCAGGATCTGATCATCCCTCTCCAGGCCGCGCTCGCAGTGCGCCCGAAATCGATGTTATTGAGGGTAGTACTGCACCTCTGAATGGCGATCAGAATGCGTATATTGGTAGCGCCTCGCAGAGTTTGCAAACCGCTCCATTTGATCTCTGGTACATGCCAGACTACGGTAAGGGCCTGTTCACTCTAAGATATCCTCGTACGCTGTTTTGAATTCCTCTAATCTGTCTCTCAATCAGATTTTACTGCTGTCTATGACCCACGAATTACCCAGATCAACGCTTACCGCGGTGGTATCTACCAACAAGCGATGTCTGGCCTCACAAATCTCAACAGTCGCTGGTACAACGGCACTGAGTATCAGAACTTCGCCTTCGAGTACACTCCAGGTGCCACAGGAAATGTGACCTGGTTCGTTGGTGCTGATAAGACTTGGACGCTCGACGGGCGTGCAATCGGGCCCAACGGCAATGTCGGCCAGCGCATGATCCCTCTCGAGCCGATGAGCGTTGTGATGAACCTGGGTATGGCAGACAACTTCGCGCCACAGAATCACACTATTCGCGAATATATGCCCGCTTACTTGCGTTTCGACTACATCCGGATCTACCAGGACCCGGACGATGTGAGCATAACCTGCGACCCGCCTGGTTGGGAGACAACTGGCTATATCGAGGCACACCGGCGGGCGTATGATAATCATAATCTGACAACCTGGTGAGTGTCTTAACATCCTACCCCTCTACTGGTATCACTCATGAATACTCTCCTCTAACCCACCTTTTTCATCCAGGGCGGACGCTGGTTACCACTGGCCGAAGAACAGCTACATGCACGGGTGCTCGTAGCGCGTGTATTATTGGCCGACTACCACGCCTGATCTAGGTCTTTCATTTCTCTCTGGGTTGTTTCATCTTCTGCGTCGTTTTTAGCGGCATTTTTTTCGGCGTTGGCGTTGTTGGGCATCTCATTTCGACAATTAGTTCGATACCTTCTACTATCCTTTATTTCAAGATCTATTCATCTTCTCTTCCAGTCGATTCAACCACGTATAATCTGTGGGCTTCGTATTATCATGGTCAGATTTCAAAAGAGCAATGAATTTTTACATCCCACCAAGACTTTGACATGTTTCTCTTGATAATGGCCTTTGTGGCCGTGACCTTTGTCTGAGTTCTATTGCAGTGGCTGCTATTGTATACCACGCCTTGCGAGACCTCACCCTCATTTCGCGTTACCCGTTACCTATCGTAGTCTCTCCGCTAGGCTAACTGTATCCCGTATGATGCGATCCCAGACCGTATATAAGCTTAGGGTTGTCCTGTCTTCTTCTTAAGACCATATTACTTCTACTAGTAATATAAGACTAGTATCTAGGCCCGGGTGCGAGTCGGGTATCAAGAGGTTGGGTGGTTTTCGTATCCCGTTAGCCCCTGATTTTGGTATAGTTGTAGGGTCCGGGTCGAACCGTATAACCACGGCGGATTCACTATGGTACTCTAGTATCAAACACTTGATACCACTAACCTGCCGCTTTTGAATTTTACCTTGATAACTACCCCCTCCACTGAAAGATCCTAGATAGCCCCTCGAAATCTAGCGACTCTAGTATTCTAATACCTAGCGCTCGGTACCATTAGCCCTCATTGTCGATACTAGAGTTCCCTAAAAATGATATTATTCAGAATAATCTATCATCACTTTTGATAATTTTTTCAACTTTACTCCCAAACCTTGCACCGCCTGGCGCTTCTGCAGCGCTGGAACATTGCCAGCGACTCCAAGGCGCTGGAACTAGGATGCGGGCAGGGGGACTGCACGACTGTCCTTGCCTATGCTGTGGGTAAGCAGGAGAGAGTAATGGCGTTCGATCCGGCGGAATTGGATTATGGTGAGTCCTCTGACTTTTGTGACCATGCTGCTTGTCCTGGGGGTGCGAGCGGAAAGCAGCCGACTGATGGCTCCTGCAGGTGCCCCGTATACTCTCGGTCAAGCACAGAGTCACATCTCGCAAGGCTCGTTGGGTCGGCGGATTACTTGGGTCCACTGTTAAGCATCTCTATTGGCCTCCATATATAGTAGAACGGATCAACATGAAAGATCAACATGAATTACCCACTGAGGGGCTAAGTGGACTTGGGGCCAGCTCTGGGGCCAGCCATGGGGCTACAGGAAATTTACCCTGTTTGGGGTGGTCCCGCCCAATAATTGCGGCCCCAGCCTTTCATTGTCCAGATTCGGATTGAAATAAAATTTATAAAGAGGGCTGAGGGGAGAGGGCAGTCTTCTCCAACTTTCTTCGTTGGTTAGCAAGCGCAAGAAGTAACAATCACATTGTCAGACCAGCTCTCCTTCCACTTTCGCCTCAATTGCTTTACATCCCTCTTCCATCATTACTACCACTCCTTACTCCTTTCAACGAAGTTTCAAGCTCTCGGCAATTAAGATGAGTACCGGAACTCAAACATGGTTTATCACTGGTTGCTCCAGTGGATTCGGAGAGCAGCTCGTCCGACAACTACGCGCGCTGGGTGATAACGTTGTTGCAACAGGCCGCAATGCAGACACAAAGCTCGCACATCTGAAAGACACCGGTGCTACAATTCTTGATTTAGATGTTACGGCACCTCAAGCTGAGCTAGATGCCAAATTTCAACAGGCAATTGATATCTACAGCAGTGTCGATGTGCTTGTCAATAACGCGGGCTTCATCCAATGTGGAGCTCTTGAGGAGCTGACGTACGTCTTACTATAATGAGAAATTCCATATCGCTGACTATTACCGAATGAGCAGACAAGAGGATATGCAGCAAGCTCTAAACACCAACTTCCATGGGCCTATCAACCTTACACGATCTGCGTTGCCACACTTCCGCAGTAAGGGTGCGAATGGCGGTGGTCTCATTATCTATATGAGCTCACAGGGTGGATTGATTGGCGAGCCCGCGGGCGCAGCATACTGTGCTACGAAATTCGCACTCGAAGGTATATACTACTTCCATCCTAAGTAAGGGTATAGTACTAAGTACTGATGTAAGCTCATTCATACAGGCGCTGTGGAGAGTCTATCAAGAGAACTTGGATGGTTAGCACCGGGTGTTAAGCTTCTCTTGCTTGAGGCAGGCCACTTCCGTACTGAGGTGATGAATAATGTCAACCATGTGCCATATCGGGTAGACTTCTGGAAGCCACTCAACGATGCAGCCCGTGTGCGTGGCGCTGGAAACTATGGAAATGAGCCCGGAGACCCTACCAAGATGGTTGCTAGAGTTATTGAGATCGCCAAGGGTACAGGCGTCGCGGAGGGTAAGGAGATTCCACTGCGCATTCCATTTGGCAGTGATTGTGTGAAGAACATCAACGAGAAGTTAAAAGCCTTCAACAAAATTATGAAGGACTGGGATGAAGTGGCACGAAGTACAGACTTCCCGGAACATGAGGGTCCAATGCCTGCTCTTCCAGCATAGGAGAATCTTTCGAGAATGGGAAGTACTGAATACAGCGAAGCCCCACATATTCCACTGTGCGTCTCGCGCTGACAGGAATACTGCTTTCCTCACTAGTTTTGTATGGTATCCTGGATAGAATCAAAACTCAGCGCCGTAACATGCTCGTCAGCGAGGCAGGAGATATTCAAGACTCCCTGCCAGATAGTTTCTAGATTAGACATTATCACATTGAGCATCACGTTCCATTGAGTCCCACCTGTCCAAGCCTATACCGTATCCTACCATATTGACAGATTCTCGAAGCGCCGGTGTTTGCATATAATCCAATACACTGTACGATGAATTCTCAGGAATGAGTCTCAAGAAAGATCAGTCCCAAGAGGGTTTCCGCTTGTGTAGATTGTGATCATGATAGTCTGGATCCGGTCACAAACCACCTCCGTGCTGGAGCTGGAACAGGAATGGGAACAGGAAGTTCAAGTTGCCTCGAACTCGGAGGATCTGCCGTTTGTGATTCGATCTTATCTCGGGGGCCAATGGGACCACTAGTATTTTGTGCACGTGTGGAAATATAGTGAATACGTAGCTAGTCGGACAGAATCTCTTATAATCTTTCTCTACTGTTACCCTCCAAGCCAGGTCATATGAGCCCAGGGCACCTTCCTAGCTAGTTCAGAGCATAACTAATAACATCACCTTTAGTTACATGTCCTGACTCTGTCACATCTACTTATTCGTTGTCTATCAGTGGCTCATCCCCAAAAATTTCTCCAAGTTGCCACTCTCTAATAGAGGAATAATTAAAGTCTATTTGAAAGAGCCATTTGTGCTATTTATTCAAGACTTTGAGTAATCTTTGACTATTATCAACTTCTAGCTTCTATATAAGCATACTTTGGAATTCTGTGGAGGGCCCCGATGATGACTCAGCAACATGTTCCGCATCTTCAGGTTGGTGGGGAAGCTCATTGATCCAGCACTACTCAAACACGTCGCTTTTGAGGCGCTTATCTAGGGCTTTTCGATCAAGCTGGAACCACAGAAGCCTTTAATGATATGTTGGTAAAATAAAAGCCCCACTTATACATAAAACCCTGCTAACTGTTTCCGGTAGATTCTGTGGACATCATCACGACGGTTTAGCATCATGCTGGAGTGATCAACCTCAAAATCTTGAATTATTCGAGTTTGAAGGTATTCTATCTATTTTGTTGGGATACAAAAGATATTGCTTCTCCTTAGGCTGGGCTTTTGTATTCTCCTCGCCATTTTGATATCGGCCCTCCCTGTGAGGTAGAGGATCCATTTATCATTTCGATTGTGATCATCACCGCCTCACGAGCTCAAGTATTATTCCAACAGACTTGCTCCTTTTTTTGTATTTTTCAAATTTGTCTCCCAGTTTTTCCCTCGATCTTCTTTTACCTAAACTCACTTCCATCGACCATGTCCAACCATGGTACCCCTGGAGCCACAACGCCCCTCCAGATAATCCACATTAGTGAAGACAACACCTCCGATGACTCTCCAACTAACAACGAGCAAAATTTGGAGCTGGACACTGATTCAGAGGACGGGGGCATGCAGCTCGACCTGCCAGAAGGCCACCTGCTACAGTATGTCGAAGATGATAACGACATCGAATTCGATATGCAGATGATGGGGAATGGGATAGAAACAGAGCGCGACGGTTAGTCTCTCGTCTTTCTGCTGATATGCGGGCCGCAAATACATTGGAATTTGCGACTGCATCAATAATGCCCAGCTTGACCTTCATATCTTGTTCGACTCGATACTGACGAACTCCACCAGAAACTGAATACACTACACATGCTGTCAACCCCTTCTCATCTCAATCAAACGGGCATAATACACCAGCACAGATGGACAGAACGGACGAACCCACCCAGAGCTCGAAGCCGAACCGAACACGGTTCCGGGGACGCAGGACGATGCCGGAAGAGCAGTACGCGGCGCTGGCGGTGACGAATGACTGGGAGCTACTGGTGTCGCATGCGCTGAATTCGCACCGGGTACGTTTGGCTCAGCGCGCAGGTGTCGACGCTCGTTCCACCTCACATTTCCACTGATCGATATGGCTTGACTGTGTTTGTGTTGCTCGAGACTAAGACTAACCGATTCCATTCAGACAATCCCCCAAACCCGCCGCCTTTTCCAAGCTCGAATGCTCACCTCCAATAACCCCCGCCAAGAAGCGGAATACTACGCTGCTCGCTTCGTCGTGCCCGCGTCACGCTCGGAGCTCATCTCCGGCCTTACCAGCTCGGGGCGCGGGGGGAGCGATATCGCGACTGGCGTGGACAATTCCACGGCCTATTTGGTGCCAGGATCGTACCGGGAAATCATAGATCATGATCAAAGTGGATGGTGGGGGCCCGGCGGGAAGCCACGCGGGAAGAGGAAGAGCGAACGGTATCGTGGGCTTGGGACGGGGGCGCCGGGATCGCCGCGCAAAGGCAGTGGGGAGAGTTCCAGGGTTGGCTCGCGAGCTGCATCAAGAGGCCCTGGTGGTTGAGATACTTGAGCGGCTCTCTTTAATGGTCGATTACTTCTATCATGTCCAGTTTTCATGTAAAGCGTGATATGGTCTCAGGGTGTCTACGATTATGTGCACGAGAAAATCAAAGAGGAAATGAGGAATATCAAATTGACTGCGACGTGCAGTCATCCTAGACGGTATATGCTCGCTAACACAAAAGATAAAAAAGTACTATACAGAAGCAGACACAAGCTGGCCAAATCCGAAAGGGGAAGAGGAGAGAGAGAGGGAAATCACAAAGAGAAATGATCAGAAGTGACAACAGAGTTAGGGTAGCGACGGGTGAAGAAGGTGGTATAGGTGGCGGTAAAGATTTCGATGTCGTTGTGAGAGGGCGAAGCATGGGTATCTCTGAAGAAATGAAACCAAAAGAAACCAGATCTGGCCTTTTTTTTTCTTTTCAGGGTTAGGTGTTAGGGGTGGAGGGAGGGAGGGTTGCATGAAGCATAGGGATGACATTAACGATGAGGTTGAATGTGCTCTCTCTTCTCTCTCTTTCTTTCTCTCTCTCTCTCTCTCTCTCTTTCTCCAGTTTCTGCTTCAATTCTTGCCATTGCATTGGGATTGATTGAACGGACTAAGCATGGGTCCATCCCAGATTGGTGTTGAATTCGTCCGTCGTATGTCGTTCATACGGCGCAGTCGTCCAGTCGGTCACGACCAGCGATAGAATAAGCAGTAGAAGCGGAGACACGCGAGCAATTTTGCTACTATAAGCCGGCAAGAGCAAAAGCGTCAGACACAAATCCCCACAAACCAAAACTTGCAGATCAAGAGGAAAGGGGATCAGGATGCTCTCACATCTCATCGTCTTCGTTCTGCCATTGTTCCGAGTTGAAAAGACTCTCGGCGTCTCCCACCTGCTTACGCTCTGAGACTTCGCGGCTGCGGATGCGAGCACGCAGAGCCTGGGCGTTCATAGGCGTCAGTCCTCGAGATGGCGCGGGTTTGCGTTTCGGTTCGATATAGAAGGGATGCAGGCGGTGCGAGGTGGTAAACCGAACCCGGCCGTCTCTCATGACGGGTAATTGTCACTGCAAAGGTTCCGAGCTGGAGGATAGACGGTTCAGATGGAGGTAGACGTCGGTTCCGTATCTGTCGAATTCCGAAAAAAAATAGGGTTAGTGGGTTGGATGAGATTTTCCTATAGGGGCCAAAGAAGGAATAGAAAGGGTAAAAGAAAGAAAGAAAGAAAGAAAAAAGAGAAAGATCAACAGAATAGAAGAGAGAGGAGACATTGCCGGGAGAAGAACTTCTAGCAATGTGGTCTGACTTACCCTTCCATACTGATCAACTTCAAGTCACCTCCAAAGTAGCGGGCATACAGCCGACTGATTGGCAATCCATAACCGAAACCAGCCATGGGGGCCTTGAAGTCGCTCTTGTCGAAGTCCGGGTCTAGATTGGGGGTCTGTTCGACAGTTGTGTACATGTACGTCCACACCAGGGGGATTGCCGACCGAGGAATACCACCACCCTCATCGGTGATTTTGATGGTAATGTCCTCTTTGCCCTCGGCCACAATGACTTTGGTCACAGGGAATTGTTCGCGATCGGCGCCGTGCTGCTCCACCACCGCACGCAGCGAGTTCTTGAGAGTCTCGAAGAGCATGTGCGACAAGTGACCCGGCACGTACATGAAGTTCAAATCGTCCTTGCAGACCAGCTGCACCTTGGGCGCCTCAAACAGGCCGTAGTAATCCTCACACACAAAGCGGGCATTGTCGATTGCTTCCAAGGCGATGTCGCGGACATTGGTCTTGGTGCAGATGATACCGACGTAGTTGGGATGTTTGACGTGAGTTTGTTCCGTGAGAGCGATGTGTTGACCGATGAGCATTCGTATACCAATCCGAGACATGTAGAACCGATCGAGAAAAGACTGGATCGTGGAATCAATTTGCATCCGTTGGCGCACCCGTTTCCATTCCAGGATGCCCTGGGCGACGGTCGTCACGACGCTATCGTGACGGCGTTTGATCTGTTCCAAGGTCTTGGCGAATCGTTGGTTGTAATCATTGAGTTCGGGAGGCCAGTCGGCATGGTCGTCGGCAGGGAAGAAATATCGCCGACCGGCGGCGGCGGCGGCAGCGGCGGACTTGCCGTTTCCGTTGCCATTGGTGGTGGGCGAGGAGCGATACTGACCCTCCTTGACACTCGGGTTCTGGGTCGCCTCAGAGAGAATCTTGGAGGTCCCGCTGTGCATGCGACCCGGTCGCAAGAGGCGTGTTTTGACCTCTTGCGTCAGCGAGGGACGAGGCAAGGTGATGATTTCCTATGACCGGTCGCCGTCCGTGAGTCACACCAGACACAGTCATCCCCAAAAAACCCGCCGAGGGGATTTTGACAGGCAAAAGAAACGCAAGAAACATACCTCAAATGATTGCGCATACCAATCCTGAACTTTCTTGATGGAGGGCATCTCACTGAGGCCATCGGGCAGTTCGCCCAGGTCCTGGACTCGGTGCGCGAGGCGGATGGGGAGCTCCTCGGAGAGAAATTGCGAGGCGCGGAACAATGTGCCTAGAGACCGGCGAACAGAGTCAATATTAGATTCTCGCTCATCATCCAGATGTGATCATCATGACGAGGATCCTGAGGGTTGGGAAACGTACCGGTCGAGGGTCGGTCACCAAACTGGACCATCTGCCTCAGCGAAACCCCGGTTGCGGGGAAGCTGGCATAGTGCCGGATGGTTTCCATCAGGCGCTCCGACGGCTTCCACATGGTGGGGGAGAGCAGGGCCCAATGGCCGATAATCGAGGAAGAGAATTTAAGGACCGTGGAGAAGTAGAAGTATCAGGCAGAGGTAGAGAGAGGGGGAGAAGGGGAAAGAGGGAGGAGAGTGTCGCGTGTGTCGAAGGGGAGAGAGGCGGACTCGGAGGACTGAATTAAGGTGCGGGTGAGGAAGGGAACGATTTCGCTGCCGAGGTTCCTCGCCCGCAGGTTCCGGCGTCGGCGAAATGGCCCCTCGTGAGCACCGAAAGTGCCGATCCGCCTTTTTGCGGAGAAACGCGACAATTTCGCAGCGTCATATGACCCGAGATTCTGTTTGCTTATTCTTATTCTTATTCTTATTCTATTTCTCTTCATTTCTCCTTCATTCTCGAATTTCATTTTTTTTCCATATTCCCTTTTCATTGTCGCGCTGTGAACTGTTGTTTCTCGTTAACGCCTCGCTACACCGGTACTAGTTTGCTGGGGCAATGGATAATTCCGGACCAGCGAAGACAGTGAGACAGCGTACGAAGGAGTGCATGGGCATAAAAAGAGCTGAGTCCAGATAGGGAGCAATAGAGAGAATCAAGAATTAGAATCCATAATCCATATTCATAAGCCATAATCAAGAATCGAGAATCAAGAATCGAGATACAGGCAGTCGAAATACAGAGAGCATATAGATGACTGGCCCCGAATCACCTCCCAACGAGCATCCGGATCAATGGGGCCCCAACTCAATTCCCTCGATTAAACGACCCGCCTCGTTCGGGCCCCTGGCGCCCAGGCCTCAAAGCTCGGGGAAGCCAACCCGGGCTGCCTGAGTTTGCGACCGACAAGTCGCCGTCCACGCGGGAGATACCGCGAACGAGGGCACGATCTATAGAGTTCGTCCTCCATTGCGGTTGGAGTCAATCCTAACGCGCCGGGGAGGTTTCCTTCGATCCCGGAATTCACTCTCTTGCTCTTTTACGCGTGATCTCCTTGGCTCTCTGCTCCCCGGATCGTCTTCCCTCCTTTCACCCGAGTTTTGGTGGGGCGATCCTCAAACTGGCTCCAATGGCACCATCGTCACCTCCTCGTCCAGTCATCGTCCCGTCTGCGCCGTACATAAATTAAAAAAAATAATAATAATAAAAGAAGAAAAAAAGCAAAAAAGGAAAGGAAAAAAGGCCGTTGTGCTGTGCACGCTCCGACAGACTCCGGATATCCGAGTGGCTGGAGCCTGTTTCGTACTTTTGTCCCACGACCAGCCTGTTTCTGACTCTCCCCTCTTTCTCCTTCCCCTCCCGTCTCTCGTACCGACAGATCTGAGGAAAGAGATGTCGATTGAGGATGATTTCTGGGATTCTAGCCAAGGACAGCCCATCGATCTGGACGAGAAGCAGTCTGCTCTCGCGACTCGATGCGGAAGTAGACTTCCGTCTCCGCGGATTCTTCACATCGTCACTGACCCTGACAGTGAAGATCCGATCGACTGACCTAACGAAGTATGCAACGGATTGCGAAGTATAGAGCGAACTATATACTTCGGCGTCAATGCTCCCGCGCGAGGAACCCTCTTGTGCCCTTTCCCTGCCCTCTCGTGCCTTGCCCTTCTGCTGCCCTCGCTCGCGCTCTCGCTCTCGCTCTTGTCCATCCAATTCTCCTCCTCTTCAGGTCTCATCGTGCTGCTCCTCTCTGCCACTCCTTTCCTCTTCGTCCTCCACCCCCACTCGACCCTGATCCACAGGAGTCAATCTCCTGGCACGGTCCGGTCAGTGGGCAGTCGCCGATCGGTGCAGTCATGCCAGGCGTGGGGACTTATGATTCCCTCTTTCGAGCTGCTGCTTGTCTGGCGGTGGGACCCCTTCGCTTGTCGTCTTGTTCGTGGTCTGTGGGATGATTCATAGTTGACCTCATCTGGAGTCGTACTCTACCCGATACCTGATACCAGACCACCGGGCTCTTACATCTGCACGCTCTTTCTCGCTCTGCGTTTTCTACTTTCTCTATTTTTTCTCCTTTTACTACTTTATCTGTTGTCTCTGATCTCTCTGATTTCACTTTCCACTTTTCTCCCTCTTGTCTCCCCGTAGGAAAATAAACCAGAGTCACAGGCTCCCAAAAGAGAGGACACCAAAAAAAAAAAAAAAAAACAGAGAACAACAGCCCCAAAAAAACCGGAGGGGGCCAGAAAAGGCTGCCCCGCCACCGCTTCAAACCACTCGAGCGCCCAAAAATCCACCTGCCAAACGCCAAATCGGGCAACGCCTTTGACCAAACTAAAAAAAAAAAACAAGCCGCTCGTTTTCCTCTCGACTTCTGGCAATCTCTTTTTCTCTTTCACTGACATCCTCTGCTCTCTCGGCTCTCTCTACTGTCGTTGCTTCACCTCTCCTTTGGTCGCTTTCCGGGATCCCATTTGGTATCGCTGTTCTTTTCCTTCCCCGAGACACACTCTTCCCCTTCCCCTTACTACACAAGCAATCAGCCCTCAGTCCCAAAAGTACCAAGTCCCGGAAGACGCGGGGTTCCAAAAGTGATACCAAAGACCACAAGACAGAGCCGACCAGTGACAATGTCTCGTCGTCGAACATCCCACAGTGAGCCCATGAACGAGGCTCTGGCCTACCCGTTCTCCTCCCAGAAGGTGCAAATGCCTCCGGCCGCGGCCGCGGCAGCACCAGCAGCAGCCCCGGCGCTAGGAGGAGGAGCACCTCCTCGGCGCGGACCCATCGAGGGTCCCAATGGCCGTCGTCTGATCCGACGCGTCACTTGGCGTTCGTCGACGTACAAGCTCATGGCCTCGCTGTGGGTGCTCGGCGTGCTCTACATCCTCTGGTTGATTCGTGACCTGTTCTATCTTCCCTTCACCCCGTCCGAGTCCAGTCCGCCCGGCCGCGGGGATGAATGAGCTGGGCTCGTGGGCCCGGAGTGACGAAAAGGGAAGACGGGGGATCGCGAGGTCGGGAAGCATTGGGGAAATGTATCGAGTCTGGGCCGGCATGAGGGCGAGAAAGCAATGAGGACTGAACGAAACGAGAGAAGGTGGGGGGATATGAGTCTGGACTACTTCAGTCGTCGGGTTTGAAGGGCATGTCGGAGGATGAGTGGTCTGACTCCCGCCTCTTCATCCTATCCACACTGGATTCTCGTGGAGACAGGCCGTGTAGGGCCGACCGCTCGGAGGTTATGGTTGCCCGTGGTTACAGTGTAATCGTGGCATGATGACAGTGTCCAGGGAGAGGACCAGTCGTGATACGCCGCTTCACTCCCGTCCAGCGATGCTGAACGGGCCTCGGCGGGCAAGACACACATATTGGGCCGCCTGCAGGACTGTTCAAATCTTGCGGACCCCCTCGGCGGCAATGCTTCCAGTCGGAGGTTCTAGCGAGGCTCCTGGGTCTGTGTCAGAGCCCCCGCTTGTTCACGGACATGTTAGATGGAATCGGAAGGGACCGTGGCGCACACTACGTACCCCAGGGCTCCCAAAGGAGACGCGAACGAAGAACTAGATCAGTCCGACGGTCTTCTCCGAGAAGAAAAAAAAAAAAAAAACCATACAAAACGTCATTGCGGGCCGACAACGATCTCTGTACATTTCCGAATGTGAGGACATCATCGCCTGGCCACCTGGATTCGACCTTTTCCCGCTTCACCTCCAGTTGACCCTCCTGGAACCACACTCTTGCGCGGGCCCGGTCAGCATGCATCCGGGGCCCAGAATGAAATTTGTGTGCGATTATGCAACCGTGCAGCCTGACAGGCGATCTGAAAATCTCAAGCCCCCATCGGCCGGGGGCTCGACCGTCCTGCAAGCGACGATCGTGGTGGCCCTCCAGACGTGGCCCCCTCCGGCGATCAACTTCTCTGCAGGCAATCCTGAAGTGGGACCAATTCCCTTGTTTGTCCTCTTTTGATCGTTTTCTTGCCCTTCGTCCTTCCAAATACCTGTTCGGGGATAATCCCATGCCGACTCTTCCTTCTTTTTTATGCCACCTTCCCATTGCATGTTGTATTCTGCATGCCCGAAGCGTTGCCCTTGCTGCCCAATAAACCGGTATTCCTTTTTCTTCCTGATCAAAATCTCCGAGCAGCCTGTCTGGTGTGATTCATCCGGTATATTTCTCCAGGTTTCTTCCCTGACCAAAATTTCTTTCCTTTTCTTTTCATCTACTTTTTTTTGGATTTTTTTCCTCCTTTCCCCGCATTTTTTTTCTTTTTGGCTTTCTTTCCTGCATAGCGTTTCACCTTTCATTCTTCATTTTTTTCATTCGTTTTTCATTTTATCTTTTCCAGCTTTGCATCACCATTCAAATGCATTTCTCGACGAGCGTCTGTTTGATATTCCAGTCTCGCTCCATCGATCATCTATCATGAATCATCATATTTGGTTATACATCCTCCGTGACATGTTCCTATGACTTCTACTTTGACTTTGCATGCTGAGCTTTTTACTCCTTACCTTAGAATGGGTTGGTCCTCGTCGCTTCGTCCATATCTTAATCGATAATTGCCGATGTCACTGACTCATGCACCCTCGTAATATGCGTAAGATATACACCAGAGGGGTGGGTGGGGCGAGGGGGGCAGACATGAAGAAACTGAGCACTTCTGTAACCAGTCGTATCATATACTCCCCCTCACCCACCCATCTCTTCCCACCTCCCCAAATACTTTCCCGGAAACGACCTAGGTATTATGTGACAAGACAATGGATAATAACAAAAGATCTAGATTCTCATTTCATAGCTCGTATAACTAGCCCCATATGCACACTCACACAAACACAACTCCAGCCCTTTATATCGCAGAGTCCAGGTCATCATCTGTTCCCCAAGAAACCCTGTTTGCTCAGTTCCTTTCCCTTTCCTTTCCTTTTGTTTTTCCTCCTGCCCCTCTTCCTTTCTTTTTACAACTTGGACTTCCATGGCCACCTCTCCTCTCCGCCTCGGCAGGGTAGTCTCGACATCGCAGATGCTCTCACCTAAACGTGCAGAGCGGAGGTCTCGGCCTTCGCGACGTGCGCAGCGTACGGCTTCAGCGCGGCCGCAACCTCGGTGGCGGTGAACTTCTCGACCTGCTGCGGGGCACGGCCGACGAAGGTGCGGGCGTCGAGGAGGCTGTCCAGCTCGGGCAGGATGGGGTTGAAGAAGGCGGTGCGGCGGATGCGGTCGAGCAGGTCGTTGTCCTTGCCCTGCTTCTTGACGTTGTCGGCGGCTTGGTGGGAGAGGACGCCTAGAAAGAGGAAGAGGGGATAGGTGTTAGATGGGAATATGTATATAATGGGTGTTGGTGGGAGGAGAGGGCGAGAGTTGTGTTGTCACTTACGGATCTCTTCGTGGGCATCTTGGCGAGAAAGGCCCTTCTTCACGCAGGCCATGATAACCTAGAAGAAGTAGGTGTTAGCTACGATATTCGAGTGAGTCCGCTGAAAGGGGTGATTAGATGCTTACGTTCTCACTAGAAACCAAAGAACAAGAGTTAGATTGCCGATTTAATGAAATAGAAATGGGAGAAATTGGGAGGGAAACTCACGTTGCCATGAAGGGCAGCTCGTCATTGACGCGGCGCTTGATGACTTCGGGGTAGACAACGAAGCCGGAGGTAACGTTGTCTGGAGGCGCATGTTAATATTTTCTCCTTTTTATTTTTTATTTTTTATTTTTTTCATTTTCATTAGATTTGGACGTACTCAGAAGAATGAGACAGGCATCAGCGGAGAGGTAGAGCTCCGGAATGCTGATACGACGGATAGCGCTGTCATCCTATTTTATATTAATATGGCAGACTCAGATCAATTCAAGAAGCAAACACTTACCAGAGAGCGCTCGAACCACTGGGCGGAGTAGGTATCCAGGGCATCCTTGGGCAGGTTCTGGAGGTGGCGGCCGAGCGAGCACAGACGTTCAGAGCGCATAGGGTTACGCTTGTAAGCCTAAAAAGAAAAACAAAAACAGTTAGCGGGGATCGGATCCCCCGTCATGATTTCAAAGAAACTTGCTTACCATGGCACTGCTGCCAATCTGGTCCTTCTCAAATGGCTCCTCAACCTCCTTAAGCATAGCCAGGTGGCGGATGTCAATACCGATACGCTCGCAGGTGGAACCGAAGGAGCCAAGTGCGTTGGCGACGTCCACATCGATCTTACGAGAGTAAGTCTGACTGGAGATGATGAAGGCGGAGCTGAAGCCAGCCTTCTCGGTGACAAGCTCGTCGAGCTTCTCGACCTTAGCGTGGTCACCCTCAAAGATCTGCAGGAAGGAAGCCTGGGTACCAGTGGTGCCCTTGACACCACGGAAGCGAAGGTCATCGCGGGCACGCTCGAGGTTGCGCAGGTCCATCAGCAGATCCTGAATCCACAGACAGGCGCGCTTGCCGACGGTAACCAGTTGGGCAGGCTGACCATGGGTAAAACCCAGGCAAGGAAGGTCCTTGTACTCCTGGGCGAACTGGGACAGCTTATCAATGACGACAGCCAGCTTGGGGATGAGGATGTCGAGACCATCCCGGAGCAGGATCAGATCGGCGTTGTCAGTGCAGTAGCACGAGGTGGCACCCCAGTGGATAATGCCAGCCGCGGCGGGAGCAACCTGGCCAAAGGCGTGGACGTGAGCCATGACATCGTGTCTCCGGCGCTTCTCCTCCTCGGCGGCAACCTGGAACTCGTCGTCCTGGATGGTGGCGTGGGCTTTCATCTGCTCAAGGGCCTCATCGGTGATCGGCAGGCCAAGCTCTATTAAAGCACATGTCAGTCAATCGATATGTTTGCCATGTTTATGTGTGCCAACTTTGACGTCCGATGTCGGGCTTTGCCCCTACATCTACATACATATCCCAATCTATATGGTGATCGTACCTTTCTGAGACTCGGCGAGCCAGATCCACAGCTTACGCCAGGTCGAGAAACGCATGCGAGGAGAAAAAAGATATTTCATCTCAGTGCCTATTCCATTGGACGTCAAAGAGCCCTCTCGTTAGCTATCGAGTCACTCCCCGGATTTGGAGGGGGGTCCCCTCAATTGGGCGGGTGGCGGGACGAAGGACTTACTCGCGTAACGCGAGTTGAGGGGGGTCTGGTAGACATCGTTGTTAGCGGACATGATGCCGAGTCTTTTCGGAAGTACCCGAGAGACGAATTGAGCAACAGGATCGACTGTAGAGACAAGGACGAAGAAGTGTGCGATCTAGGAAATTTTGCTGCGCGGCCGGGTTTAGCGGGGCTTATCACGTTATCGCGGCGACGTGGGGCCACAGGTCACGTGTATACTATGGAAATGTAGAATGCCTGCGCAAAGGGTTTATCCGGTAGGTTTCATTATGGTATTATTTGCTAGCTGGGAAGACTATGAAGGTAAGAATGGGTCGAGGAGTCTAGGACGACAGCTGAGCCAGCTGCACGGCAAGACTGGCCTTGTCGTACTTGATATACTTGCCACGACCTTTATCGATCTCAACATAGCGATCGTAGAAACGAGAATACAGAGGCTCAAGAACAGCCTGCAACTCTCGACCAAGCACAGATCGCACTTCCCGCTCCATATGGATATTCTTGTGCCGGGAAACCATATCATCGAAGCTCGCGTTGAAAGACTTGAACTTTTCCTTGATCGCGTCCCGGTCGCGCGATGACAGAGTCTTGACAATGGCGCTAGAATCCACCGCGCCGCCCGAGCTTGGCCGTGCTCCGCTACGGGAAGTATACTGGACATCTAGCAAAAATTGAGAGGTCTCCTTCCAAGCATCTAGATAAGTCGAGGTTGCACGTTTGCGGAAGGAGTCGATTCGGTTGATGCTGTCCGGGGCACCAAGATAACGCGCCAGCTCGGGACTTTGGCGGATGGCCCGATCAACAACGCAGAATACGTTGGACAAGAAGACGCCCAGCGCGGCCTTTGAACGATGAAAAGTTCGCCCACGAGCCTCTAGTGAAGTCATCAAGGCCTCTATCATGTCGAGGATAAAGTGGGAGAGAAGAGTGCCACTGTCGGGGCCAACATCCAGGGGGGCTGTGCCGGAGGTATTTGAGTTGGAGCGCCAGTTTCCATCTCCAAGGGATGTTAATATAGAGGCCAGGGGCCCCGAGTACCCGGTCAAGGTGGCCAATGCGCTCATCACTTCATCCACCAGAGGAACCGATCCGCCGTCGGGGGGCAAGGTGGCATTGGCAGCTTTGCGCTTGGTTTCCTCGAGCAACTCTGATAGCGATGACTTGGCTGTCTCACGGATAGGGCGTAGGGCCTCGATGAGGAGGATTTTCAATTCTGCAGTCTTCGAGTCAATACGGTATGACATCGCTGTGACGATTTCGATGATTTCGAACGCAAGAAAACAATCCGTCATCAGGTTCGCCTTAATATACTGATTCAATTCGCGCAAGGTTTTGGAATATTCTGACATTGCGGGCAGGAATGCAGCATGCAGCGCGTCGCCGCGCTGGTCAGCCGTGAATATTTGCGAGAGTATGTCATGCTCCGTTGTGATAAAGCCCTCTAATGCATTCGTGTAGATTCCGATTCCATTAGTGCCTTGCTTATATGGGCCATCGGTAGGCCGTCTCTTGACTGTATTGAGAGATGCAATAGAAAGGTTCTGCAAGCTGGCAGTGATATACGGGCCGCGTACTTCAGCGTATATCTTAAGTGCTGGGTTCTCGCCTTTGCCGCGCTGGGGACCGTGAGCCGATGCTGACCCAATTGCTGAGCATAGCGGTGCAAGGTCTGAGATAGTGCTGTCGGGGATGGATGGAAACGGGAGCTCTATAGAAAACTCGAGTCAGTCATTCGTTTTCCTAAAGAGTAGTCTACGCAGCCTCACCCTTTGTAAGATAGTGCAATGGCTCGATTGGCGTAACGTGCTGCCTCAGCTCAGACCGGAGCAATTCTTGTAGCTTGGTATTTCCTGTGTTCAGTAGCGAGGTGAAATCGGCCACTGCGTTTTGATTCGACCGGAGATTTGTCGTGTTGAGGTCGACCAGCGCTTTCTCAACGCGCTTCATTGCCGATAGATATTGTGGAACACCACCACTCTGCGGCCTATGCGAATTGAATCATGTTAGTAGCTCTCAAATAATGTGCAGTTCGAAAGCTGGTTGGAACGGATCTTACCCTGCGCGGATGATGCCTTCTTCCCGACTTTTCGCGTCGAGAGGCTGGCGTAGTCGGTCGATGGCATCATTGACCTTGTCGATATTGCTGTTTGTAATTTGCAGGGATTGTGTGTTGCTGTAAATGGGCCCAATGGCTTCTTTCACGACCTTGCCACTGGTCTCCAGGCGCACCAGGGAGCCTTGGATTTTCTTGGTGAGCCGGTTGAGCTTTTCAAGGTTGGCATAGAGTACCTCCACCTCCGCGCTCTCCTCAGCGTAGGCTGTATTCCTAGGGGCCACCATGGTCTCTCAGTCGCAGAAAAGATGCAAGGCCGAGTCGCCAGGAGCCGTCATGTCTCTTCGGTGTGGGGTCCACGAGTGTTTGTCCACAGCAGGTCGATAAGCTCGGCCCCGGATGGGTGTTCGCACTAGTCCCAAAGTGGGCTCATCGGCCCGTCTGTTTTCCGCAATATCACATGATATGACGTTATGCTCCGAGTCGCGGGGAGACAAGAACCAATGGTCGCCTGCCAATGGCTTGGTCCATGCCATGCACCTCGAAGCTTCATCCTCTGTCTTCCCCCTCGTCACAATGGGTGCGATGAGGGCCTCACGCCTCCGCTGGACAGTTCCTCCTGCAGCTCTTGCTGCCTACACGGCGGGAGAGTGGAACAGACGCCTTCCCCACAAAGCCCACTTTACTATCGGCCCTGCACGGCACGAGGCCGATTCGGAGCCACGAAGCTCCTCCTGGGAAAAGAAGAAGGGTCCCGAGACCAACGATCCGGGGTCAATTTGGATCAAAATTGTCCAAAAGCTCGATGAAGTCAAGCATACTGTTGGAGGTGGGGAGTGGGGAGATATTGGGGGCCTCACCAACTACATTGTACCCGACTGGGCGCGACTGCTACCTGCAACAGCTCAAAAGCTCCAGCGGGAGCTCTCATTGGCCCCCGGCTCCCTCGCAGATGATATTTGGAAGGAGGCACACGATCCCGAGATCAATCCCGAGATCTTACAAGACGCCAAGGTCCGGGTAAGTGGCGATCTCTGCAAGGAGGAGCAGGAATTCAGGAAAAAGAGGCAGCAACACGCGGTGAATGCATTGGCATCCTACCTTGATATTCCAGAAGAAGATATCAATCCTGAGGATGTGCCTGTCATTGCCATGTGCGGCTCGGGAGGTGGGCTCCGTGCCCTGGTTGCAGGCACCGGATCCTACCTGGCTGCGCAAGAAGCCGGACTGTGGGACTGTGTAACATACACTGCAGGAGTCAGTGGAAGTTGCTGGTTGCAGACTCTCTACCATTCATCTATAACAGGTAGAGACTTCAACAAGCTTGTTGATCACCTGAAGAGCCGGCTGGGGGTGCATATCGCATTCCCCCCGAAGGCGCTCAACTTGTTGACCAATGCGCCGACCAACAAGTATCTTCTCAGTGGATTAGTTGAGAAGCTTAAGGGAGACCCTGGTGCAGATTTTGGACTGGTAGATATCTACGGCCTTCTGCTTGCTGCCCGACTATTAGTCCCTCGCGGCGAACTAGGGGTCTCTGATCGGGATCTCAAAATATCGAATCAACGCGATAATCTTCTCAGTGGGGCTCACCCACTGCCTATCTATACGGCAGTCCGACATGAAATACCTTTAATCGAGGAAGAAGAGCATGAAAAGAGCAATGGTCACCCAACACCTGAAGACATTATGAGAGAAGCAAAGAGCGAATCGTGGTTTCAGTGGTTCGAGTTCACTCCCTACGAATTCTTTTGCGAGGAGCTAAATGCTGGGATCCCCACATGGGCACTGGGACGGCACTTTAATGCCGGTTATAATGAAATTCCTGCTGGAGGCTATCCCATCCCGGAGCTCCGAGTCCCAGGACTGATGGGGATTTGGGGCAGCGCATTCTGTGCAACCTTATCACATTACTACAAAGAGATTCGACCTCTCGTGAAAGGACTTACTGGCTTCGGTGGAATTGACTCCCTCATTCAAGGCAAGAACAAGGATCTTGTTCGAGTACATCCCATTGATCCTGCTGCTATTCCCAACTATGTCATGGGGATGAAAGACCAACTGCCAGAATCATGCCCCGAGTCGATTTTCAAAGATCGTCACTTGCGCCTTATGGATGCCGGCATGAGTAACAATTTGCCTATCTATCCTCTCATCCGGCCTGGACGAGACGTCGACGTCATTGTTGCTTTTGACGCCTCTGCTGATATTAAGCGTGAGAACTGGCTCTCCGTTGTGGACGGTTATGCTCGACAGCGAGGCATAAAAGGCTGGCCTATTGGTGCTGGATGGCCGAGGGGAAATGAGAGCTTAGAAGAAACAGAGAGAGCTCTCCGTGAGCCGCAAAACATTACAGAAGAGAAAGTGAACGAGAAAGTTTCCGGTGCTCAAAACCTACAGAGTGTCTCGAATTCAGACGGTCCAACTGATACAGATTTGGGGTACTGCAATGTCTGGGTTGGGACAAAGGAGGAAAGAGTCTCCAAGGATGAACCCCCACCATCTAAGAGGCTTTTCCATCCTGAAAAGGCTGACGATCATTCCGAGTCCGATTTCCATCTTATGCGGCCTGACGCAGGTATCGCTGTTGTCTACTTCCCGCTCATTCCTAACCCTTCTGCGCCTGATTTACCACCTACTCCTAAAACTCGTCCACTCGCCGCCGCTCATTCTATCCAACAAAACGACTCGCAGTCTAAAGATACAACCCCGCCAGTGGTGCCCCATCCGAACTCCATTGATCCTGATGTCAACGATTTCCTGTCAACATGGAATTTTATCTACACCCCAGAACAAATCGATTCAGTGGTCGGACTAGCAAAGGCGAACTTTTCGCAGGGTGAAGACCAAGTTCGTCGTGTTGTGCGGGCTGTGTATGAACGGAAGAAGTCTGATCGATTGCGTCGGGAAGAAGAAGAATCCCGAAAGCGAATGGAGGGGTTTGTGCCTCTGTAGAAGCATAACTATTGGTGTATGTTGATGGGCGTTTTGTGCTATGGTGTTCGTTGCATTGCATTTTTCCTTTTGTTTACCTTGATTTCTGCTTCTTGGATTTGAAGCCGGTTTTTAAAGAGTTAGAACGCTCATGCCTCTGGCCATATACCTCAGTATCACTTTGCATTAAATGGAATAAACATACCTGATCCTAATTCTTAAACTAGCTCTAAGTATCAGCCATCAAAAATCTCTTGGAACAGATCATCCAGACAAATAATTTATCAGACGCGAACAAGTTATGATAATCGAGTGTCTCGACCAACACCGTGTTTCCCAGTCTATCCAGCCTCCAGTTCCCCAAGCCAATGTCTATATTGTCATTGATATTAACTTTGCCGATGGAATTTTAATACTCCAGAAGTAAGGCTTATATACTTGCTTGTTCCGATAGGGCGCTGGGCATCTTTTTGGGGTGCTGGAGTTTCAGATGAGACCTTTCATTTGAGAGACTAGTCACCAGTCATATCGTGGTGCCGGGATCATATGGTGGCTTATTGTATTCAACCGAGATTACTTGCTGTTTAACAGGAGAGGACCAGTGCTTCAGCTTGCGGTGTTATTAATTGGTTTTGACAAATTGATTGTAGAGTCGAGAGCCGAGAGAGTTGGTCATCGCCAGTTTGGGCCCTCAACCACCCCGCATTATAATCATTCAGGATTGTACTAAAAAAGAGATGGAAGAGTTCAAAAATGTGAATTGCGTGTATGGGATTAAAAGTGAAGCGTCTGACAACCATCCGTGACATATGAACTGAGTTTGATTATATAGATTGAAGGGTCTGGTCGTTATACTTAGCGAGCAGCTAGTATGTTACATCAGCCTCCCAACTAGACAGCGGCCTGGGTCTTGCTCTCATCCTCACCACCTCCAGTTTTCATAAAGTATGACTGCACGCCTTCTAGATCTCCATTTCCTTCGGGTTTCTGCTGCCCAGTCTTAGCCCTCCTCGCTCGACCCTCCTCATCGGTTGTCGATGGTACGTCGTTGTCGCTGCCTGCCAAGCTCACATCTTTGCTTTCATCTGTTTGCTTGCGTAGGCCCAGCTGCCGTTCCAGTTCATGCAAAGATCCAGCGCCAACGGCTAATAAAGTCGACCCGATACCACCAGTGCTGGCACCCCCCGGTTCGGAAGTTTTATCTGAAGTACGTGAGTCCGTAGTAATTGGTGAACTCTCCTTTTCCAAATCTGTAGTCGTCCTTCGTGGAAGATTTTCTTGCTTGTTCGTTGATTTTTTCCCTCGCCAATCAGCAGGGTGGCTTTCCTGGATGGGCTCGCCTGGCTTTGGCTCGCTGATAGGTCTACCGGTCGTCGCAGCTGTATCTATTCCAGCGCCTTGCTCTAGGGACGGATACCGCCACACAACCTTGAGGCGCTCAAATGCGCGGATGCCTTTCTTTGCGCTGCCTTTGATGCCATCCATTGCGTCCCATTCAGTCTCGAAAACACCGGAATCGTGTTCATGTCCGCCTTCAAAGAACGCATTGAACCAAACATGCGCGACAGATGTCACCATGGCAAAGCCAGTGTAGGAAGCCTTGCTGCGGCGCTCGAAATCAATATTGATGTCCGACCCGGCCACAACAAGCGGCTTGGCTGGGCGAAAAATTACGGCGGACATGTTGGGCGAGGTCGTAGAGCGACGTGTGAGTTCAGACGCCGTGCTCGAAGTATCTGACTGCGAGACTGACGGCGACCAAGTCTTGGATTTCCCTTCTTTGCCCGTATCGTCCCCATTACCTCGGTCCTTGCTCGAGGATGTAGACGATGTGGCTGGGGTTTCCGCCGCCTCGACCACTGTGCGCTCATTGCGGTGGAACAGGTGAAAGCACTTGATCTTCTTGCCTTCATCCACATACCCCTCCACTGCAACCTTGACGCCGTCGCGAAGCCCCCAGGTGTGAATCTCGAGGACTTCCACCGGCCGCTCGATATACTGCTTTCCGAGCTCGTTCGTCCATCTGTCAATGTACTCAACATACCGCAACTGACTCGGGATGCTCACGCCATTCCCGAAATTTGCCCGCATGCGCCGCTCCGTGAAGCGGCGCAGCGCGTCTTCTTTCTTCCACCCTTCCTGGCTGATAAGGTATCCCGTCGCAACAGTGCCGCTGCGGCCCTTACCCGCCTTGCAATGGACGACCGCGACGCGCTTCTTGGTCTTGTCGTCTCCCTCGTCTGTATCTGATTTATCCTTTTCATCCAGACGGTGCAGCCAGTTCCGCATGCTGCCCATGATATTTGGGATCAGCGCAAAGGGGGGTGGGTGGTGGTCTGGCCAGGGGAAGTGGTGGATGCGCCCGTACACCTCCGAGTCCGGGTATCCAGTGCCCTCGGCACGGAATTCCCAGATACACCAATTCGTGCCATGCTTCGAGTCAAGGAAGTTCACAAGTGCATCTAGAGGGTTGCGGTATGCGCGTTGTGGGTAGGTTGCGGATGGGCCTGAGGTTGCGATGACTGCGCAGGCAGGGCACGTTAGTTTGAACGTTAGAAACCTAGGTCCCGATGGGGCGAGGCAGGTGGGTAGGGTCAGACGGATGGTCGTACTATTTTCAGTCACGTAGCACAGGTCCAATCCGGCCTCTGGATGCTGCTGTCGAGGGCCCGCAACAATTTGGCGGAGGATGGAGGACTGCGGTAAGGTTGGGGTGAGCTTTCGGTGACTCCGCTCAAGGGTGGCTAGGAAGAGTTTCTTTACCATGCTTTGCGCGAGTCGAGAACCTCAAGCTCGCGGAAGTTTCTGTCAGGCCCGGAACATGGGGTAGATTATCGGAGGTTATAGATGCAATCTGCGCGCGATTAGTGCATCATGACGGTTTAAGGGAGCCTCCAACTTGTTTGTTGGCGGTCGCACAACGGGCCGCTTGGAGGCGCAGCCGATGATGTCACGGCGCTACCAGGAGACACAGGTTAGAGTCGGAAGCTCTGAAGTAGCCTCATTGAAAACTATCGAGAATATATTCACATTTTTCAGCATTTCTTATTATAATTGACACGAGCAAGGACGATATTCAAGGCATCAATTTGACAATTGGAGCTTCATTTATAACACCACATTGCGCTTCTTCGAGGACGTTCACGAAACGTCAAGATTCCTCTTGAAATCGCTAGAGTGAGCTCGTCAGCGATATGTTTTATATTGCTTCATAAGCTATAGACTAGATAGGCCCCTGCACATGAAACTACCCTCAATGGAGGAGGAGGAGGGGCTGTCTTTTCGCAGAGCGAATATAGAGGAGCAGCTGCACCCATAACAACAACAATTAACGAACAAGCTTAGACGACAATAACACAAGATCTTCCCAAACGCCGGTCATGAAGGAGAAACGTGCGAGCGATGACCCGGCAAGGTGAACCATGATAAGAAGAAAAAATCCGGTATATCTTCCCAATCCAACGTATTAAAGGGAAGGAACAACCAGAACAGAGAAGCCAAAGGGAAGGAAAGGAAGCACGTGGTTCAAGACAGGTGTCTTCGCAGCTTAGGCAACGCCGTAGAAGACGTTCGGCTTGATCTGGAACTGCGTGGTGGTCTCGGTGACATTGGTATTGCCGGACTGCCAATAGATCTGCTCGGAGTTGGTCGACTCCTCGATGATATGCCACTCATGCTGAACCTTGACATTCCAGGTGGGATTGGTCAAAGGTTTGATGTACGCGGTGATGGAGGAGTCGGCACAGACAGTGGTGTTTTCTGTAATGCCATCGCAGTAGGTTGCGAACGCGGGCGAGTTTTCCGACTTGGAGCCGGTGATGTTGAAGCGGTACCCACAGCCGCCTGGGGAGCAGTTCAACTCAAAGTTGGTGGCTTGCCAGGTTGACGGTTGGCCGTTCGGGAGGGCGCTAGTCAGGCTCAGGGTGGAGAGCAGGGCTGGGAGGAGAGTGGTGAATCGCATGGTGGCGGTGGCGTTTAATAATAAGGGGCGCGTGTTAGGGTGTTATGGTGTTATGGGATATTATCGCGAGAGGTGTGAATGAATTATAAACACAGGTGGTGGATAATGTACAATTGGAAGGGATAAGGGAAGAGAAAGAGGAAAATTCGGGTTATATAACAGAAAGTGAGACGTCGAAAGGTTGGGAGGTTGAAAGAGTCGAGGGGGGCAATTCAAGTGAACCAGTGATCCCGGATCCAGTGACGAGACCCTGGAACTACCAACCTCCCAAACCTCCCAATCTGCCGAACTCCCCGAGTCCCCCCAAACTCCCACGCCTCCACACCTAACCATAGTTTGTTCTCTTCCCCACTTGCTTCAACCACTGTTAATACTTCGTCTCCTCCACTTACGTTCCTTTCACCCCAATCCACCAACGGCGATCGCGCTTTCGATGGGTTTCAGGGGATCATTCAAACTCAAATTTCACCCTACTTTTCATGCCATCGAGGCACAAGTCGCCCTTTTCGAGACTACAAGAGGCGCTCGAAAAACGAGCTGCTGTCGGAGTCTGCGACCAAGTCTCACTATCTGACAAGCGAAGCTGCTGATCAACAGCCAGGCGCGTTTCAGACGACACCCGCTATTTATAGTGGGTGGGGCGGACTGGAAAAGGGAGGCCCTATGGTTCGCAGCACCACAACTGGACCATTCTGGGTTAATGGGTCTGAGCGGATAAATGAAACGGCTCTTACAGACAACCTACAGATCGCCAAGCTCGGCAAAACGGACGGAGAAACTTCGATCTGATATGTTCCATGGTTAATTGATGGCAAGTTCCTCATACTGTACAGGCGCAAAGACGGTACATGCAATATCCACTGATGCACTCGTCGTCACACAACATCCTCCCACTGCCGGGGTTGTACTGCAGACACGCCTCCTAGTCCTGGAACGCGTCCCACGGCGGACCCGTTCAATTCGGAGGACACAGGTGGCGATGCTACTGTATATGGTCCCGCAGCATCTTTCAGAGCCGATAATATCTAGCGGTAAAGAAACTTCTCGGTGCGTTTCCGAGTCTCTTTACTTGCTCGTTTCCGAAGAATCTCCATCAACGGAGGCCGGATGGTTGCTGGTGCTGTGATCCGATTTCAGCAGCTCTTCTTGTTCCCACCGCTCCATCGCCAAACGAAATCTTTTCCTCCTCCGGCGATCGCGATTATAAGCGATTCGAGCCTTCTCTGAATCATTGGTACGGCCATGTCCACGTGCTCTTTTGACCATCTCTGGACCATCCTCATTGGCATCACGATTCGCCTTTGGGGTTTCGAGTTTCTTGATGGAATCGGCCTCCTGTTGAGAATGTCCTGTTTGGCTGGAACCTTGGGGCTCCTGTATTGAGGGATGATAATGAATTCGCATAGCAAACTCGTCCATAGACTGCGAACAAATCTCTCCAATTTCCTTTCGTGCTTCCAGCCCGATCGACCCACCTCGCTTGATCAGGTCTTGAAAGTACATGAAAGCCGGCTTGTAGTTGCCTGTACTGAGGCACATCAGGATAATAGCTTCAAAAGTGGCGGTGTTAGGCATGACACGAAGGGCTGCCATCTCCTTCACTAAAAACATGCCGGCGTCAAGTTTGCGGGCGCGACGACACATTTGAACCAGAGTATTGTACACAGAAACATCTGCGCCATCGGGATATAGAGTATAAAGCTCTTTGTAGAATCCCACGGCATCATCCACTACCGAAGGATCTGCCAGGGCATCATGTTCACAGAGTTGAGCAATGACGTGAACACAGCCTAGGGGAATACTTCGCCCCTCGTTCTTCAGCCGCTTCAGCATCTGCCACGCTTCTCTCCGATCGATTTTGTTCTGAATCATGTACGCGAGCACAGATCGTGTCGAGCTCTCCCCAAGAAAGATGCCAGCCTTGTGCATTGTACAGAGTACGTCGAATGCAGTATAGAGCCTTCCTGCCCCAATATGGGCTTCAATGAGCCTCTCATAGTCCTGCAGATCCAGCGGAGTTCCACGAGAGGTGAGGTAGCGAAACACCGAATTCGCCAGCTCGTTGTCACCAACTCCCGCGGCAATTCCGAGAACGATCCTACACTTCTCTGCCCGTGGGCGCAGATAACCAAGCTCCACCATCCGCTGCCATACAAAGCGAGTCAAAGCATAGTGTTGAGCCATGCCAGCCTTCTCCAGTACATAATTCCAGAGCATGTGGGTCATATCATGGCCCTGGCTGACGCGGGCCTGCATCAGGCGGAGCACCTCGTCAAATTCCTCGAAATCGCAGAGGTGGTATATTATTGCGCTATGAAGCCAATTCTCGACGTGAATATCCTTCCGCTCCATTAAAGTAACCTGCTCGAGCGCAAGCTCGAACTGATGCTCGCGAAGTAAGCCCGCGACGACGAAATGCCAGCCCGCAGGGCTGAGTGTTAACCAGCGGTCTCGAAGCTTGCGTAGAACTTCTTGCCGAAGTAGGTAGTCCGGATGCACTGCAAGGACCTAAAAATTCAGTTAGTAAGTTCCGTCTTGAATATCTCTGTAGAGAGAGATGATGTTTCTACGCACCTGCAAAGCAGCATGCAGAGTCCCCGAGTCCGCTGCGATACCGTCCCGCTCCATTTCGGCCAATAAACTCCGCACAAAGTCTGGCGAGCCCCTTTGCGAATCCGTGTTTGCTAGCATCAGCGCCTTATAGTGGCGAGCGCTGGGTTGGACATGGTGGTCCCGGATCAGCGCACGCAGGATATCTGTCGCGACTTGGATCCTCGGGTTCTTGACCATTTCTCCTTGCAATAAGGTCTCCAGCTCGGACACCGTCTTGTTCCGGAGGTGTGGCGGCACCTTCAGCCATGTGTTCGGTTTTTGACGGGTCTGTGGCTCGTTGAAATGCGAGATATTGGAGTCGGTGTCGACTAGGTTATCGTCGTGCTGAAGGGAATATAGCGCAGAATCGGAGGAGGGTGGAGCTCTGTACAATTTATCATTCGAGAACAAGTCTGTTCGAGTATTGGCGACATTCTTTCGTCTTGCATTACTACTGCAGCATCGGCGCGGTTGCGAAGTCGCCGCAATGCGAGGAACTGGCGAAGGACATGGTCTGGAACTTTGTTTTCTCAATCTCAGCAGAGGATTTGGGCGATTAAGTGCAAGCGGAGTGAATGCGGGGCACAAGGAGTACCATAATCCATCGAGGACCAGCACCCGCCGAGACATATTAAGCATTTCACAATTAGAAGCTTGCGATTCCAATCGTTTGGGACAATGTGATAATATGTCACGTGATATAGGAGTCACCATGAGTGTGGCCTGAAGTGCCAGGCCGCAAGATTTCTCGAGCGTCGGAAGAGTCAAAATATTTATAAGTATGGAGATTAAGTTGGGAATTCACAGGTGTGTTTCTCAAGTTCAATAGATGTTTGAGATCACTACTAGTGTATCATTTTATGAGACAGGCTCGATATACCTATTTTTTAATATAGCAAATCAATCCTTCGTTCTAGTCCAGATATGTGTTTTCGACTCCTGCAATTTCGTACCAACTATACTTTTAGATAAATGTCCAATTTCATACTCCAATCTTCAGCCTGTCGAATGATGCAGGACACAAAAAGGAGATGCACTCGAGATTTTCCTGACATGGCGATTGGTGATAAACCCATATTATTTGCATTTATAGGAATCATTACCGTGCTACTGGTGATATGAAATCAGGCCATTTGACTTCTGATAGAATGGGAGGTGTTGACGTTTGGCTGATGAGAGATTTATGTTGGCTTCGCCACTCCTGATTCTACTAGAGAGCAAGGCGTTAAAATCATGTTGATATGCTCACAAATGGCAATTGGGAGAGGACCTGCGGCGCCAGGATCTCAAACCGCCATGGTGCGGTCTGGGGATTCGAAGTGTGTAGTATTTGTAGATCGCCAATTGACTAAAGTCGTGAGTCCAGTTCCCACTGAAAATTAAGAGCCAGATACGCCACGGCCATGCTCGTCACCCGTCCAAGCGGATCTCTCGAGTAAGCCGCCTTGCCCACTCTATCTGCTGCAGGGTATCTCGTTTCACATCCATCCCAGCACATGCAAGCCATTCAGATCAGGCTGTCTCATAAACCACCGCCGCTGCCACCGCCACCACCACCGCCACCACCTCCACCGCGGCCGCCGCGACCTCGGCCACGACCACGGCCACCGCCGCGGCCCCGATCGCCCCGATGCCCACCATCTCGTCCGTGGCCGCCGCGGCGGTTCTGTGGTTGGTTCTGTTGCTGCTCCTTGACGATCTCAATGATTTCTTCGGGTACGCGGAGATATTTGATCTAGGTAGAGGGAAGGGCCGTTAGCATGGCTGCATCATTGACTGACCACTTGCGCCGGCATCCGGCCAATTATGCGGGACTTACGTTGTTGCCGCGAATGTACACTTCGGGAAGTCGAAAGAACTTGTCGCCCTCAGGGCTTGTCTGGACAACCTCGCGCAGGATCAGGTTCATCCAGTTGTCGCAGGTCACGAGGTGGCCGTTCAGGGTTTCGCCGTTCTTGAGCTCCACCAGCATAGGATGACCTTGTGCGGCCGTGAGGAGACCGAGAGGAAGCTAATTCAGATAAAAAGGTTAGTATAAACTGGATAATGTGAGGGCAGATGGAGGCTCTATCTTTACCATGACTAACTGCGATCGTGGGGATGTGGTGTCGCCAAAGTGGGAGGGTTGGGGTGAAATGAAGTGCGCACAACGTGTTTTGTGCGGGCAACACGTAGACTCGAGAGATATGGACGAGTCAACGGAGAAAGCGAGAGACAAGAGTGTCCAATGGGCAGTCCTCTCAATTTAACTGGGACTATTCAGAAGGTCAATGGATGCGATCGAGCTCCGCACCAGCAGCTGCGACGGAGGCTGATCCCGGAAAAATTGATGTGCCGAGATGTCCAGCCCCGGCGATGCTCCTGTATCGTTTCGGTAGTCGGACAGTCGGTACGGTACATACTCCATGCGTGGGGGTTCTGACTTTGACGACCACCCTACGTGAATAACCAACGCTATTGACGCGATTGGAGATCTACTGGAAAAACTAACAGTAAATCAGAATTTCACCAATTCCAGGTCAACGCAATGTTAAATCGATCATGAAAATTGAAAACCGGTTCCATGGCCAAATACCCCACACTTCCATAAAATACATAGTAAGAGACAAGCCACACGAGACACATGGCAAGACAATTAGACCTTTGGGCGCTTGGCTGCTTCGGTTTCGTGGTCTTCCTCTTCGTCACTTTCAATTGTGAGCTTCCGCTTGTTACGTGGCCCACCAGGGGCGGCAGAGGCTTCATCCTTCGCGTCTGGTAAACGACCCTCGAGGGCTTTCAGTGTAATTTCATAGCCCTCCTCCACATTTCGAACCGTATCATCGAGCTTCTCTACGCGGTCAATCAACTCCAGCTCGTTGAGAAGTTCCTTGTGCTTTTTATAGAGGCGTTGCTTTGTGAGCATGCGCCACCAGTAGTATCGTCGATCATCGGGATCATCTGCTTTGGCCTTCTTGATTAATAGCCGCGCAAGGTTGGCACCTCCAGCCAAACGATGACTCTTCGGAATCTGGCTGAGAAGGAACATCTCCAGGATGTGCGCAAACTGCGTAGACTCGATCTTGAAAGCGGTGCGAATATCGCGCAGGACATCAGTAGGAATCAAAGCCGCAGTTGGAACGGAGGTGACGCGTTGTTTGCGTGAATAGGCCTCTTTCGGGTCAGGGTTAAGATTCACATTATGTTTGAGAAATTCCGGTCGAAGGAGGCAAAAGTCGGCACTGTCGCGAAGCGCATCAAATTGCTCATTGGGGTCTTCGACCGTCAGCTCCACAATAGTAGGATCGGCAATACAAGAGGCGTGAATGGTGGTATATAGGTGGGTGCCATGGCCCGAGCGATGGTGTGAAGGGAGGATGAGGAATTGAGCGATGCGAAACCTTGCTGGAAGCTCGGAAATTTTGATTTCGGGAGGTGGGAATGCATCGTCTTTCACGGAAGGGGCCTCGGAGCGGTCTCGCTGGTAGAGCCAGTACCGATAAGTGGTGGCATATCCCACAATGGAGTACGAGGATGCGGTCGGTGTGGGTGGTGTGACCTTTTCGTATCTGCGATGATCAGCATGAAATGACATATGGTAAGAAGTGACCAGGAAGCTTACACAAAGTAGACAGTCCACCTTTCAAGACTCCATTCGGGATCGTCGGTGGCTAAAGGTGTGCCTGCCTCGATGAATAGAGACACGAGAACCTGAGCGCGGTCGAGCAACCGTCGTACATCGAGATCTGCCAGAGACCCCGCCCAGATTTCGTATTGTCTATCATTAACCTCATAGCTATAGACTTGCTTGCCAGGAGGAGTGAAGTCTTTTGCGCTGGGGTCTTCCTGGACGGCCTTCTCGTAATCGGCGAGATTAATAAAAGCCTCTGTAGAAAGAATCGCCAAGGATTAGCAAGCTGTTTCATCTGTCTTGAGTGTTTCAATTAAGCGTCATTACAGACCTTCCGGGATGAATGGCTTTAAAGTACCAAGAAGATCCGCAGCAGCCGTGTCGCCAACAGCTTTGAATCGATCATCGTAGGAAATGTGGACATGAGGCCGGAGGTCATGGGCGGCAAAACGTAGGCGAATAATCAATCCTTGATATCCGAAAATTTGTTCCTCATCGCCGAAGATGGGGTATGTGAACTGAGGGTGAAAGGTTGAAAGAGTCTTAGGCTTGGTTTCACTCGGCTGGACGATGGTTATATGTAGCGCGTCGTTAGCGTCACACGACCCTGGGATCAATTAGCTGAATGAAGGCATTGATGAAGTTTGTATCGGGCTCATTCTTACAGTCATCATCGATTGCCATGCTGGATATGGGTGCACGAGTCCGGATGAAAGATTGAAGAAGATAAGAAAGGACGAGAAGAAGCGTCGCGTCTGACCGCGTCGGGGAAGCTCAGTATTACCTAATCGGGAATAGCGTTGAACCCTAGCTGGGTTTGCTCAGGATCTATGGCGTCGGATCGATGCGTTTACGCGCCTAAGCACGTAGTAACAGCTACATGCAATAAAACCGTGTACTCCGAGCTGATTTTGAATGCCAAGTATTATGCGGATTGATTGCGAAGTGTCAACTATGGCAGTTCATGATCTCATACTATACTGACTTCAGGATTCTGTACTAACAAGCCCTTTATGTGATAGCGAGGTATCCATGGCAATTATATGGCGATTGGATATCCTGACTGCCTCGGGGCCTTTCAAATACTTCTTTTTGGAGCATATTATGCTTTGCGATACTGATGTATGCCTCGTGTATTCAGTGTTTAAAGCAACTCGTTCATATTGTGCTTATCGCAAATATCAGAAAAGGGTGGCTGTTGCGTCATATCAGTCCTCTCACAAGGTGAAAGACCAAGAAGTTTGCTCATGATCAGGTTATTGCATTCCTGTGTTCGTCACGGGAGATATGCTGACCCGTAATGGGGTAACGGTTCTCAGAGGTAAGTTATCCGAAAATCAACTGGTGTTTTTTGGACAGGATATTGTTTGGTGATCTCCAAAAACTCCAACAAAAAAGAAACATGCATAATAATCATGGATAACGTGTTCAATGGCGTTGTTGAAACAGTAGCATTGCAAGTTCCTGAGGAGGCGTAACAGGAGGTCACAGCGTCAACTCAACCTTCAAGTCAGCCTTGCGCAGACTCACGCAGGTGCCTGGACTATAGCGATGGCCTCCATCGTCCCATTTCGGCATCTAAGGGCACAAATTCCATGCCCGCTGACAAGGTGGGTCGACTTTCGACTTTATGTAGTGCACGGTTTTCTCAAGCGCCAAATCGCCATGTCGGCAAGAAACATGGAGACCCCACCCTCGGAATTAAGCTTGTACTGCCTTAAGGCACTAAGGTTCGTCCAGTGATGTCCGCCCAAGGTTCCCACATTCGCATACCACAAAGACCAGCTAGAACTGGTTATTGACACGGGTGCTGTTTGCACAGCCGAGTCGCCTCAACAATATTGATAATCCGGAGACAGTGTGTATATGAAAGCGACCGAGGGAATCCTATCTCCTTGAACCCGACCGTAGACAAGGGTCCTGATTCTTCTTTATTGCCAAGCTTGATGTGGGTCACGCCTTATAACCCAGATACCTGTATACATTCGGCGTCGTAATGCAGATAGCTCTGTCAACCGTACATTAAATAACCTACGTTCTATTATAGCCAAAACCGGGTATGAGTAAATCCGTATCCGAATTTGCGGGGAAGCGAACGGGGAGGCTAAGGTCCCTCCTGGTGTTGACTCTTTCTACTTGGATTCCCATATGATTGCTCTCTTTATGATCCAGTATGGCTGACCCTCTGTCAATTACAGCAAGCATCATAGCAGTCATTCAGCTGTCCACAAAAGTGGTGAAGTATGTCAAGGAAGCTAGCGATGCGATCGGACACAGAAACACCCTGCTTCTGGAGATGAGTGCGACTAAGGGTATTCTTGATATGCTGTGGGACGTCGAACAAGGAGCTACTAGTGACGAGGATACCTTGACAAATACTCAGATTCTGGAACAACCGCTGAAGAACTATGCAGCGTTGCTGATGAGGCTAGAAGCCGCACTCGCCCCGGCGAAAGGGCTCAAGAAAATTGGCAAAACGTTCAAATGGCCCTTCGAGAAGGCAGAGATGCTGGACATCCTCGCTAAAATGGAAAGATACAAGAGCTTATTCGGACTAGCACTCCACGCCGATCATATCGAACTATCTCGTGCGGTGCATAGAGACTTGGAATCGCTACAGAACCAGCAGAGGGAAGAAGAAATGCGCGAGATTATCAGGTGGCTCTCGCCGCTCGACTTCGAAGCCAAGCATCAGGATATCTTTGCCAGGCATCAAGAAGGCACGGGCCAGTGGTTGCTGGATGATGATCGGTTTGTTGGGTGGGAAAGGGGGCAATCGCGGATACTATGGTGTCCCGGTGTTCCAGGAGCAGGAAAGACGGTTTTTGCATCAATCGCCCTCGAGCATTTGCGCATGTCTCTGAAGGACAATGAAGACATGGCCGTGATTGGGATTTATTGTGATTACAAAGAGTTCAACCAGCAATCCACATCAAAATACCTCGCTAGCCTCCTACAGCAGCTGACTATCCAGTGCCCATCGATCCCTGATCAGATCAAAAAGGCGTATGCGGCGCACAGTAAGAAAGGAACATCGCCAAGTTTTCCAGAATATTTGGATCTGCTCACAAGACAGATGACCTTGTTCAAGCGCACCTATATTATTGTCGATGCTTTGGATGAATGTACCGAAGCAAATGGTGTCCGAGATGAGCTGCTGGAGGGAATCCTGCAATTGCCAACATTCACCAGTGTTCTAGTGACTTCTCGCCACATACCCACGATTGAAGAATATTTTCAGGATGCAGTCAAGCTCCCTATTCGCGCACATGAAGATGACATTAATCTTCATGTGCGCAGTCGGCTTGCCAAGGAGAAAAGCTGGGGCCGCAGGATCAGGCTTGACAGTGTGCTGCAAACGAAGATCGCTAACAGTATTGTAGAAAGGGCCAGTGGAATGTAAGAGTTTTCTTTTATTCATTCGTTCATCATTTTTCTTCCTTCCGTAACTCGACTCTCCGACGTGAGCCCATTGACAGCGTCATTATAGGTTTTTACTTGCACAGCTTCACATCAGCTCTATCGTTAAAAAGCATAGTCGCAAAGATGTGGAAAGGGCCCTACAAAATCTCCCCATTGGTTTGAAAAGCACATACAACCAAATTATGCAACGTATTGATGACCAGGGAGAAGATGACGCCACGCTGGCGAGGGAGGTTCTATCTTGGCTGACTTATGCACGCCGGCCATTTGCCTGCTTGGAGCTCCAGCAGGCCCTGGCTATCAAAGACCAGGACAAAACCTTCGAACAGGATGCTATGATTCATGAGGATACTTTGGCCTCCGTTTGCGCTGGGCTGGTAGTTATTGAACAGGATATTATTCACTTTGTTCATTACACCACCCAGGAATATTTCGCTCAGACTAAAAGCACAGCATTTCCACAGGGCCCTCTTTAAATAGTTACGACTTGTTTGACATTCTTACTTTTCGACGAGCCGGTCAAGGACGATATGCCAGGTTTGTACACCTATATTGCTGATAACTGGGGCCACCATGCCCGAGAAAGTCCCGAAACCCCAGTACTGGTGGAAAAGATCATATCCTTCATCAACAACAAGAAAAGACTGAAAGATTGTATCCAGCACATGTCAGACTCTCAGTTCATAACCACAACAAAAGGATCTTCTCTGATGTCAAGTCTTCATATCGCTGCAATGTTTGATCTCGATATGACAATGAAGAGACTGCTGGAGCTGGATCCATCAGATGTTAATACCCAAGACAGTCAGGGGCGCACTCCCCTTTACTTTGGTGCAGCAGCTGAGGGTGGTGGAGTTGTGAACCTCCTGCTTGACCGCTCGGACGTGGATATCGATCTGGCCAGCTACTATCATGGCTCACCACTCCATAGCGCCATCGAGTCCAAGCAAGAAGGGGTCGCAAAGATTCTTCTGGAGCGCGGGGCTGACCCGGAATCGAAAGATGCAAAAGGTATACGGCCAATTCATAAGGCGATTATGTTGAGCCTAGCAGATACCTTAAGGACTCTTCTGAACAAAAAAGTGGATATCACATCGACAACAAATAGTGGGCATACGCCACTTGAGCTTGCGATGCCACAAGATAGCAAGCTCCGCCAGAAAACAACCACTGGGTTATGGCGCGACCGTGAAGTCAGTGCACATAGTGCTGATTATCCCCCCTGTCTCCAGATGCTTTTGGAATCTAGCACTGAGAGAACTATCAACGAGGGTGAGATGCTATTCCAAGCAACAAAAGACGGTCGGCCGGATATTGTCGAAATACTTCTTCATAAAGGTGCCAGGGTGTCGGATCAAAGCAAAACATTCAATCAGCGAACGCCTCTACACTGGGCTGCTGAGAAGGGATTTCAGACAATCGTGGAGCTTCTCCTCCGCTTTAAAAGCAATCCAGATATACAAGACCAACGTGGTTTTACACCACTTCATTATGCTGTAACCGCAGGTCGTGAAGATGTTGTGAAAATTCTCGTTGCCAAAATGGAAGATCTTGACATTCAAGCCAACGATGGGCTGACTTGCTATCAATGTGCACGCATCCAAGGTTATGATGCCATTACCAATATTCTTCTCCAAGCTGGGGCCAAAGACGATGATCATGAAGAAGTACCTGTAGTTGACATACAGCAGCGCCATAAGAACATTATCACTATCCGGGAAACCGGATCGACGAACCCTTGGGCAGCTGCCCGGGTGCAGAGTGGCAAATTCACCACGGAAGAAGACTACCATTTATATAAAGAGCGCTTTATTATCGCCGCAGGACAGGGTGATACTGATGCTGTACTCCTATGCCTTAGCAAAGGGGTCCATGTAGACGAACGAGACCACGAACACAGTAAAACTGCACTTCACTGGGCCGCCGAAAATGGTCATAAGGACATCTTGCAGCTACTTCTAGAATGGGGGAGCAGTATTAGCAGCCAAGATCAGTATGGAGAGACGGCTTTGCATTATGCCGCCGAAAGTGGGCACACAGAGCTTGTTCAAGCTCTGCTCAAAAAAGACCCAGACCTAACAGTGAAGGATGATCGCGGCCGCACAGCATTGCCTTGTGCCAGAGACAATTACCACCTGGAATCGGTGCAGGTCATCTTGGAATTATGGAATGGCACTAATGAAGAGACTGAAGAGAAGGATAAACAGAATAAGAGTTTGATGCACTGGGCTGCTGAGCTTGGGGATGAGAAGCTATGTCAGCAACTATGGAATTTGAACCCTGACCCAAAAACTATTGCGCCTGATCAACGAGGCTGGACTGCCATCAAGTATGCAAAATATGGTGGTTATTCTAATCTTGTGAGCTGGTTTGAGGGACTGCAGGGTTCGGTCACTACGACTAATGACAATCCGTGACTGTATTTACAGTTCCGAGAAGTTAACAGAGTTAACTTGAAACATTTGGAAGACATTACCGAGGACTCGCGGCAACCTCCTTGTCGTGCTCAAGAAAATCGGGAGGGGGAGACTTGATCACGGAGAGCTACGTTGATATTGACGGTGTGTGAAGAAATTCGTCCAATATCCAGCCAAGCATCCTATGGTATTGAGAAAGCCGCTTCAAATAAGCGTGGAATTCGGCAATTCATGGCCTCTACTTGGCTTCTTCGCTGTTAGTTATTTTGAGTATTCCTGGCTTGAAGTTTAGAGGAAGTTAAGTAAGCACCACACAGATATCATTATTTAATTGAAGTCTCTTTATGAAAGCATATGATCTATCTAGTACTCTTATTGACTGGAGATAGATCTATGGGCTGATACTCTATAAAGAGGTTTAGTGGCCCAACTATTAGGAGCCGGCATTATAGAGAATTTAGAAAGTGATATCGAAGTCGACTTAGCCGATAAGGAGTGGAGAGAATGAGATAACAGGATCGAAGAATAACAATATCGGAGGAACGAGAAAGTCGACCTAATTTATAAATGCGCGACCAGTCCAGCTTTCGTTACAGAGGGGAGCCATTTTTGGCGATATCTTAGTTGCGGGTGAAAATGAGCGACATGGCTACAGGCAGCAACTTGCCCGCCCAAAGGTAAAGATGGAAACGTGGCCGTTTCTTGTTTCAATGTAGTTTACCAATTTTAATTGACGCACGGCATTGCGAGTTCCGTGCCAATAATATATGCCAAACGACAGACAAGTAATATGATTGTATTGGGCTATCATCCTTCCTGATCAATCAACTCTCGTATTTTGCGCACCCGAACTTGTTTGATCATTGGTATAATCTCTAATGCGCGTTTAATCCCCATCGTGTCACCAATCCTTTGGAGCATTTGAATCACCCATTGGCTCACTTCTACTGGTGCACCAGCGACACTTCCAGCGACTGCCAGGGGGAATATCAGCATGAAAACCCCGTTCAGCGGTGGCAGATGTGATAAAAGCTTTGGAGGAACACCGAATCCAATAGATCCAATTTGAGTAGCTGCGCCGGCGCAAATATTTATTGCGATTCGTGAAGTTGTGTTAAGGGCTTGCTGTCGCAGCCGTAAATGCTCCAAAGTTGGTGATTTTAGCCTTGCTAAATGAAAGAGGATCATTTCGCTGACCAGTAACCGCCCCAAGAAGTAATGATTGAGAATTCGTGATGTCCAAACATCGCTATAAGCTAGATACTGGCCGTTGAATGTATGCTCTAAATTATTCGATGCTTTCATGGTAAAGAGCCATTTGTCTGTGAGTTGACTCTCCCATTGGTTTAACTCATCATCAAACAGCTGAGCGGAAGATACAATGGTAGTATGATCAAGGGTTGAATCTTGACGGACAGAAGAGTGGAGCTTCATAAAACGAATCAGGATATCGATCAGGAGAATGGCTGGCTGTTCGTAAAGGCCCGCATTCAGGATGCAGTCCGGGGACCAGTTATTTAAGTCTGTCGGGAAACTTTCCTGGACCAAGAAGTATCTGACAATAGATATAAAATGAAATTGTAGTTGGGGACCCGGATTGATGCTCCTCATTGCTTGACCGAAGCTTGCCTGTTTAAGGAGAGCTGCAACACCATCGAGATGCACGGTCCATGAGTCAATTTGGTTTGAAGTACAGCAGACCATCTATTAGATAATTAATTTTGCAAGCAAGAAATAGTGGGGCAGGCTCTCGCGCTTGCACCCCGAGCTATATTTGTTGGTCATACCTCATACAGACTTAGCATCAAGATGGTTTTGAGGGTCTCGTCAGGGTTCGCCTTTTCAGGGAACTCCACCGCACTTCGAACGAAATTGATAGACGCCACATATCTTTCCCGGGCAACCAGTAACAGAGATCGGTCTCGAGTGACATTAGACATAGCGGCTAACCCCACAGAAACAACTGCATTCCGCAGAGGCGATTGGTCAGGAAGGGTGCTCAAAAAGGGAGAGATCTCGAGTGGATACGGCACATCCTCGTCGATCCTTGCAATCGAAGTTACAAATTGATGATTGAAGAATTTCAACCCTTGGTCGTCCACGCTCGATGGTACCGTTTTGGGCAGGGTGGGAGCCAACGCCAGCTGGAGGGTTTGACTCCAATCTACAGAATCCGACTGACAGAGCCCCGCACCATGACTAGAAGAATCAGAGACGTCCTCTGACCAGTCTAGCAGCTTGCGACGTGCTTCCGATCTAGATTTAGCCACCGCAGAACGCCGGGCCGTTTTGTCATTCTCGTCACGGAACAGGAGAGCCGGGACATCGCGATAGCCACCGCACGGCTTCCCCGCCCTCTTGCATTGCGAACAGACCGGATCAAGACGGTCACACTAGAATTTTAGTATTAGATTCAGAATCATGAGATATCGAGTACACGTCCTACGCAGGAATCTAGTACTCTATCGGGCCAACGACTTGCCTTAATTCGCCTTTCCCGACAGCTCTGACAGTTTTTGCTCGGACGACCATAGAAAGGCATTGTTGTTTGGGGCCACAGGTGCGCAAGTCATCCCTGTTTTCTCAAAGTACCAAGAGGTTCAAAAGGAGTAAAAATAATCGTGGGAACCTCGAGTGATGACGAGACGTAGATAGTGTCTCGGTAGCCCAGCGAGGCTCAGCCATGTCAAGAAGTGGAGCCGCTCGCGTCTGATTGGTGATCGTCTCATACACTGATCTGGGCCGCGCCATCCCTAATGGGGTAGTTGTTTCGTGAATTTGGTAGGGTTGGATAGTGTCCGCACTACATCTGACCTGTTGCAGTTATGGTTATCTATGATCTTGATGGGTAATTTCAAGTATCTGGATGAAGATTTTGCCCCTGAAAATGAACGTTTCTCGGGATTCACGGTCCATTCCTATAGACTAGTATGCCAATATGCATAAAGGCATCCAGGGTTTGACCCTCGATGGCGTTTTGCATTCGTGATAAGCCTGACGAATTTACTACCTATATTGGTGAAGGTTTCATCCCGTATCAGAGGCCTCCGCCACTAAGAAAATTGTTGCCAAGCCTTGATTTCTCTCCCAGACCCATGCATAAATAAGTCGGACGTGATACCCCTGGGTTGTGACCCATCGTTTTTCTTTATTTCGATATCGGTTTTGAAAAGATCACCAGTTGCTGAAATCCATAAAAAATGGATCTGAAGGTCCGGTTGTTTCGAAACAATGGTAATGTCTCCTTTTATCGATACGATCCTTCCTTGGCGGTCGCCATCGTTGCAGCCGCTCTTTACAGCCTCGCCTTCATCTTCACATTTATCCAATGGATCAGATACCGCGCTTGGGTTTGGAGTATCATGGTACTAGCAGCAGCGAGTAAGTTACTGATCTTCGTTTCTTGCTTTTGAGATTTTGGTCTGAATCAATCCAGTGGAAGCAATTGGCTACATCGCTCGTTGTATATCGACGCAGAATGTGACGAAAAAATCAGTCTACGTCCTTCAATTCTCTCTTATCATACTTGCCCCAGTTCTCATGGCTGCATGCTGTTATATAATATTCAGTCGCATCCTATTTCTCATCGTCCCATCGGAGTTTCGCACATTCCGGCTATGCTGGGTTCCCCCTCGGTTTATTACTCCGCTGTTTGTCGGCTTCGACATTTTTGCTCTCTTGCTTCAGCTTAGTGGAGCTGTAATGATCTCATCAGCAAGCCCCGGTGACCCAGATGGAATTAACAAGCTAGATAAAGGCAAAGAGATTGCCCAAGCCGGCGTGATCATTCAATTGATTGCTTTCGGTCTTTTCTCGATGGCCGCAATTCGATTCAACTTCACGTCAAAGAGATTTTCAGAGAGCCTTGATGAGCGGTACACGAATGTTGGGGAAAAAGAATACATGATTGACGGCATTGTGAAAAAAAGACATTGGCCAGCTCTACTTAGAGTTGTGAATATTACTACTCTCTTGATTCTGGTGGGTGCAGCCCAAATTTGATCCCTAGCGTCAAAACTAACACGTTTGAAACCGTATAGGTTCGCTCAATATACCGATTAGTGGAGTTTACCGAAGGCTCAACTGGTTATATCAACACACACGAATGGACTATGTATGTGTTTGATGCACTGGTCATCTACCCCTGTGTTGTTCTCTTCATATATTGGCACCCGGGGGTTTATCTACCTTACCTAGGATTTCGCTTGCCAAAAAACGTTTGGTAGAGGATTGAAACGTCCAGAAGGCTCCATTTCCCTTTTTACTAGCGCCTTTAGTTCTACAGAAAGATAACTAGTTCGAAAACGAAGTCGACATACCAGAAATTTGACAAGTATTTTTCGTAAATCTTGTAGAATATATCATAGAATGAAAAAAGGCAGACATAAATATCCATCCTCATATATCCAGAAGAATAAGGAGTACTTAGAAAGGAAAAACCAGGAAGAACGAGGGGGCAATATGATGGTTGTTATTGATTGCTCCTAACGACCCTCAGGGTTCCAATACCCGAGAAGACTTTCAAGTATACGTAGACACCCTGCCATATAAGTATCAAAATGACTTGGGTCTCGATATTTCAAAGAGATCACATATCAGATCTTTCAAGGGTTCAGATTTAGCTTTCTATATATCATGTTGCAAAATGGCGATGTCAGTTTGGGGTTAGTTCCCCTAGGAGCTAAGCTCGTAACGTCAAAAGTAGCGCAAGTTGGCCACAACTCATTTTATCAAGAGAGTGAGATTATTTGCCATATTTAACTCTCATGCTACCGTTGGGGCTCACTGTGGTTTAAATATGCTTCGGGCGAGAGGGGTTAAGGGTTACAGCACGTGGCCGCTAACGCGCAATTTTATGCAGCTGGATTACCTTGCTTCCTGTGAATCTGTTCAAGCTTCATTCTTAAAACCCCTTTTTCCAGCCGTACTGATCCGGGCATATAAATTATATCGCTGGCAATGTAAAAAATAGAATATGAATGTAAGATTTCAACAGAATCAGGCGGTCAGCCGCTGACCCCTTACACCTAATACCTGACAGCAGTTCTTGTTCATCGGGAGCGGAATTTTTTTCCCGAGGTTCACTTTTTACTGAAATTTTAGGGCGAACCTCATTTTTGACCTTAGTCTCTCTTAGTCCCCGATCAGGCAGATGTTATCCTTGGTTCTCGGCGGAGATTCTTGATCTTCTTACTTTCAATGTGGATCCTTGCAACGTGGTGCCCCGATGCGATCCACATTCACCAATACTGAAAATTCCAAGACGGATAAATTTCCCGATATGGTACTCACCGAGGGCCGAAATATAAGGGCTCGTTTCACTTGACCCAATTCCTGCTACTGGGAGAAAGCAAATTGGTGCATTAGATTGGTCTGGTGGAGTTGAGATAAAACCACTCGACGCCATCGTGGAAAATAGATAACCTTATGCTGTATTGTACAAGATTCCAGACCGTCCTATGCGAGACATTACTCCACGCTGCTCAACAGGGATCTTAATACCGATGCCGAAACAAAAGCAGACGCTGCCCCGGAGAGAGCTTGATCTCTCTTCAATACTTTTGGAAGATATTCTTGGGTTCGTCTACGGCCACAATGAGATCCCATTTCTACTTGTTAATTATCCCGGCTCTGCTGGCAATCGGACTACGAGCTGCAGGTTTTGAAACAACCGAATTTCCATCTTGTGCTGTGTGTAATATGAAAAAAGATTGATTTTAGGATCTCACTAACTGATTATCGCTCAACAGGTTAGCTGTGAGAAAGAATTGTTCCCCGGATGTTCACTCAACAATAGCTCTTGCTTCTGCTCTACCAGCACATATCCCTCTGCTCTCTTGGACTGCGCCTCGGTAAACTGCACAACGAAGGAGTATTTCAGTGCGTTTCACCTATGTTAGATCGGCAACAGATGAGACTGACTACTATAGCCACGAGACGATTGTATGAAAAAGAATGTGACATCATCTCGGTTCAAGGCCCTCCGACGATCAGCGCGTCAACCTTGGTGCCTCTCATCCTTGCGTCGTTTTTCTTTGTTGCTAGGATCATTGCGAAGGCCAGTGGTCTTGCTGGAGGCTGGGGATGGGATGACTACACTATCATACTTTCATACGTGAGTCGTATTGGCTGATGCTCATAGACAATATGCAATTTGCAAGTGGAAATACTTACGGATTTCCAGATCCTTGGTGTCGCTATCTATGTCATGAATATATACCGTAGGTCGCAATGCTCAGATATACCAGTTGAGACCAAGGATTCCAGACTAATTAACCAGTTGTTCGCTTTGGATTTGGTCAAAACATCTGGGACCTCCCATTCCACACGATCACAAAATTCTACCAAGTTTGACTCCCCTCTTTTTCTGTGGCTCTAGTGTTTGATCGAATTGCTAATAAAACCAGTATTTTCAAGGTCTCGCAGTGATGTACAAGATCCAAATCTCCCTAGCCAAAATATCTGTCTGCCTTTTTCTGCTTCGAATCTTTCAAAGTCGCACGTTTCGCTATATTGCATACTCTTTGGTCGGTGTCAACGCCATTATCGGAATCACCTTTGCCTTTGTCGATGGCTTTCGTTGCGTACCGCTCCATTTAACATGGACCGGCTGGGCAAACGAGGAGTCGGGAAAGTGTATCAATTTCATCATTGCGATTTTGGTCAACTGTTTGGTTAATATCTTTGTCGACTCGATCATGATTATGATGCCGGTGTGGGAAGTGGCCAAGCTACAGTTGCCATTGAAAAAGAAACTTGCCGTTGCATTGATGTTTGCCGTGGGTTCGGTGTATGAAAATTATCTCTTGCTTCTCGTGCACATTCATTCCAGAAGAAATATTCTAACTAATCTGACAGTCTAACTATCATTGCCATCATCCGAGTTATTGTTTTCTGGAAAAACCGCTGGGGAATAAACCAGACTCTGGGTCTTTACCCTCTCATCCACTGGTCAGTGATTGAGACACAAATCGCCGTAATGTGCGCTTGTCTTCCTGCATTCAGAGCGCTCATTGGCCATTGGTTTCCCGGGTTGCTTGGAGGCTCGTCTAGCCGAACTTATGCATCACACACAAAGGAGGGCTATAGAAGGCAGGTCGGCGGAGATAGTAATATCAATAAGTCGGTTAGCTACTCGGTACGATACGGCCCACGATCGGACACGAATAGTGTGGTTGAGTTAGTAGATATGAATTTGAAGTATCCCGCTCATGATAGATCTAATATATAGGAAGGGCGATGGAGTCAAAGGAATCAATTTTCATGAGTATACGAGTTCATCCAGCGATAGTCTCTTTTTACAGATTTGATTTACTCACAAACTATATTCGAGAGACATACTATGTCCTAGGTCATGGTCACAGGCGTAGCAAAGTCCATGCCGGCTTAGATGGAGTAATAAGATGTTGTACATTTCAGATAAGATGAAAAAGGAACAAATACATTGGGGCTGGTATCCGCCACCAAAGCTGAATGCCGGCGGTAAATGCGATGCTCATTCCTCTAATTCCAGCTCCGGATACTCTGGGAGCTGCCAGGTTTCCTTCTCATCCTTCATCAGGGCATTGACTAGCCTATCTATCTTAAGCTTCGACAGAATTGCCAGGGCAAAGTAAGATAAATTTAACCCGAGCTTGGAACGAAAGATAGCGAGATTCATGGGAGGAAGTTGCTGAACTTTTTCCACGTAAGGTCGTAACACCGTTTCATAAGATTCTAGCGCTGCGCCGACGTTGTCTCCGTGTCTCGCAAGTTCGCCCGCAAGCACGTATGCCCCGACGAGTGCCGCCGTGGTTCCAAGCCCAGTCAAAACACTTGGGCAGTATCCGGCATCGCCCAGCAGAACGACTCGCCCTTTGGACCATGTGTCCACTTTGACCTGAGCAACTGAGGTGGAATAGAAGTCATCAGTAGTCCACATCTCGGCAAGTACTCGTTTGCTTTCCCATCCGAAATCCTTGAATAACGTTTCCCATAGGTCTTTCTGTTTCTCAACCGGCTGTTTAAGCATCTCCTTTAACTCCTCTGTAGTGGATACTGTAAGCATGGCTTGTGTAAAGTCCTTGTGCGCGCATCGCAGCGACAGCACCTTGAGCCCAGGTAGAAGACAGCTTTTGAACAAGGAACTGTTGATCTCTTCCTCTGATTTTGGCATATGGAAGTATGCAACCGAGTAGCCCGTATACCTGAGCGTGGAATCGCAGTCTTTCTTGGGCTCCCATAGGATACGCCGTGTCAAGGAGTTCTGGCCATCCGCACCGACAACAAGATCGTATTCGTCCGAAGAGCCGTCTGAGAATACGACATTGACCCCAGAGTCAAGCTGCGTAAGCTCAATTGCATACTTTCCGAAAAGGTACCGCAGCCTCTGTGACTCTTTTCCTAGGGTTTTTGTAGTGATCGCTTTGCTCCCTTCATATAACACCGCTACCAGGTCCGCCCTCATGATCTCATATTCGCTCGTCACTCCTTTGTATCCTTTACCGGCTTCATTGACGCTGAATCTCGCCCACTCTCTGCCTTTTGTGTCAACAAAAGTGAAAGCTGTCTCGTGTATGCTCCTTGCTCGGACCGCATCGATCAGTCCCAGCCTCTTCACCAGCGGGGCACCATATGACTTCAAATCAAGCTGGGTTCCACCGGTACGGAATTCGGATGCTCTCTCGACTATAGTGATGTCGTGACCTTGTCTGGACCGCACGAGGAAATTGGCGAGGGCTGTGCCGGCGATGCCAGCCCCATTGATAAGAATTTTAAGAGGCATTGCGGAAGAGAAATGAGCAGGGGCGTTGGATGAGACAACTAATTTCTTCTCATTTGAAAATTTAATTATTTGAATCTTAATACCATCAATTACGAGACGCCTTGCCGTTGTGGTGCTCTTTAAACACCCGCCAACGGACGTATGCGAGCGCGGAGCTAGCGACGGACGTAAGCATCAGGGGACTTGGAGCGGCTCTAAGTGGAACGGGTGTAACAAACCCATATAGTAACGGACCTAACCGGTCCTGTATGCGCATTAAAAAAAAACATTTGTAAAAATCGCAGAACAATACTAATGGTACTTTAGTCTAATTTAAGTTCTATAATTTCGTCCTGCATTACTCGGTTTGGCTGTGTATTACTGATGTTCCCACCCTTGGGCCTACTATTGGCCTCCTACTCAACCATGTGATAACAATAGCATATCCGAATGCCTAGCAGGCTACGAAAGCCCCAGATCAGGCAGAAAGAATTCCATGTCAAGGTCCCAAAGCGAGTTTTCGGTCACCGCATCCAAAGTTGAGGACATGACGCCCGCGTCGTCGTAATACGGCCTGGGCTCAGCGCCGACTTGTGTCTGCAGCAGATCATGACATAACTGAAGACTATCCCTTGCCCCTTTCGCAATCATGAGCTCACATGGCAAGCCTTCTTCCGTAGCTTCGGTTTGTGCCAATATCATACTCAGAAACATGTGAATCTTGACATTGGTGTCGCCTTGGTACATCCTCGCCACCGCCAAAGAGATCATATCCCTCACGACTTGCTTGAGAAGCTCTCGGTGCTGGGCTTTGCGATGGAGCGTCCCCTCTCGATGCTGCACTGAGACTTGCGAAAGAATCTCGCGGCCGATGATAGATGTTGCATACCAGAATCCCTCGCGAAACAGCCCCCTCCGGTAGCCATGATTCGTGAGAAGCCGTCATCTGGTTCGGGGGAGACGATGGCCATAGCAACGTCTAGGTTAACTTTGAGAGAATAGTAGAACAATGGGTTTGCCTGCGCCTTGCTGGCAAATAAACAGTGTAGGGGGATTAGAAATCGGCGAACGAAATAATCGATCAGATTCCTGTGGAATGGGGTCATGCCAGAGTTGATGTTCTCTTGGCCAAATTTCCTGTATGCGCAATATGAATCAGTCAGTTCTGAACTCAGTAAGAGCACGTCTTGGTAAGATAGTTCCGCTTTTAAGCTGCTGAGCAGCTGAAGAATGCGAAGGCGTGTCGGTATCGAGTCGAGGAGGATAAGCTGTATTGAGGAAGTAGTGTAGATGCTTCTCGGATGGGCCACCAGCTCGATAGTCGACTCATCAATCTCATCGTCGTTGTAGTTTGAAGGTGCTTCGGTATCAAAATGGTTTAAGGAGATTATGGGCGTCATCGCCGAGTCTAGGGACGACTGCATTGCCATCTCGAGCACAGTAGCCCATAACCGCCTTCGGAGTTCAGCCTTTAATAACGACATCGCTGGGAGGTGTTTGGGATCGCGATGAAGCCCTATCTGCATGGCCATATGAATTAACGACCCCATCGATACCCAAACTAGGTCGCCGCCAATTGAGAAGATCTGCCGTGCAAGGATCACCAAGCAGTAGACCTGGAGCCCACTGATGTCCAGGCGATCTTTCTCCAGTGGACCGGAAAGCCATGCCTGAGCAGCATGAACCCATTGCTGTACCTTTTGTCGTAGATCCATGGTGGCATCCCCATGATCATGTAGGCTTGACCCTATGCTGATTACCAGGAGGATCTTGAGACACTGACTAGCTGTGGCACTCTCTGGGTTGTCCCAGTATCTCTGGTACTCGGACCGAAACGAAGGCACGTGAATTATCCGATACACCGACTCGAAAGAGGTACAGTAGAGATCGACCATGGTGTCTGCCAGCTCCCGAGAGGGGGGGCGAAGATCCAAGCCAGCTCCTCCGAGAGACTTGCTTGGTCGCCCTTTCTTGAGACGGGTTGCGAACACTTTAGACTTTCGCAGGAGATCCCCAATTTCTTCAAGCAGAGGCTCAATCTCAGGCCCGTGGAAGGAGTTCGGCTTGTCGTCGTCGTCTGTTTCCCCGTGGCTAGCAAAGAGGCCGCCGCCAGCTGCAGAATAGCAAGCCATTATAAGGTCAAACTGAAGTAGAAGTCAGGGAGTGCAAAGTAGCAGAAGGACGTAACACTAAGCCATACCTCATCAACCATACCCACCCAGTAGCTCCATTTTAAGGTCCTTGTCTTGTAGAGACTGACCCGTGGATCTTGACGTACCGGCTGGCGATCAATCAATTCTCCTCCAGGATCAGAGTGCGCAGGTACGGGACTTGTTGCCAGAGAATTCTCGAGATGCTGAATCCGTCGTAAAAGAGCATGTACTCTTGGCTGCTCATCTTCGGCACGGTTGGTTGGTGGAGCCTGAGCTATGGTGGCCTCTGTTTGCCCCGCGGGTGCTGGTGCTAGTGTGGACTGATATATCCGCTCTGGCGATGAGAGGCCTGGACGGCACTCGGCCCTTTTCGTTTACTATTCGATGTGTGCAAGGCTGTCGACTTTGGGCACGGGAGAATGGGGTATTAACTGATGACGAGCCTGCTGCCCGGCCTTTCAAACTGCTTTGGACGGGCTGCGGCTGGCTAGAGGTCTCAGGCGCATCCCGAAAGACCTTGTGCACACACTGGATCGCGACGGAGACGCAATGTGAGCAAGGATCTTTCCGATCGCACTTTATCTTTCGTCGCCTGCATTCCAGGCACGAGAATGCCGGTCTTCGGCGCCGGCGAGGTCTCTCCATTCGTGGAGCGCTGGACCTTAAAGAAGCGGACCAAGACGGCGCTGCTCTCGGCCGTAAGAAATCAGACGTTTAGTGCCGTAGGTGCGCTTGGCGAGCTTAGTGGGCGTCTGGCAGTCCAATCTAAATCCTGCAGTGTTAATCCTCCTAGTAATCCGATCTAGTTTTCAGATAGGCGGGCCCCGGTGGACGCCTGTATAGGAATCTAAAGCGCGTGCCTACCGAATCGGAGCAATTATAATTCCGGATTCCTATATACGCTTGATGTCCGGGGACCAGCCCAAAGAGGACAAAATTTGATCTGCCACTGCGGCCTTAAAATTTCTCTAAGATGTGTTCGGTGATCCTATTTGGATCCACTCGAGAAGAGTACATACGCAAAGAGTCCAAGTTTAGCTGGCCGTACATACAGTATTGACAACATATTGCCTGTACAGTCGTTTCTGTGAGGGTCTCAGCCACCTAACACACTGCTCACAATCCGGGATAGGAGAAAATTGGGCACTCATCTCGGTTCTGAGTGATCGGATTCAAATGAACAAACAACATCAGCCACCGTTTGAAATGTCTGCTTCGCAGACCGAGTCCATATGGGCTGAAACCGAATGCAAACGGAGAGTTCTAGGCTTTGCAAGCCGACGGCCAGCACCTCAATCAGATGAGTGTCTTTTCCCAGAATTATACTAGCCTTTTTGTTCTCTTCCTCCATAGGAATCATGATCCTTGGACTTGTCCAAATGGGCCTTGTTATTGCGAATTGTATCGACTGCCAGGTTAGAAGAAGTAACGGGGACTCTAAAGATGGAGGGATCATCGAGTGATATGATCAGTTGCATTGTGGGCGAATACAGAGACAGAGAGAAATATCCATATGGATATAGCATATAGCATGACCTAGACGGACGAGACTTCGTCTATGTTGTATGCTGTACTGGGCGGTCCGGTAGTCAATTGCTAAACTTGCAGCTTCAACGTCTACTTTATAATAGATTTATTCCAACTACCCAAACTCTAAACTATACTTACCAACCTGAACGGGTTTCCCCTCATGTGCAAAGAGAATGAATTTTGGGCCTATTTGTGGATAATTCTTCTGCTCATTTAAGGCCAGATCGCGCCCGCGCCCCTCCACGTTGCAAGGGATCGACCCTGAATCTGTCCGTGTTCCACGACATGACTAGTTAAGAGCCGTCTACTCCGCTAGATTTGATGTATTAAACAAATGGAAAGAGCCCTATGAGCCTGAAATTCGGATTCAAAGAAGCAAAAGGACGGCCAGAAACCAAATGAAAAAAAGCCCCCCAAAACTTACGGTATGTCATTGATCCAAATATAGCGGGCGGTACCTGAAGCCCGTGTGGGTCTTCCCGACCTGGCGGCTTGCGATCTTGCGGACTGCCATCTGCCCATCTTCATCTCTCCTTCCCGCCCTCTTTTCCCCTCCATCCCTCCACAACTTTGTCTCCCTCTCCCTGAACTGCCGTCAACCGTCACCAGGGAATTGCCTACGGGATTCTATTGACGCTGGACGGAACATCATGACCGACGCCCTGTAGAGCCAGCACAAGCGCGAAAGCTCTCGAAATTGCGAGACCAACCATGGAGGGACTTTTCACTTTGCTCGCGTTGAGCATTGTGATGGCCGTTACGTGAGATATCTCCCCTCAAACTGGATGGTCTAAAGGGTGCAAGGGTACAATGATATGAGCATGATCAGAACTGACATCCATCCCTCGCTTTTGGCCATAGGTCCTTCGTCGTCGGCTCATTACCTCTAGCCTTTACACTGTCGCCTTCCCAACTGCGTTTAATATCATCGATTGGTATGGGAGTTCTGGTGGGAACATCCTTGATTGTTATTATACCGGAGGGCATTGAGACCCTTTATAGTGCCAGTTCCGTCAGTCGGAAGAGTCTCAGCACCCGAACAACCCACTTCGAATTGCAACCCCAAGGGGCCACCATACCCGAACTCAATGAGAGGGGCGATACGTCAATAGCCCCGTCAGATACGCCCGTTGCATTCCTATCTCTTGATAGTGAGCAAATTGCTCCTCGTCCCGGTCAGGGCCTAGTGTCGGACGAATCACATCTGCGAGTTACTCGAAACGAGGATGCCACAAGCGAGAAGCAAAAGGAAGAGGCAGACGAAGAGGGCTCACCACATGCCTGGATTGGTATCGCGCTCATTAGCGGCTTTGTTTTGATGTATCTCATCGACAAGGTGCCCGAACTCGCATCCCCGAGCAAAACCGAACGCCAACCTTATCACATCTCCCTCGATAACCTTGGCTCGGGGCTGCGGCGCAACTCTTCCCCCATGCGCAACGGCGGCCTTCTCGATGCGGGCAACTCTAGTTCTCGACGCGGACACAGCTTCGCGACCACGACCGGCCTGGTGATTCACGCGGCGGCAGATGGCATTGCGCTGGGCGCTTCCAGCTCCGACACTGGGCTTAGCTTCATCATTTTCCTTGCCATTATGGTCCACAAGGCCCCGGCGTCTTTTGGGCTGACGTCGATTTTGCTCAAGCAAGGGCTGTCTAGCCGGACAGCGAGGGCGCATTTGTTGGTCTTCAGTCTGGCGGCCCCGGTTGGCGCGCTGGCTACTTTTCTGTTTGCACATATGGTGGGATCCTCCGGTGGCGACGAGGCTGGCTCTCAGTGGCGGACTGGAATGCTCCTCCTGTTCTCCGGGGGCACGTTCTTGTAAGTGTTTAACTCCCCGCTTGTCCGCTGCTTATGACCTTCTTTCTGTCTTCTTTACCTTTTTTGGGCTCTTTCTAACTGAATTGTTCGAACAATCCAGATATGTTGCAATGCATACCATGCAGGAGAACGGACCCGGTTCGTCTACGCGGGAGGCATCCGTGAATGGCTACGGTGATTCTCGGGACTCGCCCAGTGGTACGGAGAAGCCGATGCGGGACTTGATCGCATCTGTCCTGGGCATGATCCTCCCTCTATTCTTACAGATTGGGCATGCGCATTGAAGTGGGACTTGGCTATCTTCTTCCTTTCTCTTGCAGTGCGGCTAGCTATCATAGTTAGTATGGCATGGCCACCTTCTATTGATGGGATGCATGGGTCGATGATCATGCGTTTCCTTTTCTCTTTCGCTTCGCAACGTGATGGATCTCGGGAGCATATACCCCTTGTTTGGCATCTGTTGCAAGATACACTTTGGAAGATCCACGCTTGAAGTTTGCATTTTGGTACTTTTTGTTCATTCCATTCCTCGTTTCTGATCTCCTTCGACTTATATTGTCTCTTTTATTATTTTCCTCCTCTCCTATCCACTCTCCCGCTCGACCTACAGGACGAGACGGGAGGCATCCTTGAAATGTGCTACTAGGTGTTTCTTCTTTTCTACTCCGTAAAATTGGGCATGGGAATGGGGGGGCGGGGGGGTCATAATTGCATGTCCGTTCTCACGATCACATCGACGTAGCGTGACGTTTCCAAGATCCATACAGTCATAACTAGGGTAAGTCGGGCAGAACGCACGGCTTATAAAGGGGGACCAGATTACCTCCGTCGCCCAGTGCGTGCATTTTTTTTCCTATTATCTTTTTTTCGGTCAACATTCCTCGCTCATGTTTTAATCACCCTCAGTCGGGTGATGAAAGCATTCGTCAGTCTCGTCAGTCTGAATCATTCTTGTCCGAGGGCTGGTCCCATGGTCCGCCGGTAGCGTGCCGGTCGGGCCAACCCACGGAGTCGGGTTGTCTTTATCAGCGCCGAAAGTATATTCTATCTCATTCGAGACTAGGGGGCAGCAAATCCGAGAGAAAGGCACTGTCTCACGGAGTTGATCTCGTTCTCCGTCGCGTTCCATCCTCCGTGGCTCCGCTTGACAATATCGGAGAAGGGAGCAGAGAGTCCCATCGGGAATCGGATAGGCTCGCGCGCGCTTGGAAAACGTGGATCAACTGGGTCGGCGGCAGGCGACGATTGGGGCCGCTTTGCCCCCCCGGATCTGGACAGCGCCCTTCAGGGTTCGCGATCAGAGCGGTCCGCGATTTCCTCCTGGTTGTTGGTCGCCTCCTGCTTGCCTCGTTGCCTTTGCCGGTTTGCCAGTGTGTCTCGGCAAGGGACGTCGAGGCCCGATCACTGAGGGCAGTGGAGCCCGATCAGGTTTGTAGTAGAACAGAATGCGAAGTGTTTCATTTGCAACGGAGTGGAGCCACGGGAACTGGGCAACCTTCGGGCTCTTGTTGGTGCTTTGTCAGAGTCTGGGCCAGTCACGACATCGTTCTTTTTTTTTTCTGCCATAAGTACCAGAGATACTCCTGAGGCTGGAGGAGGATTTGACAAGAGAGATCATTGGCATAGAGCGCCAGGCAGAGCGAGGTGTATCTTGAGTGCGCGAGAGAGCAAAGACGAGTCGTTCAAGGAAGTCGAGCGTGACCTCGTGGATCCGGGGCAGGTCGTTCGCCAGCTGACTCTCTCGACCGCCCTTGAATTTCCCTGGGATTTCCGGCCCTCCACCTCCTCATCATCACCACCTCCTCCACGTCTTCCGCCCCCTCCACGTCCTTCTCCTTCACCTCGCCCCCTCCAATCATATAGATTCTGCTTTGTGCCCCTATCGCACCGCCGGTGCACCAGAATCGACCGTCTCGTGAGAAGACGACGACCAACCTCCCTCTCCCCAGTGATTATATAAGGGAAATCGGGTTCCTCCCGGGGTCGTACCGCTCTTCCTCCGCGATGGACTCGGATCCAGCACTCAGCGACCTGGCGGACGGCCCGATGGGTTCCCAACCGATGTCCGAGCAGCTGGACTCGCATTCGCAGGCCTCGACCCGCGACTCCATCTCCAGCTTTAGCAGCACCCCCGCCCGCTCCCTCGGCGCCAGCAAGAAAGCTGTCACCCCGATACCCGCCAACCTCCTCCCGTCCGCGCCCGCCTCACCCCCAACCCCAGCGCCTAGTCCCACGCCGCATCAGCGTCCACCCAACTGGCATTCATCTGATGAGGAGGAAAATACGTTCCTGCTGAACTTGCGCATCCACTTTAGTACCCTATCCAACGCCCGCAAGCAGAAACTCCTCGAGGGTCTTCTCGATGTATGCGACAATCAGCAGTTGAGCTTCGTTTCTAGTTATGTGGGGCCCCGTTTACGAAAGGATCCGTTTCAAGTTTGTCCGAATGAGTTGTGTTTGAGGGTGAGTGCGCATCCCAGGAAAGAGAGAGACGGGAGAGAGAAGAGCCGAGAAAACAAAAGGCGGTTTCGAAGAATCTCTGAAGCCCCGTGAAGCCGACTTTCCTAACTGACTTGATTCTTCTTGCATTCTGTCTAGATTCTGTCCTTCATTGATGATCCGAAGACTCTCGCCCGAGCATCGCAAGTTTCAAGACGCTGGCGCGAACTGCTCAACGACGACATCACCTGGAAGAACCTCTGCGAAAAACATGCCTACTCGGTGCGGCGCATCTCAGAGGACGACGATCTTGACCCGTTCACCGCTCGTTCCGTCGAGTCGGACCCCTGCTCAACTCCTAGCTCGCGCGATTCAACTAACCTTCAGCGACGGCTCACTGCGTCCACTGAGTTAACTGCTGTTGAAAGCGCCCCTGGATTACCCCGCACGCTCTCAGGAGAATGGTTGCCGCCGACCAGCTTCCCATCCCGCCGACGTCGTACCCGACCAGTCTCATACCGCTCGCAGTTTAAACAAAAGTATATGGTGGAGTCTGCCTGGAACAAAGGTGGCAGGTGCACACAGCGCCATATCACCCCGGACCAGGGGGTGGTGACCAGCCTGCACCTAACGTCGAAATATATCGTAGTTGCCCTAGACAATGCCAAGATCCATGTATACGACACCAACGGCGACAACCAAAAGACACTCCAGGGGCACGTGATGGGAGTATGGGCCATGGTTCCTTGGGATGACATTTTGGTCAGCGGAGGTTGCGATCGAGAAGTGCGGGTCTGGAACATGGCAACAGGGTAAGTTTAGCAATCATGCAAGGTTTGGGCCTTGACCAAAGTGAGACGCTGATGCGTTAGATTTAGATCTGGGATCCATTTACTACGCGGTCACACCTCCACGGTCCGATGTCTCAAAATGTCGGATCGGAATACCGCCATCTCGGGTTCTCGGGATACCACACTCCGCATCTGGGATTTAACAACAGGGACATGTCGGAATGTGCTGGTTGGGCATCAGGCCAGCGTGCGCTGTTTGGCCATTCATGGTGACCTGGTGGTCTCCGGCAGTTACGATACGACCGCCCGGATATGGAGCATTTCGCAAGGTCGCTGTCTGCGAACCCTGTCTGGCCATTTCAGCCAGATCTACGCCATCGCTTTTGACGGGCGGCGCATTGCCACTGGCAGTTTGGATACGAGCGTCCGCATCTGGGATCCACATTCTGGCCAGTGCCATGCAATTTTACAAGGCCACACGTCCCTGGTTGGACAACTCCAGATGCGCGGCGATACGTTGGTTACGGGTGGCTCGGACGGTTCGGTCCGCGTATGGTCCCTCACGAAAATGGCGCCCATTCATCGGCTGGCTGCCCATGACAATAGTGTGACTAGCCTACAGTTTGATAATACCCGCATCGTCAGCGGCGGTAGTGACGGTCGTGTTAAGGTGTGGAATTTGCAGACTGGCCAGCTTCTCCGTGAACTGTCAAGCCCCGCAGAGGCAGTTTGGCGAGTGGCTTTCGAAGAAGAAAAAGCTGTTATCATGGCTAGCCGGTCCGGCCGCACTGTCATGGAAGTATGTCTAGATCTTACCATCCTGTCACTTTTCATTTTGCTAACCCTGCTTCGTCAGGTCTGGTCATTCTCTCCACCGCCAGAAGACACTGAAGGTGGCCCTGTTGCTACCATAGAAAGCGCCTCCAGCACACCAGGTTTGGGCTCTACGGATAACAACGACCTGACCGTCACCCCACGGCGTCGTACTCTCTTCTCCGATCCCCCACCGACAATATCCTCGGTCAGCGCTACCGACAGCGACCAACCCATGCCGGACGCGCCCTCATAAATCCAGCGACCCATGAAAGTTCTTCTTGTCTCGTTTAAATATAGCCTGCGATCTACCTAACGACTACGGATATCCCATGACTTTATCATTTCCCCCGCCATCCAGCGCCAAGGGACACACTTTTGTCCCGTTTCTTTTTTTTCAGCATTATTATCGTCCTTCCCTTCTATTACCTGCTGTGTGTTCTTGGGCTGAGCGAAGCGGCGCTTTGCCGCCCATATCTGCCATATCTTGAGCTGTACCTTTCCAAAAGACACCGAGCAATTGCATCTTTGGTGTTGCACATTTTGTTGGACATCGTCCCTGTTTTCTTTTGTTAGCACTGGAGAACCTGTTGGTCATCTCCGTGGAGTTTTATTGTTGCGGGGCGGCGGCCACTTGTCAGCCAGTCCCGGAACCGCCTTTGATCTTAGGTCATGATTTATTAACTATATCTCCCAGCTCATGCGCTGTATCTCATCTCGGAGTTTATTCATCCTTTTCATCTTTATTATCTCTCATGACGGATCCGGTGGCGATACCTTGGGCTGTTTTATAATCTCTTTTTTATTACTATTTATATCTACCGGATGGATCTAAATGAACGATTGTCAGAACATTGAAAGGGAAAAGAGAACATCGTATTCCTAAACTCCAATATTTGGTCTTGATGACCGACTAAGACTTGGTTCCGATCAAGTGCTCGCAGCAAAAGCTGCACGAGATCTGCAGTCTACAAATGATAGCGGAATTCCAACCTTTGCCAATCAGTTTTCTCCGTCTCATCAGTCAAGCCAGCAATAGGGTCCTCTGCAGGCACTCCGGAGTTCTCAATATGATGACTTTCAGGATCTATCTCAACCCCTTACTGTCGATTCCTTCTCTTGTTCGCGTAGTCGAGGTAGAATCTGTAACCTGCCAAGATTACCAGTTGCAATACGAGAAGTAACTAGCATCGAAGTGAAGACAGTCTGGATTGACATCAGTAAAGTGCAATGAGACTTTTTCAGAACTTCACGAACTGGTGATTGCAAAACCTCAACGAATCATCTTCGATATAGCCTAACACAATGCGAGAGTAAAAAGATAATCTTCATTTTGTCGGACAAACCAACCAACATACCTTGTTCGTTTACTTTGTCTTATTTTACTTATTTTACCAGAATATACTAGGTCTGCATTACGATCTTTTATCATAGGGCTTCTCTTAGTATCACCCTTATCTTGCGTGACTGAGCTGACTGCAGAGCACTTCAATCTCGACTGAACCAAGGTGACATAAGAAGCATCAAATTTTGAGATCTCAACAAGTATCAAGGTCAATCCCCCTTGACCAATAGCTACCATATCAATGCAACCATCAAACCATCTTAGCAACACTTCTTATTAGAAGAGCATCCGTTAAGGACCTCCGGTGCTTGCGTGGTATCCAAACGACAGAAACATGATGCCTTGATTGGAATATCTGCTGCAGCAAGGGCCAACTTGGTTGATTGTTCAATCATGAGTGCTTTCTCCGTCTCTCCGAGTCGAATAAGACATTCATGATACCCTTGAAGAGACCAGACGTTGTTAGGATGACGGCGAGGTCGAATCACAGATTTGTCCAGGCCGAGATCCGCGCGGTATATTTTCGCCGCTTCTTCTAGATGCCCTTGCTCCATCATCAACGCGGCATATGCATGGCGAACAGGCTGCATCCATGACCAAGGCTCGCTATATGGTAGCTTATCTTCAAGTTCAATTGCAAGGCGAAGATGCCCGAATGCTTTGTCGTAATTTGCACAACGGTACTCAATTTCGCCGTCCAGCATTGAAGCGCCAACTTTGAGAACATCCACAATCTTGCCGTTATAGGCGCGGCGCGTTTCCGGGACTCGAGACCAAGCCTGGAGAAAGAGCTCTTGTTCTTTCCGGGCGGTGGGAATGTCACCAGTGGCCGCAAAAGCGATGCCCCTTGCGTAATGAGCGGTGGCCGTTGTACCTGCATACAGCTCCTTATCGTGTGGTAGTTCCTTCTGCTTGAGTTCCTCCCACATGCCGAATCGCACCATTACATGTAAACGAATTCCCATAAACTGCTCCAGCCAGTCTGCCATTGGAGGGGATTGGATGCGAAGGACTTCTTCGGGAACTGTGTTTTCCATCCGAGTGACCGCATCAAGGGCAGCCTTTGATCTGCCTGCGAACATTGACGCATAAATCAAGGAGTGATAGTCATGGAGGCGGTAGAAGGTGTAGAAGTTTTTCCCACCAGACTTGTGAAAATATTTATCATCTGCCAAAGTAGACTTATAGTTGGAATCCATAGATCGTCTCCAATCACCAACCAAAATGTCTAGGTGGGTGGGCATATGTTGAACATGGCCAGCATCTGGTACAAGGTTTCGTAATTTGTCGGCAGCGTTGATACCCATTTCCGGATCTGGGGACATTTCAATAAAGTGAATATACAGGTGAAGCAATCCAGGATTATAATCTGCGCCATCTTGCGCTAACGCCTTTTCAAGAACAGCCTGCGCCTCCAGGGTCGGAGCCTTGGGGTTTGGTTTTCCAGTGAAGAGATCCCACAAGGCCCAAGGAGTCATATTCATCAGTGCATCCGCGTAGATTGTCGCAACATTCAGATCATCCCCAAATTTCTCATACGCAACTTTCATGGCATCGGCATAGCCTTTGTTGAGAGCCGGGTAATCCTTAGCAGGCTGGTTGGTGAGGAAGCGGAATTGGATCGCCTCAACCAGAGCTTGTTCGAGAGGGGTTGCATTCGCAGCATGCTCCTTGGCCTTTTGCACTGCATCATATCCTCTTTGTACAGAGGTGTGTAGGTCACCTAGATCGAACTTTTCCCATGGCTTATTGTAATTTGGGCCAACAGCGTACGCAAGACCCCAGTACGCCATCGCGCAGGCAGGGTCATGCGCTATAGCCTGTTCGAAACAATAAGCACCTTCGACATGATTGAAGGAATACACCCAAGTTAGACCTCGGTTAAACCAAATCTGTGCATCAGTGTTGGTGGTGGTAATAAGGTGGCCAAATGAGCCAAGATCGTAGTACTCAGCGCTGGCCGGAACGGGGGAGGCCATCTCTCAAGTCACGAATGAGACCCTTCACAAGAACGCTCAAATTATCATTTAGGTAAAAGATCAACTCCACGAGGTTAATTATTCATGATATACCATGATAGAGCTTATATAGTGCCGATTGCCGATTGTGTGGCGTGAAATAGTGGGCCGCGGAAAAGTCGCCGATGGCACCACACCTTGACTCATCAGTCCATCAAACCCCGAAACCGGTAAGGCGGTACAATCCCCGAGTCGCCGTCGATGAACGGAATCAGTTTATTTGATTAATCGCGCGAGAGGCTTCAAAGATGGAAACACGAGACCTTGTGATAGGTAAAGAATATTACTTTGGGGGCCAATTCTAATCTTATAAGGGCGTGTAGTTCAATCTATTGTTCTCTAGACTATCACGATGGTCTCAAACAGGTCTCAAACACACTAAACAAGATTGCCCTAGTCCGTGGATGTCGGAAGAACACATCGGGGTTTTTGGATCATGCATCCGTTGTTATTATGTAGAAAATGCTGAGAACAAGAGAATATTGATGTTGATTGGCTTCTGCAGGAACAAACATAATCATTTTTATCGCATATTATGTCTCTAAATGAACAAATGCTAACATTTGATTAATGGCATGAAATGTTGTGTGAGCAGTTAGGTTTCCGGTTTTACAAGAGCAAGAACAGTGGGTGAAGCGATTTTGCAAGTTCAAGTTGTGGCTTTATTATGCGAGCTTCCTCGTCTCTCTCACGATGTAGCAAACACTCGTGGTATCCATGCAAGACCCAGACAATGTTAATATTCCGATGTGCCCGAGTCAACGTACTATCAAATCCAACGTTCTCGGCATAGGTTGAGGGCCTCCTCAACATGGCCCTGCTCTAACATCAAATCACCATAGAAGTGTCGTGTTGGAAATATCCAGCCCCAGAGCTCAGTGTGATGAAGAGAGTCATCGTAGTGAATAGCCTTGAGGAGGCTTTCAAATGCACGGTCATAATCACCACGATGATATTCGATCTCCCCATCGAGCATAGTACTAGCAACTTTGAGAATATCTGATATAAGATTCGGAAAGTCTTTGCGGGTTGAAGGTACGGTCTTGGCAGCTTTGTGGTACAGTACCCGCTCCTGATCTGCGTTTCTCACATTCCCAGTCCCAGCTCTAGCTAATACCTTGCCGTAGTGGGTCATCGTGGTCGTCACATAATACAAAACTTGGTCTGAGGGCAATGGAAGACTCTCGAGTTCCTCCCAACTAAGCCCGGCTGCATAGGCTAAGTCCCAATATGCCAGAGCGCAGCTTGGGTCTAACTCGATTGCCTTTTCAAAACATTTGAAGGTTTCGTCGTGGTTGAATGAATAGGACCAAATAAATCCTCGATTGAGCTAGGTTTGGACAGCAGGGCTTTTAGTGCTGATTGGACGGCTGAAAACTCCCAAGTCGAAATAGTCTTCAAACGTCCTCTCTGATCCAGACATTATTGGGAGTAAAGTGGAAGTTTTCAATCAGTAATCTTGAAGTGCTATTTGTAGCCATTTGAAGGATTGGATAGCGTGAATGACAGCGAATGGAATAATCGCCGATCTCGACGTTCGCCCTCATAATTGTGAATGGACGGCGAAAGTTGCAGATTATTAAGAAAATCTCCTTCAATATAGAGAATGAATGCATGGAAAACCTTCCATTCATTTTGATTAGAAACAGATGTTCATCTTTCGCAGACAATTTGAATCAGGAGTGAGCATGTAGTACTACAATATACTCACTTCCAAGAACCGGATAAGCATAGCCTCACTATCCAGCAGGAATCTGCGTGTTGTTATTAGTCCGGAAGAATGGTTACAGCTCACGGGACTAGAAATTTTAGTGGATTTGGATTGTCAACACTTCTACCTACGCAGTTCAGACGGGTCGAGATGATACTGAACGTGCATCGCTCCGCGCAAAGCCCGGTCGCCCATGTTCAAACGCCGTTTGACCATCGAATCGAATCCCAGACCCACAAGGCTAGCTGCCCCAATTGGACATAGGAGCATAGAATATACAGATATCAAACTCTCGTCCTGTCACCAATTTACAAGATCGTGACACTATCCTTCTTACCTTCAAAAAATCTTTTTCCATCCATGAGGTTGCACTTCGATTTCCGATGTGATACAAAAGGGACGCCCCCAAATAGAGCTCAAAATTCAAATCGCCGACAGTCAGCTAATATTATGACCTACTGTGACCAATAAAGCTCGAAAGACTTGACCTGTTATCTAACCAGTGGGGAGGGTGAAGATAGCACAATGCTAGCTGCTTGCCCGCGCAATGTATAAGATGTATTTGAAGTACCTCAAGGCTTACAGTCGATTATTCATGTCTGGACTTGAACGCAAGAATTGTCGAGGCGATCAAGAGGGCGGAAATAGGAAATAGTTTGCCTTGTCGATCTAGTTAGTAATCTACTATATCTAACCATCGAGCACAAGAGAAGCACTAAGAATTGTAAGAACGAAATGTGGCGAGTGGGGGCACCACTGACCTAAGCCTACCGGTTATGCGTCATTTTGTTGGGAATTTTTCCTCTTCTGCCTTTGTGGTCTACCATTTCACTGCAGCAAGGAGGCAAGATGCCAGCCGCAAAACCTCATGTGAAAGTCGCTTGTCTTGCCTGGTGGGGTTCCTGCATTCATAATCGGGGACGAGGGGCAATAAAGGAGCAATAAAGTACTGACGATCGATAGCCGCTCCTACAAAACCCGTTGCGACGGACATCAACCGTGTGTTAATGTAGGCCATATGATCGTCCCAGACGTTCTCTCTTCCTTGAATTGGATACTAATTCCCCACAGTGCTCAACAAACCATCGGGAATGTCATTATCGTCCTAGCCGTCGGGGCGGGGCCCGAAGAGGCGAACAATATCAGAATGCTAAAAGGCAACGTGCCAACGTCACGAATGGTTTATTATCTGCGCACTACACTTCCCCCGGAACGAACGGTATGAGGATCGAGACATTTTCTCTCGTCGTTTGAAGGGTACAAACCATACTCAACTCTCACAGGTACTTTCGTCGATGATCTTGCCAATCTCATCTACCCGTTCCATTCCCTTCAAGGAGGCGGGGGCTTGGTGGATGCTGATATGGTTACGGGTAGCTTGAGCCCTGCTGCCAGTCAGAGTGCTGTTCATCAGTCTGCAGAATCATTTTTCATTAGATCTTATCGAAATGAGAAAGACTTGTAAGAAAGTCCCTAAACTATTCGGAGCAAGGCACCCATGGATGAAAATGCTAATGTACAATATAGAGTGAATGCGTACTATATTTTCATTCACCCGTATCTTCCCCTCTTACCACCAATGACAACTACTCGGTTTGCAGACAATCCCCACAAAACAATTTTGACACGTCTGGAACCCAATAGGTCATCGTTGCCATTTTGGCCCACATCCCCTTTTACTCTTGCGCTGATGGCACTTTTAGTCTTGGTGCCTCTGCCCGAGGATGCCGATCCGATGCAAGAGGTTCAAGTCGAATTAAGGAAATCATATGCACATATTTATGCCAAAGCAGCTCTTGAAAGGATAGAGAACTTTTCTAGCGATGGGCAGCCAAGTAGTGCTGCTCCAATATCCACACCTGGGATGGATGAAGTCCCACGAAGTCCTATACATCCCCAATTACCATGCACCCTGGAGCCATTATTGGCACTTTTATTATTGGGCGTCTACGAATATTGCCAAAACAGCAATAGGCGGCAAATGCGCTCTCGGATCTACAATGCATTGATCTTAGCCATGGATCTCTCACTTCACGAAGTTGGATCAGCCAGCCCTGAAAGCAGAGACATACAAACACGGGTGTGGTGGATCACGGTCAGTTGATTTCCAGTGCAACTTTTATTTGATTTATTGCTAATCAGTCCTCTAGATGTTTCTTGTTTACCAATCCGCAATCTTCAATCACTCAGTGGGTCTTTGGTGTCTCATCGGGAGGTATTCACTTTATTGATCTTCTTCCTACTAGTCGCCTATCGTCTTATTGAATGATTCCCGCATAAGCACACCGTTTCCAAATATCTATGGTTGCCAAACAGTAAGCCATTAATCCCCTTCTTTTTCTCCTCAATGAACTGATACATCTCTAATTGTTTAGCTCTGGCCGATCTTGATGAGAGCGCAGGAAGCAATGCTCAAGACCGGTGTCATCGCTAAGGAGATGGCAGATGGCAAAGTCAAAGGCAGCCTTATTTTACTACGCCAACGGGTCTGTGAGCTGGACTGTTTCATTCTGGCCATCATCGCGGATCTAGATCAACCTCCCGATTTGCAAACAGGCGAAGGAGCCGATGCAGCTGCAGTTCTGAATCAATGGCTCATGGCACGATTTTTGGCTCACACGTGAGTTTTATCCATCGAAAATTTTAGGGCATAGGGAAAACTGACCATTGAATCCTATAAAACAAAGTGCCCGCATCAAATTACACCGTTTTCGTGCCTTTGGTGACAATCCGGTGTTTCTCGATAAGTTCTGCGATCTTAACTCCATCAATAGCTCTCTCTTTTCGCAAATGCCTCTTGCGGCGTCTCCCGGTCGAGTCTCAGAAGCTAATTCTGAATTCCCCTTCACTGAAGAGGAATCCACGCGAATATGTCTCAAGGCAGCGTTGGTCCTTTCTCGGACATTGCGTGCCTTACCCTGGCCTACACCCTCTTATTCCGATTCTCCCGCCAGTATGCAGCCACTCCTGGGCATCAGGAATTTTGGCTCGTCATCACTATTCTCGTCAAATAATAGACAATATCCGCGTTCATTGCCATATATGGCATGTTGTGGGATGCAAGGATGCTATGTACTCATGATGCTCCTGCGGAAAATCCGGACCTCCTTATGCTCTAATAACCTCTCGTCCTGTCTTTATCTACTACCCCATGCAGAGCCTGGGATGGAACGACAGGATGCGGAACGTTTTATTGAGGAGCTACGGCACGGAGTCAAATCGGTATGCGATTTCATGTTAGGAAATGCAGTTTTCGGAGGGGTCATGGACATGGCACGTGAAGTTGAAGCAATCTATCTAGCGCATTTCAACGAATGATATCTGCGTGAACTTTTTAGTAAGTGCGGTTTGGGCAGATACAGCGCATATGAAGTACGGAGTACATTGAAGACTAGCTAAGGCTGATAAATAACAATTAACAATTATTGATAAGGTGATGAACCTGGCTGCTTACATTTGCCTTTTCTGTTAATAATTCTCTTGATCCTCCAAAAACTGAATCCTCCAATGTAGCCTATCACATTGTGAGACGTATTGTTAGGTGTGAACGTTGGCCCCAAATGATGGGCTACTCGATCTAGCACTGCTCAGTCTTCTTCAATGCTTAAATGAAGCCGTATAGAGAAATGGTGCTCACTAGATAGAGAAGTTAAACAAGTTGGAATAGAAAGAAAATCAAAATTTCTATGTGCAGACGTCCTAACTTTTTGCTCGTAGCTGAATCATGACAAGAAGACAGGACCCATTCATCAACATAGACCTGAACATGAAAATCTGCGTCGACCCCCAAACGGAATCGCCAACGAAGGGGGGTATTATGAGATAAACGTTTTTAAACTAAGCACTCCAACCAGAAACAACCCGCCAGGCTCAATCACTTCACCACCACGCCGAGGGCTCCCAACGCAACATAATTTCATTCTGGTTGAGCCCTTCCGGCGTCAAAGAAAGAAGCAGGGAGAAGGGAATATCATGGCGATTAGTTTCCGCGTCCGCGACCACGGCCACCACCACCACGACCAAAGCCACCGCCACCACCACCACGGTTAAAACCACCACGGCCACCACCACGGCTACCACCGCGTCCAGGCCGAATTCCACCGCGTCCGGTCTTTCCACCAGGACTGCGACGCTTCTCGATGCGGCCGGCGCCGGGGGCACCGTGAGTTTTGGGAGCACCCAGGCCGCGGCGACCAGACTGTTGGCCCTTTCCGCGCATGCCCTCGCTCAGAGCAGCCTCATCCTCATCATCAAGATCCATGTCGTCGCCGCCACGCTTAGCCTGGCCCATCTTGACCTTACCCTTCTGACCACGGCGGACAGCATCGGGCCCGCTGACGGCAGCGAGATAGGCATTGATACCACTAGGGCCCTGGGCATCCCCACCCATCTCCACATCACCAGCGTTGTCATCACCGAGCAGCAGACGACCATCGGCGTCGAACTTGGCGGAGCGCTTCTTCTTGGAGCCGGGGCCGGTGTTCAAGAAGCGCAGGCTAGGCTTCGTGGTTGAGATGTTAGCCAGCGCATCGGGAGCGAGAAGATCCAGCGGGTTATCCTCAGGAGACGTCTCGCGGATATACTGGGTACTCTGTGCGGCCTTCTTCTTAGTGCCCGGCGCCCGACCCTTGATGCGGGCGGTGCCAGACTCGTCGACGTCAATTTCGCTAGCATCATCGTCAAATTCATCGTCAGAGTCGTCAGAGAAATCGGAGCCATAGACAGCCTTGTCGAAGGCGTTGCTGGGTTGCTGGTCGCCAGTCTTGTCTGCCTCCTCGTCGTCCTCGTCGGCACCATTTTCCTTCTTCTTGCGCTTGCTGCGTTCGCGCTGTTTCCGAATGTTGACGACAAGCTTGCGATCGGCCTCACCGACAAGGCTCTCCAGGAGCGGAGCGCCGAATCGGCGCACCAGTCGATCGATGATACCCTTGACCTTGCTGCGCAGGCGACCCTTGTGCTCCTTGTTCCAGGCCATCAGGTTGGGGACGAGGGCAGACAGACGCGGGCGCAGGGCCTCCTCGGGAAGGACGACGACGGCGACCTTAACGAAGCCCAGGACGGATCGAACGATCTCACGGTTGTTGCTAGTGAGGAAAAGTTCGACAGTCTGGACCAAGTCCGAGAGGATCTCAGGACGCAGTTGTGTGTAGAACTCGAAAAACAGGCGTGAGAGAGCAGTGACTGATGCGGCAACCATGTGAGGGGATGAGCCAGCCAGACCGGCGGAAACCATCGTGAAGAATTCCTCAATGGTGGCGGGGGCATCGGCCGAGTCATCGGGCATGTGAGGTACCAGGGAGTTGCGGATGACAGTGCCGGCCGGGTTACGCTCGGGGTCGATGGTACGGCGAGCAAGGTGGATGAGTAGATCAAAAGCAGCAGTACGAGCCTTCTCGTTGCTCTCCTTGCATCCCAAAACCACCTCAGAGAGAATCGAGGGAATGAAATGCAGTTCTGAGGTGGGTAAGTTGGTGATCAGCTCGTCGATGGCGAGCATACGGTCTCGACGGCCAGAAGGCGGGGTCTTATCAGAGGTAGCAAGCATAAGAGCCTGGAGCTCACCGCTGCGCTCTTCAAGAGCGGCACGACCGGTCTCGGTCGAAGCAAGACGAGGAATGAGCTTGTAGGCCTTCTTGATAAGCTGCTGGTCAGGGTTCGATGAAGTGCCATCTAGAATGGCCGCAGCCATGCCAAAGAGGCCGGCAAAACTAGATCTGGGCAAGTAGATAGACATGGCAATAACCAGATCAATCAGAGTGTGCGAAGTGGGTGGCATCTTGTCGGATGCACCTTGCTTAGCAGGTGTGTTTTGTTCCTCGACCAATGAGGACTCGAGCATGGATGTGACTCGAGTAAAGGTTTCGTTGAGTTCCTATAATTCACGTCAGTTAGTGAACTATTCTCGGGTAGGTTTTAGCACGATTCATGACTTACCGTCTCCGGGGTGATGCTCAGGTAGGCATTGATACACTGCAGGATGTAGCCACGGTGGTGGGGAAGGGTCTGGCTATACACGTTGAATAGCACCGCCAGCAGATTACTGGCAAAGCCAGCCAGATGGGCAATGTTCTTCTCGGCGGCAGCCTTGGTGATACGGCGCTGCAGGATCAGGTCATCTTCTTCTTTCTCGACCGACAAGATTGCCTGGTTCGATTCAACCAAATTTTGCAAGGCGCGACAGATCTCGACACGGAGCTCGGTCTGTTTGTACAGGACGTTCGACAAAAGCTCGGCAAAGCTCTGGTCGAAGGCCTCAACGAGATCAAGCGGCAACTCACAGTAACCGGGGAGAATGCCCCAGGTCTGCTGAACCAAAGTCTCAAAAATCTTGACTTCCACCTGCTTCTCGGCAGAAGCGAAATCGACCATCTTCTGGTACAGCGCCTCACTGAGAGGCACGAACTCCGAGCGGAAATGACCCAGGTTGGTGTTAGTAACGCTGTCCCGAAGGATGGGGAGCATCCAAACACGACCGGGCTGGCCATTCTTCTGCTGGATAATGTTCAGGGGCAAGAGTTCAAGGACAGCAGCCGGGCCCATGGCCTCAATGGCACTGCTCAGAACACTGTCAGCCTCCTTCTTGCCGTGGAACGACTCGTTGCTGCGCAATTCGCCGATGGTTGTGACGATATCGACGAGGAAGGGGCTAGACCGCCACTTGAAGCAATCAAACATGGCAGAACAGACATTGAAAACCTCCTGCCAAGCAGCCTGGTACTTCACAGAGAGCAAGTCACCAGCCACGCGGGCCAGTTTCTCAAGCGTCTTCTCGTCATAGACGGAAGCATCCAGAATGACACTGTTAGGAATACAGTTGTGCAGGAATGAAATCAAGCACTCGGAAGCAGATACGCGGATGTTGTGGGATGGCGACGCCAAAAATCCAGAAATGAGCTGGAACAGTTCAGGAAGTTTCTCGAAGGTATCTTCAGGGCTAATCTGTGCAGATACGTCGTATCCACGAGACAACACAGCGATCCACGGGGGAAGAAGCTGCGAGTCGTTCTGTGCAGGCTTCAGTTCCGAGATGGCGTCCAACAGGCGAGGAAGCTTGGAAGAGGAAAACTCATCAGCCATGCCCTCAAAAATCACCTCGAAGACCTCGAAGGCGCCCATGGTGATGTACTCGTTGCTGGAACGGGAAGCGTTCATGAGCAGCTCACACAGAGGCTCGATCTTCTTGCTGGGCCAGCCGCCGGACGCGGAGGCAATGGTCTTGACCAGCTGCAAAGAGTGGATGATAAGCGGTTCGTGGCTATCACGGTTTGCGTCGTTACGACCCTTCTTCTGTTTGGCGGCGGTCGCAACGCTATCGCCCAGAGTCTTCATAGCAGACTCGGCGCACATGTCCGCGGCCGGGTGATCAAGCGACGGGCTGGGCGGGGGTGCCTTCAGCACATTGACAAGTGCTTCTTGGGCGCGCTTTCGCACCTTTGGGCGGTGATCGACGGACAGGCTCAGCAGGCCAGCCGTTGCGCGGCGGGGGCCAATAGCGGTATGGGGCAGATTCCACGCGGCAGCATCCTGAGCGATGAGCAGCGATTCGAGACAACCAATTGACGGTCGCAGAAGCGGGGCTTCGACTTCGGGGAGTGAGAGTGCGGGCGCGAGACTGGTGAGGATCTGCGAGAATTTGGAACGAAGAATCGGCGCGGGGACGAAGGTGGTTGTGACATCGAGTAGGTAGACGACGGAACTAGCCAAGTCCTTGTTCACGATACCCTGCTCAGCGGAGAGAGACTGGGAGAGCAGTGCAAGTAGCGCAGCGAAATATGCGGTCGGGGAGAAATCGGCCTTTTGGTCGCGAAGAGTATCCTCCACTGCAGAAAGCACCACAGCAGTCTGCATTGGGTTGGGTTAACGAATGCCCGGTCGGGGCCAGAGCGGTCGACAGGTAGAATTACTTACATGGTGCTGGTTCTGCAGCTTGGGAGACTTGATTTTCTCAAGCTTCTCCGCCAGAGTCGCCATGGTGATCTTGGACGACGAGGGGAGAAGGACAGAAAGCGTGCGGGGAGGCTGTTCTGGCGGTGATGGAAGAAAACTCGAGGAGAAAAAAAAAGGTACGGGTTGTCTTGGCGGAGTTATCGATAAGCATCTATGAACCACTTTTCTTGACCCTCCGCTTTTCCACCCCAAACGCTTCTACTTTGAAGAGGTCCATTTTGCTGGAATTGGAATTAATCGTAGAATATCACGTCAATTCGTCAATTTTTGAATATTATCGAACAGGAAAAGAAACATGCTCCCGACTTTGTTATGGTGTCGGTCGCCCCACTGGTGTCCAACAGCTTCCCACATTCACTCTCTGAACAGCAATGGCAGTGCGAACACGCAAAATGAAAGACAGGATTCGCTTTCGACCGAAATTCTTTCAACTGAAATCCGGTCTTCAGTACCTTTCTCTCTATACAAATGTTCCTATGGGCCGGAATCCACAAGTCCATGCCGCTTTGGGGGCCGAAGGAAAACCTGGAGCCACTTTAAACGCTGCCGTTCATGAGTCCGGTTCAAAAAATAATAATAATAATAAGACCCTCCAGGCTGCCATCTGCAATTCTAAATTGTGCAGTGATTACCTCGTAGGTAGCCAATGATCTCGATGACACGGATCATTGGAACACGGAGAGGAGGCCCAACAGAGCCAACGCATGACGTTTGGGACAACGGCAGAGGGACCATGCAAAACTAGCGAGGGTCAAAGCTCTTAGAACAAAATCTCGCCGCTGTGCTCAGGCTCAAATCCAAGAGCCGAGAGCTCAGTGTATCGCTTCTTATCGCCAGTCTTGCGCTTGTCATCCTCCTGTTTCTTGAGCTCGAATACTTGCTCGAACGGAGCCTTCGTTATCGTAGTAGGGACATCATCCTCGCGGTCAAGGTCCTAAGTGAGCGCAAGGCATTAGAAGCGAACAGTCGGGGGAGGCAACACAATGCGACAACACGCTAGGCTTCACACGTACCACTTCACCCAGCAACAAGACATTCTCTCCGCGCACGAGGAAGATTCCGCGCGGAACATCGGCGTACAGGTTTCCGGCATAGATGCGCTCGATGGTATCCTGAAGAACAAGATTTGCTAGAGAAAAGCGCCGACAGATGGTGGCGAATGGTCAGAAAAAAAGGCGGCCATCTTCAGAGGGTAATGGACGAGATCCATACCGAACTGGTCCCAGCTTCGCAGCACGCCGATCAACTTTCTCCCATCGCGCAGGACAAGAACGAGTTTCTCTATAATACCGGAAAAGCAGCGAGACCTCTATCAGTAACCATAAATTTCTGGAATGTGGCCGTGCCTGCCGACGAACGTACTATCTGTCAAATCCAGTAGCTGTGCGGCAGTGGTGAACATCTGTGGGGGGAGTTGTGGCGGACCAGACTGGGTCATTGGAGCGGAAGGACCAAGTGTGTTCTGCGGGGTGTTTCTCTGTTGCTGTGCATTGGCAGGGCTTTCATTGAGGGATAAACGTTCCATGGCTGCGGCGGACTGAAGGTGGTGGGGGAGGGAGATTAGTTGCGGTTGGTGGGAGAAACGCGAAGGGCGGCGACGAGGGAGTGCGATTGAGAGAAAATAGAAGATTGAATATTTCTCAGGTTTAGCTGGATAAGGGCGAAGTTCTCATAGTGTGTAAGGATTGTGTTTGGTTGGATTGGAGAGAGCAGCCAAGATCTGCGACGTCCAGAGCGAGTTCTCCGAATCGGCGATGAGCCATCAAGGGCGGTGAGTTTGTCTCGTTTGCTCTTGGTATGTGATCTATATGCCGTAGCCCGCCACTTCACCTTCTTTCCCCCTTTCATGCCCCTCCACAGCGCCAGAAAGTGTCTTTTATTGACGTCTTTTGGGCTTTGTGGGCATATTATCGAGTCATTTATCTTATTTTACTCAGTAAAGAGTTATGAGATGGCAATTGACCCAACCATATATGCATACACTCAGGAGGCCTCGGTAGCGCCGGTTGCTAAAAGAGCCTCAATGCTGAACCAGACCTGGGGCAATTGCTCTGTTGCGCAGTCTAAAGGGCAAAAGTCTATTGGGGTTCAATATTTCCCTACCTGACATTCACTATTCGGTAGTGAAAGTGCTATCAAATGGCCAGAAAATAACAGTCAATCCCCGGGATGACTCAAGGACCGACGAGAACAGTCCATTTCCAACGAGAGAATTCTGTCCAGACAACTCATCAGCCAGAATATGAACAATTCCAACAATACAACAATGCATAAGCATCGCAGCGAAAGTAATACGGAGACATAACACATGTGAATACATAACACATAAAACGCTAACATGACAAGCAGCCAAAAAAAACAAGGGCAGGGAATAACTTCATCGAAAAAGCCCAAAAGAAGAAAGAAAAAGAAAACATCCCAGGGCAAGCGAAACATCCGAGATACAATCCCCAAATCCAGCTCCAAGGGTGGCGCACCAGGGAATCCAGCCAACCCTTGACCCGGCCTCTGCTATACAAGCCAGCAAGCATACAAGCCATACTCTCAAACAACGCTCACGCCGCGGTGCTGCCCGCGCATGCGTTCCTCCCGCCGCCGACTGTATGGTGCGCAGTACGGCTCATCCGAGGAGCCGATGCTGGCACGGACGCCGTCCTGCGAGCGATGGTACGCAGGGCTGGACGGCGCCGGGGCCAACTGCATTGCCTTGAACTGAGCGTCCGTGATCAGCCGCAGCGCGTACAGATAGCGCATCAGCTCGAAGTCGGGCCGACTGCCAGCCAGCGTATGGCCGAGCTCGTAGTGGGCGCTGGCGACGTGGTCGAGCATGCGGTCCCACGCGGAGGGGCCAGCGTCCGCTGAGAAGGATGAATCTGGGGCTGGCTCGCGTTGGACAGGTTCGAGTGTTGGGGTGGTTGGTGGAGAGGCTGATGTCGAGGCGGGGGCGGGGCTGTTGCCCGTGTCATCGGCAAAGACAGTGTCTGGGCAAAGTGGGCAGCGCGCGGTGCGCGGCGTGCAGTGGGTGCGAAAGTGACTTAGGACGTGGGTGCGCCAGTCGGCACCGTCGTCGAAGGCATCGTGGCAGTCCAGCATATGGAACAGACACACGTAGATGCGGGCGAGACCATCGGCGTTTTGGGTCGGCAGTGACGGCGTTGCAGAGGAGACGGACGGAGCGGCAGTGCTCCAGGACGATGACGAGGCTCGCGAGTGTGCGGGGCCGGGATCTGTCGTGGTGGTGATTACCGGCGCGAGGCCGTGATGGTCGAGGATGTGATGGTCATCTCTGGGGTCGAAGCCGAAGCCATAGCCGCCGGCAGGCCCGTCTGATCGGGTCTCCACCGAGGAGATCGACGGCGAGGACGACCCGCTCGAGAGACCAGGCAGCGGGGGCGGGGAAGAAGAAGGCATCGAGCGGACGATGACCTCGCTTTGCTTCTTGCGGTTGGGGAGCGCAGAAGGCCTCTCTCTCGTCTGGGACGGAGCCGGTACCTGCGACGAGATCCGTCTGTCAGACATGGTATCTACCTGAGAGAATGCAAAGCGCGGATCGGAACGTGCAACGACGATGGGGCTCTGGGGTGTGCGCTCCGACATGCTCCGCACCAAGGGGACTCGGGGACTGCCGTCTGAGAGTGGAGGGACGGCGCGAGGGGCCTCTTCCTCGTCGGAGAGCCGGAGATGGGCCGGTCACTCTTAGGCCCTCAGCGAGGTATCTTCCGTATATTCCGTATATTCCGTATACCCCCGGATACAGGAGTGACCTGGGAGGGGGCTGGGCAGGGAGAGGACGAGGGATGCGACAACAGATATCAACCTACAACATCCGAAACCACCAGTCCTCAACCTCGGTCAACCGCACACCGGCGCCGGCAAGACCACCGAATGTCGAGTCTCGAAGCCACAGACGCTGATCTGCAGGAGACTTGACGACAAGGACGGGAGGTGGGAAGTCCCTATAGGCACAGTTGTCAGCATGCATGACATCGACCAGGGCAGCCCGCCCGTACAGTTGGGAGTGGAGACTCGTGCTCTTCCGCACGACAAGCAGCTCAGGCGTGCATAGTTCGTTAGATTAGTGGAGAAGTAGAAGGTACCAGGGGAAATCGTCAAGGAGGATTGGACGATGCTAGACGACAACGACCGAAGTTCCGAATCTTTTTTTTTTCGTCGCGCTAACCGTTGGAGGGGGAGCGGGGGTGAGGGGCTAATGTTTGGATTCTGCAGGAGTGTTTCTGGTGTTTCTTCCTAGGACACCGGCTGGCTCGGCCTTTAATGGTTCATTGTGGAAGTCTAGAAGAGGTTGCTTTTGATATCCGAGGGGCGTATAATCGGCTCGTTGATGCCAGTCAGGTCGTACAATGCTTATCCTTTCCCCGTGAGACTGGTCGTGGAGGGGCGAATCCCGAAGCCCTAACTGGGGTACTAGATCCTGTGATGCTGTACACAAGACACGAGATAATACGTCAATGGCAAATCTAAGCTACGAAAATGGTGGAGGGTGCTGAGATGAATTGTTTTTTGAATTTTGCCCGCCGAAGCAGGGGGAGCAATTAAGAGGAGAAAAATAAGTAAGGAAAAAAGACGGAGTGGTCAGAAGTAGAAAGAGACCGCAGGTCTCTCGGAGAGGAGAATCACAGAAGGAAAAAAAATAATCGGGTTGACAGTAGAGAAGAAATTTTGGAATCAAAGAGGAAAAAAAGGGGACAGCCACAGGAATATCTCCAACCCATTTATATTTGTAGAGACGCCTTGAACAGGGAAAAAGAGGGAAGATAGGACAAAAAAGAAACCCGAGTAGAAGATAAAGAAGACGAAAAGTAAGCCCATCCATCCGACACCGTTGATGCCTGCAAAACCAGAGAGAAAAAAATGCACAAGTCTATATCGTTTCGTGGTGCGCATAACTGAAAAGGAACAGGGACATGAAGAAGCTCGAGCGGAGAGGATCCCTCAGGAGGAACTAAAAGCGCTCGGCCAGATCGTTACCCGCGACGGAATTGTTGGTCGAGGACGACATGGAGGTGAAGCCGCTCGTGGGGTTCAGCATGTCCTGCACGGCAACCTTGGGTACTTGCGGCACAGGCAATTTGCGCTGGGTGCCGTCTGGTTTGGACATGATATCCGTGATGCTAGGGCCCATGTGACCCTGACCGGGGCTGTAGTAATTGGGGCCCTCCGGTTGCGGCTCCATCGGGGCCAGAGCGGGAGTGTGCTGAAGAGACAGGTGCCGGATGGAAGGCAGGTGCAGTTCGTTAGCGCCCAGGGGACGCAGGCGAGGCGAATGGGCCGGAGTGGCCAGCGGGGTGTGGTCGGGAGTAGGCGAAAGCGAGTCGTGAGAGAAGGTCGGAGAGGAGGGAGCGGTCGAGTTCGGGGAGTTGGGACGCGAGCGCTTTACGCGATGAGCGTAGGCATCGTCGTCGTCGTTGGAATGCGACCGAGTCATGCTCTGTGAGATGGCGTAGGCAGAAAGCGAAGGCAGGCCGCGCGCGTTGTGGTGGCGAGGGCCATACATATGGTGTCGCGACCCATGGAAACCCATGTGATCATCCCGCTCCACCTGCGAGGCGGCCGTCGCCAGCAGGTTGATGTCCATACCCGAAGAGGCGCGCTCAGCGGTGCGAGAGTAGGGGCCCAGATTGGAGCGCATGTGGTTGGCATAGTTGGAGAAGGAGTGAGGCGGAGACACGTCGGGGGAGCCGACTTGCGACACGGGCGCTGAGCGGGTGATAGGCTTGCTAGGAGGAGGCATCATATTGGCGGCATTGGCCATCGCGACATCTTGACCGGCGGCCGCAGCGGCGGCGGCGGCGGCCAAATGCTGCGCCTTGTTACTCCGACGCGAGTTGGGGTTGTTGTGAATGCGCGAGTGACGAGTCAACTCATCGGAACGAGAGAAGCGCTTGGTGCAGCCAGGGAACTGGCATGCATGGGGCTTTTCGCCGGTGTGTGTCCGGATGTGCCGGGTCTGATGCTCCAAGCGGTGGAAGGCTCGGTCGCAGAGCGGGCATTTGTAGGGACGGGGCAGGTCCTGGCGGACCTCCTCGTTGGCGGGACGGGCACCCTTCATGAGAGGCGGCAGAAGACTCGGCGAAGCCATGGCAGAGTCCGAAGGCGTCGTGGAGGGAGCAGAAGGGGACGAGGCCGGGTCTGCGGCGGCTGTGTCTTGCGGGTTCAGTAGATTGGAGAAACCCACTGAAGCTGGGGGAGACATGTGAATCTCCAGGCGAGGTGGGACAAGACTGGATTTATGGCCGTGTGAATAGATGGGAGGAGTACAGGTGCCTCCAAGACGAGGGGAAATGGTAGGCCGAGGCGGGAGGGCAGGATTAAATGGCTGCAGGGGTGGAAAATCCAGAGCTCAATGGTCCAGGCGATCACCGCAGGAAGGCAGATCGGAAGATCGGAGGTGTCCAGATTAGGAAAGGGAAGGAAGTAAGTTTGTGTAGGAGGGAGAGGTGAGGGTTGGTAGTTGGGAGTTGGAGAGATGGGAGTTGGATAGAAGATGTGTTGGGACAAGAATGCAAAGGGAGAGGGAAGGAAAGAATCTGGGGGGGGATCTGGGGAGCAGGAGATAATAAAGGAAGGAAGGGGGGGGGGGGAGTGATGAGAATGGAGGGGAAAATTGAAGAATGGGAGAAATCGGGGAGCAGGGGCTCGGAATCGAAAAATTCAGTGCCAAAAAAAAATCGAAAAAAAAAAAATCGAGAAAAAGGGAGAAAACGACTTATCGGATCGCAACAAGGTTGAACCAGCGTGGGGAAGGGCAGCACAAGGGACGCGGTGACTAAACGGGGCCAAACTGGGCCAAACTGGGGCAAAAAAAAAAAAGAAAAAAAATTGAGAAAAATTCAAATTTGAAAATCGAAAATTGAAAATTACCAAATCCAGAAGCCAAAAAAAAAAAAAGGTGGGCAACGTGCACCGGTAGATCGTCTTGCCATTCCTCAAGTGGGGGGGGGCTCCTTTTACTCAATTTTTATTGCGGTTTTTTTTTTTTGGCAGACTACAAGTTTTTCGAGGTCGCTTCGATAGATAGGATCAAAAATCGACTATACCAAGCATAACCCGGATGGTCAGGGAGGGAAGCGCATTTCAGCGAGAAGCTGGAGGAGTCGACGACAGGCCTACGTACTCCAAGACTCCAAAGGTGGGGATCAGGGCCGACGCAACGAAGGTCCTCGGATTACCTCATCCGCCGTGAAGAACCCCGTGTGGCGTGATTGCCGGTGCGTGGCCCGTAAGTTTTCCCGCTTTCCCGCAGACTTCCACCACCGTGTCGAGCCACGGGCATACCTAAGGAGTGCTCCCACTGCCACGATTGCGCTCCGGGCTCGCACTCGGTTGAAAGCCCCCAGGCGTCTTAGGTAATGCCTCGGTCAGCCCCCCGTCTCCGGCTATCGCGCGTCTGGAGAAAGCCGGGGATTCCTTATCTTTGCGGGCGGGCAGGAATTGGGGAGATCGGCAAATGACTCGGATGACCAGCTATCTCGCTCTCCTGTCCATTCCCCGTCCCTCATGATGCTTTCAAAGGCCGTGGCTTCAGATAAAAAGCCTGTCTGGCATCAGGCGTTAGATAGTGAGGATCACCTATCCCCCCCCCCCCCTCTCCTACGATCCTCAGCTGCTTCCGCGACAAACATGGTAAATTAAAAAAAAAATAGTTAAATAAATTATAGCTTTGATTAGATTTTCTTTCCCCCTCTCGTCCCGGATGGTCGAAAGCTTCCTGAAGAATGGTCGGGGGGGCAGATCAGGAGAATGGATGATAAACGATGATGGCATGACCGGTGGCAATGACGACGAGCACAGGGAAAAGATATCCCGACCCCAACACACGACAGTTATACTTCGGATGGCGTCTCTACCTCGTGTATACTCTATCCTGGTCGGGAAAGACGATCCAAAGGATTCTAGACGGAGAGACGGAGGAGTTGGAACAGGCTGGAGAGGTGTATATTCAGATGCATTCCGGAGCTTCCCAAAAGGGACGTTCAAAAGGACCGATCGCCCGGCCACCATCCCCAAGAGTAAAAAAAAGACAGACGCAGAACCGAAAAATAAAGAAAAGTAAAACAAAAATACAAAACAGAACAATGCAGACATCGGAGAACAGTCCAGACCGTCCCCGACCAACACATCCCTACCGGGGAAATCCTGGGAAATCCTAGGAAATCCTGGGGGAGGCCAACTGAGACAACCCTCTTTCTCCCCCGGGCGCAAAGGCGCCCAGTGACGAGGCGAAGGGTCATCGATGATGTCGACACATGGTGATATGATTCGAGCATGATCTAGTAATGGGGGCACGAACCGAGAGGTCATACAGCACCCGGATCGCATTTGGTTCGCACGAAAACAAGCCGGGTAACACTAGAACTATGTACGTTTCTTCTGGCTCCGTCTGTCTCTCTCCTCCCCCGACTCCACCCCCGCGAAGATCCCCCATCGGGCGACGCTCACAGTGGCGATATAGATATGGAGATGGAGACGGAGGATGGGGTCAAAAGAGGGAGATTGCTTCACCCGTTTTAGGAACTTACCCGGGCTATCTCTCACATGGAGCAAACCGTGGCAATGCACCCTCACGCCCGATAATCCGCCGAGCACCAGCGCAAAAAGAAAGGATGAAATACCCCGGACCAAACTGCGCGCCGGGGAGTCGGGACGAGGGCCCCCAGAAAGTCGCCACCATCGATGACGAGCCAAGAAGAACCCCGGTTTGAGCCACGATCAAATCGAGAGGGACTCTAGCGACTATAGGGAGCATCGATCTTCCCGGTCCTGCACGTCGTATACTCCGGTCCGCTGATTCCCCCCGACTTGCGAGGGTCCAGAGCGACCGGCGACCCTGATAGGCGCGGATCATCCAATTATTGTGGCCGCTGCATCATGCAGCCGCAAAAGCCGTATCGCGCACATCGCGTCCGGACCAGATGCGAATCGTATCGTTTTCGCAAGCCCCATGTTCAGCTCCCCCGTCTCTCGCTCTATCGCGCTCTCTCTCTCTCTCTCTTTCTCTTTTCTTTCTCTCCCTTGCACCTGTCCAAAAGATGGGGCGGGCAGGGCCAGGGGGGGGATGTGAAGCAATGCACGGGAAAGGAGTGGATTCGCGCGGTCTTTTCTTTTCCCGCCCTCGCTCGCTCGCTTTTTCCCCGGAACCCCGATCGACGCGGCCCCCGAAACTCCGCCCTCTTTCGCACGAAAGGTCCTCGTCGACCTCACTTTGTGGAACAGATTCAAATGGCCCTAGACAGGCAACCAGAGATCTCGCAAGATTAGCGAGGGGAGAACTGTCTGGGGCTGAAGCAACTCCGCCGGAGATTCCTGAAATCCATCAATCGGAGGACGCCCCGGGGCATGGGGGATAAGCCATCGAAATGATACTAGTGATAATAGTGATACTAGATAATCATAGATAATAGATACTCAAAGGACAACAAGGAGTTCCCGATGGAGAAGGGCAAACCACGAGCACCGCACCAGAAATATCAGACGCCCTCGATCCGCACGCCGGGATAAAGAAAGATACGGCGAGACCCGCCCCGGGCATACTTCGGTTGCAGCCTTTCCCCTTCTCTCCCTCCCCCTCCCCCATGTGCGGCGCCCAGGGTATCTGGTTGGGCCCTTTCGCTAAAGAACAGGCTCCCACATCGTGAAAGAGAGTGGCTGCCCCGCCGTCACCTGTTACCGGGAACTGGTTAAACAATAATAACTGGTACCTGGTGGCGCCCACCACTTCGAACGGTCCACTCTTCCCCCCCCCCCTTCTTGGACACTGTACAGAGAATGGAGGACGGATGACATGGTGACCTGCATACGGAAGACCAGGGGTTAGAGCCCTTGAATGGGCGATCTTCAGATTTAGAAATTTCTATGAAAATTTGGGTTAGGGGGGGGAGGGTTGGTTTCTGCAATAGTCCAGCTGGCCCAAGAGAAAGAATCCCCTGTTACCTTTCTGGAGGCATCCGAGATGGCCGTGTTCAACCCTCTGACCGAGATACTGGAGTTTGTCCCCACCAGCTCTTTCCAAGCAGTTCAGCCGAACGCCGTCTGGAACGCAACACCGGCTATGATCACAATCGCTTTCGTGGACTTCCTTTCCGATCTCCCCGGAATCCCGTTGATTCGTACAATCGCACAAATAGACCGTCTTCAGGCCAATTGATTGCCCTATTAAGCGATAGAGACGAGTGAATCGAAGACGGCTCTAATTCCGTCTCTCGCAACGAGTATCTCCTTCGCATCTGACTGGCTGCCTCTCTCTCTCTCTCTTTTCTCCCTTTCTTCCTCTCTCTCTCCGTTTCTCCGTGTCTGACGCCGGGCTGGAATGCCGGCGCTTCCGTCTATCTGCCTCCAGACCATACTGGCCGTACGGAGCCTGTACGGACCCTAAGGGCGGCACTGGGCATTGCCCGGAGTGGGGAATGTCGGGCCCACCCACCTCTCCACGGGGAATACAAGGAATGGCGCAATCCTCTGGAGAACCTCCGGATTCGGCGCGGCCGATCTGCAGCTGCAGGGGGTGGTGAACTACCCGTACAGGCTGAGGCGTTCACCAAAGCAGGTACCTATCACCCTCTCGCCCTCTCACCCTATCACCCTCCCCTACCGCCCCCGACCCTCGCCCCATCCCCACCCACCCCCGGCCGTCAAGGCTATTACGGTATTACCCGCATTTTGCCGAGTCCCGGAGCCCAAGTCCTGAAACCACTGGCCGCCTGGGGAAGGGGAGGAGAGGGGAGGGGGGAGGCTATGTGCTGTTTCAGCTGACGAGGATGGTCCTGGACATCTCATGGATTGGATGCTTAACGTCCTTCCTGTCTCGGCCCGGTGGGCCAAACGAGAGAAGCAGGCTCATCTGTCATCTCGTCAATTATCGCCAGACGTGTACGCCAGCATGAGTCGTACGTTTTGTCCTATTCGAAATCTCCACACCTCCACATCTCCATGGTTCGATATTGCCATATTGCCATGTTTGCCCATCCATAGTCCGTGGGTATAGGAGGGACAAGTACTCCGCAGTGCACTTCTTCTATCTTCCAGTAGCGATCCTCCCAGTGGCCCCATCGTCGTACTCGGTATTGTAGACGCCTTGCTTAGGCGTTTCCACCGCTCGTTTGTGCTGCCCCCTCTGTCGATCGTGCAGAGTTTTCATCTTCGCGGGAGATCCTGCCCGCCCGCGATCGCGCCGATCGACAGAAACTATCCACCTACTATACACAGTAGAGCGTGGGGGGAGGGGGGACGACAGCACGGGGGTTGTATCAGTTACCATCCCTCCGCAGAATAAAACAAATAGCCCCTCCCTTCACTCCGTTCACTCTTGGGACATGGTCTCCTTCACCTTCTCTTTTGGGTCGCGTCTTTGTATGCCTTGTTTCGGGGGCCCTTGCCCTCTTTGACTCTGCTAGAAACTCTCCCAGCGGTGAAGAACCTGCCAGAATTCCCCGCCGGACTGGATGATCGCCCGCCAAAGTTTGTCCCCGAATGATCTTCACCACCACCTGTCCCTCTGACTCAGATGGCCGGGGATCCGGACCCCCGCAATCTCCAAATCTCCCCAGATTTGGGTGGATGGAAACGACAGTCGCAGGAATATCCCCCTCCGATACCCGTCAGTCCCTCGTAGCACCTCTCTTGGGCTCTAGGGTCGGGGCAAGAGCACCCCGATCCAGGACATACCAGAGACGATCACAAGAACATGCCATGATCGACAGACGTGCCGTGTCAGGTCGAAGGCGCGATCGACTCCATGTCCGACATCGCCGATACAGCAGCCAGCCCAATTAGTCATGGCGATTGCGCATCCTCCAGAGATGGTGGCTTCCTATCTTTGTATCGGACTCCCAGAACCTGGCGTCCAGGTCCAGCCATGCAGGCATAGACTACCCCGGTCCGGGGTCGGGGGTGGTGTGGACTGGAGTCGTTCCGCTAGCACGCCATCCTGGGGAAACACACCAACATACGAGCTTTTAGGGTTATTTTTTTTATTTTGAAAACTCCCGTTTTCCTGAAAGGAAAAAATGAAATGAAATGAAAAAGAAGAAACTTGCTGAAAAGAAACTTCCGTTTTACTTCGCCGGGTACGGCGGGTATTCCCAAGATCGCATCAGCCGGTCTTATCAGCTGCCAAACGATTCATTATATAGTTCTGCCGAACCCGCCAATCAGGCCAGTTTGGATCCCCTCACGACGCAAAATCAAGTAAAATGAAGTCAACAAAAAAAAGAATGGAAAAGGTGAAAACATCTGATTTTTTTTCCCCAAGAGCGCCCGCTCGATCAGGAAACGCCCCGGTGCTCCGATGTCTTTCGTGAAGCTCCTCTAAACGGAATGATGGCATGATCAAACAATGGTTATGGGACGATATGTCACGATTACCGATTCTCGTTAGTCAAGCGCAACCCCAGCTGTCGTAGCAAGATTTGCCTACGTTATCAACATGGCTGTGTCCATAGTCCGACCCCCCCCCCCCTCTCCCCGACCCTCGTGCAGGGCGCATGCCTTGGAAAAGAGCAGAAACAAAGCAGGAAACAAATCAAAAACGCACACATAGAGACACCCCCCTAAGATAGGCAACCGTTTCCAAGGGCTCGAGCTCGTCCCCTTCGACGCTTGAGCCTGGAGGCTACGCAACACAGTAAGAGTCGGGCGTCGTATCCCATCCTCCCATCCTCCCATCCCTTGTGAGCCTGAGCCCAAACCCAAACCTAGACCTGGGCCCTGCTCCTGCTCCCAAACTTGGGTCTGGGCACCCGCAGAACCACGTCGACCACCAAAATAGCAACCCTATCGCAACCCTATCGTACTTTATTGCACCCTATTATTGCACCCTATCGAACCTCATCCCCCCCAACCTCCAACCTCCAAACCGTGACACCCCTTTCAGCCTCTCGGATTGACGGCCATCTACACCCTCTTTGCGGGTGAGTCATGACGTGCTGTCAGCTCAGCTCAGCTCAGGGTTGAAGCTTGGGCCAGGGTCGGGGATTCTTCGCCCCGTTTCCAACACCGCCGGCCCTGCTGCCTGGCCCCGAAACCTCTCCACGGGGCACACGACCCTCGTTCTTTGAGGAGGGGTGTTGGGGGGTTTCTTCTCGAGGTCCTCTGGCCCCGCTGTTTGTGGCTGTGGTTTTTGGGGGGGGGGGGGGTTGGGCTCTCTGGCATGAACCGAACACGGCGTTTGCTATATGGGCCACGGAAATAGGTGATCCTGGAGGCGCTCAACCTATGGAACGAACCACCACTTCTTTGGCACGGAGATCTCGTTTGGATTTTTTATTTTCTTTTTTCCTCCCCCAAATTTTTGTGGTTTGCTGTTGTTTGCTCTCTCTTTCCTTTTTAATTTTTATTTCCAGATCGGGGACGATCAGCCTCGATGCTCTTGTAGCGCTTTTTAGGTGAATCTATTACTACAGGCCATTATGCCGTGCCATACTCCGTCTTCTGTACAGTCGTATCGAACACCACCACCACCACCTACCACTTGTCCTCTTCTGCCTGTTCCGCTGTTTCTGGTGGGGTGGCACTGATAAGGGAGGATTTAGCTTTTTCTGCTCTTTTAGTTTTGGTTTTTTTTTTTTTTTCCCTTTTGCGTCTTTTACATATTTGGCTCTGACAAATTTGATTTGATTCAAATCTGGGGGGCTCCTTCCTTGGATGGAGTCCTAGACATTACTTCGTTGAGGTGAGGGTGACATTTGTCACGCTTGGCAGGTTCTCGATGCGGGGGGATGTGATTTCCCAGAATCCGGGGTAGGTTTGGTTCACATTCCTCCCGGGACAAGGGAGCCCGTGAAAGGGAAAGCTACCCACCGAAGCCGCCCTTTCGCTCCGGAGTCAACCCCTTTTCCACTCGCTAGCCCGAGAGCGACCGTTGTGGAGGAGGCGCCTCCGTGTCATCGAGAGGGAGGGGGATGGAGAGATGAGAGGGAAGGAAGCCCGGCAGTCGGGTCTAGTTACTCCAGCAGGGGAGGGAGGCTACGGTACCACCCCCAAAGGTCCCACCCCGGGCTGTACCCTAGTTGCCTCAGAGCGGTGACCCCGGGCCGGTCCTGACGCCCTTACATCGCACGGAGAAGACTTCGCCGAAACCCCGCCTTCTGCACACTGCCCGGCCACAAACACCCACGCACTCGTCTCCAACGCCAAGGCGAGCGATCCGCGATCCACAGCTTCTGGAAACAGACACCCCTGGCCCAATCACGGCCGCTAGGCGCATCGTGCTGATATCACCGCCCCTGCGGGGCCGCGCTCGACCCGGAGTCCGATTCCTGGTCGTGATAGCCTATCTCCTTGGACATGCAAACTGCCTCTTTCCCTGCGGTCTATGCAGTCCATGCGGCCCATGCTCTCTGCTCCTGCTCGTCCTGCATGCGGGCGCCAACCCGCGACAGGGCGTCAAACAGGATCCCAAGATCAACAAAAAAGGGGAAGCGGGGGAGTGGATCATGGAGGCCCGCCCGGGCGTATCCAGTTCTCGGTGAGGGCCGAAGCTGTCCTCTCGTCCGCCTTGAAATCTTCGTGGCCATTGTTGGCAGCCATGGTGGTTCGATATCCACCACCTCCGCGCCTCTCCACACACACACAAACACACACATACACACACTCTCTCACTCCCTCCTCTCTCCTTGTCGGCTAAAGCGGAGTACGGAAACATACGCTGTCTTGTTTCACATCGCCTACCCCATACTTCTGGTGCTCCCATTTCGTAACAGTTTCCCTCCCCTCCCCTCCCCAATCCGGTAACATTACCCACTTAGCCCTCAGCTCGCCAGGGAAAAAGGAAATGCCCTCGTCTGTCCGCACAGCGATCGACTGGGACCGCCCGAACGTTCCCCATCAGCCGCGCTAACTCCAGCTAGCTCTCTGTCCGGAGCACAATCTGTTACGATATCCCATAGGATTATTCCCTCATCCCGCCCACCATTGTCGGTCTCCCAGCAAGCCGGGACGCTAGGTATAATTAGACGACGCGAAACAAAAAGCTGCTCTGAACTACGCAGCTCTTATCCACCAATGAGCCAGCTCACAAGCTCTCAAGCCTTCTTTCCCCCCCCTCCTCCTTGTGCCCATGGGGATGGGGAAGCTGATAAGAATGGCACACCAGAGAGCTTAAGGGGGCTAGGCGCTCGCAGAATTAGGAAGGGGGAGCGGAGGAGAGGTGGGGGAGGGTATGCCCCGGACGTGGGCGAAACCAAATACAGAAAACCAAAAACGAAATGAAGCGGCACCCGAAAAACGTGTCACAATCCATCCGAGACTATGATGAGTGATGCGTGAATCGTATTGCCCCGGTCCTCCGACCTGGAGGATGATGGCCCTCTCTCCATGTCTCGCGCAGGTTCTCCTGAACCACTCTCGCTTTCACGTGCGGGGGCCTTCAAAGTCCAGGCGCGACCAGACTCCACGCGCTGCGAGCAGAGCGTCTGGTTGGCGTGGTCTTCACATGCCAGCTGGTGCTTATCGCGGCACTGCTGGCACCAGCGGCGACTTCACCTCACGTTACGTCCCCATCCCCCCCCCCCCCCCCTTGTCCAGGGACTCGGCCCGTGGTCCAGTCTCTAGACCCCTAGACCTTCTCTTCCTCGCTGCCTCGGTCTCGGCTGTTCCGCAACCGCCCATGCGGCGATGATGGAAGAGGCTGTCTGGAGCGTGGGAGGGAACGAAGCTATCGACCTCTTGTGCCTGATCGGCCGACGATCGCTTCACATGGGACGATACTACAGTACACAGCTCGCAAGCTCGCAAGCTTGTGGGAGGGTCGGGGCCCGGTATCACCGTCCCCTCTCCCCTCCCCTTGTCGCTAGTTGACACATGGGGGCCATGATTATTGACAATGGCATGGGGATAGTGGGGGGTGGGGGGAGGGGGAAATGGGATGTTGGACAATACTACATCATAATAATGTGTGGCTCTAGTTCTCCTCCGGCATTACAGAGTCTCGGCTGCGAATATTTATTTATATAGATCTATGATCTATACAGCGTGACATATATTGGCACACGCACCATAGATTGGATTACTATATGGAGTCCTATGGAGTCCAATGGAGTACCGCCCAAGTTGGTCCCCAGATGACGACATAACCCAGGGGGGGAGGGGGCAGCTAGAACCGTCTCTACTGCAGGTACAAGTCCAGTCCAGGCGCACCGAATCCCCGGTTGTAGCCATAGGGCTGGGGTATTCGGAACTGCTCACTGCTCACCGGAGGGCTGCTCGGGGGGCTGTGGGAACTGGATTTGGGGGGGGGGGGGGGGGAGAAGGGGCGAGGATCGGGAAAAGTCGGAACGGAAGAAGGAAAGTGTGTCGAGGGCCATTGTGCCATTCTCGCAGTGATTGCGGGGCTTAGTGTGGCTTTCAGTCTCCACGATGATCTAGGAGGCGGCTGCCGTCTTGTACGGGACGACGCCGAGGCACAATCCACGGGTCGGGGGCACCGGCTTGTAGATCTGGCCACGAAAAGAAAGCCACGTTGGGGTTGGGGTATGTGAGAGAATAAAATTTTCCATCCGATTTTTTGCCCCTTGTGGTTCGCAAGTCGGAGCTGATACTATACAGAGTCGCGAGAACCAGGACTCGCCCGCCTTCGGTGCTTCGGTGAGGCGCGTACAGTCATCCGACCGGGCATCCTCCGCGGTCTCTGTTAATAATAATTATAATAGTTTGGGGGGAGGCGGGGGCAGTTTTTTTATCCCTGACCCTTTGGCGTTTTTTTTTTTTTTTTCCCTTTTCCCGTCGTGAAGTGAAGAATCCGGCTCAACCGAAGGCGCCCACTTCAATCCCAAAGACATGGCGAGCCGCGGGCCCGACCTGCTTCGGCCTCGCGACTCGGCATTGCCGTGCCGACTCGGCGTGCGGACGCGCTCGGTTTTCTTTGGCTGTCCTTTTCGAGCCTTTTTTTCCCTTGGGTTTTGTATCTCCACATTTTTTTGGCCCTCTTCCTTTCCCTTTTTGGGAGCCCTTTTTTTTCACCCCCTCCCGAAATTCTTCCGAGGTCTCGGTGGCCACCCGCTTGAGGGCTTTCTTGCTGCCCCCTGGGGAAAACCCGGCACTAATCAATTGGAAGTTCACTTGCGTACCACCGGCCCCTGCCCGAATTTCTGAACCATTGCTAAGTGGCTCGATTACTTCACGAACTATCGCCTCCTTCCTCCGTACCTGACCTGTACTACTACCCTGCTATCCTTCTCGGACAACCCGGTATTGGTGCAACGCTGACTGGCGTTGCGCTGTCCCCCATCCCGCCCGCAAACCACACCCGGAAGACCTCCCCACTCGGAAAGGGGCGGCTTCGGTGGCCGGATTTTCCCCCACCGTCGTGCCCTAGCCGACTTGCGGAGGTTTCCCAGGACCAGAGACTTGCCTTCTCCGCATCCCGTCGAGCGGTGTGGCCTCCGGAATCAGGCCGGAGATACGGCAGCGTACTAGGCCGATTCCACGCTCTCATACTCTCTGCCCACACGAGTCCCTGAGATCTGGAATGACATTCTCTACCTCTGCACCCCTCCATGTACACTACTTACACTACTTACACTACTTCCTATCACCCCTGCGATACCATCCCCGCTGCAATGGTGCCGTGATTCATGCCTGCCAAAGAATTGCGACACTCGAGCTCCCGTCATTGGCACCATCTTCTGCACATGCACTCCGATTTGGAAAACAAATAGAATACATTTGAACTACACTTTGAGCGGCCGATTGATTTTGGTTCCTTCACTTTCCATCTTATATAATAATATTCACCATCCTATCTCAACCTCCCCAGCATCCTGATGTTCCACGGCCACTTCGGAGTTATGTCCGGCCGCGCCAGAAACGGTCATGGCATTCTGCCGTGTCCCTCCGCCCAAAAAGCGGAGAATCTGCTCGAGTCCAATGCACCGCGACCAGCCGTCCACCTCGTCACAGCCTGTGAGCACGGCATTGTCTTCTAGTTCAAGGCCCTTGAATCTATCCATTGACTTACTTTGCGGTCTCTGACCCCTCCCCGCCGGGCTCTGCAAACCATGGCACCGCCGCGCCAACGCACCGCCGCAATCGTGGACGACTCGCGGTCCGAAGCTTCCAGCGGCACCAGAGAGTACAAGAACACTGCTCCCAGGAGCCGCAAGACCGCCGCAGCCAAGGACAAGGCCTCGGTGACCAGTGCCCCCGTCACCCATGACCAATCTATAGACGAGCAGCCTCGGGTACGTACCACATCTCATCCTTCTTAAAGGGGGGAAGATGGACAAGGCAAAGTGGAATTGCGGACACAAGAAAACAGAACCGATGCACCTCAATATCAGAAAGAAAGAAAAAAAAAATCAGATCCACAATAGCCAACATCGAACAAAAACCTCTCCCAAAACAAGACACTTTCGCTAATATCCTACTCCCATCTTACAGGTCCCCTGGTCCGATCTCCCGCTCGACATCCTCCACGCCTACCGGCACGTTCACAAACTTCCCACTCCCTCTGCTTTTTCAACCGACTACTCCCGCATTGTCCTCACACAAGGTGTTGGTCTCCGTTCGCCAACCGCCCTGGCCACCCGTCGCGCCCAGTTCTCCTCTTCCCGCCCGACACGGACAAACACCAACTCCACGACCTCGCCCACCAGCGCAGGCCCAGATAACCCCCTCCGCCGCATCATCGGCCAAGACCGCGTCAGCAAGGACCAATTCGCCCTCGTCGTGCGCAAGCATTTCAACAGCGCCGGCCTATCGGAGCAGGAGACCATAGCCCGCTTCCTGTACACCGTCCGCGAGGAGCGGCGCGGCCGCCAGTTCCGCCTGCGCTTCCAGCCATAGCGATCACCGGAGTGCCTGGTGCCCCGGATCGTGGCATTGAGTGCTGCAGGCATTGCAGGCATTGTCTTCGGTGTCTGGGTTCCCGGGTCGGCGGCGAGTTCTCGGGGCTTTGTGTGTTCCTGCGTTTTCGTGTGACATCTCCTCATGATACCCATTGGCGTTTGGGATGGTCCCCTTTTTGCTTTTTTTTGCTTTCTTTCTTTTTCTACACCGCTGGAGGGTTTTCGGGGGCGTTGTGTGTATAGCTTCATGATTGCCTAGGTATATCGGAATATGGGATCCCTTTTGTTTTATAGGGGGAGGTTCCGTCTTCCTGGGCTCCGTTCTCCTGGGCTGGTTTTTTTTAAAAAGGAAATTTATATGCTACTTTCTCATGGGCTATTCTCACTAGTCTGAAAACACTCTGGGGCTTTTTGATGAAGCTTTGGGGAAAAGTGAGACAGAAATACATATTTATATATATATATATATATATACGTATATATCTATTTTTATAGCATCGTATATTCTGTGACATCATACAATTTGGAAATTAGTAAATCAGTGGGAGTACTTCGATATCATTGTGAATATATGGATATATATGACCAGATTGCCATTGGATATATTTAGTTATTAAACAAAGCAAACCTTTCCACTCCCGAATTGAGATCCCGGATGAAAGGCTTTTCAACAAGCCATGACCAAATTTTCAGCAAAGACTCCAAGTTTCTACAATAGAAGAACCAGCCAGGTCGCGAACTCCCTGATCCTACCCTTCAGACCAGGCAGACGTCATACCATGCCTTGGCAACCTCCCCCTTGCATATACAGGGGACCTTTGCCTTCTCGGCAATCGTCCGATGTACCCACGCCACGATTGTGAGCTTCCTCTCTACCGCCGCAAGGACCTGATCTGGTATGTTCGAGTATGGCGAATGGGCCGCCTCAAGGCTATCTGTAGAAAATGATACATCGTACTGCTCACTTACCGCGCCAGCCCATCTCCCTACTGCATGGAATACGTCAATGCTTTGGTCAGTCATACAGGAAAGGTAAGACACTGGAAGGAGTGTCTACGCTGCCCGCCTGACTGGTGCCAGCTGAGTCGACGCAGGGCTCTTGAGCATCTGCCCAGCCCAGTGCTCCGGCTTATATCATCCCCATTGAGTCACTCTACATTTCACCTAAACTCACCAACGTTATAATCCAGTTAAGACCCAGAACGAATCTCGAATATTTGAATTTAAGGATATCATTTCGAAATTAGCATCAATAAATTGCTGTATAGTCACTATGTTTCCTTCGTATTATCAATCCCAGCATGGGTGGCACCTTTAGGAGCCCATTCGGTGGTGTCACTTCTATGAAGCAGTCTTAACAGCCATGGTAACTCTTGTCCTTAGTATAGAAAATATAGGAAAACAAAGGATCCCGCAGTCGCTGATTTCAATGAATCCTTCTTGTTAAATTGTTCTTGGTGTAGGCTGAAACTCTTCAATAACATATTTCTGGACGAACGTTAGGAAATCTCAAAGGAGCCGCACAAAGATTTTGTCTTTACTTGTTTCAGAAGCCCTTGATAAACTTATTTTAAAATTATAACTTTTCACTCATTTCGAACACTGGGTTCAGATACAATTCTAGACATGACGTCTGTGTCCTTGTTCATAAGTACTACCAGTGCCGTAGATAAAGCCTACGTCGTGGTCTTGAAGTCATCTGATCCACTTGATGTTCTTTTTATCTATATTAGCTACAAAGAAGTGATCAACACTTGTGTAAATAGGGAGTTCTTCAGTCTTTGTACAGTAGAGGGATCGAAATATCGACTTTTGACAAAAGATCATTCTACTAATCACGAAATCTTTCCTAAGCCCAGCTATTTAAACCTCCTATAATCCAAAGCCTTATATCCAGGCCATCAAGACAGTCATCAGTAGGGTCTCAATCACAACTTACCTTCTACACTTATAGGTAAACTCAAACTAGATTGATACTGCCTTCACCTTAGTTAACTCCGACCCGAAGATACAGCGTATCTATTTAAAAATGGATCTGAGTAAGATACTAAACCCTGCTTCAGCAGCGACCAAGGATTCCTCATCCAGCTCAGGGGTCCAGGGGCAACAGGAGCGTCAATATGTCAATGTTAGGCTCACGGCCGTTGACGGCACCTTGAGCGACAAGGAACTCCTCAAAACCATCAAGGGGGTCCTAGCCACTCGTTTACCAGGCCTTACTAACGTAACCTCTATTCCCAAAACAGGTCACGGCTGGTTATCTATTGAAATTATTGGTAAGGTTCGCAATGCAGTTGATGCTTGCAAGGCCGCTGATAGAATCGTTGATACATGGCAGCTTGGCCTTTCCAGTACCCCAGGCCTTCCTTTTGACCGCAACAAGATCTTCTAGATCTACTATTCAGATCATCTGATGTCCCTGCTGACTTCTCGGCGGGCATTTATAAGCTAAATCATCGAATACGAAAGATTATCTCTTTCCTATCAGCTTTTCATGTGTGACTATCGGTTTTAACCTTAATTGACTTTGAATTTGATGTGTAATTTCTTTTCTCTTGATAAGCTTTTGAAGTCCAAGCATAATTCCCCACCATATTATTCAACAGAAGTAACCAAACCAGAATTTAACTCTGGTAGAATTCACTGATACAGAGTTTTGAATTAGAGATTGTAGTGGGGAAGTGGCCGCGGGCGAAAACTAGCGGTGTGATGGAAACATGCGATATATGAGGCTATACTGCTGTCTATAACCACTCAGATACCCTTTCACTGCTCCTACTTTCACTGGGTGTTCTCTCGTTCTCTTCCGCATCCCTAGAGGCTTTGCTGATTCGCAGACAGCGAGCGTCTCTGACACCATTTCAATATGTAATCTGAGTGACACCACATACCGTCTTTCAGCTCATGTGGGATGTCAGTCTCAACGCTTACCATTCATTCGTTGACAATGCAGGGTTAGTTGCGCTATCCGTCCTATTCAGCTAATCATGCTTGGGGCTAAATTAACCCTAGGGTCGTTAGGAACCACCGATGTTGGGCAATTGTCCTCGCGTGCGCCGCGAGAAGCCCTGACTGCGCCGATATCCTGGGCTAGTCAATGAGGATTAGGTGCAAGAAGCCCCTGCGCAACCTATAATAATGTCAAACTCCTGTGAACGCTTCCTTCAGTGGACCTACTCCAAGCTTGGCGAGTCTTATGATACCATTTTTGCAAGGACGGGCTATACGACTTGGACATTTTGATCCAAATTTGGCATTGCTCAAGCACGTCCAATATGGATATTTGCACAAGGAAACGTTGCGCAAATACTGGCCGAGCAGAAGTTTGGACTTTTTATCCCGGCACAGTACTTCACTGAGTGGGTTTGCCGTATTAACAGGCTGCCCGAGGAGAGACTCTCGCAACTATGCACATCACACTGCAGTTTGATCGCAACCACCCTTGATTGGGTACAAACAAGGGTTGTCCAAGGCTTGGGCCACTACAAGTGCTGGCAAGACTGCATCACACACTTATCGGGCCACGTATGGAAATAGAGGCTCGAGAGAAATCTCATATTTTCCAGCATGCACGTGGTGTTCCAACAAAGATGGGGGCCATGAGTTCCCAAATCTGCCATGCATTAAGGCTGACTTGCAGATGGGGAGTCCGTGTCAAACAAGTTGCAACCAATCATTCTTTGCACTCTTCACCGATCCATCCGATAACCCGGGTTCTCTACACACCATCAGCATCTGCTTCGGACATGAAAAATTTTTTCTGTTGTTGTCAATTTGGTGATGCACTGACTTTTCGCCTGAGTATAGATATTGTGAGAGTTTGGTAAGGTAGAAATGGCGCTTGTCTCCCGGAGCTGAATACAATCTTTGCAGAAATTGGCGAAGATAAATACCCAGCTATTCCCCGCTGCCCTCAGGTTCTTTTTGCTCTTCATTAGACCTCACCTCCATCTTTAAAAGTTCCTGCATTCATGTGTGCAAGTCACAATTTCTTCTTCAAACAGGTGGGAGATATGGCTATAAAAGCTCCCATCCAGGAATCTGTGATTTCTTCGTTCATAAACCAATATAAGCAAAATGAGTATGAAGATCTGGCGAAGAGAGCTGCAGATTCATGCAAACATGTCCTTTTGGAGAACGACATACCCCATCAAATTTGGAGCCGCGGCAAGGATCCCGAAAGCCTTCGAAAAAAGCTCGAGCAACGCGAGCACAAAAACGGCACGTACAGAACTCTGGAGCATATTTATAATGACATCGTCGATCTTGCCGGGGCTCGCATTATTCTCGATAGATGGGAAGATCGTGATTCCGTCAACGCCATTATATACCAAATTTTCGAGGTGAAAAAGGAGGAATATAAGAAAGAAGAAAGTGGATATGAAGCAGTGCATTATCGGGTGTACCTGAAGCAAGGCGGGTACCTGCGTGGTTCCAATATGACAGAGATGAGGCCGCTGGTTGAAATCCAGGTTCAATTCTTGTACATGGCGCAATGGGCCAAAGTGGAACATAGCTCTCGGTATAAAACATCCGTAGAGCCTAATCAAGCGTTAGAAAACAGTCTCGATAACCTTGTTCAGATCGCCCATCTTCACGAGAGATTTGCTCGGCAAACCAGGGAAGAGAGGAGAAGACAGGAGGCAAAGCAGAAGGAAAAGTTCAGCGACGTCAATCACGTTGGCCATTATCTAAAGAAGTGGATTCGCGATAGTAAGAATGCTGCGCACTGGGCAAAAGATGAAGTCGAAGCCAAAAACACAGGATCAGCCACAGCGCTGACAATATTTTTGGATGCTCGGGAGTGGAGAACTCCCGAGTCTCTAAATCAGTTGCTCCAAGAACACTTTAGTGAAGGCGCACCGGATGAATACTCGAGTATCGCAAAGAGCTATGCCGGCATCAAAATGAACCTCATTATTTACCTCATGGATCGCATCGTCCTGAAACGCGAAATTCATAATGCGCATAGTTTTCAAGTCCCCAAGAGCCGTGAAGAACATGCCTACAAGATCGAGGTTATTCTGAGCACGTTCATCTGGATCAATCGTCTCTTTTCACCAACCTTTGAATGGCAGCGTTTGTTCACGCGTCTCAAAGACCAGGAGATCCTTCGGCAGGGCATCCTTTGGCTTGGAAGCGGGGTTCGGCAAGACCGCATCAGAGAAGGAGCCTCGTTGACGAAAAACGAGGTCAGAGAACTAAACAGATTGTGGGATTGGTTTAGCAGCAATCCCGACAGACCAATTATGTTTGTTTTCACGATGTCGAATCAGGGGGTAGTTAGAAATATCCCAAAAGAAAGGGATGAGGTGGAAGATGCCCTTGGGCCACTGTGTCGGGCCCTGGGTCACGCTCCAGTGTGGTTCTGAGGTTGACAAGCAGGAAATGAGGAAACGGAAGATAAGCTTCCTTAAGTTAGTGTCGCTGAGCGAGAGGGATATTATTGCGGTGTTTTCAGCCCCCAAAAGTTGTTACTCCTGTGTAATTGAGTTTTTTTGCTTCCAAATACACGCTATATATCCATGAATACGCAAGCGATTGTCACGGCTGTCTAGAAGTATTCCAAATAATGGGAAATTGAGATACACATAGCAGGTGCACGGGGAGGATTCGTTGGTTTCAAGGATACTAATCAGAAAATCAGTTCATCACGCAAATTCCCTATTCGTGACCGCCACCACGGGATAGCCTGTTGACCTGTCGAATGTCAATTTCCTCACGTGTGGCTCAACACGGTCATTGGGCGTTGAGGAAAAAGCAATACCCCCGCCCCACACAAATCAATAGGTCAATGGAAATGAGTCACATATGGAATCATTGAGATCTATGGTCACACTGTCAGATTTTAGTCGTCTACAAGACTGGAGACTGGAGGCTGGAGCTATAATTGGCCGCCCAGTGGTTCTTGTTCGAGTATAAGAAAGGGTAAGGCTTAGGCAAGCAATGTTCTAAAATTGGAATAGGGTCTAGAACAAGAAAAGGAAGAAGCCAAAATACACCACAAGGACCCACATATTGTTCTGTGCGTCTATGTAGAAATTAAAGGGGTTCTCGATTCCCCGCTTTTTTTGTATGATATCCTGGGTATACTGGGAACCCGGCGCCGTAAAATGCTGGTCCGCAAGGGAGGAGATATTCAACAATCCCTGTCAGCCGGTTCAGATGGTTACAAAGACATAGGACAAGACCTAAACAGGTAGGCAATTGTGACAAAAGTACGACAAAAGTACAGGTGCATAGCTCTAGGCCCGGCAAGCTGTCCCTCAGTGGTACCTCTCTGTCAATGAGATAAAAGGCAGCATTTCTCTTCTCTCTGGCACCAAGATTTTTAAATTCTCCAGAGAGCGCCAGGATTCTGAACTGGCAGTGCCTTGGGTGCAAGCTTGTGACGGATAGCAATGTGTCTCTCCAACGGGTTGGGCATGGCGAAGCTGGTACGAGGTCTCAAGCTGTCCTCGGGAGAGACGGCAAACGCAATGCAAGTCGGTTCACATCTGACAGGGGCTCAGGATCCTAGCTTAGCCGTGAAACCCTACGCGACTGAAGCAGAGTTGGGTACTGATTTCCCACTGACATCATTGGAGGTTCGCTGACGTATTACCGGCATAGGGCTTAATTTAGCTCGTGAATACCTTCGGTTCCATGCGATTTTGAAAGGTTCGCCCCCTTGTGATATTTCCGAAGCCAGAACCAGGAGAATGCAGGAGATTCTCGCACTCACTGAAGACAATGGGTGGATCGACGTCAAGAAGCTCGATCGAGCCGTTGAGTTCTGGATCTGGTGTGGGCTGAAGCGGGAACGATGGGCCCTCATTCCGAATCAAGACCTCTGGGAAGAGTTCTCAAAAGAAGTCTGGCTGTATAAAGGTCAGTGTTATTACAGAACAAAGAAGAAAGGAGCGGGTAATCTAATCGTTGGTTCTGATTTCGGGTTCGTCAGTGGCTGGATCCGTTCAGAGTACCGATTGAATAGTTACCCATGCTTGTGATACTGGTAGAGCTAACTGGACTTAGACTCCCATAATGCAAGAACGCCGGAGTTGTCTGATCTATCCATGTGGACCCCCCCAGACTTTTAGAACAGCAGAATGTCTGAATCGCTATCGGGACGCCGCTGGAAGTTCAAAGTTTAATGTTAAGTGAGTGTCTTCTGAAAACATTTTTTAACTGGCAAGGTTCCTAATCATAAAGGTAATGATGTTTCTAGGGAGGAGCCTTTTGAAGACAAACTCCTTGCGATACACTTTTACAATGGCGGATTATCTAAAGAGTTGAGGGGTATGCAGAAAGCTTGAATGGGAGTGGTTTAGGGGACGATATGAGCGTTGGCATCGAGAAGGAGGGGCCTTGACTCCTTGCTCTCCTAAACGGGTGGGCGCTGAATCGTGCAGGACTTGCAGACCTCGGTCCCCTTATAGGCTCGTGCAAACAGTCAAGCGGGTTTCCCGCTGGACTTCTAATTTTTGCTATTGATTCTTTGTTTCCGAAAGAGCAAACACCGGGGTGTGGCCTAAAGGTCTGTGCACTTCATTGCTTTTGTTCTTTGTCAATCTTTTCTACACATTCATTTTGAAAGTTCTTCGTTAGATTTTACCTAAATAATAGACAAGAAATATCCCGTGTCTTCAAATTTTCAATGAGCCCCACGATTGAAGAGAGATAAATTCAATATAAGAGTTATCATTATTGGGACCACCAAACAGGACCCGGCGGGGTATTTCGCTATAGAAACACAATATGAAGGACAGCTGAGCGAGTAGTAGGACGAGGGACGTCTTCGGTTTGGAAGATAACAGGACTGAGGGTTTGTGCTACTCATCCTGCAAGTCTATATCACGCTGTATGTCTTCTTACCCCTCCTGCCCCGGCTTTTTTAAGAACAATCTCGCCCTCCGAGGAATCTCTAATACTTTCTCTACCCCAGTAGTATAAAAGCCGAGGATGGTTCTTAGCTAAGCTGATACTTTGCGCTAACCGGACTTGGGAGGCACCCAGCTGGGTGCCTTCCCTTCTTAGAGCGAGCGCAAGACCTAGTGTTACGCGCTGCTAACTGTTAACGTAATTAGTACGTTGTCGTAACGTAACTCTCTCCTAATCTCCGACGATCTATCTCGCGACCTTACCGTGGCCGAATCGCTGAGGCCTTACACGGGCTCGGGTCTATAGAGTAGACCGAAGACGTATGCAGTTGAAGGGCGCCTAGTTAGTCGACGAAGTAGTCATAGGATAAACACTAAGTGTTCCTCCTAGTTGTGAGTATGTCCTTATACTGTACTGTGGATGAATCAAGTAACCAAATAGTGGATTGGTAGGTCTCAAGTAACAATGTATAAATCAACGCGTAGAACTAAATATATGTGTGTGAATGAGTGTCCTTATATATTCAGTTCCTCCTCATCGCTGTTGTCTGCTATCTTCCGGGCTTATCACTGATGTGTGTAATCATGTGACCCTAGGTGTTGCCGCCCTGAGTCCGAATCCTGCCTTGTCGAACGACAAGGTCCTTGTCACCGCTTTGTTGCAGAACCGATTGGTTCAGGCGTGTCCATATTTGGCACCCTAGGGGTGGGTCTGTAACACCTAGCTTGTTTTTCAAGTTGCGGAGCACGTAGTTCTATATGGCTGATATAATCGAGAAATAGAAAAGCTTAACTTAGTTACCTATATTCACTTAAATAAGCACACTGGTTGATAATAAGCGCTTACTAGGATTTTATCTATATTATTAAAGAGGGACAAGATTCTACGTTAACCTAGGCCGCTGGCTATATAATTTAAATTAATTTTGCTCGGTGCGGTGCGGTAATGTATAAAGTTGTAATAGGCGAAATATGATAGCCGGGCCTACTAGCTAAAAAAAAGCTATCTACCGGATATAAAGAGTATCTAGTTTAGAGAGAATTGAAGTTAGCTCGGAGAAAAAGTGAACAAGGAAAATACCAGAGAGAAATTTTAATGAAATTGGTTGAGCAAGGCGATCTTCTGCCGCCAGTACCGCAATGCCTCCAGCTCATAGTTGGCTGGGCCAGGCTCCCTACAATCTAGCTGCTCCATGGTCATTGGAATGAAGCTGTACGTATCGAGTATATTTTGGAGGACCGTCATAACCCTCATAGGGCCTCCGGATATTCCAGGGTTGCGAAGGGCCTCCTGGGTTGAATCGAGCAATCTAGCAACCCTGAAGAACTCCTGCCAAATGTCATGCAAGCGCACTGGAATTTCGCCGGGATAGATTACCTGTGCTTTCCTCCCAACAGCTCCTAAGAACAGCTGCAACTCGGAGATTGCCTGCTGAACCTTCGAAGACTCGGGATCTTGGCCTACGTCGAAACTGGTGCGGAGGGTGTCACTGATGATTCTACATCCGGCGAGAACGTAGGCTTGCGCCTTCCAGAACTGTTCAATGTTGACCGGGGCCATGCTCAAATAAATCGAGGTTCAAACAGATGATCAGTCTATTCTCTGCGTTTTGCTAGTAACAGGACCTAATTTTGATCGCAAGTTTTCTCCACAATGCTTGCATATTCAACGAACGATTGGAGCAGAGAGATCGACGTTTTTATGTTCGTTTAAATGACATAGTCGGTTCTTTGTGTTACCTATTAGGACCAAATTTTGAGCCCTAGACAAAGATCAAATGTTGAAATGCTTTGTTTAAGCAATGCTTTGTGCTCCAGCAGCAGTTAACTCCGTCCGGGTGTTTCTGCTAATAGGATACCAATTTATAGCCGAGGCTTACTTTCAGGTGACTGATCCTATTCGCTATAGATGACACACGTAGTTTACGCTCAATATGAGGAGAGATATCAGGCATTTCAGGTAAAACATGTCACTGTATTCGCATGTCATGTACATAGCAGATGTATGTTTCTTGAGAAAAGGTAACCAAGGGGAGGCAAAACGCAGATATCCAATCCAAAGCGAGTCAAGTTCAAAAATGCGGGGAGAAATAGCGTGGGCTATAACAAAAAAAGCCCAAGAAATCATGGTGCACAGGCAGGCAAAAAGTGATATCTGAACTGCGAAAACGAGCATAATAAGATTGGAACGCCGAGAAATACACCCCGCCCTCTCCGCCGATTTCCCACCCACGTTTTTCATGAAAATCTCACTGATTGCCATGAAAAATAAAGTTACTTCCATGCATTTAGGCCGGCCCAGGGATCATTGCTCATCGATGGTGGCTGCGATTGGGACTGAGACGATGTTCGGTGATTAGAGGGCCTGGCTTGTGCATATCCACCAGGGCCAGAGGGATGTGGACCACCGGCAGGAGGTGGGTAGTTGGTTTGCTTTGGGAGCGGGGGAGGAGGGGGAGGAACATAGCCCTGAGGAGCCACGAAGTTCGAGGTTGCACTAGTAGCAGATGTAGCCGGGCTGGCAGCAGAGCGTGAACTAGAGCGGCGAGAGTATCCAGGATGTGACTGAGGGAAGAATTGCTGGGTCGGTGGAGCAGAAATTGGAGCCCGGTAAGGATACGCCATTGGGTTATATCCATCAGACAATGGAGCAGCAGCTCCTTGTTGGAAAGGTTGACCAGGTACGTACCCCGGAGCACCGCCCATGGGCTGTCCATAGGAAACAGATGCTCTGGATCCTGGGATTCCGTGGGATGATGAACTAGGCACGACAGGAGGGTAGCGAGGTGACATTTGAGGGGACGGCCCAGGCATATACGAAGGGGCTTGGACGGCGGGCGGCGGTGACTTGGTCGGAGGAGCTAATGGAACCATGCCAGGTCCCTGGGAAGGTGAAGTTGATGACGAGCTTGGATCGGTAGATAGTCGTTCCATCAACTGGCGAAGTTTCTCACGCTCACGGTCCTCTTGCTCCGATACGCCGCTGGCCTTGTCACGTTCAATCTGGCTGAGAAGTTGGGCACCTTCGGACCGCCGATTGCCGATGAAAGTCTCAACATTCTTTTGGAGACTCTCGACATTCTCACCCATATCATGATAAAAGGTTTGAGCTTGTACTATACCAGATGAGAGCTCATTGAATGCCTCATACGCCTTCTTGTATCGAGACATCACGGAATGCCGTTGTTTAGTGATAGATTCATATTTCGACTGCTCTGATTGGACTCGTTTGTCCTGAAGCAAGGCTCCATATGTTTTGGTAAGTTCCTTCATCAAGGTTGACTGTTTATGGTTCGCTTGCAGAAGCCGATTCTGATGGGGTCTGAACTTTTCCAACTCAGCCTCGAAGAGTTGATTCTCCTGGCCAGTGATAGACTTCTTGTTCAAAATCAACACATTTGAGATATCATCATTATGAACCTGGTCAAAAGGTTAATATCATGTTATATGACAGGCAGGGGGGCTATGGCGCAATTACCTTGTCTTTGAGGTCTTTGAGAGTCTGGGCCCGATCTTGCTTAACAAGATTAAGCTTGTTCAGAATCCCCTCGATCTTCGTAATCTGCTCTGCAACCGACACACTGCTTTCATCATAGACATCATCAAGAAGGCTGCCCTCGACAGCATTGTTCACTCCGTTCTTGCCCTTGTTGAGCTTGGCTCCAGCCTTGAACATTGCTTTTTGGAAGAGTACATCGGCCTCGTCTGTCTCTCCTGCATCACGCAGGAGGTCAATATCCTCCTCATATTTCCGAAACGTGGCAGAGAGTTGAGTATCACTGGCAACAGCCTCACTGATGGTATCCCTATACGTGCGAACATCACCCCGGAGTGTGGTATTGAGACGGCTGCTTGGTTGCTGGCTCCAATCCGCTCCGTACTTGGACCGCATTTTCTCACAAACGCTCTCTTCCAGGTCCAATTGCTTAGAGCACTGATCTAATTGGTCTTGAACATCTGCTTTGCGATCTTGAAGTTCGTCAAGAGCCTGCTGGAAAGGTTTATGGCCAGCCAGTTCTGAACACCAGCGGCGGAACTCCTCATCGACTGTCATTTCTTGATCCAACCCGCCTTTCAAGATATTTAGACTGCCGGGTAGCTTCAGGTAATCTAAACTAGCAACCATTTCACCGTTGGCAATTTCAACCTTCTCGGTTTCAGCACGGATCAACTTTGCCTTCTCCTCATCATAAAGGCTGGCAGTCTCCGTGACAGACATTGGAACAAGCTTCTGGAAAATATCGGGCCCAATTATCCGCTGAATATCCTGGCCTTGATACAGCTCGCTGACTGGGATTGCCTTAGCAGCCGCAAGTTTGGGTACCGCTGACAAGCCCGCCTCGTTTGGGACAGGCTGGTGGTATATGAAATCGTTGTCCTTGGTTACTGTGACAAGCAAGGACTGTACGTTGGCAAGGTTGTGTTTGATGAGATCCACCAAGGCGCCTCCGGCTTCAGCGGGGAGATTGGAGCTTGCAGACGGGGACGAAGGGAAAGACTTGGCCCAGCTGAGTGCAGTTGAACTCTGTTTTTCGGCCATTTGCAGACGGGCAACCGCAACACCGTGCGATCCTCCTTCGCTATCCGCAATCGCCTGGTAGTAAGATGCGACCGACGCCATGTGCGAGGCCTTCGCCTGCACCACGATCGACCACACCTTGTCGAAGACGTTCTTGGTCACAAAGTCCAACATGGTTTCCGCGCCTTGTGAATACAGATAGGCTGATTGGGAAGCCAGCTTTGCAAGGAAGCCAGGCTTCTTCTTGTCCATGATTTGCTTCTCTAGAAACACCTCCTGGGCCTGCGCAAGGGTGACATGGATTAGCGTCTTAACGGTGTCCCGGTTCAGATCCGTAGACGGCGCATGCAAGAAATTCTCGTTTATATATGTAAACATTCCGGCAGATGCTTGGAAGGAGTGGTATGAGGTCTTAAGTCCAGCGTCTTCATCGCGGTTCTGGTTGGCGCCGTGACAAGACAGGACGGCAGAGATGTTAAAGATGATGGAGGCCTTTTCGTAGGCAAGGGAGTATTGGGCGGTCGATTTGTGGGTAAAGGCGTCGTACCTGAACGACAGGAGATCTTAGGATCAATCGCAAACCATCGAACGATCAACGCAGAGTGACCAGGGGTATCATACCATGTGAAAGAGATCTTGATGTGGTTCTCATCGACGGGAAACCGAAGATCCAAAAGCTCTAGCTGGCCATAATACCGATAAAGCAGATCGCGACCAGTAGCACTGTCCTTGCCCGCCCCTCTCATGTCCTGTCGGAGTCGGTTGAGTGTCGCACATTCCTGACTGTAGCGCTCCGGGTCCTCGCCATATGTATCCCGGATGTAATCTTTGAGGGGTTGGATCCAATCAATCTCGTTGGTTTGCTTCAGTGGGCACGACAGCATCGGTGACTGAACCATGGTCGGATGGTCTTTAGGGGCCCGATGCTCCCATCCAATATCAATACCGTAGGGTAGGTGCGCGAGAAGGGGCGAGAAAGATTGCACGGTGGCCTTGAGGGGCTCGGGATCCAGGCTGTGGGGTAAAGGAAGAGCGGATAGTCGGCGCCTGACGGGGGCCAGCAAGTCGGTCAATGACGTCGGTTCAAATTGACCGCCCGCAGATGCGAAACAAGACGAAGTTCAAATCGAAGGCGGAACGACAAATGTGCGCAGAAGGGAGGAGGGGGAGGAGGAAGAAGGAAGAAGGGGGAGGAGATTCGGCAAGAGGGAGAGGATGACAGGTGGGATGAGCCAGTCCAACCGGCGGTCGTGTTGTGATGGGCGCCAAAAAGCAAACCCGCACCTGCGCTCGCTGATACATTTTTGGCCCATATGGAACAGAGTCAATACATGTACTACATTGGATCATACATGTGAAATCGGAGCGCTGGATTTTGCGGGGATCGTGCCCTCAAAGATCAAAATCTATAGATTGCAGAAGTAGAGATCTTCCTAACAACTAATGCGGAATAGAGTAACATATAACATCGTCCTAATAATACAATGGTCCGCCCCACCTCCAAGGCAGAACGTCCCCCCCCCCCTGATCTCGCCGGCGCTATGACATTGGAGAAAAGAAAGTAAATACAAGCCCAAATGTGGTATAGAAATACACAGAGATTTACAGGGTTAACTCGACTTCTTCGAGTCCTTGCTGGCCTCGCCCTTCGGGTTCGAGTCTTTGGACTCCTGGGTGTTCTTGGTGTCCTTGGCTTCGGTCTTAGGAGCGTCGGTATTCTTGTCCATCAGCTTGTGCCAGACGGACTTGAGAAAGCCTTCGTTTTTGCTCGCATCGTCGCTTGTTTCGGATGGAGGACTAAAGAGGCCAGGGGACCGAAGGTTAGCGTTGACAGTCATAGAAAGAGGACACCAGGGCATATCCAGCCCGGAAGATGGAAGGAAATGAATAAAAGGAATAGAAAGATTGTCTTACCTCTCCTTGCTGAAGTTCATGGTCCGCCGGGCCGTCTTGTCGCCCATCTCATCCGCGAGGACTTCGAGAATTGTCCGTTGGTTGCCAGTCAGGTACTTCGGCATCGCAACCTTAAATTCAACCTTCAAGTCGCCTGTAGGGCTGAAGCGCCCGCGACCACCGAGTTTCTTCATGCCCATACCTGACAGCGTGATGCGATCACCAGTGCCAGTACCAGTGCTCACCTTGACCTTCACATCTTTGTCCAGAGTCGGAATCGTCACCTCACCACCCAGCAGGGCTGTAGTGAGCGGAATCGAGGCTGTGTAGAGAACATCGGATCCATTGCGGCTGAAGCGCTGATCGGGGGCGACACGAATGGTGACATAAAGATCACCACGCTGAGTACGAGAGCCAGCCGCGGCCGAGGTCCCAGTAGGTGGGGCATCGCCTTCTCCGCTCACTCGCATGCGCATGCCGTCTTCAACACCAGCAGGGATATCTATCTTGATGGTCTTGCGCTCTCGGACCACGCCATTGCCACGACAGCTGCCGCACTCCGATCCCCGGGGAACGGTCATGCCAATACCACCACAGGCGTCGCAAGTCGCAGCAACCTGGAAGCCACCCTGCATGAAATGAACACGGGTTCCGGAGCCATTGCATTGCTTGCACTGGGACCGCTTGGCTCCAGACTTAAGTCCGTCGCCCTTGCAAGTTCCGCACTCAGTCAAAGGCGTGATAACGATATCTTGTGACGTTCCCTTTGCGGAATCCATGAACGAAATGTTGCTTTGCACCTCGATGTCCTCGCCCACGAGTATTTGTTCTTGGAACGGGTTGCGTCGGCCACGAGCGCCTCGCCGAGCACCTCCGGCAAAGGCTCCAAAGAGATCCTCAAAGTTGATGTCCTGTGCAAACCCTCCGCCGAATCCAGCTCCTCCAAAGCCACCACCAAATCCACCAAAGCCACCTGCACCGGCAAACGGATTCCCTCCAGCCGCATTGGGGTCGAACCCGCCATTCTGGTCAAACGCTGCAGAGCCGAATCGATCGTAATTCTCACGTTTCTTCGCGTCGGATAGGAGTTCATAGGCCGATTGGGCCTCGGCAAACTTTTCCTTGGCATTCTCATCTTTGTTAGTATCCGGATGATACTTCTTGGCCATGCCATAGTACGCCTTCTTGATGTCACCGGCGGAGGCACCCTTGTCCACTCCGAGAACTTTGTAAGGGTCGGCTATTGCCGAGAGGGGGTGAAGTCGTATGGAAAATCTACGCGAATGGTCAATCAAAATGTTGATAAGGTATTCCAACCAGGCCCTGGGTATTCGGAAATGTCACCTACCCGAGCGGAGGGCGCGAACGACGCTCTCTTCTTGTATATCCCTTCCCTCAATCGTGTGGTGGAGGAAGCAGAGGCTGTCGCATGATAGCTTCGTTTCTGGTTTGCGGAGCAGATGGAAGAACCGGTTGTCTGCTTTGAACATGTCGGTGGTGCGCGCAGCAGGCGCGCGGGGGAGGCCCGCGGCCTTGGGGAATGCTGCGGATGGATTCATGGATAGTAATACCCGAGCGGCGGTTGGTGGATTGTGTCGAAGAGGGCCAGGCTCGGGCTTGGGGGGCTTGGGGGGAGAAGCGGATGGGGGAGTGGAAAAAGGAACGAAGGACAGGCACCCAAAAATCTCCAGTCCGCAAAGCCTAACAATGCACCAATGATCGTTCCGACCAGTCGGGGTTTCGGATTCTCCTATTGAAGAAGAGCTTTCGAGTTGGTTCGGCGGGAGACGCGGAAGAATGTCGGGCCGATCCCGAGGCAATGATGGAAGAGCTGCTTAGTAGTCGGTGCTCCGACTACGGAACTTGCTCTTCCTTGCGCTCCATTCTCCCTTCCTCCATTCTCCTGATTGTGTCTCCCCCGGAGCTGTGTGACGGGCTGCTCGAGGTTCCTAGCCATACCTTTATTCATTCCAGCCTACTTAACCTGACCCCGAACTCCCCCCGAAAGACGAAGCACGAGACACCGGTAGCATGCTCCGCGGCCAGACCCTCCCCTGGAGAGCTGCGCTCCACCAAACACCTCGTCCTCTGCTCCGCCGGCCATTTCTTGCTGCCTCAAGAAACAATGCGAGCTTTCGGTCAGCCTTAGTCTCCTCCCGCCTTTCCCGGCCTCTTGCTTCAACACCCCGCACGTTCTCTTCCAGCTCCATTCAACGGAAAGAGAAGCCCCCACCTGAGGACCAAAAAGACGACCAAGAACAGAAGAACGATGAGACACAGCACGATGAGAAAGAAACGGATCGAGCCTCTGATACTAAGAGGAAAGCTTCTGACTCGGGAAAGAGTTCCGCTCCTGAGCAAACGGGCTCTACGCGGAGAAAAGACCGGTCTTCCAATGACAAAGAACAGCGCGCATTAGCGGAAGAGGCTAAGAAGGAAGCCAAGGCGGCGGATGGAAAGGGCGATTCGGAACATACACCAGCTCCCATCCCCCCTAATAGTGGCTCAGCCGACTCGAAGCCCAGCTCGGCAAGCAGCGGCGGTAGCAGTGGCAACGATGATAATAGCAAGAAGGGGAAGAAAGGAGGCGACAAGGCACTACAAAAACCAGCTGTGCCAGATGTGTATCCGCAGGTGATGGCTATCCCCATTGCGAAGCGTCCACTGTTTCCCGGATTCTATAAGGCCATCACGATTCGGGACCCGAATGTCGCTGCTGCGATCCAGGATATGATGAAGCGAGGCCAGCCGTACGTCGGTGCGTTCCTGTTCAAGGATGATAATGCCGATGGTGACGTGATCGAAAACCTGGATGATGTTTATGATGTCGGCGTCTTCGCTCAAATTACAGCGGCGTACCCTCTTCGCGGCGAAGCTAGCGGTGTGACTGCTGTTCTATACCCCCACCGACGTATCAAGATCTCATCTTTGCTTCCCCCCAGTGAAGCTACCAAGGAAATTACTACTGACGAGAAACCGACTGAAAAACAAGGGGATGTCGTGGCCAGTTTCGAAGAAGGCGCACCGGAAAACGCGCCTAAGGACCATTACGAGCCTACCTCTTTCCTCAAAAAATACCCCGTCAGCCTAGTCAACGTGGAAAACTTGACGGAAGAGCCCTATGACAAGAAAAATGGGATTATCCGCGCTGTAACTAGTGAGATCGTGAATGTGTGCAAGGAGATTGCCACTTTGAACCCCCTGTTCCGCGATCAAATTTCCGCTTTCTACACCGACCAGTTCCCGGGGAATCTCAGTGACGAGCCCGCGAAGTTAGCCGACTTTGCCGCCGCCGTCTCAGCTGGTGAACTGCATGAAATGCAAGAAGTGCTTGAGACCATGGATATTGAGGACCGGTTACCGAAGGCACTTGTTGTTTTGAAGAAGGAATTAATGAATGCTCAGCTTCAATCGAAGATCACCAAGGACGTGGAGGCTAAGATTCAAAAGCGTCAACGTGAATATTGGCTTATGGAGCAGATGAAGGGAATCAAGAGAGAGCTTGGCATCGAGTCTGATGGCAAAGACAAGCTCGTGGAGAAGTTTAAGGAAAAGGCCGAGAAGCTTGCTATGCCAGAGGCTGTGAAGAAAGTCTTCGAAGAGGAGATTAACAAGCTGGCCCATCTCGAGCCGGCGGCCTCTGAGTTTAATGTCACCCGCAACTACCTAGATTGGTTGACTCAGATTCCTTGGGGTCAGAAGAGTGTTGAAAACTTTGGGATCAAGAATGCCGTCGGCGTCCTAGACGAGGATCACTATGGACTCAAGGATGTCAAAGACCGCATTCTCGAATTCATCGCTGTTGGCAAACTTCGTGGAACTGTGGAAGGAAAGATTCTCTGTCTTGTTGGTCCTCCTGGTGTGGGTAAGACCAGCATCGGCAAATCGGTGGCTCGTGCTCTGAACCGGCAATACTACCGTTTCTCAGTGGGCGGTTTGACCGATGTTGCCGAGATCAAGGGTCACCGACGGACCTACGTCGGTGCTCTCCCGGGACGGATCATTCAAGCTCTCAAGAAGTGTCAGACCGAGAATCCCCTGATTCTCATTGATGAAATCGATAAGATAGGCCGTGGGCACCAAGGGGATCCTTCTTCGGCCTTGCTGGAGCTTCTAGACCCCGAGCAGAACTCGTCGTTCTTAGATCACTACATGGATGTTCCGGTGGATTTGTCCAAGGTTCTCTTTGTTTGCACTGCCAACGTGACCGATACTATCCCTCGTCCCCTGTTGGACCGTATGGAGCTGATCGAACTCTCTGGTTATGTGGCTGACGAGAAGATGGCTATCGCCGAACGTTACTTGGCCCCGGCCGCCCGAGAATTGACCGGTTTGAAGGATGTCGACGTCACTCTGCAAAAGGACGCCATTGAGGAGCTGATCAAGTCCTACTGTCGGGAGAGTGGTGTTCGAAACCTGAAGAAGCAAATCGAGAAAGTGTACCGGAAGGCAGCATTCAAAATCGTTCAGGACCTAGGCGAAGAGGTGCTACCTGAGGAGGCCGCTCTGACCGAGGAGGGCAAGGCTGCCCAGGAAGAATCCAAGGAGCACGAGTCTTCTGACCCTGCCGAAACCCCCATTGAACCTGAGAAGTCGACCACCGAGACCCCGCGACTGGCTCTCAAGGTGCCCGAGAGCGTGCATCTCAGCATTGGCAAGGATACCCTGAAGGATTACGTCGGGCCCCCTGTCTTCACAGCGGACCGTCTGTACGACCGGTTCCCTCCTGGTGTCACCATGGGTCTGGCATGGACCAGTATGGGCGGAGCCGCTCTTTACGTCGAGTGTATCCTGGAGAATGCCTTAAATCATCAATCCCGCCCCGGTCTGGAGATTACGGGTAACCTGCAGAATGTCATGAAGGAATCATCCCACATTGCCTACTCCTTCGCCAAGTCCGTCATGGCGCGGCAATTCCCCGAGAATGCATTCTTTGAGAAGGCCAAGGTTCACCTGCATTGCCCCGAGGGTGCTGTTCCCAAGGATGGTACGTTACTTTTTTTGAATAAATCTCTCTTGATGTATTTGTTGATTCAGTTGTTAACGATTTATTTGCACAGGCCCCTCTGCCGGTATCACCATGGCCAGCTCCCTGCTCTCTTTGGGTCTGAACCACTCGCTTGACCCCACCGTTGCGATGACTGGCGAGTTGACAGTAACGGGCAAGGTGTTGCGCATTGGTGGTCTCCGTGAAAAAACCGTTGCAGCCCGTCGTGCCGGTGCCACCAAGATCATTTTCCCTGCGGACAACACTTCCGACTGGCTGGAACTGCCTGAGGTACGTTCTTTTCCCTTCTTTCTCTGTTCCCGTCCCCTCCGTTTTGTACTGTTTGACCAGGTCGACTAACACTAAGAACCCGCAGAACATCAAGGAGGGCATCGAAGGCCATCCAGTCAGCTGGTACTCAGAAGTCTTCGATATCTTGTTCGCCGACCTCAACCAGGACACTGCCCGTACGGTGTGGCAGAAGGCTCTGGCCAAGCCTCCTAGCCAGAAGCGCGAGCGAGACGGTGAGGATGACGAGTAAAAACGTTCCGATGTGACTTATGTGCGATCTTCTTTCATGCCTGCTCCTGTGTGGTATATATTTCTGTGTTCCTTTCCCCCATTGTTTTGATCATGTGTAGCTGTGAGTGATCTAGGGGATGTACATGGTACATTGGCGTCTTTTTCAATGTCTGGGTGTCGTCACCCGACACGGAATGCATGGACTGGCGTTGCGGGGCTCTATGTTTCGTCTTAAATATCTTTCCTTTCTTCTCGTTGTTACCTTGTATGCATGATTTGCGAAACATGCTTTGTATACCTTTGGATCCTCTCGATACTTGAATGGAATGTCGAGCGGGAAGTATACAAAGCAGGTATAAAATCATAGACTCCACTCTCCGAACCATCCCAATTGAAAGCACTGCGGACCAATGCAATAACTAGATATATCACAAATATGATTCATGGAAAGACCAATTCCTTTAAACTTCTCCGTTCTCGACAGCCCTACTACATGGACACGTCCAGTCCTGTCTGGCCCCGCGGTCCTTGTTGCTCCCAATCAGGCATGAAGTCGTTGTCAGGCCGCAACGCAGCCTCTATTTTGATCTGTGCGCGATGAATCATATCCTCCGATCTGATTTTATTTTTCCTCCTCTGCTCTTGGGATCGTGATAGATCCCAGGAATTCGTGTGATTTGATCTTTCGCAGCCCCCCCTGCAGCGTCCTTTTGCCCCCGGAGTTCTGGTGGTCGCTGTGAGACATCAAGAAGCCTTGCAGTGGATCAACGCACATCGCAACCGTTTTTTATTTTTCCGTACTTTCTTTTTTTTTCGCTTGAAATTTATTCTCGAGAACAATCGATCTCTACGGCCTCAGGCCTCGCTGATCTGACCGACTCGCGCCTCTTCTTGACCTTCTCTGCTCTTTTCGGCACCGCCTTTTCCCTTCATGCTCGCCACGACCCTCCCAGCCTCCGCGCCCATTGCAACCCGACGTTGTGTGACACGCCAGATTGAAGGTTGACCCAGCCTTCCGCGGAAGCTTTCATCTCATCTCTCCTGGAAATCCCTGACGAAGGACACCCGCGACGAGACAGGGGGTGTGATTTAAGGGGAAATCGAGGAGTCGAAGGGAATATCACTCCCGGATCAAGTTTGTGCGTCTCGTCGACCTCCCCACAGATCTGAAGCTCTCCAGCTCTCCAGGTCTTGGGAATTCCAGTTCTCTAGATTTGCCAGACCGTCTACCGAACGACCGTCGTGGGTATCGAGTCTGTGCGAGGAGAACCCCGGGTAGAATTCTCGGGGATTGTCCCCCCTCCCTCTCTCTGGTACTCTGGCCGAATCCCAGCTCAGCTCAATTTTCTTATGGCCGTTCCAGCAAGCCAGGTGTTCGAGTCGTTCCTTGCACGACAGGAGCCGTATGGCCATCTCCCTTGCCAACAGCTCCTGTAGTCCGACGCGGCTGGGCTTGCTCCCAGACGACACGGACGAAAAGGGGCCTCCGCCGAAGCAGAGCATGTGGCATCGATTGGGCCTGCGACGATGGCTGGGCCGCGACGATCGAGACTCAGATCGAGACCGGCTCGAGACCTCCTCGTCTCCCCACAACATCAACAGCCTCAACAACCTCCACAACCGCAATTCAGTACCTCCCAACCCCCATCTCCGTTCCTCCTCCGCCAATAGCAACAATCGGCACACCAAACACGACAACCTGACCCGTCGACTCTCCCGCAAAGTGGGCGTCGGCCTGCCCCGTTCGACCACCTTCAAACGCCAGAATTCCGAACGGCGAGATCGATTGACACCCTTCGAGGCGGACCACCGCCGTACAGTCTCTGCCGACCGCCGTCCGTCGAGTGCCCAAAGTACCAGAACCCGGTCTCCACTGCCAGCCGTGGACCCGCGACTATCCGCACCAGAGGTTCAGTGGCTCGGCCCGACGCCCGCAACCACGGTCGACGAGTTCCCTGACACGGCTTCAAACGATGAGCCCAGTGTTCATGCCCATTGGGAGGACTCTTACCCCGATCTGACGATCACGTCGGCCCCAGAAGTGGAGGCTGAATCAGAACGGGGTGAAAGGGGGCAACAGGAGCCAGGGTCAGAACCGGTGCCGGTGCAGCAACAAGAACAGCAACAGCAACAGGTCGAGGAGGAATCGATAGACCCGCCCGCACCAGAGCCGGTGCAGGACATCCTCGATATGGAGCTAGACCAACGATGGATCCTCAATCTAAGCATGCACTTTCGAGACCGCTCTGAGCGTGAAAAATTCTTCATTACCTATGCTGAAACCCCGACCCGATGGCGCCGGGTTACAATCTCGTGTGATTATCGTGATGCACCGCCCGACTCGCTCGAGCAGGACCTGAAGGAACTCCGCTACCAACGCGATAAATCCGCCCGTATATACGAGTCAATTAGGGAATCTCTCCCCGAAATTCAATTCTACGACACCGTCACCAATCTTAAAGTTGAGACACGCGATGGTCGCCTACATGTCCATGTCACCGAAGACGTTAATGAGACAATCCCCTACCCGCCCATTTCGAGTATCGGGCACCTGCGAGGCGCCCGGTGCGTCCCTGAGCATTTTTTACACTTCGATGCCCATCTCTCGGGATTTGTCTACAAGGTCCAACTAGGAGGACGGGCTTATATCAAGAAGGAAATCCCCGGCCCAGACACGGTCGATGAATTTCTATACGAGATCAATGCTCTTCATGCACTCAACGGCGCTCCCAATGTTATCCGCGTGGAAGCAATTGTAGTGGACGAGCGACAGCAGGTAGTGAAGGGCTTACTGATCAGCTATGCCGAGCAAGGAGCGCTGGTCGACATTTTATACGAGCGACGGGGGCAAATCTCCTTTGCGAGACGAGAGCGCTGGGCCAAACAGATCGTGCAAGGTCTCTGCGAGATCCACGAATCAGGCTACGTCCAGGGAGACTTCACACTATCAAACATTGTGGTAGATGCAGAGGATAACGCGCACATTATCGACATTAATCGAAGAGGCTGTCCCGTTGGGTGGGAGCCGCCTGAAATTGCAGCAAAGATCGAGAGTAACCAGCGCATTTCGATGTATATTGGTGTCAAGACAGATCTGTATCAACTCGGCATGACTCTTTGGGCCTTGGCGATGGGGGAAGACGAGCCCGAGCGACAACCTCGCCCCTTGTTTCTCGGTCACGACGCAAATGTACCAGACTATTATCGGCGTCTGGTTGATATCTGTCTCAGCCCGAGTCCTCGTCACAGACTGGCCGCAAAAGAACTACTTCATTTCTTCCCCGCAGGTCTCTTGTCAAGACAATCCTTACCCGTTCGTCAAGCCCCAGCGACATACGGCAGCTACGAACGAACACTGGCACCCCTCGTCACAAAAACGAATTACGCCGATCCTTTACCCATGGTAGTCTCGCCCGATCAACTCACTTCGAGGGACTTGTCCGAGCAGAAGTACTCAGATACAAACCGAGGCGAAGCGCCACATTCTACTTTCTCTGGCATTCATGATCAAGAGAAACGATCGACCCTCACACTTGCCGAATCAAATGGAGATGCCTTTCCGTCGCGACATTCATCTGCATCAACCTTGAACCACCCAGAACCCCCGAGGGGTGACAAATCCTGGGATCAAGATGATTTATCTCGCGGCCATATTGCATCCGATATGCCTGCAGACCACCAAAAAATACAAAATGCCGTTCCAAGCTTCTGGGCGCACGCTATGAGCAACAGCCCTGAGAACAGTGTATCGGAGCAGCAGCCCCATTTTATCGAATCACCAACTGCCTGCGAAGACTATCCGGAAAGAGGTTCGCCAAATTCTGAAGATTCGATGACTTCAATGCCAGCCGCTCCCGTTCAGGTGCCTGTCAGTTCTCAGAACAAGAAGCCTCGAGATTCAGTGTCAGAAATTTTGAACAAAGAGGACCAAAAATATGACATCAAGACCAAAAGCGTCAGCTTTGACTCTCCGGATAGGGGCCTTTCGCATTCGACCCCATCTCTGCTGCTCTCGGCCCTGCCCATCAACCCCGCCCTGCGCAGCTCTTCTCGCAGATCACTCCCTGCAGATACGACAAAAACAAAATTGCGGAACGAAGATGGTGGCAGATATATCACATCTCTTACCGAATCACAACTACCCATCAATCCTGCACTAGGCATCTTCCAACGACGACAATTCCCTCTTTCCACCAAACCCCTTCAACCGCCCTTTCCGTCTGCCACCCAACCAGAGTCTTTCCGACAAAAGCTCATTTCCTTCCTCTCCGACTCCCGACTCCCCATCAATCCGGGCTTTAAAGACAAATTTACGAACATGGCCTGAGCCTGTTTCCCTCAACGCTATCACCTCTGTTTCCAGCGCGCGACCCAGTCCTTTTCGATGACATGAACCTCAGATTCTTTCCGGTCCCCCGCTATATTCCATGGGGACCGAGTGCTCGATACCCTCTTCGTTTCTCGCTTGTACAGTTCCCCCACATCATTGTCTAAATTTCCAAGCCCAGCGTCTTTCCCAAGGCATATGCACCGATGGCGCATGCCGGCGAACCTTCGGCGTCCAAAAAGTCTTTTATTTTAGCATTCTTCTGGTGAAATTTTGATTTAATTACACTTTTTGGTTTTGATTTTGGTTGTCTGCTTTCGCGAATCTCTTTGCCACCCGATGCCTGTCTCTTTCGCGTTCTCTACATCATGCACTTTTTTCCAATCTTTGCCTTTCTCTATACGGGGGATTTTGTCTTTAATGTTACTTGGCGTTGCTGCAAGGGCTGTTTGATTATATTCTGCTCAAGCTTCCTGCCTTCCCTTCTTGCCTCTCTTTTTTGGCTGATATGGCTGTATTATTTCCCCATTATTGATTACTTGCAATGCACTTCTTCGAGAAAGACTGCTATGCGTTTCTTTCAGTATTGAGTAGAGGTTCTTCTGGGATGAGTCTATGGAAATGTGGGTATATAGTATAAGACCGCTGGCGTACATTAGCCTCAATTTCCACGAACAAAGGACTCGAAGCTCTCCCTCCAGGTATCGGCAGTTGGCCCTAATCCTCTTCCAATCAGCACGATTTTACACTGAACAACCGACGTCTCATCTCCATTGCTTTGGGTTGGCTCCGAATCTCGAATCTCGAAGACATCCCGTACGGCTTGGATAATTTTATTCGAGCCGTCCTCCAAGCGCAAGATCCCTTTAAGACGGTGAATCTCGAAGTCTGTGGGATACGTCTGGGTTGTCCCATTAGCTGGTACTGGGAATGTTGACTCCCAGAGTACAGACTGCAGCCATGAATCGACCTTGGATACTTTATCAGCTGGAATCGGAGGGGTGACGACAGCGACAGTTGAGATTGCCTGTCATGGCCAGAATTAGCAGTCAGCAACAAAAGAAGAAAAGAAAATCAGAATTAGACAGATGGACGTGTTCATACGGGATCAATATGGCTATGGCCCTTCTTACTGAAGTCCAAATCTGCTAAATGGTCATAGGCATGTAGATCCAGAACAACGCCTTCAATTTGCGGCGTACGGCTGTGGTCTGTAACGTGGATCTTTGCCACGCTATTAATAGCAGAAATTCGATCCCGCACGGCTTCCAGCTCATCCGGGGTGACGAGATCCGTCTTGTTCAGAATTATGACGTCTGCGTGAGAAATCTGCATGTGGGCCATAGATAGTACTGGCCCAGAGCCGTGGTCATGGTCATGGTCGTCGTTATGAGAGTCGGCTTTTTCTTCCGGGGTAGGCTCATCCAGCAGGTGCATAATATTCTTGGCATCGACTAGGGTGACAATGCCATCCAGATAGATAGAGCTCCCGAGGCCCTCGTCCATCCAAAATACTGGAGCGATGTTACCCGGGTCTGCGAGACCCGTCGTTTCAAGCAGAATATAGTCAAATGTACCTCGGCGTTCCATGAGTGATTCCAGGGCCATTACACCAGTATCTCTGCAAGATCATGTCAGTCTTTGTAAAAGCTGGAACAAGGTCGAGGGTAAGAGAGAGCTGTTGCGGTGCGTACTTGACGGAACAGCAGATACAACCGTTCCCGACTTCCATCCACTCGGTGACTTCTTGGCCACCCTGGTTCACCGTGAGGGGTTTCTCAATATCCGATGCTATGGAGGAGACGGATGTCAGAGATTTTTGCTGCGATGATTCTCATCGAAGACAAGCCTTACAATCTCCAAATTCTATGCTTTTGTCAGTATGCTTGATTCCAATTAGAGTGGAGATAAAAAAGACAAACCATTCATGATCACAGCAATCTTCTTGCCATGTTTCTCTTTTAGGATATAATTCAATAGAGTGGTTTTTCCAGCGCCCAGATAACCTATTATGGAAATTTTAGCCTCAAGTACTACGTCTTTAATTCTCAAATCATACCAGTAACGAGCGTGATAGGGACTCGAGGCGTCGATTCTTCCTCTATAACGGGTTGTTCTACTGGCATCGTCGACACATCAATAAGCTCTGGGGGCGCATCGCCATCTTCAATATTGGTCGACATATTTCAGGTATTTCCAGAGCTCGGATACTCAGAACAGATCAAAATGCGCCTCTGCTGTCCAATTTATAGTCAACATAGGCGGCGGCGCCAAAGGGAAGAAAACGGCGGATGACGTTGTTGCCCAGAACGGATACTAGGGCTTAGGGTACGGCCGGTCAGTTGTTTGTTGCCAGCTTATCTACGACAGCGGCAGCTGGACAGAAGACAAACAGAGTATGCTCTGCTAGTCATTGTCCCTCTGATCGACTCGTGCGGTCGCGGAGATTTATTTCACTCCTTTTTTGGTCGCACACTCACACTCGTTTCCACTTCGCGTCTTCTCACCAAATCTCCTCGTTCTTTCCATCTACGCGCCATGACGACTGCCGGAGTCTCCCCGTCTAGCTCCCCCCGTCTTCCTAGTCCGCCCCCATTCACAGAGGTCCAGATAGGACCTCAGTCACCATCTATTGGCGAGTCATTTGGTCGAGATGCCGATCAACTTCTTGGAGATGCAGCCGGTGATGGCGATGGCTCGACGCGCCGTATTCGACCAGGCACCAAAGCCGCCGACATGGCGTTTGGTCCGCCTCTGATTCCTCTTGCACAGGTATGTGAACACTCCGCTGGCTCCCACCTGCACCATTGCTGACTCGTACAGCTTGACTCTCCATTCCAGCTCCAAGAACATCTTAAGGCGCTATACCATCACTTCACGAAACCCGAAGGATCAGACACCGTGGTCCCAATTAACCGCCAAGTCGCCATCCAGCTCGCTGAACCTCCGGAGGGAGTGGATCGATCCCTCTGGCTTTATGAACTATGTCGGTTCCTCACAATGAAAGTTAACAACCTCATCATTGCCTTTTTTGCTGAGAACCCGCCATGCTCATCCCAGACATGCCCGGAAATGCGAGCTTCGGAATGGCAGTATCTCTGCGCTGTGCATGACCCACCTAAGTCATGTTGTGCAATCGATTACTGTTGCCATACCCTCGATTGGGCCACCAACACGCTCACCTCACCTAAGTACTTCCCCAGTCGCCTCACGCTAGGGGCTGAGGGCTCCGGGGGACCGCAAGCCAGCATGCGACACCTCACCAACATCTTCCGCCGCCTCTACCGTATCTTCGCACACGCTTGGTTCCAACATCGTGATGTCTTCTGGGAGGTGGAAGGCCACGACGGTCTGTATGTCTTCTTCAAGACTGTCTGCGACCTGTTTAGCTTAATTCCCGAGGACAACTACACCATTCCCCCAGAGGCAGAAGGCCCAGATGCTTTTCAGCCCAAGCCAGAGGAATATACCGATAATAAGCGATTGACCATTCTGCGGAAGGAAAATGAGGAACCTTTCAATAGCAGTGTTGAGGGCGTGGACCCAGCCATCAGCACAGGTGCTACCACTCGTCGTCACAAGCATAGCCCATCAACTGGATCACGCGTTTCAACCATCACTGAGAGTGCAGAGGATCCAGACGAGCTCCCCCGGGTTGCTGCCCCGCTACGTGAAGTCATGAAGGAATCACCCGAGCCCGATTCCCAGGCAACTGTCACCATCGAGGCACCTGCCGAAGAGGCCAGTGAGACCGAAAACACCGAGGAGACAAAGGAAGCTGAGGGGTCAATTAAGAAAAATGAACAGCCAAGCACCAATGAAGAGGCCTCCGAGGCTACTCTTCCCGAGGTAAACGCCACCCCGGAGACACACTCAGCAGATGATGTGCTGGTGACGACCAAAGCAATCGAGCCAAAGGAGAGTGAACAAGAAAGCTTAGATACCCCCACCGAGGCCTCTGAGAAGACGGAGGCGATCCCTGAAACTGATGATGTGACCACGGCCTCTATTGAAGAAGAAAAGGAAGATCTTCCTACAGAATCGGAGCCTAAGTCTGAACCCGAGCCCAAACAGCAGACTGAGTCCTGAGGATGTATAGCTCTTTGTTGATTTCCATTCCCTTCTCCGTTCATATCCCGCACCAAACGTCTATTCTTGGCCAGGCGTTATTATGTATGTCTATTAATTGTAATATAGTTTCTTCAGGATGTTCATCATGGTCAATGTTAATGATACCCATTTTCCTGACGTATGGCTTAATATAATTCAGGACTTCTAGTGAGAACTATATAAATGGCATCGGACATGTTTTGGCTTGAAAGATTGTATCACTAAATATTCTGCTGGTATAATCCAATTTCATCACTCAACGCTCTCTGTAGCCAGGCGGTCAGAACATTTCGGGGAGGCGGTCTATTCAGTTAGTCCCTCCTAAATCCGCGTTCCTTACTCAGTCGGTCACGGTCCCTCATCTCTTCTGCAACCCCCGATAAGCGCCTTATCAGTTGGCGCTCCGGCATCACCTTGTCCTTCCCTATCAGCGCTTGATGTCAGTCAATTGCTCTGGAAATATGTCAGCAGTCAAAGTCGCTTCTGCCCCGGTCTATTTCGGATCATTTCTCGTGACACCTCAGGTAACTAGCTCCTACCTACTCTACCTATTAATCTCAATTGTCCCGAAACCCTCCGATGTTGACTCGAGCGGGTAAACAGGTCTTCTTTCAAACGCCACTATCCTTTGCGCTTGTTAACCTTAAGCCAATATTACCGGGCCATGTGCTCGTCTCACCACGCCGTGTTGTCCCCCGTGTCTCAGACCTCACAGCGGACGAAACTGCCGATCTCTTCTTGACAGTCCGGCGCGTAGGCCGAATGGTGGAGCGAGTATACGGCGCCTCGAGTCTTAACATTGCGGTACAAGACGGCATAGATGCTGGTCAAAGCGTTCCCCATGTACACGCTCATATAATTCCCCGAAAGCCGGCAGATCTGAATCACCGCGGCGGCACGGATGCTGTCTACGACATGTTAGATGGAGAGGAGGGCGATGTTGGCAAGGCGCTTAGAGAGGCTGATGCCATAGCAGCAGATAGACCGAGGACAAGGACCCGGTTCCCCGTGGTAGATAACGAAAAGCGCCAGCCTCGTACTGCAGAGGACATGAAGGCAGAAGCTGACAAGCTGGCGCACGAGATGGAGCAAGAGCCACTGGACTAAGGATCAATTCCCAGTCGTAACTATGTACACTACGAAACTAGAGCGAGCAAAGCAATAGAGCAATCAATGCAAGTCAAATGCATTCTAAAGGAAACCCGAAAGGCCATGTACAGCTATGCACCGTCCTGCGTGAACACCTCGGTCCTCGTCCCAACTCTATGGTATCTAAGGTACCTCCCAAAAAATAAACAAATTGAAGACAACCATAAAAAAACGCCCTTCAACCCCATGGTTCTAGCAGAATGTTCACTTATCCTGTCGATCTTCTAGGTAGAAATCACCCACGTTGTGGGCGCTCTTTGACGATCTGCTCGGCCCAGGCTTTCATTTCGGGCAACTGGATGCGGCTAGCGACATGTTGGAACTCGGACAAGTCGACCTTGTGAGAGCGCTCGTACTCCACCATCTGAAGTAGGAGCTCCATCTTATCAACGTCATGCACGAAATGAGCTTCCAGTGTCTCATTATCTTCATACTCTTGGAACACACGCTTCATCTCCTGGGCAGACACTGCACCTCCGGGGACCTTGCCCAAGAGGGCGTCGGTGATGTAGTCCATAACGGCAGCCTCACGGCGCGCCTTTTCAGACTTGGTGACATCCTTATCCACAGGTGTGATATCACCGACCAGCGACTCAGCCATGTCGTGGACCAGAGCCATCTTGGTGCAATGCGGAATGTTGAGCTTGGATGCCAGCTCCTGCGGGGCAAACATCGTCATGATCGACATCCGATACATGTGGTCGGAGATGGACTCGCCATCAATCCCAAAGCGCCGCCAACCTTCGCGCTTGGTGGTCTTGAGGCGCTCGAGCAGGTGAAAGAAGGGAATAGGTGAAGTCGTGTTCTCCTCCGGCGGGTGGGGGAGAGTAGAAAGCACTGTAGAAAGCCGTAATGGTCAGTTAAGCCGCTTTCCATGTGGAACGAAAGAGGTCCTACCAGTGTGCGGAGTCCATGAAGAGTTGTCGGAACCCATGGCTGCAACGAGGAGAGAGGAGATGGTCAAACAAGCAAGTTGGAAGGAGAGTGAAAAGAAAGTGAACCAAACAGACTCGAACCGCCAGCGCGGGTCCCGCGACCAGGGCGGGCGGCTACCACTGATAGTCGCGGCAAACAGTGCAAACCCCCGTTATCGCTGTTGACATTCCGCCGCGGTTTACTAACATACGCCCTCCATTCGCTCGCGCAGCAACATGGCTGCCTCGAGGCCCGCACGGCCAAAGCCCCTGGATTGGTCGTGTCCGCCGCATCTGGCGGTCTTCATTCGCAACTTGAAACTCCTCCATCTGGACCAGCGCGAGGACTGGCCCGATATCACCCTCCGCGCACTATCTCCGTCGTCGCAGAACCAACGCCAGCGAATTCGCCTGATAGAATGGTCCCTGTACTATCTTTTTACGATTTGGGATCCTGAGGGTGCGCAGAATGTACTGTGTCATTTCACTCACTAGAAAACAGAAACCTTGACGCTAATGTCTTCTTAGAAACTCCGTCCCTTTTTCCCACCGCTAGAACCCCTGCAATCTGTCAACCTTCGCGCAGCTCTCTTCCGTGTCCTGAGCGACTTGAAGAAAAATGGCGATCTCGGGCGAGAAACTATCCTGCGCAAAACCATGCTGGATGACTGCAAAGGAGAGAAGTTTGACGAGTTACTTGCAATCTTCTCCACCGCTGTCTTGCGCAAGTTGGTGGCCGTCTCCGCATCCGAAATGCTTTGGAACTCTGCCATGGCAATTTCCACCGCCTCCTCGATATCTCCAACGGATTACCAGAATATCTTTCCTCTGATTCTAGCTCATCAAGTATCCCTCAATGCGACGGGGGCACGCCGCACCAGAGTACAGCAAACTTACGAGCAATTTTCGCAACTCCTCAATGATAAGAAAGTCGAGCTTACAGAACGTGCGAGTAAAGAGACAACTCACGACACAAATCTCCCGCTAGGAGACTCGAAATCTTTGGCGAACGAGCTCCGGACAAATTGGCTGGGTAGCGAGGAATGGGCTACCGCCCTGCTTGATGGCGGAGCGCAAAGCAGCACCGACGCTTTCCTAGAACTTCCATTCAAGCAGGCATGGGCTCGAGCGACAGAGTCTACGGTGGACGATCTCAGCAGTAGTAGTGAGCCAGACCCGGTGGTTGATCTAGAGGCCCGGATTCTCCGGCTCAGAGCTCGGCTACGTCGGTGGCATGAATACAACGATTCCCTTCGAAAGCAGCGGGATGGTGAAGCTGGCACAACAGGCATGGAAAGTCAAGAGTCTCAGCTGCTGTTCCGTGGTCATCAGACTCTTTCGGTGGCGAGTTTATCTAAGACTGTGCGCGAGTCTGGACCCCGCGAGAGAACACTGAACGGGGTGGATAAATCTTTCATGTCGATTGTTGACGAAGCTATCAATCGCATCAATGGAAAGCCCATAGCAACCAACAAGAAATTCATATCTAAGGAATTTTTGGAGAAAGAATCAGCACCAGTCTCAGCGGATACCCATGCGCTACTACCTACAAAAGAACCAGTGCTGGACAGGTATCAAGCTCCAGATCCTCCAGCCGGAGCCGATTCTCCAGATACACCTGTTCAGCACACCATCGAGACTCGCACTTCGTCTCCTCCAATTGTCCGGCTCTCGCCAAACCAAGACCCAGAAATACACGATAGACCAGACCCAGAACCCCTAAAGCCGTCAACTTTAAACTATACATTGGTTGAACGCACCCGCAAATCAATGTCTCTTATCCCACCTCTTCCAGCTCACGAGGCACAACCCCGTCCTCGCCAGCGTCGTGGCCCGCGTCAATCATTCCCTATCAACCAGTTTGAGACACCGCGGAAGCAATATCGTCCAGGCACCATCGCCCGTTCCGGTGCATCTACGCCTCAAGACAAACTGTTCGAAGAGGATGCAGACTACGCGAGCGTGTTCAAATCACGCCCGCGTGTGGCACACAGTCCTATCTCATCTCCAGCTGTACATGTGAGTCCTTCACTGGATGAGGAGGACTTTGAACTCGAATACGATGAAGAAGATTTGAGGGAGATAGATTCACCACTCGTTGCCTCGAGATTTAGAGCTTGAGTGTGAAAAAATATTGTTAAATAGAGCAAACAGCACATAGATAATTAATTGTCAATTCCTTTTTTGCTTGCTCTAGTCAAGTCTATTTTTCCGATCTTAAATTACACATCGGTCTAAAACGTATCTCTTTCACTAATCAAATAAGACATAGAAGCTGAATCGGTGGTTAAGATCACATCTTTTCTCCAGCACTCTCAGTTTGACCACATTTCAATGCCATTCTTTATGTGCTCAAATCTACTCCTTAGCATTTTTAGCATCAAGATTCTGCATATATTACTAAATAACCCTGACCGTGAAGATGATCCGAACTGATTCCATCTCTTCGGACCACCCATACTTCTCATGGTCCAAAAATCGATTCTCGCTGGCGTTGAATTCAAGCTTAATACCTATGCATTGAGCCACCTTCTCCCATAGCATCTTAAAAGTCCGCATGCTGTGCAAGAAAGCACTTATATTCAGAGCAGGGAACTTGATTTCCCGAGCCCGCTTTGAGCCAACTTGACTACCAATAATCATCGATCCAGACGTACCAGCAAGTAATTTGATAACCTGCTTTCCGGCTTCTATTTGCTGTGCCCACCCCCACTGGTGGAAGAAGTTGCTTGCATGGATGATGTTCAAACGGCCTGTGAACTCTTTTGCGAGAGGCGATTCGGAATTAAAGATATCGGACGTAATGAATCGCGTGTGAAGCTTCTCCTTATCCAGGAACAGCTCGTAGCCCTGATTGATAAAGTCGGGAGCCAAGTCCGCGCCGAAGACATTCTGTGGCGGGGCGCCAGCTGCGACCTATAAGTTTAATCTATTAACACCTTGGAGACTGCTGAGTTCGAATTATACACTCTAATATCCGGAGAAATTCAAACTTACCAGCAAGCGGACCTCTTGCGCAAAACAACAACCCAAGTCCAGGAACTGGTCCCCATTTTTCACCCTCTCAAGGATCTCTGCATAATGAGGATTCAAATGAAGATCAAGATCGAGGAAAGTAAATAACCCAATAGAGGCATACGGATACTACGGCCTCTTTTTTGTCAGCCTTCGGATCTCATCGACAGCTTGGGTTGGCAGGCACCATCTCTAGTCTGGATACATACCACCTTGAATGCGCGGTCTCTCTATATCCTACTTTTAGCAAACAAAATACTAGCCCCGTGAGAAAGATAACTAGTATAGATAAGAAGAGAAACTACCAGGTCGTTAACATGCTGAGCAATTTTCCCCGCGGGAATGCCACTCCAATCCTGCAGCAGTGACCGCGCGGGCTCCTGAACCTCCGTAAGAGGGTCACGGTAGAGCGCACTCGTATAATCAATCGGGTCGGTCTCGGTCGGGCCGTGATTGTCGATGTTAGCCATGAGTTGTAGCTATAGTACACGGGATCTTGCAAGTTGGGCGGTGCGGTACTTGAATGATTTCTGTTGAGAAATGAGGGAAATGGGGCGAGGAGAAAAACAAGCTTTACTGGTAATATATATAGGGCCTCGCTACTTGTTTGGGGCGGCCCATTTGGGGGCGATGTTAACTACCCTATTGGATGCTAACTTACGGGGCGCCTGGGCTGAAGTGAAGGTTTTCATTCGGCACGCAGATGTGCAATTCAGTTATACAGTCTGTCTACACGTGTGGCTGGGATCAATGAGTATCGTAGCCGGGTCATTATTTTGGAAAGATCTATAATTTTTAAAAGTACAAGTGTTTTACGTTCAAACTCCAGCCGCCAATTAAATCATTTCGTGTACATTAATTCGGAGCATACTCTGATCCAGAGTCATTTCCATCATCTTCCTCATCAGAGTCTGATGATATTGAAACAGGCCGCGACGGTGAATCTTCAGCTATACGCTGGCCGTCGTCGTGATTGTGGGGACTGGCGAAAGATGAGGGGCCAGGGCGTTGTCGATCATCATGTTGCTCCACAATCAGGTCATCTTCTGCCTCTGCATCCCCTTCTCCAGGCACTAAGAAGCCGCCGCCGTGGTCAAGCACGCTATGGTAGGGCTCGTGAAGGTGATCGTCTTCAGTATGCACATGCTGCTCCTGGGGCGGATGATGACCCTTTCTACGGAGAGCAAAAGGATTATGAGAGTCCCGTTCACGGTCTTCGGCTAGATCCCCGCCTCCATATTCTTCTCGCACACGCTCTGCAATGCGCAGACCAAATAGAAATTTGCGCCAGGTCTGTAATATCCGTTTTTCAGCCTTGAGCTGCTCGCGCTTCTGCTTCTCTATTGCATCCGCGCGCCATGCATCGCGCAGTAAATCTTCATTTTCAGACGCCACGACCACACCCTGGATAACTGGAACGGCCATCTTTGAGCCAAATTCAAATCCGGTGACAGCTTCGGCGTAGTCAATCCCAAGTTTTTTGCAGATCCGAACAGTGCCCGGCAAGGGGACGTGTGTGGCGCCTTGGGGGACCATGCTTGGAACGAAGCAGTCTATATTTCCATAGTCATTTTTGGGAATGATACCATCCTGAATTGGTGGTGGGATGATAAATTCGGTCTGATTGCGGGCGTAGAGGCCTTGCATGGGTTTCTCACCCGTCTCGCGGTGCATTTCGTCAACTTCGCGCTTGCGGAGAAGAGTCACAGCTCGAATGGGAACTCGTTTCAAGGGCACTGCACCAGCTTGGACCTGTCGTCCTTCTTTGTGCCAGCTCTCGGCGGACATGCATTTCACGACGTCAGCGCGACGATAGACTAGCTCTTCTTTGGCCTTCGCACCTTTTCCTGCGATGAAGGTGCGCACGGCTTCGGCATCTGGTTTCAACGCCTCTTCGCGGCGTAGGAATCGTTGCAGAACGAATTCAGTCGATGTGCGAAGGCTTTGGAGCGTGTCATTGGCCTGGGCTGGTTTCTTTCTCTCGTGTTGTTTCCGTTGGAGATCTTTAGTATCTTCAATTTCATCCACTTTGGTTCTTTTGCTGAGTTGCCTCTCATAACCCCGCATAACCATCCCAAACCAATCATACTCGAAAGATTTACCGCGACGACCGGGTAAGGAAATCTTCTCTACCGGCATCCGGAATCCCTTGGTTTTTCCGGGCCATGTCCGTCGTCGCAGATAACGGGTGGTCACATCTTTGCCAGTGCCATCGGCGGAATGGGCAATCACATAGCATATTACCTGCTTGGCACGTTCGGCTTTAACGCCTCGTGGTTCAAACGCAGCCTGTAGCTCTGGTGTTGTAGCCACAGGATTAGAGAGGACGAGAGGGTCGACTGGAATGACATCATGGGTCACTGGAGAAGCAACCTCAGTCCAGTAGATGGGAAATGGCAGATCTCTGTCAAATTGAAAACGGCCTTTCTTCGCAGATGGCCGGTCACTTTCTGGTGAAGTTGTCTCTGATTCGGGAGAATCGGCCTCAGAAGCGTCCCGCCTAGCATTTGCTTCTGTCTTTGCTGCTGTGTATGTCTCTGCTTTGGTCCAGCCAAAGCCCAGTGGCTGTAGACTAGCTACCAGCCTGGCCTCGATACCCAATGCTCTAATCAAGGCCGTAAAAAGCTGTGCACCGACATCTCGGGAGCCTTGCATGCGCTCTGCTAACGATCGGAATTCCTCGACATTGGCGATTCGTTCTCCATGAGTTTCAGGATCATGCTCTTCATTTCGAGATTCGGTCAAGGCCGCCTCCAATTCCACCACAGGGCGATAGCCATGCTTCCGTAACCCCGGCGCCGTGATACGAAATTGCTTCCTCCAATACGCCACTAGCACTTTGAGCAAGGGAATCAGAGGATCGCCACGACTCATATCCGGCTGACCGGGCTCCAGTCGCTCCGCCTCTGCACTCCAATCTTTATTTCTCTGGGCCTTCTTGCCTTTCTTCTTGCTTTTCGGCGGCTCTGGTTTGGGCTCTGGAAGCTCCAGGCCGGCCGCGATCCGCCATTTCTTTACCTCCTTGTGAATTCCTTCCGGCAGCTTATGCCGCAGGATCTCATGTACCTTCTTGTCGTTCGCCCAGATATTACGAATGGCGTTGTGGAAAAGGAGGCACTGGACGTGCATGCAGTGGGCTTGGATGCGAATTTGGCGCTCGATCTTGCTAGGACCTTTCTTGCCGTCCAGCAGATCCGCCACATGCGCTTCATTCTTGTCCAGGGTCAATTCCAAATCCTGGAATTCGGGGGCCGCGAGAGTCGGTGTGGTCGCGCTGGTGGTTCTGGTGTCGATCGCGTCTTCCCAATCGATCTCGTCGTCGTCATCTTCATCCTCCTCATCCTCGTCCTCGTCCTCGGCCTCGGGTTCAGCTGCAGCCAGTCCTTGGGGAGTCTGGACTGCGTCTTCTGGGACGTCACTTAAAGGGGAGTCGGAATCGGAGTCGGAATCATCGACAATGTAAGGTTGGGCCGGGGCGGCCTGGGCCTGGCGCTTGGCCGGGGGCGGGTCCCCGTCGGAGAAGCGCTTGCGGGGGGACGAACGGCGGCATGCGCAGGGACAGACTGAGCTAACTTCCGAAAGGTGGAGAAGGGTGAATTTGAGAAGAGAATCAGGAGGTCCGCCAGAGATTGGGCGTCGGGGGCGCGGAGTGCGGAGGAAGGAGATGCGCGCAGAAAGGATGACGCTATCGGCGACTGCCGAGGCCGTCGACTTCCACTGCGCATTTCCCTCTTCCAAGTAACCCGTGCACAAAGCAGACAAGCCCTGCGAGTCGACTCAGTTATTAGTTGACTTCTACTGGTTCTATTCCCTTTTTCTACACCTCATATTCACCCTGTTCCCCCGGTTCACCATGGAAGCTGTCAAGCGCTTCTTCTCCTCCTCGCGCTTCGCCGTGGCGGGGGCCAGCAACGACACCCATAAGTTTGGCTACAAGAGTACGAGAATCCCCCGGGGACTTCGGAGTTTGCATGCCTGACATTCTACAGTCCTCGCATGGTATCACCAGCATTCACTGCCGGTCACCCCGCTGAACCCTCGGGCAGCGCAGATCACCCTCCCCTCGCGTGCATACGATACGGTCCCCTCGCCGGCCAGTTTGCCCTCGCCCACCCAGACGTCGTTGTCGGTGGTCACTCCCCCGCCAGTGACCCTACAGGTGCTGCGCGAGGCGCATTCAGTGGGAATCCCTGCCGTCTGGTTGCAACCCGGAACCTTTGATGACCAGGTGCTGGAGTTTGCCCACGACCATTTTGAGGCAGTGATCGCGGGTGACGGAGGAGCGGGCGGCGAGGGATGGTGTGTGCTGGTGGACGGCGACGAGGGATTGGATGCGGCGGGGGTGCAGTGGACCAGCCAGCGACTGTAAGAGACCGAATGACAGTGAAATATTTGGATTGAGGGGGAATGAAGAGACACCCCCAGTGGATGATGTGAGGGGGATAGTATCTGGTTAGACCGTAGTGAATCTCAAGTCGCAAGTGGTCGAGGCGGTTAACGTTTGTTTTTGTTGACCAAACAAGACTAGGCCCAAGCAAGCCAGCCTTCCTTTTTCCTGAACAACTTCTTTCTACTCCCTCCATTCTCTACTCTGAGAGAAGGGGAGAAAGAGAGAGAGAGAGAGAGAGAGAGGAAAAAGAAAAGATCAAATATTCTCTTCAATCTCGTCTAATTTCATTCTTCACCATCCCCCACACCTGTTCTGTCCATCTCTTGCTGCTGTTCCTCCCAACATGCCGGACATGCCAGCCGTCTTTCAGATGTCGGCCTCGCCGCCAAAACTCGACCTGGCCAGCGCCAACTCTCAGCTCTTCCAAGTTCCTACGTCAGCCTCAGCGTCTTCTTCCCTCTACTCGCTTTCTGTCAGCCGAAAACGTCCCCGGCGTGACACGGAGAAGCTCTCCACCAAGTTCGGCCCGGCATCCAACTTGCCTGCCTCGCCGCTGTTTCAGCCAGACTACCAGAAAACACCCACCCATGACGAGGTCTACTCCTCAACAGAGCTAGACTATCGTCCCAACCGATACCGCCAGTCCTTTCTTCCACCCTCTCTCGATGCAAGCGTTCAGTCCATCGGCCCCGACTCCGAAGGAACTAGTCGCAAACGCAGCCGTCGCGATTCGGTGCTCGCCTCACCTACCGCAGCAGAGGATGCGAGTCCCAACACCAGACGCGTTGGCTGGGGTCGAACAGTCATCAACGCCGTCGGGAAAGTCCTAGATCTGTGCTGGTCAGGCGCGTTCCGGGGCTTCTACGCCGGTGGAGGACAGGGCTACGACATGCAAGCCGGATCCCCACCGCAGATCACTCCTAGCTGGCAGCCCGGGCCCAGTGCCACCGAAAAAGATCGCATCTTCCAAACCCCCATCCCAGGTCAATACCCTGAGGAAGAGATCGAACGAAACTGGGTGGTGATCCCCAACGACCCGGCTGACCCCTTCGTGGGCTCCCACAGCCCCAGCACACCATCCTCCAAACCTCGGCGCATCCACCAGGCCTCCAGTCCCCGTCGGCGACCAGCTATGATGCCACGCCTAGCCAAACGGACCAATAACCCTTCGATGCGGCCATCCACGCCCACCAGAAGCAGCGCGCTTCCCTCTCCACGGGCCAGAGAAGGGCCCGCCTCGGCAGACATGCAACGATATGCGGCTCAAATGCGTCGCAAGGAGCGCGAGGAAGATGCGAGCATCAAGCGATTGAACCGGCAATTACAAGCCATGATTCGTGAGGGGAAAGAAGCACTCGGCACGACGGTAGACGTGGATGATCTGGACATGGATTTCGACTGATGCACGCCCTGAGGGGTTTGCTTTGATAGCATCGTCTTCTTGGTTTGCTTCTTGTCTCTTTTTCTTTTTGGTCCTCTTGCTTTTGGGCCAGGTTCTTCTTTGCATATAATGATTCGATACCCCCAATGGCGCTCGCTTACTCGGTTGATCTCGACACAAGAGACTACGAGCTTGTGGCGCTGCATGACTTCATGATCTCGGTGATTTTATTCTTCCTTTTTCTCGCTTTACATAATGGCACAGCTTTCGCTGTCTACTGGGGAGGGCTTTCAATTCAGGGTCTTTGTTGTATCTTCTTTTTTGATGAATGCCGAAACGGCATTGCCCCGAAAGGGGGCGGATGGGCATCCTGTCTGGTTTATTGTCGGGATGTCGGCCTGAATTTCAGTAGAACAAATGACATTGTCAAATTCAATAAATACACATCACCACAACCCCAACCGCCGGACACGCGAGTCCCTCTACTCTGAAACTAGATTCCAAAAAGAAAACTTCCACAGAAACATACGTTCACCGTCGTCCTCGATGAAGGACTTACTGGGCGCCTCCGGGCGACAGGAACTTGCTCACCTTGCCCAGAACCCCTCCTTGAAGCAATACATCGGGCAGAGTCGCCCCCTGGATGGGCGCCCCGCGGGCCTCGTGCTCCGAAACATCACGGCGGCCGTTCATCTATCGTGATGTCAGCAGCTATTTCAACCCCAAAGAGACAAAATCGTTTCAAAGACAACGTACTGGCAGCAAGCCAAGACCGTGGTGCTCGTGGCCAAATAGTCCGCCGAGGCCGCTCTCGCTGGCCAGGGCCTTGAGGGGATCATTAGTAGCGTCATCCTTCTGCGATTGCTGTGCATTGGGAGCCTTCGATTCCACGGCCTCCAAGTCACGGCGATCCTAGAGCGAGTGGACGAGTTAGGGCAGTTGAACTATGTGGGGTTGCGGCATCGTGAATACGTACTGGTATCATGGAGTCCGCCAATTCGGACGCCTGGTCCACGCCCGCATCCATTGCATCAGCGACGGTGTCACTGATCGAGGTGATATCACTGCGCTTCTGTTGATCGGCCTTCTGGTCCTGTGTAGCGTTGTCAGCATTGCGCTTTGTGGGAGGAGAGGAGGCGGTCTACATACACCACCGAGAAGGCTGCCAACAACAGGCAGGGTGCTGAGATCCCCAGTCAAAGAGCGGCGTTGATTCTGACCGTAGTTCTGGCCGTAGTTCTGACCCGCATTTTGGCCGTAGTTCTGGAGCCAATTCTGGCCCTCGTTTTGACCCTCGTTCTGGCCCTCATTTTGGCCAGCATTCTGTCCGTAATTCTGGCCATGCACGGTGTACGACCGTGCCTTGTTGCTGGGCATGGCATCGCCATTTCCCAGGGGCTTGTTTGTGTTGTCGGTCTTGCCTTGGTTCTATTCCATTGGTCAGAACAACTTTCTTCCAATTTCAATTGGAAACATACGCCACCGAAAAGATCACCCAGGATAGGGAAGTTGCTGAGATCTCCGGTAAAGGAACGAGTCTGGTGGTTATTCTCGTTGACGCTGCGCTTCTGCATTTAGCTTGCGCGTTAGCAAAGAGGCTCTCTCGCTCCCGACCATTCTGTATAGATCTGAATGATGTACTCACACCTCCGAGAAGTCCACCCACGACAGGCAGACTGTCGAGCAAGCCACTCTTCTGGCTCTTGGCGGCCTTCTGAATGTCTGCCTTCTTCTTTTCAATCTTCTTCTCAGCCTCCGACTTTTCAGGTTTGGGCTTTCCTGCATCCTGGTTTTTGAGCTGATCGCCAAGTTGGCCGACCATCTGATTCACAGCGCCGTCGGCACCAGCTCCAAGGAAGTTGCCGCCGCCATCACGGCGCATTTGCTGGATTCCAGTCTGCTCATTGCCAGCGGGCGGCAGCGGAGCCGCCAGGCTCATAGCAGCGAACAATGTAAGAGCATAGGTAGTCTTCACCATCTTGTCACTTGTGGGAATGATTCCTATCAAACGAGAGTGGATGTCGGCGAGCGACGGGTGTAGAAGTCAAACGAGAGAGAGAGAGAGAGAGAGAGAAGAGGGATAAATGAGAGTCTGCGGAATGCAAAGTATCGAGGGGTGCCGGCAGGCCGGCTTGTCTTTATACTGATTGCCCTAGTGGCATTCTCGGATAACCTGGGATATACAGGGGTGGAGTGGTGCGTTAAGCTCTCTTTGAAGAGATAGGGCCATCCAGCGGTGTCAACAACGCCGCCGGGGAATGTAATAGCCCTTCCGTCTTCTCCGTGAGTGGGTGGTTTGGTCACGTTGGTCTATAAAGGAATGTTCCGAGGCTTGTTTGGTGAAATATCCCCGTCGATCATGGTTGCAGGGCAGGACGCAAGGGATGCTCGACAAAAGATCGTGGGCAACAGTGCACCTGCGGATGGCCGCTGTATTCGCCGTTTCATGTAGAAGCAACTTAGATCAATCTCATGAGATCTGTATTTATGACGCCTTGGACTCGATATATGATCGTGCATGTCGTAGCTTTGAGGTGTTGAAAGTCAATATTCTACATTTCAGGTAGACTATCCTTCGAAGCCTTGGTCAATGGTAAGTCGGGCCCCTTCATTTATTTGAAGGGGCACCCACTAATACTCTCCTTTTCTCCCTCAGTAACCCTTCGTGGAGGCCTATTCCCATCTCGACATTTTGTACGTCTTCATCAGCTGCGCCGTGCGGGTCGATTGGTGAGTTCGTGATGCGAACCTCAAGAGAGTTTACACAGCATAATGTCCGGCAACTCTTGGCCTTCTCCTTCTACTAGTGGCCACCCGTGGCCACTTTTTGATCACTGAGTAGAATTGAATATGTGATCAACCGTGTAAACTCGCCAGTGAGTATTCTGCAATCATCGTATCCATCCACTGAATCCTGATTTGATTACTGAGTCTAAGTATAATAACTCCAAGTTCATAGTCTATCTACATTAGTATAATTGGTATAATTTTGGCAACCAGGAAGTAAAAAAAAATTCGATTATAACGCACTGCTAATTAATATGCGATACAGGCTCATCATGCTTTGATACGGCCGTTTCGAGAATCATGCGCCGAGTTCATTGCTCTTTCCATGATCCTACAAATTAGTAAAGCTTGATGAGTCAAAATATTTCTGAAACCTTTCACGTTAATTGGCCAGCTGGCGTAATTGGCAACGCATCAGTTTCCGGTAAATCGTTACTCCGATGAGATTAAAGTCTCGGACAACGTGGGAAATACTGGGGATTGCAGGTTCGAGTCCTGCGTTGGTCGTTTTTTTTTCTTCGGCAAACTTTGCTTGTGTGATTTCTGTCCAATAGATCCAAGTCCAGTTATTGAATTGTTCAAAGTAGCTGCAGTATGAGCAACAGGTTACGTTCATTTGTGTTTATACCTTCAGGATCAATCTCTCGCCGGGTAGTCACGCCTCGGTGTTTACAAGCGTCAATTCTGTTCTGTTTCCGGGAACGGACTTGTCTATTCACAGTAAATAAACCTCAATTACGCTTAGTGGCAGCCTTTATAGTTTACATTCCGATATTAAAAACTTAGTCTATGTTGAGCTTATTCTCCAATTTGTTACCATATAACAATTACCTCTCCCCTTGTTGAAATTTCCCATTCTTTAATCGACAGAGACCTACGATAGTATCTCACTACCAATGAAGTGCAATGGCTGCACCGAGCGCCACTGCTGCAGCAGAAACCCCTTTAACAGTTCCCAGTTCATCCCAGGTAGAGGTCTTTGTTCCCAATTTCGCAGCAGCATTGGACGTCAAGTCGGCGCTACTAGATGCAGAGCCAGCGCTATTGGATGTAACATCTGATTGCTTATGCACTAGTATTACCATAGGTAGCCACGAGATAGCAGTCGGGTCTTCGGCATCGTCACTAGTGAAAGTCGTGGTATAAGTCGAGGTAGAGACACTAGTGGGTAGCAGGAAGTCCTCCGTCCGGGTCTGGCCGTTATGTGTAATTGTCTTGGTACAATGTGAGAATGCGCTGCGCTTCATTTTACTGGAAATGTAGCAGCCCTCCGTAGCTTCGTATTTAGGCATTGTTGTATAAAAACCATACAGAGGATCGGCTAACCATGAACTGGTGGTGATAAAAGTTCGTTCTTGAACTCGTCGGTAGGATTTTTGAGACGGTCATTATGGGTGTTAACTTCCTCACCATACCTTGAACAGCACAAGGCTAAGATCTCGCTGGGGTCCAGAATATCTGCGAGTAAATTTGCCGGGCTCTCATCTGCCCAAACTCCAGGATTGGTGTCGTTTCATTGACGGCCACAAGTCCCGAAGATGTCGCAGGTTTGTTACCATCTCAACCAGCAGCCCCCACAGTCGACCGTCCATCAGGGCAGTACAAGCCAGGGGAATGGTATGGAACCGCCTAATAATCATGGACGGTTGGCATTTTGGTCGAAGTTACTATGGGTGATGTGCCAGTCGGGGCGCATTGATCCTAAACTCGAAACGTGGAGCATTGAACATTATATTCGAGATTGAAGAAAGGGGTCAGTATTCCAAGTCTCAGATGATCTATAGACGTGCAAACTGGTTGTGCCGTAAAAGTAGCCGTGAGGGTGCCCACATTGGAATACGTCAATCCATTATTTACTGTGACGCTAGGCATGGCTGCGAAACACTTGCGGAGGACCAGATCCAATTGGTTTCAAAGTAGACGAGAACTTTGAAGTTGATATATTCGAAATACGACCCAAACATCGAGGCCGAACAAAGGGGCCACAGGGTTATAAGTGTGACTCTAACTACATAGCAAGCCTGTAAAATTGCGATTGAGACTATGAAAACAGGGGTAAATACCGCGGGTCTTGGACCCTGGACCCTGGTCCCTTCCGTCCTCTTCACCCCGTCCCTGTGGGCAAATTAGGTGCCGCCAAGCTGACTTGGCGGGATCCGCGCAATGTTTGGACCCCCGCTAGAATCTAGACTACCTCAGTGGGCTGAATTGGGGGCCAATGGCTGTGAAATTTAGGTTACAAAGGGTCCAGCGGACACAGAGCGAGTTTGAGGCTGGGTCGATGAGACTCCCTCTATCTCGGAACATAGACGAAAAAATAGGAAAAGAGGAGTAATTTGGGATGAAATTATATACTTTTGATCACTCGTTCATTACCTAGAAGAAGTAATCATCGTCCTACAGACATGATCCGGGTAGATTGATAACTCCTGGCCACATATTCCTTATGTTAAATAATATTCTGGAGGTCAAAAGTTCCAACTTCCATTCATAACACTAGTATGCAGTAATAGCAGTAGGAGAACGAGGCGGCGGCGGTGGAGAGTGAGTGAGAGAAGCGACAAGAGATGAGAACGAAAATGCAATATCTGCATGAACATATTTATAGTGATCTTTGGGTTTTCTAAAAAGGTATGGCCGTCACCGCACATATCATCCGACGCTACGACCCAGTGCAGCAAATCGAATGAAAGCCAGAAAGATAAACCTATATCTAGAAGTCGTATAATACTATAGAAGGAATACCTATATCAGGAATTCCTATAGAGTCTAGTAAATCGCTGTTAGAGAATAACTACTCGTACAGGGTATAAAACCTGTCGATTAGGTGGGAAGATAGACGTCAAGTAAGCAAGGTAAAACACTGTTTCTTGCTATCATGAGCTCTCCATGATCCTCAATTTATGTACAGGCTTCAACACTTTTCCACATGACCAAAGCAAAGGCGATGGATCACAGTACAATGTGCAGTCTGACGTGGCCCGCATGTAACAGAGGTAAGCGAAGGCTAAAAGAAGGAGGGGTTCACGAATCCCTGATGAAAGGGCACCGAACCCTCAGAGCCTTGTAGGCTATGCATCTATGTCGGGGAGGCCCGATCGATAAGGTGTCGAACCGACACTTGAGGCATTGAGTTGGGAATAACCTCATGTTGCAATATCATATGACAGGATCACAGTAGTAGATTCCAAATAGATCTAATCCCTAGTCTTCTTTATTCTGGTTATTCGTATAAACAAAATAGAGTACTATAAATAAATTCCTTAATATAGGTTAATTAAAAAATAAAAGGAAGGTTAATAAAGTCTTTATATAAACTAGTTATACGAGATTACCTTATATATAGATCTAGAGAATAGAGGAGAAGATCTAAATTTAGGGCTACCTAAGAATATAGGTCCTCCCGGTCGTACCCTATGAAAAGAACCTCCGCTATCTTAAGTAAATTAGGGTTAGATTATACGATCGTAAAATATAACTTAGAAAGCTAAAATTAGAATAGGAGATAGAAAATACCCTTACTTAAAGTATTCTAAAATTTAAGCTTAATCGTACGAGGAAAAAGGCTTATAGTTGGCCTTAGAAAATCGATTATAGTAAGGTCTAGCGTCAAAATACTACCTATACTAAAAGACTCTGACCGCCTTATAGTTAGGCTCACTATACCTAGTACCATAGGATAGAAATACCAAGACGTTCCTATTGCCAGTCCGGGCTGCCTACCTGTTCCTAGAGACAATATCCAGCTCAGCCACGGGTTGCGACCCAGCTAATTCGTCCACTATTTGATTATCATTCAATTCATTAGGGAATTTGTGACCCCGCAATGATATTGTCGGTGTCAATTCGTGATCTGCAGGCTTTGATTCTCGCCTCATCTTCCGGAAGCAAAAGGCAGCGAGCCCGGCAATCAAAAGGCAACCAGCAGCAGCACCTACACCGATGCCAGCCGCCGTTCCCGAGCTTACTGCCGAGGAGGAAGAGGAAGATGATTTGGAGGAAACGGAGGTTTTTGTGGTGAGGCCGGTTGTGGTGGTCGTTGGTACAGACGTGGAGTAAGAGGGCAATCCGGTCGTGGGGAGGGACAAGATGGATGTGAGATAGGATGGCGCAGGCGCGGCGAATAGCTGGTTGGATGGTTCAGAGCAGTTGGGTTTCCCACCCACATATGTGCAGCATGCCCATAGTTGGGAGGTCTCATTCCAAGTGATTTGGGAGCCGGCGAGCCCTCCTTCAATTGCAGTCAGTGTCTTGGTCTCGAGAAAACGAGAAAAAAATGGGCGCGACTAACCACATCGACTTATACAGTAATCACTTTGTAGAGTAGGGTCCGTGCAATCAGCACTGTAATATCCAGTGCCACCTTTGTTCTGGCAGATGCCATTGCTCATGCATGTGGAGCCTCTTACACAGCAGGTCACATTATGGCCGACTGTATCGGTATCGGCGCATGGCAGATCATCGTTATTGATATTAATTGCCCCTAAATGTAAATCATAACAGGTAGCGAATGAGGTCATAGGGAACGGATAAACGGAGAAGCCCGGATCGGAGTTGGACCTAGAAGAAACAGAGAGTCGAGAACATGGACATTATAAGTCCCGGGGCAAGCGACAGCTGAATGTCAGGAGTCCATTGCAGCTCGCCTTCGCGTAGTAGCGTGTGATGAGCATTGGAAATATTTTGGCCCCCAGCTTTTAGCATCGGAGGAAATACCGCTTTACTACGCGATCGCCGCGCATACGGGGTATGTTATGGAACAACCACATTTGATGTTATTCCGGCCCGGCCGATCGGCTTGTTTCGGATATGAATCGTGTATGTGACGATCTTGGTTCATGAAGGCACAGCACATAGAATTCGGAATCGGACTCCTTTACTGATATTCTTTCAGCAAGCAGCGGAATAACAATATTTAATTTATAGAAAGAGAATCCCCCTTTCTTTCGAACTGAATCTCTTCAAGATTCAGTTATTGGAATAATACACTCTTGTTCTCCTTCCGATCTTATCATGATTCTATATTATATTCATTTTTCCTTACCTGACTAACAGGCCGCTATCCTGCAAGTAGCACCCTAACACACGTGCTAGCTGGATCCTATATACACCGTTATTAGCAGCATATACTATTACAAGACGCTGCTAGTGGGTAAGCTCACCTTTTTTTCGTTTTCTAGCAGATCCTGCTAGGTTATCTAGCATGCTAGGAGTTGTAGAAGGAAAGAAATTTTACGTGTGGGTGGTTAGTGTGGTGATCAAAGTCGGGACCGGTAAATACTTTTGAACACTATTCTTCAGCTTAGATATGATCATATATTTTCACTAGATTAAGCTTCCCTCACAGATTTTTGAAGGAAGAACATATATCTCCCCTCTTTTCCTATTGCTCAACAGGTTATGAGCCCTTCGACCAGGTACCATTTGGGGCGGCGTTGGTGGTGTGGTATTGGATGAACTCAGCGCGACTCTTAAATGCATTATATTTTATCATAAAGGTGAATTCAGCAATCGATGGCCAACTGGCCTAGTGGATAAGGCATCGGTTTCCGGTGAAATATTAGTGTGCTTTGTGCCGCTAATATGGAAAGGATGTACCGGGGATCGCAGGTTCGAGTCCTGCGTTGGTCGATTTTTTTTCTATTTACTACATTCTCAAATCATGAGCCGACGTTACATCCCAGATACATAAATAGCCATTTAATACTCTTTTTTCCCACATGAAGCGGATCAAACACAGATCTGAGCCTCAACCAACCGACTAGCCTCTCGGACGATATCCCATAATTGTGCAATTGCTGCTCTGTCGACCTTTCTCTAGCTTCGGACAAAGTAATGCTCGCTCCTCCTAAAAACCTCCTCTCTCCTCTGCCACTAATTTTGTAGAGGGCTCTGACGGGAGGAATGTCGAGGCGGATATTCTCTTCTGCTGACCGAGTCAACAGAGCTTCGATTTCTCTTTTTGGTGTCGAAGCTGCAGATCAAACGTTATCGCGCTTATTGTTTCCCGGTCCTTATCATATGAGTGATCAGATGCAGCCCTGCCTCCGCTGTCTCGGGCAAGAAGGGAAGTGACGACTCAGGAGATCAGGGAGATCATCGATATATATTTTACTCAATATATTGCTTTCTCCGAGTCAACTGAATTCTTTAAGTCGGCAATTCATGAGACTGTTCATATACGATTACTTAGGCGGTCTACTTTCAGAATTACGGGTACGATAAAGATATCTAGAAACAATCTTTTGGACGACCAGATCTGTCACTCAGGCGCAATTGATTGATTTAATACCCTAGAGAGTATCACATACTAGAAACCCCGTTTTCAGCCCCGACGTACCGAATCCCGATCAAGCCGAGCGGAATTTCGTGTAGAGTGAATCTCCCAGTCAGAAGTAATTTTAATCTGTCCGTGAGCCAGCTCACTTAGTTTTTTAGCCATGGGAGGCATGGCCACTGTCACCAGCGGTATTTCAGGCTCCTCCATCTGTGCGCCTGACAAGACAGTTGTCTTCCAGTACCCCGGGGAAACAGGAGTGTGGCCGTCTGCGGTGGAAGAGAATAGCGTACTTCCAGATAATTTCTCGATAGCGGGAGGTATGATCGGCAGGCAAGCAACAATAATACCTAGCAAGGGGATGATACTCGAAAGTAAAGATTTGCGGGTAGATCCGTAGGTTGGATCTTCAGGGTTGAGTTTGAACTCGACAATTATTCGAGATATAGAAACGCCAAGGATTCTGAGGAGTGTCAGCGAAGGAACTGGATATAAAGGTTGGGGAAACGACTCACACAAGACCTAAAACATAAATACCGCAGACAGCGATTTTTCTGGCTCGCGACATCTGCATGTGTCGTATCATCGGCAAGGGAAGTAAGAGGATCAGTCCGTTAAGGATGACGGTGGTCACAGAACAACTGGTGTGAAGCAGTTTCCGATTACCACAATGACCGTCTGTGTCAGGCAGCCATATCTTTTTGGGTGGCGAACAGAAAAATGCCGTAGCGAAAACACTGGCTATCCATAGTGCCGAGCAGAGGCCAAGCAGTCCATAAATTAACCACATGATAATGCGATGCTGGAATCTACAGAGGTAGTAATCCAGAATCGATAATTGGACCAAGGCAACAACCGTGATCCAAAGTAGGTCGCCGGCATATGTAAGCTTGCAAAGATGTCAGATATCACCAGCGACGTAAATCACAATATATTCTTTGATATTTACCTCATCGAATCGCACGAAGGCTTCGGGGCCCCCAATACTGTTCACCTCCGAAGCATGGAGTCCCAATCCACACAGTAAGATCAAAGAAAGTTCTACAGTATAGCGACCGACCATGACGACCTAAACGGATATTGTTAGTGTATCCTTCTGGAGAGAACAAGGCAGATCTCTTTTCAGAGCCATCTTCATCTTGTTGGATCGCATACCACTCCGGCTAAAAGCAGCCAATCGTTTCCCCGCAGCGATACTCGCTGTAGGCGGCGAGACCATAGTCGTAACCCGACAGCTACCAAAGCAGCCGCCAGAAGTATCGTCTGAACGGCGATGTCTGCCTTGCCCAGCCAGTTATGGCCGAGGGAATGGACAAGAGTACCCAGAGGAGGCGGCATGTGGTTTTTCACAGACCATAAGATGCTCAAGCCGGACCACGGGATTCATCTCGTATATGAATCCAGGTAGCGCGATCTGGGGCCACGAGGAAGGAAGAGAGGGGGAAGCGGGGCCGTGCATTAGAGTCAGCAACCTCACAAGGGGGATCCATGCACCAGGCCGGCGATGGGATCGACGCTTGTTGTCATGGAATCGCTGAGGCTTACCATGGGCAAGTGATTTCATCTAGGCCTTGCAAGAGTTAGACTCTCATTGGATTGCAAAGAGCTTTTCTGGAAGAAACTCTCCGTTAGCGCTCTCAATGCGGGGCCCGTCATTTGGAGATTTCCAACGTCGCCGGCCAAGGAGCTCCACTCCACTCTATCTCAAACATTCGCGTTTCACACCGCTACAAAGCCGGTTTGAAGACGGCCTATAAGATGACTCCACCGTTCCGTCATTGATAAAGATATATATGAATCGTCTACGCCCCAGAAGGGAATTTTGTATCAACGACCGGGGCCAGAATAGACCTATCTGGGGCTATAGTATACAGTCTAACTTGAGAAAAATGACTTCAAAGCCCACCTATTAGGACACCTCATGCTTCCCGAGGCCATGTGGAGCCAAGCGGGAAAGCACCCGCCGCTGACGGAAACCTGCATGCCAGCCAGATGTCGAAGCACGGTTTCCGACCTAATCGTGAAACCATCGGGCACTCAAAAATTCGGGTGCGCTTCTGCCGCAAGCTGATACAGCCGACCCTCAAACGGCCGCAGAAGGATCTCATTCGGTGTTGATTTGGCCTCACATGTTTGGTGATTGGAGATGAGCATCGTCGAGCATGAGAGAACAATTCCGTGATCCACATATCGCCAAGATGTTGCCCCGGGGCTGAAGTTGAGCACGGTCAAGTAGCAGGCGTGCTTGGACCTCCGTTTGTAGGCCCAGACAAGTGGATTATCGATGTCTAGACTTTGAAATGACCCATAATACTTCGAACATCACATGCTCTTAGCGAGGTTTGACACTCAGATCTAGGTCGAATTTTACTTACCAAGGTAGGATGCGCTCTTCGCATCTTGATGATGGACCGATAAAAGGACCATACGGACTCTGGACATCGTTGCTGGTTGGCGCCGCACCATTCACTGTCCGGGTCAAGAGCTGGGATCCATGGCTGTGCGGTGGGCGAGCAGAATCCCCCGTGTGGGTCATCTGTCCACTGATTTTTTTGGAGACAATTCAGTCTGGAACATTTCAACTTGAAATAAAAAAAAGTAGATTCGTCGCTCACCGGAAAAGGAATGCGGGTGTTGTCTCGACCTTTCATAACAATGGCTTTCTTTGCAAGCTCAAGTTTATGGGATGCGCCTGCACTAGCGTCCTCGCATGCTCTTTGATATTTGATAAAATGTTAGCAAGACGTGAAATCATTATTCTCATGGTAAACGCACGCATTCCAGTACTGAATCGTCTCAATATCCTGGTTCATATCCTCACGGAAGATATTGGGATTAACCAAACCCAGCTCTTGACCCTGGAAAATGAGATTGGTACCTTGCAAGGTGAATTGCCACAAAGCCAGAAGTTTTGCACAGAGTGCTCGAAAGCGAGGACTATTTGTAGTAAATCGGGATATACCTCTCGGCTGATCGTGGTTCTCCATCCAAACTGTGTTCCAGCCGCCATTGCTCACTAGAGTTTCCTGCCATTCCTCAATGACGCGTTTGAGCTCGGGAAGTTCCCATTCTCTCAGCATCCACTTATTTCCGTCTTGGCAGTCCAGTTCCACATGCTGGAACTGTATTATCAAATTGAGTTCCGGCCGCGGTTTGTTCCTTGAAGTATAGCGAACCGCATCCAGGGGTGTGACACCACAGGACATCTCAGCCAGTGTTACACAATCATAATGTGCAAAAACCTGTTCGTACATTTCCTGCAAATATTCATGAATATGGGGGCTTTAAATTATCCAGTCATCAGATTAGTGTCAAATGACCAAAGCAGCAAGATTATCGATCGACATACCCGTTGGCAAAAAGATGATTTGCTGGCTGCCAAGGACAATCACTCTTGGATATAGGCGCATCGGGGAACTCGGATGTTTTCGAGACGAGATTCATTGTGTCCAACTTGTATGGGGAAAGGATGCACGTCTCAGCTTGGGTACAAGAATAAAAACATACGGCCATCTTACTCGAAAGCCGTCAACACCCTTATCTAGCCAAAATCTCAGCACGCTATACAATTCTTGTCGGACATCCTCACAGTCCCAGTTGAGATCTGGTTGATTTCTTCCAAATATGTGCAAATCTGTGCATATGAGTGTTAGCGCCAGTTTGAAGATTACGGATAGGAATTCCCTTGACAACCACTAACAGAATTCGCCAGCCATCTCATCAAATTCCCAAGCTGAGCCTAGGAAATTTTAGCTTTTCGAAACATACTGTCAAATGAGAGAAATATACCAGTGAATGTACTCTCCCAGTTGTTTGGTGGGAGTCGATCCCCATTCTCATCAAGTTTTCCTGGATTCCAAAAATACCAATTCCCTTTTCCCAATCCCGGATTCTTGCGCGATTTTCTAGACTCTTGAAACCACTTATGCTTTAAACAAAAGGTTAGCCCTGTAGAAGACCCCTTTTATGAATAATTAGGTTCAAGTTTACCGCCGACGAAGTGTGATTGAGAGCAATGTCGAGGATAATTCTCAAATCTCGATTGTGAGCTTCTTTAACCAACAGTTCGAAATCTTCTAGCGTCCCAAATATCCGGTTTATCTTACGATAATCACTAATATCATAACTTTATTCCTTTAGTCCAATATAAGTCATCAAGAAGCTCAACTGAAACTCACCCCATATCATGCATGGGCGATTCATAGATAGGAGATATCCAAATAGCATCGACCCCTAGCGCGATGAAATAGTCAAGACGCGCAACTATGCCGAGAAGATCGCCCTTGCCATCACCATTGGTGTCTTGGAAACTTTGAACAAGCACTTGATAGATGCATGCCTTCTGCCACCAGAATAGGTGCTCCAAGCTGTCGATCTTTCCACAGTAATCTGAGCCGTCAACATCACATTTTCCATCGCTTACCATCGAGGCGGGAGGCCGAGGAGGACCTTTGCCAAATGACGATAAGTCCTGCCAGTCCACCTCTCGAGTTCTCTCTTCCTTTGGGATTTATTTGAGGGATGTTTAACACATTCATGGGATGGGATGGATCCTAGTTGCTAAAAATCTCCCATCAGAATTGAGGTCATAGAGCGGTAATGCATGGCGGAAACTGCGGAGTTTAAACTGGTTCGGAGATACGTTCCACTTGTCGAATGTGGTTACCCCTCCAACAAAATTGACTGAGACATCATGATTGGATTAGCCAGCTTCAGGGATTGCTTAATAGCAGATTATGGCCAGGAAAAGAGAGTCTCTTTCGTCAGAGAAATGACAGTGCTCAGCTCCTCCATATCTTAAACAGCATGATTCATACGAGGCTTTTTTCCTTCACAATTCCTTACCAACGATTGCAATATATCTACACACACAAAATTCCAAGATTGCACCTGCTCAAAAGACTCTTCTTCGATCACCCATCTCTCAAAAGATAAAACACAAAGCATTGCCGATAGATTCTTCACAACCGAAAATACAAGCCTCAAAAGAAAGCAGAAAAATGTCGACGGGTATATACAAGCCATGGGTCTTGGATATGGACCGTGATTGGTGGCGGGAGGTAATTGTCTACGAAATATACGTGCAGTCATTCCAAGACAGCAACAACGATGGCATCGGTGACCTTCAAGGGATCATCCAGCGGCTTGACTATCTCAAAAGGCTTGGGGTTGACATGCTGTGGCTGACACCAATTTACGTATCACCACTGGAGGACCAGGGATATGACATCGCAGATTATAAGAAGCTGAATCCTATATACGGGACTATGAGGGATTGGGAAAATTTGACAGCAGAAATTCACAAACGAGGCATGAAGATCATGATGGACATGGTCTTTAACCACACAAGCTCCCAAGTATAGCCGAAGCCATCCATTTCACTTATAATGTTTAATGCTGACGTTCAAGTTAGCACGAATGGTTTCTAGAATCGAAAAAGAGCAAAGACAGCCCTAAGAGAAATTGGTATTTCTGGCGCAAGGGGAAGACGGATGTTAATGGAGAGCGACAACCACCTAATAATTGGGAGAGCATGTTTGGCGGTATGATTCTAGAGGCAGATATCAGAGCTATTCTCGGGCTGACACAGAGCCTAGGACCTGCATGGACATTTGATGAGACAACAGATGAATGGTGTAAGCATATTCACTTTACTTCAAGAATGATGGTGCTGAAATATATCAGATTTACATTTGTTTGCATCTTCGCAGCCAGATCTCAACTGGGATACCCTGGAAGTTCGTGAAGCAGTATACGACGTGATTGAGTTCTGGGGAAAGAAAGGAACAGATGGTTTCCGAGTATGTTGTGCTCGCTTTGAGTAAATTCTAAATACCTAACATCCAATTCAGCTCGATGTCATAAACTTGGTATCCAAGGTCCCGGGGTTGCCAGATGCTGTTGTCACGAATCCGGAAAAGACAGAACAAAACGCCACGCCCATGTACACCAATGGGTGAGTCCAGCTGCATGAGTCGTTTCAAGAATTAGATCAAGCTAATTTCCGAAGCCCAAATATCCATAAATATATGCATGAGATGAACCGCAGAGTACTCAAAAAGTATTCCAGTTGTACAGTTGGTGAGATGCCTTGCGGTGTCAACGAATATGAGTCAAGCGAGTATGTGGCCAAAGAACGTCAGGAACTATCCATGGTATTTCAGTTTGATCACATTAACCTGGATGCTACGAATGGTGACAAGTGGCAACCCCGAAAATGGGAGCTATGGGAGTATGAGAGAGTACAGCGGGTATGGCAGCAGCATATGCTCGGAAATCATGGTACGTTGGCTGCCTCTAATCATCGCAAGCAAATCCACTGATATTCTATAGGATGGAGTTCATTGTATATGGAAAATCACGACCAATCTCGGGCAGTCTCTCGCTTCGGCAACCCAGAGAAACGCTTCCGTGATGTATCAGCCAAGATGTGCGCAACTATTCTTCTCGCGCTGCGTGGAACTGTGTTCTTATACCAGGGCCAGGAGCTTGGGACACCACATCCACAAAATTGGAAAATAGAAGACTACCCAGATCTGGAGACGCAGAATTGGTACAATGAGTAAGTATTTCTTTAAAAGGGGATAGACCTCAAATTGAAACGCTTCTGATTGTTGGACAAAGCCAATATGCACGACGAAAAGCTAAGGATCCTTCGAAGGAGCCAGACATGTCCTATGCAATGGATGCGATTCGGCTCAAGGGTCGAGATAACGCTCGGATGCCGATGCCATGGGATACTTCGAAAAATTATGGATTCACAGGACCGAATACTAAACCATGGATTCGTTTTAACGAGGAATACCCTGATGTCAATGTGCAGAAGCAAGAACAAGATCCAGATTCTGTGCTAAGTTACTTTATCAAGCTGATTCAAATTCGGAAAGAGAATCCATTTATGGTGAGTGTGACGGCGACCAACAGTATATGATACCATTTCAAGGTGCTGATGCTCTACTGCAGACGTATGGTGCCTATGTCCCAGTCAACCCAACTGACCCCCAAATATTTTCATTCCTTCGGACCCAAGGCCCATGGCAGTCGTTTATTTTTTGTAATTGGTCTGCGAAAAGCGTGGTTTTTTCTATTCCAGAGGAGATTGACATTGACCTCGCCGTTCTGGTCATTTCCAATTATCCCGTTGCAGACAATCCGTTGCAGTATGAAGTGCCGTTGCAACCGTATGAAGCGCGGATCTACTCATTACGGAATTAATTGTGCCACCAAAGGGTCGGAGGACCTAAAATGTTTTTTAAATTCAAGACTTTCGCAACCTCTGAGAAATCCAATGACAGCTTTCACGTCGGTGTTACGTAGGGTGGAAAGAGAATCGGACCTGCCATAAATACGTCCCAAATTGATAAATCTGGAGACTTGTATTTAGTTCTTGGGTCAGGTACCGAGTGGCCGATAGACGTTCAGATAGCATTAAATCATGATCTTGAAAGAGTTAAGAAATTATATTGCTTTCTAATACATCCGAGTCGTCGCTCTCATAAGCTATATGTTTTTGAATCTCCGTCCGCATCTCCCTTTATCAATCAAGCGGTGAATCGTTTTGGTGACATTCCACGCGCTCGTCAGTTATCACATCTGCACTCCCAGGAGCCACATATCAGGTACTCTTCTTCTGAGCCTCCCGCTCCGCCTTACGGAGAGCACGCTTGCGAATGGTCTCGTGCATGGATTTATTCTGCGACACCACAAAGCTATTGTAGGGCGATGTAACGGAAGTCAGGAACCAAGCCATGAGACCATGGCTCCAGAAGGGGGAAGAGCTATAGGCATATGCAGAGGAACCGCCGTGACGGCCGATCTTAGAGAGGACAGCGCGGACAAAGGCACGAGGAGTGGGAATTGACGCAGAAGCACGGCGGACCTTAGACATCGCGGAGGTGATCAGATAGGCCTGGACGAGCTCCACATCAATCCCATATGGGGCAAGTTCGGATCCCAGGGCAGTAGACCACTGCTGGAGGAAGGCCTTGCTGCCGGAGTAAGTGGCAAGAAGAGGGGTAGGAAGGAGACCACCGAATGAGCCCATGGTCAGGACAAGACCGCGACGGCGCTGCGTCATACCAGGGACAACGAGCTGTGTAACACGCAAGGTACCGTGACAGTTGATGTTAATGATGTTGGACATCTCATCCGCGGGGGTCTGGGCGAACGGAACAGGAATTGAGTGGCTCTGGCCGACATTGTTGATCAGGATGGAAACATCCAGATCGGAGACCAGAGCTCCCAGCGCCTTGTAGTCCGCATCTGCGTTGCGCGAAAAGTCCATAGCTAGAATCTTGGTATCCACCTTCGGAAATTGTTGTTTAATTTCCTCCGCAAGGGCAATCAGTTTCGATTCCGTCCGCGAAACCAGTACAACATTGAATTTGGCACGGGCCAGCTGCAGCGCAAACTCCTTACCGAGACCGTCGGAGGCACCGGTGACGACGGCCCAGCTACCGGGAGGACCGAAAGAGCGTAGCTAGGTTAATTTGACTGTCAGTTTGAGAACGAGCTACCGAACCAGGGAGAACAGGACATACAGGTTTGCCTGGAAGCACGAAGAGGCTCAGAAGCACCCGTACGAACGACCAGACCTTGCAAGCGACGGTCAGCCCTCCAGCTGCGAGGAGGAGCAGCGCGCCGATGGTTGGCAGGCCAGGAGCCAGGTGGCTGGGCCATTGCGCGAGGCACTCGGTATATTTGGACAGATCCATGGTGGTTGTTTATGGGGCGTGAGGAAGAGGGCGCGAGGGGGAAAAAGAGATGCAGCTTGTTGGGGGAAGGTTGATCGACGCCAAGAACCCCAAACTTCCAAACATCCTCGGTCTCCGTCCTCACAAGGAAATCATCCCCAACCCAATCTCCATTGACTACGCTGCCATGGATCACTTGCTGTCCTACTTGCCGCCATTTGATGGCTTTTTACCCAAGTGGCTTCTTTTCGTATGTTAACTCGGTTCGACTTCGTTCGACTTCGGTAGAAGCTTCGCTAACTCCATCAACCTAGGTCTCCGTGGTTTCCGCTGTCAACAGTCTCCAGGCCTACTGCTCCTCCGAATATACCTCGAAGCTCTACACCAATGGCGCCGTCCCAGTGGAGCCATTGTCCGGTCGCGTTTTTGGCACTTGGACTTTCCTCTCTGCGGTAGTACGTATGACAGCCGCCTACAACATCAACAATGCTGTCGCCTACGATCTTGCCCTGTGGACATACGGCATTGCTTTAACACACTTTGTTGGAGAGCTCGTGTTTGGCAATGCCTCTCTGCGTGGGAGATTTTTGAGCCCGTTGATCGTGGCTTCATCTTCCCTGGCTTGGATGTTGACCCAACGGGAGGCTTATCTGAGTGTCTAAGCGGCATGAAGGGAAGGATGGAGGTGTATGGATGCCAGGTACCCAAAGCTGCTGATCATGGATTGAAAAGCGGATGAAGGTCCTCTTTTCTATGAATATCCTTGCATCATTCATTGAAGGATGTCAATATGTTCCAAAATATAGATGATGGCTGTTGAATATTACAACACCCTGTAGCCAAATAATATATCATATACCATATCTACGACAGATTTTCACATTCACACGTTGTACTGCGCAGATATATGTCTTCGTATTTATAATATCGATTTGAACCTGAAGGGTCGTCGGTCATTTTCTTAAGTATCGAATCACAATGAGCAGGGACCAAAGATAATCTTCGCCTCTGTTTACCCATCTGCTATTTACAGCTTAGCTCGGTCTTGTCCTGAGATGAGCTCATTCACCAGATTGGCTGCCTTTTCAGCACAACTGAAAGATACCTGATAGCCGAATCCTCCATGGCCATAGTTGTGAACAATCTTGACCCCATTGACTTGGTCCTTCTCAATGCGCGGGCCATCTGTTCTGGCAGGACGCAAGCCAACTCCATGTCTCACGATGTCCAGCCCTTCAACCCCCTGGCCCTTCTTGACAAGTCGGGGATCGAGCTTAATGGCACGCTGCATAATTCGGTTGGCGGTGTTGGGGTCCGGTAGGGGATCCCACTGATCCTTTTGGTAAGTTCCGCCAATTACGGTCCCACCCCCTGGATAAGATTAGCGATCGGCCGTAGAAATCGTTTTCGAAGAATTGACAAACCTGCAGCCCGAGGGAAAATATATGAAACTTCGTCTCCTCCATCATCGGAGCCGGAAATCACGGACATGGATCCGGGGTCATTTCGCACAATCATGATTTGGCCACGAACAGGGTAAACTTGACTATCGACCACCCCCCCAAGAGTTCGTGAGGCGAGGCCGGTGCAGTTAACAACCACATTTGCCTTGGCACCAGAGTGATGAGCATCTGCAGCATCGGAAATGTGCTTGAACACGCCCCTTCTGAACACACAACCGTTCTTGATACACTGGCCGACCAACCAGGGAAGATAAATTGCTGTGTTAATGCAGACAGAGGTAAACTTTTGCGCATTGTCAATATCACCAGGGAGTTGCTCCCGAGGAAGATTTTGGAACTGTGTGTTGAGTGAGCATATAATATCTCTTTCATAGCCAGGCGACCGAATGGAATATTCGATGACTTACGTTGGGAACAACATCTTTGAACCAAGGCTCGGCCTGGGTTAATTCTGCAGACCATTGGCCTGTAACAGAGTCTTGATCCTTAATTCGGTTATGAATGGTCACATCTGGATAATGAGTGAGACCATTGAAGCCAACCGCGTAAGTCTTTGTAGAAATTGCATTTCCATACCTTGAAAGTGAATACCTGATTCCGGGTGATTCTTTGCTAGATCCCGCAGCTTGGGCCAAGTGGCTCTCTCCCATTCTGCATGATCGCTATCCTTCTTTCCAAATCTGATTTTACTATAGTGAGAATCTAAATAGTGATGTGCAATGGAAGAGAGTAACGTACGGCATATAGTTTGCACCCGCCCATGGAGACGCATATTCAATGTCGTAGTCTCCTGGCATATGCTTGGAAGCCACTGTGACTTTATTGGCTGGATCCTGGGATAACAACAGCGCAGTTGTGAGGCCAGATACTCCCGCACTATGTAATGATGCCGAGTCAGTGGTCTCTCGGGTTTGAGCAGCAGCAATGTGCAGTTTGTATGAAGATGGTTCAATTTCTCACCCAATGACGACAATGTTGTTCGCTGTCATTTTGAATGCAATAAATTTGGCAAAATCAGTGAAAGAGAGTTGAGAGTGTTTCAATGGGCTTTAAATACCATAAATAGAGTGTTTTCGATGGTGGTTTTATTGACTCACAGAATATTGAGAGGAATAAGAGAGTGATGTGATAGGGTCCGGGCGGCTCGTCGCGCCCCTTAATAAGCCTAGCCCGTTCCGGCGGAGAGAGAGTTTTCCGCCGGAATCCCACCTTGTACAAGGCTTCCTACGGTATACTATCATCCTTTAATGACACACAGGATCTCTCATCACGAGAAACAAGCTGTAATCTTTCTCAAATAAAGAAAAGAAGCATTCAACACTCGAAGTACATATTATGAAAAACTACTTCAGTAATAGACTCAGAGATATACATGCCCAGTATCGGTCTCTTCAGAAAAAGGCGTGAAATCTAGACCACTCCAAAAAGTGTCGGCGGAATCCTCAAACCATAAGTCAAGATTAGAGAATATGATGCCATCAGGCGACGATTCGCTCAACATTAAGTTATTCGCATCGCCTATGGCACTATTCTGCTGATTGAAGCCCTCAGAAACAGAGCCCCCAGAGGGATTTTCTTGATTTGATAACACAGGGTCGTTCCTCACTTTATTTAAAGAGCACATCACCTTGGCCAAAGACTCTCCGCAACGGGAGATGCACATGACAGCCAAGTCCCATCCTTCATTTTTAGCAATATCTTGGAGCTTGGCCCAGAATTTAATAAGGCTAGATTTGCAGGACTCGGTGATGACATCGTCAGAGGATTCAATCGTGCAGCGAAGAAGAATTATGCATGTGAAAGTAAGATGATGTGCCGTATCTGCGATAATATCCGTTCAGAAATAAGAATCAAATGTATCAGGTGAATAATACTCACAAACAAGCCAGAACTCGCGTAACTGTTCCCGTTCCAGGGAGCACACATATTCAACAATGTCCTGGGCCGATCGGCGAAGTCTTCCGAGATAGAATTGCAAGGTCGCGGTCCGGTCTATATCGGCCGAACATGATTTATTTGCAGCCTGTTTTTGTGAGCTTCCTTGTCCTAACTCGGAGCGCTAGAACTTACTCGAAAAGCAATGCGGCATAAAAGCAAGCGGATAGAAAGGTAGCTCAAGCATAAGCTACTCAGTCCAGAAACAGTGCCATGGTATTTCTTACTTCGACCTTTTAGCGGCAAAGTGACTTCTTCTTCCCAGGTATCCAAATTTGCTTCGAGCCGACGAATATCTCTCCAAATATCTCTCTGCTCAAGATCGTACACAAGTGGAAGAACCTCCCCCAAGATGACGGTAAGAGAACAGAGATGAATAAAACATTCTGAGGCTTTGAGCATATTCTGGGACTGCTTTCTGTGGGTGAGATCAATCAAAGTAGGAATTGGGACATCGTATTGTCGGTTTGTAATATTTGGCGCCACCCCGTGCGCAAAACTCGACCTATTTCCCCTGTTAGCAACCGAGTAGAATGATAAGTGACTGCATGTAGAGAGAAGAATCTACCAGTAATCGTGAATCAAAATTGCCCACCACAGACGGACTCTAAGATTCTTTTCACTATAAGGGCGTTTCCAGTTCGTGGGATCACGGTTCAAGCCTAGGCTACGAGCGAGTGCAACAGCTCGCCCATCGTTGATAGTGTTACCCAATACAGAGTAGATCGGGCGCCCTGTCATATCAAAAAGAACAGAGTAAATCGTGGATAGGCCTGGAGCCAGAAAGTCTTGCTGCAGACCTTCAACTGCCAGATTCCAAATAAATTGTAGGTCGGGTTTGTGGTGTTGCCGAAGGAAATCAGAATGGTCCCATAGCGTGAGGGATAAGGCAAAAAATTCGCAAAGAAGAGCAGGGGAAATTTTATCATCCTGTTCATATATTTCGAGAAATGTGACCTCATCAAGTATAGGAAAAGCTGGATGGAATTCCAGAAAGTATCTTGGGAATAATGGCTATGTGAATATCTTGCTGGGGATGAAAACTTAGGATGTATGCATGAGAGCAAATAATCACTTACAAGCGAACCAATTCTGCCGCGTAAGGTCGAATAATTTGCCACAAAATTTCCTTTTGGAGCTTTGCTGGATGCTTTGCAATCGCAAGGCCCTCACGATGTCGAGGTACGTTCATATAAACGAGTGACTTATCCAAACTATCTGGCCCAATAAAGTGCTCCCCTGCAGGAGGATCAGAAGAAAAGTACCGCTCGAGTGCTTGAACATCCTCTGAGAGGACAGGACTTATAACAATTGATGATTCGCCTCTTGAAATTCCGAGATGTGTTGCATCATGCTCATTTGATTCTAAACCACAAAGAGCCTGTTTTTCGGAATGCTGTGCAAGATTTGGGCCAATGGGGTTATTATTACCGGGTATCCCCTGAATTTGCCTTTGTCGTCGTGATGTATGGGTTTGATTTGATCGACTCAACTCAGAATGGGCCCTGGCAATATCTGATGGCAGGCATGGAACATTTTGTAATTTACAAAGCACACAGGGATCCCCGGGCCCGCCACCGGTGCATCTCCGTTTGAATCGCCGGCAGCGATCGCAGGCCGGTGTTTTGTGGGAGCGATAAGGCCGTCGATTTGCCGATGGCACAGAGGACATGATTTGATTCCGCCGGGTAAGTCAGAATTGAATTGGACTTTTGGCGTAGGAATATTCCGAGGCTTACCTAGTGCGGGTCCACAGCGGGAAAATACGTAGTAGGGTTCCCCGCTGACTGTCAATGCCGGGAAGAGAGAATCTAATGGCACCCGAGAGCTTTCACATTTATTCATGGAGATTCAGTGGATTTTAAGATCTAGTCATGTGGAAATAACAACTTGTCACTCATCCTCGCTAGCTTCCTTTTCTTTTCTCTAAAAAAAGGGACCGTTCAACAAGACTGAGAAAAATCCAAATAGAGGTCGGAAAAAGAATCGAGAAGATTATCGAGAATACTGTAGTAGAGAAGTGGCCTCCGGCAGAAACTAATGATATGATAGAAGATGTGATATATAAGGCCATCCTGCTGTCTATAGCGACTCAGACACTCATTCTCTTCTTTAGCCGCTAGGGGTGTTCCTGCTCTATATTGAGTTAGGTACCTTAGTAGATACTAGGATCAAACCTATTATACTATATATTGAACTAGGAAAGCTCACAGCTGGGTCTGGCGAGGCAAATAGAATCTAGGTGGACTGTAAAGTCCTCTGAAGAACTGAAAATGGTCATTCCGATTAATCTAACTACTGCCTCTACCTAGGCCCCTTTTAAGGGGGATCCCCTCAATCATGACCACTTATGGCTTTTGGCAAGTATGGCCCCTCGAGATAAATTTCTTCTTCGTTTTCCAAGGCTCTCTCCCCGCAATTGAGCGATTCTTGCATTCTTTCTACTGAAGAAAAGCCGACAATGGGACTCACCACGCGACGACTCACCCAAGCCAAAGCGACTTGACTCATCGTCCATTTCTTCTTATTGGCCAACTCTTTCACTCTTTGAATTATCATGGCGTCAGGAGCAGGAATATCATCTGGGTCGGTGTTTCTTAATCGGGCAGTAGAACCAACTTGCTGAAGTGGACGAGCCAGGCGGCCAGCATCGAGAGGACTCCACTAGAATTGGTAGCATCTGGTTAGAACAGCTGCCGCGTAAAAATACAATTGATATGGCAGGGTGAACAGCTCACTGGGATAAGTCCAACTCCTGTCTCATTGCAAAAGCGATTCATTTCGCGTTCCTCCTCTCGGTACAGCAGACTGTATTGATTTTGCATAGAAATGAACTTGGTCCATCCATGCTGCTCAGCACAGGACTGCATCATTATAAACTGATAAGTTCTCATCGAACTGGCACCAATATAGCGGACCTTTCCGCATCGAACAAGATCATGAAGTGCTTCCATCGTTTCTTTAATGGGAGTATATGGATCAAATCGATGAATCTGGAAAACGTCAATGTAGTCAAGGCCCAATCGCTTTAGAGAAGCTTCGACTGCATTGAAAATAGCTTGGCGAGAAAGTCCTTCTGAAGTCAGCATTGAACTGTTTAATAATTGATTTAGGTCAATAGAAAATTACCAAATTGATTGACATATTCTTTATCCTTTCGCATTGCATCTGCGAATGGTACAACATATACATTTTCATGCTCGCTAATGGGCGACCAGCATTTGGTAAGAATTATAAGTTTGTGGCGAGGGATATTGTAAGTTTTGATAGCCTTTCCAATGATTTCCTCTGACTTCCCATTGGAATAGTTATTTGACGTGTCCCACTTCAAAAATTAGCGACTCCACGAAGAAAGAACCTTCGTTATCTTCTCTTACAGTATTGAGGCCACAATCATAGGCAGCTTTTAGCAGCGGCAGCGCCTTCGTATTTGAATGTTAGTGCTCTTCAGTCGAAAGATTTTTTGAGATTTTTTGGAATTTTTTTTTTTTGAAAATCAAGTACCTTTTCTTCATCGAGAATCCATGGACCCCATTCAGATGCTCCAAAGCTCATACCCCCGAGAATGGGAACCGAGATCCAAAGACCACTATGTCCCAGTCGCCTATATGAAACTTTCGTATTAATCTTCGACTCGGCCAATAGAGGAGGGAGCTGAGTAGCCATTGTCAAGGTTGATAATTCAATGAAACTAGTAGTTTGCAGACCAGGGATTCGAATTTTCCTTGATTATTTTCCCATCTCCACAGAAGATGTCTTGTTTAAATAGGTGACTTCTTGGCATCCGACAGCCTTTCATCACGATAGATACGAGTCATTGATTTCTAAGCATGAATGAATATATAAACAAGTTAACTCATGGTAAATGTATATCTCAGTTCCAATGAGCTCTCATTGGTTGAGGGGACCCAGAAAGACTCCTGGGATCTGAATACGAGGCCACTGTGACTAATTTGCGGAGTGTCGGGCCGATGCCATGCATGGGAAGGGAAACAGACAAGACTGGAGAACTCACAGTGATTTATTTTTTACGATTACCAAGTTTGTTATATGCAGAACTCTTTTTGATTTCAACAAGTCCTCTGGTCCCCGGAGAAAGTCGGAATCATGATGCAGTGATACTATGTGAGCTATCATCATGACTGCTTTCTATATAAATGACAACAATTACTCGAGCTTCTTCCGATACAACTCACCGCCACATCCACGTAGGCGAGCGGCAGCCTGTTCAGGTGTAATATCTCGCTGAGGCTCGGCCATCAGCTCATAACCGACAAGGAACTTACGGACAGTCGCACTGCGCAGAAGGGGCGGGTAGAAGTGCAAGTGCAGATAAGAAGCATCGACCTCCTCAGCAGTTCCATCAAGCGGGGCCTGGTGAATACCCATGCTGTAGGGAAAGTGAGTCTCGAAGAGGTTGTCGTAGCGGCGAGTGATCTCAGCAATAGCCTCGGCCAAGAGGGTCTTATCGGACTCGGAAAGGTCGACCAATGCACGCTTGTGGGTGCGGCTGATAATCATGGTCTCGAAAGGCCAGGTCGCCCACCAGGGGCAGACAACAACGAAGGCTTCGTTTTCAAAAACAACACGCTCCTGCTTGTGACTCTCCAGAGCTGCATAGTCCTCCAGCATGTGGCTACCACCGTGTTCTTGGCGGTAGCGGCGCAGCTGCTCCAGCTCAGCAGCCGGCTCCTCGGGCAGCGTGCTGGTGGTCCAGACTTGACCATGAGGGTGAGGATTTGAGCATCCCATAGCAGCACCCTTGTTCTCAAAGATTTGCATATAGCGATATTGCTCCTTAGGTTTGGTGATGCTAGCATTGTGTGCATTGGGCTGGAGATGAGTGGCGGGAGCCTGCTCAGCAAGCGGCGACTTAGGCGACAAGTGGGCAGTATAGATCTCGGTCCAGGCATTGATGACGGGAACAATTTCAATCGGCGACAGATCGGCTAGGGTCAGGTTATGCGCGGAGGAGAAGGTGAGGACGTAGCACTTGCCCGTAACGGGCTCAGCCTTGAGAAAGCGGGATTCAAGATCTGGAATAAATGAGCACTGGTGCACAATCTGAAAGACAAAGGGCACAGGTTCAACAAACCATCGGTGCTTCCACCATCGTATTCCGCCTGTTCCTCTTTAACGGCGCTGTAGTCGTTCACGAAGACGAAGGTACTGTCATATTTTGGGTTGACGTCACCCTGGGCTCGCTGATTTCCAGGACACAAGTAGCAAGCCGGGTCATAGGAGGGTAAAGTGGTCTTTGAGGGACTCTCTTGTTGACCTCTATGCACAAGATTATGATTTCAGCAGTTAGTGCATGCTAGTGTCGCACAATGGCGGGGCAAAGGAAGAAGCAAAGACTCACTGCCATGGACGCTTGGTTCGGTGAGGAGACACAAGAATGTGTGAGCCCCGAAGGGGGTTGTATCGACGGTGCGAGATGTCATCCAGGACGTTCTCCATTGTGAGTTATTTATGAGTTTTGACGGAGTACCTTGGGGAGGAAGAAGGGCGAAAGCAAGAGCAACAAGACCAAATGGCAGAAAAGTCCCCCGCCAAGTCGGACCGGTAAAAGGGCCTTTCGGTTGGACCTCCGGCGGGGAGGCGCGGGGTCTCCGGAAAATAACGCAGATGGACAAATGCACACCACAGGCCATGGGAATTATAGCAAAATTTACATCTTTCTGATTGGTAGAAGCAGCTCATTGATTTCAATGTGATTTCAAGCCAAAAAAAGGCCATTGTGAGGAATGCGATCATACAAGACGCAGGCCATTCTGGTCTTGGCATGCCTGTCAATATCCTCGGTGAGCCGTAAAGGAATCGTTTCGGGATCCCGCGCTCGGGGGAACCGGGGTGAATGCAGGCACACACCACAGTGGAGACATGGAGGATCGGGTGATTTTAGCCCGATTGAGAGAAGAGCAGGTTGGTGTCAGTTGGAAATCTCCACTCTGCATTCTGGCTCCGAAGAGGAAAAAGACGGACTGGACTGAGTTTTCTGTCCCACAACACATGACGTCACCTGACCTTGGCTATCAAGAGCGATAAGCCCTTCTCTTGTCGCACATCCATCGCATCATGCAATAGATGTCCACGAGAAGCAGAAAGACAGCCAGACCATGCAATGTCTTCAGATCTCTATATCCTTATAAAAAAAAGCTGGAATCCCTTGCAAGAACAGTCCTATCTCTGATCAGCTTCCCTTCTTAGTTCTTGTTCTCCTTAATCTTGGTTTTGGCCAATTGGGTCTCCTTCCTCCCCTTCATAGAGAGTCTTTCTCCCCTCTTCAAATTTATTAATAGTTACCCAAATCTTTGATATCAATATGTCTACAACATTATATCTGAGTGAGAATAGCCAGATTTCCAGCGGCAAGGAAGATATGAAACAGATGGAACCGCCAATCCTGACTCTCCCTGTTGAAGTAAGCCAGTACATCAAGAGATTCATAGATCAAATATCGAGTCTACTGAGGACATATTTGCTGACTTCGGTTCGAAGATCTTGACAGGTTTTCTATCATTCTTAGACACAACGCATCTGTTGAACCTGGCTACCACCTGCAAATGGATATATTCTACTGTTGTTTACATTCTTCACGCACGAATGGCCACGAACTTCCCACGAGAAGACATGAACCTTCTATTACGTTGTGCACCTCCTGATATCACTGCACCTCGTATTCGATGCTGCTATGAACATACTGGGGAGATGCATGAGATGTCGGAAGGTCTTACCCCTTTATCGAGGACATTTGCAAGGTTCAGCCTCAAGCCAAGTCCTTCAGAGTCGTATGAAGATATACCTGGGAGCCAATTACCAAACAATTCACCAAAAAGAATACTGTTTTTGGCCGGGGGCGTTGATTTTATATACATCTACACTCAAGATATGGGTGAGAAGGAGATGACTACTATGGTCCAGGACCTTATTTTAGAGCCTTTTGAATCCTTCGCCCAACTGTCCATAAAATTGGGCCTAGTCTTGGTGCCAGGGCAGCGCTGGATTGGCTCCTCCCAACCTTTCACACAAGGGACTTTTATCCGCATCAAGAGAGAATGGTTAGAACAACAAACCGACAATTCGCCTTCGCCAACCATATTTTGGGCCGACTCAGAGAAGACCTTTGGCTTGAAGATTTCAGCCCGTGCAAAGAACAGAGAGTTCTCAGGTATGGACATCAACGATGACGGCTCTGTCGCTTATGAATTAGTGCTGGAAGGTGATTCACCGGATCTCCCTTTGAAGAGAAAAGTACTATTAATTGACAGACTCGTAGAGATTTACGTTCTCGCAATACGGTTGCTGGCCACCATCGAAAACGCTGAAAGAGCTCAGCATAGCAAGGATATAATCCATCTTCTCGCGCTCAGCCAATAAGGTTATTTATCTATCACTTATAACCTACTAATGGAGCATGAGATTGGTCTTGTTTCTTATAGAACAGATTTTTTTTTCTCGAAGCTGGCAGCCTCATGTCTTACCCATGCTTTTGCTCGAGAGGAACGGAGTCTCCGGCCTCTTGAGATGAAGATGCCGATGTCGATTCACGCTGATATTTTGGGCGCAATTGCGCTAGATGGAATCCCAGCCATCAAACACATCGACATCAAATATCACCATCAGCAACTAATTGTCAAGCCGAGCCGGTGCTGATTTCATCTATATTCAACCGAAGAGCAGGCCATCGACGAAGCCGCTTTTGTAGAAAAAGATTGATCGATTTCTTCAGCAAGATTAAATTGGTTTCGACATTCCAAGCTGAAAGTGTTGAAGCATGGAGGAACCGGTGATGGAAGAATGAGATCTTAATCGCTGCGGAGATTACAAAGGCTATTTTGTAATTGAAAAACACACACTGTTTGAAATGTTCTACGAACTGAATCTTTTTGAGCATGTTCATGTAGATTGGCGCTTGGATTATGTTACTAGTCAGATAGCTTTCTCTCTTTCCTTCCTACCAACCAATCAATATTAGTCTTCTAATTCACTGTGTACATTTCTCCGTAACACCTGAATTTGATAACGACTTGATTCGAACAGCCAATCTCGTAGCTAACCAGGTTCCTCTCGGGAAGCCGCGTTGCTTATACAGCCTTTCGCCATGGGTGGCGCTCGGGCCGATGCCGTAGACAGTCGGAGGGCCAAACCAACCAGTGAAAACTCTGTGCGGGCGATGGCTTACCCGCTGTTTACTCGGCACTGGATGCCGAGTCACTCAACTGACTGTCCAATGGTAAGAGCGGCATCCCACCCTACCTAGAACTCATTAACTCCGCTAGGAAAAAGCCGAGGTTGCCGGCTATCAAAGTGGGTCAATACTTTGAAGATTCTTGTTCACTGTCTCAAATGAACGCGATGTTTTTTCAAGATTTGAATTCTATCACGATCCCGTCTATCGACCGCTGATCTGCATAACTGGGCCGATCTCTGCTTCAAGTCTCCATACAGCAAGAGCTGAATTGGGGTGGTTGGAATACGGGGAAAGGCGCATCTGCTCCGTCGAATCATGGCTCCCGTCGGTGCTGGGGATGAAGCCTCACTTCCCTCCAAAATCCCATTCTGGCGTCTGATTTTCGATCAAAAAGTTGTTACCCAAGAGGTTGCCCAGTATCCCTATTCGGGTTCCGGTACCGAGGAAGATCCTTATGCGGTGATATGGCTACCAAATGATCCGCGTAACCCGATGAATTTCGGGTTCTTTAAGAAGTGGGCGATTACGATTCTGGTATCATTTGTTACTCTCGCCGTTGCATTGGTGTCTTCTGCATTCTCGGGCGGCCTGGGGCAAGTGGTTGCTCATTTTGGTGTCGCAGAAGAGATTGCCATCCTCGGCGTGTCTCTTTTCGTTCTTGGATTTGCCATCGGGCCGTTGATTTGGGCACCCCTGAGTGAGATCTTTGGTCGGCGGCATATCTTCACCATCAGTTTTGCGTTTCTAACTGCTTTCAATGCGGGTGCAGCCGGCTCACAGAATATTCAGACGTTGATCATTCTGCGATTCCTTGCTGGATGCTTTGGCTCCTCACCATTTGGAAATGCCGGTGGCACGATCGCCGATATGTTCCCTGCCTCACAGCGTGGCATTGCGATTAGCTTCTTTGCTGCCGCGCCGTTTTTGGGACCTACCATTGGCCCTATCATTGGAGGTTTTCTTGCTACTGGGGCTGGATGGCGCTGGGTCGAAGGATTCATGGCTGCTTTCTCCGGTGCGCTCTGGCTATGTATCATTTTCTTGTTACCAGAAACCTATGCGCCTGTCCTCCTGCGTCGCCGAGCAGAGAAACTTTCTGAGATTACTGGCAAAGTCTATCGGAGCAAGATCGAGATCGAGCGCGGCCATACTCCCCTAGGGAAAACTCTCAAAACAGCGCTCTCCCGTCCATGGATTCTGCTATTCCGCGAACCTATCGTCTTATTGTTTTCCATTTATATGTCTATCATTTATGGTACACTCTATATGCTCTTCGCTGCCTACCCTATCGTGTTCCAGGAGGTTCGAGGCTGGAGTGAAGGTGTCGGCGGTCTTGCTTTCTTGGGTATCCTTGTTGGCATGATCCTCGCCGTTATATACACCTTCCCGGAGAATATGCGCTATGCAAAGAAGTGCAGCGAAACCACCGATCGCCTTCCTCCAGAAGTTCGACTGCCGCCAAGCATGGTGGGTGGTATTGCCCTGCCTGTTGGGTTGTTCTGGTTTGCTTGGACGAATTCACCAAGTATTCACTGGATGGCGTCTATTTCTGCGGGTGCACCATTCGGCTTTGGCATGGTCCTTGTCTTCCTCAGTGTGTTCAACTATCTGATCGACTCCTATACCATCTTCGCCGCATCGGTATTAGCAGCGAATTCTGCACTCCGGTCCTTGTTTGGCATGGCCTTCCCCCTGTTCACCACTTACATGTATGAAAACCTGGGTATTCACTGGGCTTCATCTATTCCGGCTTTCTTGTCTTTGATCTGTGTGCCTTTCCCTTTCATCTTCTACAAATATGGCGCTCGGATTCGACAGCGATGTACCTTTGCAGCTGAAGCCGATGCCTTCATGCGCCGCCTCGCCGAGAAGAACCAGGCCGAGGCCCGAAAGGAGGCGATTACCGGAAAAGAGGCTGAGAAGGAGACACCGACTACCGAAATCTCCGATGATTTGCATGATTCTAGCGATAGTGATAGCCTATCCACGGTCCCCTCGCATGATGTCAACATTGCGCGGTATGCTTCTCGAGCCTCTCGTCAATCCGGGCGATCGATGCACCGGACCCTCACTGCAACTCAGTATGAAGAGAATCCTTACGACTTGGATTTGGTCAATACCCGACAGTCGGCTATTAGTGGTCATCGAAAGGATTGAATGAGCGCTGTCGATTGATTATAACTGTTTTCAAAACGTCAAGCTCTGAGGAAATCTTTTTTCTCAAATTTAAAGGGCATTTACAGAGTGCCAAATCTAGAAGATATTCGATTTTCTTCAATCTTGTCCCTTTCTGAAGGAAGGACGAATTGGCTGACCTAAGGCTCATGCAGTCGCCTGTGTCTCAAGAACTAGACGATCACTGCCACCATGCTGTCTTCTAGGTACAGAGCCACTGCCATTCTTGGCGTATAATCTTCGTCTCAGACTCGCGCCCGAGTTCATAACCTCAGACAGGGAAGGTTCCTTACTTCTTGTTTTAGTTGGAGCAACCATCACCACATCACCATAGCATACAATGAGAGAGGTTTTCTCATAGCCAAAAGCATTAGCATCAATAATACATAATTTTTCATTATTTCTTCTTTGCCTAGAATTTATCGTAATTGTATACCAACACAGGTGCGTTGACGACGCCTCATACTTTCGGCGCCGTATCCGTGCGCCAATTCCTTGATCACTCATCAGGCGCGTCCCACAACAGCCTCGGTCCTTCTCCGCCTCGGGCCATCCGCAAGCTTTCCCCAATTAATATAATCATTTCCCCTCCACCATGCACGATTAAGCACATCATTGAGATACCCTATTCTGATCGCCAATCAGCACTTCATTCATTATGTCGGGCAAGATAGACGCCTTCGTCGACTGCGGTATGATTATATTATCTGCGAGCCATGCAGGACGGGGGCTTGTAGGGGTTGCTCTCGAGTCCAGCAGATCGCTTATTTGTTTTCGCAGTCTCTCCATATTCGTACTATGCGGCACTGTATCTAAGACGAAATCGCAAAGCGCTTGAGTCTCATAACGTTGAAGTGGAGTAAGTACGGCTTATGCGACTCTAGTCCGATGACTGACTTGCCGCAGGCTGCATCCCGTGTTCTTGGGCGGTATCAATGTCGGCTCAGGTATTCATCTCGTGTGGCTTGTGGATTTAACGTCAACATGCTGACTGGCTTGAAATAAGGAAACAAACCCCCGTGGACACTACCAGCCAAAGCAGCCTACTCCAAGTTTGACCAGCAGCGGGCATGCAAGTACTTTGGCGTGCCGACGATTCGGCCCCCCGACTTCTTCCCTATCCTTTCGATCATGGTCAGTACCCATCTTGAGCAGATTAGTTAGTATTTACAAAGAAAGATGATCCAATTAACATACTCCAGCCCCAACGATGCATGATCTACATCAAGCGACACTATCCCCGTGAGCGCTTCGAGACCACCTTCCTCTCGCTGTCGGAGTGGATGTACTATAAGAATATCGATATCAGCAAGCCCGAACACATGACTGAGCTGCTAAAGACTCACGATTTCTCCGACCAAGAAATCAAAGAAATTCTCGCAGCCGCCTCCAGCTCTGAGTACAAAGAGGCTCTGACAGCTAACACACAAAAGGCGCTTGATCAAGGTGCATACGGAGCTCCCTGGTTCTGGGTGCGCAACAAAGATGGCAAAGAAGAGCCCTTCTTTGGAAGCGATCGGTAAGTCATCCTCCTTGCGCTTCCAAACTGAAACTAATGGTTTTAGGTTTGCGTTCATGTGGCAGTACTTGGGAATTCCGTTCCAGGATGTGACTATTGTTGAGAAAGCGCGCTTGTAGACTGATTTTCTTGCTTTCTTTCTATTCTCTGTTCATTCAGTTAGAACATAGTTTGTGCAGTGATTAATATGCAGACGGAACAAACCGTTGAAGGGGTCTGAAAAGACACTCCCAGCCACATATTTCATGTATCTTTAAACCCCTGGTCTTCATTGCAATAAGATTCTGAGATTGGCCGATTTTAGTAAAATCTTAAAAGATCTTGATCTCAACAGGTCGCTATAAACGATCGGGCTTGTAGCTCACAGTTCTTTTTCAGAACATGTGGCCAGGAAATATACTGGGCGACAGGGGTGTGTATCTACAAGAGCGGTCACGTCGTTCTCCGCAAACACTCTCGATATCATATAATTTTAGCAACTTTACCAATTCAAATTGCTTGTATTTTAAAGTGGGACACGAGGAAAGCGATTTCGAGGCCGAGACCACATCCCCACACCCGCAGCCTTGCGATCTCGGCATTTCGGCCTTAGTGAGTCACTGCTTAGAGAAACCAGCAACCTCGCCCTGAGCATAGCCCGAGCGCGACAGAAGAAGCTGAAGAAAGCGAATCTACATAACTCTTTCGCATCAATTCGCGTTGAGTATAAATAACAGAATATTCCTGTCAAGCAATTGACAATTGAATATCCTACAACGGCATCGGAACATACCCGGCTAAGAACTAAGCCCGCGCGGAAGTGATCCTCGTTCTACCCCACGTCTGCCCCACGTTCAAGCTTCCCTTAAACCGGAGACTCATTGCGCTTGCGCAACTTCTCCCTCTTCACGGCACCTCCAACACTCCATTAAAATCTCATCATCACCATTATGTCAGAAGTTCGCGTTGCCTGGATCGGCCTCGGCAACATTGGCCGGGTGAGTACCTTCCGATCGACAGAGCAGGCGTTCTAAAGCCGCGAGATGCAAAAGCTAACAATGCCACCGAAAACCAGGGCATGAGCTCCAACATTGCCCAAAAGGGCCCTCAGTCCAGTCTGATTCTCTACAACCGCACCACATCCCGCGCTACTGCGCATGCACAAGCCCTCGGTGGCCGCGCCACGGTCGCGAACTCGCTTGCCGAGGCCGTCCAGGCTTCCGACTTGATCTTCACCTGTGTCGGCGATGACCCCGCCATCGACTCAATCACCCAGGCCATCCTCGCAGGCAAGGACATCGACTTCTCAACAAAGACCTTCGTCGATTGCTCGACCGTGCACCCGGACACCTCACGCCGCACGGAAGCCGCGTACCAGGCGCGGGGTGCGGCTTTCGTCGCTTGCCCCGTGTTCGGGGCACCCAACATGGCGGACGCGGGAGAGATGATCGTCGTGCCTGCGGGCAAGCAGGCGGCGATTGCAAAGGCGAAGCCGTTCTTTGAGGGTGTGACGGCCAAGGCAACGATCGACCTGTCCAGCGGGACGGGCGCGGACATTGACGTCGGCAAGGCGTCGACCCTCAAGTTGCTGGGCAACACATTCATCCTCAACACCGTCGGCGTGCTGTCGGAGTCAATGGTGGCCGCGGAGGCGTCGGGTCTGGGCACGGCGCCTTTCAAGCAGTGGCTGGACCTGTTCGACCCGGGCCCATTTACCAAGTACGCGGGCCGCATGATCTCCGGCGACTACTACCAGCGTGACGAACCGCTGTTCGCAGTTGACTTGGCCCGCAAGGATCTCCGGCATGCGTCGAACATCGCCAAAGAGGCTGGGCAGCGCATGCGCAATGTCGAAGTCACGGATCATTTCCTCCAGGAGGTGAAGGCGGAGAAGGGCGAAAAGGGAGACATTGCGGGAATTTATGGCGCGGCAAGGAAAGCGGCGGGTATGGAATATGGGAACCAGTAGAAAATTGAAAGTCGGGTCTAGACTCGGTTTGGATATGGCTTATTGGGAGGGATGGTGCCATTTTCATCAGGAATAAATTAGACACATACTATGCATTCACGATTATATTCTACGTGTGGATCTATTTTACTATGATATCAATTCATTTATGGTTCAAAAGCCATATTCATTCGAATCTCGATTCCGATTAGGAGATCGTAGCAAAGGTGGTGAGTGAAATATACACACAGAAAATCATAGAATACAAATTACATAAGAGGCCATTGCCAGTTGGCCCAACTTTTTGGGTTTCAAACCGCAGGCCACATACCTCTCTGAGATATTAAGAGCGAATCTACTGCTCCTCCTGGATCTCAGTAGGCTCGTGGTGCTGGTGCTCGCCGTTGCCCTCCTTGGGCTCAGTGGGGCCGTGCAAGTCGGCAACGATGCCATCGGGAGCCTCCCAAGAAGCCGACTGCCATGGCTTGACGTGGAGAACGTACATGGTGTCAACCTCCTCGAGGGTGCGACCCTGGGTCTCACAGACAAAGAAGAAGACGATGAAGATGGCAGCGAAGCAGCAGGCGGCAAAGACGTAGCCGTAACGGAAGTCAATCGCGCTGTTGATGAAGGGGGTGAAGAAGGAGATGAGGAAGTTCCAGGTCCAGTTGGCAGCGGTAGCAATACCGGTGCAGGTGGCACGGTAACGGAAGGGGTACATCTCGCCGCAGACGGCCCAGACAATGGGACCCCAAGTGGTGGCGAAGCCAACGATGAAGAAGCAAGTGAAGACGATCATGGCAACACCGGCAGGGTGGGAGGAGGGGTTGGAGTGGAGGACTTCGTGGCCAACAGAGGCCCAGATCAAGAAGCAGACAAACATCCAGGCGGCGCCGACCATCAGACACTTACGGCGGCCGTAGTGCTCAACGATGTACAAGCCGGGCAAGGTCATACCGAAGTTAACGGCACCCAGGATGATCTGGGTGACGTAGGAGTTGCTGATACCGACGCCCTCAAAGATGGAGGTACCGTAGTAAAAGATGAAGTTGGCACCGGTCAGCTGCTGCAGGGACTGCAGAGTAATACCAAGCATAGTACGGTAGAACATGCGAGGGCCAGTAAGAACCTCGTGCCAGGGAGCCTTGCCAGCTGCCTTCTCCTCCTCGAGCTTGTTCTTCATGTCGGTCATCTCCTGAATAACAACGCGGTGGTTTGAGGGCACACCATATAGCTTAGACATGACTTCGCGGGCTTCCTCAACACGGCCGTGGCTGTAGGCGAAACGGGGGGACTCGGGAAGGAACAGAGTACCGACACCGAGGATAAGAGGCCAGGCGAAACCAATGCCCATGGTGATGCGCCACGAAGCAGTGGAGTGAATGCGCTCAGTACCGAAGTTGATGACATAGGAGATGAAAATACCAAAAGCGACGAACAGCTGGAAGGCGCTGACCATGGCACCACGGACCTGGCGAGGAGCGGATTCGGACTGGTAAATGGGAACGACGCTGGAGAGAGCACCGACACCCAGACCAGCGACCCAACGGCCCATGGCAACCTGGTACCACTTGTCGGTGGCGGCAATCTGCACGATAATGCCGACAATGTGAAGCAGAGCCCAGAAGGAGATGGAGAACTTGCGGCCAATGCGGTCAGCAATGGGGGCAGCCACAAGGGCGCCAATCATGGTTCCGATAGACAGCTGTAGAAGTCCAGTCGTTAGTGAAACTAGATCATGCCATATGAAGGCGAGAGTATATGGCGCGACATACCAGACCGACGATGAGACCATTGCGAACGTTGCTGAAAGCATACTCTCCGGTGCTCTCGTTGTACTCAGCGAACCGCATCTTGAAGTCCTCCATAGTAGTGAAACCCGAGATTTGACCTGTAACGGCCGAGTCAATGCATGAACTCAAAAGGCTGGGGAGCATGCTGCAGTGAAACGAGGCTTACCAGTCGAGTAACCGAAGATGAAGCCACCCATGGAGACACACAGGCCGAGGATGAAAGACCGCCAAGTCAAATACTTGACGGGGCTGTCATCGATGATGCCCTCATCCTTCTCCACGGTCGAGTCTGCACGAGCAGGAGTGGGGGCCTGGGAGGAGAACTGGGACTCAGCACCAGGCTTGAGCCGGGCCATCAAGTTGCCAACACCCATTTTGAAGAGACCGGTTCAGGTGAGATGAAGCCGGGGAAAAGGGGAAGGGAAGGGGAATAAGGAGGAAAGAGGAACGAGGGCCGGCAGAGGAGGGCCCTGGCAAATAAATACGCGATTCAAACGGAGACTCGGCTTTCCCCCTCGGGGTACCATGGCAGACAAAATGGGGGCCCGGATCTCGCGTCCCACGTTACCGGAATGGGGCGGAGGAAATTTCTTGACTCCATGGGCAACACATACTCCGTACTGTTTGGAGGGTTCCTGGGGTGGAGAAGGAGTGGAGAAAGGCATTTTGCAGCTTTGACGAAGCCAAAAAGAGCCTGTCCACGTGAGCCGGGCGATGGGGTTCTGGGGATTCATATTATGTTATGGTGGATTTCCTGGTCTATAAGGACCCCTGATCATGACAATCTAAGTGCTTGGGAAGCAAGAGGGAGATTGAAATCAGAAGAGATGCCATCATTCTAGGTAGTATGTATGCTTCATCCTACATTTAGACCACTGTCTGTTCTACGTATATTCATTGAAAACAACACAAGTGTCTCAGGAGACATGCCAACGGCATATGTAAAGGCATTGTCGGGAATCCGCGATCGTTGGAATGTGTCCGTCATTCTAGAGGAATGCACCCGAGCTTCTTTTCGCCACCTTCTGGAAAACTGCGCAATGTAGTAAATTCTGGGTCGGGGCATAGCGAATGAGAAGACTGTGCCTGGCCAAGCACGGATAGAGCCCGCGGACATATTTGAACTCGGCTACGTCGATGACGAAAACAGGAAAGCAGCTCTGGCTGTTTCTGGTCGAATAGGCAACTCGAGCGAGTGCCCCCATGACTAAATTTCCTACATTTATTTGGAGAGCATCGCAGTCCACACTGGCCAGACCCATCTATTCTATCCTGTTCAACCCCCCTGACAACGTATCTATGCCGAAGATGTGCTCTATAGAGTGTCTCTATCTGTTCGAGGCCGTCGATGCCCTTCCGTCATAAGAAACAACAACTGTCTTAAGAGCAGATTTACAGGTTTGAGCAATTTTTCCTGCTTCGAGAAATTTGTTGAGCCCTGCACAGACGAAAACGAAAACAACCCGGTTACTGAAACCAGGTGGGTTCACGTTGGCGACAAGAAAAAAAATTCTGTTTACTTTTTGGCGGGTGGGTCCAATCGTGGATTCTTCACTGGAACGAGGGTCAGCGTCCGAGCCGGACAGAGAATCGATGACGATCGCCGAGCGAAAAAAGCTTGGCTGGCTCAAGAAGGTAGAGCAAAAGGGCACAGGTATATCATTCACGTAGGTTTGCCAAAAGCTTCATCAAAACCTTGGGCAATCGCCCCATTTATATAACTCTTTCAGAGCACGTCCTTGAATGCGAAGCACAGTTGTGCTGATAAGAGAATTGTCTGAACAGGGCCACCGGTAGAGCTGTTTGATGAACTCGAACGCGGCTGGCCCCACTACCGGTGAGGCTTCGGTGGTTTCCCGTGCTGAGATTTGCGAGATTCTCGATCTGTTGAGCCTTGGGCAGGCCCCACCCAGGCCCCAATCGGCACACCGAGTCCTCGCTGCTTGCCAATCCCGACACCGAGCCGACTCGGGATCGCGCACGATGCCGTGTTGCTGATAAAGAACCGGTTATACTCACCACAAACATCACTCCAGATTCTTTATATTCGGAATGAGCAGAAGATTGATTTTATTCGCTCTAACTACTATTTTACTAAATTTTAATCTCGCCAAATTCTGTAGAACCCGATCCTTACAGCCGTTTGTGACTCGGCATCCCGAACACGGGATCGGCCTCTCGGGGTGGGCACTCGACGGAACCAGCGTCTCAATTTTCACCACGACCCACTTCGCCCAAGCCCCTTCCGTGATCTGCGGTGAACCTAGTAGGAAAAAGTCTGACGGTATCAGACCACTCGAAATAAATCAGGGGCCCAAAATCCAAAAATGAAATTCAGACCGAAAAAGCGAAAAGTTAATAATCGGCCACAGCAACCCAGTGGGACCAGATCCACCGCTCCTTCCTAAATCATACCACACTTCTGAGACGACCGTGTCTCGTATCCAATCATAACCACATATGCTCTTATCTCGGCTCTTGTATGCTAGAACCTTTCCGGACTGCGGTGACCATCGTTAGCGTTGGCCATGTTAGATGCGTTGGATGTGGGTTGGTGTACACAGGACGTTCTACTTCTCGGCCGTGTCTAGAATCAAGTAGGATATGTACGCGATGCATCTTTCCCCTGTGGTATATCCATGTCCGTTCTTGAGGTCATATGGCGCATCTAAAACAGGCCCTCGTGCTTTGGTAGTGAGAATGTCATTGAAGATCCTTTTGTGGTTTGATGAGGGGAACTTCAAAAGAATTCTTTATTAGGGAATTTGGCTATATTTGGAGTGAGGCATCTCCAGTGCCACTATGATGTGCCCTGTACAGTAGTGCATACAGAGTGCCCTGATAGGGCAATAATAATAATGAAAGAAAACAACCCCAATCAAGAAAATTAACCGATAATTGTCCCTTCCGTAAGGGAGAAGACTCTCCTCCTTATCAAGTAGAGATCCTTGGCCATCAGGTTGAGAATATGTGAGATAATACTAATATGCACTCCGAATGATGCATATCAACGCCCCCATTTCAAAGAGCACCTTTCTGACAATCAGACCTTGTATATGCGCTGTACCTCTAGACTGTGTCCTTTGACTACTATATACACGAGATTACGCTCTTTCCTGGAGGAAGCGATATTTGACACTATTTCTGGGCCGCGAATCGTCCGACACCCTATGGGCCTATGGGGTGCCTGTTTCACCAATAAGAGACACTTACCATGTCTTTTGAACTCGCCCGGCAAGAACTGCATCTTACAGTAATAATTAACAAGGCCATGTATGTGTCATTGCTGGATAACATTTGTCCAGGTGCGCAGAGCGAGGTGAGGAAGTGACTGGAATCTTACACTCAAATCCCGCCAATTCAATGCTTCTTAGAATACTGCCACTCATATGATGACTTGTCATTCTTAATATTTCTTCTTCTTCCTCTCTGTCTCAGAAACATGTGTATTCCGTAAAAGTCAAGACATTTTTCAGGACTTCTATGGATGATTTTGGCGAAATCAAACAAGGAGTGAATAGAAGGATAACCCAAAGAGGCAGTGCATATTTTCGACATTCTAGGAGGCCCAGAATGTTCCTTCGGCTTTATTGCATTTTGCTCATTCCATCATGGGATAATTGAGCCCTTCCACGTAATTTTTCCCCATTGCTTGTTTCACTACCATAATACCTGTGACTATTCCACACATATACATATGTACACTTCCTCGCTAGAAATCAGGTCATATGAAGGTACTAGAAAATGATTTCTTTTCTGGGTGGCATGATATGAATGCGCTATAAGGCGCATGGGCCACACATCGGAAGATGCGTAGAAGACTTTGCACTATGTAGGTGGGGAGGATAATGTATTGTTCATGTCATCTAAAGGCTCCAACGAGCTTTTACCTCGTCCATGGTGTAGGTAGACTCGTCTAGGTCAATGAAAATAGAACAAAAGAGTTGACAACGATTTTGGAGGCTCCTGTCTCCACATTTACCATCGCCCAAGTATGTGGATCGTTAAGTGCGGCTTGTGGTATTGGCTGCTCAACAAGCAGCCACAAATTTGCTTTTGAGCCACGGAGCATGATCCACAGTAGTTTGCATCATTTTGTGGCATAGAGCCTTTTAAGTCTGGGCTTCTTTGCCTATCTCAGGCGTCCGCGTTTGGCATGTGTAGATTCATCAGTGGCATTATTCTCCAGCTTTCATGAGGGTTGGCTGGTCGGTCTTCCAGGAGCTTTTAGCTCATGGTTACTTGCTGCAATATAGTACTCTAATAGTGATAGTAGTGATAGTGTGGCATTTCTGTCGCTGAATATGGCGTGAACATGGAACGGACTATTGGACTTGACTTTGTCGAAGTTGAACGCGGGAGGGGGGCGTCTCTCAGGACATGATGAAGCCGGATGCAAACTGGAAAGTGGACGCTCGTAAGTGACTCTGTTACCAAGCTGATGATCTATTACACCTACACAGTGAAAAGTCTACTATATTACTTCCCCAACCGACGCAGAAGCATCACACAAAACTTTACCAAATGGCGAAAACCTCATCTGTATTGGTATATGCAACATTCATCAAGTCAAGAACTTTTCTGGTCCTATTGAAAGGGAAGGAAAACATGGTCCCTCCCACAAATCGTATGAGAGCTGTTCAGACACCCACGCTCGACGGCTAGTGGAATAGTGTATAGAACATGGAAGAATCCCGAGTCAAGCGCACATAGCCCGTAAGAAAGATGTAAAAAGGAAAGAGGGCACAGGAAAAATGAAGAAAATACAGCATACAACGCCCGACACCATTGTGCACCCGGTATGGAGGAAACCAATTGACGATGATTAAGAATGTGTCTCGTTTCGTCGCCCGTAGCAGCAGCCGTAAGGCGCGGTGCCTTAACGACGCTGGTTCTTGCCAATGCCGCGCTTTCCAGTGTACTGTAAAGTAATTGTTAGTGGGAAAATACAAAAATTAAGAAGCGAAGGATCGCTAAAAGGGGAAAAGAGGGGGAGTGAAATACGTACCAAATGCTTGGGCAGAGAGGCAGTAGTGTGACGATCAGCCTCACCCTGGCGGGCCATGCGGTTCATCTTCTTTTGTCCCAGCTTAGCCAGACGCTCGGCCTTGGAGCGAGCAGTCTCATCAACCACACCGTCATGCAGACGGTCAGTCGCGGCCTGGCTACGAGCACGGCTCTTCGCACGAGCGATAGCCTTGCGCGGGTCATCGAGGTCCATGGCGTCATCATCAGCAGGCTCACCGCGAGTCGCTGTCCGACCCCGAGCCTGGCTCTGGGAGCGAGCGCGGTCGCCAGCGGCATCCACATCGTAACCAGCCGCATCAAGGCCACGCTCCATCTCGGAGAGCTTCTTGGACTTGGAGCTGCGGGGAATCTGAGCGCGGTTCTTAAGGGACTTGCGCATCTTAGCCTCATTACGCATCAGCACGCGCTTCTCGCGAATCAGATCAGCCTTCATGCGAGTATCGGCGTCCTCGGCATCCTCGACACTCTCGTCCGAGTCATAATAGCCATCAGCCTCTAGCTTCTCTTCCTCCTCCTCCAGAGCAGCCAGCTTGGACTCGATATCCGGATCCACGAAGTCGTAGATGTTCTTGCCATTCCAGACTTCGGGAATCTTGTCGTGGTTCCACTCCGCATTCGCCAATGTGTAGTCACGCTGCATATCGAAGCTGTAGACACCAGCACCACCATTCTCCTCCTCGAGGTCGCGCTCGAGCTTGCGGCGGTTGGGATCACTCTTGTCATACTTCTGAAGGTTCTTGACAGCCTCGGGGATGAAGGTTTCGCGTTGAACACCACCCATAGGCTGAGCAACGTGAATACGGGCAAGGACATCGCCCAGGCGACCAGTAGCGTTCTCGGCAGTGGTGGAACCAGACTTGAGCTTCTGCGCAACTCGCTCGGCAAGCAGCTTATCACAGGCGGCGTTCTTGACAGCGGTCACGCCCTCGGTGGTGGTGCAGGAGGCCTGCAGCATCTCCACGTCACCGGACTTCAGAATCTCCTGCAACTCCTGCTGCTGCTCTGGGTCCAGATCCTCGGGACGACGGACATCGATCTTGTTGACGACAATGTAGACGATCTTGTTGGCGAACAAGGGTTTAATGCTGTGGAAAAGCTTGATTTGGTCGGCAACAGAGTAACCGCACTGCTCGGAAAGGTCCATGAAGTACAGAATGGCAGAGCGAAGATGAGCAACAGCGGTAATCGACTGCATTTCGATGGTGTTCATTTCCTCCAGGGGATGATCAAGAATACCGGGGGTATCGATGGCCTGGAAACGCAGGTACTTGTAGTCGAAGTGGCCGACAAACAGGGACTTGGTGGTGAAAGCATACGGCTGGACATCGACATCGGCACGAGTGATGCTGCGCAGGAAGCTGGACTTTCCAACATTGGGGTAGCCGCAAATCAGAAGGGTGCGGGTGTTCGGGTCGATCGAAGGCAGACGGCCCAAGTGCTGACGGACCTGCTCCAGATACACGAGCGGGTCCTTGAGGCGACGACAAATGGTTGCCATGCGACCGAGCGCAGCGCGCTTGAGCTGCTTACACTGGAATAGAGATTGCGCATATTTGATGAGACGGACATAATCGCGGGAGACGGTTTCAATCAAGTGCTTGGCAGTCGAGACTTGACCGAGGGCAATGCGGAAATGGTCGGCATCGTAAAGGGTGTTCATCAAATCCTTGTCTAATCGATATTAGACCCCCACTGGCTGGGCCGGCCCAGATGGGTCGGGTCACAAAGTAAGAAAAACTTACGGAAAGGATGAATGTCCTGCAGACGAGGGAATCCATCGAGGATAGCCTGAAACTTTTCACAGAAAGTTTCCTGGGTGTACTTGACCTTACGAGTATAGAAACCTGCCGAGAAAAAAATTCGATCAGCGATACTTCTTTATCGATAACCCCGACCGCAATTTTTGCCTCGTCCGCCACTTGTGTTCAAACTGCCTGGCATAGAATTCTGATGGAAGGGAATGGTACCTCTGATACGGCTGATTTTAAAACCAGCACGAATCTGGGTGGGCAGTTGTCGCTGAGTGCGACTCAGGACAATGTCCAAGAATTCCTGGTTGGTGGGCACAGGCGCAATCTAGCGGTCAAAACAGGTTAGTTGAGAAATTCTCGAGGTATACAGAGAGATTCTGCATTGCACCGAAGAAGATCACTCACATCCTTCCACGTTGTCTTCATGATGGGCCACAGGAGTCAAACCGAGAAGTGTATTGACTCTGGAGTGGGAGGTTGTTGGGGGTTCTACGAGATTGTTCTCCACGAAAAAATTGCTGTCCGACATTTTTCTGCCGGGCGGTCAGTAAATGCGGGGACCAGGATTGGATGCGATAGCCGAGCCAAGAGTGCCTGATAACATCGATTCTGTGAAGAAAGATTGCAACTCTACAAAGCACAAGAGAGAAAAGGAGAGAAAAACGATAGGCATGCGATGGAGGCTAGGAGGAATTGTAAACAATTAGATGTTCTACCGGGTGTTTTCTTCAGTTTTGATATCATTTCTTTATCAGTGGGACCAGTCGTGCTCATGTACATCGCGTTTCAACTACGGTCACAAGTACTTGTGAACGAGTACAACTTCAAGAATCCCCAAGCCTCTTTTCCATGACAATCCGTAAGACAGACACACCCTCTTCCGCCCCAGAATACAAAGACAAACTCCATTTTCTTTCAAACCCGAAGACCAAAACCGATGACCGGACGTGAGTGTTCGTAGCGGGGAGCCTGAGAGAGACAAAAACAAAAGAAGAAAAAGAAAAGAAAAAGAAAAACGGTTGAATAGGCAAAGAAGAATGGAAAAGGGAAAGCAGACCGGCAAACAGGCCGCCTAGGGTCCACGCCGAAAGATGCAGGAGAGAAAAGGAAAACAAAACAGTAGGATAGAAAACCGTCGTGATTTAGCTTGACTCGTCACCGTTACTGAACTCCAAGACCTATGGCATTCCGTGTCAGTCAACAAGATACGGATGAAAGTGCTACAAGGGAGCTGAAGCAAAGGACTTACCAGATCAGTCCAACCACCGCCACCGAATTGGCACTTGCTCGGACCACGCGCCTCGAAGCCAAATGATTCGTAGAACGGAACCAAGTGATCATGGGCAATAATCGCAATTCGGTCCGCAATCTGTGCCTCCCGAATGCGATGAATATATGATTTCATCAAAGTGCTGCCAACCTGTTTGCCCTGGTGACTAGGCAGGACCGCGAGGGAGTGAATGGCAATCGTGCTGCCGCCCTCCTCGTGGCCCACCGCTTGGTCATCCTCGAGGGTCCAGCGTTGGTTCTGCCAGTCGCTAGGCAAGCGCATCGAGCGATCCGTCACAAGAGGCTCCGATGTCCGGGTAGCAATAATGTGTCCAACAAGAGTCGCCCGGGGCTTGGGCTTGCCTTCTTCGATGACAGGCAAAGTGAAAAGGCCCAGGCTGAGCTCGGGGCATCGAGTCAGGCGGTAAATAAACTTGTCACGCGAGCAACGCTCCTGTTCCGGGAAAGCCTCTTCCACGTGCACACAATCGTCAACATTCGATACGGAGAGCAGCTGAACGAAGGGATGTAATTCATCCAGCTTGGTGCGGTGGTGGGTTGGAGGACGACGGAACCAGTAGGGAAAGTCATTGGCATCTTCCTGATCAACTGCGACGTAATCCTCGTCCACTTCCTCCTCATCGTCTTCGCCATCCTCGAGAGGGAATCCATTAGTCATGGCAATGCCGGCACGGCTCATGATGCGAGCCAACTCGCTGTTGCTGGGGGTTGGCAGCGACAGATCCTCGGCATTGGACAGCGGCTTCAGACCTGTGGTATCCGGGCCGGCCATAGACTCCGAAGACCGCTCGCTGGGATCAGACATGGTCGAGGGGTGGCAGTTGAAAAAATCGGGGGAGGAACGACGGGTCGTGCTGGTGCAAAAACCCGGGGGGAGGGTGGATGCTTGCGTGGGGATAGAAGAAAGCAGGTGCAGCACGGTCACTCTTTTTTTTGCAGGGGGACCCGGCTCGGTGGCGTCGATGGAGACTCGAGTGGGATGTAAATCTAGACCGGTGGGGATTAGCTGATATGCAAGTAATGGAGAACCGATCTCAATCAGATCAAAGCAACTGATCTTCCTGGATCTTGGTTCCTTGTTTTTTGGCTCTTGTTCTTAGATCCTTTTGGGAGGGTGGTTGGATGGTTACCGCCGATAAGAATTTGCGACGCAGGCAATGTGCGCAAGGAGGGGCAGCGGCTGGCGACCGGAGATGGGAACAGGGCGGGAAGCGCAAGGCGGCAGAGGATTGCTGTCACAGGAATTACTCACAGTTGGTTTCACGATTCAAAGTGGGAAGCAAGGTGGTTTCAAGGGAAGGGGAAGATCGAAGGATAAGAAGGATAGGAAGGGGAAATTGAAAGTGGCGGACGATGTAGCGCGACCTGAGAGTACAAGCGGGTGACTGATGCAGGCGCCCGGATCCTCCCTATCATGGACGAGCACAAAGTAGCCTGGAGTACCCAACGTACCTGCGGTCCATACAGAAGGCACAGGGGCTTGACCGCCTCGAAGGCGGTCAAGCGGGGGATCTGCCAAGGTTCTAGAAAGACTCGAACTCCCTGGTCTCCTGCAAAGGCACCGCTAAGCGGCAAGCATGTGTTTCGGAGTCCGGTGTAACGGTCTGGACGCTTGTTACCTCTCGGACCAACACAGGGTCTCTGATTCAAGGTCCCAGAAGCAGGTGGATCCTATTCTTCTGGCCCTGGAGTCAGTATGGATGGTCCAGTCAATATGGTATGACTCGACTATCCATCGTCTATATGTACAGCATGCTCCCGGATAGCCAGGTTGGGCAGCTCAGGGCCAGTTATTGAGTCTCATGATACCCGTGGACAATCTCCCTTGAATACTGATAGCTCACTGGGATTTGAATTTTATACGGTTCAGAATCCCCAGGCACCACGTAGTTGACTATCTGTCTTGGTCATTCAAATGATCGAAGGTGTGATGGTTGACATGTTTTTCTGAAAGACGCCGGTAACTATAGCTGCAGGCAAGTGGGAGCAGGCGAGGACACCATAGCATAAGTAGAGATCAAGCCATCGAGAAGGACATGCCATACTTCCGATCGACTACTCGGAAAATGCCCTCCGCAAAGAGCACAGTCCCCAGTAGGGATCAGGCGACTGATTTATAAGTTGCATAGCAGCGGAGGTCTCCTGTGACGTGCTACTTTCGAGGCTGTCTGGTGTGGGCATATTGTCAATTCGGTCCGTTAGGACTGATTTGTCCCAGTGGATGTGATTCTTTGACCCGGCTTTCTATACTCCTTGATGTCCATCAACCCGAAGGCTTTTGGTTTCAAACTTTTGCAAATTTGGAATCCCATTTCATGTCACTGATCGACTGGAGTTAGCTGAAGTCTAGTGATAGCGTAGCCTTTTGAGTACTTGAGCAGGGTCTGTTATCTGGTTAACATGCGCATTGAAGGCTTACAATCATCCAACAAATGCAATCTCAGATTTTTCAAAATTAAACATCCGCTAATTGCGGAAGCCTACCTCTGCCAGACTCCTTGCAACCCAAAGGCTTTTCAAAAATGGTTGGCAGAAACCTCGTGAATAGTTTGATACCTACACTTTACCCGTTCTCTATTTCCTATTTCGAATTATCTAGTCTTCAATATTCGCTTTCTCTGGATTGAGGCTGCTGGCCATTTGGGTTGATTAATCAGTCTGCTAGAAGGGCTGTATATCCGATCAAACATATATCCTCTATGTAGGTCATAAATGTAGGGCAATCTTCTTCCAATGAGGTAAAATAACCCATAGTTGATATGAAACGAAGGACGGTAAATCGATATTTATCTCCTGGTAGGCGTTTGGTTGGAACATCCTGGATATATTCAGTGTCTTTCCCCAAAATCTAGCTGGGAATTATTAACACTGCTGTCGGAGATGGAGAAATAGATGATGTATGTAGACAATTTTGCCACTAGTTATCTGATCAAATCTCGTTAAATTTTTGAGATTTTCAATTAAAAATTTAATAAGGTATAGATAGTGTTATATCTCTATCTATGTCTGCTAGGAGAGGAAGGCTGGGTTCTCGAATCTCTCCTGGAGTTGTGTCATTATATGGACACCAAAAAGTCACGAACACTCAAGAGCTCCAAGAGACAATATTTTCTCTAGCCATGACCAAGATGAAACAGCTGACTTTAGATATACTTCGGATGGAATGTTTTGCAGGTGAATACTATGCATGCCTGTAAGATCAAGGATGGAAATGATCAGCTCCAAAGGGAGATTGGTGATCGTAGTAATTGGTGTATACCCAACTTCACTCAGACACTTTAGACGAAACGATCCTCTCGTAGCCAGTGTTGTGAGTGCCTGGTATGAATTGTCATTACTGGTTAATAATAAATCGAGAGGATCTTGGTTTGACTAAATAATGAAGAATACTCTGCGATGTATTTTCTGATGTGAGTTTGATCAATCAATTCATTCATTCATTCTCCATATGTGCTCCAGAGGCTGTGGTGGTAATCAGGATACTACCAGGGGGCTCAAAAGAGGACCCGTCGTACTACGAGAGATGCAATTCAACAATTGTCGTTAGTTCGCCTGTTGTAGTGTCCAGGGGTCTAATAAGTTAAGAACGGAGGGAGAATGAGTTATGGAAAAAAAAAAACCGAGGCAATACACATAGAGAGAGGAGGGTAGGAAATAAAAAAATGAAGCTGTGCAAGAACTGAGATTCGAACTCAGGAACCGTGAGGAACTGGAAAACTCATTGGATGAGCTAAGGATGCTTAGAACCTTGAGACCAGCGCGATAACCACTCCGCCATTCTTGCTGCTCTTATGCAACTTACCACCAAAATCACTTATCACTACTGGCTTTCACGGTCGGAAATTCAAAAAATCCAAAATACAGCGTCAAAAATCAAAAATCGAAAACAGAAAAATTAATTAGCTTTGCAAAAGCTGAGGTTTGAACTTGGAGCCCGTTAGAATTTGGAATACATTGAGGAGGGGAAAAAAAGAAAGAGGCTTTGCAAGAACTGAGATTCGAACTCAGGAACCGTGAGGAACTGGAAAACTCATTGAATGAGCTAAGGATGCTTAGAACCTTGAGACCAGCGCGATAACCACTCCGCCATTCTTGCTGCTAATATGCTAGATTTTCCAATTTACAATACAAGTAAATAGCAATTTTGAAATAAAACTGGAAAGTAAAAAAAAAAAAAAAAAAAAAACAACTTACAAAAGTACTCAATTTGAATTCGACCATGTCCTTAAGAAGAGATAATTCAAGAAATCCATCGTCTTGAATCCCCTGTGTTAAGAAATTTTAATAATTGTCTTCATCGGTTTCTATTTCGAATTAAGTAACGAGCGAGAGAGAGAGAGAAAGAGAAAGAGCGAGCGATAAGTCTTATTAATATGCAAAGTAATACTTGACAGGGTACCGACCTATTGCTCAGGCAAGGTAACAGGCAGAAAACAAACTAAGATCGTTAATGAATCGTAAAGAGGGATATGAATATGAAATGACCCGTAATTGCACCTTGAAGAACCTAATTTCAGAAATGTGGGAATCTCCTGTTGTATGGTTATTATTTGTATTAACAGAGGCAGGCGATGATTCATGATAGATCAGGAGACTATATCCTTTCAATACTCTTTGTCAGTTTATAGGTAAGTCTGAATGCAGATGAGTATTGTAGATTACAAGTAGCAAGCCTGTTGGCTGGGCAGGAGATTATATTTGGGGAGGGGGGGGGGTTTGGACAGAAGAATATATCTCAGTTTTAACAAAACCGGGCTTTAGGGATTGAAATATCCAATACGTTCCACATTCATCTAAGATCGGGCCATGCTAGAGTAAAACAGTCCGTGGAAGTATTATTATCAATTCTCTGTTGATCAACCGCAGTATATCGGTCTTGATCTGTCTTTTGGTTACTATGTGGAAGAACCATCCAAAGACAAACTATTGATCGCGACTCATAGTCTAACTAACTCATAGTTTAACTACCTAGCACAAGTACCCTCGCTGTCTCTCTCTTATCAATCTTGGAAATAACATGGGAAAGTTTGACCATCCATAGCCAAGACTGCGTCGCGTCGGTAGCGAGGGCGGCGGTTGCGGTTCACCACTCCATCTAATGCGGGAGTTATCGCCGAACCCGAGCGTTTCCCGAAGATACTCGACGGAGGGAAGCTCCCGCAGCCTCGCCAGAGCTCAAATCACTAAATCTAGAGATTCCATGGCTAATGGCTAAGTGCCGAGCAGAATGTGAGCCAAAAGCCAAATTCTTGCGGGAATATTAGAAACCCATTAAGGTGCGCTGATCCCGGCTCAGCCGGGCAACAAGGTCGCCGAGACACGGCGTTGGGCGGATACTCTAAATTCCCTCCGCCCGAATAGTCACCAGGCGGTGAATCGCAGCCGAGGATGCGTCATGCACCGTTATTTTCTCGTCCCAAGTGCTTTCCTTCGCTTTCTTTCTCTCCTATGTGCAATTTCCCGGTTCATCGACTTTGCTGAAGCTGCTTCTCCCTGTGTGAAACGGCCGCAGTGGTGTTGGTGGCCAACAATGAGCTCCCGGGCCCTCCACTGGCCGCGGACTGCACAGTCCTCACTCGCGAAGGTGCTTATACCCAATGTCCACAACCACGCGCTAATATGCAGAAACCAAGCTGACAAGGGCTGTATTTAGCAACATATTCCTCGTTCGGTTGATCATGCTTCAGGGCTCCTGGCGCAACCTGGGCAGATTCGTGCCCAGCAATTCGCCGAATTCTCGAGCACGAGCCATAATCATGAAGGCCTTGGGCGCCGTGCAAAAGAGAAACAGCTCGACCGAGTAAGTAGCCGAATTTAATTCTGTTTTATAATCGACCATCTATTTATTGGTGCTCACTCTATTTTGTAGGAATTCTTTTTAAGCCTCTTGAGCTCCGCTTCTACCAAACGAGAAGCCAAATCTTACTTATCTCGCTTCAAAGCCAGCCCTTCCAAGGCAAATCCAAAACCAGAGGCAGTAAACAAATCCTCAGAGAAGTCAGGAGAAGAATCACTGGCCTCCGGTGTGAATCTCGGCTCCTTCTACGGTGCGAACAGAGCTGTATATGACAGCCCGGTTTTCCGTCAGAACACAACACCGGCTCCACGAGGGCAAGAGCCTTCAGAGAAGCTTCACCTGGCGTTGATCAAGATTACCACACCGCAGTCCTTAGATGATACAGTTGTTGATGGTGTGGCTAAGACCTTGTCGCAGCTTGTCCGTCTGGGGATGGCTTGCTGCGTGGTTGTTGACCCCGGGAATACGGATTCTCCTGCCGCAGTGCGGCAAATCGCCATTGAGCAGGCTAACCGGATTTCGGCAGCTGTTGATGCACAGCCAGACTCTAAGTCATTTCGCTTGGACTCAGCACTATCTCTGTCTGAGAAAACGCCTGGTGACCCCACAGTCACGACTCGGAAAGGACTTCTCAGTCCGCTTTGGGATGGACATGTTGTGATTGTCACACCAATTGCATATATGGAAGAGAATCCTCGAGCTGTTTCAGTCTCTGCAAATGACACCGTCATGGCGCTGACCAAGGAATTTGCCGGTCTATCTACCCACCCAGACCCAGATGAAGATCCTACTGTAACCGCAGAGCGAATCAATAATTTGCAAAAAGAGGTCTCCCTCGACCGCCTCATTCTTCTCCATCCTCTTGGGGGCATTCCAGCCTTCAGTGGACCCCAAGAATCTCATGTATTCATCAATATGGAGCAAGAATTTGATGAAATCGAGGAAGAGCTCCTCGAAACCCGAAACATCCTTTCTGGTAAAATCAAGAGCACAATGAGCGCTAAGGATGCAGGACCGGCATCTGCTATTTTGGAAAGCAACCCCTTCTCCAAATTCGTCAATCAGGAGGTGGCATCACCCCTTCCAGGACAGTCAGAACAACTGCCTGGCTCCAAAGCAATGGGCTATGTGCTTGATGGCCATTTGGAGAATCTTCGCTTGTCCCGACAAGCACTGGCCATGCTGCCGTCGGCCTCTTCGTCCATCATCACCTCTCCTCAAGAAGTCGCCCACTCTGCCCGCCCCCCGCAAACCTCTACTCCAGATGTATCCGCCGTTGGAACCCGACGCCAGCGCAATCCCCTCATCCACAATCTCCTCACTGACAAGCCTCTTCTCTCATCCTCACTGCCGCCGGGGCGTCGCGGCCCTGCCAATGGCAAGGCCAGTGCCATCAGTTCACTTCCGCCCCATTCCACCTTTGTCAAGCGGGGTATGCCGCTGACCATCCTGCCGAACCCGCACATCCAGGTTTGGACAGCCACTGGGCAGCCCCGTCTGCAGCTGAATGACCCTTCCATCGACCTCCCGCGACTCGTGCACCTGATTGAAGACTCCTTCGACCGTAAACTCGATGTACAGAACTATCTCGAGCGAGTCAATGACCGGATAGCTGGTCTTATCGTCGCCGGTGAGTATGAAGGCGGGGCAATCCTCACATGGGAATCGCCGCCCGGAGTCGTCGATGACGGCAGCGAAGCCAGCGCCGCCCGCATGGTGCCGTATCTCGACAAATTCGCCGTCCTAAAGCGGAGCCAAGGCGCCGGAGGTGTTGCCGATATTGTCTTTAATGCGATGGTGCGCACTTGCTTCCCCGGTGGGGTCTGCTGGCGCAGCCGCAAGGACAATCCAGTCAACAAGTGGTATTTCGAGCGTTCGAGCGGCACTTGGAAGCTCGCTGATAGTAACTGGACTATGTTTTGGACTACGCCCGGCTTGGTTGAGGACTCGCAGCGGTTCAGGGACTATGAAGCCGTTTGTCGGGCTATTCAACCCAGCTGGGCTGACAACAAAAGTGTAATTGATTGAGGTACATAAAATTATGTTAGATATCCATTTGTATAGTGAGCTGTCAAGACTAGGCGGGAGATGTGAATGTCAATCAAGATCTTGTCCAAGCCATCAATATCGCGAATTTATCTGAAGACGTAATTCTATTTGAGCAATTTCCTGGCTGCGCATTTCTGAGTATCTTGTATAGAGTTAGATTGGAGTGACTCGAAAGGACGATTGTGTTAAGTTACAGTTAAGCTAGTTTGTTGATTGCGGGTCGCGCCCTCGCTGCTTTGTCATTGGTTGGTGGAGCATCGCAACATCAACCTGGCCGACCCGACTATCAGCTCGACCTTCTCTCCTTCACGGCGTCATGACACGATGCCCATCTGCATCGAGTGCTCATACCCGGTGTCGCACCTGTATAGTGCCTACAGTCGTGCTGATGACCGCTCCCAGGGAAAAGGCGTGCGATTGACGCAGTGTCCGCGCTGCCAGCGTTTCGCGGACAAATATGTCGAATATGACTTCGTCGTGATCTTTATCGACCTCGTACTCATCAAGCCGCAGGTAATGCCGACGCCAATCTAGTTCATAGGACCTAACTGACATATATGAATTCAGGTATACCGGCACTTACTCTTCAATCGACTTGGGCGCGATGACAACCGGTTTGATGTGAGCAGCATGAGCGACCCCGTCCAAGATGGCTCCTAGCTGACGAGAACATTACTTCTAGCGATCGATCATACGCCTCGGCATTCTTCTCCTCCTGTTCGATGTCTACCTGACCTGGGCCCGGCTCGAAAAAGACCCTTCTCTCGGCAATTCTTTTCTCTCGCGCACCCCTATTGTCGTGCAGTATCTCTTCTTCCTGACTCTGAACGCTGTGGCCACTCTCGCCCACCACCTCACTGTGCGCCTCCTCGCCTCCATCCTTGTCCCCAAATCCCATCGCTACAGCGCACCCGACACGACGAATGCCAATTCCACTGCAGCCAGCACGGGCAACACCACGCCGCTCCCCTCGGGCCCTCCAACACCAACAATCCGACCCTCTCCACCATCGCATGCCCCGAACGCCAAGTTCACGCAACATTTCGGCTCCATCGGCGCTCCTGCAAAGCTCACTCCCAACGTAGGCTCTACCAGCGAGCCCACAACCACGCCAGACCCATTCCCTACGCCCGCGCCAACCACAACCGCACCGCAACGCCCACCCCCACCCCTACGGCGCACATCCACCGCTCCAATCCACAGCATCCGACCACTTCCCCCTCCCACCTCTGCCAGTCCTACGGCGATTAGCACCGCCCTCCTCGTCAGCAGCTGCGCCAAGCTCTTCCCCATCCTTCTCGTGATCTGGGGCGCGGACGGCAGCGACAACACCACCACGGCGGAGAGCAGCGCACCCAGCGCAATCCGAAAAGATCTCGGTGCGTCCAAAGCCGCGCTCTCCTCGGAGCGCGGCGCCGCCGCCGCAGCCTCCATCTTGGAGTCCTCGCTCGCCGCGGCGGAGTCTTTCCTGCGACCGTACCTGCCCACCCGGTACTTGACAGGGCTGTTCCGGGTGCTGGCATCGCTACTGTCGCTGGGGGTAGTGGATACGCACCTAGTGCTTCTGAGCAATATCGAGGCGCTGTATATTCTGCTTGGGTGTGGGTATCTACGTGCCGTGGCGGTTGCGGTTGCAGGCCAGATTGCGCGGTGGGCAGTGCAAAGGGTTATCCTTGGGGCTGTTGGAGTAGGGTAGATTAATGTCATGTTTGCCGCATATCCCTGGAGGCTTGAGCTGGGATTGATGAAATAATTTTCATGTATACAGCATAAATTAGAGCACTCTTTCAATTATGCTTAGTAACGGTCTTGTTCATGCATAGGGCTGTCCACGAATAATTCAACTTTGTATTTGCCAGATTCCTACGACAATTGAGCTTTGAGCAGGATATAGCAGGATCCTTAACATACTGGAACGTCGAAATTGTAGAGCATATTCAGACAGCCTCACAAGGATGTACAGGATCTAATCAAAACCAATCATAGGGACAGAGAACTTCGAACAGAAAGATAGTGAGTAGCCTTAGACCGATATATCTAGCAGAGATCAATACAAAACAAAGAAAATAAGAAAAAGGCTGTACAAAACACCCGCAACCCAAGTGCATACGATTCTCGAAACAGGGCTGAACAGTAACTCATGGCCCGGTCACCGAAGAGAGAATCGCAGTCTCGACGGCCACCCTTTCACTCGAAAACACCATGTCACAAAGTAGAGACCCTAGCCCGAAATAATGGCGTAACGACGCAAGAACCCCGAAGCGGGAAACAAAGAAGACCCGATCACTCCGGGACCCGGCCCGGCCGGATGTCTGATCTTTTCGGCGAGATGAGGGGGTGCAGCTGTGCAAGGAATACGATTGCTGTGCGGTGTCAAGACCAAGTGTCAATTACAGTGGTGTAAACAGAATGGGACAGGGGATGAACATACCCCACATCAGATAGCAGGAGATAATCGAGAGGATGAGTGTGCTACGCCAGACCCTGGAGATATCAGATCGAATGTTAGCTTCGAGGTGAAAATGACCGTATGAGACAGCTTCAGTGTGAGAATCTGGGCAGAGAAGGCGACTCACGTCTGATTTTCGCCCTTCGGGCTGAAGAACCATGCTGCCAAGCAGAGGGCCACGATAATGATCAGGCCAAAGAAAAGGCTCCAACTGAAGAATAGGTCAGTTAAGATACTTGGGTAACAACAGACGCATGCGAGTCGTCTAAATTTAGGGCAGGGATGTCGAAAAGCTGCTTCTGGCTACATGTAGACCTGAATGTACAATCTGGTGCTTTCTTTCGGGCCTCGGAGTATTAAAATAAACATACCCGCTTGCCATATTGTCTAGAGTCTGTGTCGCGTCTTTCACGAAGTCTTCAAAGGCCGGGTGTACCTCGATTTGAGATCAAGGATGATATCGGAGTCAGGGACTTGGGGTTGCGGCGCACGGGCGGTTAGGGATGTTCCAGGTGGGTGACCTGATGAGAAGGCCGCAGAGTGACTGTAAGGTGTAGATCGGTTTAAATGGTGAAGAAGTTTACAGTATTCGACTGTGACCTGAGATCTCCGGCAGTGTGTTCACTTGGTGGTGCGAATCGCGGATGATGGCCAGGTGGGCGGTAACTCGGCAACCCGGGCTTGCGTTTCACAATTGAGAGAGGGCCGAGGAGAGAGAATGAAGGGGGGCTTGAAACGCGATGCTGAGTTCACCTGGAAACACAACAGAGCGGGTGAACAGAAAGATAACCTGGCCAAGTGGAAGCGGCGCTGGATGTCGGAGCTCCAGGAGCTAGCGGGACATTCTGCCTCAGGCCGGAGGGCGGTGTCCCGTCTATCAAAGATGTTTTGGTGTGGGGACAATATCTTGAAAGGCTCGATACTTGATTGCATCTGTTTAGGGACGCAATCTTTTTTTAACACTTATATTCGAGTATGCCTTTGAATATTCTAGGGGCTCTTTGCGCAAATCGATTTTGAATATGATCCTGCACTGGTAACTAAAAACACGTTGGATGATGTTCGTTCATAGGGGAAAGTCTCCTACAGACGAATCTCCGAGTAGCTCTCATTTACTCGTCGGTATGAGGAGAAATTATTATATACAGAAGACTCAAATAAGGTACTGTGGTAGTAGGTTTGAACCACCATTGGCTCGGAGATCCAGAGTTCGTGTTTACATGTAAACCCAGATGCTTCGGGATTGCTATTCTAGTATATGCGCTGACAATAGTTCTGCCATGTTAGTAATTGGTTATATATGCAATTTCTGCGCCACTATAACATCTGCCTTCATAGCTCAGTTGGTAGAGCGTTGCACTAGTAATGCAAAGGTCAGTCGTTCGAATCGGCTTGAAGGCATTTCATTTTTATGTTTCTTCCCATTTTTTTCTCTTTTCACCTCTCAATGCGCTCTCCACAAATTATTGTTTCGTTTTGTTTCTTGTCAAGGGAGTTTTTTCCGGATCTTTCTTTTTTGTGCGAAAGGTCGTATAGCTACCTATTAAGGGCTTTCTATGAACTGTTCCTATCCCCTGTCTGGGGAACGAAGTCCTCGACCCAGAATATATATACCTTCCCCAGTGTACAGGAAAATATCATCCCAACTTAATCCAGCCCAATATGCACACAGGCTTGCTGAATATATTTCACCATACTCAGCCATGTTCTTCATCTAATTGCATAACAGTTATAGGTGGAAACCGGAGCACCATGCCGCAACCGTAGACAGACGCAGTCTGAATCTACGATAGACACCAAGCCTACACTACACAACTCGCAAGGAAAGGACGGAAATTTTCCAATCTATTGCATTTCACAGATAGTGCAGCAAAAGCCAGAAGAATAACTGGACGTGATTCCTTGGGATGGCACACGCATAAAAGGGTCGGGGTGGGGGGAGTACAGTAGATACAAAAAACGGCCGGAGGTTAAGCTGGAGCCCGGCAGTGGGAAAAACAAGGATTCAAACGATACGGCTAGGAATAGAAAGAGGAAGGATCCACGCCTACGCGCCTTCGCGGCTCTTGCGGTAGCTGGCCTATAGGCAAGGGGATACAAGTCAGACATGGTGGGCTAGAAAGGGCTGGTGCAAGGCTTAACGCATGCTTACTTCCTGCTCGACCTGCAGTGCATCCACAGTCGGAGCGAGTTCGCTCAGGATCTCGTAGGCCTTCTTGTGGAACTCAAGCTGGGCGGCGATCAGATCGGCCAGGTTGCGCAGGGGTTCCGGGGTATCAAGGACCTGGAGCAAGGGGGAGCGAGGTATACGTCAGTTTTCGGATGATCACCATGGGAAGAGACAAGAGGAAGGGGAACACAAGAACAGGGAAAGTGTAACGAGAGAAAATATAAAGTACATACGTTCTTCATCACGCTCACAGCCTCCTCAGTCTGGCCGACGAACTCATCCTCCGCCTGTTCGATCTCCTGGCGAGCATCCTCGCTCAGGTTATCAAGGTCACCACGGGCAGCTGCCTTCTTGCTCGCCTTGATCGAGTCGAGCATGAGACGGGAGTTCTCAACGTTCTTGCGTGCCTTGGCGGCGAACATGAGGTTGGTGTTGAGCGTGGTGTTCCAACCCGCCAAGAAACGGGACTGGATCTGGGCGTCCTGGGCCAGGCGCGCCTCGCCGACCTTCTCTTCAGCCAGGGCATACTTCTCCAGTGCAGTCGCGAGCGGATCCTCAAGCTCGCTGCTTTGCACGAGAGTCTGGGAGCCAGCGAGCGAAGCGCGGGCGATCGCATGGTTGAAGGTCTTGGGTTGGGGTTTGGCGGAGGGCGGCGCGGTCAGGGCAGCCTGGGCCTCGGCAGGTGAGCCAGCCTGGGATAGGAGGGTGACCTTCTCGTTGATGGTACGGCCGAGGTCATTGAAAGATTCGCGAATGTTGGGTGGGTAGTCGTAGGCCTCGTTGGAGTATTGCGAGCTGTTTTTGAGAAAAGCATGGACGGTCAGGCTGGATTTCTTCTAGGAGGAAGTCGACGCTGACTGGTATGGCAGCGCCGAGAAACCTCATTCATTTGGAAATATGATTATACTCACGTCACTTGCAGCAGCTTCTGGTGAACAAGCTTCAGCGCATCGACGCGCTTCTCGAGCTCGATGTATTCATCGGGGAGCTGGGTCTTATCTTCGGCTTGGCCCAACTGCTCCTTGATCATCTGCTGGGTGCGCTGCGCGAAGGGCGTAAAGTTCGCGCTATACTCAGCGACGGAGTAAAAACGTCAGTCATTATGTTCGACGACAGTCCAGAACGGGGGCCACCAGTGATTGTGGTTGAGGGGCATGATAAGGGGGACCTGCGGGGGGAGAACTCGCCAAGGGGCTGTGCTCACCTGAAGTTCTTGCCGAATGCCTGCACTCGATCCATGATGGCTGGAGGGACAGATGGGAAAGAGGAAGAAGAGAAGGAGGTGTGGAGTGTTGAGGACATCACCAGCTACGAGGGTGCGATGGCCCATCCTGCTGCACCGCCTCACCGCACAGCACCGCCACGTATTCCATCAGGCATCCACTTAGGGCCAAAATGTGCATTATGCGGTAGAAGAAAATAGATAAAATAGATAGAATAAAATAAAAAAAAAAAAAAGATATTAAAAAAAAATTACACGAGAGAAAAAAAAATCCAATGCATCATAACCCGTGAAATAATCATGACAGTCGTCTCGTCCCTGCACAATCTGCAAATTCCTTCCAAAGATCAGGTCAAAGTGGCCATCATAGCCCGCATCATCCGGGAATTGGGTTCTAGAAAGTAGTCAGCCATAGAGTCTTGGAGCTGCCATATTTGGCAGGTGTAGAAGGGCGCATAAACGTACGACTGCGTTCTTGCCGGCGAATTTCCGTTACCTCCTCCTCGTTGCCCTTGTCATCAATGATATCAGTATCGCGCTGTCGCGTGATCTCGATTCCTCCCATCCGCTCCGCCCGCAGAAGTCTCAGTTCATCTTCCAAGTCATGTATCTCATGCTCACTATTCCGGGGACGCATCACAATAAGGTCTCCGGAATGGCGCGGCCGGGATATGGCCCGCTCCCCGAGGTACCCACGAGGCTGGACTACTCGGACAGGTGACGAATGGCGGCCGTGTGTGTGCAAAGATACTGAACGCGCACGAGAGATAGGCTGTACTCGTAATCGGTCCCGTTCAATGATTTCGACATCACGGGGACTCCGCGGGGATGCCTCTACAAGATATGCTTCCCGGTGAGGTGAATAGTCGTCGACCACGAGATGTTCTCTGGTTACTCGTTCGCGTGGAAAGGCTCGGACGGGAGACCGTGGTACATGGATGTACTCAGCTAAAAAAAGGTATGTCAACTCGAAGTTCTCTGGAGACTCGTGAACAAACCAACTCACTTTCGACACGTTGGGCAGGACGTCGGAATTCTTTGCTCAGACTGATGACTTCGTCAATTTGCTCCTTGGACAATGCTTTCTGAATGACAATGGTATCTTCCTACATCGAAGATAAAAAGCATTTGTTAGAACACACATTTTCAGTATCTCAACGACAAGAATATAGATATCTGTACCTCTTCCCGGTACGGGTACCCCAGGTCCAAGATCGCATGGACATGCACCCACTTGCGCGGGATACGAGTCTTCCCCTTGCGCGGATATGGCTTTTCTTCCCGATGGCGAGCACCACTGCTGGAGCGTCTGCGTGAACGGAATTCTCGGTATTCCTCGTCACCATACAAGTCCGGCTCGGCGATACGAATGTCTTCGTAGACTTCGCGTTCCCGGTACCGACCGGGTGAAGGGCCGTGGTCATACATTCGAGGGAGTTCGCGAGAGCGATCGTGATGGTCGAATGTATCCAGCTTGCGCCGGGGGATGCGGTCAAATGTATCTAAGGACGATTGACGCCTTACTAACCGGGGCGGCGCGAACGAGGGACTTTCGTCACGGCGCCGGCGGTCATGCGCCACCAGGGGTCCGGATGGATGTGACAGGTGGTCGTCCTCATAACGGCGACCAGCAGCGCGCGCTGGTGGGCCATATTGGTCTTCTTCACGCAGACGGAACTCGAAGCGCTCATCCTCACGGCGGGGTCGCTCCGCCACGCGCGGGCCACGAGAATATCGCTCATATCGATCGCGCGAGTCTAGTGTCCCGGTCGAAGAGCGGTGGTCGTCGTAGCGCGACATGGGTTGGACTCACTTGGGGCCAACTTAATAGGATGTTTATTTGGGTTGGTTGGGAGGGGAAAGGCTGACAATTTGGGGGGAGGGGTGGGAACCGTGGATGACGAGGGCGGCTGACTCGCGGGCCGACCAAGGTGGGGAATGAGAGAACCACGGGAGCAAGGGAAAGGGAGAAGGAAACGGCGACTAGAGAATGGAGAATAATGCAGGTGAAGCCGATCAGAGATCGCGATTCAGCCTTACGAGGGGTAGGGAGAGAGAGAGAGTGTGTGTGTTCAGGCAGAAGCCTAAAGACCTAAAGACCTAAGCACCGAAAGACCGATGATGACATGTTCTGCCAAGCGGGCAAGCGGGTAAGCGGGGGGAGGCTCTCGGTGGCGGCCACCAAATCGAGGCCTACGAGTCCCTCGAAGTCAGGGCAGAGCACCAGCACTGAGACAGCACTAAGGCACGGACGAGTCGCTAAACCAGGCTGCAGGCAAATCGTCTCCCGAATCAAGAATGATGACCGAACATCCCACTGGTGGTCTCACAGTTCCAAGCCACATGCTAATGTAGGTACACACATATGCGCCCCAAGTCTCTCCTTCAATTCACCTATACCTCTAAGTTCTGCATATCCGCCTCTAAACTCAACAGTCCCATGGCCAGATATGCCCGATCAGGCGGGCTGACCGTCACAAAGCGCCGGTCATCATTGCAAGGAACCTCCTCGGCGCGATGCAGAAGATCCTGCGGCTGTGGAGAGACCCGGTCAGCATGCGCCACATGGCGCAGGTAGGAATCGAAACTTACATGATTGTCGCGACCCCGGTCGGATTCAAAGGATCGCTGATATGGTGGACCGCGGCCCTGCTTGGCTGCGATAATCCACGACTTTTCACAGCCACTGGCGATGGCGTCGGATGTTTTCCAGCCAGTCAGTCGTGAGACGTCCCGCAGTTTGGCAATGGTCCAGCCACGCTGCGCCGGGTCCATATACTGCACACCAGCGAAGAAGATCGGCATCGTCATCTCCGTCAAAGAAGAGCCTAGAGTTGGACTGAGGCTACCTGCCTCTAGGTTGTAACGCTGTGGATAGTAGATGCCTCCAGTAATCCGTCCAATGGTTTGCGCATACTCGGTGGTAGTCGCAGCCGCTACACCGGCTGCCATCATCATGGCCGGGGGCATACAGGGGTGGAGCCGGTGGAGCAATATGCGTGCTGCATAATAAAAGCCCCAGATCACCGCGATCGTGTGCGTGCGGTACTGCAGGGCGGGTCCAAATGGAGTGGCTATCGACTGCGTGACATCAGCGGGTAACGGTTGGAAGTCGCGGCCTAGTGCCTTAGCAAAAGTGTCCGAGGCAGCCAGAATCTCCTCCCACTCTCGTTCAGCCTCATTGTATGTGAAATCGTCACCGCCATCTTCTTCCTCGGGCGAGTCTCGTTCTTGAGGGCCGCCATCTGCAAATCCAGATGGTAGGCGGACGGGTCCTTGTGGTGGTACCATGCCATACATAGGAGGCCCATCTGGACCCGGTGGAGCCGGGCCTTGACCAGGTGACCCTCCAGATGAATCCGAAGGGGGACCGGTTCCCCTGGAAGCAGAGGAACTGGTTGGGGATGGACCACCCGGAGGCCCAGGAGGTCCAGGAGGCTTAGGACCACCCGGAGGCCCTGGTCTTTTGTTAAAATTCCCACCAGCGAAGCGACCCATGAACTTGAAAAGTCCAGGACTTGGCTTCCAATCCAATCCAGATGCTCTGATGGCCTTCAGCTTCCGCTTTCGATCCCGATAGCCAAAGTCAGTCACGCGGGCGAGGAGTAACCACAGGTGATCAGCAGATCCGTAAATGGCGTCCAACCGACCCATACCAGCCCGCGGTGGAGTTTGGCATTGTAAGTAGTAAGGCATGCTATGATAAAAATCAGTAAAGGAATCAGGCTGTCAAGGATAATGGGAAGGGCTGGGCTCACAATAACTTGTCGCCACTGATCAAGCTATGGAACACATCTTGCTTAGTATACCACCAATATAGGTCGCATTGGATTCGGAAGTTCTCAATATCTTTCCGCGAGAAGTGCTTCTTGGGAGAGTTCATATATCCATCTTCAACGACCCCAAATTCATCAAAATTAACCGCACGGCCTAGAATAGACCCCAGGAGTGCTTCGTCGACACTGCCCTCTTTCACAGCAAAAGGGTCATCATCGGGGACGTCACCAAAGCCTGTGTGATACATGGGCGTGTCCGACCATCCCATCTGGCGACGCTGCTCACTGGCTTTACGTCGGTGAGCCCGAAGGTCCCGGGTCGCGCCAGCAAAGTCCACCTCCCTGATTAGCTGAGCCGCACCCGCAACGTGGCTGTTCCATTTCGAGTGGTCCGCTGAAATAACCTCATAGTAGGCCAAAAGCGTGGTCGCAGCGAGAGTACCAATCTGTTTGCGCCGAAGCGGAAGGCCTACCGCACGCCCGATCCGCTTCAATGCGTAGTGGTAATGTTTCATAGAAACAGTGGTGGTCGCATTTTGCAGGTAAGCAATATGCAAGCTGCTAACCGCAAGAATGGCTTGCAGCAAAGCCGGGTGCTCCAGGGCTTTGAGGGGAAGCGTATAGGTCCAAAGACCTTGCTGCGCCGGGGGCACAGAGACTCCCAGAACGATTGAGGAATCAGTCGGGTGCCGTTCAAAGATAGACAATGACGGACCGGTTGAGTGAATGAAGTGGGCAAAGATGCGGGCCGTTTTGGGATTATTCAGAGGACTGGAGCCGAGAGAGGGATTGTACGAAGCCAAGACATTGGGCTCATTTAAGTGGGTGGTGAACGAACGAAGTCGACGATCATCTTGATTAGCCGAGGCCATGATAAGACTCAGCTGGTTGAAACCCTCGGCCTGTATTTGATCCACCATCTCTTCATCGGATTCAACATCGTAGTAATCTTCATTCTCATCTTCCACGTATACGACCTGGGGATGGTACTGTTGAATGAAATGTCCAGATGAATCCACCTGCGCCAGAGGTCTTGCAGACAGCTGTTGATATGGATATACAGTAGTTCCGGAAAAGTGAGCAGCCTGGGATAGACAATCCTTAACATTGGGCCTCTAGGCCATGATCATACAGCTGGGGAAGAGAATAGTACATACCTGAGGAAATAAGGGATTCTCGGAAGGGTTTTCTGATTGCGGATCACCTGTCATCGGCGCGACTGAACTTGGAGCCAAGCCGGAGCCCTGAGGGAAGTTTGCCTGCTGGAAATCTGCCCAGTTGATGATGGGTTGCGGATGGGGATCGTGTGCTTCTTGTTCATATTTGGAGCTACTCTGATTTGTGGAACCAACGGACTGAAGGGGTATTTGTGAGTATTCAACATGAGTGGGTGGTGCTGGTGGTTGTGTGTGTGTTTGCGATTGTGGATGTTGTGAGGACGGCTGAGCCTGCTGAGGTGACCATGGCTGAGATAGCGGTACTTGGACTGGCAGAGCTGGAAAATAGAAATGAGGAGCGGCGGCTGTTTGAGTTACCTGGCCCTGCGATGGGGTGTTTTCTGTTGCTTGAGTCAGATGATATCCGAATGTCGCGGGATCTACTGGTCGTGGGGCCAGCATGGGGTGCTGCGCGGCGGCGGCAGCAGCCTGCTGAGCTGGGAGAGTGCTATAGTCGCCGAACAGCGGTACACGCATCTGGTGCTGGATCGGGTGTTGCATCTGAGAATCCTGATCAACAGGTGGGCCATAGGGCCCGAGGATCCCCAGCGGATTCTTGAAGACGACTCGCTGGGCATAGCCTTCGCAGATCCGTTTGGACTTCACGCAGTTGCTGCATATCGGTTTTTCCTCGCCGCACTTGATACGACGCTTGCGACAAGCTATGGGAGAGTCAATGATCTGAAGGAAAAGAATGACGATGAGTGCCCCACGCACTTAAACAGCCCGTCTTGGTCCTCTTCTTTGGGACTCTGCGCGACCCTGGCATTCGGGTTCCGGGAGCTTCGGCGTGATCATCGTCGATGGCGGGGGCCGTCGACGGGTACGGTGCTGGCCGATCGTCTGCCATCGTCTCCGCTGAAGCAGGAAGCAGTTTCAAGACAATTGAACCCTGCGCACATGCGAGGGCATGGTGGAGTCGGAAAGGATCAGAAAGGGTCAGCAAGTAGGAAAGCGGGGAGTTTGCGATACGGCGCGATCAACGGTCTGGAATCGAAGTCTCCACAAATTGGGCAACGCTGCCGAGCCTTCGCATCGCCGATCACCCGAGCCCATCAGTGCAACCGTGGAATTGGCACAGTGCCTGGACAGTTTTCTGGGTCCGTTCGAATCGTAAAAAAGACTTTGTTGTTGCGGAGTTGATTGAGTTGACTGAAAACTCGTGGCGTGCCTTGTGGCCTCGTTGCCTTAGCACCTTTCTTTATCTTTAATTTCCTATTTCAGGGGTCCCAAGGTCTACTTTCTCCATCCCCCACCCTCCATCTTGCATCCGTCACCTTTTCAACCTTGGACCACACAAGACCTGGACGGTACATGAATCTACAATTTTTCCCATTTGTTTATGTATAAGTATAATCCTGTTCATGGAGCTCTCAGCAGAACTACCTCGGCCTAACGGCAAAATCGCGGTACTTCTTAGCAGGGGACACCACCGCTTGCCTCTCAGACATCATGTTTGACGTTATCTGGAGCTTCGAACTGCAGACGGTGCAAACAGGAATGACAATGGAGGAGAAAAACTTTGTGCACGTTAAAGCCAGGGACCTGCATGATACCCAACAGCGTGAATTGTATTGCGCCGTCCGTGACGATCCGGTAATCCCGAAAGAGATTCAGACATTTCTAAGCCCGCCCAATTGGATCACCAGCAATGAAAATCTCACACAGTGGTTAATAACCTCAGGCCACTCCAGCCATATGTTCATAATGAGACTGTGATATCTCCAAATAGCATTCCAGGTGACTCAAGGACCTGGCTCTCTAGATCTACAATGCACAGAGAGAGGAGATCAAGGGCCACTTTGATCTTTTGAGAGAGAATTGAATTATAGGGTTATGAGGATTCAGAAGCTCAGAAGATGCCTGATCGACTACAATCGTAACTTGAATATATCTGGGTTGACAATATGGGATTGGCGTCTTCTCTAGTCTACCACTCTTAGCCCCTTGTGCCACTGACGCCTGTCTTCACAAAATTGTAGCAAGAATTGCACTCCCACTTCGATATGTCGGAGGATCTGAATACTCTCCTTGCATCAATGGCTCCATTTTTCTCTCCATCTTTCTTTGACCTTGTTTTTTGACGCCAAATTGCCGGTGCAGAGCCCCCCTAAGGAAGGTGCGATGATCCCCTCACTATATCGAGGAAAACAATCGAACACTTTATCGAGTACTTTCGCTGCTTCAAGATCATGTTTTATGCATTTAATAGCCCGAGCAGCTATACAATGTAAAAGATGATGCGCGTTGCCAAAGCTTACCTTACGCGTACAATTCGGGGAATCGAATAGGCATATGCCACAATCAATTAACGTGATCCACGATATAGTTACTAGCTGCTTTGAACCATAAACAGATTAATATTTCTCAGCTCTCTAGACCCCAGTAATCATATATAGTACCCAAGAACATGACGCTCGAATTTCCCAAGAGCAGGCAAGATAACTTTAAATGGACAGAAAATGTAAAGGCCGCGGGCCGGGTTCGAACTTAGATGACTCGTACCAGTAGAACGTAAAAAACGTAAAAATACCAAAACCGTGTAATGTAAATTGCTCTGCAAATCTGGAAATTGCGGAGAAGGAAATTTTGCTCGGGGGGTTTTTTTTTTTTTTTTTGGCAAGGTCCAACTCGCCGACCAGTGTCCAACTCCGCAAGAATAATATCTTGAGCCTCTTCAGGACCGCAATTGTTATCTGTAACGTCGGTGAAGACAACGCATAAGTTTTTATCGAATTCACCATGTTCGCCGTCCCCGGGTGGTCGGTTTCCAGCGCGGCGCTCAAGCAGCAGACTCAGCCGTCGCAAGCCCAACAATCCTCCGCATCGACCGCCGAAGGTTCCACGCCTAATTCGAAGAACAAGAACAACAAGCGCAAGCGTGGAAATGATCATGTCACTTCGGGAAATGTCAATGAGATGTACCGTAAGCACATCGAGGGACACGACGAGAGCAAGCCCTGGAAGAAGAAGAAAGAAGGCAAGCAGGCCGCTACCGCGCCCCCCAAGCCTGCCAATGACGCCGTAAAGGCGACCCCAACCGAGTCCACACCGGAGGAAGGACAATCGAAGAAGAAGCAGAAGAAGAACAAGAAGAACAAGGGCAATGCCACCGAAGCCGACAAGGCCCAGGAGGATGCTGTTCCTGCTTCTGCTGAGGCGAAACCCGCAGCTCTGGCTTCCACAATTGCTCCAGTACCTCCTACGACTTCGGCAACCCTGACTCCGCTCCAACAAGCGATGCGCCAAAAGCTGATCTCATCTCGTTTCCGCCATTTGAACGAAACTCTCTATACAACCGATTCCTCCAAGGCCGTCGAGCTGTTCAACGCGAACCCCGAACTCTTCGATGAATACCATGCTGGCTTCTCTCGCCAGGTGAAGGAGTCCTGGCCCTCCAACCCCGTTGATGGCTACATTCAAGCTGTGCGCCGGCGCGGCGCCGTTCCAATCCCCAAGCGAGGCAACAAGCCCCAGCCTAACAAGCCCCTGCCTCTCCCCCGTCGTCCCAACGGAACCTGCAATTTCGCCGATCTGGGATGCGGTGATGCCGCATTTGCGAGAGCATTGACCCCGTCTGCCAAGAAGCTGAACCTGAAGCTCAACAGTTACGATCTCCAGGCCCCCGATCCCCTCATCACCAAGGCTGATATTTCCAAATTACCCCTGGAAGATGGCTCCGTGGATGTGACCATCTTCTGCTTGAGTCTGATGGGCACGAACTGGGTTTCCTTCGTGGAGGAGGCATGGCGAGTGCTGCGCAGTGACGGGAAGGGCGAGTGCTGGGTCAGCGAGGTCAAGAGTCGCTTCGGCAAAGTCACCCGCAAGAAGTCCCAGATCGGCGCGCAGAAGCCGCAGAGCAAGAATGACAAGAAGAAGCCGAAGAAGGGCAAGAAGGGCGACGACGCAGACTCCGATATCGACGAAGCTGATATCTTTGCCGAGGATGCCCGCCCTTCAACAGACAATGACGAGACCGACATCTCGGCATTTGTTGAAGTTTTCCGGTCTCGCGGATTCGTCCTGCGCCCAGAGTCTCTTGACAAGTCCAACAAAATGTTTGTGAAAATGGAATTCGTGAAGCAGGGTGGAGCGCCGACTAAGGGAAAGCACGCGACAGGCTTAAGTGCTCCGGGCAAGGGAGGGAAACGTTTTGTGGACCGGAAGACCGAGACTGACGGGGCAATGACTGCTGAGCAGGAAGCTCAGGTGCTGAAGCCTTGTGTGTATAAGATTCGGTAGTTTGCTGTCTCCACTCGAGGAAAATAGCTTGGATACATTACAAGGGTTGTTCTCTCACTAATGGGTCTTTTCACACTTGTTTCACTACATACATTCACCTGTCCAAGTTGACAAATCTATCAGTATCTACTACTTGAAATTACAGCCATACCCATCATAACAAGTACACAAGTTAATTGATGAGGCTCAAAAGCGCTAATACTCTTATAAAAGTTTCCTGGTTGATTTCAAGCTTGTATACGTCGAGACAAAAGTGGTCGCCATAAGATAGCAGATTGCGATGCAAGTATTATATCAACTTAACGGGGTGGAAACGTAGTTACCGCGATCTGGATGAATAATCTATCTCGAAACAATGCGGGGACCCTTTAACTGCCCTTTGATTTCCCCGGAAGCGCTGTCTTTTGATTGATCCGTGGGATAGGCAAATGGTGGCTTTGCGATCTTGAAGATCCCCCAACTGGTGATTGAATACCCCTCAAGATTCTACGGGTGGAAAGGTTGGACAGGTGTAATCTACGTTGCCGTGTAGACAGGTCCATATGTGTTGAAGCTAGACTACATAAATCAAGTAGATGATGAACACAGGCAGACGAATACACAATCCATGCTTCTGACTTAATGAAGTGTATCTCCAGAATTATGAGTATAAAAACCAGCCCGTTTTTGGGAGCCGAACCAAATGTAGGCTGTCCGAATACCGGAGACATCGATGTATTTCCTCTGAATTACCTGTACCTTAGCTGACAGATTGTCAGATAATTGATGAAGGAAATGGCGGAATCTGGATCCTTGGAGCCCTCATTACAAATGGCAGCTCAGCGTTATCAGCATCTACACGACGCTGCTATGCCACCTGGCATGTGGAATCCTGCAGATCAGGTATGTATACTGCATTTGGAAATTGTCTTTGATCTGTCTGTCCAAGTCTATAGACTTACTTGTCTATAGAGGCATATGGCTGGAGCTTTTCAGGATAATCGAGTGATTCCATATGAGGGCATTAAAGGAGCGGATATAAACACAGCGCAGTGGACATAGCTACTCCAGATCCTTGCCGCCTATCTTGTTCTGCTTTCAGAAGGACCCCGACGAGCTCAAATGTGTCAAATCGAAGTGCATAGAAAGGAAACCTATTTTTACATGGATCGGTGGCTACGACAACGAGGACACTTTTTACTATCGCATCCAAAGTCCCATCGTTTGGTCGAGTTCGACCACCATTCGGGCGTTTTACTTACAAACAAGGAGCCTGCCAAATACCATGTGCACACAATTATCCGGACGCTGAACGGGAAGGATTATGGTCAGGAATGTCTAAGACTTCACCGACAGGCTCATTCGAGTGACTAAAACCTATTACCTGGGGTGGTTTTCCAACTTTAATAAGTTCTTCGCATCGTTGATCTGTCGAGTATCATCCCTAGAGAGATAGAGCCTGACCGAATTGGTCCCACAGCTGAATAAAGGTCGTGTAGTTTATTTCAAGGTACCATGCAGAAGCAAGGTAAGAGCCCTTGGCCCCCTAAGGTTGATTGTCTACCTCCAAATAATGGCTAGTTGCTTATTGATTTCCACCCAGTTGTGCCACTGCCCGGCCCATTTCCTCATCATTGTAGATGCTGAATCCCTTCTCTTTGGTCACGCTCGCCAACTGAACATTCTTCGCATCAAGCTTCTCTTCCATTACCTGCTTGAGTGTCTTCAGCACAAGCGTTTCGGCCTCGGCGAGTGTCAATGACCGGTGGTATTCGTTCTGCAGTTCGGCCTGCGCGCCTTCGCTTCCGGAACCGATAGCCTTGGCGTCATACCGGTAGAAGGTACCCGATGGCTCGGCATGATATCTAAAATTTACGATGAAGAATTAGCCGCATTCTGAGTTTGTACGTCAGGCAGGAGACGCGTGACGCACAGCTGAGGTCCATCCTCATCGTAACCCGCAATTAACAACGCAACACCGAACGGTCTGCTCATAACACTCTCCTCGTCGTCACCACTCTCTCCGAATCGGAGAGCCAAATCGCAAATGGCCTGTGTGGTACTCTCAACACGGAGCGGCTCTGCATAGTGGAAGGCATGGTTCTGGCATTCGACACGGGCGTGTTCGACAAGGTTACGGGCATCGGCTTGCAAGCCGGACATAGCGCAGCCGATATGCTGATCAATTTCGACAATCTTCTCGACAGAGGATGCTTCGAGGAGGGTGGATGTGACACGCTTCTCGACACCGAGGATGACGCCTTCCGATGTTGCAACCTATGAAGGTGGGGAAAGTTAGAGACGGGGTTGGACTTGTAAGCCGGATCGCGTTGGCCGGCTTCGATACTCGATGATCATGCAACGGTTCGATTGTAGAATGACATCTCATGATGACCGACAACTGGAGGACGGAGAGTGGGCAGGGCAGGACGTACACCGATCGCCGTGGAACCTAGCTTGATAGCTTCAAGAGAGTATTCGACTTGGAATAGACGGCCTTCCGGGGAGAAGGTGCTGCGGAGGGAAGAAAAGTCAGAAGAGGAGCTCCAAACCAGAAAGGACAAAATTCCGAGCTCAGGATGCGTACTTGATACCACGATCTATCCGCAATGTTAGCAATGCCAAAGCGCAACGGCTCGGAGGACGTGACGAAGCTTACCATATTCTGAGCGTGCAATGAACATGATGGCGAATCTGGCAATATGAGGAGAGCGTAAGGTATCAAGAGAACGAGAGAGCCCAGGAAGAAGATAATACAAAGCTGAGATGGACGAGAGGGAGGGGGCGGACTTGGACTGGGAGGGAGGACGGAGCTCTTGGAGGCGGGAAGCTCTCACTTACGCAAGTTGGCGAGTGCCTGGACGGGCCTCAGGCGGTGAGGCAGCCACGCTGCCCGACGAGCTTCCGCGATCATTGTTTGGTTGTTGTCGAGCTCGCCTTGTCGCGAATTCCATGATTGGTTCATTATTAGCGCGTGAGACTGTATCCTCGGTGCTACATGACCTTATCTGCCCCCTCTAGGGATTATGTCCGTCAATGACCGTCGCGCTAGCTACATGAGCGCTCCGCGACCCCGCGTTGTCTCCAATCGCGTCGATGCCGACAAGCCCAGTCGCGGTGCCGCACCGCCGCAACAAGTGGACTTGAAGGATCCCCTTCGTACGAGCACTTCGAGTCAGAAACAGCGAGTCTCCCGAGACCAAAAGACCATGTCGGAGAAACGTACAGAGCGAACTGTGATTACAACCAGGGAAAAGGCTGTGCGGAGGAACCCAGCCAAGGAGTCGGAATGGGATAAATCAAGAACCAAGAAGAACAGCCACGCAGATGTGACAAGTCCAGCCGGGAAAAGAAAAGAAAAAGAAGGGACTGACGGTGAGTGCTCGTGGTTCATGCGGCCGACACCACCGCACCTCAACCTCCATGATCAAGATAGCTGACTTGATATCCTTACTCATAGCACCATGGGATCCCCATGCCTCACTTGTTCCTCACTCCTCCGCTCCGCTTGCATGCCGTGTATCAGTTCCTCCGTTGGCCTCGACCGCTCCGCAGACATTATACCCGCGCCCATTTCCAGAACTTTCATCCGATGCACAAGAAGCCGCAATCTTAGAGGATCTCTTGTTCGTGTTTATGGGCTTCGAAGGACAATACATTCACTATCACAGCTCATATGATCCTTCTGCCGAGAAGGGCCGCTTGACTGGCCCGATCTTCCAACTAGCCCCGGGCTTGGATCCAACTCTACGTGACCTGACCCAATCTATGTTGAAGATGGCGACACATTACAGTGCCATGGAGGCGTTTGTTGAGTTCCAAAGCCGCGCGGAGTACGGAGCTGTTAGCCATGCACTCTGCGCATCGATTCGCAAAATTCTTAAGGACTATCTGATTCTTATCGCTCAGTTGGAAGGCCAGCTGCTGAATAACCCCACATTCACCCTGCACCAACTCCATCTTCATACTATGTCAACCAGTCAGTGCCTGGCGCAGCTCTACTCTCTGGGCCAAGAACTTCTGCGGCGTAATGGATTACTGGACCAAGATCTGGACGAATCGATCGACGACTTCGACGACGTCGATAATATTCTCGAGCAGCTCAAAGAAGGAGGTGACTTGGTGCCAGGTGCCATGGCCAGCAAGAAAATATGCAAAGGAGGCAATGTCTTGAGACTATTGACAGAACGTCTGGCTACTTTCTCAGGCGACCCGACTACCAAGACTCTTGTCCAAACGTTATTGAGAGATGCCAGCCGACCATATATGAACATGCTCAATGAATGGCTACACCATGGTGTCATTAAAGACCCACATGCTGAATTTCTAGTCAAAGAGCAGAAATGGATCCGACGAGAGAAACTTGAGGAAGACTACACCGATGAATACTGGGAGAAACGTTATACGATTCGCGAGAACGAGATACCGCCTCAGCTTGACAGTGTTCGGGATAAGGTTCTTCTGGCAGGAAAATATCTGAACGTTGTACGAGAATGCGGCGGAGTTGATGTCAGCAAAGCTGTCAAAGATGTCCCGAAAACGCTCGATGACCCGCGCTTTCTCGACAATGTCAATGCCGCCTACACATATGCCAATGCCTCCTTGCTCAATCTCCTCCTGACAAAAAACTCTCTCACGACGCGATTCCGATCCCTCAAACACTATTTCTTCCTCGACCGATCGGATTTCTTTTCTTATTTCCTTGAACTCAGCACCTCCGAGTTGCGTAAGCCCGCTCGGGTTGTTAACGAAGGCAAACTCCAATCCCTGCTAGATCTTGTTCTTCGGCAGCCAGGCAGTATTGCTGCACAGGACCCATTCAAGGAAGATGTGAAGGTGCGGATGAACAAAATTGGCCTCACTAAATGGCTGATGCAGGTTGTGAGTGTATCAGGTATTGACCAGGATCATCCGGAGGCGGCGCTAGAGAAGCAACAAGCGTCTGCCGCACAGGCTGCGGATGATGAGAAAGACATTGTTGGGTTCGATGCACTGGAGCTGGATTACTCAGTGCCATTCCCGCTTTCGCTGGTCATCAGTCGCAAGACCGTTCTCAGATATCAGTTGATCTTCCGTCATCTTCTGTCCCTGCGCCACCTCGAAACGTTGCTGGTGACATCCTGGGAGGACCAGAATAAAGTGACAAGCTGGCGGCACAAATCCTCGGACCGACGACTGGAGATGTGGAAGCGGCGCGCATGGAACCTGCGGGCTAAGATGTTGGTGTTTGTTCAGCAATTGTTATACTTTTGCACAGCCGAAGTTATCGAGCCTAATTGGGTTGGTTTGATGGATCGTGTCAATGGCGCCGACGCAAATGGGTCTGAGGTCCTTGTCAATGGCACGAAGCAAGTGAATCGGACGGTGGACGAGCTTATGCAGGACCACGTGGATTTCTTAGACACTTGTCTCAAGGAATGCATGCTCACGCAGGCCAAGCTGCTGAAGGTATTGAGTGAAACCCCATCTCCACAACAAGGCAAGGCTAACCAGTCGAATCATAGATCCATTCTAAGCTCATGACTTGCTGCACCATGTTTGCATCCTGGACAGCCGCCTCTCTGGCGCGAGCACTCGCTATGGCCGACCCTGACTTATCTGGCGACCAAGCAGCAGGGACTGAGACTCGCCCGTTTGATCCCACACGCATTGTGAAGCTTGAGGACACGCTAAAAAGATACGAAGACCATTTCAATCGACATCTGCGGATTCTGATGGATAGGTTCGTTTTGATTCGCTTGTTCTCCTGCGGATGAAGATGCTAACAACGATTCGACTAGCTTGAACTATTTTGCTGCGACCGAGAGTGTAGTCTTGCTCAAACTGGCGCACTCCCTTAGCTCCATCAGTAAAGAGGATTGAACAATGATGGAACGCGAGTCCTGTTACTTCAATTATCTCATATCAGCACTATTGCCTAATCTGTACCTGCTTATTGGCCCAGACGGATTATCTGATCTTACTGTCGTCCGCGTTCCGGTCCCCAGTGCATCTCGGCCTTCGCCGGAGAGGCTAAAGCAAGTTTCAATCCGTACCGATCGGAGCGCTCTACTCAGCAACGTTGAGCATCGAACATCCTAGAAGCATGGGGCGCCTGAATCACATCATACCACCTCATTTCTGAGAAATCTTGTCGGGTGGGGCCCGCGACGGTGGATCTCGGAAGGCCCGCGCTCTACAACCGGGAGGCTGGGAAAGATAGGAGCAAGCGGAGTGGCTACGAATTATCTGGAAGCACAGCAGTAGTGAATTTACTTCTCAGGAAATTGAGGATAGACAATGCAGTTGTCGAGCAATGAGATTTCGGGTCAAATTGCCAGTAAACAAGTAGAAGTCACGGTAAACGGAAACGACCATCAGCGTTCGCGAGTCGCGGAACCTCTGGCGGGTCGCCGAAACATCGGGTATTTATTTCGCGCCGAACCCTCCTCCAAGCTCAAAGCCCCCTTGGATTCATCTGCCAACACCTCCAGCATGGCTCTTGAAGCGCTGGCATCCGCCCTGCGTACCATCGGTTTCCCGCGCTCCCAGCAGGACCGCTTCACTCTCGCACTCGGCACAGCCGCCGTGTTAGGCAGCGCTTTTCTCCTCCCCGCCGCTTATCGCGACTACCGCACGTTCAAGTCCTATGGCCCCGGAGGCATTCCCAATAACCTGCTCGGATGGTTGACGGTGCGCACACTGTTTCAACCCTTTGGGCGCGAAATGCTCAGTACGGAGGTGTATTTGCGCCGGATCGATGCGGCGGAGGGCCACGGCAAGGGCGATGACGGGTACTTGACACTGTCGGAGGAGCAGCTGCATGCGCGCGAGAAAGATGGCCGGCCGGTCGTCGGGCCGCATGTTGTGCCACAGAGGCAGATCACGCAAATCCCGGACGAGGACATAATGGAGGTGAGTTGGGGCTTTGTACAGATTCTCCGGCGAGTTGGGGTGGGCACTGGAGATGTCCGGCTGGAGAGAATGCGTGTTGCGGGAATGCCATTCTCCAGAAACAAGACATGGGCTAATCGGATCCGCTTCAGAAACTATGCACATCATTCCGTGCGTTTGGGATGCGCAATTACCATCTCGTTAAATTCGAACGATCCAACCTGGAAATGCATGCAGATGGTCTCTTCCTGGCCGACCACTTGCCCATCACTGATATCGCGGAGACAATGAAAGGCGAGGTTGCTCATCTTCATACGGGATACGACCACTCAATTCATTGTATTCTGTCTCCGGCCGATTGTATGCTTTTTCTGTTTCATTATTTGCTCTCCAGTAGCCCCCTTGTTCTCCGTGTTTCTGATCTAACATGAGAATTAGGTCTCAAAATTATCGAGGCCGGATGGGGCCAACGCCACGCCTTCTCGGGGACTTCCGCCCTGACATTCCTCAGTCTCGGGACGCTACCCGATCTTCCAGCCGAATATGTTATGATCTACGCTCCGCGCGATGAAGCGGAGATTGAGATTGTAATGGGAATTGTTTCTGCGTCGGTCAAATTCATGACTGGACGAGAGGATGTGCGGTAGATTGATACCCTGTCTGCCTATTTTATCTTTTCATTTTTTTGGGGAGGGGAAGGGGTCGGCTGCCGAGGGGAAGTTGACTCTTTTTCAACTTGCATTTTGGGAACCCCTGTATCAATCTGGACTGGTGTCTTTTGCTCTTGGATTACACATACTCATATATACCCCGCTCAGTGAATGCGATTGTTTTGGTTCTTTGGTTCTTTGATTCGTTGATTCTGTGAGAAGATGACTCCTGCTGATGGCTATGCATAGTCGTTGAACAGGCGAAGATGTGGCCTATATATAAAGGCTTTGTTTCAAACAAAGTATAAGATACGGTCCGTTTTTCTGCAAGAGATAGCTTCGGATGAAAATGCTATTTATTCTCAGGCGACATCATTTGCGACCTTTGGACGAGTGCGTTTGATTGGTTTTCAATGTGTAGTCTGTCGAGACACATCGGTTCTACTTGAGCGGAAGTTCATTGGAATACAAACTTTGTCTTCGTACTTATCTTGATCTTCGAGATCATGTTTGCCACAGACTGACGCAGTGTTAACCTCATTCTGCTCTGGCCTTCTTCTGCTCTGAATATGGCTTGGAGGATAGGGCCCTGGGTCGTAAGCCTCTCAAGTAATGGCTATCGAGATGGACGCCAATGACAGACACGAAACGAGAGAGACCGAGTTGAGGCGGGCTTTGACCCCCTACAAAGTTCAAAGCTGCATCAAGTCAAGTTCTTTGCTCAGATACTGGCTACGCGGCAAAAAGGGTCGCGATGCATCACCGAGCTGATGGTAGATTCTGAGATACCAATTTCTCCAGACAATCCTAGTGCAACAATCGATCCCTTCTCAAGAGTCCGCCATCCGCCCAAAGTCCCTGCGCCACTGAGGCGGGCAACGCCGTGGTGGCGCAGAAAGGGGGGGGGGGTGAAGACATGCATCGACATATAAAATAGCGGCGTCGCCGGTTCTTTCCAGGACCGACTGCGCGTCCCTTTCCATTATTAATACCGGGGTCCCAGTCTGTGTAACGCAGCAGGGGAAGGGAAGGAAGGGGGGGGGGCGAGGATAGAGGGGGAAAAAGACTACAGCAACGAGCGGACTAGTTATTGTTTCAGCACCGGACGAGCCGATTAGCAACCCGCCACATTCCAATGTGCGTCGGGTGGAGTTTGCATCGATACGGTGAGGAGGAGAGTAGACATCGGGCGAGGCGGACTGGATGGTCCGAAGCACGGAATACGGAGGTCGGAGGACGGAGGACGGGGGTGGGAAGTGGAAAGCAGAGGGCAAAAGTCACAAGTAACACGACAGTCGTCGTCTCCTTCTCAATCAGGAAGATCAGCTCTCCGCCCACTTGCTCGAGTAAGTAATGAGGGGAGTCAGTCTGGAGGGCTGCTGGGGCTGGGGACCCGACAGCGCGGCACGCTAAGGGTTGGGTGAATTTTCTTGTTTGGCCGTGTTGATAGTCCCGTGTCGGTGGCTCTGGTGGGTTCGCGCGGTTTTCTTTTCTGTATTGATTGCTTGTCGACCGTCCCAGTTCGCGAACTTTCGAACGGCCACCAGAATGAGGAACATCCACGCGCAAGAAGATGTCGTCCCTGATACGGCAGAGGCACGGTCCTGTCGGATTCGGAGGGAATAGGACATGAGACCAGGAGCCTAAACCGGGTTGTTTGGATCATTCGTCATGGAAGTGACAATTCCGATTTTCCACATTGGTTTGATGAGTAATGATTATTAGGATCATGGACCCGGTCGGCTGGGCTGACGAGTGTCCCAGTCGATCCTCTTGCCCTGTTCGACTGCTCGATTCCCAGTTCCTCGGGACGAGGGAACCGAACCTTCCCGCGGGTTTGAGGTTTTAGTTTCGATCATTAGCGGCCGGGCTCTGGATCGAGACTGAAATGAGAAATGAGCTCGTTCGGGAGATGGTTCTGACTATCCATTTTTGTGAGGTGATAATTACATTGGTCCCATGATGTCGGGATTCATACTTTCTTTGGAACTTGGAACGCATTTTTCATTTCGGGCGCCCGCCAGAAACGATTCGAGGTTTCAAGGCCAGCGGGCCAGCGGTTCTCAAAACGGAAACCTTGCCTACCGGATGATAGCATGATAGAACGATAGTATGATAGGATGGTAGTGATCGATCATCGATGGGCCTACCGAAATTGTACACAACGCAATGAGCTAGCATGGGAAGATGTGCGGCAGTAATATAGTGCGCTGTCTGACCGAGGTTCTGGGCCCGAGGATTTACTGAATAGTATTCCAGATATACATATAGACATGTGTGAGGTGATATAGACAATGGAGTCGCAAGCATCCAATTCATAGAAGAATGATAGAAACTACGAGCATTCCATCGTTTCCCACTTCCATCCAACCTGCCCACACCCCCTTCCAGGTCAAAACAAAAAAGAAACCCCCTCCCCAAACTCGCGCTGTCCGTGAGCCGACACTAACGGGCCCAGCCGCCCTCGCCCCCGAGCCATTGAGGGCCTGTCTTCCCGAGAAGTGAACCATGGCGCTGGGTTCGTACACCAACGGCTCCCCCCCTCCTTCTCCCCCCCAGACCGGAGGTGCATCCATAGTGTCGGTCCAAGTGCATATGCATTCCCTAGGGGCCCCTCCCCCCCCCCCCCCCTCTTAGGTATTTTCTTCTTCTTTTCCTCAAGAATACAGCATGTAATACAATCAACCCCTGTCGTGCGCCGTGGTCCCGACGCCCTGGATGCTCGCCTCTCGGGAAGGGGGGCCGTCCCTCTTCTGCCCCATGGGACGTGCATGAACATCCTGCGGCACGAATCGGCCCTGCAAGGCATCCGTGACTCAAATGGAGCAATACCACATGGGGGGATCCCGGAAATTACAGTAGAAAAAACCTAAAGACAGGGTGAGGGCCACATCATTTACGGCGTGCTCCCGTCCTTCCGCCCTCCCATACGTACACCCCTCCCACATTGAGGGAGACTGTCCTGCAGGTTCTATCCTCTGAAGAGATGTAGATTTACCAACAACTTCTTCGAACGTGGGGAATAAGGCTCCGTAGGTAGTTGTCCCCATCGTCTTTCTTTCTCTTTTTTTTCTCTTTCTTTTTCTTTTTCTTTTTTTTCCCCTATTGTTGTTGTTGTTGTTGTTGTTGTTGTATTTATTTTTTTATTTTTTATTATTTCTTTTCTGTCTCTTCTTCTTTCTAATCTAAGGGAATTTCATTTCCTTTCTGAAGTTGCATGTAGAGTGGGACCAAAACCAGTCTCGCCTCGGGGTTTACTCTATTTCTTTTTGGTGGGTTCGATTTACGGAGATTCTGGTATTTTGTTTTGCATGGTGTTTGTGATTCCAGTCGGAGAATTGGTCGGATTCATCAATACGTACACAGGCCACGGCCATGGCCTTGTACCCTGTACCCTGTCCCATGTACCCAGGGGACTCGGCTCGTTTTGGCAATTTCAAAGTTTCGCAGATTCCCGAGGGACTGGGAATGGTGGGCACCCGCGCCCCAGAAGGAAGCATCCACACCTCCACGACAACCAGAGCTGTGTCGGGGTGGAAATCTTATCCGCTCATTCCTCGTGCTGAGGAGGGGGAAAATTTGGCATTATGTAGACCAGGATGGGAAGCCTAGATGCGGCTCGTAAGTCTCAGGATGATGGTAGTATGGGGAAAAAAAAAACGAAAGGTACTTTTGTCGTCTGATCCGAGGGGACAGAGATATATCCTTGTAGGAAATCTGCATAGGAAAAAAAAGCGAGTCAGTCCACCACGCTGCCTCCCGAACCAACATTCCTTCTTCCCGGGTCCCGCAAGACAAGCGGTGAGGACAGGGAAAGGAGCAGGAAATAGGAGAAAAAAAAAGAATAAATCACCCACCACTACAATTCCCGAGTAAACGGAGCCCAACGAGTGTGTGCTGATCGTTGACCGGGTCCTAGGACCGTCCAACCCCACTCCGGCGCAGTTTACCATGGTGGCCTTGGGGAGACTCCAAGACTCAGCTGAGCAAGCCACTTGGCACCCGGCCTTCGCATGCACATTGGCCGCCGGGGGACAGGGGGCCACTCCGAACGTGGAATGTATTGCAAACCTGGCACCAGCTTGCCGGTCCAATTGCTGCTTTTTTGGTTTGACTGACAGCGGGAGCTGGCGAAGATCCATTTCCGTGCCTCTGGAATCTGTAATGCAGGGCTTTTGGGCTGCGTAACAAGGACCGGTCCAACCACCGTGCCGCAGGATCTCGGGGTTGGGATCAAATTTCTCTTGGTGTTGTTGGCCTTTGCCCTTCCTTTCTATAGGAACAAACCCCCACTACCCACCCCCCCCCCTCCCCCTTTCCGGTCGGCCGCTCGGAGTCTCCAAATTGAGGTGACTTGAAACATATTGTGGATTGATGAATGTTGTAAGGTTTTAGATCCATGTGACTTTCAATGGGGTATTAGGAATTTCCATATCCTTTGGTTTCATATCTCCAGTGTCTTCTTGGCTCCAAGAGTTCCCCCTACATCATGACAAAGGTGTCAAGGCACAGGAGATATTCTGTAATAAAGCAATAAATAGATCTGAATGGACAGCAGCGGAGAGGAAGATCGTTAGTTGGTCTGGTTGACTGGTCTTCTGCCTCTTCTCAATGCGTCTTGGAACCAGTAGAGAATGCAGCTTCATTTGATTTTCTGTAAACTCGCGCCTCAGCCGCTGGACGTCATCGGATGTCCACTGTCATAGCCACAGCTACGGAATACATATGTCCTGACGGGGTTAGGACCAGTGCGTAGCGGCGAAAAAAAATAAACTGAAATTCGCTCGATCCACACTGCCGGGCGCTCCTGGACCCTCGAGGCCTAAAGTAGGTCATATGCGCACGGCGAACTATGCATTAGCTGACGGCACCGCCGCCTAGACTCAAGGTTTGTTAGCTTGGCCTTAAGCAGCAGAACGGAGCCGAGTCTATCCTGATACTTAGTATACTTGGTATTCTGGCGTTGCCGTTGTGTTCGTGAACCACTCCTCGGTAATTGGACCGACCCGCCCTTCCTGTCTGCTTCCTTGGTTCAATGGAACAAACCCCTTCCGGCGTAGACGAGAAGAAAGGGTTCTTCACTTCAGGTCTGATTGAGCAGTTGTTTAAGCCCATTTGGGTTGGGACTGGGACCTTCGCGGAAGTATTCTGAGGGGATCATAGGTGTGTTTCGGAGGAGAGGAAGGAACAAGGCCGCATTGGACCGTCTTCGGCCATATCTTCACATTCATTACCAACGACAGTCCAGAAGCGCAAGGCCTTCAGCTGGGCCTGCAAAAGGAACGGAGAACAAACCCCCTATCAAAAGGCTATTCCCCCTCCCCAGAAAACAGGGATTCAGACATCCGAAAAGCGTTGTCCCGTGGGTTCATCGAATTGGGCGGACCAGAGCCTCTCATTCGTACAAATTTAGTACGTATCTTGTACAGACTGGGGCCCCTCATACAGTACAAGCCCTTCACAAGCGCCCACGAAGCGTGAATCGATCCTCGAGCCGCCATCCTGTCCGAAGAGGGCCGTTACCGCCGAACATATTCTCCTTTCTCCTAACGGCTCCCGATCGCGTTCAGTTATAACCACACAGGAATCTGCTTTCCCCCCCCTCTCTGGTAACAATAGGTTGATGCACCCCTTGGCCCGGAGAATTCAGCCCCGCCATTCAACAAACTGGTCAAACGCATTCCGATATACCAGCTGGAATTGCCATTTTCGTCCACGCCTTGCGAAGCGAGGGACCCAGGGTTACCATGACGTACTGAATTGTCCTTTCCCCTCTTGTTGCCCTTTTTGCTATCCCCCTTCACAGACGGAAAGACAACTAATCATGTATCCTTTGGCTTCTTAAAGGAATCCGGATTCGCAAACGGTAGAACTAGACCGCGAATTTCTTGACATAATCACGGTCCAAGGCCGCGAGTACCAGAAATACTCGATCGACCATCGCACATATTTCGGACCGGTGGATGAGGTAGGACGAATGAGTGAAAGGCTCTCGGTATTCCATTCCACTGACAGTCCCCAAATAGGAGGAGGCACAACGATTGGATGAGCAGCAACGAGTTTTCCAGAGGATTTTCGACGACCGCCTCATCTTTCCACCCATCCGACGTCTTCGAAGAGTGCTCGACTGCGGCCACGGTGCGGCATCATGGGCCATAGAGGTTGCCGAACAGCACCCGGAATGTGATGTGAGCCACATTGTCGACTGAATTCCGATAGTTCTCTAACCATTTGTCGTCCCAGGTTATTGGAGTAGATATTGCCCCGCAAATGAGCCCAGATGATGTGCCTGAAAACTTGTGGCTTCAGGTGAGTGAGAAACCTCTTTTCGCAACCAACACCTCAAACAAGATCCTGAGAGGGAAACGACAAGTCCTCGTTCTCCATGACATAGTACTCGTTTCCAGAGTGCTTGTTGATTTGAAATTGCCAACTTTGTTGTCCAAGGGATCCCAAGGAGATACGAAGCCAGGGGCGGTCGCTAACGTAACAACAACGTAGGTTGATGACTTGAATCGAACATTCACATTCCCCTCAGACCATTTCGACCTCGTCCACTCTAGACTCCTCGCGACCGGCATTAACCGTGCTCGATGGCCATCCTATATCCGCGACATCGTTAGGTGCGAACATCCCCGAGCGGCTGGAGAGTCACCGCCAGTTCCTGATCAGAGCCGTATTCCTTTTCAACACCCCCGGTACTAATGATCGAGTTTTGAAGGGTGCTGAGACCTGGAGGATGGGTCCAAATGACCGAAATCTATTTCAATGTGCAATCTGACAACGGCTCGATCACCGACGAGCACGCCCTGAGAAAATGGAGTACCCAGTACATGCGGGCCCTCGAAGATAGGAAAGACCTTCGAATTGGATCTAGACTGCGAAATCATTTCACCGATGCGGGGTTGGTTGAGGTCGACACGAAGATGATTCCTCTTCCCCTCTCTGCGTGGTCAACAGGTCAGTGGGAGTTGTCGAATTTCTTGCTCAATAACAACTTACTGATGATAAAAGATCCAAGAATGCGAGAAATCGGCCACTACAATAGCGCAAATAGCCAACAACTTCTCCATTCATTGGCCCTATACCCTCTCACACAAAGGTTGCACATGTCGGAATCGAGTTTCAACGCACTGGTGGAGCAGGCGCAGGAAGAGGCGAGGGATGCTTCATTGAAGGCATACTTTCCACTGTAGGTGTCACGCCGAGAAACCCATGACTTCAGTGCAATATTGATGATATGACCAGATACGTTTGCATTGGCCGGAAGCCATAACTATAACCCCCGTTAATCTTTCTATTTTTTCTTCCTCGGGGGTTCTGTCTGCAATTGTCGAGTTCTTGCGCAGCACAGGGAACTGCAAAAGTGTTTTCGGCAACGCTTATGGCCGCTCTCATACAATATCTTGATTCGGGGTTCATCGTAGCATTTTGCATCTTCACCGTATATACATGTCGAATTAGCCAAAGCCGGTTAGTCAAACAAATTTTTTAATTGTGTCTATACCTTCTGGGGCCTTCTGTACGACTATTATGACCCGAACAGGCGCTGGCCGTCTGTTCTTTATGTTTCTGTGGATTGAATAGTGATCCTGACAGGTCAACGCATTTGTGATGATTTGCGGCAGAGCGGCAAGGTCGTACAGAAACCGCACGGGAAACAAACTGATATGCGACAGACCGCCCATGGGCTTGCTGAGGTCACACGGAGTCTTTTCTGAAGGTCAGTCGTACCTCAGGAGTCTATGGCTGTAGATGGTTGCCACATGTTCGATCGAACAGATCGGAGCCTCGTGCGGATCGGGAGGATCGAAAGAAAGACAGATCCGAGGGCGACACTAAGGGCTGCCACATGTTGATACCGGCCTAACACAGAGACTGGCGTTCAAGTATCGTGCTCTTGTGGGGCTTATGGAGCCTACACATGCACCCAAAAAATCTCTGGAGAGGAGCCTTGCTGTGAAATTAAAGCTCCCCGTGGTTGTTGGTAGTTCAGTTAAGCTCCCGAAGAACCTTAACCCGACCATGGCATATCCCCGAGAGCCGCGACGTTGGCACGGCTTTGCCACATATCGATCCGCATATCGATAAGAACCCGAAACAGACGGGCCAGAAGCTCCGTGCGAGAAGACAAGATGGCAATGGGGAGCCCACGGTGGCTATGCGAGCGTGAAAGAGGGGGTTCTAGAACCAAACCACCGGGTAGGAGAGACAGGGGGAACCCAAAGCCCTCCAACCCGCGACCTACTCGCTGAGAACGATGCTGGCTGCATATGAGATCAGATTCATGTTATCGAAGTTATTCTCCGACCAATGAACTCCCTCAATCTCTTCCTATGCCTGCCCTACATGAATGGCGAGACTAAGCAGAGAGGAGGGAAAAGCGAAGAAAGGCGATTGAGAACAGGACGTGACGGGCCCAACCAATTTTTGTGCCCTAAGCTACATTTAAATCATCCCTGTCTGGCAGATTGCAGATACTTGAGGGAAAGTCTATCTCTCATCCCGTCCATCTTCTGTTATGCAAGCTCCCCGCAGGGAACAGCGTTCCAAAATAGGTGATTCGATTCCTAGAAGACCCCGAGCCGAGTGTGCTTTCCCTCCCTTATATACTGGACACGGGAGGAAAGTGAGGCGTGGGCGCATATAGACGGACCTACCAGGGTCAAAGGACAAGCGAGCTCTGGGGCCCGACCATAGCCATTGCGTCCCTACTCAGGAGAGCCCATCCCCGTCCCAAACTCCCGGGATTGGGCGCCCTATTAGAGTTCGTCCTGGAATGCTCTTTGGCCCTAGAACGACTGCGATGCATGGCGAGTTCTCTGAATTACACGCGGAATAGCCTGGTCTGTATTGTTCCAGACAATGAAATCCAATAGTCCGCCTGGCCTGGCCGCGTGCTACTTGTAAGATGCTTCGGCGACAGTCAATGGCTTAGACGGCACAGACCTACCGAGCCGAGACTATCTCTGGTTCCCGCAATGCGATGGGTCTCCCGCCCAGGGGCTGTAAATAAACTAGGAAAAACACAAGGGGGCGAAAATATATTGTAATTGCGTATATTGGGCTTCCCAGAGTGCATAATGGTAACGTTAAGCTTCAGCCCTAGCATACCACGGGCGCGAATAGGGTTGTTGGACACATTGGTTGCATAGAAAAAGGGAATCTCAGGGGGGATGGAGTGAGCCCAACAGGATGCTCCAGTAGTCAAATTAATGCGGAGAGCAATGACGCCAGTGATTCTCGATCTAGGTTTTTTCTAATATGCAGGGAACTACTGCTAGCTGCCCGTCAAACCACGATCTCACGCCCGATCTAGATTGTTCATGCCTAGTTAACAAGGCATAAACAATTTCCCGATAGGGCAAAGCGGCAGGCGGGGAGAAAAAAGTCGGCGCGGATTTTCATTGACCTGCGGAACATCTGAACCGTCACCAAATTTCTGAACCGACACCAGCCACGATGCCGTCGACCTACAAGAAAGACAAGCCCTGGGATACGGATGACATTGACAAGTGGAAGGTTTGCTAATTTCCTGAAAATCTTTCGAAGGTCTATGAGCCTGAGCTAATTCTTTCTCTTACAAACTAGATCGAACAGTTCAAGCCCGAAGACAATGTTGCCGGCAACTTCGTGGAGGAGTCGTCCTTCATGACCCTTTTCCCCAAATACCGCGAGCAGTATCTGAAGGAAGCATGGCCGGTGATTACCCGGTCGCTGGAGAAGGAGGGTATCGCATGCACACTTGATTTGGTGGAGGGTAGTATGACCGTGAAGACTACTCGCAAGACCTTCGACCCGGCCGCGATTCTGAAGGCGCGCGACCTCATCAAGCTCCTTGCCCGAAGCGTTCCAGTCACCCAGGCTCTGAAGATTCTCGAAGACGGTGTCGCCTGCGACATCATCAAGATCCGCAACCAGGTGCGGAACAAGGAGCGCTTTGTGAAGCGGCGGCAGCGAATTCTGGGCCCCGGTGGATCCACATTGAAGGCACTGGAACTTTTGACCAGCACATACATCCTGGTCCAGGGTAACACGGTGTCCGTGATGGGTCCGTTCAAGGGTTTGAAAGAGGTTCGACGCATCATTGACGACTGCATGGCGAATATTCACCCGATCTACCACATTAAGGAATTAATGATCAAGCGTGAGCTGGCAAAGGACCCGACACTCGCGAACGAGTCGTGGGACCGGTTCCTCCCCAACTTCAAGAAGCGCACCCTGTCTAAGCGCCGCATGCCCTTCAATGTCACCGACAAGACAAAGAAGGTGTACACACCGTTCCCTCCTGCACCCGAGAAGAGCAAGGTCGATTTGCAGATCGAGTCCGGCGAATACTTCCTCTCCAAGGAGGCCAAAGACCGTGCGCAGAAGGAAGAGGTTGTCGAGCGTCAGCGCCAAAAGCGCGAGGAAAAGATGCGCGAGCGCGAGAAGGACTTTATTGCGCCCGAGGAACGAACACCTGCCGATATCGATGGCGAGAAGAAGAAGAAGAAGGAAAAGAAGGAGAAGAGCAAGCGCAAGCGAGATGCCGACGGCGATATCGACGCAGAGGATGCTGCCGAACGCACAGAGAAAAAGAAGAAGAAGAAGAGCAAGTCCAAGGCGGTCTCCGACGAGGAGTAAGCTGTCTGCGGGGTTTATGTTCTTTGGATTTCGGCGCTTCTGGCAGAGCATGGGTCTGGCGTTCATATCTATTTTCTTCTACTCGGGGATGTTTTCAAAATGGCTCGATTACTGTAAAATGACCAATACCACGCAAAATCTTTGAGCATTGATTGTACATCAATTACTGAATGAGAACGCATGTTAATAATGGCAAAGCTATTACAATAAGGACAGCTAAATCTGCGAGATAGGCTCGAACGAATCCATGTTGGATTCAATTGCAAAACTCCATTCCTCCAGTCCCCATTCATTAGACAGAGCAATACTAACTAAAGAGAATTGCATAATAGAAACAGCAGAACAAAAAACTGATAATCGGGTAGGTATGCATCTTTTCGCGATAGACGAGCGAGCCTTAGACAGGGTGAGTTTGCTCAGACAAGCCGGTAGATTTCAGGTGCTCCTCCGTACTGACTTTGGCTTCGTCTTTATCGGTCATACCCATTTCGTGTGCGAAGGTATCGTGAGGTTTCCATTTGGCACTAGTCATTGGGGTCGACTCTTCAAGCATTTTGTCAACTTGTTCTAGAGTTAGGCCTTTAGTTTCAGGGATGACGAAGAAGGCAAATAGAAAACATAGAAAGAGAGCGCTGCCCCAAACGAAAAAGACCTTGACCTTCAGGTTTCCTTTATCTTCATCCACTATGTATGGGGTAGTGACCGCGATGACGCAGTTCCAGAGCCAGTTGGAGGCAGTGGCAAGGGCAACACCCTTGGCTCGAATTGGGAGAGGATAGATCTCGCCGATGACGACCCAAGCGGCAGGACCCCAGGTGGTGGCAAAGGAAGCAATGTAGAGGCAAGTAAAGACGATTAAACATGTGCTCCTATATTCATAGTCAATAAAACGATCGCCTAGAGTGACGCATTCGTGAACCTTACGCTGCTTGGCTCCCCTCCATGGTGACCCCGATGATAGCTACTATGAACTCGCAAATGCACATGGAAAGAGCACCCCAAAGAAGTAGAGTGCGTCGTCCAAATGCTTCGATCATGTAAAATGCTGCCGGGGTAGTTCCAACATTGACAACGTTCATGATGGTCGAGATCAGAAACGGGTTCTTCAGGCCGACCGACTTGAAAAACGTCGTGCCGTAATAGACTAGACATGTTAGAAGTGGCAGCATATTTGCAAAGAACCAAAACTTACAAATGAAATTAATGCCAGTCCATTGCTGGAACATCTGCAGACAGGTACCGGCAATCACTCGCCGGAGGTTTCCACGAGGAGATAGCCCGCCCTTGAAACAGTCTGCCCAAGAGGTGCTTGCAATCTGCTTTTCATACTCGAAATTGGCCTGAATCTCGGCAAGCTCGGCTTGAATTGCAGGATTTGATGCAGGTTGACGACGGACTCTTTCGAGAGAGCGAAGAGCATCATTGATCCGGCCACAGCGAACATAGTATCGAGGGGACTCCGGCAAAAGGAAGAGCCCCGCGGCGAGAATTGCGGCCCAAATGAATTGCAAGGCAATTGGGATACGGTATGAAGACCGCGTGTCCAAGTCCTTGCAGCCTTGATCAACACCAGAAGCCACTAGTAAACCGATCGTGATAGCCCATTGATAGACAGAAACCAGCAGGCCTCGTACTTTGCGAGGGCTTATTTCGGAAACATACAGGATGACCGTTGCGGAGACACCGCCGACACCAAGACCAGCAATTGCACGGCCTGCCACCAGCCCACCGACATTCTCAGTTCCAACTTGAACAGCAACACCGATGGCAAAGATCAGGCACGAGAGCATGATAGTGATACGACGGCCAATTCGCTCAGACAGACCACCACCAATCAGTGCACCAAAGAAAGTACCTGCAGACAGGATAGAGGTGATGAGAGACTTGCGAGAACTGGAGATGACATATCCATTGGGGTTCTCTTTGGTTTTGGGAACAGCGTGACCAAAGTGCTCAGTAACGTAGTCCATGGCAAGAACGCCTGAGATGTAACCGGAGTCATATCCAAAAAGGATGCCTGGGAGGGGTTGCTCTGTTAGTCCATGGCATTATACACATTTTCACAAAAGCATACCTCCAAAACTGGCACAGCCGCAGATCATGTAGGCACGCCAGGTCACAGGAGCCTCTATGAGGTTCAAGTCGGCGGTGCCCCGAAGGTGCCGAGAATTCGCCATGTCTCATGGGTAACAGAGGTGGAGTTTGAGAGAGCACACTTGGAGAATTGGTGATTTTATGATGAGAAAGAAAGCGCAGCAGGGTGGAAAGAAAGAAGAGGAGAAAGAAGTGAAAAGGGAGAAATGAGAAGTGTGAAGTGTGAAATGCACACAAAACGTGGGCCCAAAATGGAAGGTGCCGTCAGCAATGCAAGTCATCTCGGAGGCAACGGTGACACATGCGTGGTTGCGCTTCTCATGGAGTCAAATGAATTCTTATGGAGTCGGCAAGACATGAGACAGGCTGTCATCGAGAAGTCATAGGTTTATTCGTAGAGAATTAAGGGAACCTGGAAGCTTATTCTCCAATATCAAGTGCCCCGACAATAGGCCGGGCAAATAGCGGGACTTTGTGGCCAATGGGAGGAAATTGCGGAGTCAACTGGTCTCCCTGGAAGTGCAAGGGCAATGGCTACACCACTGGATCTCTATGGATGTTGATTCGCTGATTGAAACATGCATATCTAATTGCGCAGACGGTGGCGTTGTTGGCGCCAGTTGACGGAGGTTTCCCTATCAACAACATCGATCATTAAGTAGGACCTTTTGCCCCATGTTAATATGACTGTGTGACGTTGCTTGAGGAGTCCAACGCATGGCCCAGGGCTCATGGCCGAACTGCCACAAGAACGATTTCTTCAGCACTGAGTTCTCACCTTGAGTACGACTACGGCAAACTGCAGGAATCCCACCTGGTTATGAAAACACGTCGTACTGAATTAGCCCCAAGATGAAACCCGACGGAGTACGTTTAAACCTTCAGGCCATCTACGGCATACTGGAGAGGAATTCGCGTTTGAGATTCGACTAGAAATAGAGCGAAGCGGTTTGAGTACATATTTTTCTTTAATGGGAATCTACATTCTACGAAATATCAAAAATAAAAACACCATGAGTCAAGAATATGGTATTCATCACTCTAGAGACATCGTCGATGTTGTGCAGTAAAACGCATAGATTCAATATGTATTTCCCTGAAAAAGGACCTTGAGCTATATTAGTTTCTTCAACCTATTTTTTCGCAAAAGCCACCCTGGAGAAAACATTTTCAAAGATCTCATTCACGTTGGTTGGGATTTCCTTTGCTCTCCACGCAATATGACCATCGGGACGAACAAGAGCGGCTCCTGTTCCAGAAACCCCAAAAGACTGTCGGAAGTCACCTTGCGGAATAATATCTTGGCCAATATGAATGAAACAAAGCGGCATCGATAATTTCGCACTTGCAGATGACGCAACGTTCTTCCACTCCTCAGTTTCCGAGAATAAGGTCCACGAGTCTGACCTGGCAATATCAAGAAGGGGCACCCTGTTTTCATTTTGACGAACCCACAAATGTGGGATATGCGTCCCAGGTTGGCCGTTCCACTCATCAGGCTTCAATGCGCCTGGAAGACTCTTGTCAACACCAACAAAGCCCTCGGACAAATAAATCTGACCAAACTCCATGGCATCGTCGTCAATCTTCTCGCCGCGCGAAGCGGCAGTGTCCAGATGCACTTTGTAATCGGTGCGAACAAAGATTTGATCATGTCGAAGAAGAGCCACCGGGCGTCTTTCTGCATCATAGGTATCCAAAAGTCTAGGCGAGGATCTTCCAGAGAGAACGGCTGCGAGCTTCCATGCCAGATTATGAACGTCATGGATCCCCGTATTGGCGCCATATCCGCCCCGGTTTGGCGGCAAAGTATGAGCAGCATCTCCGGCCAGAAAGATTCGCCCAGACTGAAAGGTGTCGGCCACCAGAGCAGTAAGTTCCCACCGACCAGTGGTGATGATTTCCAGGGGAAAGTCGGATTTCCCGACAGCCTGATAGATACTAGCCCGGAGAGCCTTCTCGTCGCGTTCGATATCGTCTTTAAACATCAGAGCCCATCGTCCGTCGCTGTAGGATGCCAGGAAAGCTTTGAGGCCAGGTTGTTCAATATCAAATTGGACGATCCCTTTTGTCCATTGTTCCAATGGGGCATGAAACAATACACTGCGAAGATATTGCATGTGGCCGCGGCCGTTTCGGGGAATTTGCAGTAGCTCGCGGACAGAGCTACGGTTCCCGTCTGCTGAAATGAGGTACGAGCCTCGAATATGGATTTCTTTCCCATGCGCGTCTTTCGCGATGACGATCACACCGTCTTGGTCCTGGTCAACCCGCAAAAGTGTATGTTGTCGCCGAATGTCTGCACCACGCTCAAGGGCCAACCTCTCAAGCATTGGTTCCAATTTGTCTTGCGGAATAGCCGATCCCCGGGAAGCGGAATATTCCCTCTTAGAAACGGAAGGTTTTGAAGCAGTCTCCTGGGATCTCCAAGGTTTCGAGCTTTTCTCCGTGTCGGCCCATGATGAACTGCTGTGCCATTGCCCGGTAATACTCTCAACATGAGCACGCTCGAGAACAAAATCCTCCGGCGCGGGATCCTTGTTCTCGATACCAAGAGATCTATAAATTTCCATTGTTCGGGCGGTGAACCCAATAGCGCGAGGGTGTTTTGAGATGCCAGAGTGTTTTTCGAGGACGATGGTTGGCACTTGGTGCGAGGCTAAGCACAGAGCTGCGGACAGTCCAACCAGGCTGGCGCCAACCACAATAACAGGTTCATGAGTATTTGAAGACATTTAATAGTGTACACCTCAATTTCGTAGGATTATCAAAGACCCGAGCGTGAACAAGCTTGATTTTAGCACCTACAGAAGAAGCTTTATATGTAAAGCGAGACTTCGTTCGGCGCCGAGAACTCCACCCAATTCACATCTCGGGCCCGAGCCATTCAGGCGACCCCTACAAAGTGCATAATCAACACTTGATCCGAACATTCTAGACGACTATCGATTACTGGATTCCTTTTATTTAACAAAGGTTAAGGTTGACTTTAATCAAATAACTTAGATATTTTTTTTTCTCAATAACGATAATATATCATGAACAAGGAAATTGTCAATGTCGTTCGAACGCCGCCCCTTGTAATGAATTTCATAGGTGCCATGGGCAGTCATAATCACACAGTAGTGGATAGTCTCCCCTCCGGAAATGAAGATGTGCTATTCTCAAGATGGCGCATCTTCTCGAGTAAAAAAGCTTGTTGCTCTTCCTGACTTTTCTTCAGATCAACCCCGAAAAACAGAATTCCAAAGCTGACTAAGCTCAGTGCGAAAAGGAAATAGAATGGAGTCGAAGAGTTGCCACTCGGACTTGCGTCGATGATAGCGCTCGAGACAATAGGGCCGATGAAGGATGAAGTCTTGCCAATAATGCTGAAGAGACTGAAGAACAGAAACTCATGGCCACGCGGGGTGACTTCTGAAATCATGATTTGCGAATAGCTGTACCACGGGCAGATGAAGAGTCCGTAGAATGCTTGATAGACCTGTAGATGAGGTATGAGTGTCAAGCTAAGAATTTATAAACAGACTGATACTGACCCAGACTTCCCAGACATTGTGGAATCCGAATTTATTAGTCCAGATCCCAATCATACCCCAACCATCTAGGAGAATAATTCCGAATGCGATAGTGTTGAACATAGCCTTAGTTCCTAGCTGGTAACGCTGCTGAATGAACCAGAAAGAATAGATTCCGACCGCCTGGATTTGAACTGCACGGTTAAAATTTTGGATCTGGAGATAGTGCCCGAGTATAAGACTGACCTGAGCTGCAATCCCAACAATGAGGAGATACGTCAGCTGGAGAGTGTTGTATGCAACAATGCTATTCTGTAAAGTTGAGATAACGGTCACAGTGGTGTTCAATGAATCCCCCAGAAGGAAATAGCCTGTTATTTCGCAACCAACTGAGATTAATATGGGGGTTTTCGATCTAGGCATGGTTCCTAGACTCACCGATAAGGTAAATCAAGCTCTGCTTCAGCTTCCAAATCTGCTTCATCGCATGCCAAACCTGCCATATGCCTGCGACCAGTACACCACGTCTCCCGGGATCCTGGCCGGGGCGGCGTTTTTCAAGAAAGAACCATGGCAGCGATACAAGCAGCCAGACACCCGATGCAAAAGCAATCAACACACTCAAACCCCAATTGTTGTTAGCTTCACTTGCGTTGACATTCAAGGCAAACATGATGCCAACTATGACAGCCAGGATGAAAAGCTCGCCCACAGACTGGACATAGAAGGCAGTATTGGCGAGGCGACTGCGCATCATCATGTCGGCATAATCGTATTCATCGCGGGTCACTGTGCCAGCTATATATGCATCGGCCTTTTCTTTCAACTCGATTGTATTGCGCGCCAGACCGGGGAAGGCAGCAGTCCAAAAAGTCAACGTGGTTTGATAGGCGATCAGGCCGACGATGTATAATCCTACCCCGACCTCCCATTTACCTGAGGTATGAACTCCCAGCCAGCCGAAACCAATCGCATAGGCAAGGATCGAGAGCCCAAGCAAGATATTGGGACGCCAATGGCCAAAATCGGCAAAACTACCGAGGGACAAAAAGACAACGACCTGAATAGCGAACGAGATTCCGTTGCATAGGAGCACAATGCTGTTGACTGAGCGGGGACGACCCGCAAACTCCATGATTCCATCGTAGGGGGCGGCTTGGTATAGCAGGTTTTGGAACGCTGTGGGCGCGAAGTCTGGCGGGTTGAGGGCTCATTAGATGGGTTTTTTGCTTCATAGCGCGAGCCGGGCAAAAAGGGGAAAAAGGTCAGAACGCACTGAAGAGTGACAGGCCATTGTTGCCAATATAATAGCTATTGAGACGGGGTGTTAAGTCTCCTCAAGTTCCTCTCGCAAGCCCAACGATCGCACGCACGCATAATAAGCCCAGATCTCCGTCCGGCTCGTGCGGTATTGCTCCTCGAATTGATCCGGCGCAACTGGTTGTTTGAGACTGTCCAGAGCTTCAATCGCCGGTGCTGCCTCCCGCTCCCGATCCACCTCGACTGCCGAGAGAGTGCTGTCCTTGATGTGATCCATGGCTCGTTCTCAGAGGGCAACGGAGAAGGTGAAACGCACGAAAAAACGCTTGAGAAACGCTGGAGAGGGGGTCTTTTTTTTACCCAGGAATGTCCCTTCTTTTTCAATGTCGCGTTCGGCCGCTTTTGCCCCGCGTACCCAAACTCTCCATGCCGCAAAGCCAGTAGCATTGATAGACACTGCCGATCGGGCGATAACAATCTGGATTGCTGGACGCCACAATCTCGGTCGGGGCTAGTGAGTGCTTAGTCGGCTCAACACACTCAATCAAGGCCTATCACCCTCAACGGTCATTTTTGCGAGGCCACTCATTGGCGGATTGCAGGGGTCCCTCTATCTCGCCGTGTTTTGACGCGGATCTGATTGCCTGTCCTGACAAGGCACGATTGGATGGAAACTCGACCCCGGAATGTCTCGTCAAACCTTCCAAGAGAACTTGGCAGGCAATGACCGATACAATCAGGCCCAATAAATGAGCATTGCTTTTTGCGATTTCCAGATTTATGTGCATAATTAATGGGCTGTCATTGAAACAGCCCCAGGCAAGGATCTCACCTTGGAAGTCTGCGTCAGAGACACTGCATAGCAAAGAATTAATACCGAAGTAATTGAAGGAGAAATATGTCTAAGCCGATCCGTATCGCAATCCCATAGTCCGGTGTGAATGATCACCGTTGAGGCGGTTTGTTGAATCCTAAATATCGAACCAGGGCACTCGTCGGCAAGTCTGGCAAGCAGGCAGTATGAGAAAGATCAACGAACAAGCCAACAAACCACCACACACCACAATAGAGGGCGGCCTTCCCAAATAGGAAACAGATGCTGTCTGAGCGAAAGAGAGTAGAAGTGATATTTTGCCCTCTCTGAGATCTGAAGCTATACGGACAAAGACAGTGAAGGGTCATCCAATCAGAAACAACCGATTGGCAGGCTTTTTCCCCACTATATGTCGCCCGCGCTGTCTGCTTTTCACCGTCAAACCAGGCTGTTTCCGGCTCTCCGCACCTGTGGTTTGATCTTTGTAAGGTATAAGTGATAAGCATATTCCGCCTCAAACTCTGATAATGTTTGGAAAGAGAACCTGGAGAAAAAATCAAGGGTCTTCCAAAAGCTACGACTGAGAACGTGCTCAGACAGTATTTGCCAAAAATTTCATACACAAAGTAAGATGCGGTAATCAAAACAAGAGAGTTGGGGGAACGTTGCGGAATATCTGACACTACAGCAACGGATCAAAAAGCATAAAAGAATATATGTCAAGCACCCATGCACCCTGAGGCTTCTTGCCACAATATACAAAGATATAGTATCCCATTGATGGATTACCGCCGTGGCAAAACATTCATCCGCAACTTTAGACCCACTAACCGCCTCCCAAGCAGCGTGAAAGAAGAGCCTTGTTTGATTGAAACATCAATGGAAGCACGACATAAGATGAAATCAAAATCCTTGTTCGTACTGTAGCCCGTAGGCATGAACTATAGCCTTGGCGTTGGGTAGTGAGGAACCTCTTCTACCAAACCCCAGCTTCTATGCACAACGGGATCTTGCCGATCGGTCAAGCCTCAAGCCAAGGAAAAATGTCCAGGACGTGAGAGCGACAGTATATGACGACGACTGGCCGATTTGACAAGGATGGATTTCATGGCAACTATTTGAGTCTCGAGGAAGAGGATTGTCGAAAGATACAAAATCGGCATAGAACCCGAAAAGATACTCCTAGAATTCGAACATTTCCACGTTCCATCCCGACGAAGGAGGAAAAGGAGGCGACCAGGAAGATCGCTTACAGTGAATGCCTATGATGCGAGACACACTGCCCCTCAAGCAGGATTCTAGGATCGCGATGGCTAGCGAGGGTAATGGAGAACGTTCGAGGACTGACGTCCCAGCAGCTGGGGTGGAAGTCCAAAAAAGGCATTCCCGAGACGAGAGGGGATCCGATAAGAAAACTTGGTGGCTTGGTGGCTACATCCAAGTGGAGTTGCCCGTCGAATGAAGCCAGGCTTGGTGCAAGGCTAAAAAGAAGAGAAGCGGAGCCGGGCAGCATGATGTCATTTGCCTTTTCAAACCATCAATTGTGCACTCGCGTCGTACAGAGACATAAACGGCAGGACTTGTTTGCGATGCTCACTCAGGCCGGGTAGAACGGATAGTCCACCCTCGACAATGCGTAGGAGGCCCACTAGGGGAACCCACATCGCTGGACAAGTCCGCCCGTCCGGTCCCGTAGTCGAAGCACAAGGGCATAGGCCGGGGGCTCCCACGGTTCAATCAGTAGCACGCTTGATTTCGTTGGTGGGTCAGGACAGGAACTAATAGACGGGTGCCAAATCCCCATTGCCCGGAGATGGCTTCCTTTATGCGCAGCTTTGGCGACGAGCACGAAAATCGTGATGATCGGATGGCCATTGCGTAACTTGTCGCCCACCCATGGCTATCCAAGGACCCTCTGAGGGGAGTCGATGTGGATGAGAGGAAATTGCTTGTTTATATTTCGACTATGCCTCCACTGGTACTCTCGATTTTTCTCTCTTCTTCTCCCTTCCCGGTCGGAGCGCCTTCTCCACTCCTTTTTTGCTCTTCAGTTCGGTCTGATATCGACTGAAACATCGGATTGATCGCCCTTGCTACCCGAGTAGTTTTTCTTGGCAGTAGATCTTTGAAACTTTGAAGCAATCCATTAAACGTATACCAAGTCCTATCAATCATGGATGAAGGTGGCGAGTCGAGACGCCCAAGGGCCGAGGTAAGCTCCCATGAAAACTGCCGACTGATGAATCATAATCACTCATCAAGGGTTATATTGTCTAGTCTGGGCCCCGCGGGCCAACCTCACCGACCAGAAGCTCTCGTGGCATTGCAGACGAAGATGCCATCTCACCTACAAGGGGCCTCTCTGCGGCCGAGGAAGGCCAGCTAGGTGAAGGCCTTCGACGCCGCAGCTCGGCTGCCAGACGCAGTGGCAGTGCGGGCATACCGAGTTTAGCTCCTCGAACGACTCTTGCGGATCGAACGCAAGGCAAATTTACTTTGGCTGGACCGGACGAGACCACGCAAATGCGGCTGTCTCACGAGCCTTTCGTACAGCCTGGATATGCCGACTTGAACCCTTCCTATGAACAGGCAAACAATGCGAAACCCGTCTGGAGTTTGGCCAAGCCTTTGCCGCGTGTAGTTCGACCGGGAATGGTCCCGATGAAGGAGGAATTACTGCAGAACCGTGCTAATGCACAGCTTCCGGCTGAAAATTCGCAAAGGCTCGGGCTTGATGTCAATCCCAATGACCTAGAGCAGGGGAAAATCGAAAAAACTGCCGACCCTCGGAAGATGGCGGCGATGGTGGAAGATGCGCGACAGCAGCGCGAGAATAACTTCATGAACAAGATTCTGAATGGCGAGACCACTTCTGTGAGACAGGGTTCGCGTATGTCTCGCACTTCCTCAATGCGTATGAGACGCCCATCCGCATGGGGAGGGTCTCAGGACCACCTCTCTACTGTCGATGAAAGACCATCAGACGTAACAAATGATGATCGGGAAAGGCCGAATCAATACCTGAGCGATGATCCCCTTCGCCCTGTCGCCGAAGAGCCAGAAGGTCAATTGGGCCCTGACATGGAAGGAAAGATCGAGTTCCCGGCAATTGATGATGCCACCTTCCCTGAAGATTTACATCCACTGATACAAGAGTTGGTTGAAGATGAGGTGCATAACAACCATACGACTTGGTCTGTTATTCGTACGCATCATCGCGAAGCTTTAGCTGAGGCACTGGCAGTTTATGTCCAGCTCACCATTGGATTCTGTGCTGATCTATCGGTGACTGTGGCAAATGCCGGCAATCCCAACACTACTGCTTGGGCCTGGGGCTTGGCTACTATGATCGGAATTTACATTTCCGGTGGTGTTTCTGGTGCCCATCTGAACCCAGCTATTACCATAATGCTTTGGTTCTACCGTGGTTTTCCAAAGCGGTTAATGCCTGAGTACTTTGCTGCTCAGTTCGTTGGTGCATTTTGTGCCGCATTAACTGCGTATGGTCTATACTACCAATCGATCCAAATGTATACGAGCACAAACGCCGCCACCAGCATCATAAATAGTTTCGTGACCAGCCAGCGCGAAACCTGGATTGACGCCGCCACGGCATTCTTCACAGAGTTCCTCGGAACCTGTTTTCTCACTGTTACTGTTTTGGCCTTGGGTGATGACCAAAATGCCCCTCCCGGAGCTGGCATGAGTTCTCTGATTATTGGCCTCGTTATCACATGCCTCAGCATGACATTTGCTTACCAGACTGGTGCGGCTTTCAATCCGAGTCGTGATTTTGGCCCGCGCCTTGCACTTCTGGCCCTGGGTTATACCAATGATTTGTTCCGGAATCCGTACTGGTTCTATGGGCCATGGGCGGGCGCTGTGAGTGGAGCGTTCATGGGTGGCTTCCTGTACGATTTCATGATCTTTACGGGCGGTGAATCTCCGGTCAACTATCCATTAGAGAGAACCCAGCGGGCGATGAAAAAGAGCGGGTTGAAGTGGAGACGCCGGCTAGGTCTTTCCAAGGAGGAACCACAGAGTATAGCCATTGCTTGAAGTTGTTGATAGCTACTAATTTGGATATATGCTATTTCGGCCTATGAGAGAGTCGGAAGTCAGGATGGAGTATCTCTCCGATTGATAAGAGTTGAAGAAATGACAACTCTTGAAGTACTATGTTTTCATTTCATGATGTGTTGAACTGTTAAATGTGATGAGAGATTCATCTCTGATCAAATGGAAATGAATGGGTACGCAACATAATAATATTTAGACCACTCGGCAAGTCAAATATAGAAACTCAAGTGTTTCTCTCTACATTGTAAATGTTCGTAGAACCCCCGCACCAATTTCTTTTGCTCCACAGTCCTAGATCAAACAATCACAGCAGATAATTAAGCTGTATCTCGGCGTTGACATAGACGTGGATGGTATCCAATGCTAAACAGCCGCAGTGCCTGACTGTCATCGAAAAAGAAAAGGGACTTAGGGTAGATGGATCCAGACTTACCTCCGGATAAACCATATTCTGAGGTCAATCTCCCCTCCTTCAGGAACGGGGTGCGGAGCGTCCATATCATGAGCGAAGATGTCGGAGATCCGTGTTGATAACGAAATTGAGATAGGAAGATTTACAGATGGAGCTGAGTATAACATTTGCAGTCGTGGAATGCTGCGCCCACCTCTGTGGAATTCATGATATGATATATAATTTGAAATGAGCAGCTCAGGAAATTACTGCGGAGATCAAAGAAATCCCCTCCTGGGGATAAACGATAGTCTAATAATTAGGAGCCTAGACCGCGATGCCCCAGCTTTGAGGCGAACTTCCGGAAGCTAAGGTATGGTTGGCTTAGATGGGGCTACTAAGGATTTCTGGATCCTAATTACGTCAAAAGTGAGATTGTCTGTTGGCCTGACATAGTATGGCCGAAAAATGGTCTGATATGCTCAGCGTCTCGAAAAATGAGAAACCCGAGAGACATTCCATTTATTATGAATTGTCTGGAAACAGGGCAAGATTGACCTCCTCCAGGGAGGGCCACCAATGTGACCACATGCCTTGCTCATGTGCATATGTACTAACTTCTGTCAGCAAATCATTGAGTGGAACGTTCAGTCCTTCAGAGTTCGGAGTGTTTGGATCGAGATTTGTCGGGGTGTTGTCAGGGCAAGTAGGCGGTGCCAACCCCCTTTCAGCGCCTTCCATCTCCTGTAAGTGTTGACGAGACCGGTCCACAACACGGAACTCATGTATTGATTGATGTAACACGTCGAAATCAGCCCTGCTTTTGCCAAGGTATCGCGATCTATCTGCGATCGCTCGTTGATATAAGAGCGAGGCATGTTTAATGGTCGTCATCTAGAAGATAAGTGTTAGATAAACAGTAAGGTACTGAGATCCGGTTCAAAGGCAAACTCACCCAGCTCTCGCCAAGCTTCCACTCTTGCCGGAATTCTTCAAGATATGCCAGACAATAATTGAGGTTTTCCTCGGCGTGTACACTGCGCCCGAAGTTCATCTGAGGAAATCTAAAGACGTAGATATTCATATACGCAGCAGAGAATGCACTGAATCCCACAAAGGGAGTCAAAACATCTGCGCCACATTCAGATGCTTCATGTAATAAGTTGGAGATTCTTTCAGTCGCTCTGAATAGCTCCAGGGCGCTTGTATTCCACCATTCTTCTGGAGGTTCAGCTTGGAGCTTCGGGTGGTCCACTGGACCACGGGGATGGGGTTCAGTAGTTGGCATAAAAGGAAAATATTCACGATGAAGCATCAAGGTGCTAGAAATAGCGGTTAGAAATTTTATAATGGCCTCTTAGAAACTAAGAACCCCCCTGTCGCTGTTGCTCACTTACCAGAGGTAGTAGATCAGGTTAATATAGGTGAAAGACTCTCCGAATCCGAGCGTTGTATGCGCCACAACACTGTTTTCCGGGTAATGGAGCCTGTGGTTTTGATTGGCTCTCCAGGTTTCCAGACGATTTCTAGTTCTTGACCAAGGGGAGGTTGGTACCCAAGGGCAGTTGGGCGGGTCACACATTCCAGGTGCTCTTCGGCCATCATTTAACACAAATGTCATGACATGGGCCCAAATATCAAAGCCCGATACCAATACCTCAAATGCTTGAGTGATATCCAAAGGCTTCGAATAGCCAGGCTGCGCGGCAGGAAACCCTTCCATGCCGCTTCTCTGTGATGATAAATCGGGCCCGAAGGCAAATTCAACAGCATTTAATGGAGAAATCACTTTAAGCTTCTCGATCTCGGACAGTGGCAACATCGGGGGGTTGTATGTGCCTGAACTAATCATTCGATCCATGATAAAACATGCCCAGAAAGTTCTATTCTCAACGGCAACGGAAACTGGGTCTCTGTCGCAGCTTGTTATAGAATCGGCTGGATATGGTGCAATTCTCATGCTGTTGATAGCTTGCATAATCCGAATGGCAATTCCTAAGACGCTTGAAATCAATGAACCAATCTTTCCCAATGTCTGATTGAAAGGCCATATGTTACCACAATAAATCCATGCTCGGTGAAATTCGCGAGAGCCCCATTCGTACAAAGACATAATGAGAAGAGCCTGGGCCACTTGGAGATTTGGTGACTGGAAAGAGCTTTGGGACAACATTTCTCGCACGTAAGAACTATATTGCTCTCGTGAAAGAAGGGAATCACCTGCAGGAAGACCTTGGCGTGAAATGTGGCATCTAGTTGCTGCTAAAATTGCAGCAAGCAGTGTTTTGCTTTCACTAGGGCATGAAGAATGCAAACCCTGCATGAACCAAGGGTGATGCAAAATATTGAGTTCGGGAAATTTGTTAGTAAAAGCATTCAGTGCCTTTAAGATGACGCTATTGGGCAAATTTGAGAGATGAAGGTCAATCTGTACTTTATCCGCTCCCATATGAGCAGCCTCTTGGGTTCTAGACCGATCATATCCCTGATGGGCAGATATAACCGGTGACAATCTAGTCATATCATGCTCATCGGTCAGGTCTGGATCTTGAACAGCATATTCTGTCTGTCGAGGTGGACGGAATGTCTTCTTGAGAGGGGTCTTCCGTGGTCTGCTAAGAACACATGTAGTAATACCATTTCGATGGCATTTTTGACACGGTGCCGTTCCGTTATTGACGCATTTGATTTTTGATCTCCTAGCTGCTTGGTTACAAATCGCTCCTTTGGCTATTTCACATTTGAGAAGGATCGGGATATCAAACCTGCAATATTCACACGATAAACTTGAACGCATTTTTTAGATCGTCACAGCGGTTTTCTTACCCCTGCGAAAGTACATCAGCGGCGCAAAAAGAGCAAATCGGAACTCCTCGGGAAAGATTGAACTCATGACATCGCAGTGCCTGAGGGATGAGTCGGCTGAGTCATCCTATACAGCTCAGGCTGGGCCATTCACGACTTGGGATCTTGGATTTTCGTTCATGCAGATAGTCCCCTCACTACAAAAGCTAATGTCACAAGAAATTAATATTTCATTATGTCACTACGTAATTACTCAAATATCTAAAGGGGTTGTTTCTTCAATATAGGCATTTCCCATAAAGCAGGACCGCGGGTTTCGGCTTTGCCTGACAGGCCCACTTTGAACATAACCCGAACACGTGTAGATCACGATAAAAAGTTTTCTTCTCCTCTCTCTTTGTAGAATTGAAGTTTCGAATGTATCAAATAAATATAACATATATAATGCCTGTATACCCGAAACTACTTCAGTTATAGGCTCACCGAGAATACAATTTGCTGTGATTTTCGAAGCCGCGAAGGAATCGTCAAAAAATGTAGGCGTTAGTTTTGGATCATTGGTGTTCCTTGCCTGGAATCTGTTTGTATTTTCAAGTTTCATCTGGTCTTCTAATTCACAATATTGGTCTCTTGCTATATTCAACAACCATAGCCGACCTCAAGTGATGTAGTAAGTTTGACATTTGAAGAACAAAAGGCCGATGAAGATCGGTAGTTAAGAGATATCCCAACTGCGTAAGTGCGAGAGATCAAACAGGAGTGAAATGTTGGTACGAAGTGTTTATCGCTTGGCATAACGACAGGTACGGTAACATATGCTAGGTAACTGCATGGCTTTGAAACCCCAGATTCATCTGTTTCTGGAAGAGCGTTCGAAAGGGAAGGAATCTTTTCCCATTTGATAGATGACAAGTCCAATGAAGAAAGCGGAACTGTCACAACACGGGCTTCTTGATTGCGATCACAAGTGTTCAAATCTTGGGCAGATGGATAATCTTCCCAAGGGACGGTAGCATAGTGAGTGGCAACCTCCAAAGAGGAGCGCAAATTAATCAAGCGAGGGGGCTGCTCGTTCTTCTCTGGGTCGTATTGAACTTGGAGCTTTATTGTGGTGGTAGCGATATCATCATTTTGTGTTTTGTATGAGGCGATCTGAACGGGCTCAGGTTGCTCCGCTCTGAGCTGTAAGCGGCCTTGTGTTCGCTCACTCCTCATATTCTTAGGAATGATGTGTTTCTTGGGGTTCTCGGCACGACAAACATCCAGAACTGTGGCAGGAATGACGCGAATCGTTTTTGAAATGTCACATAAAATACTGGGTGATGTATCGGTCGAAGATTGACATTGTGATATATAAGCCTTCAAAGCGTAGGTAATTTTGCAAGCATTAGTGGTCATTTCACTGTCGTTGAGGTCCAGCAAATTTGAGGTTGCTCTTCCAAGTGTCGGTGGTAGTAGAGAGTGTGTATCATTCACATCGTCATGCTGTGTGTCATGCTTGCAATACTTGAGTCTTGCAGGAATCGTGAATGCAAAGGGGAACTTGTAGACTTTCCCCGGCACAAGGTATGTTGAGTTTGCATATTCGCTCGAGTCGGTTGGTTGTCGAAAGCGAAGGAATGTGTGAGAAGCCCCTCGACGACCCGGAACAAAAGGCACCGTACGTCTAACAGTGGTAACAGAGGATCCTTGATATTTTGTTAACGCTGTATTCCGGGATATGAGCAGATGCTCCTGTAAACTACCGCCTTACCTTCAAAAGTGATTCTGATCTGGTCAATCTTGGTCTCTTCCATTACCTTTAGAACAATGTTACCCTCAATGCGATCGTACGTCGTGTATGTAGCATCAAGCCCTTCTTTCTGTCCTTGAATCTCAAAATACGCATGAGCAATCGAAGGTTTGGCTTTCAACGCTCGAGCATGAGCGCATAAATGAGGACAGAACATGGCTGTCTTCATGAAAGTCTAAATGCAGATGTGTCAGAAATACAATTCATTGTTTTATTAATAATGACAGCTTCCATACCAAAATACAGATCAATGGGCGTCTCCAATTCCGTTATTGAGTGTGAGGGGTTTACTTCAGGCTAAAATTGAGCAACGACCCGAGAGATGATGACAAGAGAAAATGAGCGAACAGTAAAGGAATATTCAATCTTCTTGCGTTCGAAATATTTAGAAAGAGAAATCTAGCGATGAAGAAATTTCCCAGAAGATTTCCATCGTAATTAGCACTGAGCGACTGAGTTCCGATCACAGGGACGCGATGAAAACCGAAAATTGTGCCCCACAAAACCTCGGCTTTGGGTTTTCATTCCCGAAACCCGACAACCACCTGTAAACGAGCCTCAGAAAAATAGATCTTCAAGCTTATGACCAACATCACAGGAGAGTCAAAGTACCTGCTATATGCAGCTGACAGGTCTTCAAGAGAGCTCCGAAGCTTTGGAAGAATATAATCTTGAATTTTAACCCGAGAACAATTCTGCAGTTCATTGACCCCTCCGGGTACGCCTATTACACTACCATGTTCCCTTAATCCTTGAGAGCTACCCACCTGGGTAGGCGCCTCTTTTACTTTAGCTACAATAAGGCTGTTTGCTCACCTCCATATATCCTCACTTCTCCTGTGATAGGTCCTTATATCAAGTTCTCGAAAAAGCCTGAGCAGGGCTGGCGGGGTGGTCACGGTCAAGTTTCAAAAGTCACCTTTTAAGGGGATGTACGAACCTCAATCAACTTGGCCTACCTCATACACCATGATCTCGGCATCATTCATAAGCAGCACAACAGCGTGGGCTGAGGCTCGGGAAAACTAGCTATTACCTGATACTGTATATGCAGAATAGCCTTCTCTTTCCATTCCATTGAAGTGTACATGTCTGGTCTACCAATCTATATACAAGCAGATTCTATCACGCTCAGAATTTGACAAAATGCGCACTTCACAGCTTGGCCCTGCCGCTCTCAATTTGGGACCAACCCTGGTCATCCAGTTTCTCATACTTGTCTCCATTCAGCCAGTATAAGGAATCACCGCCCCAATCCTTGCGAGGATCCCAACCCTTCTTTACCAAATCGCCTTTTGCCTGTTTGAATGTGACTCCCGTATCGACCCTGCCAAAAATCATTAGCATCATTATTCATTATACAGAATTCGCAAATACTTACTTTTCTGTAATACGGACAAGACGAGGCAAGGCATAAGAGGGAACACCCCGTCTCTTGAGTTCTTTGTAGAGGTTAGAAGTGAACTCTGCCTCGAAGGCTGGCGAGTGCTCTTCCAGCGTGACCCCGGCGGCACCAGCTTGACCGTCATACCTATTGAAAGATCAGCAGGGGAGTCTTTGCTAACTCAATATAATCAATCATCCAAGCACTTACCCAGCCAGTTTCACGCCGTACACAACAGCATCGTGTACACCCTCAATCCTGCAAATATGATCCCGAATCTCACCAGCACTAACGTTCTCGCCTTTCCAGCGGAAAGTATCACCAACACGGTCCTGGAATCTGACCCAACCCGAAGAGTCCTGAACCACCAGGTCTCCGGTTCGTTGGAAAAGATCCCCCTTTTGGAAGACATCCCGTAGCAATTTCTTCTCAGTAGCCTCGTCATTGTACAAATACTCGGTCAACAGACCACGGTCCCGCACGCGACCAATAGCCTCGCCCTCCTCGTCTAATCGGGCCCGAACACAGAACCCAGTAGCCGGGTCCCGGTACGGCATCTCTGTCTCGGTATCATACTTGACGATGAACGTATCATCTTCGAGAAGGCGGCGAATCGGGCCCGAGAATCCCACTTTGCCTGCGCCCCACGCGCTGACACCGTGATTATCGAACTTCGCCACGCCCTCAGTAGAGCGGTAGAACTCGCGGATCTCCGGTACGCCAAAGCGCTGGCGGAACTTCTCCCAGATCTCACCGCGCAAACCGTTGCCCGAGGCTGCAATGCAGCTGTGGTTGCGGTCATAGGGGGAAGGGGGCGTGGAGAGGAGATAGCGGCAAAGTTCGCCAATGTAGAGAATGCGCGTGGCGCGCGAGTCGTGCACGTCCTTCCAGAACTGCGAGGCGGAAAACTTACGGCGCAGGCAGAGGGTTCCTGCATTACCGACAGAGTAGCAGATGCCAGTGAAAAAGGCAGTGCCGTGGAAGAGGGGTAAAGACGAGTATGTACGGAGGGGGTAGTATTTGGATGGATTTTTGGCGTCGGTTGACAAGGGGGTAGAGGTGATCATCGCCATCATGTTCCGTACTGCACAGGCTTTTGGTTTGCCGGTAGTTCCAGATGTGTAGATCAGGGCTGTCAGGTCCTTGGGGGAGCGCTTCGCAGGGCGCAGGCCGGATGGCGAGAATTGTTGCAGCTCTGTTGAAGTAATGAGCTCTACTTTCCCGGCGGAGGAGCTGTCAAACGATGATAGATTCAAGGTGGAGTGCGGTAGGTCGCCACAGACAAACTGCGCCAAGTCCGGCGTAGAGATGATCGACTTGGAGCCAGAAACATTAAGACAGTGAATGAAAGTGTCATCTGACGGCACGTTAATTAAATAGACAGATTAGATTTTATCAGGTCACTTACCCCGTAAATTGGTGTTAATCATGGCAGCTACAGCCCCCAGCTTCGACAGAGCGTACAGCAAAACCACCATCTCAGGTGAATTGGTGGTGAAGACGCCCACAAAATCACCGGCTTTGACCTCTCGCGCGTGGAGGAGCGCGGCAAATCGATCCACCACTAATCAATGGCAGCCAAGTCAGTAACTAGAATCCGCGTACAATGGGATCAAGACATTGGTGATACTCACGCTCCTTTAGCTGGCTATAAGACCAGGTCTTCTGTTCAAACCAGAGCGCATCAGCAGCGCCTTGGCCATCTACCTCGACCACCCGCTCGAGCATCTTGTAGATGGTTGTCGACTCGCCGAGACTAGCGATGCGCTCGCCCAGTCGCTTGCCAAAAGCGCGGTCATTGGAGAGTGTCGAGAGATCGGTTGAGATCGACAACTTCGCATTCAAATAGGCACCTGCTCCTGCGGCGAGCGCCGAGGCCATGGCCACCGCGGGCACGCTGGCTTCGGAGAAGAAGTCCATACTGATAACGAACCAGCCAATTCCGTTGATGCAAGTGGTTCTCAAGCCTTTGTGATTGTAATTGTCCTGTGTATCCTCTTAAGAGGGGGGAGAGGCTTCCAGGTCAATTCAGACGGGCCGTGAATGGTGTTCGCCAAAGACATTAGCTGATGTCAGAAGTAGGGAACGCGACGCATCTGGGGTTGTTATAAGGGCGGGGGTGGGTGAGATCACGACGGAAGCTAACCAGACGTGATCTGCCGTTCATGACGAGCCCATCAATACGAGACTAGTGGCACCTAGTTCTGGAGCTCACAAGGCCGAGGTGGAGAGGCTGGTTACGAGCATTAACGACAATCCCCCGTATTAGGGCTCTTCAAGTCGCCCCGTTCCCCACGCCGGATTCCCATGCCCCGGTTTTGACCGGCGTCAATTTCTGGAACGCAACGGAGCCAATCTCTGCCTTCGTGCCCTCCCCCTTTCTGTATGTTCGACCTGGATTTTTTCTTCCAAAGAGCTCAATGGCTCTCCAGTTAGGGCCTCTCTATGTCCCTCTCGGTCTGTGATTCTACAAAGTGATGCTGAGAGTCCCGATGTCGGCATGTGTGCGATCCACGTTGAACTACAACACCGCGAAACCGTCAGCGTAATATTACGGGCCTCCGCCAATCACGTCAGGTTTTGGGGAGCCGAGGACCTGTGCTTGACGGTATCGTACAGACTCAGTCGGCACTTCCGTTCGGGACACTCGCCGCGACTGCGTTCGGCTCGGCCAAAAGTCCCCGGCGGAAGCTGTTCACGCTACTCGTCCGAGCCGCGGTTCATTTGGCAGTTGGATAATCCCCGCGTTCTCCAATCCCCGGAAAACTAAATAAGTCTCCTGGGGCTCTTCACCTTTCGTTCCGGTTTATTTTTTGTCTTTCTCAATCCTCTCCAGCCCCTCTCTTTCACACCACCCCCTTTATCATAGCCATCCATGTCTTCACCACAGCAACGGCTATCCTCGGTCGCCAACCAGCTCGCTCCCCAGCGTGTCTCGGCGGCCAAGGCAAAGATCCTGGCAAAGAACCCGGATGATGTCGTAAGTCTCAGTTTTCTATCTTTCGGGGTTGATGAGATTGTTATACGGAAGAGGAAGCAGCTTGCTAACCACTATCGCCGCCCAGGTCATCACGTATCTTGCCCGAACTCCTCTCACGAAGGCCCGCAAGGGTGGTTTCAAGGACACTACCGTGGATAACCTCCTGATCTCCCTGCTTACGGTAGGTTTTTCTCCTGAAATTCCCCGCCTCAACTAGCTCTCTTCTGGGCCTGAAAAACATTCTCCGGTAAATGTCCCTAAACAGCTTTTCTCCAGACTGTCCGCGAAAACTCCAAGATCGACCCCAACCTCGTCGAGGATGTCTGTGTCGGCAACTGCTTGGCACCTGGCGCCGCATATATCGCCCGCTCCGCTGTGCTAGCTGCCGGCTTCCCGGTGACCACTGCTGCCTCGGTGACCAACCGTTTCTGCTCCTCCGGCCTGCTGGCCGTGCAGAACATCGCCAACCAGATCCTCGCCGGCTCCATCGATGTCGGCATCGCCGTCGGCGCCGAGAGCATGAGCACCAATTCCGACGGTGGTGCTCCTGAGATGGCTGAGCGCATCACCACGCACCCGATCGCCTCGCAGAACGCCATGCCCATGGGCCACACCTCCGAGAATGTCGCTGCGCAATTCAATATCAGTCGCGCGCAGCATGATAAGTTCGCGGCCGGCAGCTATCAGAAGGCGGAGCGCGCGCAGAAGGCCGGCTGGTTTGAAGACGAGATTGTGCCCATTAAGACGCAGATCAAGGACCCCAAGACCGGCGAGGTCAAAGACATCGTGGTTGATCGGGATGACGGTATTCGTTACGGCACCACCGCTGAGTCCCTTGGTAAGATTCGTTCCGCCTTCCCCCAGTGGCAGCCCAGTGCGACAACTGGCGGTAATGCCAGTCAAATCACCGACGGCGCCGCGGCGCTCGTCTTGATGAAGCGGTCGCGGGCTCAACAACTTGGTCAGCCCATCATTGGCAAGTTCTGCGGAGCGACGGTGGCTGGTCTTGAGCCACGCATCATGGGAATTGGCCCTTCGCTGGCTATCCCCAAGATCCTGGGCAAGCTCGGCTTGAACAAGGATGAGATTGACATCTTTGAGATCAACGAGGCCTTTGCCTCTATGGTAAGTTCTCCTTCACATTTTATACTCGCCAGCTTTTGGTCGGATCGAGTTCTAATCTTGGTTTTCCTTCCCTTCCTTTAGGGTGTTTACTGTGTCGGCAAGCTGGGACTGGATGAGGCCAAGGTGAACCCGCGTGGTGGTGCGATGTAAGTTTCCCTTGCCCGGTTGACTTTTATGTGGAATTTTTCTCTAATTTCTTGTCCACAGTGCCTTCGGTCACCCTCTCGGTGCCACTGGTGCCCGACAAGTTGTAACTGCATTGGCAGAGCTGCGCCGTCAAGACAAGCGCGTTGCAGTCACGTCCATGTGCGTGGGAACTGTATGTTACTTTTCTTCTGCATTCACCCATTCTCTAATTTTATTGCTCGCTGATCAACTAATCTTCTCTCTTCACAACAGGGCATGGGCATGGCCGGTATCTTCGTCTCTGAGCATTGAGTGTCGATCGATCTTGGTGAAGCCATGATTTCAGAATCTTGTACATAATTTTACAGATACACCCATATTTATTTTGCAGATATTTATTTTGCAGTTGACTGGCGGTACCAGGAAGTCCTTCGGGATACTTTAGAGGCAACAAGCTAGTGGGGCTCATGGATATATTTTCACCAGGGCTACCAGCTGTGACAATCTTTTTTTTAAGATCAAGGGTACGAGTAGATTAGAGATAACCCTATTCACCGGTCAACTTCATCTTCCGTTCATTCCCTTTCAACCACGGCGTATCACCGGTTATACACGATGTTCTAGACCACCGAGTCGATCCATTGCTCCGGTCGATGCCTATTCCTGCTTCGGCGCCACGACTTTGCCACAAGATGACGCCTGTGGTATTAGGCATCAATAAGCCACGAGCCCTACCCAAAGAGGACTAGTGCGATCCGCCTCCCGAAAGACAAATTTCGCTGCATCAGATCGACACTACAGAGTCGCAACCTCATTGAGCCAGAAGAGAGTGGATATCATCTTTTTAAGCTTGGTCGAGACTCGTGATTATGCTGTCGAGATCAGTCATTTTCGCAGATGCATACTTGTTCTGGGCTTCCTGACCTGTAGGTCGGCACTCTCCGATGCCGAGGTTCCGGGCAGCCCGAACCAGCCCAAGGTTGGCGGTTCACAATTTTCAACCTGACCCCCAGTATGCCCTCGTCGGGGTCAGGCCTGGGGCCCTGTAAGGGACAGCAAGGGTTGAACCGGAGTTGGCAATAACAGGGACTTCGATTTCCGAGCACGCTGCTGGTTCCACGGTTGCAAACTTTATTGACCGTTGGCCATTGACCATCGATGGAGCGAGTGGAAAACTGGACCGTCAGCGAAAGAACATATCCGGGGCAGCGTGGCGCGCACCACCTCCTTGGACACAACAGGCCTCGTCTGCCAGGGCACCACGAATCCACTGGCATCCCACTTCAGCCATATATCGGCGACCATTGGATGAACGCGTATTTTTGGAACAGACAATGCCAATCGGGCCGCCGGTTGGCTAGACAAGCAAACGTGTCCCACTCCACTTTGGATCCACTCCGTTTCTCTGGTGGCGTAAGTCTAGACTGGATGCCCTCGCTGGTCGGTCCCCTGCGTTTTTAATCCTCTCGAGTACATATCCGATTCCTCTCCTTCTCCTGATTTCTCTTCTCTCTTCTTCAACGAATTTTCTTTTTTTTGTTGTGTTTCTTGGATACACTCTTTTTCCTCCATAACATTTACGTCGTTCTTTGATCTACTTTCATACTCGTGATATCTTGACAACCTATATACGCGCGCACACACATACATACACAATACGCTCTTTGTTTCCTCTCGCTTCCACAATGTTTTCCAAGCAGATTCTCGCCCTGGCCCTGTCTGCGGTGGCCACCGAGGCCGTCTATCAAGGCTTCAACTACGGCTCTACCAAGGTCGATGGCAGCAGCAAGTACCAGTCCGACTTCGAGACGGAGTTCGAGACCGCCAAGAACCTCGTCGGCACCAAGGGTGGCTTCACCAGTGCCCGTCTGTACACTATGATCCAAGGTGGCTCTACCAGCGACCCCATCTCGGCCATTCCCGCCGCCATCGAGAAGGATGTCTCTCTTCTGCTCGGTCTCTGGGCCTCTGGTGGTAACATGGCCAATGAGATCACCGCCCTCAAGGCCGCTATCAACACCTACGGCGAGGACTTCACCAAGCTGGTTGTTGGTATCTCCGTCGGCAGCGAGGACCTATACCGCAACTCGGTCACTGGCGTCGAAAATGATTCTGGTGTTGGTCTTGACCCCGACGTTCTGGTCTCCTACATCAAGGAGGTCAAGTCCGCCATCTCCGGCACCAGCCTGAGCAGCGCCACTATTGGTCACGTCGACACCTGGGATTCATGGACCAACAGCTCCAACTCTGCCGTTATTGATGAGCTGGACTGGCTCGGTTTCGACGGTTACCCCTACTACCAGACCAGCATGTCCAACGGCATCGACAACGGCAAGACCCTCTTCGACGAGGCTGTCGCGAAGACCAACGCTGTTGCTAACGGCAAGGAGGTCTGGATCACCGAGACCGGCTGGCCCGTCAGCGGCCCTGATGAGGGCGATGCTGTCGCTTCCACCGCCAACGCCAAGCAGTTCTGGGACCAGGTCGGCTGCCCTCTGTTCGGTAACACCAACACTTGGTGGTACATCCTTGATGACGCTGGTTCCAGCCCCAGCTTCGGTGTGACCGGCAGCGCCTCTAGCACCAGCCCTCTGTTCAACTTGTCCTGTGGCAACACGACCACCAGCTCCTCCGTTGCCGCCAGCAGCTCCACTAAGCTCGCTGTTGCCTCCTCCAGCGGCTTCGCTACCTCCAAGGCCGGCAACTACGGTGTTGGCAAGCACAGTGCCACCCCGGCTACTTCCACCCCCCTGACCTCCGCCACCAAGGCTGCCACCTCCGGCTCTTCTTCGTCCTCCAGCTCCGGCAGTGGCTCCTCGAGCTCCTCCGGCTCCTCCGCTGGTTCTTCCTCCTCCAGCGCCGCCTCTGCTTCCTCCACCGTCCTGACCACCAACTCCGCCGCCCGCGCTTCTGGCTCCGCCTTCGGTGCCCTCGCCGCGGCCCTGGTCCTCGCCATCGCTGTTTAAATGCCGTTCTTACGGGTGCATAGGCGTGACAGGCTGGGTTATACAAATTTTCGGTAGAATTCCGATCCGGAACATGGTTTTTTTTCTTTAGTTTTGGACATATCTTCTTTTCTTACATTCGCTTATTACATGTATATCTTTGATAGAAATAAACATGTCTCCGGCTTGTACGATATTCTGAATTGATTGTGATATGCGTATTTTCCCTCTCGCCCATTAGACAACCCTGTAGAGAACAAGTTAGACGTGTATATAGGTCCCGAAGGGGGCATTTACTATTTACTTGGTACGCTGCTCTTTGCTTCCTACATCAGCCCATCCAACAACTTGTTACTATTTTGAAAGCCTGGCCTACCCCTATGTCTTATTCAACGTATGAGCTATGCTTTCAATGGATGGACATCTAAGACAATAATTTACAACAATGTGTGGCTAAATTTATCACCCCCTTTCTTGGTAGGCCCACAAGGGATCGGCCCCAGACGTCAGCCCCGTTATTATCGGTCTAGACTCTGTCTTAGTGATCTCTTGGCTGGTGATTGTGGTTTCTGGACTCCGACTTTGTGCATATTAGAAAGACGATAGACAAGCTTTTAATCATATTAACTTTTTCTTACGCCCAGTGAACTCCTCGGGTCCCCCCAAAGCGTTGTAACGGTCCAAAAACGGCCATCTGGTGGTACGAATATCTGCCCCCTGAACAAAACTGACCAATTCTGGGTTGCTACGAGAGATCACAACACAATATCAATAGGTTTAGATATACAAAAGTTTGGAGCAAGCTCTATCGTGCGGTGTTCCTCCGTACAAAAACCTCATGACCTCGGAATTGCTTTTAGCTTCACACCCTCATGAGATGTCTCCAACAAGACCTCCATCCTCCTCGATGTATCCTCCATCCCTTTCAAAGTCGGATCCGATCGCATGGGCATCGGATCATCAATAGCCAAATCAGAGAACAGCAGTGCCAGCGGTGACGATTTCCAGATATATTGGTTTTGCGTGTGTAGGATGGTAATAACCAGAAAGACCCCACTAAGGGCTACGAGTGCAGCGGGAAGAATCAGCCACAGCCAACGCACGTGTACGAAGGAAACGACCGTCCACGCCGTTCCGTTGACAGTTGCGTCACAGATCTTTGAACGCGCATTGACAGTCAGTGAAGAAGCGAGGGAACTGAACATAGAAGCGATATCGTTATAGTTGCCCTCGACACCGTAGGCGGCCTCGATGGAATCAGAGGACCAGTCCGGCCGGTAGCCTCCAAAGAGAGAGCCATAACCTTTCAACAACGGCCCCACAGAGTTGGCCATGGCGACGCGGCTTAGCCAATTGACATTGTAGGTGCAGTATTCTGGGTGTTTGTGTGGTTTCTGGTAAGTTGTGCCGTTGAAATAGCAAGTCTCTGGCGTCAGGGCGAAATCTTGGGATATTGAGCTCTGTGACGAGACATTCGACGAAGCCGCGATGGCAGTGCGTGTTTCAGAATATGACCCATCTCGCACGGCTGCTTCGTAGGTGTCAACACAAAAGAATAAAGCGCACTCTGTCGCACTGGGCGCTGGTGGGATGCCGATTCCCGGGGAAGAAATTGCAGTAAAGTTGAGAATGAGTGCCATGTTGTCGGTGTTCAATTTGAGAAGGTCTAGCCCGGTAGTGGAGTTCATTAGGTACGGCATACCGGACATTGTGTTGAACTCTAAACCATTGGGTAGTTTGTAATTATATGTTCCCGTCATGCTGGAGGACGACTTTGAGAGTTTGATAGAGTCCGTTATGTTGGCACAGCGAGAGCAGAATCCAAGGGATTGATAGGGCGCGAATGTACAATTACCCGTTGAGCAGCTCATCGTGACACTTTTACTGTTCGGACTCTGGTTTTGGAAGATACCAGAATAGATGGCACCAGTGGTGCCGAGAGGGACTTTGTTCATACCAGGTCCGGCACCTTCTCCATAATCCGTATAGAGACTGGCGTTGCAGACTTGAATGGAGGATCGCCCTGACGCGTGAACTGGTCGTATTTTGATAGTCATCACCTGCTGAACGAAAGGATCGGTGGCAGCAGCCACAACCAAAACGAAACATCCAAACGTGACAAGGTGACTACTGATTGTTAGTATGGCGCGGACAGGCGAGCCAAAGGTTGCATGCTCACCGAGGCAAGAAGCGAAATAGCACTACAAAAGCACCCGCAGCTCCACGACTAGCAGCATCCAGAAGAGCAAGGTCACTGAGCTTGTTTCCTCCCCGAAACCATGACCACTTTAGCTGGGCCAATGATTCAGTGAGAATAAATGCCATGGTTGCCTTCATCACTGTACTGAATACCGACACCAAGGCATTGAGGGTGATACCATAGGGCCAGTCGGGCATTGGTCGCCCATCAAAGTGAGAAAGAACCACAATTATCGCAACAAAAAATGCTATAGATGTGAGACAACTAAGAATTTCCAGGGTCCAACTCGCACCCCAGAAACCCCGTGTTTGAGATTGTAAGAAAACTTGCTCTGCAGATGATAAGGGTCGCGGTCGGCTTGAGCCCGAATACCCAGCTCCATCGCCGTTAAGCGGGACGTAAGACATTCGATACCCATCCTTGGACAGTTCCATTTTCTGAAGTGGTAGTCGCCTTGCAAAGAGGAAGTGGGTTGGCAGCGAAGACTGCCAAGAGCACCCTTTTTGCACAGGAAAGAAAAATCAAGTATGGATTGCATTCCGTTTGCGCTGTTCCTCAATTTCCTCACCAGGTAAGAAACTGAAACTAGGGCCGAATTTGCGGAGAAAAACTACAAGATATTTTTGAGATGCGAGAAAATCTATGCCCGCTGCAGTTAGCGCCAGGCATATTATTTGGTTCTGACCCGCCTCGCTCGACAGGGTCCGCCTATAAACACATCCATTTAAGGGTGTTTGTGGATTTAGATGGATCCATAGCTATTCTTGGTAGGAACTGTCTATCCTGATGGAATTTTCAATTTCATGGTATTTATCTTGATATTCTTGGCGGACTTGTGGCTGGTCAACAGTACAACTAGCTTATGTAAAGCTTGTTGCAACGTCCTAACATAATATTTAACTATCCTTCAAGGACTAGCCGCCCTGCCAAAAACTCGCCAAAACAACTGCAACTACCAATGGTATATCAGCCATTGATGCGAAACGGAACGGATGAGTTATAGCAGCCAGCGTCCAGCCAGTCAGCTGTGATGTTCCGCACAGCGGTCCCGTTTCCAAACTCAATAACCAACCCTCCATTCACAGCGTCTGGATCAAAGACAGGCCATCCCACAGTGCTGTTCACGGCGGAAGAGTCTTTGAGGAATGCGAGGATGAAGTCTTGCATTGTTTCAGAGGTGTCGATCTCGAGTTGGGTGATGTTACCCACGTCGAGCATATAGGTTCCGAAAATCATGAGGAGATCAGACCAATGAAAAGCACCTAGCCAAGGTACAGGGCTGATATTTGTAAAGTTCCCTAGATTAAGTTCAGATTAGCGATCATATTGGCATGGTTGAGTCACTTACCTGCCCATAGATAACGGTATGTATCAAGGCCTAGGGAAGCACGTAAAGCTGAATTTGAGGCGGCCAAACAGTCAGCTTCACCTTCCTCCTCATTCACGGATGTAGTATTTGTGCTAGGAAACTCTCTAGCGGCATCGGATCGGATGGATGGGCCTCGAGCAACCTTGCCACTCAAATACCGCTCGGTCTCATTTGGAAAGATATATTTTTCATCGGCTAGGGCATGAATTTAGATTTTGGTCATATGAACTTTGTGGCTAAACTCACGAAGATAATTTGTAAATGCAATTGATGGTGTACTGTTGTACCGATTAATGTATTCTTCGATTTGAACCCACGAAACCTGGCGCATGCACTCAAGCTCAGCCTGAGCGTCATCCCCATAGTTGCAACCTAGCCCTTTGGCGACAATATCGAAATCTCGGTATACATCTCCACTAGTTGAAAGATCTAATGTCGCCGATGCTCCCTGGGAAATAACACCAAACTTCGCGACAAGGGGGTCATCGGGAAACGCAAGAGTATAGAGATGGGTCAAAATGCCACCCTGTGACTGCCCCCATAGCTACTCATATCGTTTAGTTCGGGGATAATTATACTAGAATTAATAGTCTTCTCACCATGATATTGTCGGAATCCCCACCAAAAGCTTCAATATTTTCATGTGCCCATTCAACCGCTGCTCGCACGTCCAGCAAGGTAAGAGAAGTGTCCTTCAAGGCTCTAGATTTTGGGTCTATTCATCGTCATACGGCATTAGCCATTCCATATCATCACTGGATTGATTCTAATGACCATGATCTTACTGCCAAAAATATTGACTCGATAATTGATGGTGACCACGATGTGTTGCTGGGACCGCGAGACCCAATTCGCTGGTAATTGTGAAGGGATTTCAATCCCACCAGTAATTCCACCTCCTCCAGTGACGAACAGAGCTACTGGCATCTTTGACGTACAGTTGGCCAAAGCTGGTGTCCAGATTGCTAGAGACAGACAATCTTCGGCGGAAGACCAGGCTGTAGATCCTTGATCGAGTGCCTCGCCAACGCTCAAAAGTAAATTGGCAGGTTCGTATTCATTCCAGAAGCTAGCTGTCGATGGCACATATTGAGGGCAAGCCTTTCAAAAAGTCAGCCATCGTATCCAATCCGAGTTGTTAAAGGTAGGAAGTTACCTGGGCCGTATCTCGTCGAATCCTGTTTTCTTTTAGATTTAGCTGGCTTTTGGGGAGGCATCCATCGAAGATCACCGATTGGTGGCTGGAAATCACCATTTCTTTTAGCAATATGCCGAGAATTCTATTTCAGCATACCAACCTGAGCATATGGAACTCGGAGGAATTGCCGCACATTTGGATATGTGTCATTGAGCATTCCAATAAAAGTTCCGGTTTGTGTTTCTACTGTGAGATTGGACCAATTGGATAAAATCCGAGGAGACTCCCAGGTCAAGTTTGCATAATATGGGGGATCAAGCTGCCCAAAGACCAAAGTGGTCAGCCCTAGAAGAGTTATCGGAGCGTATTTCATGATTTTCGAATGTGATAAGATCTGAGATTCACTCATACTCTTCATAATTTGTTGGGAAGAAGTTAATCTTTTATAATCGGGCCAATTCCAATATTATTGCTCTTCTAATATTATCGATTTGGTACAATGCGCCGATCCCCTTGATGTATTCACAAGTTTGATTGCGTCACAGAGATGCCTCCGATTTTTTGTATGCGAAAATGCGGGGTTTCCCCAATGGGTTCCCAAGAATCTTTTACAACAGAATACGATAATGTGGAGATGGGAGTAGTGTGGGGGTGGGGTTCCTGGGGAAGGTCATAAAGCCGACAATGATCTGCTCAATGGAATTCCCAAAAAGGGAATCAAAGCCGTATGGAGAGCTTAGAGCAGAAATATTTGCGCTAAGCTTGAGTCGTCATATCTAAGATTTGGAAAGGAATGGATGTCATGCCGAACGAGATGATAAGAGGGAATGAATACAGGTCGACTACGAACGTCTAATACAAGTTAGAGATCCTTTCCTTCCGTTGCGTCTGCATTTCTACTATCAAGCCCACTGTTAAGCGAGGGTTATTTGCAGGAGGTTGTGCATGTCATATGACTCTGGTACCGATATTACCGATAATATAGTGGATTAAAAATTCCATTGTTTTCATAAAATTAGTCGTAACTTCTTAACTTCTTTTTATCTCGAACATAAGGCTTGATCCCGAACATAAGGCTTGCAATTTTCTTTCTGAAGCTTTTCTTCGCCATAACTATCCACTGCGTTCCAGCTGGGCTATTCATTTATAGCTGGACACTTCAGAGACATCAATACTGATAGCTCCTAAAATCGGCGCAGGTCTATTTCGCGTAGGGAAGATGATACCCTTCAGTGCATTCAGACATATATCGTGGACACGTACACACAATCTCTGGCAGTCATGACGGCCGAGTCATCAGTTCTTTGGTCTATAACTGCGTTCGGATTCCCTCTGTCTATCCCGTACATGTTGAACTAGGGCGCTCTACGGGAAGCCTATGAATGCAGGCAGGATGAGACGGATCAGCGAACCAACCAACAAACCACACCACCATAGGGATATGTGGGTCTCACCTGTATTATGTGGTCTTCATTCTTAACATTTTCTGCTAGGTGAGTTTGGTTTGACCAGGCAATATTCTTCTGCACATTGCCTTCCCAAACAAAAGACCAACAGCGTCAAATGGTGCCCATTCTGAACTAGTGAGTCTCTTAAATTTGTCCCATCACCTCTTCAGTTGTGTGAACAAGTATTTCAAAGGCATTGTGCACAAATCTTTCTTCTAGCGATTGGTTGGCACATATAAAGCGGATGACGTATATATCGTCAATGATGGTCGAAGTGATGAATGTTTCTCCACGTGAGTTTATCAACTCGTACACACTTTTGGTTAGTATCTGAACTTCTATCTGGCGTACACACAGCCAAATCTCCTGTCAATCTCTTCGGATTTTTGATGCGTAAAACAGTCACACAAAATTCCGGCTTCGTGACAATCTCGAACAAATCGGGCCGGCCGCGCACTAATTCAGCAAAAAGAATTCCCAGATTAATGGTCTTCCTGATATGGGCTTTAAGGCCTTTTAAGCCGTAGTTTCGCAAGACAAACCAGATTTTAAGTGCACGAAATCTTCTTCCGAGAGAAAATGACCAGTTCCGAAAATCAATGACCGTACCCCTATCGGAGTAAGGGTTTCGTAAGTATGCTGGTGTAACATCCATGGCATCTGTTAAATGGTTGCGATTCCGTACGTATAGAGCACTGAGATAAGTTAGTGAACTAATACACTAATACCTGACCGTTAAGTGATCATGCACGCACCTTGCGTCAAAGTTGACCAACAGCCATTTGTGCGTATTCATATTGAAGCTGTCAACGCCTTGCACAAAGTCACTAGGAATGTACTGCCACTCGTCCGCCACAAGAGAGGCTCCAGCATAGGCTCCATCAACATGTACCCAAATCCGTTGCCAGGCTTTTTTTTCCTGCAGTACCGATTGAATTTCGGCAAAACGATCCGAGCTGCAGGTGTTGGTGGTACCGAAAGTCATGATGAGGTGGAACGGAATCAATCCATCCTTTTCACACTTTTCCAAAACCTCCTGTAGACCTTGGCCAGTCATCTCCATGTTATCTCTCAAGTGTGTCTTCACGCTGCGAGACCGAATTCCTGCAATCAAGGCACCTGTAGCTCCACTGCTATGCGTCTGATCGCTAACAATGGCCACAAGTCGAGACTGCAGCTCCATTTTTCTGTCCTCGTATTCTTTCATGCCTTCCTTCAAGCCTTCGGCAAGCGTCAGTTCCTGCAGGCTTCTCTCTCTTGCGGCCTTGATAGTGGTGGCAATAGCATCACTTGCACTGTTTTGAATCACGCCGCCTCCCAAAGACGAACTCCAGAAGACATCAGGAAGACCCAGAGCCTTTGCAACCCAGTCCATAACGATCCTTTCCATCTCGGTACAAGCCGGAGAATACAACCAATTAATGCCGGCGCAGTGAAAAACCCAAGTACTTTGAATACCAATCTTGTCCGTAAGAGGGAGCCTATTGAAGAATAAGATGTATGAATATTGAGGGATAGGAAATGTACTTACGCATAAAATGATACTAAACAAGAAAAAACTTGACGAAATAGGTTCAGAATCGTTGACACTTCAGCACTTTGTACTTTAAAACACTGTGAATACCAGGTCAGTACCCGCCCAAGAGACAGGATAAAGGTGCCACTTACATCAGTGGTGTAGGCGTAAATAGCTGTTGCAATCTGGAGGCCCATGTTAGACTGGCCCATGCCAAAAGCGCTACCAACCCAGCTAGCGGTCTCATAATAAGTAAGACACGCTCCCTCTACAATGATGCCAATTGGTACAAGCATTGCTCCCCAAATCGCAGTTAACCGTGCTTCGGGAAGTCGTTCACCGTTGTTTTTCTTGGCATATCGATTCGATAACCAACCTGTCATCCATCCGGCGCCGAATTCTCCAAGAACTCCACCAATTAAAAGGGGTACACTGAGCATTAGGCCCGTTTGAGGAGTAGTGAAACCATAAAGTCTGGTGAAGAACTCGGCGCCAGTGAGGGCAAAAAGAACACTACCATATCCAAAACTTGCCATATATAACGCAGTCGGAAAAATTATGGCCATGAATTTCAGCATTTGAAATGGCCTGATAAAATCTCGTACATGTGGCCGACGAGCAGGCACATTACTATGCCGAAATAAGAGATTTTGGACATAGGACTGCTCTTGGTAATAACCCGTTGCGGGTTTCTGAACAAAGAGCGTCTGTGGCAGGCAAAAAAGAGTGATAAGGAATGTTCCAAGTTGGAGGTAACCTGGAATATAAAAACATGCCCGCCACTCGAGCAACTCAGCTGCAAATCCTCCAACAATCGGGACAATCTAGAGGTCGAGGAAATGTCAATCGAGAATCAAATTCTGGAATAAGGTTGGTTCATACATTTGAGCCATTTGTCAAACAAAGGGTGTAAATACCCATATAGACACCCCGCTGATGCATGAAGTACATGTCGCAGATTGCTGCTGCACCCACAGCCATGACAGACCCCGCTGCGAAGCCATTCAATGCACGAGTAACCATTATTCCTGCCCATGTGTCACAGTAACCTGCACTGATATTAGTGATAGCAGCAATCAAGTTGCCCACGAGGTAGACTGGTCGCCGGCCATATCCACTGGCCAGGGGAATAACAGCCAAGGGCCCAATACCAGCAAAGAAGAGAAAGAGGAAAAGCTCTGTTGTATGAAAACTAGATTTAGCAAGACTCAAGAGGTTGCAACCTTAGCCGCCAATTGGACAAGTCTCTTCATTGGGGGAGTTTTCTCCTTTCTTTATTCCTTAATATATTTAACGGCCTAGACGAAAGCGATGCTGACGACCGATAATATCAAGTTAAAGCAGAACCAGAGAACAGAATGATGGATAATATATAAAGAGCATTTCCCCCACTTAACTCTGTGTGACGGATCTACTTACAGGACGCTAATTAAGGACACGCCTGAACTAACCAGTTTAGCAGCAAGGCGGTCAGGGGAGACCTACGTGCTAAGCACGGTAGAAGAGAGACTTAGGCTATAGTCAACACCTATAGTCACGTAACGAAGGCCGTCCGGTCCGTTCGTTCGATAGGCTAGGACCTATTAATAGGGATAGAAGGACTAGATATATCAGGATGCCTATTTATCTATCTATATTTAGTTCTTCGCGTTGATTTAACTATTATTAGTACATTGTATATTATTACCTTAAGACCTACTAATCGACTATCTTAGTTACTCAATTCTTACTATAGTATAATATAAGGATATACCCTATAACTAGGAGGAACATTTAGTAGCTATTCTATAACTACTCCGTCGAGTGACTAGACACCTACTACTAAACGACGTCTTCGGTCTACTCTATAGACCCGAGTCCGTGTAAGGCCTCAGAAATTCGGCAACGGTACGGTTACGAGATCAGATTGTCGGAGCTACGTATATCGAGAGAGGTGCGAAGAAGAAGAAGAAGGCGCCGGAAATTGTCGTAATATGGCGGCGAAAATTAGGATAATTGGCAGATAAAGGGAATCGAAGAGGAAGATTAAAGTCGCATAATCAAACAGTAACATAATCAAACAGTAACAAGAAACTGAAAGCTAGCGACCAAGCCAAAGGCAAAGCGATATAGGAGTTGAAAGAGTAGGTTATAAATGAATGAAATGAATATCTTGAACAAAAAGCCTACGGGCAGGCGGAAGCATGGAATATTTATCTATCATCGATGAAGAGGCTTGAAAACTGACATAACAATGAGATCCTTTTATTTTTGTACAAGCGGTTACAATCGGACGACCGGGAAGAGATATTCTAATGACGTGCCTGATCTTCTACCCAGAGCAGCACCCTGAGTAGATTGGAGCCGATCCCTGAGGCCATAAGCGCTCCCTGAGCGCTCAGGGAGCAATGCGGGAGTAAACGATAAGAATGGGTTGGTCATGATCACGTGATGAAACTATGACTAAGATTCCGGTAAAATGAACGCTTAAACTGGCGAGGAGTGTAGCCGTTTTGGGCGTTCGATTTACCGTCACTCAACGTTGTGGAGTAAATAAGAGCTTCACAAGGGCAATATCATACTACTACTACTACTAGGAAAACACCAGTTGCACTCTCTTGGGCGGTACTACCGGTGGCTCACACCTCAGAATAATGATCCTTTCTCATACACTCAATAGTGGTTAGAATATTTGTAGATAATTTAGGAGATAACTCGTTTACTTGAGTTCTTCACGTACTGATTTGATACTCCTTGAGATCAACCTGGCACGCAGTGAATACCAATAGATTGTTACAAAATGTTACAAGACCCCGAGAACAACAAGCCAAAGATATCGGAAAGCCTGCATTTCTGAAGATTGAGGTTGTATGTGCATATTTCAGACATCTTGGGTATCCTTCTAAAGCTTCTCATCACCCGTCACATCCAGTTTCTGCTGAAAATTGACCAACAGAACCCGAAAGAAATGAAATCGCCGGAATATTTTTGCGAAATAGACGATATGGAAACACGCGTGGCCAAACGCCTCTTGAGCCAAAGATGCGCAAGACTTAAAAAAGAGTCCCCTATAGATTCACTCTCCAAATAAACGCCGCACACGTTTAAGAACGCTGTCCTTCTCTGGGTCGTAAGGGTGGTCTTTGCTGGGGATTTCCAGGATGGCAGGGAAGGGGTCGGCGAACGAGTCAACGCTGTGACGAATGCGTTCCGCAACCTGTTGGAGAGAGATCGATATTAGACTTTGATGTTTGATTATACTGCCGATTACTAATCGGAGATGAAATAGAACGAACATGTTGATTGATTAGGAGAACGGCGATATCCTTTCTCTGCTGTGTGAAGTTCTGGAAAGCCTGTTCAATCTGGGATGTCTCGGTCTTGCTATCCACAACTAGGAAATTCCGCTGAGCATCGGGACCATCGGTAACATGCTGGATAATAGTGTCAATATTGGACAAGATAGCGCTCAGTTTATGAGCTGGCAATTTCGCAAGGTTGGGGTATTTTCGGAGGTACGTACGCCGATGCCAGCGAGCAGAAGGCCGGTAACAGAGCTAGGAGAAGTCACGGTTAGCTCGACAGGGCACCAATAGCAGATGAATGATAGTCTATACAAGGATACTTACTCTTCGTCACCAATAACGGCGAGAAGTTGCCGGTCCTGGAATTGCGAAGTCAGTTTGGAACGCTATCGGAGGCGTTAATCGCCGAATGCGCCAGGTGTCAGGTACCTTATACGTTGCGGCTGACGCCATGGTGATGAAATGAGTAAACGAGGTACCTCCACAGGTGTCGTAAAGCACGCTCTCACTGTGAGAAAGGAGTCGAGCTTGATCTAGGTTGGTCGAAGCTCAAGGCGACGTTGTCTGCTGATCGTCACTGCTGGTTATCGCCCGCGGCGGAGAGCTAATGTTACGTAAGCTGATGCAATTTTGTTTACATTATTCAAGGTCGCCCCGGCTTTCCTTCATGTCTTTGATTGCTTGAGAATTACGTCGCGCTCTGGATGTCTCTATTTGATAATCAGAGCTAGGGCAAAGCTGTGGAGGATCAGCTTCTGTCTCTTTTGCTTATCTACCCTCCTCCGGCACGATGCCTCGCCTCGTTCGTCGCCGCCCGCTGGCGGAGCGCATCCGATCGTATCTGAACCCGTGGGACCTCTTGCTCTGGGTATCCGAAGAAATTGAAGGACATGACTGGGATCAGATGGAGAAGGACTGGGGCCTTGCTAGTGGTTGTGCGCTCAATCTGATCTTCCTTGTCGCGCGTGCAAATGCCCGATCGAGTGGCAGCATAGCCATCGACGATGTGTTTGGAGAGGATGACGGTGTGCCTTGGCTCAGCTGGCTCGTAAGTGACTATCATAGGCCCCGCTAAATGCAAGTTATTCGAAAGCTCATACTTGTTTTATCGTTTACCAGGCATCCTCCATTGTGACCGCGCTGGCGATTTTCTCCATAGTCAATGCAAGCTACACCTTTTACCGGAGACGCAATTACCGTCTGTTTGAAACGCCCATTGACCGAACGCCTGCGACCACCTCGGCCCATCTTGTACGTGTTGATTCGACTACGATGACTGCTTCTCCCCTACGATACCTGGCCAAAGCCATGTCAGGTGAGTCGGCAGAGTCAAGAGCGCACCCAGATGCACACCGGGATGTATGGGAGGTAGCAATGTGGGACCCTCTACCTATCTGCACCCGTCTGTTCTGTCTGTTCAGTCCAGGACATGTGTTGATTTATCTGCTATTTCTTCCGACTCAACTATCCGACCCACGGCCTAGCGTGACTATAGCGACGACGATTTTGCTCGTCATCCTTCTTTCCATACAAATGTCGTTCCTTTCTTCATTCTACTCGCAACAGGCGATCGACTCGACAGTGGTTCACAAGGAAGTAATGAAAGAATATGACACCAAATTCGTTCATCCTCGAACGCAGCCGTTGATGAGAGATGTTGGTACCCAGTTCTCTGAAGGTGGCGCCTCAAACTCGGCTCCAGGATCCGATAACAGAGTTGAGACTTATACTCCAACATTCGTCATCAACCGTGGGTTTAAAACCAGCCCAAACCCGAACTATGTCAGTCATATCGACCCGGATGGCTTCTCGCCTCGGCGCCCTACAGGCATCTCTACTCCTAGTGCCACATCCCTTTTCCAAACCCAGCCCCCATTACATACGCCTACATTGTCGCGTGATGCCTCACCCATGCTGCGGACAGCCGGCACAAACATGCGACAGCCGCAGTTTCGGCCTGCCCCGAGCACCACGGGTGACGGTGGCAGTCTTGGAGTTTACTCGCACGCTAACTCGCCCCTACGAAAGTCTGCTTCTACTTCTTTCGAACGCCGTGTACAAAACAATGGGGATTTCTTCTACAAAGAACGAGGAACAAGCCCTCTGAAGAAGCCATCGAGTCCATTGAAGCGTAGCAGCTTGGCTGGAACTATGAGTCCAGCCCAAGGACTTCGATCAGGGAGCCTCAGTACCACCAACCGGCGAGAAACTGGTCGGTTCTAAAACGGCTTCACGAACAAAATTCCCTTCCATGATATCATGTCGTTTTCAGGGGAATCTAAGTGCGTCGCATGCATGAAAATCGATATGCATACCATACGGCCGACCTTGATTATGCGCAGGAACACCATAGAACATGCCTTACCCGATTTAACGTTATACTCGATGCAGGACCGTACCTCGACGATTTCGCATTTTCCCGCGGCTTGCCACGTTGGAGAATGCGGGCTCCCGTCATTGACTTTGTACTTCTACTTTTCACTTCCCCTCACAATATTTCTCTGGCATCTGTTCATTCATTTTGTCCCAGCAGTGCATCGATGGAAAATGAATTGATAACGGATTGCCGTTCTGGCTTCTGATACACTGTTTGCTCTTGCTGTTTCATTACCAACTCGCATCATCGTAGCTTCTTTCCTGAGCACGGAAAGATCAAGCCAATCAAGACCAGGTGCGATCGGCCACTTGGCCATACCGGATGGCGGCTGGCATATCCTGGGGCATTCCAACGCCGGGGGAGGGGGCTGGCATTCTCGATGATGGGTAACATGCCATTCCAGCCAACGAGATCAAAGTATTCTTACGCGTTTAGAGCGCGCTCACTTCGAGCATTAGACTGATATCGATGACCCCGCGCATTATTTGCATCTGTCATCTGTCCTGTCCTGGTGAAAATCGGTCGATTACCCCCCACGCTCGTTTCCGACATACATCCCTAACGCCTAATTTCAGCGACTGCCTTAGAAGCGCATATCTTTCTATTTTCACGGCATGGGCCAGGTCAAGGCTCAATTCTGGCTTCAGGGTCGGAACTACTAGCTGCCATCTCGTCTCAAGATGGAGATCGAAAATCGGGTGGAATTGCCGGACGGACATCTTGTGAATCTTTCTCCCCGGCCTCAACATCAGACCCAACAACGACGAGTCCAGCAACATCAAGGCCAATACCAGGCATATCAAGCCTATCGAGGACATTACACATCGACTGAATTGTCGGCAACTCCGCCGTCGAGAGATAACTATCCTGGCATACCCTGCGAGCTTAGTGATTCTCGAAGCCCACCGGACAACATGTTTCACAAAGACAAAGCAACCAAGCTTCCGATTCCCAGGAGCTTGAATGAGCAAGGAAGAGACAGACGAAACCAGACCCCAAGTCCGACTGGGATACCCAAGGCCTCTCCCACTGCCTTCTCCTCGGGCGGATCTGGTGGCCAGTCTACAGAACGTGACCCATACTGGAAGAAGATCAGAGGCAAGTTTGATAAGGAGTCCCCTTTATCACAAAGGGCTTCATATGTCCGGTCTAGGGAAAGCGATCAATATGGGTCACCGAGTTCTGGAAACCCTCACTTCCAGGGTAAATACTCGCGGGAGGAGCAGCCGCTCAACCGAGGAGCAAACCTTAGAACAGGTATTCCAAGTCCGAGCGCCAATATGGGTGCAACAGTCCGGCATACTCGAAACGAGCCCTCTAATCGCCCAGAAAGCCAAAAGAAATGGAGAAGAAACGGCGATTCATGGGTTAGCCTGGACTCCAACGAGACCACCCCCAGAAGTCGGAACGGACGGATACCACCACTGAGTCTAGTCCTCATTCTCATCCTTCTGTATCCCCTGTCTCAGATGATGATAGCTCCATGACAGACTGGGAGGACAGATTCGTGGTTAATATGCCCACTGCGAAAGATCCGAATCCACCTACAATGACGGCAAAACAAATCGCAGAATATCAACGAAGATATGAAAAAAGACGTCGCTCTACTGGAAAATCTAATCCACAGAATGGATCACCCCAAGGGGAGCATACCAATCAACAGGAAAAGCCAGCAGCGCCCCTCAAATCTCATCATGATGGGTCACCGCCAGCTCGCCCAGATGCCGACTCCCAACCAGCGCCTGTTCAACTACAGCCATCGCAGAAATTACAAGCACAGCGGCCTCAAGGACAACGGGATTATTACAGTCCCGATGAAGTTGGCAAAAATCGTATCAGCACCATTTGGGAGGAATCACCAACGAAACCGAAAGAAAAGCGAATATCTCAAAACGCGGATGGTTCTTTTTTAGGGTGCAAGGAGATCAACGGACCAGGCACAAAGAATCCAGACGAAATTCTCTTGTTCGCAACCGGCGAAGACTCCACAAATCTCCAGCCTCGTCCACTCGCTGTCGGTCGCCAAAGGCGCCAAAAAGAAGAAAGGAGATCCGGCGCCCATCAAGAGGTGGAGAGGTCAGAGGACAGGCGCCGATCGGAAGATCGACGGAGATCAGAAAACCGACAGGTCTCGGGAGACAGACACAGGTCGGAGGAGAAACGGGTCCCGGAAGACCGACGTGTGTCAGAGGACCGTGCCGTTCTTCAAGAAGAATGGTCACAAGTTACTCGGAATTCGAAGCATGTCCAATGCTTGAAGCCGTCAACGGTCATGATGAGTCAGGATTCCAGTTGCCCCGAAGACGAAATACTGAGGCCAGACTCCCAGGGCTCGGGCAAAGAGAACTCCCGCCCTATAGAGAGACCCTCGAACCCCACAGAGAACCTGCCAGAAAGTCGCGGGGAAGACGATGTGTTCATTATCACACCCACTATCACGCGCACTATGATACCAACGGTAGAGAAGAAATGTCAGGGCAAAGCTCTCGTTCAAAAGCCGCAAGGGTTGCGAAGGCCTGGTGGCACAGGCCAATCTGGTACCGGAGAGGCCGTGAAAGCTGTTCGGGCGAAACCTCAAGTAATCTCTACACATTCTGGACTTCGACTACCGACGGCCACATCGCAAACCAAATCGACCACTCCCTCAGCGCCGTCCTCAAAAACAACACCACAGAGCAGCATTCCCACTCCCAAAGAGTCACCCACTGCCAAAAAAACGAAAGAGATGAAAGACAAATCCCCCGGGAAGTCATCGCAAGGGAAAGCATCACCAGGAAAGGAAAACGAGAGGAGCTCAGCCACGAGCTCTATCCGTGGCTTCATCCGTACCTCCGGGCTCGCAAGGTCCACTGGAATCGTCAGGTCGCCCACTGAAAGCCTTGCAACCATTCTTCGTCACGGTACTGAGTCTCTTCGCAATCGTGCTGAGTCTATTCGCAATGGCACAGGGTCTCTGCATCTGAACAGCCGTAAGGGATCGCCTGTCTCTCAGCTTCCTTCCCGAGATAACTCTGATTCTTCTCGGTCCGAGAAGTCTTTCCGATCTGCAAAGGAGTCTGCAAGAAGCACTCCGCCTCCATCGACGAAGTCTTCGCCCGCGAAAAGAGAATCACCAGCTTCTAAATTGTCATCTGTGGAAAAACCACCTCCAGCTTCAAGGTCTGTTTCCTTTGAAGGGCCTCCCGCGCCACCAACTCCGAAAACTCCAGCAGAAGAGAAACCGCCTCCACCCATTGAAAAGTCTCCTCCTGCTTCGCGACTCACTCGTGCTGAGAGGCTTGAGAGGTTCAAAGAAGAAGCTCGTGCCCGCCGGGCTACAAAAATGGCCGAGAAGGCAGAAGAAATTGTCGCTGAGGTCGCAGAAATCGCGGAACTAGATGGTCATCAAGTCACCGGCCGAAAGAATCATCTTCAATCTAACATCACGAATGTGACGGATGTAACTGATGACCTACACGAGCTAAATTCACGAGAAAAGGACGGCTTCCCAAAAGAAGGTATCAACCCCATGGCTCTATCAATGATGTTTGATATCATCGTTGTTGCTGTCACGCACATGCACAAGTCGGCCTTGCAACTGACTGAAAGTTCGTGTGCCAAGTTTATCGTCAACAATGTTTTCAACATGATTAAACACTGCTATCGTGTTTTCAGTCGCGTGTATCGCGCCGTGTCGCGTTATCAGGCAACAGGCACCTGGCCCAAGGCCAAGAACGACCAAGCCATCAGTCGTTTTCTCCTGGAGCTCCTCCAAGCTGTCGTTTACCTCTTTATCCTCGCCTTCTCGACAATGCTCTTGGGCCGTGCGGCAAGCTATGTCGTTCTTGTTGGAAGCTGGATTGTGTGGTTTGCCCGTCCATTTGCGTGGGCCTTCAACTGTATTACGCGGGCTCTAATCATGTAGGGCAACCGAAGAGCTTAATTATGTGCTCTGTGTTCAAAGAGGACGTGTAAGATTGATTTAAACATCCTGGAGTTTCTGATGGGGCGTTTTGCTTGATTTATTGATTTAGTTCGTTCCTTCATGGCTTTTCGATTGACTGGAATCCGTTCATTACTCACCTGTAATTTGTATTCATATGGCATTTTTACATACTATCACCATGGAATCCTTACTTTTCTCAATTCTACACGTATAGTCCTCTAGTAGATCGAGTTTGGGGTTCTCCAAGCGCTGCATGGTCGACTGTTACGGCTCGCGAACTATCGGACGCTGATAAAACGACGCCATTCTCGTCCGCCCACACGCACCTGGACTTGGCTGAACATCCGAAAGCCATGACCTAGGCATAGGGAATTGGTACCGAAAATCAAGTCCTGCCAGAAGTATCTAATCGGCTCTTTGGATTCTGAGTCCACTGAATTGTTTGCTTCGTTTCTCACATCGAATCACATGATTGCAGTGCCCGCAGCCAACCCCCCCGGCTGGTCCGTTGTCTCCTGAAAGCCTTATCCTGTCCCGTCGTATAACTTTCATCCCCAAGTCCAACAACTTCAAAATGAGTTTTTGCATATCGTGTAAAGGCGAGATAGAGGATGGGAAACATCGAAGAAGTGCGTGTTGAACGAATGATCACATCAGTCTTGCCATACGTCTAACTAAAACAGTATTCTCTACCAACGACGGATTGAAGGTTTCAGACGCCATTAATGATAATTCCCAAGACCCACAATCAGACAGTGAGCCTGGTGGTATGTATTACTGGCATGAGGCTTGTTGGCAGTTTCAGGAAAGGCATCTGCTATGCGACCGTCCGTCTTTACATCGTCTCGTGGAGACCTGTGGACCTCATCCTCCATGGTTTGATATTAACTTGGTGAACTGTGAGTATACATATTGTATTATTAGATAAACAGCCGGCTTATTCCCTACAGGGAGTCCATATATCGAAGAGATGCTTGAATTTCCAAGTGCCCAAAACGACCTTTCTTTGCTTTTATCAAAGGCGACGCAATTCCCACGGCCGACTCTTCTTGCAATCCATGTATATGGCACTGGCAATGATTGGTTTGCTGATTTTCCAATCGAAATAAAAGAAGAAATTGCAAGCTATCTCCCAACCAAAGACTTTCTATCTCTCCGACATGCATCACGCTCCATGACAGTCATATTTGCTAGCCAAAGGTTCTGGAAAAGCAGATTTTCTATTGGGGGTGATCGCGGCTTTCTGGAACATATCGCCGCAGATAAAGACTTAGACGTGGACTGGCGTTTATTGTATCACTGCTCGAGCACTCGCAAGCTTAATTCACGACTTTGGGCGAAGCAAAATTACTCGCTCTATTACCAATGGGTGGGCGATTTCTGTTCGATGACTCATTCGCGAGACCTGCAACCTTACGTGAAGAAGCCAAAGCGCCGGAACGGATTGCTTTGGGAAACGGCTTATGGGAAGGAAAGAATTGAGCCTTCTTTGCGAGGTCAACCTCTCTACAAGCAAGCCATTGTTGTGCCACAAGAAATGGTCGCCATAGGAATAAATCTCCTGACTTACTCTTGGCTGTCATTCAGCGATATTGTGGGTATCGAATTTATCTGCAAGGGAACAGCTACCCCAAACTCTGTTTTGGGGTCTAGAGTTCCAGGACAACAGGTCATTCTCAATACGACACGCTCGTCCCTGAGGGGATTTGAGTTTGCTTCCAGTTCGGAGGGGATACACGCAATTCGCATTATTTCGGAGCATGGCTTATCAGAATGGAAGGGCCACTGGGGCCATCGTGCTGTGAAAACGAAGCGACTGGAGGGAGACGAGGAGATCCATGCCCTAAAAGGCTATTTTCAGGTGGGCGCCTTTTCAATAATATCTGGGACCGTAGCTGATGAAGTTTGACAGCCAGCGCATGTGATGATTGACCTAGAGGTGGCAAGAGAAGACACCTCATACCAAAGGAGTCAGAAACAGCAGATTCAGAAAGAAAAACGAACTGAGGAATAAAACGAACTGAGGAATAAAACGAACTGAGGAATGAAGACTTTGCATAGCAGAGTTGTTGATCACTAGATTTGAAATCATGTAGCGAGGGGATATTTTCATCTTCGTGTAGGAATGGAAGGCTACTCAAGTCCTATGTGTCCTTAGGAATTTACATATTATTTGCACAAAAAGCTCGCATATAACTGCCCGGGATTCCCCATGTTGAAGACGAGGAATACCCAAGGCCTTTGAATTTATCTTTCTTTTGGTCAATTTAGTCTTATTGAAGACATGGCCCTCTCCCAGTAGAAACTCCATCATCCGGGTGTTGAAGGTCCTTTAATGAAACAATGCAAAGGTTGGAACGCAAAAGATGGCCAGAAAGTAAGCGCCGAGCATCATAGAGAACTAAGCCGAAAGAAAAGCAAGGTATCAAGTAAAATCCACCGCTGCTTGAATGAAACTGAAAGACAGGAGATGATTGACGCATCGTCCTCGCGAAAATCTCTATCAAAAAACAATAAGAAACAGACGACAATAAAGGAAGCTCACGAGAGAGCAGTATTATGATGTTGAATTTTTCGAATCTTCTTTCTTTTTTTTTCTCCCTTCCATCTGGAGTCTTCCGAAGAATCCAGAAAGCAAGCACCGGGCCCGTGGAGGTTGATAAGAGGAAGAGGAAGAGGAAGACATCTGAACGATGGGACGTCGTTGTTAAAGAGACGGGGTATCGGTACAGGGAACGTTGAATGTTGAAACGGATGTTGAAGTTGAAAAAGAAATGAACGCTCAGGAAGAAATCGTTGAGAGGTCTTCAATCGTGACGCCATGACGCATTGCAGGGAAGCCCGAGATTTGGTGTTGGATAGTGTGTTTCGGGGCTAGTATCGTTGAGTATCGTTGAGACAAGGTGATGTTGAATTAGGTAGTAATCGTGAGTTTTAGTGATGACAGTGATTGTAAAGGTGATCTCGGTGTTGGATCTGAGTCACTATGATTGCATGAAAGGGGGCTTTTTTTTAGTTTTTCGCAGACGCTCCGTTTTGTTCTGCGGCACCGTTCTGCGCGGATGAACCGTTGGTCTCAGGCTTTCCGGGTAGCTCGACCTCGAAATCCTTGATTTCGATATCCTTGAAGAGCTCGAAGACAGCATTGGATCGGTGGAAATCGTTATCAACTGTAATATTTCCATATTAGTAAATATCCAATAACGTGAACAATCAATCTCTTACCGATGTTCACCAGATACCACTCATCCATAACCTGTTGGATTAGCTTCCGACTAGGACTACCGGCCTCGTGACACTTGGACCAATCATCACCAAGCCGGTACGCCTCGTCCTTCCAGGCAAGGAAGCTGACTGTTTCGACAATGGTCGGTTGAATGATCTCTCGACCAGCAAAGATACCCCAAGTCAAGGCGTTTGGGCTATCACGGGTGTTAGTCCGCAGCTCACCTCCTTTGCGGATAGCGTGATACGTCAGGTCGTCGTTCTTCTCGATCCGTGCGATAAGCTCATCAATCAGATAAGGCGGGACCAAGAGTTCCAAATAGGCCTTCTGGTAAACGAAGCCATTCTTAGGGCCCCATCCGTAAACCGGATGAGAAGACTTCACACCATTCACAGCAGGCTGTGAATTGATAGTGAAGAATCCTCTCTGATTCAAATTGATCAGAAGATCCTGAATATCGTTTGCCTCGGCGGTGATTGGGCTGTCGCTCCAAGGCAATCGATCCAATTTACCCTGCAAAAACCGAAGGAAAATATCGGAAAGATCTTTGAGCGATCTGGGCTCGCCCCAGAGCTTGATGTTCTGTTCGTTGGTTCCTTTGAGCCCAATACCGTATTGATCAAGTTCACCGAAAGCAGGCGAACGAGAGTCAGTCCATCGACCGTTGGGGTATTCATCCCATGTTTGGGTACGGGCGATATAGGAAGATTTTCGGTTTCTCCAGAAGACGGGACGTACATCCTCGCCTCGTCGTCCCAAAGCAAGCGATGGCCGCCAAGGCAGAGCTCGCTGAATAGGGGATTCATCAGAAGGCGTTAGCCCAAGCTCTTCAAGAACTAGCCTCGTCGCCTGCGCCAGATTCATCGTATAGCTAAAATGCATGTATCAGTATCTAATATGCGATAAAACAGGCTGGTTGGATGACATACAAATGCAGGTGGTTAATACCGGAGCTCAGAAGCTTGCGACACATCTCGGCAATCAGGTGCTTGCCGATATCTCTGACGGCAGCATCATCATTCTTGACGGGCTCCAGAGCTTCCATCCACTGAGGTGGCACGCGGATCTTGGTCCAGTTGGATCGGCGAATGAATGCAGCGTATGTCTGAATCGGCATGATACCCGGAATGATTGGGATTGTGATTCCCTTGGCGCGGCACTTCTTGACCCATTCAATGAAGTTTTCCACATCATAGAACATCTGAGTGATGACGAAAGAGCTTCCTGCGTCAACCTTCTCCTTCAAATGGTCGATCAGCTGATCCACATCCGGGTTGTCATCGGCACCCTCCGGGTAACCTCCCACGCCGATATCGAAGTGGTTGCCGTATTTTTCGCGAATATATTTCACAAGATCCTTGGCATAACGGAAGCCGTTCTCGGTAGCTTCCCATGCTTCCTTGTCTCGAGGTGGATCTCCTCGTAGGGCCAGGATGTTGGTGCAGCCGGCCTTGTATGCGGCCTGGAGAGCCTGGTCCACTTTCTCCCGGGGCATATCGGTACAGGTGAGGTGCATGCAAGTCTCCAGACCATACACGGACTGAGCAACTCCGACCATCTCGCAGGTCAGGTCGGAGAGGCGACCACCCGCACCCCATGTGATGTCGATGAATGAGGGGCCCAGTCCATGCATACGGTCCATTCGATCATAAAGGTTCTGTACACCCTGAGCAGTCTTGGGTGGAAAGAACTCAAAAGAGATTCCCGGCTCCCCCGCAGCCTCCTTCTGCGCAAGCTTCTCTCGAATATGCATCGTGTCGTGTCAGCCTACCCCGCGGGCTGTGTCAGCATCCTGGTTTCACTGCGAAGCTACGGTGGATGTCAAGGAGGTCCCTTCGTCGAGTAAGGGGAACGTCCGAGGGCAAGGAGTCTTACCGAAATTCAACAATCGAACAAATGTCTTCCGAGGCTGCGAAACTAAATGGAGACTAATATGGGGCTGTCTTGCAGCGAGGTCTTCCGATCTCCAGGATACCTGACCTGTGAGCTGTGTGACATCCACAAATTGAAGTTTCACAGGGGCACACCCGACAAAGCCGAACAAGAACAGAATGAAGTGAAAAGAAAGAGGTTGTGGAGGCTCCAGGGGGAGTGAAGAAGGAGAAGTCAACCTTTGGGACGGTTTGGCGGGGGACTCCGGCGATCGGAGGCACGTGTTCTGGCTCCCACGACGAGGATTACACGGTCCAAAAGCAATATATGATCTATAGCTTCATGAAAATCGAATTCTACGGACTCAAAAACCCTCCATCTGCCTTCTACCATGAGTCTCAGAGCTTAGCAGGCCGGGAATGGCCGTGATAGCCTGCCCCTCCTGCCCCTCCACACGAAAAAAAGGGTTCCCGGGCAAATTTTCCCGTTGCGGCCGCTTATCGCTCGCCGTCGACACATTATTTTGGACCTCCAAACTTTCTTCTTCCTCGACCCCCGACCAGTCGAGCACCAATTCTTGAACTCCAGTCTCATTTTTCCTTTTTTTGTGTCATACCAAACTACTTCGAACTCCTCTGAACCAGGTCACCATGTCCGCCAACATTCCTCCTCCCTCCGCCGATCAGGACTACAAGTCCACATTGTTGCCGCTGCTGATCTCGAACAATGTCCTCTCCTTCGGCACCTACGTTCTCAAATCTGGTCGCGAGTCCCCCTATTTCTTCACTTCCTCGCTTCTTCACACTGCGCCGCTACTGCGCGCCACTTCCGCGGCCTACGCGAGTGTCCTGTCTGCCGAGCCCTTCGTCACCACCGGCGCCGACGGCACCACCAAGCCCAACTTTGATATCATCTTCGGACCAGCTTACAAGGGTATCCCGATCTGTGCTGCGGTCACTAATGAACTTGCCGTCCGTGACTCCCTCTCCGGTGCTCCCCAAGGCACCTGGGATAACGTCAGCTATTCTTTCAACCGCAAGGAAGCCAAGGCTCATGGCGAGGGTGGAAACATCGTGGGTGCTTCCCTGAAGGGCAAACGAATTGTGATTGTGGACGACGTCATCACTGCTGGCACTGCTCTTCGTGAGGCCGTTGGTATTATTGAGAAGGAAGGCGGCATCGTCGCCGGTGTGGTTGTCCTACTAGATCGCGAGGAGCGGGTCAGCGATTCTGAGTCCAAGAGCGCGATTGGGGTTGCGCAGCGCGACCTTGGTGGCAATATCCCCATCCGCGCTGTGATTGGCCTTAACGACCTGATTGAAAAGTTGGGTGACAAGATTGGCGCCACTGAGATCCAGCGATTGAAGGATTACCGGTCCCGCTATGGTGCCCAGTAAATCATACCCAAAATAAGAAACGATGCACGAGACAACAAGAAAATAGGAGTTTTGATACCAGGATGATCCGGAACCGCTGTACTCAATATCGATGCGCATAGGGATCAAGATGTGACGAGCAATATGCCTTTTAAATTTCTTCCTCATAAGAAGTTTCTCCGAGCATTACCATCATTCTCCCGGTACCATGTTATTTCAAGTTTACCTGATAGGAAAAAGGTCCCAGTGAATGTAGATTATAATTCATAATTTATCGACACCACCTTCGAAAAGGGATCGTTCCTTCAGGCATATGAATTCTCCTGGCAACGGACGAACTGGTATGACACGCCAAATTTCCTCTAGAGCACTGAGACCCCAATCGGGCAATTTGGAACTCTTGAGGATCAACAGCTGTGAAGACCTGCTTTTGCCTGTTTAAAAAAGCTTAGGTCCTTCGGAGTGCAAATGCAGTGGATAACCAGTGAGCCCTCTCATAGGTTTCGGTTTATCAACATCTCACACACCCCTGGAACTTGGGTTGTACGAGACAGCTAACCTCGCCGAGCTTGGATATTATGTCTCGGATGATCACAATAGCTTCGGGGACATGAGAGAAGCGACAAATCGCAAGAAAGACATGCTATGTTGATAGGCCTGCCACGGCACTGAAGGTGGTAGGTGTAAAGATTCCAGAGTCGCACACGCAATGCAGCAGGGAAAGTAAAGTTGCCCAAAGCTGAGCGCTTGGTCATTTCACTCAATGTGAAAATCAGGCTCTCTTTACGGAGATCAACTGAGGGTGTTGCATGGAGGTGATCTGATCGCACACTGGGCATTGGTGATATGGAGTGTCTGTGTGGTAAAATTAGAGGAATAAAGCGTAAAGATAAAAATATTTCTGCACAAGCTATTGATGGAATCAATTAGACCAAACCGGTCTATAATGTTTTTGTGACAGGAAGAAGATCTCGGATCCTTTCTTCAACGAAAGGCTCTTGGAAGAACTACGTGGATTGAACAATGCCGAGCATCCGTGAATATTTGTCGATGTCCACCGTCAAAGCAAAGATATAAGGAGATTCAGAACATGAATATCCTAAACAGGCCTATCAATCTCAATTAGCTAAGTTCCAGCCATCTGTAAGTAGTCTTTTGTGTCACGCAACGCGGGCTGGGCTGAGAAGATGTTTTGAATTTTAACTAGTGGCTGAGGCGAAATAATCGCCCGGGTATCCGCGGCCATGTCTTATGTGGAGGCTCCAGTGCTTGGTACCAATAGTCAGCTTCTTACCAGAAGATGGTCTAAGCTGACAGCTGCTACCCTAATGTAATTTGCCAATGAAAATGGCAATTGCTTTGGTTGACTGAATGGAAGCCCGAATTGAATCGAGAATGGGACATAATTCAACACCGCTGACGTTATGTTGGACTTTCAAACACGGGAAAGTTATGTGTGATAGTAGCAATATAGGATTAGCTGCATGGCAATCATGTAGAGCTTGCATCAATTGTTTTTGGGAGCTTGATCCGTTGAACTCTACGAAGTTTGTGTTCGAGATAACAACTAGGTAATGGGAGACTTGTTAAGTTCCGTTGTGGCCTTTTAAATTTTTTGAGGGATTGTATGGCAGCATCAAATATGATACAATAACAGTCCATGGTTTTCACACGATCAACAAGAGGCTGTGTAAATTGGGCTCCGCGGGGTACATAGTACAAAAATCTAGGAAATAAGATTGAGTTGAACTTATTCAAAATCTGGCAGCCGTTAGAAGATTCTGTCCAGCATGTCCGACTTCTTTTACAGGCTGTTTATCTGACTAGGCCACATTCTAGATTATCAATTGACCTTATTTCGCTTAGCTTCTACTCGATTCTATCTAGTTTAGCTCCAGCAAGTGCTAAATTCAAGCTTAGTCATGTGTAAGCCTTTCAATATACGTGTATATTTGGCTTCTGAAGTGCACAAGAAAGACGATATTTTAAGAGATCTTGGAAAGCGAAACATATATTCATTGTTATACAAGTGACAAACAGATACAAGATATTGCCCAAATTGTTATTCGTGTATTTGACGAACATATATTCGCTCCGAAATTCAGTACCGAAAAATTCTATTAGAAAAAGCCAGGTAGAGCAAGCTACGCACATATTGGGTAGATGTTAAAAACACTCTTATATAAAAACAAGTCCCAATAAAGAAGACATCTCAGGCTCGAAGACTTTTAAATAAATATTTTCATCTAGGAGGAAATTGTCTCTGGATAACATCGTCCCGCGCAAGTCTCTAATCTCAGGGTAAATCAAAGCACGGTCCTTTTTATGTACTCCATATCTCCCTAGGGATTGATGCGGTAGCAGTTCAAATTCCAATTTCGATCACCATGAGGCACTGGCGGCTTGATATCCTTTTTAGATATCAAAAAGGTCTTTGTCCCCAACGTCATGAATAAAATCATGTTGGCTTTGACTTAAAGCCTTTCAATCAGTCATGATTCTCACACATCACCAGAGGAGGTGATCATGGGATTCAATCTCAACGACAACAGTCTATCGTGATGTGACATCTTCGTACTATATCGCAAGCAAGATTGCCCAGGTTTCTTGCAGTCAGTGTTGAAATCGGACCGATACAAGATCTTTCCTGCACGGTCTACGATGTGCGTTTTTATTCTCTCGTAGTCTTCTTGCCTTTGCGGCCTATGGTATCACGAATCCCTTGTGATACATACACGACATGCTTTGCGCGCTCTACGTTATCGAGCCAAATGAATTCCACTTTGACCGTCGGGAATGAAAAGATCCATGAGCGATGCTGGGAGCTCCCAAACAGGCGTGCTAGTCTGTGAGATGGTACCAACCTTTGCAGTCCGAGCACATCTTCTCCCAAAATAGCATTCACCAACCGGGATCCCGCTCAAGGCCCCCGAGTGTTCCAGACATGTACTAAGCTCCTCACCTCCTTCCAGCATTCCCTTAGATCTTCACCGTTCATTCCGGTGTCAAAGTCGTCTAACCTCATAATCTCTAGCTTCTAAGGAAGGGAAGACGGTTAGAGGGTGTACATTTGGCAAACAAAGAAGGAACATAAAATTTGACCGAAGTATGTGGCGAAAGTTTTTTTTTTCATGCATTATTTTAGTTCTCCTCTCCTGTTCTGACTTGACTTCTCACAAACTCATTGATCTTTCTTTAGCTCATTGCAACTTCCATTTCGCTTTCTATTTCTTTCAAGTCACACGCCGACTTCGGACTTTCAAGTCGATCATACTAAGAGATGTTTCAGGTCAATTGTTGATGCTCATACCAGTAATAACCCCAAGATCATAAGGCGTTTCTGGGGTCCGATGCTTGGAGCTCATTCAACAAAAAGTCAGTATCTGCTCCGAGAATGCTTATCATCCCATATTTCACTAGATCGGTCATATATTGCCATACCGGTATCTCCCTATTGATATTTCCTTTATTCACTGGCAATACTCGCGTTATGACACCTTCGTAAAGTTACTAACAATGGTCAAGCTAGCATTGCTGCAGATTTCGTTGTTCTTGGAGTTTGGAAGGCAGTGTCATTCGAAACTTCTATATCGCAGATCTATGCTCCAACTGTTTTATCCGTAAAAAGACTTTCCAACTACCTGTTGTCATGTTGTGGAAATGTACAGCAGTCATTCTTATCCGCCTCGCAGAATTGGGGGCATGTTGGCCATACGACGAGGCTCTTATCGATTATAATTTGAATGAAAATGAAGAAGCTACCAATCCTGCCGAATATTGGGGAGAATGGCCCGACCACGACTATTACCCTTCTCCGGACAGCTGGAGGTTTCCAATTTACTCACTTTTCCTTGATCGATTCGTAAATGGAGACCCCACAAACGACAACATCAATGGAACGATGTTTGAGCACGACTTGAATTCAAATCAAATGCGTCATGGAGGTGATGTGGTTGGCCTGGTAGATACTTTGGATTACTTGCAGGGAATGGGTATCAAGGTTTGTTTTTCTTCCGCCTTATAGTATCCCCCCAGTGACTAATTTTGTCTCTCTTCTTTCTTACCATAGGCAATATATCTCGCTGGAACGGTTCTCATGAACCAACCATGGGGCTCAGACGGCTATTCCGCACTCGACACTACTCTTCTTGACCAGCACTTTGGAACACTTCAAACCTGGAGAGATGCCATTACAGAAATTCATAATCGTGGCATGTATGTCATTTTTGATAACACTGTTGCGACGTAAGTACTCGGTCATTGCGACCTTTCCAACCTTAGCGTGGCTAGAAGTGTTTTGACTTGGAATTAGGATGGGCGACCTCATTGGATTTGAGGGTTATCTCAATACTACAACGCCGTTTTCGAACAAGGAGCACAAAGCCCAGTGGAAGTCTGACCGTCACTATGTGGATTTTCACTTCGGAAATAGCTACAACAAATCTTGTGACTATCCTCGTTTTTGGAACGAGACTGGCTTTCCGGTCGAGAACTTTGTTCGGGACCAGCTGACAGGCTGCTATGACAGTGATTTCGATCAGTATGGAGATATTGAGGCCTTCGGAGTATACCCTGATTGGCAACGTGAGCTTGCAAAGTTTGCCTCAGTGCAGGATCGCCTTCGTGAGTGGATACCTAGTGTCAGAGAACGTATTGTCCGCCATTCATGCATGATAATTTCGTCTCTTGACATTGATGGATTCAGATATGACAAAGCAACGCAAGCGACTGTAGATGCATTGGGCGACATCTCAGGGGCATACCGTGAATGTGCTCGGAAGGTTGGAAAGCAAAATTTCTTTCTTCCAGGAGAGATCACAGTCGGAAATAACCTAGGCTCCGTTTTTCTTGGGCGTGGTAGACAGCCTGATATGCTTCCAGATACACTCGACCAGGCCTTTGGGTTGACAAATGCATCAGACTCGACGTACTTCCTTCGTGACGAAAACCAACAAGCCATCGATGGTGCTGCCTTCCATTACTCTATCTACCGATCATTGACACGCTTTCTGGGAATGGATGGAAACCTCGCAGCAGGATATGATATTCCTGTCAATTGGACTGAGGCCTGGTATGAGATGGTTCTCACTAATGACCTTGTCAACGCCAACACTGGCAAATTTGACCCGCGTCACATGTATGGGGCAACTAATCAAGATGTCTTCCGCTGGCCAGCTATGTCTCAGGGTATTGAAAGGCATCTTCTAGCTCTCTTTATCACAACATTACATCTACCTGGAATCCCGCTTCTGCTCTGGGGTGAAGAGCAAGCATTTTACATTCTTGATGCTACAGCTTCCAACTACATTTATGGTCGTCAAGCGATGTCTCCAGCCACAGCTTGGAAAACACATGGCTGCTTTCAGCTTCCCTCAACGCAATACTTCCATTGGCCAATTGAGTCAGGGCGACTAGGTTGTCATGATGAAGCTGCGACGTACGATCACCGAGACCCCTCTCATTTCATGCGAAACATCATCAAACATATGTACCAAATGAGAGAGGATTTTCCGGCATTGAACGATGGGTGGTGGATACAATTGCTTTCAAATCAAACACATGAATTATTTTACCCGGGTTCGAATGGTGTTCCCACCGAAACAGGCATGTGGTCAGTCCTCCGAAGCCCATACTACCAGATGCAAGACCTTGGCGAAACAGGAAATCAGACTATTTGGTTTGTCTACCAAAATGACAATAAGACTGTGACTTACGATTTTGATTGCTCTGATCAAGATCAAGCCCTTATTGCCCCATTTACAACCAATACTACCGTGAAGAATCTGTTTTATCCACATGATGAGCTCACTTTGAAGGATGGGCCTATCAAGTTGGGATTGAATGGTTCCCAGGAATTTAACGGCTGTGTCGATAGCTTAGTCTTTCAGCCTTACGAGTTTAGGGCCTACGTTCCTATCGAAAGGTTTATACCTCCGCGACCAACGATCACGAAATTCACTCCTGGGCATGATGTTCCTGTTTTGTCACGGGTCAAACCCGGAGAGAGCGAGGATATTGATATTGGAATATATTTCTCAATTGAAATGAACTGCACCCTGCTTACGGAGTCTATATCATTAGAATCAGTGACTGAAGTGGACACAGTACCTTCAATCGATTTAGAGACCGTTGATTGTGGAGTGATAGACTCCGAAGACACAGCATATACTGGGCAGATCCCGACTGCTTGGGGCTGGACGGCCACTTTGACCGGTGTTCACAATGGTATCCATCGGCTCACAGTGAAGAATGCCACGAGCAGCGATGGAAGATCCACAAATTCAATCGATCACTTTTTGATTCGAATCGGTCAACATGACAATCCTATGATCTTCACCTCCGCCAACTACTCCAGTAGTTTGCTCCATATAAATTCAAATGGAGGTCTCTTTCTCCAACAACATGCAGCTGGAGCAGACATGTTTCGCTACTCAACGAACTGGGGTACAACATTCTCAAAGTGGCTCCCATATATCGGTGGCAACCAAACAATCAAAGAGCAACCATGGTCTGGAACTAAACAGCAAAGGTGGAAAGGCAAGCATGTTCGCGTCGAGTACTGGAGCCGTTTCACTGGAAGTAGTGATTATTTCCAAGAAGGCGATGGCCCCGATTGGCATATACCTCGGCGCTTCCCCCCACATGTTCTTCAACGGGCCTTTCAACGAATATGGATACGATGCAGGCTTGGCAAATGTGGTCAAGCAGGACAGTGATAGCATTTGGAAATTCCGCTTCATGGCTGAATGGCCTGCTCAGGGTCAACTTAATGTATGGGGTATCAATCCGGATGGGCAACCTGATCAAAGCTATATTTTTGGAGATTCCGACGGGGACTCCGTCCTAGATCGTCTTCCGCCATCCTCCCTCAGTACAACAACAATCAACATCACGGAGCACCCTCCAAGTCCACACCTGGCTTGGAGAATCCATCTTGATGATGCGACTCTGCGGTTCAAACTAGTTCCAGCTGGGTCAGAGTATGTACAATTGGCTCTCTTCATTTTACTCTGGATTGTTCCCGTCCTCACCGCAACGGCATGTGCATATGTCTTCAAGAAGACCTTTTATAGGATTAAGTTCAATCAGATTGGTGTAAGCGAGAAGAAGACGCTCATCTCGCTAGACATTCTAAACAGGCTGAGACCAGATAACGGGGAGTCTGGGGAGCCAAGAAGCCTGATCGCTCGCCTCGCGAACAAATCTAGGTTCCTCCAAAGTACTTCCGCCTTTGGCAATCGCACTTCACATCGCAGAAAAGTTCTTATTGCAACCATGGAGTATGACATCGATGATTGGGGAATCAAGATCAAAATTGGTGGATTAGGTGTCATGGCACAGCTCATGAGCAAACAGCTCGGTCACCAGGATCTGTTTTGGGTCATTCCCTGTGTGGGCGGTATAGAATATCCAGTGGACAAACCTGCAGAGTCGATGTTCGTAATGATCCTCGGTAATTCATACGAGGTTAAGACGCAATATCACACTCTGCGGAACATTACCTATATTCTCTTGGATGCACCTGTCTTCCGGCAACAGTCATTGACAGAACCTTATCCAGCCCGCATGGATGACCTGGACAGCGCCATCTACTATTCGGCTTGGAACCAGTGCATTGCTCAAGCCCTCAAAAGATTTCCAGTCGATTTGTATCATATCAACGACTACCATGGCGCAATAGCTCCTTTATATCAGCTCCCAGAGACAGTCCCTATCTGCCTCTCCTTGCATAACGCCGAGTTCCAAGGATTATGGCCTATGAGAACACAGAAAGAGAAGACTGAAGTTTGCTCCGTCTTCAATCTCGATATGGATGTAGTCACTCGCTACGTGCAATTTGGCGAGATCTTCAATCTACTGCATGCCGGCGCAAGCTATTTAAGACTCAATCAACAAGGCTTTGGGGCCGTTGGGGTGTCTAAAAAATACGGCAAGCGTTCGTTTGCACGTTACCCAATCTTCTGGGGTCTGAAGAAAGTCGGAAACTTGCCAAACCCAGATCCATCCGACACAGGAGAGTGGAGCAGAGAATTACCTAAGGAAAATGAAATCAGTGTTGACACCGAATACGAATTTCGAAGGGCTGAGTTTAAACGCCAGGCACAGGAGTGGGCCGGTCTACATCAAATTCCTAATGCTGACCTCATGGTGTTTGTTGGCAGGTGGTCTATGCAGAAGGGAATCGATCTGATTGCAGATATCCTGCCAGGCGTTCTAGAAGCGAGGCCAAATGTCCAGCTAATATGCGTGGGACCTGTCATCGATTTATATGGGAAATTTGCAGCCCTCAAATTGGACCGAATGATGAAGTTATATCCAGGTCGCGTCTTCTCAAAGCCTCAATTTACTGTCCTACCGACTTTCATTTTCTCAGGCGCAGAATTTGCGCTTATTCCCTCTCGAGACGAGCCATTCGGCCTAGTTGCTGTTGAATTCGGCCGCAAAGGTGCTCTTGGAATTGGTGCTCGAGTAGGAGGACTTGGCCAGATGCCTGGTTGGTGGTATACTGTTGAATCGACAACGACCTCACATTTGCTCAAGCAGTTCAAGCTTGCCATCGATAGTGCTTTGAATTCAAAACCCGAGGCCCGAGCCATGATGCGAGCGAGGTCGGCCAAACAACGCTTTCCAGTTGCCCAGTGGATTGAAGATTTAGAAATTCTTCAATCAACAGCAATCCGTATTCATAATAAAGAGCGTGCGAAAGCTCAGGCATCATCAACGGCGACTGCATCAGCATACAATGCCATCTATGGAATGATGACGCCTCAGGCTGCTGTGTCGACAAGGTCTGGTCCTTCAAGTGGTACGATAACACCACCTCTGCAATCCTCCAGCCGACCCGGGACATCTTCAATGCAGCGCAGCTCAATCATTTATAGCCGTGATCCCAGTCCAGGCTCTGATGTGCGACCTAAATCTGGCCTCAGTCGACAGCTATCTTTTGGCGTAGGCGTTGGTCCAAGGCCTGTATCTGCTCCCTCAGAGGGTCGTGGGAGAGCGGATGCTGGTAAGGGGAGTACTGTTAATATTGAAGAGTCCTCGTGCGTGACATCTCCAGAAATCGACGATGACAGTGAGGACGAAATGATGTCCACTTGTTATGGGGAAGACGAATACCCGATGGCCCCTGATTCGGCTGAGGCAGGGCTTCGAATAGATGGATCGTCCACCCAGTCTTCCGGTATTCCCTTAACTCGAGAAGTCCTGTCCGCTCGACATTCGAGTCAAGGTTCCGTCTTCGGTCGCTCCGTTGGCACTCCCTCGAGTTCCGCGGCGCCGAGCACTACAGGGACTGAAGATACACTTCTGCCTCCATCACGTCCATGGGCAGAGCCAGGGAGTCGTCTCAGTAGCGCATCTGTCCTTTCTGTCGATTCGGTGGTAGGCGATAAGAAAGACTATAAGTTGCAAAAAGTCGATCCTTTCTTCACGGACAGCAATGGAGAGTACTATAGAATCTTCGAAAAGAAACTGGAAGAGTTGAACGGCACCAACTCGGACTCGCAGCTTTGCATTGAGCAATACCTTGAGAAAAGCGAAAAGAAATGGTTCGATCGATTCCGGGACGCACGATTAGGACGCAACCAATCCCCAGCTCCTTCAACGCATCTCAGCAAAAACGGAGGCTCGCGTGGCGGGTCTCCGCCAGGCTCCATCACCAACGATGATACAACATCCCACGAGAGTGGTGTACCTGAGAGAAAAGACGCAAATAACAACGATGAATTTCTTCTTGGCGATGATTATGTCCCACCTACTGGCCTTAAGAAATGGATGCAAATGCGCATTGGCGACTGGCCGGTTTACTCCTTGTTCCTGGGTCTCGGCCAGATCATTGCTGCTAATTCCTATCAAATCACATTGCTCACCGGTGAAGTTGGCCAGACAGCAGCAAAGCTGTACGGAATAGCGACGGTGTATCTCATCACCTCTATTCTGTGGTGGCTTTTCTTCCGGTTCTGCAAATCAATTCATGTCTTAACTGTACCCTGGTTCCTATACGGCCTGGCATTTTTGATAATCGGAATCGCTCACTTTGAGCACGATTCTTATGCTCGTGGGTGGATCCAAAACGTGGGCAGTGGCATCTATGCAGCTGCATCATCCAGTGGCTCCATTTTCTTTGCGCTCAACTTTGGCGACGAGAGCGGCGCACCTGTCAAGCAGTGGGTTTTCCGTGCCTGTTTGATTCAGGGTACACAGCAGGCCTATGTCATTGCTCTCTGGTACTGGGGATCAACATTAACAAAGGCAAGCAATGCTGGCAATGCAAATGTGCAAGGCTATATCACCAATACCTGGAGAATGACAGCTATCTGTACGCCAATCACTGCTTTCTTGTGGACAATTGGCCTGCTGGTGTACTTCGGCCTACCAAACTATTATCGCCAGACGCCGGGCAAAGTTCCATCATTCTACAAATCAGTGTTCCGGCGCAAGATTGTCCTTTGGAACTGGGTGGTCGTGATCCTACAGAACTTCTTCCTCAGTGCGCCTTATGGTCGCAATTGGAATTGTATGTCTCACTTGATGCCTTCCATTTGATGTTCAAACCAGTTAACTCTTCTTCTACAGTCCTTTGGATATCCAATCACGCGAAACCATGGCAAATTCTCTGCCTCTGTGTTGCTTTCTTCGGGTTCGCATGGATAGCAATCCTCTTTTTGTTGGGCTATATATCCAAATCCCACAGCTGGATCCTACCCATAGTAGCCTGCGGCCTCGGCGCCCCTCGCTGGGCTCAAATCTGGTGGGGCACCAGCGGATCAGGCCTCTTTCTCCCTTGGGCAGGCAGCTATGTTTCCGGGGCCCTGGTATCTCGCAGTCTGTGGCTATGGCTCGGTGTGATGGATGCCCTGCAAGGCCTGGGCTTTGGCATGATTCTCTTGCAGACGCTGACACGGATGCATATTTGTTTTACGCTGCTGGTGTCGCAGGTAATTGGTTCTATCGCAACTATCTGTGCAAGAGCTTTTGCGCCAAATAAGATCGGGCCAGGGCCTATTTCCCCAGATATTACGGCTGGAGCCGGGGCGCTGGGAAATGCGTGGTTTTGGATTGCGCTTATTCTTCAACTTATGATTTGGTCAGTCCCCTTTCATTGCTATTCTTGGTTTGCTCTAGACTAATCAAATATTTCTCGTCCAGTGGTGGCTTCCTTATGTTCTTCCGCCGGGAACAGCTTTCAAAGCCTTAAAAGGGTATACGGTTTTTTTCTCTGAGATTGGACGACGAGAATAATGTTGATTTTTGCGTGGTTTTTATTTCGAATTATTATGTCTTCTTTACGCATTTTGCTTTTAATATGCTCTTCTGTGGCTGCCACTTAGTTCCCTCTCTATAGCTCCTAATTTAATGACATTGTTCTCATGTTAAAATGCATTTTGGGTTCAGACGTCGGCAGGGTACTAAGAATTGCTGAGAAAAGGAAATATTGAATTCATTATTCATTCTCATTGAAAATCGTAGACTACTGAAATAACTCAACAGTCCCAAGATAACAAGGCCCCGGAAAATGCAGAGCGACAAGTTAAAGAACATGGGGGAATGATGTATTTTAAACCAGATATAACCGAACATAGCACCTATTACCGTATCCAATGCAATCTCCAGCTGCCCTTGAAGTGGCAGTGCCAAAACAACTTTACCACTCAAGCGGCTCAGTCTTAACATCGCCACGGTTGGTTTTGGGCACGGGAGCGGCCTCAATCTTGGTGGCGCCACGGTTGCCACGGCGAAGATACCCGCTGCCATCCAGCCAGGGGGTCTCAAGAGTCCGCTTAGTCTCGAAAGAGCGGATCTTGGACTCCATCTGAAGAGTTAGACCAATATCATCAAGGCCGTTTACAAGGCAGTGCTTGCGGAAAGCATCAACATCGAAGCTGACGATCTTGTTGCCCTCGGCGTCCTTGATCTCTTGGTTGGGAAGATCAACCTCGACCTCGCGGCCTGCGCGAGCCTCATCGGCAATCTTCTTCAGAGCGACCTCGTCGGAAACGACGATGGGGAGCATGCCGTTCTTGAAGGTGTTGTTGAAAAAGATATCGGCAAAGGAAGGAGCAATGATACTCTTGATACCAAAGTCCAGCAAAGCCCAGGGAGCGTGCTCGCGCGAGCTACCACAGCCAAAGTTAGGGCCAGTGACCACGAGAATCTTAGAGTTACGGTAAATGCCCTGGTTGAGGATGAAATCTGGGTTTTCCTGGCCATCGGGGTTGAAGCGAAGTTCGTAGAAGGCAGCGGATCCCAAGCCAGTGCGTTTGATGGTCTTCAAGAACTGCTTGGGAATGATGGCATCAGTGTCAACATTGGCACGGTCTAGAGGAGCGGCGATGCCCTTCAGGGAGGTGAACTTGGGAAGTCCGGTACTGCTGCCGCCAGCAGAGGAGTTGGTGTGGGGCTCGTTATCAGCGGGGAGGTCAAGCACGCGGTCGAGCTCATCTTCGGTCTCGGGGGACTCGGCGGCCTCGGGCTGAATGTCGACATAAGGCTGGACCTTGGCGGTGACAGGGCTAGCAACAACATGTTCGCGGACATCAGCAAGAGTACCAACAATAGCCGCAGTAGCAGCCATGGCAGGAGACATCAGGTGAGTACGACCCTGGGCACCCTGGCGACCCTCGAAGTTACGGTTGGAGGTACTGGCACAACGTTCCTTAGGGGAAAGAATGTCTGGGTTCATGCCCAGGCACATGGAGCAACCAGCTTCACGCCACTCAAACCCGGCATCAGTAAAGATCTTGTCGAGACCCTCCGCCTCGGCCTGCTCCTTGACTAAGCCTGATCCAGGAACAACCATTGCACGCTTGATGTTCTGGGCAATCTTCTTGCCGTTGACAACCTTAGCGGCGGCACGCAGATCCTCAATACGAGCGTTGGTGCAAGATCCGATGAAAACCTTGTCCACGGGAATCTCCTTCATGGGGGTACCGGCAGTGAGACCCATGTACTCAAGGGCACGCTTGCAAGAAGCCTTGCGGTCCTTGTCTTCGAAATCATCGGGGCCAGGAACGACACCGGTGATCGGAACGACATCCTGAGGGGAGGTACCCCAGGAGATAGTAGGGACGATATCCTTGCCATCAATGAAGACCTCGGCATCGTATTTGGCGTTCACATCAGACTTGAGGGTAGACCAATAGTTGACCGCCTTGTTCCACTCAGCGCTGCCGTACTTGGGAGCCAGAGGACGGCCCTTGAGGTACTCAAACGTGATCTCATCCGGAGCAATCATACCAGCGCGAGCACCGCCCTCGATAGACATGTTGCACATGGACATACGAGCCTCCATGCTGAGTCCGCGGATGACAGATCCGCAGAATTCAATGACGGCGCCGGTACCACCAGCAGTTCCAATGACACCGATAATGTGGAGGACAACGTCCTTGGAGGTGACTCCCGGAGGAAGCTGGCCATCGACCTGGATACGCATGTTCTTGCTTCGGCGAGTCAGGAGGGTCTGGGTCGCGAGGACGTGCTCAACTTCACTGGTACCGATACCAAAAGCCAGGGCACCAAAAGCACCGTGTGTGGAGGTATGGCTGTCACCGCAGACGACGGTGGTTCCTGGCAGGGTGAAGCCTTGCTCAGGGCCAATGATGTGGACAATACCCTGACGCTTGTCGCCCATGCCGAAGTAGGTGAGGCCGAAGTCCTTCACGTTCTGCTCGAGGGTAGTGCATTGAAGGCGCGAGTCATTCTCTTTGATGAATTCCTCGGCATTCTTGAAGTTCTTGCGGGAGCTGGTGGGAATGTTCTATATCAAAGCAACCGGAAAATTAGTGCCAGCCCACTCAGAAATTTCAATTCGTTTTGTGTTTGGTATCAACCTACGTGATCGACAGTCACCAGGGTGCAATCCGGTCGACGGACGCCACGGCTGGCATTCTTGAGGCCCTCGAAAGCCTGGGGTGAGGTCACCTCGTGAACAAGGTGGCGATCTGTATCTGGATTAGAGAAGGCCAAGTCACAGAAAACATGGTGAACATGGAGAACACGGCCGGCATACCGATGTAAAGCAGGCAGGTGCCATCATCTTGCTGATTGACAATGTGGTCATCGAAGACCTTATCGTACAAGGTCCTCGGTTTTGACTCTGCGGAAGGCATGTTGTGTGAAAGTGATGCAATGACCAAAACACGTACAGTGAAGCAGGAAGGGTTACAACTTATATTTTGCAGCGCCCGCGATGTCGCTGGGAAGCTCGTCGAGGGGCAATGCCGACTTCGGTCGGTCAGCGGGCAATACTGAGGTGGTGATTGGCCTGCGTGGCAAAACTGATGATCCCGATATCGGCCGATGCAAAAATGCGACGGCGGCTAGTGGCGCTTGTGGGCGGCTCAGCGCGTCTGCTCTTTTTGACTCATCCAGGTGTGGGTAAAATAATTCCCTACTGTGGCCAAGGAAACAGAAATTCAATTCAAATTGCTGATGCTGATAGTTTATAAACCTGAACTGTTACTATATCACAAGCCTAATAGTCGACGCCGATGTTACATCCTTCACCGACTGATAGTACAGCATGACGTAGCGACCGACTCCGGGGTGACGAGGTAATGATAATGCAACGATTGGCTGCTGGCGCCGGGGGCCCGGTCGGCCCCCGCTTGCTTCACAGCCCGGAAGCGGGATGCAAGCATACAGGAGCGGCGCGCCGGGGGGGGGTGGATTGTGCTTTAATGTGGGTGAAATGATTGGTAATGTTTAGGCTGATAAAATTACATAGATCAGTACCCAGGATCATAGAACTAGTGACCATCATTTTCTAGGGTAATCATATACGGCTTCTATTCTTATTCTGTCCGGTTGTCCAGGCTCGGACAGAAAATATCCGCCTCTAAGGGATTATCTGATAGTTCATATCAACATTGAAATTGTTGTATATCAATGGCTGGCCTTAAAAATAAACCGATACTACATAAAACCTCACATGTACATGTACAAAATTCACGTGGAAAAAAGGATTGTATATTATTGCTCTACTTTTCTTGCACGCATATCCTACTTATTGCCAGTGTCATTTGATCACGAAAATGACAATGATTTTAATTAAAAAACATTATTTGATTGACTATTCCAGATTTAAAATCTCCCAAAATCATGCTTGTATTCTCTGTACTTTTTGCGTACAGTTGGTCAATATCACAAGACCAATAACTAGATCGCAACACTAATTTCTAGTATGATTCTAAAAAAAGCTTAATCTCCCAAACGCCGAGATTTGAATCTCAATCAACATCCCAGAATTCATCTTGAACGTCTAATTACAGAGAAAGGTGATCATGACGAGGAGCCAAGGTCAACCACAATCCTTTTTCCGGAAACCGAACCGCTGCGAAGCGTTGCCAAGGCCGCATTAATGCCTTCCAGCCCGCCCTCTGCGTGAATAATTTCAGGAAGGGTCAAAGCCCCCGACTGAAGTAGCTGTTCTAACCAACGTACCATGCTTTCTCCGACCGTAGGAGCAGTATGGAACAGCTTAATTGGGACCGTGTGATATCGGATCCTAGGATTCCGCTCTTTAGGTAAACCTGTTAACCCGAGTAGATGGGCGTGTCCGGTGACATCCAGTGTTCTTTCCAGGATCGTAGCAGTCTCTTTGCCCACAATGTCGATCGCATAAAGCAGTTTGCCATTTGTAACTCCGCGAATAATCTCCACAGCCCGGTCGGTGTCATGTCGATCAACGAGTAGATCTGCCCCCAACTGTATCAGCCTAGCGCCGTGCCTTGCAACATCGGCAACGCAGATGACTCGCAGCCCAGCGAGTTTTGCCAGCTGCAGCGTTACCAGACCAGTTGTTGTGGAGGCTTTGAGCACATCAGTTAGCACCAATGTATTACATGCAAGCAAGCCATACACGGAAAGAAGAGAAGTGAGAAATCTTACCTCCCCATATCGCAATCCAGTCGCCGTGTTGAGGTTGCGCGGAATCTACCGATGCTGGTAAACATTCGTCATAGATATCAGCTGGGATATCCTCCTGGTCGAGTTGGCTGATGACCTGGGGGAGATTGGGACCGGGAGACTGGGGCAGGAGAGAGAAGTCGAGTCCAAACGAAACCCCTAGAGCTAGCACCGAGGCCACAAAGGCCACTCCCAGAGAAGCCGAAGCATGTATCGAGGCCGAGGAGGGAATGCGGGCGGCGTTGAAGTCGGTTGCGATGGCATATTCTTGGAATGTGGCTTTCCGGATGTCTCTATAGTCTGTCGAAGGGACAAGGACGATGTCGCCGACACGAAGCCGTGACGATTCACGGGGGACCTGGAGCACGAGTCCCGCTAGATCCCGTCCGTTGATCCATGGAAGACTGGGGATACCAAAGTTGAAAGCACTGGGATCTGTGAGCCTTGGACACCTACGAGATGAGGACGAGGGGAAGAGGGGGGGGGTTTGTTTCGTACGGTGCTTTCCAGTCGATCGGGTTGAGTCCGATCGCAAGGACCTACCCCGATATCGATTAGCATGACGATAATTCTTACACTCCGTTCAGTTGAATTTACCTTGACAAGGATCTCACTAGGGTGCAAGATTGAGGGGATGGTATGATCATGAACCAAGGTATATTGTTCTCGGGCCGTCTTTAGCAGTAGTACTCGCTGTCGCGCCTCTCGCGACCTGGCCACCGGGGAGGGTTCTTTCTGTGTAATTACATCCGATGGACTGGATGCCTCCGAAAACATATAACGATGGAAAGTGGCCGCGCTCGGAGGCTGCAGCTCTTGAAGCTGGAGACAAGTGGTGGTGGACATGATGGGAATCATCACCGCCACGCCAGGATTTCCGGTCCCAAGGTTGTATCTATAATCTATTTTAGGCTCTGAGAAAGCGCTCTCGGGCGAGAAAATACAAGGGCCAGGGGAGGGGTCGAGAGTGAGCGGCAGCACGACTCATGGTTGATATCGATGCTTACCAAACACTCGTTGGTGTTGGAAGCGCTTCCCGTGTGTTGGTCTTGGAAGGGCCTCCACTCATTCCCCGGTGCTGGAGCCTGAAAGAAGGACATGCAAAATGGATGAGGCGGACTGGATGCGGACATTCCCCCTCTCGCTTGCGCCATTCGCCCTTGCTCATCGCGGGGCTCGAATGGCGTGATGGCGCTGCCAATCCAGAGACACGATCAAATCTAATCATGATCATCATTAGAATGAACTGGGACTCCGTACTCCCTAGATTTCTGACTGATTGTGACGGGAGTGCATTGGAGGACCGAGAAACTCAAGACTGCAAGTACTACGACTGGAACATCAAATGCATGAACTGACAGGTCCATGTTAGGGCTGGCCCAACAACGTCGATCCCATATCCAAATCAATATTTCAACATAGATAGCCAGAAGGGCACCGAGCCACCAAGAACCGAGAGAGGACCGAAAAATATCCAGAAACACTATGCACGCCCTGACTGAAAATCATGAAGGCGAAGGGGACGGATGGAAGGCTTCTGTGGGCCGTTGAGGTGATCGTGGTCTGCGATGACGAAACCGGCAACTAAGAAACACCACAATGGTCGAAGATGAGGCAATGAGACAAGACCGAAAATAAGCTTGAAAACAGAACAAGTCTCCACGCATCCTTTTTTCCGATAAACTATCTTTCTGGCTTCCTACCTCTGTACTAAAGGCACGACCATCTCGTAGTCAATGCTATATATCCGTCAAGGCCATAACAAAAGGGCACAATAATTGGCATCTTATAAGCTATAAACGAGCTTGATCCAGACGAGCCATTCCTCAAGTCTGTCTAATTTTAAATGATGATATGATAATGTGACAAGAATTGAGAAAACGCCCATAGACTTCAGGACAAATAGGGTCCTCTTTCTCTTTCGCGTGGGGAATCATCCACCTCTCAAATGAACCTCTATAGTGGTAACCTCTATAGCAATTCAGGTTAGATCGTGCATCTCGCCCGAGAGAAAAGTGCGTAATAGATCCTATCAGGAAAATCAATACGTGAAAATTGACGACCAGGCGCGAGATTGAGGATTCCGGCTTATTCGCCCTGACATGTGTCCTTCGAGCACGTAATCGGAGTCCCAAACGACAACATTTCACGCCCGCGCGCATCTCAAACTTTCAATCGAGATTGCGCCAGACTCCCGGAAGGGTAGAGAGTTCCGAAGTTGTCATCGCACGGAATTGCCTGCTTCAGGGAAGCACCGGTCATGGTCTATCGATCTTTTGGATCTAGGTCCCGCGGCAGAACGAACCAGAAAGCCAACATTCCACAATACGCGACGTACATGTACAGAGTGTGCCGCGCGAGGGGAACTGGTGCAAAGCCTTGCTTTTTCCCTCTCTATTTTTCAGAGCTGCGTGAACCAGACTTTCGAGAAAATGGCTAGTATTGAGAAGGGCGCTTCGTTCAAGGATGAGATGAATGGCGACTCTTCCAATGACCATGTCGGCGGTCCAAATCCAGGTAAGAAAGATGATGGTAGATGAGAAGCGTCCTCCAAATGAGAAAAGGAGAAAGGAAGATTGACTGTATTAGTTAAATGGTATCGCTCCACATTCTACAATGCCCTGGTTCTCGGGATATGCAACTTCCTCGCGCCGGGAATCTGGGGCGCCATGAATTCGTTGGGTGGTGGCGGCGAAGAGAAGCCCTATCTTGTCAACGCCGCGAATGCCCTGACATTCTGCCTCATGGTGGTATCATGCTTTCTTTCAAGTGTGATCGTGCGACTGATCGGCATCAAATGGACCTTGATCGTGGGCACCATGGGATATGCTCCATACGCAGCGGGACTCTACACCAACAACCGGTTTGGCGACGAATGGCTTGTGATACTCGGCGCTGCCTTATGCGGTGCGTCCGCAGGTATTTTTTGGATGGCTGAAGCGGCCATCGCGTTGGCGTATCCAGAGCCATACAACCAAGGCCGCTTCTTGGGTTTCTGGCTGGGCTTCCGCGTGGGTGGCCAAATCTTGGGGGGCGCGATTAATTTGGGAATAAATGTGAATCGCTCGACCTCGGGCAGTGTGTCATACACCGTTTATCTCATCTTTATTGCCCTCCAAGCGCTTGGTCCCTTTGCAGGACTGCTTCTGAACGAACCATCGCAGGTCCAGAGAAAGGATGGATTTCCCGTCAAATTGCAAGTGTCCAACAGCATCGGTTATGAGCTGAAGACCACCGCGAAGCTTTTCGTCAGCCGCAAATTCCGATTAATCATTCCATTTATCTGCCAAGCAGTCTACACGGAAGCAGTCATGTTTTCCTACGAGAGTTTATGGTTCTCTGTGCGGGCCCGAGCGCTGGGTTCGTTCCTATCAGGGGTCGTTGCATTGATTGCAGGTAATTTACTCGGCATGTTTCTCGACAAAAAGTCGATCTCATTGAAGACACGAACTCGCTCTGCATTTTTCTTCGTTGTGTCATGGCAAGGTCTCTGTTGGACGTGGGCTTCTGTCGTGACTACAGAATTCCAGAAGACAAACCCTGTGTACGATTGGAGTGATCCTGAGTTTGGACGGGCTTTTACCCTGTTTCTTTTCTGGGTGGCTGGGTTCCAGCTTAACTACATGTATCTGTAAGAGTCCTAATTTGGTGGAAGAAGACTGACTGTGTTTGCTCTATCATCATCATACTGACTTTGACAAAGCTTTTTCTTGGTCGGCAACTTGGCTGATGACCATGAGGAAGTTATCCGGATCGCTGGTTTGCTGCGTGGTACCGAATCCGCTGCCCAGGCCGTCAGTGTATGTTTGTGGTTTCTTTTGCAACCCAATTACTTGATTCGCAATCTGACCGTCGTCTTGATATTCTAGTATGGTCTCAGCAGTGTTTCCGTTATGGCAGCAGTTGGGAGCATTTATTTGAATTTCGGACTATGGGCCATTGGCATTCCTTTCGCGTGGCTCATAGTTCGAGAAATTGGGCATATCTATGGCGATAAGAAGGTGAATAGAGAGACTAGTGCACTACGTGATTCATCTGATCACGAATGAGTGGGTATATTCGCGGCCGATGTATGGGGTATTTTGCAAAGAGTGAAACAGCCGTGATTTCATACCAGACCGGCGCTCTCGGCCGACAACATGTCAGATGGCAATGAATATCGTTCTCCCTTGATTTCCCGTTCTTCTGATTCATCCCTGTTCAACAATTAGGAGCTAAGTGAGTGGTTCTCCCTAATACCCAGTTACTCTTAGGAAGGTGCGCATGTGAGCTCTTTTGTATTTCTAGGGACATGGACGTAATCAATTTCTCTAAAAGTGGGGGGACCTAATTATACAATAGAGCCAAACGTGCGATTATCTCGATTGAAAACAAGCAAAGCGAGACGATGGCGCACAAACAGGCCAATGAATCCGCAAACAGTCTGAACCGCGACCATGTGCCACGCAAGTCGATCCTCTCGCATCGGTCCCATCCACACAAGCCAAAGATTGAGAATTGTCAGGTTCGTAGACTCAACAATCTGCCCTTCTTCATTCTTTGTGACACGCACAAGCCGTACTCGATGCAAGACGTTGAGCGCCATAGCAATCAATGGCGATGGGGGGATGGTCCATTCCGTAACAGAGGCGTCCAGAAGACCGGTCGAGGCATTGAATTTTGGCAGTCGATGACGGGGACAAGGTATTAAATGGAATAATTGAGGTGTCGAATAAAGGAAGTTGAAGATCTGCGGGACAAAAAGTAGCAAAAGGGTCTTACTGAAATGTCCCAAAATACCCACTACAGCAAACACCATGCCTGCGAAGTAGCAATAGGTATCACCAACAAAGACTCTCGAGGGATACCAGTTGTGGCACAAAAGCGCAGCTGAAACTCCAATAAAAGGTAGCAAAAAGTAGATGGAGAAAAGATGCGAGTCAGTTGCCGGGTGCGGGTATGGCGTGATGGGTGCCAGGTACATCGCATCGTTAAAAAGAAGAAGAATCGCAATGACGAGTGACTGAGCAACTTCAATGCCATTGATTCCTGCCAGCATATTGATAGCATTCGGGCAGAAGATTGCCACAGCTGCCATGTACATGTAGTACAGCCATCCGAGATCAATGAAATCACCCAAATACCGTTGCAGAGGGACCGGTACAACGACCTGTGTCACACCAAAGTCGACAAAGTACACAATAAGCATGGGAATTGCTGCAAATGCAGGAATCAAGACTTTGTGTCTCCAGCGAATATCGAGAAGATCGTCCCCGATCCCAAGAATGACGATAGATTGCAGAGACAGTAAACCCGACAAGTAAGATGCGAGCTAGCAGCCAAGATGTTAGAAAAAATACGATCGCTGAACACTGCAAAGATTGATTTAAACGCACCCTGCCATGAGGGAATCGATGCAGGTACCGACCAGTCTCGATATGCTGGTCTTCAATCACTACATCTCGATTTCCTCCGCCGGAAGTTGCAGCGACAATGTCCTTATAGAAGGCAAAGGGAATAAAGACGATCAGTGATAGTAGATACACAACGGCACAGACGGCGCCCATCGTTTCCGGTCTGAATTCAAATGTCAGCCATTACAGTCTATGGCTGGATGATAAAAAATGGGACTCACTCACATTTCAGGTTTTCTAGGTTTGGCCATATCCTTTCCCTTCAAGCCCGCCTTGATAAACACAGGTCCGAGCCATCGAATCATGCTGAATGCGACCGCAAATGCAATGGCGGCTAGAGCGATTGAGGCTATCAGCGGTGCGCCATCACCTTGGAACGTGTTGACCAGGATGCCGAGGCCAGCTCCCGCGAGGAGCAGCAGACGCCATGTCTCCGCTCGGGAGAGGGTGCTTGAAGTTTGCATAGCGCAAGAATTGGCCTCAGCACCAGAGTCCGTCTCTTGAACCTTTCGCGCAAACACGCAATGGGAAGAGAACCAATTTTCTCATAAAGAGAGCTGGCTGACGCAAGCTGGCATTTCCGGAAAACAGGGCGATAAGCTTATCGTATCTGCCGTCTCTTTATGACCGCCTGCAGGCGGTGAGAAGCCATCCCGTGATGATCGCGGCCAAGAAGGGAAACCCGTGTGCAGGGACGCTGAGACACGTCTGTTTCAAGTCACAGCATGCATACACTTGAATGAAGCGCATAATTGGCCCATAATTGGATTTTACCGGTCTTTTCCTTTTAGTTGCAATCTCTGAACTCAATGGGGGCAGTGGAGCGGCCTGAGATGGCCGGCGGGTTTGCCGACTTCGATGCTGGTCACCGGGATCTGGTATCTGTCACCAAGTTCAACTTTTACGGGACTCGGATTGTCACGGCCTCATCGGACCATAGATTGAAAGTGTGGGATCTGAAAGAGGGTCAATGGCATCTAACTGACACCTGGCGCGCCCACGACGCCGAGATTCGCGATGTAAGTGGCAACGACCACGCCTTCTCTTATGTGAACCAAACAACTACTGACTTTCGGTCCAAGGCAACATGGAACGGTCCCTTTGCTGGCCAACATCTTGGTAGTGTTGGAGAGGATATGAGACTTAAGATTTGGCAGGAAGATGTGACACAGCCGTCTAACTCAGGACGGCGGTTCAGATCTGTCTTTCGCATGACTGCTCCCCAACGGCATCCATTTGTTTCGCTCGATTTTCGAAACATTGACCTGGAATCATGGCTTGCTGTCATCACCCGAGACGGATATCTGATGGTCATGGAGCCCGTCAGCCCAGACAGCTTGGCAGATTGGCAGACACTAGACCAATTTAGAGTATGTCCAGCGCCCGAGCGGGGCGAGGAAACAAGCTTTAAAGTCCAGTTCCACCATGATCCAACTGATATCACACATACCTTGCTGCCAGATTCGGACGGAAAGACACTATCACTGGTAGTGGCAGCCATGGACTCCGTCAAGGTGTATCGCACTGGTGGCAATCGGCGCTTCTATCATGCCATTGAACTCAATGGGCATGGCGGTCTTGTGCGCGATATCTCATGGGCCAACGGATCCGTGAGAGGCTATGACCTCATCGCAAGTGGTGGCAAAGACGGACTTATTCGTATTTTCGAGGTCTACACAACAGTAGTAACCCAGGGCTCTCACACACCCAATAGCCGAAAAGCTGAACGGCGTCAGCAACAACCTTCCTCGCTCCGGACCACATCCCAATCTGGTATTGGAAATGCCCTCGCCAACCGTACACCTGCCTCTGTCTCCAACCGTCAAGCGAATGAGGATTCCCAATTTCGCCATTCATTCAAGCAAGTGGCGTGTATTGATAGCAAACATCTAGATGTGTGGCAGGTGGAGTTCTCTTTCGCTGGTAAGTGAATTGGACATTGCTAGGTTCGGCACTTTCTGACTCATATTATCTCTTAGGTGATTCCCTTATTTCATCTGGAGATGACGGTGCTGTTCGTTTTTGGAAAAAGTCGTTATCTGGAGAGTGGCTCGAGTTTGCGGAGACTGACATGGCGTCCCAATAAAATCCCAATAATGTAATACTCTCAAGAACTCAGATCTGCACTCCACACAATTACGGTCATTTATCAGAGAATGTTCAGCTGCAACTCGTCAATTGTGTGTTGCAAATGGTTGCGCTTCGTGGTGTCGATTTTGTGTTCGTCGGTTACAGGTAGTGGTTTGATATTTTATGTCTTTTATGCCTTGCTTCAAGGCGAATGATACCCTAATGCATCCAGATCTTTCTAAACCTACTTTTTGCTTTATATCATTCTCATCCACATTCAAATCAATGCTATGGGCGATTTAAACTACAAAGGATCACCTGTTGATCGGGGAACGGCTACCATCACTGTAGGCGCGAGTTGGGCAGGCGCGACTTTGCATCGAGAAGCGCACGCGTTGCACCAGCATGATAGCGCCAATGGATGATATCTGCAAATGCCCCTTCACAACTCCCGGTCTTCATTCGTTGAGACCGTCTATTTCTATTTATATATCAACCGACATGGCGTTAGGCCCGACTCTCGGAACTGGTCTGTTTATCGGCGCCGGCCAGGCGCTGGCCATCGGTGGCCCGGCCTCACTGCTCGTATCCTATATATTTTTATCGCTTCTGACCTACTTTATGGCGACGACGGTAGCAGAAGTCGCCTCCCACTCTCCAACTCGACATGGTACACTAGTTGCAAATGGGTTTCGGTACATGACCACCAGCCTAGGGTTCGCCGCCGCCCTTCTCCGTTGGTATACTATGGCAATGTTTGTACCTTACGAGATCACCACGGCAGTGGTCAGCCTAGGGCTATGGAATAAAGGTTCAAGGATTGCCTCACGAATGCTGATCATCATGAGTATCATCATCGGGTTCAACTTTCTCCCGGAGAGACACTTTCGAAGCTCCGAACGACTCTTCACCCGGATCAAGATCGGCACTTTGATCTTTCTTCTGGTGCTAACGCTTTCAATTGGTCTTGGCGGTGCCACTGGACACGATGTTTGGGGTTTTCAGTACTGGAGAAAGCCAGGAGCCATGCATGAATACTTAAGTCATGGTGCAATGGGAAAGTTCTGGGGCTTGTTTCAATGTCTTCTCCACAGCTCTATTGCATTTACTTTCACCCCGGAATTGATTGTTCACCGGGCGGAAACTCTGGAATCAATTCATGGTATAGAGATCGGCGAAGAATTGGATCCAGTCGTTCAATCGAGCCTCCCACGCAAAGTCGCGGTTGATGTTGCCACTACGGTAATTCCCTATGTCTTCAGTGCCTTGGCCGTGGGCGTGATGGCTCCATATGACAACCCCCTGCTCACCAACAATGGGGCGGGTGCGGGTATGTCACCCTTCGTGGTTGGAATAAATACTGCACGCATTCGCATTCTTCCCATGACCGTCACGCTTGCCATTCTGCTTTCCTCAGTGGCCTCGGGTCGGTCATTTCTCTATCTTTCCTCACGGACGCTGTGCGCGATGGCTGAGCTTGGCCATGCCCATCAAATATTCAAGGTCCGCAACCGATGGGGTATTCCATATGTTGCTGTGATGAGTTCTGCGTTGTTTGCCCTGCTTGCCTTCATATCAATCGCGGCCTCCAGCCCCGTCACCACAACCTACTTCCTTGTCTTCGTCAATAGCTCAGGATATCTGTCCTGGCTAGTCTCATGCGCGATCTACCGCCATTTCCGCCGGCGGTTGCATCTGCGTGGGACCACCAGCTCCTATCGCTTTGTGGCTCAACCATTTGGGACATATTTCGGGGCCTTTGTAAGTGCCGTCCTACTGCTGTCGAATGGGCTGGTAGGAGCTATACCAGGGCCTCGCCCTGGATCAAGAACATCCCGGCTCCTTGCAGCATATTTCAGCATCCCATTGTTTGCGCTTCTCTACTTTGTGCATCGCTTCCGAGATATGATTCCATATCGGTCGCCAATTTGTGAACCACAAGAGTTCTGTAACAAGGCCGCCTCCGAGGGGATTCAACCTCAGCAAAGGTCGCCAACTGGAAGTCCTGGGTCTCCCGACACACTTGAGATGGACCAGGTCTGGTCAATGGCTATGGAGGCCTGAGTCTGAGAGTCTGAGTCCTCTTCCACGATGTATGCAAAAATATCACACTAAGGTGCAGCTGAGTGGGAGTTTCCGTGAAAGAGACAAGGCTTGGTGGTAGTTGGTAGCGATTAGCACGTACATTGAATTTCTGCATGCGTTGCACATATATCATTCTGTTTTATTTTTAGTAATTCAAAATCATGCCCGTTGGACTGGTAGTCCGCGCTACTCAATATACGACGTCCCTCACGCTCAGGCACCCAGTCATGTTTGTCATCGCCCACTAAGTCACGGGCTTGTTACCACTCCCAATCTTCCCCTCCACTTCTGATTTGATTTTCTCCCGGTAAACCCATCGCGATATTCAAACCTTCGATAGTACAACTCTGCCTGTTTAGGCTGTCTTTCACGCATGGCCTTTCTGTTAGCCAGTTTCATTATGGTACTCTAGTGGCTCGACCTGCGACATGTAGGGCCGGGGCTAACCCTGATTCCCGTGTCAACGCAGCCACATGCATTAGCAAAAAAGAGACGACCACAATGTTTCGGATCAGATCTATTCTCTCTTCAATTATCAGCCAGATTCCTCTGCATGATTTCCACCGACCTTTATATGATCATCGAGGTCTCAGTCTCTTACAGTCCCACCAGAGTGGTTGTGCCTCTCCATATGCGGGCGGGCCCCAATGCGGTGTGGACCATACCAGCCGGTTTCAATACGTTTACGCCTAAATGATCGACTAACGGTTGGTTTTGATTAGCCCTGTTCCTTGCGCACTTCCGGCCACTCTATAGTGGCGAAAAAAGACCGCTGAATCATTCGGGCTGGAAGAATAATATCGGAAGCCTTTTGAGCATCGGCATCTCCCCCTTTTTACCAGCGCCCATCGCGAGCAACCCTCTTGATTATCCTTTGGGCACATCCCAGCGCTTTCCCCGTTGCCCGATCAACATGGGGGTTTTTTTCTTCCCTGCAGTCGCTGTCTGCTGTGACGTTCTGGCGTCCGCTATGTGGTACGGAGTCGACTCCCTCATGGAGTTGCCTCCTACCCACAAACCTGGGCCAGATGACTCTCTTCCCCTCTCTCGCCATCTGCGCCACGCTCCTTGCCCCATCTAATCCTCCCGTCTCCCGGTCGATCTCTTTCTTCCCATGGACGCAAACTCCCCATTTACCCACGTTTCGCTTTGCTTTGGGCAGTATATTCTTTACTGTCAGCAACGTGGAATGTCATTTGGGGCAGTCGTATGGCTGCTAGATGCATATATTTTGGAGCAATTCTTGTGTTCCCCTGTCCTAAGATTCGACGCTTGGCCACACTCGTCCTGACTATTTTCTCTCCCTTTCTTCCGCTTTCCCTTGCTTGGTTCCTGTTGTTTCTTTGACACACTATTCTTCTAGAATGGGTTTCTCCCTTTCATCCTTCGGCCACCGATGCTTCCCTGTCCAGCGGCCCATCCTGCTTGACATCCCCTGTGTGGTCCTCTTGAAGCATCCTCTTCTGTTCATTGCGATGCTGAATGAGCTGCTTCACCTGGGCGTCCAGCCTTATCAAATGGGTGCCCTCCCGCTATAGGCGCCCAGCCTGCATGGATCCTTAGCAGAGGGACGAACCTGCCCTGGACTCAAGTTATGGGCTTGTCCGCCCGACCGATCTGGTTTTCTTCATTGCTGAACTACTAATGAATTACCTTCTAGATGCTAACAACCCTACTGACTAGATACCCTGGAAGCTCCTGAGCAGCCCATTCCCCTGCTCCGCCAGGCTATCCTTCGAGCATTCCCCGTGACCAAGGGCCCCCACCGGAATAGGTCTTCCCGACGCTATTCCACATGTGAACTAGCGTATCTTCATTTTCTGCCGTGCACAAGATGAGACCGCTTTTCACGCTTGCTAATATGATTGGATATTTTCGCATACCGAAAACACAACAACCGGGCGCGTCTTCCCTTCCCATTGGTTTTCCGTTCCCTTCGGACCCCGTTTTGCTCCCTGTCTCCTCCATTGCACCCCCTCGCACGCCCTGCCTCTGCTTTTGCACCGCTTTCCCTAGTCGGTTGGACTGCTCCCGCCGTGGTCCGTGATTCCTCTGACTAATCCCCCCTCTTCTGCTGTTCTGGCAGGTTTTCCTGGCTAGTCGGTTCCGGGTCGAGTCTCCCGTCCCCAGCTGCAGGCGGGTTTTTCGCTTTCGCTGCGGGCGCGACTCCTCCAAACCACGCTAGTCCTCTTTCGCTTGCTGCTCAGGCTTTCGCTGCCTTAGGCCTCCGTAGCCTCCTCCTTCAACCAGGCTCGAATCACCCTCTTTTCTTCTCCTTTTCTTGCTGCGCGTTGCGACTCCTCCCTCGGATCCTCCCCATTTCATTTGTTTTCGTCTCTTCTATCCTAATCTCGACCGTGACTGCCTTTCTCTTCCTTATCTCCTCTTTTACGCGACCCCGTCGCCTTCCCGTCACCCTCCTTTTCCTCCTCGACGGGTCCCTCCTTTAAAACGACTCCCGCCAGTCCATCTCCCAGACAAATCGCAACCTCCAGACCTCCTGATCTTGAATCGCCTCGAATTTTATCTACCGTCGGCACTTTCCTCGCACCGAACGGTTCATTCCTCGTCGCCCTACCCTTCCGTACCCTGAACAGGCGCATCCGGATCGGAATTTTCCACCCTCTTCTACGCCCATTAGCCTTGCCGTGGCGTCGTCCAAATCGTCTCTTCCATCCTAGGAACGACTTTGCTAGGCTGTGATTATCACTTTGCTGGATTTGATCGAGTTGTGAGCACTACAACGCTGACCGTTCGTCGTTCTGTCTCCTATCGACCCGTGCGTATCTCGCATTGAAAGCTGGGAACTTTGCCATCAAATTCCTCCCTGCAACTGGCCGTGGATATGCCCGTTGCACAGTGACGGTTCGGCTACGCCATTCTCTGCACCCAGACCCTATTTTGTTGCGACCTGAGAGGGGGTAATCTGTCAGACTATGACAGATACCTCCTCCCTCGCCATCACGCACGCCACCACGGATTCGTTCCCGGCCCCCGCCCCTCTAGGCTCTCCTATCGCTAACGGTGCGATATCTGACTCAGTCGCGCCCGACGAGGAAGAACCGTACACCATCAAATGCATCTGCTCGTTCGATGAAGATGATGGAAGCACGGTATTCTGCGAAGGGTGTGAGACGTGGCAACACATCATCTGCTATTACCCAGACAAACGGGTCCCGGATGTGCACAACTGCGTCGACTGCGAACCCCGGCTGTTAGACAACCGTCGTGCCGCTGAACGTCAGCGACAACGACGGCTACGAGAGCAAAGTGAGGACGGTGACCGGAAAAAACGATCCAGTGCTAAATCCCAAAGGAAAAAGACCCGGGATGGGGATGTTAATGGATTTGGACACCAGCGAAGCGAGTCGGGGCCTCGTGATCAACCCCCAGCCAAGAAGAGCAAAATCTCCCACCGTTCCTCTACGTCTGTCAGCGCTCTGACTGGTGCTCCGAACATGCCTATTCCATCTGATTCTCGCAAGCGACGTTCCTCAACCTCCATGGCTCCCAGTCCGACAAAGCCCTCTGGCCCTTCCATTCCCTTGTTTTCGAATGAATTCCTCCACCTTTATGACCGTGATGATGAACATGTTGAAATGGACAGCAATCTTTTCATCAATGTGAACCTTGTGGGAGACATTGCTTCGTGGGTTAAGGACCCAGAGGCCTTGGCACGAGTTACGAATGGCCGTCGTGCTGAAGACACCTTCAACCGGTCTGATGCAGCCCTCGATCGATCCCGCTGGCCCACCTTGACCACGGATACCCTTACTGATCCTAATCTTGAGATTGGTGGAAAGACTCCGTCTTGGAAAATAGTCAGGACAAAAGATGCCGTTCAGAAGGATCAAATTGTCGGCGAGATCACCGGCAAAGTTGGCATTTTCGATGACTATTGTCTGGATCTCAACAACCGTTGGGCGGAATTGCGTCACCCAGAACCTTTTGTTTTCTTTAGTTCCCACCTTCCTCTTTACATTGACAGCCGCCACGAAGGAAGCGTCCTTCGTTACACCCGTCGGTCATGCCGTCCCAACGTGACCATGAAGATCTTCATCACCAACGATGTCGAGTATCATTTCTGCTTTGTGGCGAAGGAAGACATCCCAGCCAATTCCGAAATCACAATTATGTGGTATCTTGACGCCCAATTGTCAGAATCATCTAATGGACTGGTCAAGCAAGAGTCTGGTGACAGTGCAACAGAGGCCGCCGCTATCTGTATTAGCAATACCCTCGCTAATTTCGGCGGCTGCGCCTGTGAATTGCCACAGAATTGCCTGCTTGCTAACCTAGACCGCCGACGACCTCCCAAGTCGCTGGACACGAATACTAAGCAACCCAATGGTAAACGCAAGAAGGGCAAATCCAAGTCAGTGGCATCGCCACTGGATACCAGTCGCGCGTCTACTAGTCGTGCTGGAAGTGAGATTGCGAAACACGCGGAAGATGACGATGTAGCCGCCGAGACTCGCTCAACATCTGGTTCGGCGCGTGGTCAACCTCGTAGCCGCGACATGAGCCCCGCAGTCATCTCGGGACCTGAATTGTCTACCCGCGAAAAACGCAAGATTGCAGACGCTGAGAAACAATTCCAGCAACTGGAGCATGATCAGCGAACCACGACTCATCGGAAAAAGAAACGAGTCAGTGGCCCCTCAACCCAATCTCCCTCCGCTATCACAAACTTCACCCAAAGTGGTTATTTCGGCTCCCAACGTCCACCCGCCAAGTCCCTCCAGATTGACACTGCTGGTCACTCTCGTTCACCCACCGCTGCTCCTTCGCCTGCCTCTGTTCCTACAACCTCCAACCGGGGCGGTGCCAACATGTCACCCCCCACAGACATCGGGTTCAAACACTCCTTCCGCACACCCTTATCCTCATCGTCCCCGCTACAGGGATTTTTCTGTTCAAGTGAATTTGGACGAAGAAGAGCGTCAGCGGAGCTTGGCGAACTCACCACCATTCACTCGTATCCGGCGACTGGGTGACTTGGCAAGGGAGAAGTGGCTTGAAGCTCGTGCTCGGGAGCGTGCTCGACTGGCGTTATCTTCAGCCGGTTCGGACAGTGTGGCTCCTGCAGAGGTATCCTCGCCTGTTGTGCCTCAGTCACCCACCACCATCACCGAGAAGCCTGATCTTCCTATGTCTGATGCAGACATGCAGACTGTGTTTTCCGTATCTGGCGAAGTTGAGATGCAAGATGTGCCAGGATCCATTCAATCTGATGCAATCCAAACTGATTCACGCATGCCTGTGACCCCGCCACCATGGCCCTCTACAGTTTCACACCACCTCCGGATTCCAGGGACTCCTTCTCGTGCTGGTCTTCGCGTTTCCATGCCACCTCCTGTCATTCCCAACATTCCGGCCGCAATCAGTCCTGGTTCTGCATCGACCACAAGTTTCACCTCGCCCACCTCCCTAGACGCGTCCTCTCCCAACGCGTTTGTCCCTCCAGCTGGGGGAAGCGCTCCCACACCAACCCCAGTTAAGAAGAAGCTGAGCCTCGGTGATTATCTGATCAGACGAGGCACCATGGCAACTCCGATCTCGGAGAAGACCCACGCGCAGGCCGTCGCCATACCGTCTGCGCAAACACCACCATCGACCCCGGGTTCTGGGCCGGCGCCTAGTGCAGACGGCGCTCAGACTCCCACAAAGTCATCTCCCGATGGCAGCAAGGTTGAGTCGCTGGGCTCTCCTGACGTCACGATGAAGGACGCCGCGGAGTCGACCAAGTCACACATTCCCTCCATCTCCTCGTGATATGACATACTCTCTACTCTCTTCTCTCTACTTTCTGTGGAGAGGTGGGGGGATGTGTGACTTGGGGGTGAGTTAACAACTCACCAAAAACATTTGTATTGAGTGGCGTGTTTGTGGTACTGGGGCTGCCTGGCAACGGCAGCCAAGGCGTTCGGTTTTCACGGGGTTTGCGTGTTTTCTGCAATGGGTTTCCTTTCACTCGTCTCTTTCCTTTCTATTGTGTTTTCCCCATTCCGAACGGCGTACATGGCGCGACCAGGGACCGGGCCTGGTTCAGGGTGGTCGGGCTTACGAAAATACCAGGATGCGTTCGGGCTGGGTTATGGTTCTTTTCGAAAGCGACTTTATTCTTATGGATTGCTGGCTGCTTCCGGGTACGAAGTTTGCCTAGAGAATCTTTATGATGTGAGATAATCTACTGAAATTTCTCTTCTCCTTCTCTTTTCTTTAGACGGCAGCCCGTCTGACGGTACTAGATAGCTTGTATGAACAATACTTTGATACCCATTATTCGTTGATATTTCTGTTTGAGATATAGGAGAGTATCTGGTTTTGATACCATAGGTAATGGTAATGTCTTGGGGTCATTTGGCCTAATATTTGACTAGATTGCACTGACATCTGCGCTCTCTAGTGGATCATTCAAAGCTCACAATCCCCACCATTTTAGGAAGGTTGCGTTATAGATCTCTCTTGGTTTAAATTTAATGGGAGCGGTGAGTCGCATTCAGAAATGTCTTAGAAATCAACCGATTTAGTCTCTGGTCTAATAATGATCGAGTCTCTAGAGCCACCTCGTGGCTCTGATATTCTCATACACACTGGCACTTAATGGAACATATAAATGAGGTTATACTTTTTTTTCTTCCTTGGGAGCATCACCTTCTCGGGCCATGCTATTGGAAGACCTCCTAAAGACAACATAAAAGACGATTCAGGATTCAGTCGAGTTCTCTTATACAGGTAATTCGAAATTACAAGGAGAAAATGTAGTTTCGATGGCTCAAATTAAGGACTTTTATGAGCAATTTGCTTGGGGTGCCTTTTTCCCTCTAGGGGACTCTATGTTCAAAGAGTGTCAGTGGAGGAATGGAGTCCAAATCCAACTTCCTTTCAGTCGATATCCGGATCAACTGTGTCATTTGCTAAATTGCTTGGGCATTTCTCATATCATATCTAGCTGAAGTTCTACCGTGGTCTAGAGCTCCTTAGTACGAACATAGCTCCCCAGACGAGCTAATTGGCGCTCAGGGTGTTTCTCTTAGGGTTTATAGAAGAGTGGAATGTTTGAGAATCGGCAAAGTTATGGAAGATTAGATCAGCGCCGAACGGGACCGTCCACTCAACAGATACGGACTCCAGGTGTGATAGGTTAAGATTCGCTCTAGCCCAACGCCGTCTTGCCCACGTCATTGGCCGGGCCCTGTTCACTCCCGGGTAACTGAATGGCCCCGATGAGTCAAGGATCAACTCAAGAGGGGCAAGTACTCGCATGACGTCTCGTCACATTCCCGTCAGAATTTTCATTCATCACTTCGCACCTCCAGATAGGAAGAAGAATTGATCATGAGCTCTTCCGATCATGACGCACTCGCCATGGGCGAGATATCGTCCCGGCCCTCCACGTACGAATCTACGGAGATCGAGCAACCTACATTGGCACCCGCAGATGGCGGTAAAGCCGCGTGGTTACTGCTCGCCTCCTGCTGTATCATTCAGCTACCCGTCTGGGGTGTGCCTCAAAGCACCAACATAGCGGATCTGAACAATCACTAACTCATCCTTGCCAGGATTCTCAACGGTGTTCGGTGTTTTCCAAGAATACTATACCACCCATAATGTTTTAAAGGGAAACAAAAGTGACCTTGCTACGGTGGGAACGACATCTACAGTATGCTAAGTAGTCGCTGACTGAAGAGATGCCCATCACTGGAATCTAAACCTGGCCTTAGGGAATCCTATATCTTCTTTCGCCAGTCACGTTTACCCTGTTGACGCGTTATCCACGCCTTCAAATCTATTGTGCTCCAACAGGACTGGTAATTACAGTGCTGGGCTCACTGCTCTCTTCCTTCTCGCAGCAGGTTTGGCATCTGATTGCCACCCAGGGCGTGATATGTGCTATCGGCAATGGGCTAATCTTCAGCCCATCCTCCCTGTATATGGATCAATGGTTCGTACGTAAGAAGGGACTTGCATTGGGGATTATGTGGGCTGCAAAGAGCATCACAGGCGTTGCTTTGCCTTTTGTATCGAGCGCTTGTTTGAATCGTTTCGGCTCGAGTACAACGTTGAGGGCGTGGACAGTGACAACGGTATGTTTTCACAGCCATGAAAGCTGTTTCCCACGTCATCCCCATGTCTCTGGTACCTTGAATTATTATCAAAACATCGTATTGATGAGAATACTAATGAGCCGGGACAGCTGTTGACCACACTCTTATCTTTGCCTTTCATGAAGCCACGAATCCCAGTATCCTCCTCTTCCGCGCCTCGCCGTCTTGACCTGACCTTCCTTCGTATGTCCTCTTTCTGGATGCTCCAGGCTGGTAACATCATCCAAAGCTTCGGGTATTTCCTACCTTCAACCTATCTGCCGTCCTATTCGACTACGACGGTTGGTCTGCCCGAGACAATGGGCACGATGCTTGTGTCCCTCTTCAATGCTACATCTATATTTGGTGGGATTGTTCTAGGAATGCTATGCGACAGATTCAATGTCTCAAATGTGCTATTTCTCTCTTCGATGGGCTCTGCTCTTTCGGTCTTTCTCCTTTGGGGAATGGCATCTTCAGAGTCAGAGTCGCCCCAGGGGGCACTTGCGCTGCTTACTCTTTTCTCGCTCTTCTATGGCTTCTTCGCCGGGGGTTTTAGCTCAACCTGGTCTGGTGTCATTACGCAAATTAAACGCGATTCGATGTCGCCCTCTCTAGAAACTGGATTGGTCTTTGGTCTACTTGCCGGAGGACGAGGAATTGGGAATGTCATTAGCGGCCCGCTCAGCTCAATTTTGATCCAACAAGGGTCATTGAGCGAAAGTACTGGGTTCGGCACACAATATGGCACTCTTATTCTATTCACTGGGCTTACGGCTTTCTTTGGGGCTTGGAGCTGGCTGTGGCGGTACATCGGCCCGGGAGTACGATGTATTCGCTGAGGCAAAAGCAAGGCTTGATTTCCTGGATTGAGATATCCAGATTTATTTTTTTTTTTTTTTTGGAAATATCAAGAAATGACAATTAGATTGTTATTTTATAAATGACTATTGATGGACATTGAACCTGTGTTGGATTGCGGCCAAATATCACCACAAAGTAGAGATGATTTACTTGTAGTAAGGTAAAGTCACGTGTTTCGCCAGCTTCGACAGCAACCGATCCACCGAAACACTTGCCAGACATCCCAAGTCGCAACCACTGGTCCACCCCCAACGCCATTGCAGCTTCACCCAGGACCGCGGTGCTCCTCGATTTCAACCATGGCTGCGACCGACCCAGCACTACAAGATCCTCTCTTGTCTCTCCGGCGGGCCATTGCTGCCGGCAATCTCCCCACACCGACGACCTCCGACGAGCTGTCCGATCAACATGCGACAGAGAACCTGGCGGAGGCGACACACCTATATTTCTCCCAGCCAATTCCACAAACGCTCGCCCTTAACACACCGACGCGATTTATCTCCGCATCGACTAATTCGGCCGTGGACCTTCGCAGCATCTTCTTCGCGTGGCAGAAAAAGGATGTCGCGATTCCTGAGTACATCGCCTCTGCGCAGGAGCTGAACGAGGCTCTCAAAACAAAGGAGCCTCAAGAAACCGGGAAGGAAGAGATCGTTCAGAATCTTGTGTTTGTTGAGCGTCTCGATCTCATTACTTGGCTGGAGGGTGCTGCCGATGATATCGAATACATCAAACCTCTCGAAGGCGCTGCGGCGGCTGCCGAGGCCGCGGCCGTGGCTGCTGGTCAGGCTCAAGCAGACGCTTCGGCTGGGATTGCATCAGGTGCGACTGGCGGCATCACCGCAGTGCCTAGTGGCCCGACCGGTGCAGTGTCTGGCCAAGCCGGCCGTCCGCAGAAGCAGATTGATCCTCGGCTGCAGGAGATTTACAATGGCGAGCGAAAGACAGGGGACCGGAATACAGTGCTACGGGGAATCAAGCCCACGGTAAGTTTATTGGATCTGACGAATACAAGATGTTGGTCAAGTTAGCTAATCACGAATCAACTTGATAGGATTTCTCTCACGTCCGCAAGAGCGCCGCATTGTTCTTAGACCGCAGCCGTGATCGTACGGGTCAATCAGGCGCCAAAACAGGAAATAAACCTTCCTCAATGGTGCCCGCTCCTTCTGCTGGGTTATCAATGACCTCCTCCCGCAAGCCCAGCTCACGCCCCGATCCTATCATCCTCCTCTCCCCCTCCGCCTCCTCTCTCATTCGCATGTCCAATATCAAGTCTTTCCTGCAAGATGGCCTCTTCGTACCCCCTGACCACCCAGAGTACAGCACATCCACGGATGCCAACTTCATGGAATTGCGGCGCCCGTTACGCCTCAAAAATGACCCCTCCAACCCGAACTCCAGCAGCATCGGGTCATCCACGGGTGGCCGAGGCCTGAAGCCCACCAAGTTCATTCTAGTTGACGGCACCTCCAACTTCAAGCCGGAGTATTGGTCACGGCTGGTCGCTGTCTTCACCACTGGCCAAACCTGGCAATTCAAGTCATATAAGTGGTCCTCACCCCCGGAGCTGTTCAAGCACGCAACCGGCATTTACGTCGGCTGGCGCGGCGAGGAAGTCCCGGGGCAAGTGAAGGGTTGGGGCCGTGGCGTGAACAGCTTTGCTGTCGAGCGATGGGACGAAAAAAGCGGCAAGAACGGACCTAACCGCTGGCGCGACCGGGAGGTGGTCGAGGGCATCTGGACTGCCATTGAAGAAGGCATGAAGCTGCGCGGATGGGGGTCGAAATAAAAGCTGTCCACTCGGATATACCTCTTACCTCCAGCAAGGGGTGAACAGAAAGACCTATCTTTTTATTCATTTCACCGAGTCCTTCCCCTGTCGATCTATGGGCTGCGACTCCCTTCCCTGATTCTTCTTTACTCAATCTCATTCTGAAAATCGATTTGATGGCATATGATACTGGGGCGCGTGGGTTATAGGCGTTCTGCGTGGCTTCCAAATCTACATTATCTACCTTACTTTACCCTTTATACTGTACTATCCCTTTTTTTTCTTCTGTCTAGCTTATCTTGCTGCCTCCCAAATGAGGCTATCTAGTCACCTCTTCTCCCTTCGCATTATGAATTAGAGCGCAAATGGACAACTTACCATGACCTTGTAAATCGATTGTATACCCCAACGTATCTCCATCAAGTAGACCTTAGCCGTTGGGCTTTGATAAAGAAAAAAAAAACAGGACGGATCAAGTACTTCCATGATGTCTATTCTAACTAGCCAGCAATCCCAAATCCCAAAGGGCCTGTCACTCTCATGCTTCCACCGTGACCTACCTACCGGATTCCCTATGCCACGCCTTGGCTTTCCCTTTCCGTTTTAGTGCTTAGATCTGAGCCCGTCTCTGAACGCTCTGAGTTGATCAGATAGCATTACATAGGCACTATGATCCGCTCACTGAGCAAAGCTCATCCACTCACTGATACTCAGCTGAGCGCTCTTACTGAGCACGAAGCCTGACCAGCACCTTAATAAAACGCAACACGCCAGCCTTATCCACGACAATCCCGATTTACTGCCTATTTCTTCCTATATTTACTACTTTCTTACTAGTCTATAATATTATGCAACTTCCACCTACCGTCTAGACTATATATAATAGCAAACATAAAGAGGGCAATCTTCTACGATTGTCCCCGAGGTGGAACCTAGGTCTAGCTTCGTAGGGCCTCCGAACCTCTACAAAAAGGTCCTTCCGGACGCGATCGCTACTAGCGGGATACGATAGGAAGCCCACGCTCTACTAGAGGAATTCCGATTAAATAACTCGCTATCGGAGCCCCTAGACTAGACTATCTACTCTATATATATACGAAAAGAAATTATCCTTCTACTACCGAGACTAGGGTAAAAGTATAGCCTCGCTAGTCCTTACTAGAAGTAGGACGCACTACTACCCGAGAATCTAATTATACCCGAACGAATTCCTCATATGCCATGCTTATATAGTCATAGCTCTCTATACGACTTAGATTAGAAGGGGTTTCATGATTTAAAGGTAATTACTCGTCTATATTAGATTCCACTAATAACTAACGAAAACGACTTACTATTAGCGATAGTTAAAACAAATAAGTAGTTATATGGAGGAGTCAGATTCCTATTATCTTCTCGAAGAGAACAATATTATTAATAATTGAGATTTGTATTATCATTTGTTCTTTTTAATTTCCACATTGAATCAGTATTTAAGGAATTAACTGTCATCTGACTACGTAGTAGAGCTGTTCATAGATACTGTCATTATATAAAATTTCTCCACAGAGCAATGCCTAGGCATACATAGACAAACTTAAGTAGAGTCTGTTACAGTCGATTGCTTTGATCGATGTTCGCCAGTATAAACGAATTACTCGTCTCTCTTCAAGTATATTGACTATGAAACTTCATATATAGGCCGGTCAATTTTGGTCCAAGTACACTTTATCGATCTATTTCTTAATAAAAACGCAGTGATAGTGCCTTAGCTCGTTTCGGGAACCTGGCTGCGGAGATATAAGTTAATGAAAAATTCGCGAGTATCTCTGCACAGTCATAAAATGAATAAGCGAAGCCATATTCCCCGCAAAATTCAGGAAATTCCGGAACTATAAAACAAGTAACTCTCCGTCGCAAACCAATCTGCTAATAATTATTGGTACTTTTGTATCTATAGACCAATTCAAACACAGACGGTGAAATGATAGCGAATAGACTGCATGTAAAGTATCTGCTTTGCTTCATACTACGTAATTTGCCGAGTAGCAGCCCTAGAGGATCTGAGTCGCTCTATATGATTACAGTACTTCCATTGATGAAGGAACCTTGCGAACAGCTACTCAGCAGCACACAAATTTTGATAGTCTCCTCAACGAAGTGACCGATTGTGCAACTATGCGTGGAAGTAGAAACGATCGTTAGAGAAGATCCCTATGGTGGTCAATATAGATTGGCCTCAGACCTGAATTCATCCAAAATGGCCCTCCATATTTGTCAAAATTGGCCACTGGGCCTCACCTACTTGCGTAGAAGAATTAATTATAATGAAAGAACTGTATTCATTGTAATTGGGGACAATTAATTGATCCTCTGACTTGCCCTATACGTTATACGTATATATGACCGACTGAACATACACATATTACAAATGAAACTAATTAGCACATAGGCGATGTAATATCTGAATGGGGAGTTCAAAGGTCCAGTGACGCGGTCAGAACATCTATCTACACTCCAAAGATGGTGTGTATTTAAGAATAATAACTGAAACATTCCCGAACCATGCGAATTACCTTGGGATCATAGTATTTCGATCCAAGTTTCCGCCCATCGGTCGGGTTGCTGGGACCGGGTATCCATGATGCTGAGTGGAAATGTTAATCTCTCCCATCCTAACCTCCGGAGATACCTCTCTGTCCTCAAACATTTTGCCACGATCCAAAATTCCATTCTGCTCTTGGGCTTGCTCTAGCTTTGCCCTTAATTCCGAGATCTCGGCGTCTGCCTCATTTAGCTGTCTTTCTTTCTGTTGATTTTTTAGGTTTGCCCCTGCCAAAATTTGTCGCAATTTAGAAACATCTTTCTGCAACATCAATGACTCTAGCTTCGCCTCCCTCGTTTCTTCTTTAGCAATTGCAAAATCTTTTTGTAGGTTCACAATTTGTTCATCGCGTTTCTTTATCTTATCGTTCGCCTCATGGAGATTAACCTTCACTCCCACGGCATACCCGGCTAATTGCCTCTTTGTACTGAACGTGGCTAGGACCCTCGCAATAAAGCTGTGTTGACTTGCGTTTGCCTTTGTTGTAGGTCCAATACAGCGGCAGAACCTTGCACAAGGGTTCAACTTAGGCAGTTTTGACTTATCAATCAATGTGAGCCCCCCTTCATTATTTGAGGCTGGGCCATTTGTGTTTTCAACACCTTTTTGAATCGACTCAGATTGAGAAGATTTCACTTGATCTAATCCATCTATTTTGATCTTTGTGGTGTCCATCGCCTTTTCAATATCAAGATTCTTTGACCGTTTACCTGATAAAGGATTTTTCGGGTTACCTGATAAAGAATCTTTCATGGTCCCTGTAGGATCGATCCGGTTTACAGGATCATTGGCACAATACAGGTAGATATTCAATCCGTCCAAAATGCCAATGGGATCAGGGGAGAGCCATCGGACTAGCCACGTCGCATAGTATCGGCGATGGCAATAGTACAGCCCTGTCTCGCGATCTCGTTCGTATGCAGCATAGCGATACTTGCGCGGTGCACTGACCTCCTGGGCCTGGGCCGCACATACGGTCGTGCCAAAGGGGGTATACTCTTCGTACGAGATTACCCTTCCTGCATCATCCAGCTCAAGATTTTCCCCAGTTTGGTACCGTAGCAGTTTAGATGTAGACGTAGATATCCCGATGAGTTTCTGCTCGCGCACCAGCTTCGCGGCACCACAGTCAATCGTAGTGGATATTGTCTTCTTTATGACTCGCATCCCATCGCCTGCAAACTTATGATAGACCTCCACCCCAGCTAAATAGAGCGTTTCCTTCAGCTTTGGGGGCCGGGGGTCTGCTTTCGAAGATATGCCGCGCTCTGTCACCTTGCGCACACGCATGCCTTCCAGGTTGTAAACATACCAGGTCCGCTCTGGCTGCCCGTCCTCGGACTTAGTAATCTGCTGCGCAGTGCTTCGCAGCTGATCCTTGTAGTCCCAAGTCAGGTTAGAATAGCCGGCCATAGTGGTGATACAGCCACGGCGTCCTGCTCGAGACGACCCGTAGCCATATACTTCGTACTGTCCATGACCAGTGGAGGTCTGCGTCAGCCGGTTGCCCATAACCCCGGGCTGGAGCAGGCTAGGTTCATTATACTCATACCGCCGGGACCAGCCAGCGATGGAGGGCTGATTCAGGGCCTCATGACGCATGGAAAGGAGATTACCCACATTATCGTACGCATACTGCTCACGGTACTGGCACTGCTGGGCACCACGCACTGGAGGGCGGCCCTGTGGCCGATGTGGCTCCAGGCGATAGCCACCACCGTTGCAAGCGTTCAGCTGCTCACGGCCTGTGGCTTCGCACAATTGGCCAAACGAATCGTACGAGTAGGTCCACTCTGCCTTGGTCTGGCTGTTGCGGAAGTATGCTGGATCTTTGGCTGCGTCCCACTTGCGCACCATGCGGCCAACGCAGTCGTAGGTCGTGTGAATGTCCTGAATCGCCCTTATCCGTGGACCCGAGGAGGAGAGCAGTCGCTTCTGGAGTAGGCGCCGCGTCCGTTCGTCATACCGATGATCTAGTAGAGTTCCGTTGCCATAGGCGATAGAGAGCGGCATCTCATCGGCACTGTAGGCTATCTTAGAGACCAACTGGTCCGCCACGGGTTGTTCTGCACTCTGCGTGCTGACAGACTCTACCTGGCCGAGGAGATTATAGGTGCGGCTCGTGATTCCGCCAACGAAATCCACAGACTCCACTTGCCTACCAAGGGCATCAAATGCCGAAAGGGAGATATATGGCTTCCCATCATTTTCCAGGGCCACAGGACGGCTCCAGTCCAGCACTCCATGGTAATGAGCAGCGAGGGAAAACGCTTGAGCGACGCAATTGCCCTTAAAATCGAAGCGTGTGTTCTCAAGCCGACCTGACTGGTCCTCAATATAGGATATTTGCCCTTGCAAGTTGTCGTCGTTGTCACTGGTTGCAGTTGAGGAAAAGGGTTCATCATATGTCAAGCGGTGCAACAAGATCTCATCCGGCGCACCTTCCTGGTCCTTGTCATACAGCCAGACTTCCCGCTCTCGCCGCAAGTCATCATAGACGTGCCGAAATCGTAGACCTGGCTGTCGCCACGAGAATATGGGGCTGCCTCGGCAGTCCGGGAGGATAATGGTCTCACCTGCATCCATGGCCTGGGTAACGAGAGGGCGTCCCGAAAGGTCACAATGGATGCGCTGCACCAGCCGCTGCGCGGCATCGAACTGGCCCACAGGATGTCCGGCCATATTGTATTGGGTGCGTGTGCAGCGTCTCGTCCCATCCGCGAGGATCTCCTCAGTCAGGATATCGTTGCCGCGGGCATCACGATGCGTGACTGTACGAGCCCCAGCGAGGCGCTCGCATTTCTGCACAGTGGCCGCAGCCCTTTGCTCAGGTAATTCACGGTCTGGATGCTTCAGCCAAGTGGGGAAGTATTCTGACCGTGGCAGACCCTGGAATGCCTGTCCCAAATCCTCATCCAGGGCTGGGTCTGCGATGAAGAGCGTGCCAAGGGCGTCGTAGTCTACCTGGGACCAAGGCGTCGGTATCAACTTGGACCAGGTATGATCAGCCAACAGAGTGCCCACGGCCCGGTCCATGGGATCTAGCAGCTGCGTTGTCTTAGGCGATTCGATGTTTGCCTCAAAGCGAAACAAATGATCTGCAGCAAAGCTGGGCTGGCAAATTCGAACAGGGTTGCCCCGGCTATCTCTTATTATCCACTCGCTGACACGCCACTGTTCTGGCGAGGGGCCGTGAGTGCATCGGCGCGTTGTCTGCAGCGGCTGACCAGTGCCGTCGAGATAGGTGATCGAGATGGTCAGAGCGGCATTGGCGCGACTTTCTCTGCCATGAACTTCACAAGAGAGCTCGGCAATAAATGAAGGTTGCCCTGTCGTGTCACCAGGAGTGTATCGACCGCGATAAAACAAAGTGCGTTGGCCGGCGCTTGCCAGCAGGCGAGTGCTGATCTCACCTGTCGGTTCCTGGATAAAGATCTCAAGCTCCTCAGCCGTCACAGAGACGGAAAACCCTTCGAGGGAATCGCCAATCTTCTGATGGGCCTTGCCCAGGCGTGCTGTACCCACGACAGAGCCAAAAGCATCGAGGGCAATTTGCGTCCGATTGTCATTAATGTCGGTGATTTCGCACGGCTGGAGGTGCCAGTAATCATTTTGGAAGCGAGTGGTGTGGCCCATAGAGTTGACAGTCTCCACGGGGAGATACCAGTGCGAATCTAGTACACGAGCCGTTCGCCCACCAAAAGCATCCACTACCACCGTAGGCTGGTAGAAAGATCGGCGTGCGAGTCCCAGACGCTCGTCCTTTTGTGTTGTGGCAAACTGTTGCTGGTCGGATGGCGTCCACCAGCGGTCATTGTCGTCCTCTGAGTCGCCGAGACGCACATACCCGGCCTGCTCCATTGTTGTAGGCAGCATTTCCAGGTTCAGAAGACCGGTTGAGACAAATTGCTCAAGCAGCGTATCTCTCTGAAAAGCAAGCTGGTAGCTTCGCTCGAGTATGGAAAACGGCTCAATGACCCCGAGTTGCAACGGCTCGCGCAGTTGGCTGTCATAGAAGTACTGCCGAGTTTCTCCCACAAGGCTCTTGCACGGTCCCCTCGAGACATATTCCTCACCCTTTTCTACTACTGTATGGTAGGGCACCTCCTCCAGGGCGCTGAGGAGGGCGCAGTTTGTAGCCGCCAGACCATCTAGTTCAATAATTTGGCTATCGGCCAGCCCTCGCACAGCATACTGCCGCGTAGATGCAACCTGGGGCGTCTGAAAGCAATGTGTTTCGATGACCGCGTTAGTGACAGAGGTCTCGGTATAGATGCCCCAGGAAGCTGCCTGTTCGTCCCTAGCTGGAGCCCCGACAGAGCTCGTCCGACCCTGCGTAACGGTCAATGTGCGAAGGACATTACCATATTCATCGACCTGTAGGGCCATCTCGCGCTCGATTCGCGGCGGGATGCCTGCAGCCTCACGCTCGTATACTATCTTGACTGACTCACGCGGTACAACACGATAGCAGCCAGCAACGGCCGTGTGTCGTGCCACACCATGGCTGAACTCGCTCACGTAATAAGGCCGTGCCACATGCCGCGATCCGTCATCGCTATACACCTCCTCGCGGAGCTTCTGGCCCTTGAGAGCGCGGTGGACCATATACTTTTCATCTGGTGCCAAATTGAAGGGCAGCTGGTGGCAGCCCGCTCCGCCCGATGACTCTGGCCAAGCACTGTGCAGTTGATGATTTGCTGTTATGGTGTCGCTTGGAGCACCCGTGTGAAACCACTGCTTCGTGTGGATTGGCAGGCGACGCAGATAGGCAGCTCCCTGTGTGGCACCAAAGACTTCCTCATCCCATTGCTCTACCACGCCGAAGCCGCAGAACTCTCTCTCAACCCCGTCGTAGCGGCCGTTGTGGTAAGCATAGCGGGTACTGTGTGTGGTCTGAGCGATGTGGTCCTGCATAGTGATCTGTGATACGCAATGCACAGGGAAAGGCAGGCGAGTCGTCCAGGGCGTCCCTGCCGCCTCATCGGCGAGGTAAAAGTACGTCGACGGCTGATATGTCACTGTTCTATAAGCCCCCATACCATTGTGATATCGCCTCAGCAGGTGTGGCTTCGTCCCGCCCGCAAGGTCAATATATTTGAGCGTGCCCCTCGCCAGATCATTCCAACACAGACACGCTGTGCCACGGCCTAACAAGTCCAGTGTAAAAGCTGAGGCAACGTCGGTCAGTGCAGGCATTTGTGGGAGTACCAGGGGCTTGCTCCAGCGGTTTCCAGCCTGGTTAATATATACCTGCAGTCCTCCTGCAGCCGGAAGATAGAGCATGTCGGTAGTGCCGGCGCCAAAGACTCCAGCGAGATGTAATCGCTCGGGGATAAACTCTTCGCCAGTAATGGAGGCAAACACAGGACTATCGCCCATGATCACTGGGGCGCCGAACGCGCCGCGGCCTTGGTTCGGCCAATACCTGACACGGCCCTGGCACACCTCTACAATATCAGTGAACCCGTCACCGGTCATGTCTGCCAGGTAAATGCCAATACGAGCAGGGTCCTGTGAAACTAGCTTTGGCAGTAAATCATCTGAATAGCTCGCTGCCACGGTCACCGGCTGCGCAGGGGCGAACCCGTGTTTCCCTAAGCACTCATACCAGACTAACCGACCAGAACGATCCTGGTGCAGCAGGTCCGGCAGGCCGTCACCGGTTAGGTCAACACGCTTGATGAAGGGATCTGTCAGGGACAGCCGGGGCACAGAGCCAAGGGACTGGAAGGGCGACCAGCCATCCTTAACGGTGCGCTCAAAGAAGCCGGTCGGGACTCCCGTTGCATCGAGGAAAACCACATCCATCCGGCCGCTACGCTCAAGATCTTCCAGATAGTGCTGACCGTCCCCTGCACCCCCCTGAGGCTGCAGAGGCAACTGCCGCAGGGGACCGAAAGAGTCAGTGGCCTGCTTCGGAAGCTCATTCCGCTGGTACCACCAGGCTCCGTTCTCAATGATGAGCAGGGCACCAGGCGTTCCCTCCCCGTTAAGGTCGACCCATTCGGTGCGCCAGCTACCGGCTGCTGTGGTAGACATCTGGTGTACAGTATCACGTGGTAGCTCTTGGATCTCTAGCACCGCGTCTTCCAGGGCGGCCGGCGTGTATTCAAACTCAACAGCAGGCAGTGACTCGTGGTAGTACCCTGTCGCTGGCGCCACTGCTGGCAGCCAGCCTGTCATGGTGGCAGCGCGCAGCAGTGAGATACCGTGGCTCTCGGTGTACTCGAAACTGGTGGAGGCGACCAACGCATGATCGCGATCGGTCTCATGCGGAAAGTGATGAAACATAAGCACTCGCTGGCAGAGTCGGTATGTTCGTAATTCAAAGCCAATATTGCACGCCGAGAATGGCGCTGCGCGGATTCCCCAGGGCTGCTGTTCCGTGGGGGTGGGTTTCTCCAAGTCGTGTTCACCATAATCGAATACCACCTCGAACATCCAATCGTCTGCGCATCGCCGGATCTGCCAGGTATCCAGGTCGCGGCTAGGATCGCGGTTGCCATATCGGATCCGTTTGAGATAGAGCATGCGAGTGCGCGCAGCATCTGCGCGGTTTGCCTCGCACAGCGGGCGCATTGTGACCTGCTCGGCGATGCCTTCCGAGTTCTCGGCCTTGTACTCGTAGTGCATCGCGTTGCCGGCTGTATCCACCGTCCGGGATATCAGCCAGGAGAAGATGCGGGTCCCGCTCAAGCTTGTATCATCACGGTCTGTGATCCGCGAGTCCTCTGTCTCGCCAAAGAAGGTTGTTACATTAGCTCCAGAGATGGTCCGCCAGTGGATGTCATCTGAATTCACTGTGCGTGTCCAGCTTTCAATACGGATAACTTCTGTCTCAACTTGTGGCCGATACTGCTGGACACAGTAGGCGCCCACCGTGAACGGGTTTCCCTGCGGAACCAGATCCTCCAGTCCCGAGAGCAGGAAAACATCCGAGGCGTTGTAGCGCGGGACCCCCTTGGAGACTTTACGTGAGATAGCGGTCGCTGAGAGCTGCCATCCAACACCAAAAGCACCATTTCCACTTCCTGAGTCATATGCTAGGCTCAGCTGTGGCCCCAGTCCAGAGCGTCCAGGACTGGTGTATATGGGCAGGCTCAGACTCATCGTCCCGTTCACTGGGTTAACGCTGAATTCTGGGCTGATCGACCGATGACCGCCACCCCCAGACATGATGCCCTTCGGGGCTGGTGATGTCGCGGCCGAGCTTTGATTGCCATTGCTGGCATTGTATTTTGATGTGGCAGATTGACTGGCTGGTTGGCCGGCCCCGGTACTAGTCTTGGAGACCCGGGGAGGTGCTGGCAAGTCCCACATTTTCACTGAAGCATTCGTTGTTGTAGATAGAATCACATTCAGCGAAGAAGATATACTGACGGTATTATTTATTGATAGTCGCCACTATAGCCGACCCGCAGCAATGGGACATTTGTCCTTGCAAGGTGTTTCCCGCAATACAAGCGTCGAAGTTATTAGGGCTGTCCGGTGGGCCATCAATATGGGCCCAATCAAGTTCTCGCAAAAGTAGAGTCAACACTGCATAGTTTCTAGTTGCTGCAGATTTGTACAATTTATATCCATTTCCTTTATCTTGATTTTCTGCGTCGACGACATAGTCCGGTCCATTAAATATGCCAGGTATTTATTCTCTTCAATTTTCCCACGTTTTCAGTTCGATAAAATACCGTGACACTAAGCTGCGCCTGGTCGGTTATTTTTTCCTTCAACAGTTCGCATCGGCACCCATGAGTTAACTTGCCCACGCCACTTCCACAACGTTGAAGACAAATCACATAATAAAGGGGGTAGCTGGAGGGGTCTATGGGATGCGTACGCCCACGCACACGCAAGCATACTACCATGTGGCTAGCTGAAATCCATAATTATAGTGACGAGGTGATAGAAACTGGTCCGCGGGCGATCGTGGGGTATCGCACAAACCACCAACGTTGACGAAGATGTAGCCAAGGTGTTCGCTGCCACCCTGTCTCCCTCAACATCGAAAACTTGGAAACTCGTACCGGCACTCTTATGTCTGTGGTAGCTTGGCTGTGCCGCCAGCCTATCGTGTTACTAACTCGCGAACCAAATCGGCACCAATCAAACGTCTTAGATGGATGAATGATTTTATTGTGCTTTGCCCCAGTTTTGCTCTCTGCCACTCTTCGTTTGCATTCTTTGCCTTTCTTGTTTTATCTTTGTTTTGAATTTTCCCAATTCAGCCGCGCGCCATCTGGGGCGTTCCATCACAGAATATGGCTATGGGTCACGACAGGCCTCGACGAGGCTCTGAGTTCGTCTAAGAAGTGTTATGCGATACAGGTACATCCATGGACCTACATAGTTGTGGAAGCCTGCATATCGTTTCGACGAGGGGTCAGGGTAAATGAAAAACACACATATACACACACTCTCCCTATTTTGCTGGGTAGCACTTTGAGGAGATATGAGTGGCTCCCTGTGATTCCCAGTACTTCCATTGATAAAAGAAACCCTGAAGAACAGCTACTCTAATCGTATCACCCGGCGAAAAACTTTGATATAGCCTCGTTAACAAGAGGACCAAGGTGTGCAACTACAGATGGAACTCGAAAGACTTATTGGAGAAGATCCGTGAAATGGTCAACATAGATTAACCTAGGACCTGAATTCATCAAAAAATGGCCTGCTATACGAGCAAGAGCCGCGAAGTCATGTTGCACCTTAAATAACAGAATGGTTCCCAAAGGGTTGGCCCGGTTGTTGAGCACTATCATTCGGGTATTTAGTCCGATCAAAGCTTCAAGAAGCTGCACGTTTGAATACACTTCCTTATTTGTATCGAGTTCCCAGAAAGAGAGCTCAACACCTGCAATAGCTCTGGGAACGGATAAGAGTTGGGTATGGGAAAGATATATAGCAATAACATGGTCCCGGCTTGTCGGTAAACTGTACATTACCAATGAATTAATTAGCACCGGTCGCTCCATTCGTAGCAATCACTTGATCTATGGTAATTAACTTCCCTGTAGAGCCCAGGAATCTGTTTGCGGAGCGACTCGCTGCCACTTGTAGAGCAAAGTGATAATTTCGAAAGAATCGATTGACAAATTAGCTGAGGATCCTCAGAAAGTTGAATCCGCTCTTTAATACAGAAGAGGCGTGGCGCTTTCTGCCCACACGAAAGGTGTTTCATCTTCTGACATTCAATCCACTGACCTTTTATGAGAATGTAAAAAGTGCAAGAACCAACTGTGACGATGGTCGGAACCTTGTGAGAATCGTTCATGTGGCACCTATAACTCATCCAAAGCTATGCTGTGGCGTCTTTTCAGTTTCACGAACCAGGAAACTTGACCATTTCCCAAGATTTATGAAACGATGATTTGAGCTCATATCTGATTGGTAGAGGCTATTTAGTTCGTTTTTCCACCGACTAATACACACAGTAGGCTCGAATGACCCTGGTTGGCTTCGGAGTCAAGTACCGGCATGTGTTACCACTAAATGTCCCGATGTCGATCTTACTTCATTCGGTCATCAATCGACCTTCAAAAACATCTGCTCTTTCGCACTTTCTATCTATGTCCCCTTTCATTGGTGTTTCTAGTGAACAAACAAGATTCCCGGATGATACAGAAGCTAATCACTCCCTGCTGAGCAGGTTCGAAGAATCAGTGGGGTTGGATTTGACCTTACCGTCATTTCAGGACGGGCTTGATTCCTTCGGAAGGAATGCTGCATCTCAAGGGATCATCTTCTTGATCGCCAGAATATCTACCGAAAATAAACTCATTTATACTTCCCAAGCTTTTCCGAAATTTTGCTTGCAAATCGACACAATCTGGCCTAGGAACCGTCCTGTAGTCGCAGGAGGCCTGTCGTGAAATTGACAGCAGGAAACTGTTTGGAATCTTCACTAAAGAACTCAACGGTCACAAGGAAAAACTTCGGAGTCATCTGTACTCCATGAATTGATCTGACCCTGCTCGCAATCACTAAGCTACTACGTCGTCTGCTGATCCAAGATGGCATACCGAAAGACGAGCAACATGCCTTCGATCTTCGACGTCACGCCCGCCTTCTGCCGAACCGCCAGCGACCAGCCCGACAACGACGCGTCCAGATGATTCCGTGTCAGCCAGGTGCTACCGCCCGCCTTGTCCCTGTCGTCTTGTTCCCATGTGCCCGGGTCGATACCTACATGCTACATATGAATCACCAGCCAATGAACCAACCGGTGTTCCATGGATGGAGTCGAGAGTTCGCGTTCAACGAACGCAGTTTTCTTAACGCAGACGACCATGGCAACCGGCTGAGCTATACGCGAGTGGGCAGTATCACCGAACCGGTCAAGTACGACGCAGATGTCGAACGTGTCGGTTGTATGCGTTCCATGCAGGGGTTTACATCCTTGACGTGGGATCATGAGAACCATCTGCAATCTTCCACGACGCAGACGGTGATCGAGGGCTCTCCGGATCGAACGTGGTATGTTTAAGACCACCAAGGGACGCGAGTGAGGAAAGTGACCGAGAGGGGAGCCCAGTCGCAGCCCGGGGGAAGCGGAGAAGATGACGAAGACGCGAATCCTGAAGGAAACGCCGTATCTCGCTCCAGATCTGGCTATCCACCGCACGTACGCAGGCGACGGAGAAACTGTGGCAAGCGAGAGAATCAACGCGGCAGTGATGGCGGACACCGTGACGACCGTGGCTCAGGTTGAACTCACCACAGACAAGGCAAACTCAGCCACATCCACCACCACGACTCCCCTGATCCGGTACCAGATTGGCCGGAGCCTGGAGATCGACAACCAGGCCAACATCATCTGGTATGAGGAATATTCTCCATACGGGAACTCAACGTACATCGCCTGTCGGCCAGAGGTCAAGGCCCCACGACGGTACCGATTCGCTGCTGCTGAGCGAGACGCTGAGACAGGCCTGGACTATTGCGGGGCGAGATACTATGCGCCATGGCTAGGACGGTGGCTTTCCCCGGACCCTGACGGCGTGATCGACGGGCTCAATCTGTACCGGTACTGTCGAAACGATCCTGTCAACCTCGTCGATCCGGAAGGGACATATCCGCTTCGGGATGGCGACCAAAACGTTGGAGACGATAACTCTCTCTCTAACGCGGATGTCAATGAGGAAGGGGAGGAAGAGGCACACGCCCAGCGCATCAGAGTAGACGAAAGGTTTTCGGACGAGCGGGAAGGAGACCACGACTTACTCAATCTCGCGGATCTGGATATTGATTTCGACTCGAACGAGGATGATCTCCCAGGCTATGAGGAACAAGAACCATTCTACGAAGTGACTGCCCCTGAAAATCCCGCCGTAAGACCCCCAGATGGTTACCAACTGAGGAGAAATATATTGGAAGAGGATAAACGGATGGGTCCTTCTCTGTACCAAGGCTCCAACATTTACAACAGAGGGGATTTGGACCACCCCGACCCGAGCTTCTTTGTCACGTTCCGACAAGCAAACCGCCTGCCAGACGAACCCGAACCGCGATGGGAGAAGTTCGTCACTTTAGTGAAAAAGGAATGGAAGGCATTTAAAAAGTTCTGGAACGCAGGCAGATCCCGCCATAAGAAGTGGCTGCCGTTGTCAACGCCGCAGGAGTTCCATTACAACCGGTCCTTCAGCCGACAGCAAAATGAATTTCTCCGGCTTGAAATCGAACGCCATAATGCTCGCCTACTCGACGGGAATAAGCGCCATCATATGCGACGCTGACCTTGACGGGGAATGAATGCAATTATGTGGGACGGGGGGTGTGCCTAACTAATAGGTCTGTGGTTGAGTATTTTCATTGATTATTGATTGATAATGTTAGTAAATAAACTATATGAAGCTGTTTCTTGGATTCTTTCCATCGGCAGACGAATCTGCCTCTTCCACAAACAAAAGAGGTTCGTTCCTTCGTTCATCTCAACTAGACTCGGACTAAACTTGGATGAAACCCCTGGATTGTACCAAACTCACAGTAGCTTCTCCTCTCGTCCCCTCAACTTCAACTTCATCCCCCAAAACAAAGTCGAAGTACATCTTGTCGGGCGTCAAGAACTCACGAACTCGGTCCTTGGAAACCACATTCCCCCTCCCTCCCGCAAAGGGGAACAGAGGAAGTCGACGTCATGGCACTTCTCGGAGATGAGAATCAGGAGCGCGCGCTTGAAATGCGAAGTCTCATGATTGGACTCGCACATATGGGTGGGATATCTCCAACATCCACGGGGTCGGCATCCGAGCAGGACTGTCGACAGCCGTAGCCGGAGCCGCCGAATATCCGTAGCGACTCAGTTGCCCACACCGTTAGGCCCAGCGGTGAATCGACGCTGGAGTCCCCGTCACGCCCAGCCTGCCTACTTTCCTGCGCATATTCAAGTAGCGAACGCGGTACTGGCTCCACACTCGGCATCTTGGGGAAACACTAGTCTTGGAACATCTACAAGATTCTACTCCGAAACAGAATAGCTTGCACTGAGTGATCGTCCGCTAGAGCCAAATTGAGTAGAATTTTTCAAAGTGTGGGGACAAAGTCTACTTTTCTTACCTTTGAGCGCCGTATCAGATTCCTTACCCCACCCTATGCTGCTATGCTGTAAACCACCTTTGACTTATTCGCTTATAATCATCTAGGTTTCTAGCAACCCGATTTATTTCACTATCCCTAAAGCGTGCTAGAAAAAAAAGTGATAACAATAATATAAAGTTAAGGTCTCTCACCCTCACAGTTATAAATTAGACCTACTACCTAGATTAGAAATTTACCTAAGTTAGAAACTATACTTAGGTACTATACTTAGGTACTATAATATAGTATCCTGAGATCTGAATAAAGAGTAAGAGGTTATATAAAATCTCCCTTATGTACTCCAATGTTTAGGCACAGGCCATTGGTATTATTTAACACCAGAGACTAGAGAACGGCTCTTCTCCGGTGCCTTCCTTTGTTGCGGCATGATTTCTCCAACCTTCTTTTCCTTGAAAGAAATGCAAGGACTCAAGAAATGGGGTGACAGAGAAAGAGGGCTACAAAGGTGAGTCACGAAATAAACAACATTGAGGGGCGCGGTGCTTCAGAGTTGGACTGAGCGCAGTGGACTGAGTGCTCAATAGATGCCTCTGAAGGGTCCTCGAGTAATCAGTGAACTGACTGATCACTCTCACTGAACGCCCTCTGGATAGTCACGTGAATCCTCTGATCAGCTCTCCGAGTCTAATTCCGGTCTGAGATTTATGCAGAGTCTGACTCTGCGCGCTATTCATCGTAAAAGCAGTGGCATCTCAAAAGGAAAGCGTACCTGGCAGAGGAAAAACACTAGGTAGAGTGCCTTACTTACCTCGTCAACAACAATATCAAACATTTGAAGTACCGCCCCCGCAGCGTCCTGGGGCTTCACAATCTTACAATCTACAAGATAAAAAGAATTTAAACAAGTCGAATGATATGGCGGTATCCATTGCGAGCCAGTTTCCATTCGGACTGGCAAGAACACTAAATACGACATAAAAAAAGAAAAAAAAATTCCAGAACTCACACGCTGTGCCCAAAAGAAAACAATGCAGTACCACAAAGGGCGGACAGGAGAGAGGCTTAAGCAACAATGATTTAAATACCGGAGAATGGAAGTAAAGGAATGAGAAAGGAAAGGGAAAGTAAAATAAAATGCTCAAATGAAGTTAGTCATGCGAGAATGATGATTGGGAAAGAGAAAGAAAAGTAGTTGAAGAAAGAGGCAAGTAAAAAAAAATGTAACATGCATGGTAAGAAAAACGCCGTGTCTGATGCTCGAGTAGAAAATAATGCGTCAAGGCATAGGACTTCAACCACCGGTCTTTTGGATGCTGCAGTGTTGTTTTTTTTTTTTGTCTTTTCGGTCCGTGTAATGGAGCCAGCTTGTCATTTCTTCTCCCATTGACGAAATGGAGAGTAGACAATCCAGCCAACCGCAGGGATATCGTGTATGCAAGTAACGTATGGGGAAACACAAAAACAAGAGGGGGAAGAGAAGAGAAACCGTCATTGCAGATATTACAAGGGGGTATCCCTGAAAAAGAAAAATAGGAATCCCGGCCTTCTCTATAACATGAAGCATCGATCGTAACGTCTTTCGTCTGGGGGTGTGTCGAGACAAGGAGGAAAAATTCTCATGGCGGGGCAGAGGAAAAGAAAATTAAGGGAGATAACCGCAGCCTGTGGGCAATAGGATCGAACTGCAGATGCAGACGCAGATTGCCCGGCAGGCTGCATGCATGGCCATGTGAAATCGCGAGGCAGGGCGAGGCCAGAATGGAAGCGTGCAAGAAGGAGGCGAAGAGGGGTGATGGTTTCGTGGTCGGAGACAATCATGAAAAGATTGGTGGAAAGTGAAATTCGAGAGAACAAAGGGGGCGGGAAAGCCCAATCGGGCTTAAGCCTGTACAAAACCCATCATCTATTCCTCTGTCGATTTCGAATTGCCTTCCTTTCTTTTCGGTCGGGCGCGAGAACCAGCCCCCGGTACGGGTGTGATTCCCGCGTTGCAGTCGCACAATTACGGGAGCGGACATGACACGATTGGGCGGGCGGGCATCCGCGAAACTCTTTACTGAGACCTGCAAAAGGCGTTGAAGCTTGGCGATTTAGGAGTGGACAGGGGTGATAAAGGCACGGACGGCGGAAGCGTTCGAATAACGATGGGGCCGAGGCCGGGCGTTGTTTGCTGGCGTGAATTCAACATCAACGCTGGCGCGCGGTGATTGTCATGACCGGGCTGAACGGCTCATGCTGCGTTCCGGGCCACCCGGGGTCGGGGAGTAGGAGCGAGAGCCACCGAAGATGTCAACGTCGTGTTCCTGCAGGACGACGGAATACTTGGGGTCACGGAGAAATTTCGGAACGGAGTCCTTCATATCAAAGGTCAGTACAGAACACAATTTCAATCATCTGCACCAGCTTTGGAGCAGAGGAACAAAGGTTTCTGAGAAGGAAAAATGGAAGGGGGAAAAAAAACTTACACTTGACATCAGCTTGAACACGGAGGTCTGCGCAAGCTCGAAGAGGTGCACCACCTCCTGGAGACTCTTAAACATGGACTCATCATCTCCCACAGCCTTGGTCATTCGGCTGGCCAAGCTGTTGCGCAAAGCATGGTCGATGTTCAATTCACAGGGCGAACCAGGAGCCAGGAACGCGTTGTACAAACCTGATTAATTCTGTTAGAACACACAGTCTTCCCAAAACATAATGAAGAAGGGGTAATTTCAATAGAACGCACCATATGCAGCAGCCAAGGTCTCTCGGACCGAGTCGACCTTGTTAAAGGTGCCTGTCTTCTCGGCCTTGTGGTAGTTGGCAGTGAACTCCGAGACATCGAGGTAGAAGGACAGATTTTCTTCGCACAAGGAGTAGCGCAGGAACTCGCGAAACAGTAAACGAAGAGCAGGGTCTTGGAGGATGTGTGACAGACGCGCATTGTTTGAATCGCGGGGCATGCCACGGTTGTCGTAGTTAGCCGTATTGTTGTCACGGGTCTTGTCGCGGGCAATCCAGCCACACACGCGCTGGCCTCGCTCAGTGATACAATAGATGGAGTACTTGGACGGCTGGAAGACAGCATTGGAGTCCGGGAACGTCTTATCATCTTGAATCATGGTGATCAGGCCGTACTTGAGGAACAGCTCGGCAATCAAACACGTTTCCCGGCGCTCAATGGTGGTCGAGCAGTCCATCAACCAATCCACTGCACCTTTACCTGTGAAGGTGTTGGTGTAGATCTTGCCATCCTGCAATTTCCGCTCGCGTGCCATCTTCACTCCGACGATGCCGTTGGAGTAGTCGCTTAACGAGTCGGAATCAGAGGTAGAGATGCTGCTCTTGATATTGGGGCCATCCTGCCCAGCAAAACGGCGGAAGATAACCTCGATGGTCGCCCGGTCATGCGACAGCTTATCGGTGTCAGTGTCGCGCTCGAGGTTGACCAATTGCATGGTATTGCGCGGTGACTCCAATACATCCATCACGTGACGCGCTGTGATGCCATTCCGCTGGCAGAAACGTTGCAGAATGTTAATGCCCTTCGGGGTCAGTTGGAAGAGCGCGCCCTTGAGCGGGAAAATGGGCAAGGCCTTGCCATCCACGGGCTCGATGAAGCGAGCATCGACGAATCGCTGGCAGACCGAGCGGGCCATCTCCTTGGCCATGGAGAAGGTGGTCGTAGTGGTTGTGGTGACGATGCGCGAGGGGTCCTTGGGGTCAGGCATGCGGTTTGATTGGGAAAATTTGAGGGATCCCAGGTTGTTGATTGCCTCCTCCGAGGTAAAAGTGTGGTCATACCGAGTGAAGCGGACCCGATGGGAGTCCAATTTCAAGCTCACCATCAAAGTGGAGAACAAGTCCATGAAGTCCTAGAATGCGCATGTCAGCCTCCAGTTGCGCTCCATCAGTCTATACCGCCATTGTCTCGCGATTTCCCCTTTCGTATAACCTCTGTCTCTTGGTGTTCCTCTCCTTTTCTTCCAAAGATTCTTTCTTTTTGCAACATTCTTGTTCTTCGTCCTCGAAAGCGCCCCAAAAAAAAAAAAAAAAAAAAAAAAAAACTTAAACATCTAGGTTCTCACTCCCCATCAGGTATAAAAACCTACCTTAGTGAATGGGCGCTCATCTTCGGTCATGCGCAACAACCGCGACGAAGTCTGATGCATGGTGGCAGGCGCAAAGGGCGCGGTGCCCGAGAGGCGGAAGTCGTGCGGAGGGGTCGGGACGCGCTGGAGCGTCAGACGACGCTTTTGCAGGGTGTTTGGTTCCGGCGAGGCGGAGCGCACGAACTCTGGCAATTGTTCAGAGAGATCGCCGTCGGATGGCGGGGTCAACGGAGTGGCGGTCGTACTCAATCGGGCGAGCTTAGACAGACTGCCGGACGAGGCGGAGGAGCGCAAGGTAGCCGGGTTGTAGAGGTTCCCGCCAGTAGAAGAGTTGGTGATGGTGGACAGTGTCGACAGGCTCGCCAAGGCGCTGGAGGTCTTTTGGGCCAATGCAGCAAACGAGCGACGATTGCGGCGGGAAATAGAGCCGACAACAGATCCCGAGAAGGTGGTAGTGGCAGTGGTCGCGGGCGGATCCGTCGCAGGGGGGTGACAGCGGAGGGCGCGCGAGGGCGTGCGGTTATAGTCGAGGGTGAAGAGGTGGAGGGTGAGGCTAAAGCCGGGATCGTGAAGGTTGCCGTGGTGGTGAGGGAAGAAGAAGGAAGTGATGGAGGAAGAGAATCTTCTCGGCAGGGATTCACGGACGGTAGGGTTGGCATTGAATGGGTTTTCTGTGGACGAGTGGGGGGGGTTGGTTTGGAGGGAACCAGAAACCAGAAAACCAGCAGCAGAAAACGAACCAGGAGAGAACCAAACTTCGGGGGGGAGAAAAAAAAAAAAAAAAAGGTGGAAAAAGTTGGAAAAAAGTGGGTAAAAGAGAAAGGGACTGGAACGGAAGGCAATGGGGTCAATTGGGGTCCCAGAATGATACCCTCTGGCCAGTGCTGTGTTTCCTGTGTTTCCTACTCCTTTTCTACGGGCCAGTGCGAGAGTGCCCAGTTGATCACGGATTCGCGCTCAAGTGCATGGATTCCACTTCCAACCGAACGTGAACAGGGGCTGTAGGCAAGATAGGATGAAGCGGACGAGAGAGGGAGAGAGGAAGAAAGAGTGCAAGCAGAATGGCAGAGGGGCATCAAGTAATCGCCTCCAGGCGATTAGAGTATGGTAATATTGTATTTAATAAGAGGGGGGACGATTTTTCGGATTTTCTTTTTTTTAATCATTTAATCATTTAATCATTTTAGTATTTAGGACTTCCGAAAGAGTATTATCAATGAATATTTTTAAATTCTTCCATGGATCAAGTAGGGGCAGCAGCAGACTAGGCCGGAATGGGAATGGCATGGGCCGAAGGAAAGTGGAGCAGGCAGGGGGCACGGGGAATAATGGGAAGATTCCCATAATATTCCCATAATATTTCCAATAGAGGTGGGGAGAGGGGGCAAGGAATTGGAGTAGAGAAAAATGTGAATGTAAGATCGCATCAGACAAGTCGAAAAATAAACAAGTGCAGAAAAAGGAAAGCACAATTACCACAGATCGAGCAGCATGGAACTTGTTGCGGAAGAACTAGACACGGAGCACAGTTAGGGTCGGAGGAACAGCGGAAGGGGGAAGAGCGACAGCGGATAGAGCACTTGGTACAGAGTAGGTAACAGAGCGACCAGGGATCTTACTGAATTGAAGAAGATACTCATGAGAAAGCGAGTGAAGAATTACAGCCAGTTTGGCCTGTCATTCAGTGACCCACTGACCACGCGTGAGCCTGACCCGAAAGAGTTTGGTGGGCTGCATCCAAACAACGTGGGCTAAGGAAGGGATTGCCTCATGGTGAAGATCGGTGGGTTCCTTGTTTCGTGCAGGACAGCCATACCCTAGCAGGTCCCCCTTACACCTCTGTTACCGCTCATCCGCAACATGGGGGCAGGTACTCTGTACGGACTGCTATGATTACTGCCCAGATACCCACCTACCTACATACACCTGTACACCTACAGTATATGTACACATACACTCTATATGTATTTGTGTGCTCCGTACCTAGCTAAGTGAGAAAGAGAAAGAGGACAGGAATGTGAAGTCCAACAGGGGGAAACCCCTAGATAGATCACCTTTAGATTACACATACCCGTCGATACACCCAACAATCCGTCAAGGAGACACAGAATTGAAGAACCCTCTATCAGGCTCTACTACCATTCGATTTAAGTCACTATTGGCATTTGGCATGCCTCCGATGATCATGCCAGCCGAGAAGACAAATACAACTGATAATCCTCCCGAAAACACAATAGTTCCAACCCCCCCCTCTCCCCCCGGCCCAGACTCCACTCTGGACTGACGAAATTCCAAATCATGATCCTCCTCTCCCAATCCGCAGGAGGATCTGCCGTGCTCATAGTGCAACTTAAAAACTAATACCAGAAATAAAAGAGATAGGCTGTAGCCATACAAAAGGAGGCTGCTCTCCAAGAAGAAAAACTCTAGTCGATGATTTCACCATTCAGGAAGACCCAGCGATCTAATGAAAAGTCAACCAGGGAACCCAGGCCGAATAGATCCGTCCGGAGATCTTGTGTACTAGTAATACCGGTTATAATACCGCGTATAGGACTATACATTGGTTCTATACACCTAGACAGCTAGCCCTCCATCGGTCCCCAGGGGTAGGGAGAATCCTGGACAGGTGGAGGACAGTCAACTCATGCTGGGCTATAAGCGCATACTCCTATAGGACAGCGACCGTGATAATTCTGTTTCTTCAAATCTCATCGTGCTCCTATACTCCGTACTCTGTACTGAGTACATGATTCATCCCCTGATCTCCCGGGAATCCCCCGAGAAAGTCACGATAATGCTTCATGCGAAACCATGCGAAACCAAAACCCCCGAGCTGGTCCCTCAACCCAGTGCGACTGTTGCCCTGTTGGGTTTAGGGGCAGTCCAGAAGCAGCAACTGCCCCCTGTCACAGAATTACTTTAGGACAGTGTCTGTCCACTGTACCGCCTCGGCTGTTTCGCGATGATCCGACTCTTCAGGGCAACTGGGATTTGCCTCCACTTCTTCCACCTGCCTCAATACCGTACCGTACGCCAATGACCAGCTTTTCCTGTTTCGGACAATAGGGCCTGTTTCGGCCCTCTGGCCTAAACAGGTAAGGGCGACCCCGCCCACGTGGGAATCCTGAACCCCTCCATCGCTCACGGCCAGGAACCTTATCGAGCGTGGCAAAACCACTTGTCCACGGTTTGAGAGTTTCGTGCTGTCTTCTACCTCTTCACTCAGTTTACCATTTTGTCCTGGTTTGTAGTTCTATTTTCTCATTTTGTTTGTTTGTTTTTCTTTTTTTTTTTTTTTTTAAGTTTGTTATGGTTTCTGTAACCTCTGATCTCTGCGTTCCTGTTGGCTGTCCGAGGAAAGGGGGAAAGCGCAGGGTCGCCACGGTTGGAATGCCCAGCGTTATTGATTATTCAACACCGTATGCACGTCCCTTGGGAAGGAAGGACGGATTTGTGAGGGGAGAGGCCTGTTGACACAAGGCAACAGAAGAGCGAAACCCTAGGAACCCCAACAGAACAGAGAAAGATAGAATCCGCCAAGTCGTGTACTCTGTACGGAGTGCTCCGTACTTTCTCCGCCTTTCGTCACATTTTGGTATGCTCGCAGTGAAGGCCGATCTCGGATGGGGGCGGCGGCCGTTTTGGTGAGGCCCAGTCTGACTCGTCTACTGTACGGAGTACAGAGGAGTCGAGCCCGTCTGACCAGTCATTCTTTTGAAGGATGACCGCGGTCGTGAGTCACCAGTGTTTCGGGCTTCGAAACAGGGGCCCGCAAATCCTTCCACAGCCTTTCCAAACCCATGTGGTCCACGTGGACACACGTGGAGTCGCGGTCTTAACTAGCTCCCTAATTCGGTTAGTGTCTGAGAGCCTGAGCGCCCGAGCGGCTGCTGGTCCCCCACGAGAAAGACGTCCCAAAACCTGATGTCCAGAACACATGGCTCGCTTCTTTCTACCCGTACGATACACGCCCGCCCCTCTCTGGGCTGTGAGCTAGAATTCTATTTCTCTTCAAGCTAAGCACAGAGCCAATCGTAGAAAGCATTGTGTACTTCGTATTCTTGTCCTTTTCGTACCTCTCGCTCAGTACGGTCCTTTTCGGACATGGCGGTGCCTGGACCCAGTCGGCCCAAACAGTATCCCCCTCTCCAAATAAAGCCGATCGGGCCACAAGGGCTTGTTTCAAAATGTAATACCCGCGGCATAGCCTGCGCGCCGTCCGAAGACCCCTCTTGTGCTTTAGCTTCTGTGCTAAGGAACGTTGGCACTATTTCTGCCATGTGTCGTGACGCACAGACAGGCCACCAGGAACGCTGCTGTAAGCTCTCGGTCCTTGAATCGAGAATTTCTAGGCGCAGAACACGATTGGTTATGGTTGGTGCCAGGACCAGAATCCCCGGTGTTGGATGCTGGTTTCTTCGCGAGAACTACTCTATCTGGTACAAGGCGGTGACCGGATGCCGTCCATCGTTCAGGCCCTCGCCTCAAAAAGGGAAAGCCTCCGTTGTCTTGCTCTTCCTTCGCCGGCCGCCATGTGGGATCGAGCCTCATAGCGTGATTCTATACCGCAGTTTGCGCGCTGCTGTCAGCTATTTGTTATCCGTCTCTCTCCCCCCAAGGCCCCCGTCTAACCACGTCAGTCACTCCACATAGAGGGGTGGGGAGAGTGATTCGCCCCAAAGGAATGGGGCTCCCTTCCAGCACGAACCACTTCATATATTATTCCTTTCAGATGGATCGCAAGCGGGGAGGATCTCCCCAAATCAAGCATGCTGTCAGAACACGTCAGCAAATGCTCCTCTGAGGCAGTGCTCACGAATCATGTTCGGTCCGCTCGTCTTGAGCCGGGAATCACGCCAGAGACGTATCCCTTTTGAAGTCATAAAAGTCAATGGGCACCGGAGATTGGCTAGCGATGGGGGTTGGGGTCAAGGTCTGATCGGCCTTTTTCCCGTTCTACCCTCGACCACCACCCTCCAAGTGGACCGATCAACTCGACTCGTATACTCGTCTACTGTACTTCCCCAACTTTTCTTTTTTCGCTAGAAGCACCACGCCACACGTCTCTCTGTTCCATGCAGATCGAAGAGCGGGAAGAATGTGAGGCATCACGAATGAGGTGCGATCTCTCGATTCAACCTTTGATCTTACGTACAAAGTGTAATGCCACGTGGACCGGGGTCGGAGCTGTCACCAACAGAGCCCCCCTTCCTCCGCCAACGCATGAAATGCACGGGATAACACCCCCTCCCCCTCCTCCAGAGCCGCTCTGTTCCATAATTATGCAGTGTTTTCGAGGGATACGGCCGTTTGCTCATTTTATGAATGAGCCCATCAAACGCCATTCGCTATCTAGGAAGAGAAGGGGAAGAGGGCCCGAGAAGGGCCCGGCTATCTCATCCCTACCAGGAAGCCGTAATCTCGAAAGCCTCCGATCGCCGGGATCGCGTTATCTCGGTGGGTTGTTTCAGTCCCGACAAGGAGTACAAAGAAACTCTCTCTCGGAGGCTATCAGAAAGTTTTCCCGAAATAAAGAAAAAAAAAGATAAATAAAATAAAATAAAATAAAGGTAATTATCGGTCCAATAAGCAAAACACAGACCCCGACCGGGGGGGGCCTGCGAGAGAACAGCCCAACAAGCACCAGCCGAGAATTAAAAACATCAAACAAAAGCCACTATAGAATTCTTGGCATTGGATTAGTGAGGAGAGTGGGGGGGGGGGTGAACCAACACTACGGACTAAAGCCAACGGATGAAAAATATCAGATATGATACGCCACAGCACATGAAGAGAGGGAAGTTTAGAGAGGAAAAATAACTAGAGAAAGGGAAAAAAAAAACCACAAATTGCTCCAAATCGAAGAAATGGAGACCATGTCGCTTCATCCCGCCCAGCTAGCCGTTATCGTTCGCGATCAAGTGGGGTCTCCATCGAAAATTGAGGCCCGCTAGGTCGATTCCGGAGAATTCTCCATGGGCGGGAGAGTTGCGGTCAGACGGGATTCAAGGAAGAGCGCAAAGTTAAAGACCCAGTGATCCTCGTACAGCGGATCGTTTCTGGGCCGTTGAACGAGCCACATCGGTTGGTGCGTGGTTTGATTGGGTAGATGTTGGTGTGTATATTGGTACGGAGTACAGAGGACGGAATATGTGATTTCTATCTACGGAGAGGTGGACTCGCCAGACTGGGGCCTTCGGGAGATACATACACACTGCATACCTTAGGTATGGGAATCATTACGGGGTACCCCAGGGTGACTATTCAGTCCTCTGGTTGGGAGTGGTCCACTACAGAACATACCCCTGTTGCTCTTATACCCCTTTTGTTCTAGTTCTGGAAGTGCGACGAGCCATCGTCGTCGACATGAAGATCATCCTGTTGTCTACGGGATAACTGCAGTAGATTCCATGGTAGAATATAATACTCCGAATTCCAAATTCTCAAATGAATAATATGTAATACCTGTAGATTTGTCTGTAATGATGCTATGGTTCCACACCACCCCTGACCGCCACGCGATAGAGGATCAATTCATGCAGGACACTCCGTAATGCTAGCCTGCTCGAGTCTAGAAGCATCAAGTCAAGCGATCCAAGCACCATAACGAATTGGGGGCCTACGGCCAACCTTCCCCCTTTCTTTGCTCTATCTGGGGTATCTCGCGGCTGAATACCGAGAGAGAGCCAAAAAAAAAAAGCAAAAAGGCAAAAAAAAAGCAAAAATGAAAGCCAAGGGCCAGATTCTAAAAGACCAAGGGGGGCGACAAACCTTCACGAGTCATGGTCCCAGGTCCCCTTTGTTTTAGAAGGTTTTGCCTAGTATTGAGGTCCGATCGGCGGCTGAGCAACCATCACTCCAAGACCTTTCCCCAGGAACCTTGTGTGCCGGTACGGAGTACGGGATCATAATGATCGGGACGACAAGCCGACACAGCAAGCCTCGTCCTGTCTGCAGTGGGCCCTAGGGCAGCCGACCAGGTACCTCCCGGGGACCGATGTAGTCTCACGACATGATGCTGCCTGCGAAAGGGGTTCTCTTCCCGACGGAATCACTACAACGCTACGCCGACTCCGTACTTGGGCGTCTACGCCTTACCGGTTGTTCGACCGTTGGCGGAAGCTAGTATCCGGCTTGACCGTGCGCCGACAAGGCAGAGCTGATACTAAAGAAATAGGGACGGAGGAGTTTGGAACAACAACGCTCCCCTTATCTTGGCATCCCACCAATCTATCCAAATTATCCAACCGCGTGTCGTCCCGAGCCCGAGGCTCCAGAGGCACAGAGTTGATCAAAAGCCACGCTCAGCATAACCCGCCCCCTCTTTCCCCTGAATCCCTCCAGACAGCTCGCACCTCATGTGGGGAATCGGCCACGTGGGAAGCCGGGGGGGGAAGAGGTTCGAGCATGGTCTAGCCCAACTCAGTAAGAGAATCTCAAGATGATCGGGGCCAAACTCAGGCGTGATATGGCTCCCGTATGGGAGAATGCTCGGGATCTGAGTCAGCTGGTGTCTAGATGCGCAAGGATGGCGCTGCTGAAGGGGCGCCTTATCCAGAAGAGGACCAACCACTCACCGCAAAGGGGACGGGAGGGTAGTTGAGCCTCAGAGTGCCCATGCTCGCCAGGTCCGATGGTGGAAAGGGGGTAAGAAAAGAGGGCTGGGAGGATGTTTGGAAGATCATTTTCTCCTTCTGGAAGGAGTTGAGGGGGGCCGTTGTTCGGACTTTTTCGGTCACCCCAATTGAATCTCCTTGCCCTCTTGGAGATAGAGGGCGTCTGTGTGTTTGTGTGTGTGCGCGGGTATGGTCGGTCATCTCGACAGGGCTATCCGGGGACGACACGACGCCGAGGAGGATCGCTGGCGCGGTCAGACGGGATTGTTATTGTTCCGGACGACACCTTGGTGGATGAGAAACCGTCTGAGAATGATCCGGGCTTGGAACTTGAAGGCGTCTCCTTCCTCCGAGGTCGGACGCTGTGCCTGGTTTACAAGTTTACCGACCCAGGTGAGGATGGTGATGACTGTCGTCGAACTGCAGTTCTCGCCCTTATGTAAGCGTCGTTTGGGCAGCAGGTTAGCGGGTGCGCCATTCTTACGATACCGTATTGCGTACGCTGATTCGGGACGATCCGTGTAATTACCGGGGAGTTGGTACGGTACGCGAACCCTGACCATGGCTGTACTCATGTCTACCATCATCAACGCTCTCCAATCGAGATCGCGCCCCACCGGCTGCAAACAGACCATGAGGAGATTGATCACGTCATCGACTTGCCAACGCGGAATCCCCTGTCCGCCCAAGAACCCCCACCAACAATCGCTGGAAACACGGAAACCAAGCTTTTTTTCGCAGCTTGACTCCAACATCCTCTCGGGCATGCCGAACTCCTGATTCAGGCTCCGACCCAGGGAACGGGCCCGGAGGCAACAACAAAAGGAGAACAACTGTACCACCAAAAACGCCGATGCTGAGCGCGGAATGACCGGCGAAGTCCGTAGCAAGGCTCCTTGGCCCTAGAACACGGCAAAGCCCTTCTAGAAGGATTCTGGAAGCCACTAAGAACGACTAGTGCCGCCGTGTCTCGTGTTTTTTCCGCCACAGGTGCGGCAGGGTTCCACCCCAGGACGGAAAGGGCAAATGCACCTGTGGGAAATCTCAACCAAGCTCCACGAGGTAAGTCAAGAGAGAACGACGACGAGAGAGCAGGTCGAATTGAAACACTATGGCGTCGGTCTGGCTCGGGCGGATTCACCCTCGCCTATTTTGCTCTGTGAAAGAAGAACGGGACAAGAAAAAAGGGGGGGGGGGGGGGAGGGACCGAAGCAAACATCCCGCAGGTAGCCCCTGCCGGAGGCATCATGCACGCTGTAAGTCCCCATGCACGCCATATTCCTCTTCGCCTAAGCGATGCAGAGCTGAAACCGAGCGGACGAAGATAATGAAAAGCCCCAAACACATTTCCCATCACGGAGCTCTGAGTTCCATAATGAGAGAAAGGGGAAAGCCCGATGAGGCCCGCGGATCGCATGGGCTTGGCGACGGTGAAATGTGGTACACAGTACTTTGTAGTCGAGATGCGACTTTCCACATACAGAAGATCCAAAATAGACACCACCGGAGTAGAAGAAGAAGAAGAAGAATAATAATAAGAATAATAATAATAGCGATAGTCATAGTCATAGTAATTGTAATCAGAATAATAGTAATAGTCATAGTCAAGATAAGAATGAAAAATCCAAAAATTGAAAATGAAAATTGTCGAAGAAAAAAGAAAGAAAAAACAATTCGATTACATGGAAATGACTCGGAGCCGACGGCTCTTTGGGGAGGAGAAGGATCACGGCCAACGCGGTTTGTTGAGTTCACCGGAAGATATCCACCATCCACGTTATTCGTAGCGACCAACGGTCGAGGGCGCCACAACGGGAGCAGAGTCATCGGTCCACGTGGCAGATGATCTACATGGGCTTTTTGAATTTTGGTCTTGGTCAAACGTCCGACGGCCAAGACGGTCGGACGCTCAGGTCGGACGAGTCAAGCGCATAGAAAGATGCGAGTCTACCTATCATTGGTTCTATTTAGGGGGTCCGGAGGGTATAGGATGGGGCATAGGGACAGGAGACTATCCAGCATTCAACCCACAGCCAGGGTTACATGCGCTGTTCACATGGACAATTAAGCGAAAGACAGGAGCAGCAAAAAAGTCCTGCGTCAAAGCCAAAAAAAAAAAAAAAATAAATGGGAAAAAAATATCCCCTGCGGCTAGTGGTGCTCGTCGAAGATCGTGATTTCTCTCCCACACATATATGTACATGACATGCATGGCCAACGGAGTGGATCCATCCCATGTGGCGATGTCATTTCCTCCTCGGGGCTCAGGTTAGGGTTTGCCAGCATCACGTAAAAAAAGTACATCACATACGAACGCAGATACTTTCATGTGTGCTGCTGGCCCATAAGTCCGAGTCCATCCCCAAAGCGCCATCAGGGGATCCATTGTGCGGCCCCTGTTGTTGTGGAGGATATCTGAGATCGCCAGCTTGATTGGCCGTGCGCCCTCGACTCCGGTGTTTCGAAGCTGCAGCTGTTGCGTGCTGACAGCCCCCGTTTAGAAACACCAACCAGTCGCTCTGTTGGGGGCCAGGGCTCTCTGTGTCTTTGTATCTGTATGACATACGCTTACTACTGGGGTGGAACTGCGCCCCTCGGTCTCTGCCCTTGTGCCTGCTCCCATTGTGCATGCCCCCTTGTGCATATCCCGCAAAACCCGGAAATTACCCATGTTGGTTGCTCTCTCTAAAGCCAGGAAATTTATGGATTCCTCAAATTTGGGCCTGGGCTACAGTAAGAAGCGCCAAGGCAGAGTGCCATGCTTGGCATCTCCGGCTTGAATCTTGTTACGCAGAACTATACTCCCTCTTCTCCCCTTCTTTTGGATATCATGTCGCCACCTTAGTTGCAAAGTGTCCCTAGTTGAAATCAATACCTCTACTCCTTTCCCCTATTTTCGCAAGGGAGAATTTTCCTTCGTCTTGAATCGATATACTCATTAGTGGTCTGTTTTTTGAGGAGGGGGGTCTTCGTTTCGCAGCCACGAGCAGACGCCCCCAGATCAACAGCCCAAGAAGGCTTGATCGACATGTATTCACCGGTAGCTCTGTGGCAACAGGGTTGAGCCTGATCGTCGCGAAAATGCAGGCCATGCAGGACTATGACGACTCCGAGTCGCAGGAATGTACAGAGTACGGAGGATAGAGTACATCAATAGCAAGAAACATTCTCGTGGGATCCACTTGGCCGATCCCTCCATGCGAATGCAATTGTATCTTCCCCAGGGCCTCCGATTCGAAGGCTGGGAAATCCGGCTTGAGATAATCCTCCGAACCAACATGCCACATTCGCTCCTGGGACCAGTCTGCTTTCCGGCCTAGCATCCTAGTCGGGGATCTAGTCGGAGATCTAGGTCCAGGAGGGAAGGTCAGTAACCAACCTGCTGCCTACTCCGACGGGCCGACTCGAGCGGGAGGTGGGGGATGTTGGAGGGGACAGAGAGAAGTGACGAGCACTGGGAGGGGGCAATTTTCCATTTGGCAATCCCCTAGCTTGCCGAAGATTTCCCCCGCCAGTGATATCTTTGTCCACTGGGCTGGTTGAAGTACGAGAACGAAACGCTAAACAACATCCCTGTAACGGTCAAGGCGGGGTTGGGATGCCCGCTTCCTCGCCTCATCGGCGGCTTGCGATCCCGGTGACTGCCGTTCCGTGATTGCAGTCATCTCCGTCTATCAGAACGGATTACAGCATCTATTGTTTATCCAAGAGGCGGGACTGATTTGCAAGGTATTCCTTGAACAAGAATGGCCGTGCTAATTCCTCGAACCTTGGGGTGTCTTCCGATGTTTCTTCTTCCGGATGCACAGAAAAAGAACAGCACTATTACAATGTTATCTAAGATTGACCGGCTTCGCTTGCGTCTGCAGAATCCCAGCAACTTTTCATGGCACTCATGAGCGCTGGTTTTCATCCTGTTCTATCCCCGGAGCTTGATCAGAAGCCTATAGCACTGGCCGTCACGGAAAGTCGGACCTCGGCCTTTGGTGACTCTGTTTCTTCGTCCTCCGGTTCCCTGTCGGTAAAGTCCCAAGGGGGGAGAAATCGGGGTTGCACACACCCCATCTGCATGTCTTTCTTAGCTTTGCAGCTTGTACACACGGTCGCTCGTGGTATCACTTGCGTTGGGGAGAGGAGACGGCGATATTTTGGGGATGGATCGTTTTCCATGGGCGCATTTGGACATGCTTTCCTCGCCCTGTCTACTGCCCGATACCCTAGTTGACCCGAAGTACTGATTACACATTGCAACTATACAATTCTCAGCCAAGTCACCCAGGCCCGGAGCCAACTCCTCATGTTACGGACAGACCCAGAGCCAGTCTCTTTCTGAAGGGCTAGAACGGAAAAAGGCTGGGCCTGTCGGTATTGTGGCCTCTGCTGTTCGTCAGGCATTTCTATTCCTTTCCTTCCATCTCTCAGGGCGCGAGAGACTCCAGGATACCGCCTCTCTACACAATATACGCCTTCCTAACCGGTACTCATTCCTCCGTCATCAGAGTGCCGACACGGGACTTCCAAATACACTTTCCACCTCCATCAGCCTGAGCTGCTTTTCCAGCCTCTTCCGTCCACGAGACAGACGATCTGCGGGCTGCAGCCAGCTAGATGGATTCGCAACGGCCCCGACGCTTCCTAGCGTTCCGGTATGAAGTCGCACTGGTTTCGCCTTCTGCGTCTTCTGCACGGGAGGTGCGGGTGGGGGGAAGATCCAGGATGATCGGGAGAGGAGAGGAGGGGCGTGTGGGCAACACCATGCGCGTGGTGCAGAACTGTGGAGTCGCCTCTGCCGGCAACGAGGCACACACCTCTTGGCCTTTTGTTCAAGTCCAGTATTTTCCTGCAGAGCCATGTTTCTTCGCCTGCAACCTCCGCGTGAACATGCAATGAAAACGCAAGTATCACTTGATCAACGAGCCAGGGGAAACATCACCCGCCCCGCCATCCACCCACGCGCCAGCACTAGGTTCCTAGGTGCATGCCGCTTGGAGATCCTCTCCCGCCAACGCTAAATGCGAAAAGGAAGGTATCTAGCTCCGACCAAGCTGCACCTGAATCCTTTGCAATCAAGCGGGAATAGCCGAGAAGCTCCTCGGCCTCCAGGAACTATAGCAACTCCCCCATCTTCTCTTCTCTGAGTACTGGAAGACGGAACGGGTAAAAAAGGAAGGGAAGAAAGAGAGAAAAAGAAAAAAAAAAGAAAAAAAAAACAAACAGACTCAGTCAAAACAAATAAGAAAGAAAAGCGCCCCCGGCTTTCTCCTGCGCACTGGCCAATTGCATGATCCTGCGGATTTCGCATAGCATCCCCGCTGTCGGGATACTGCATGCAGCGTAATATGCTCATCTTCCTACTACTCCTGCACCAGTTGCTGCGGGCCATGCAGAACTCTCTTCTCCCACGGGCACGCAGGGACCTCCCTGTTTCGTAGTGTTTTCCGCTTGTGGGTAATATTTCGAGAAACTCGGTGACATGTCACTTTCAACACATGGCAAACAGGCTGCATGATCGTGTGCGGGGCCAATCAAAGCTCCTGGTCGCTTGGGGGGCAAGATGAAGGGGCAATGGAAGGCTTGTCGGCAGGCTTTATGCACCGGGACATTGGGACTGGCTGCAGTCTGGGCCGTGATAGGGGAGAGGCTTACTTTTTGAGTGTATCTTTTTCTGTTGTCTGGATGTGGCCTGCATGGAAGGTCCCTGGTCGGTCTGTAAAGAAGCCAGCATGCTTGGCCGTATATATCTTCCGGTGAGAATCGGTGGGTTTATGGGTGTGTTTTTGTGACTAACAAAGGGCAATTAAGGTGACTGGCGTCGATACCCATGTAGAAGACAAAGTGGGGATAGAATGGCTGATGCCTGGTGAGGATCGGATACTTTCAAAGATCCACCCCCGATTTGGTCTACAGTGTATAACATATACTCGCCCACAGTAGACTGATGGGCGGGAACTATATACTCTCGTCTCTCGTCTCTGTGTCGCACTGTCACGCTCTCGCGCTTCCGCTTAAAAATATACTTTCTGCACTCATGAGCAAATACTTCTGCCGCAAGTCCTCTGACTTTGCTACCGTCCTTGTGTTCTGTAGCACAAAAGAGGAAGATGCTCGTTAGATCCTATCTTAGCACCAAGCTCTAACCTCACTCCATCAGCACGGACAAACCCCCGCGTATCATCGCACAAAGAATACACCATCCCACACGACCCCCGCCTCCGCCAAACTCAGACCACACCACCTTTGGGGCGTAGAGACGGCAAGGTGCAGGGCTCAGAGCAAGGGGGAAGAGGGGGTTGTGCTTGTGCACTCGATCGATAATCGATCGGCCAACCACTCTTCTCCAGACCACCGCTCTAACACGCTGCCAAGATCATGAGCGGCAGATGACATAGTGAAGGATGTGCTGGTGGGAGAGGGACCCGGGATTTGTGTGCGTAGTTCAAACACCGTCGGGGCGGGAGCGGCAGCAGGTCGTTAGGGCGGTCTTTCTTACAGGCGGGGGAGGGGGAGGGTTTGTGATGTATCTTGGTATCGGGTCGAGGTATTTGGGCAATCCGGACATATCTTCTCATGTATTTGACCAACTTGATGGGATACGGTCTCTTATCCTTTGTTCATTTTTATTTCATTTTTTTTGGTCTGTCTCGCAATTGGTTGAGCTGGTAGAATCTTTACCTGGCAGTTGTGTTATGGTTTCTGGGAATAAGCGGGCTTGAATACTTAAGAAGGTTTAGTTCAAGTGGTCGGCATGGGGTATTTACCACTGGATTTGGAGTTTACATACACGTACAGAGAATAGGAACTCTCTACCTGGTGGTATGAGGTGGTGTGGACAACTATACGATCTCCGCCGATAAGGTAGTTGGGCTGGTTGTCATGGAATGGACATAATGTATACAATCGAGCTCATTCATGGAGTCAAAGCTCTGGACTTCTGAAAATATACAGAATATGAGGTGGAGTCTGGCAGGGCTCTAGAGATTTAGATGTAAGCATCTAGCCACTATCCATTTACCGATGAACCAGGCAGTTTGGCTAAGATATGTTTTACAAATTCTGGAGCAGATGAAAGATGTAAAATTGGAGTAGCTTCTGAGGGGCACCTAGGAATTTAATCGAATATCTATATTCGAAGGCTGAATACCAATCACTATATATTGGCCGCGCTACGACTTGTGTCGCCCAACATGCTCGAGATTATTTGTCAAGCCATTCCTTATAGAACGAAGCAACCAACGAATGCATGCCAAATGCCTGCACACTATTAAATGGGGTTTAATTGGAAACGGGCGGCCTTCCACTTAATATTATCATTCAGTCTTACATTTAGACTACAATATATATACAAGGGAGAAAGTCGCGTGGATGCAATAAAATCTATGCCGGGAGTATAATGCACCTATGTATCATGCTCCAGAGGAATATCGAGCATAGTACTGAATAAATGGAATCCAGGTTTTTACTCCCGCCACCACTGTCCAAGGGAACTGCCTGTGCCAGCCATCTCAACAACCTCCTCGAAGCTGATCTCCACCCGGAACATTTGCCCGTCGGCAGTGCCATTGCCGCTGCCAACAGGCGTGACAAGACCCCACGAAACTAGTTTCTCCCACGACTCTCGCGCTACATCGCGGCCCCAGACACGGCCAGGTGTGGCGGCGGCACCGGAGACCGAAGCGGACGTTTTGGCAGATGTGAGAAGTCGCACGTATTCTGCATACGCGGCTGGGAAAGAAAGGGCAAGCGGAGAGACGCTCTGGGCCTGACCACCGTCGTTGCCGGGGTCGAAGAGGGCGGCGAGGCGGGTGGCAGCGAGCAGCAGGGCTAGTGGGAGAGAGGATGGGCTTGATGAAGCGGTGATAGAAGGTGAGAAGGGAAGGGGAGCTGGGTCCGGACATGACAGAGATTGAGACGCGAAGCTCTTTGGAACGGGGATTTGGAAGACGGGCTTGTCGGCAGCTTGAGTGCTTAGGTGAAGCTCGCTGATGGGGAGGAGAGCACTGGTTAAGAATTCTTTGACTGATTTCGTCTGACTGTAGATGCTCTTGAGATGGAACTGGAAGTCTTTGTCATTCCATAGATCCTGGAAAGGAAGGAGTTAGCTTGCATCAAAGCGTACTATGAATTAAGATGGGTGCTCACTGTGAGATATCCTTTCCACCCATCGAGGAGTGTTTTCCAACCAGCGGTTTCCAAAAGAGCTTTCTCAGGCCCGAGCGTATCTGAAAGGTGTTGGATTTCGTTATCATCGAGGTCTAGACCCGCTTTGCAGACCTCCGAGAAAATCTCGAAGGTTCTTGGGAGCGGAATATAGACATATCGATGACTGAAACGGCTCTTGACCCGCTTCTCTAGCATTTCAGTTACATCGACCTTGGTGGTAAGACCGAGGACCGCAATAGGTGCTTTTCGTGCCTGAGCAATGTCGAACAAGTTATACAGCAGTGTCTGCCTCGGATGAGTGACAAAGAGATCAAACTCGTCAAGGAGAATGATGATGGACTTTGCTGCCGTGACATTGTCACCCTTGCCCGAGGCTCCAAAGAGTTCTTCCGGGTGGGAAAGCATAGCCAGAAGAGTGGCCATTGTATCAGCATAGGAGCTGACTTTTGCAGCGTCATCCTCGGTGTTGGTCTCACGACCCAGCTGGCGCCACATCTCACGAAGAGCGAGGCGGTCGTCCGTGTGGAGGAAACCGTTCAGACGAACAACGTGGAAATCATTTTGGTGCTCTCTTGCTAGAGACGAGATGATCGTTTCTACAACGGCCGTCTTTCCCGATCCTCGTGACCCAAGGAGAAGCATTGAGTTACCTTCACCCACGGCCACGGTCTGCTCGATCAAGTGATTGACCTTATTATATTCACTTTCCAGTCCCTTCAGCGGGATTTGCCGTTTCCCAGACAATTTTTCGAGAAGAAAGGTCGTCAGGAATTGAACTTCGTCTTGTAAGCCCTCCTGGCAGAGACATTGTAGCTTTTGCACGTATTCAGGGAGAGGCTCAACGACTTCAGTCACCTGTAATTCCTCATTACTCTGCAGATCTTGTTGTAGTTGCATGGCGACGAGGTCGTCGAGACCATCGGCATACGCATCTGGTGAGGGAGACAGGTCTTTGTCGGGACCCTCTGCAGTTTCTCCATTCCTTGCGCCATTTGCCCTGGTTCTAGCAGTACTTCTTCTAGACCTTGTCCTTGACACCGAAGTAGTCGGCCTTGGAGACAACTCGTCAACATCCATCTCAAAGTCGTCGTCTTCACCTGGTCTCTGCTTTTGGGCACTCTTTGTCGCACGGGTACTCCGAGGCGTGGCGGCCGTCCTCCGTGTGGAAGAGGGTGTTGGCGCATCTTCCTCATATCTCAGAGGCGCTTTCCGTTGCCGTCCGCTGGCCCGTGTGCTTCTTGAAGGGGTCTCTGCAGCTTGCACTGGGTCCGTCTCGTCATCTTCCAAGTCATCGGGAACGTAAGTCGCCCTCCCGCGGGTGGATTGGCGCCGTGAAGCCTTTCCTCGGGGGCCACGGTATTCCTGGTCTTCGTCGGAGTCCGCGTCCGGCTCGGAGGATGATGGGGCTGAGTAGGCATCGCCGTCGCTTTCCATGGCAACGTCACCATCGTCATCGTGAGTGAGTTCTGGGGAGACTCTTCTCCGCTTGGATGCGCGGGGGTCTTTCATGTTGGGAGGTCTTGTCGAGTTGAGTTGCGCCGGGTATTATGGAGGGAATCGAGGTCGTCCGCGATCAACAGGGAGAAGGGAAGCGACTTTCCGGTTCAGGTCGAAAGCAATTGTCACAGGGCGATCCTGATACAGTCACAGTTTGCCGATTTAATTCTGTGTACTGTCCACCATGTCGAGCCAGGGAGGTGTTGTGAATAGGGACTTGAGCAGTCCTAGAAAAGGGATAGTTCAAGATACCCTAGCTAGACGGATTCGATAATTATGAGGCTTTCAACCTTGTCTGGTTCGTATCCGAAAAGCGAGGGAGATTGTCGAGTGACAGGCTCGATTGGAAGGCCGGGGAAGCTGTTGACGGTTCGGCAACAAATCGAGCATCTCGAGGCCCACGCCTGAGGCCGCCACCCGTGACGCGAAGTCAGGTGAGTAGTATGAGAGACGCGCAGAACAGCATGGTTCTCCCCAACAAAGACCAAATTGTGACGATGCCGGATTTAGCAATGATGAGATCGAGAATATCATCTCTTGGTTTTGAAATACTCTTTATCGGAGGCGGTAGGGTCAGCGTCAGCCACTATGACAGCCGCTACACCTTTTGAAGTCTTAAAACCACAAGTTACAAGATGAGGGGAAACGATGCGCTCAAGAGATTGAACACCAAAGGCCGGCATATCAAATCGGATCTCCACGATTGAATTTCGGCCGGGCACTTGTGCTCGGCCAAACATTTGGCATCTCGGAGGGTCCCAATTCCGCCGGCTGATCTCAGCCGAGGTTCAACTCGCCCGAGCAGATGCGCAGTGCCGTGGGCAACCAGTAAGCAACTCGTAAAGCCACAACGCTCTTTCAACCGGACACAAAACTCCCCTCTCCATTAGACTTCATTTCCGTTATCTGAATATATACCACACTTACGCGAACCCGCACACCCTACATACCATGCCTGAAACGGGGATCCAGCCTCCGGCGCGGAAACTCGACGAGTTCGAGCAGCTCGTCTATGATTATACGGGGCGTATGGGCCTGGGGAGCGAAGAGGTGAGTTTATAACAGTGGATTTCTATAATTCAGGATGCACCAGGCTCCCTTTATCGTTTTGTCTCGCCCAGGATACGTGGCTAACCACCTTGCGCCAGCACTGGGATGTCGACGGCCGCAAATGTAATCTCCGCTTCGAATCCGCGACTCGTGGGCCCCCAGCCAAAGTCTCGTTCCTGATCACCATCACGCCGTCACTAAGCAACTACTTGGGCAACCTACATGGCGGCTGTGCTGCGACGCTAATTGACGTTCTATCTACGACAATCCTGCTCGGAGTATCGGAACCGGGCAAATTCTCGTTCGGCGGAGTGAGTCGTAACCTCAAGGTGACTTACCTGCGCCCGGTGCCGACGGGCACGGAGGCACGCATCGTATGCGAGATAGTCCATGTGGGGAAGCGGTTGGCGCTCTTACGGGCGGAGATCCAGAAGGCCGATACCGGTGATCTATGTGTGGTAGGCGAGCATGAAAAGGCCAATACCGACCCGGAAGTGACCCAGCGGATCTAAGGGAAAGAGACAGACTGGCAATGTTGATATTAACACGGTGTGAATGTGGTCGCAGAGAGGCCGAGGGAGAGCAAAGAGTAGAGAATCCTGCCTGGAGGATGTAAATATGTAGAGAAATCATCGCATTTGATACCTTGCTTGTTCTTTTTTAGTTTCTCTTTCTTCTCTTCCCTTATAACGATCTCGATATAAACTTGAAACTCCCAATGGCATGTAAAATGAAGGATAAGAGACAGGTATATTGCACTTGCTACAACCTCCTGGTTTGATTGGACAGAGCAACCGAGTGCTCAGAAGCGAGAAACAAAGAACAGAGAGCATCAAACATGTCCAAGGGAAATATATTCAATTCAGCATTTAAGCAACGATAGATCCTCTCATTCGCAAAGGGCCGGGGATAGTCGCTCTGCTCTCTTTTACTCCTGAGCAAGCGCCTCACCCTCCCGAAGTCCCTCAACTTTCAGCTCCTCGCCGGTAGCGCGGCGGTACATATCCCGCACGTCGTCTATAAAATCCATACATTAGTATCATACGCAGATGATGGATGGAGTTGAATGAAATGACTTACCGGTTGTAGTCTCGAAGTGGGATGTAGAGTCGTAGCTCTTGGAGATAAAGATGTTGTCATTCTCGCCGCTCTCCAGGGGTTCGTAGATGGGGATCGGGGGACCCATGAACTTTTCCTCGATCGCACCCAGGCGCTCGAAACCTGGCTCGAGCTCAAGGTGGTGGTTGGCATCGTTCTCGGCAATGGTGGAAACAATGGCAATGTAATACCCCTTGGGGCAGACGTTGTGAGCGGCCGAAACCATGGCAATGTAGATATCTGTGGACAAGAGGGATCAGCAAAAGCGAAACAGAATTTGCAAAATCATATAGATAGCAGTGGTACTCACCATGCTTGCGTCCAACCTGGGACTGAGGGATGATCAGCTGTAGCGAATCGCTGCCATCAGTCTTATCGATGGGGTGCTTCAAGATACAGATAGCCTTGAGCAGATAGCCAGAAACCTTGACCTTGTTGGAGAAATAGGAAGGATCGGCAATGATCTTCTTGGTCTTGGTCTCAAACTTCATGGCAGTGGTCTGCTCATGGGGATCCTTCATGGTGGCCTTAATGCCAGAGACCTTGCCATCTTCGTAAAGAACCTCATCCACATCCGTGTTTAGCATGTAAGTACCACCGTAAATGGCAGACAGACGTGCGAAGCCCTGGGGAAGTTCACCCAGACCGTAGAGGGGATAAATGTAAGGCGACTTGCCGTAGCGAGCCATGGAGTTAACATAGAGGCGGATGCGGTTGATAGTCTCGACGGCGGCACCAGCCTGGTTGATATACTCGTCGGAAGGGTACAGGGCCATAGAGTGGCCAACGAAGTCCCGGGTGTTGTCCTCGAGACCGAACTTATCATAAACCTCCTTCATGGTGCAGGATTTGATGTTGAGACCTGATCCGAATTAGCTACCGTCTCCAAAGACCACCTAACCGTAGATGCACCGACCTTGGTGAGAAGAAGGGTCATCCTCTTTGAAGTCTCCAACCCACTCGAGGAACTTCTTAGCACGTCGCTTCTCGAACAGACCCATCAAGGAAGAGCGAAGAGCCTCGCCGGCATCAGAAGGCACCTTCGCCACAGTCGCCTTGGGGCCCTTGCCTTGCTGAACATAGCTGCCCGCGATCTGCTTGAACTCCAAATATCTCGTCACATCGGTGGAAACCAGAATGTTTGTGAGCTCGCCGTTGGCCATGAGTAGCTTCGGGACGAGATCGATGTTCCAGTCGTTGACGCGGCCGTACTTCTTCCAGGGCTCCTCGCCGGGGCGAACATTGCCGTATTTCTTGAATAACTGCAGAGGATATTAGCCGACAATAACCACTTGTGGTGGGATAACATAGCATACAGTTTCGATGTTCACAGAGGCCGCCTCGCTGGGGCAATTGTTAGCTATTTTGAACAGTGGCGTGGTTGGCAGGGAGCTCCGAGGTCTACCTACCCTCCGTAGTGGTCATTGCGATCGATGTGGAGGACCTTGTTACCCTTCACACTCAGAACACTGTAGCAGGCAGCCAGATCAGAATATATCTCGGTAAACATGCAGGGGGACGTATCTACTTACCCAGACAGCACGCACTCGGTCAAACCTGGAAGGGGGAGGTGTTGTCAGTATTGGGAGGCATTCAGGAATGGCGGGGTAGCAACGCACCAGTACCCAGCACCACGACATCGTACTCTGGCGCAATTTCATCCATGGTGGATACGCGAGAATGAAGAACGAAACAGCAGAAAATAGAGGAAGGTGGAGGAATATGCCGGAGGCAAATGTGGAAAGAAAGGAAGAAGGTTCTCCTGGTAGCTTGTCCCCGCGGATCCACGAAGCGGTAAGAAGGGGACTATTTGACGGGCCCGCCGCTAGTGAGTTTCCTCAGAGACCACCGCGCCCCCTCAGTCGGGATTATGGCCCTCTTGAGTTTGAAATTCCTGATTATATTAATACCGGCCTGTATGATAATTGCCCCCACCCCCCTTTTTAGGACCTATGTTCAAGGTCACCTCATCATTCAGATGGGCTTTACGCCCCTGAAGGATCCCAGAGTGGCCTAGACAACCTACTAGGTATGGGCCAACAACGCAATACAGAGTGTCAAGAGAATCGTTGATATTTTACATGCAAAAGTACTAGAAAAGATGGAACAAAAAGACTATTGCTACAAAATGGAAATTCCGAGCCTCACCATAATTGGTCTCGAGTGGGCTCGATTATGGCTTGCTGTCCTTCAGGCTGGCGGCATCCTCCTTGAACGGGTCCTGAGCCGGAGCCTCTTGCTCCATGGTATCTTGCTCTGAGGCGTCTTGGTTTTGGGGACGATAGCCCTTAGCGTACACACGGCTGGCCTCCTCCCAAGAATGCCAGCGCTCACGCAGAACATGTTTGATGCTCTTCTGAGTGATAACGATCTAAGATAGAGGGTCGACTAGTCAGCACGATGTCCAATCTTCCGCCAAAGAAAAGGAAAAGAAAGGTCGGGAATAAGACAAGCAGACAGCCCGCAATAACATCACCGGAGGATAGGTTGATATCTTCGGGAGAAATGGTAGAGATGGGTATGGATGCTGTCAGAAACATAGGCAAGCACACTTACAGCGCGATCACGCTCATTGGACTCGTGGTCACCATATCCAGCCTTCAGTCGGTTTCGCTCCATGTTCGAGGTCGCAATACGGTTGCGCTCCTTAACACAAACCCACCACAGCTTATGTAGGTCATCCCAGCTCTTCTCGCGTAGTTCTTGAATAGCCCACGGACGGCCTAGCGATACCAATCGTCTCAGTACCATTCATAGAATAAGACACAGCATATCCAAACAGATTCACATACCAAAGTCCGCATCGAATTCCGGGATACTTAATGCCTCGCGTGATGGCGGGAAGAAGCCCCAGAGACCATGAACAGGAGTCTTAGCTCGCTCCTTCATTTTCTCCGGCGAGACAGGCTGAGGCAATGGGTATTTCGAGGCGCTCAGCTTGAATCTAGTACCGGTCCGGTGAATCGCAGAGACACCCCGGGTCCTGTTCATGTCGCGTCCACGGCCAGCGGCGACGGGAGTCGTAGAGAAGCTGGAGGACTGCACAGGGGACCGGGACATCGAGAAGTGAAGGGATGGCGCCAAATAAGGGGGAGGTAGCTCAGCAAGCACAACCCCCCCATATTGGGCCAGACGGGCGATCGATGCCCGATGCATTGTGGTATATTGCGTGGGTTTAGAGTAGTCGGGGATGTTGCTTGGGCTGCTTTTTTTCGGGGCTCGAAGGCGGTCGGTCACGTGGGCGTTTGGCGGCAACTCGAGGTGCGCCCGCTTTCGCAGTTGTTTCCAAGCGACCAAGCAAAGATTCACTCCAACTCGTCTTGGACTCGAATTTTTGCGAGAGCGTGATTTTTCGGACCGAGCGCTTTCTTGATCTCATCGCCTTGGAGGTCATTTCACAGCATCTTTGGGCTGGCCTGTGCTTCCTTAAGCATCCGCGCGCCTAATCACCCAATCGATTCACTCCACCTCCAGGCGGAGCAGGTGCCGCATCAAGTTGCCCTCAAAAGACCGATTGTGGACTGTGATCTCCCCACGGATTTCTTTCTCGGCCTGATATTCAACCGGTCATTTGCCTCCGACTGATCTCAGGGAATTTCTGAGACTGAGTCGCTCAACTTGTACTCGAGTTCCCAGTTATGAATAGACCAGGTTCGTCATTTTCTTTATTATCTTTGGTGGCTCTCGCCCGGTTTGCTTTGTCGTCAAGGAAATGCGCGACAAATCCAAAATCTATTGCCCTCTCGCTGCATTACCCGGAGAAGACGTAACGTGATCTCTGAGGATCCGATCGTGGAGTTGACGCTCCAATGGGTATCGAGATGGGCTCGGCCATTTCCTCTCGGTTGCGACCGAGACATTTTTTGTGAAGACCCAGTCGACGCATTCTTGTGTCGGGTCTAAGCATGGGTGCTCTGGCTTTCTGGTTTGAGACAATGAAGATCATGCTGACTCCTTGTGTTCTCTGTGCTAGGACCAGGCCCGCAGCCGCTACGAGGCATGTCTGGATTCCCCGCGCAACAGCAAGCACAAGCTCGAAACGTCTCATTGGCCTCCACACGATTGCCAAATGGAAAATTAGGTATGACATGGGATCCTTTCCAATCTTTCCATTCTCAGGGATTTGATACGACGATCGAGCGCGGGTACTGATAACTGGGGGCTATAATCCAGGTGGCGCAGCCAATTGGAACTTCAACCTCCCCGGAACATCTACTCTACAAAGTAACCAGCAACGCACGATGGGTACGATGGGCACGATGGGAAGCTTCGCGCAAAGCCTTGGTGGGTCCCAGCCGGCCGCACCACTAGATTTATCGTGAGTGAATCCCTGTGGCTGTGGGATCGGATCAAGTGGCGCCGCCTACCGAGTCGGTCGAGCTCACAGAATGTTTTGAAAACTAACTCGAGGACGACCTTTCTAGTGAGTTCCCTTCTCTATCAGGCGCGCCACAGCAGTCACAATCCCAGAATCCTGGGCAACTCGTGTGGGCCAATGCGAGTCAACGAGCTGCACAGCACACCCCGGTTCAGAGGCAACAGCACCCTCCAACGTCGCAACCCCCTTCTCGAGCTTCGCAGACTCAGTCACACCCCGCTCAGCAACCGTCCCAGCCTCCTCATGATAACATGTTTCCTTCCGGTGCCCAATTCGCGAATCGGTTGGATGACTTCAGGAATGGCGGCCAGGGCATCAGTAGCCAGCTAGGGGCAGTCAGTCAACCGCAGACAGGCAACATTGATGAGTTCCCTCCGCTGGGCCGAAATGTCGCTGCCGAACTGGTTCAAGACCGTGGAAGCTCACTGATGCAAGGTGCGAGCTTTGGGGGTTACAACACTGGTATGGAAATGGCACACTCTTTTTATATGTCGGAAAGATCAAATGGCGATCGGAGGAACTGACGGCAGTGTTTAGGTATTGGGACATCACGGTCACCGGTTAACCAGGGGCCTAATGGGGTGCTGGGGGAGAAAGAAGTAAGTAGATTGGCGATCGTCTTAGCAGGCCCCGCACTCACACCGACCGACTTCAGCAGGACTTAAACAACACCCTGATGTCAGGTCAACGCAACTTCAGCGATCCGCAACAACAATTGCAACAAAGACAGCAGCAATCAAATGAGGGCCAAGAAGTAGCCGCTACTTCCCAGAGTGCGGAACAACCGCCTCTTGCGCAGATGAGCGAGTTGGACCGGTTCGGACTGAGTGGCCTCTTGCGCATGATTCACAGCGAAAGCCCCGACGTGGCCAGTCTCGCGGTCGGCCAAGATTTGATGACTCTGGGTCTAGACTTAAATCAGCCTGAGTATGCGCCTTTCTTTTTGTTTCAATTTAACTCGAACGTTTGCGCTAACAAATCCGGGCATTTTAGACCTCTCCACACCTCATTTGCCTCGCCTTTCGTATCCTCTATGTCCGCTGTCCCCCTGGAACAGGACTTCTCTTTGCCTGCATGCTACAATGTTGCCAACATCCAACCTCTTCAGTCGCGAATTCCCGGGTTCAGCGACGAAACTCTTTTCTACATCTTCTACAGCATGCCTCGTGATATTATGCAGGAGTTGGTTGCGGAAGAATTGATGGGTCGTAAGTGGCGGTATCACAAGCTCGAGCGATGTTGGTTGACTCGCGATGAAACCTACCCTGGCCCTGTCGACGTGGAACGCGGTGTGAGCGAGCGTGGAGTCTACCTTCTATGGGACCCAGCCAGCTGGAAGAAAATTCGGGTATGTTTACAGATTGCGCTATGTTTTCCGATCGATTGAATTAAGTTGCTGACGCGATGACGAACTCGATAGCGCGAGTTTATCCTCCGATACGAAGATTTGGACAACCGACTGGATCCCAACCGCGGAGTGACCCGCGCAGCTGTTGGGCCGACACATTCTTCATGAGTAGAAAGACTGGTGGAGCCAAGTACGGCATGGCGGACACTAATTTACTTGATCAGCAATGGCGTTTGGCTGTCTGCTTTCTGTAATGTTCCTCAAATGGGTGGCCGAAAGTACAGTGCCGTTCGGGATGTGGGCGCACTTGAATTTATGGGGATTCTACATAGGATATACGGGAATCAAGACATGATCTTGCCAGATTTCATTTCGCATATTTGCAACAAATCCCTAAGAGACAGACATTTCTGCTCAGGTGCAGAATTTGGCTTTGCGCCTGCGCATATAGTAGTAATGTGAAGGCATGTAAAAAAGCATCCTGAACTAGTTGAACAATCTCCGCCAGCACAAGCACAGATGGCCGGCAATTCACCTAGTTTGCCTTGCGGGCAGTGGAAAGAATAGCGGTCCACTCCATGGCCATTTCTCCATCCTTCCCATAGGTACGTTCGAGATACTGCTGCAGGCCGCCAACAAATTCTTCCTGTCTTTCTCGTTGTTCTTCTGTCCAGAAGAACTTGGTTATCATTGGAAACATAACCGCAACCATCTTGCTGAAATCCGGTACAGTGAGTGAGATCGCCTGGGTGTTCGGCTGCACTTGAATGTCTTGGAGCCCACGCTCCTTCAGCTGAGTTTCGATCCAGGACACCGAGTCCCATTCACCGCTGCCTAGTACCTTGAGAAATTCTTTAGAACTAGGGAATGGGAAATTCCCGGGAATGACCTTTGCGGCCTGTTGGACAACGGAGATCCAAGCAGCTGTCATGATGTCAGACATCAAGTATCCATTTGAATGGCATCGATCAACTACGGGCTACTCACGGTCTATCCACGTCGAGAAAGCAATTGTGCCCCCAGGCTGTAGAATTCGAACAGATTCTATTGATTAAACAAGAATCATTAGAAAATCTCTTCGAACTAGGATAGGGCACGTACCATCAAGAGCAGAGAGTGATTTCGGACATCCCATATAAGCTATTTTCCGATGGAGTTAGTTACGCCGTGCACACAACTTGAACTTTGCTCTAAGTCAGAATGCTGAGTATAATCCTTACCAAAAGCAGTGATAACGTGGGTGAAATGTGCTGTAGGAAGCCCAGTGTCCTGGGCATCCACGAGTTTCACCTCTGTGTTCTGCCAATTCTCATTTTCCATACGAGACTTTGCCCACTTGAGCATGCCTGGCGAGGTATCTCCGCATGTCAACTTCCACCTGCTCTTCACCGTATCATCAAGTTCACGGTGCAGGATGTGGGAGACAACCGCAGTTCCGCATGCATTGTCAAACACCACGAGAGATCGGTCGGGTGTGGTTTTGGAGTCTGCGACCATGCCAGTCTGGTCTAACAGAATTTGGGCAAATCGACCGGTAATATGCTCGCCCGTCTTGTACTGACTGACGAACTTGTCATCATCGAACATAAATCCCCATTTTTGTTGGGATGCCATGGTTGAAGATGGGCGTGAAAGAAACTGGAAAGGACAATATTAAAACCTGCGGAGGCTATGGGGTAGAATAGAAACTCGTAATGCAGAAAAGGAATTCCGAATCATGATCAAGAGAAGAGAGAAATAGAAATCCTACGCGCTGTACAGTCTTTTATATGGTTCAAGCCTTCTCAATGAGTCTTCAGTCATCGGCAATTACTCGTTATGGGGTGCCTTAAACCACAGAAAGTGTCCGAGAATGTCTCCGCAGACACGAAGGACGTGGGGGCGTTTAAGTTCGAGTAGTCCTGTCATGATTTAAACTAGCCTTGTTGGAACTTTAAAGCTATCAATTGGATGGTGGTGATGTCAGATTACCCCTATGGCGTCTAGCCCCAAGTACCTCCAGAGACAAGGTACTGGGGATTGGTCAAGCATTTCTTGGGAATTGACGGATTTGGTAAGCCCATACGAGCAGGCCTGTACGAACAGGTAAGGGGGTAAATGAGTAAGCCCAGAAACCTGACTATTGACCACACTAAACACAACTTGAAACCACGGAGGCTGACGGAGACTTTCGATCAAAAGAGACCGAAAGTATAACTTGCGCATGTACTGACCACGTGATATGTGCTGATTACATCATCTAGATGGCGCCAGGCCCGAACGGGCAAACCATAAACACCTGATTTGCGGCAAAACAATCGCGCCCCTCTTTCTGTCTCCTCCCCGACATTCGATGTACTCCGCCAGCGAGCCGACTCGCACTCACCACCATGCGGATCACCGAAATTGTGATAGACGTGAGTCGCCTAAGGAAATTGAGTTGATCGCCTGGAGATGCTGACCTGGACGACCTAGGGTTTTAAATCATACGCCGTGCGAACGGTGATCTCGGGATGGTGCGCCGGCCTTCTTCGTCTGCTTGGGACGCCATGACAGAGCAAATCACAAGCGCAGTAGACTGACAGCAGATTATAGGGATGACTCCTTCAACTCGATCACCGGTCTCAACGGTTCCGGTAAATCAAACATCCTCGATGCGATTTGCTTTGTTCTCGGCATTACGAACATGAGCACGGTCCGCGCGCAGAACCTTCAGGATCTCATCTACAAGCGCGGCCAAGCTGGCGTGACGAAGGCCAGTGTTACGATTGTTTTCGATAACCGAGACACTTCCAAGTCGCCGATCGGCTTTGAGGAATATGCCAACATCTCTGTTACACGTCAGATTGTCCTTGGCGGCACCAGTAAATACCTAATCAATGGCCACCGTGCGCAACAACAAACGGTTCAGAACCTATTCCAAAGCGTCCAGCTCAATATCAACAACCCGAATTTCCTGATCATGCAAGGTCGCATTACCAAAGTCCTGAACATGAAGGCCGTCGAAATTCTGTCAATGATCGAGGAAGCGGCAGGCACACGGATGTTTGAGGATCGGAGAGAAAAGGCGATCAAGACAATGGGCAAGAAGGAGTTGAAACTTCGTGAGATCGAAGAACTTTTGAAGGAAGAGATCGAGCCAAAGCTTGAAAAGCTTCGATCGGAGAAGCGCGCATTCTTGGACTTTCAACAAACCCAGAATGATCTGGAGCGATTGACCCGGCTTGTGGTCGCTCACGACTACGTGCGTGGAGGTGAGCGGCTCCGCGTTGCTGGCGAGGAATGCGACAATAAAAGAAACAAGGTCCAGGCGCTGGAGGAGAATGCGGATAGGTTGAAGAGCGAAATCACACATTTGGAAGAGGATGTCCAGCGGGTCCAGGCAGCGCGTGACAAGGAACTTCGCAAAGGCGGTAAATTCCAAGGCCTTGAAGATGAAGTCAAGAATCACTCTCATGAGCTTGTACGGTTGACGACTGTGTTTGATCTGAAGAACGCAAGCTTGGATGAGGAGAAGGAGAAGAAGAAAACCGTCCAAAAGACTGTCAACGATCTGGAGAAGGTCCTTAAAGAGAAGAGAAAGATCTATGAGAAACTTCAGGCTCAATACGATACCGCAAAAGCAGAGCTCGATGCGCAAAATGTTGAAGTGGAGCAAAAGGAAGAGTTGCTTCAAACGCTACAGACAGGTGTTGCGTCGAAAGAAGGCCAAGAAAGTGGATACCAGGGACAATTGCAGGATGCACGAAACCGAGCCAGCGGAGCCGCGACCGAACAAGAACAAGCGAAGCTCAAGATCAGTAACTTCGAAAAGAGGATCAAGGAAGAAGAGCCGCGGGCCAAGAAGGCCAAAGAGCAAAACTCCGGTCTTTTGAAGGAACTAGAAGGCTTGAAGTCACAGGCTAAAAAGCTCGAGGGGGAACTCACTCGACTTGGCTTTGAGCCCGGTAAAGAAGAGCAGATCTACGAGGAAAAGTCTGAACTTCAGCGAGATATTCGCGACCTCCGCCAACGGGCCGATGGTCTCAGGAGGAAGGTTGCAAACATCGATTTCAACTACCAAGATCCCTCTCCCAACTTCGACCGCTCAAAGGTCAAAGGACTGGTTGCCCAGCTCTTTACTCTGAACAAGGATCAGGTTCAAGCTGCTACTGCTCTGGAGATTTGCGCTGGTGGACGCCTGTACAATGTGGTTGTCGACAGTGCTGAAACCGGTACTCAATTACTCCAAAGGGGAAAGCTCCGCAAGCGTGTAACCATCATTCCTTTGAACAAGATCTCGGCCTTCAAGGCATCAGCGGAGAAGATTGGAGCTGCTCAGAAGCTTGCCCCTGGCAAGGTGGATCTTGCTCTGTCGCTGATTGGATATGATGAGGAAGTTATTGCGGCGATGAACTATGTCTTCGGCAACACTCTCATCTGTAACGATGCCGATACTGCGAAGAAGGTCACCTTTGATCCTTCCGTCCGGATGAAGAGCGTTACCTTTGATGGCGATGTCTATGATCCTAGTGGAACCCTCTCCGGTGGAAGTTCCCCTAATTCTAGCGGCATGCTTGTTACTCTACAGAAGCTTAATGAGATCACTAAGGAGCTGAGGAGCAAGGAGCGTCAACTTGCCATGTTGGAGGAAAACATGAACAGAGAAAAGAAGAAGCTAGATGCTGTTCGGTCCATTAAGCAAGAGCTGGATCTCAAGACCCATGAAATCAAGCTCACTGAGGAGCAAATCAACAGCAATTCCTCTTCATCTGTATGTATACTGATCTTTTGCCTGGTCTTTACCTTCAGAATCCTCTCTCTAACTGACTAAAGATCCTTCAAGCCGTCGAGGAAATGAAGGCAAACATCGAGCAGCTGAAGAAAGATATTACCGATGCGAAGGCCCGCCAAACAGAGGCAGCAAAGGACATCAAGCGTATTGAGAAAGATATGAGTGAATTCAACAATAACAAAGACAACAAGTTGGCAGAGTTGGAGAATTCGCTTAAGGCTCTAAAGAAAAACCTCAGCAAGAACTCTGCTTCTGTCAAAGAGCTTCAAAAAGAGTTGCAATCTTCTCGCCTCGACTCTGAGCAAGTTGGTAGCGACCTTTCTGCTGCTGAAGAACAGCTAGCAGAGTCAGACAACACGTTGAAGGCTCAAGTTGAGGAAATTGAATCACTCAAACGAGAACAAGCACGACTGAAGGTAGATTCATTCCTCTTTCTCTTAATTGGACATGAAACTGACTATTGTAGGATGCCCATGACATCGCTCAGGCCCAACTCGAAGATGAAAGAGCTAGACTTACTGGCTTCGATGATGAGTTGCGTGAGCTTGAAACTGCAATGAAGAACAAGTCTTCCCAAATCACCGAAGAGGGGTTGGAAATGCAGAAGCTTGGTCATCAGCTCGAGAAGCTTCAGAAGGACCAGTATAATGCGTCCCAGGCAGTCTCCCACATGGAGCAAGAGCATGAGTGGATTGCGGATGAAAAAGAGCAATTTGGGCGTCCGAATACCCCATACCACTTCCAGAACCAAAATATTGCCGAGTGTAAATCCACTCTGCGCAACTTGACTGAGCGGTCACAGGGTATGAAAAAGAAGATCAACCCGAAGGTCATGAACATGATCGACAGCGTTGAGAAGAAAGAAGCCGCCCTGAAGAACATGATGAGAACGGTCATCCGCGATAAGAGTAAAATCGAAGAGACCATCTTAAATCTTAACGAGTACAAAAAGGAGGCCCTCCACAAGACGTGGGTCAAGGTCAACGGTGATTTTGGTCAAATCTTCAATGAGCTTCTACCAGGCAGCTTCGCCAAGCTTGATCCTCCCGAGGGCAAGGACATTACCGATGGTTTGGAAGTGAAGGTATCCCTGGGTAAGGTATGGAAGCAGAGCTTGACAGAGTTGAGTGGTGGACAACGGTATGTATTCAGGTGGCAAACCCCTCTTTCTTTTGGTTGGTACTAATTTCCAATTGTATCACAGATCCCTCATCGCTCTGTCCCTCATCATGGCCCTCCTTCAATTCAAGCCTGCGCCAATGTACATCCTTGATGAGGTGGACGCCGCACTGGATCTGTCCCACACCCAAAATATCGGACGTCTGATCAAAACACGCTTCAAGGGATCACAGTTCATTGTGGTTTCCTTGAAGGATGGCATGTTCCAGAACGCGAACCGCATCTTCCGCACGCGGTTCAGCGAGGGTACCAGTATTGTTCAAGCATTAACCCCCGCGGATATGAAATGAGTACGATGAGCCGTGCTTGCGAGGATTTTGTATGTCATGGTCGCTTTTGCGTTTTTGGTGTATTGATCTCATCCGGTGCGAAGCATTGATTTTGCGGCCTTTTGGTGTGTGGCAACTGGTGTTTGTGGTTTTTCAAGCCCTCCTTGGTCTGGGTTTTGCTGGGGTTGGGAAGGGATATTTATGATCTATGCGCGTTGATGGCTTTTTGATTCTCCAGAGCCGGAGTCGTTTAGGTTCTCTTTATAGAATCCTCGTATTCGTGTAAATCATTTCTTTTTCTCCTTTTTCTTCTTGCTCTTCTTGCTCTTCTTGCTCTTCTTGCTCTTCTTCTTCCTGTCCTCTACATTATTTTCATATTGGATTTAAAGCCTCTTGGTGAGTAATGTAGCAACATGTACTGTTCGGGTGCTGGTCCTATCTATAGATTCCATAGTTGTCCTGGAGCGGTAACAAAGGTAAGTTCTCAGGTCAGGCACCATGCAAGACGACCCTCCGAGAACCGGACCTGAGATGCACCAGGGAGAGGGCGTGAAAGAGCCTCTGATCTTTTCTTTCTTTTTCTTATGCTTTTGGATTCGTCCTGTTCTTCCATTGCTCTCATCGTTGAATTGGATGCTCGGAGTCTTCAGCGCCGGCACGTGCAGTCGTCGCTCTCCCGACCCGAAACTCCCGTCCGACGCCGCCACCGACTCTTGCGCCTGCATCGCCTGCACCGCTTCGACAATTTCGCGAGGTTCCTGACGTGTGCGCTCCCCATCCTTTTCCAAAATCCCAGTCGCATCACAACATCCCATCCATACGCCCCTTCGCCCATCCCACACGACCTCTTACCTGACCCGGGATTGTTCCGCCTCCGCGACTTGGCCACTTAAAGCTTGGAAAGCTGAACCTAACTCAACTCCTCCCAACCGCGAACCCGCGCCCAGTGGCTGAAGCACAATGCAAGAAGATGAGCCTTCTTTGAATATCCCGTCCCTTTTAACACTTGCGGTCGTGTCATTCTTCGTTCTACGATGGTTCTTCAACCGCGACGAGGGTCCCGCTGCCGGCGGTCGCCCCCGCGGTCGTGGGAATGCTGTCGACCCAGCCCAGGTCGAACAGATCTCCCAGATGTTTCCCCAGTTGAGCGCCCGTGATATCATATGGGATCTCCAGCGCAATGGCGGCAGCGTTGCGGCAACGACCGAACGAATCTTGACTGGACGGGGATTGGAAACGGTATGTTGTTGTCTAGGTCCTGTCATCGCAGGCTCCCTTTTCCGAGGGCATATATTTGGACTTCGCTGTCGGGGAGCCGCTGGTGGAATTTAATCATCGCTGCATGTTGTCTCGTACTGACTTTCTGATGCTGTCCAGCCTCCCCCGTCATTCCAACCCCAGATCCCAACTCCCTCCGCGAATGCCGCTACCGCTCAAACTACGTCACGGACGGTACCGGTATCCAAGGCAGATGGCCAAGACTTGATCTCTCGGTATAACTTGAGCGCCAAGCTCGCTGAAGACAGCGGCGTTGAAGCTCCTCCAGCTACACCTTCCAGCAGTGCCTGGTCCCAGAATAAAGAAGAGCGCCAACGTCTGCTGCAGAAACGCCGAGACGAGATGATCCTGGCGGCCCGGAAGAAGATGATGCAGAAAGAGCGGGGCAATATCCAATGATTCGAATATTCGCACTCATTAAATAGCGGCGAGTCTTATTTACGGCTGTCATGCATGGGTTGGTCCTCCCACCTGCGATATATCCGAAGACCACTGTTCATCGCAGGGTATCTTCTGTTTCATTTCCAACTCCCTTGGTGTTGCTCCCCACTCTCGTTTTGTATTAGAGCGCTTTTTTCGCATGCTGTATGGTGTTAGGTAAATTGGACCAGCCTTGGTTTGTCGCCGGTAGTTCTCCAAGTTTGTTAAATCAGGTCAAATCGGGTATATGACGTCTATATACATAAATATCGGTTCTTAAGGATGGTGGGGGGACGGTCCGTGTCACAGATGCACCTGAACTCCAATTGAAATGGCCAAAAACAGTTCCCATGCATTAAAACTCCATGTAGTCTTCTTCTTCGTCATCCTGGGTCCCATTGTACCCGCCATTGGCTCGTTGCTCCGCCAGTTGTTCGCGCCTGGCTTGTTCTTTCGATGCGCCAATCTTCCTGGAATGCAAGTTAACAATGAAATATTCCTTGGCTGATAGAAACATACTGTATTCCACATCACATACCTGAGACCATCGACAACGCCACTTAAGAACCCACGCTCTTCGCCCAATTCCATCGCACCCACACCTGTTAATGCAACCCCGCCCCCGCCTGTTGCCGCATCATCCAAGACGTCAATGCCAGACCTCATCTTGGCCATGCGCACCTCACGTAGGTCTTTCAACAGCCGTCGTAACTGGTCAGGGTCTACTAGGTCATCGCTCGCCACATCAAGAAGCATATTCCCGACTTCGACCCAATGGTAGGGTAATGCGGGGATGTCTCGGGGAGACACTGCCTGCGCCGTATTTTGCGGTAAGAACGGTGGTGCTGGATAGTATCTATCTCCATCAGGTGTATATTGAGGTCGGGCAGTAGGCTCAACTCCGCGATCATTGACACTGGGCTGGCCGGGTAGTGGGGGAGCTGGTGAGAAAGCAGTCTTGTAATCCTGGTGTTGAGACTCGATTTCGAGAATAAGACTGAGACCTTCAGGGTGTAGCCATGAGGGAGGTATGATATTCGCGCGGCGCTGTCGTTTGAGAAGCATTGCAAGCCACAAGGGAAGGGATGTGCGCCGCGGAGGAACGAGCGGTTCAACTGGGCCCTAGGATAAGATGAATGAATCAGTACGCATTGTACAGACTTTCTAAATGGCGCATATAGTTACCCCGAGTAGTTCCAGTCCCTCCAGGCGCTGGCGAGGAACCACTGTCACCAGCTCCATCTCCGCAGCGAAGGCAATCTCCGAGGCCGTGATGCCCCGCGGCAAGGGGAATGCCATTGGTGGCACGAGACAGCGAGGACAAACGAAAAAGTAAAGAAAGAAGCGGCAGTTCGACAGAAAGTAGTCGAAGTTATATTTGTCTTCAGCACCACATGTCCCCGCAAGCTTTAGATGCGGTGGAATCGCGAAATGCGCGAATCGCGTCTCGACCATTTCCAAATGCGGTGTTTGGGCTGTTTGCACCGGAGAGCTTCCCAAAGCTGTGGACCTTCTGTCCAATTTATTTCTTTCTTTGATAGCTTTTTCACCGTGGAAGTATGCTTCTCTGCCTTTTGAGGCAATAGGAAAATGAGTTCTGCCCCCGAGTCGAATCTCAGCCGTGCAGCGCGCTACGCCGTGCCATTCGCCCTCGTCCTAATCCCTGTGTGGAGGACAAAAGTCAACGCCGAAGTGCCCGAGCCATACCTTGATGAGGTCTTTCACGTCCCCCAGGCTCAGGCGTACTGGGCACACAAGTGGACACACTGGGATCCAAAGATAACAACTCCCCCGGGCCTATATCTCTGGTCATATTTGCTTTGCGCCATCCTTCTTGCTCTCCGCGGCTCTCCGACGCAGCTAGATACCGAAGCTCTCCGCACCACCAATGTCGCCACCACTGCGGTCTTCCTACCCTTTAGACTCCAGACGCTTTCGGATGCTATCCATAAAGTGCGGAATACCCGTCCATTGGGTGCACGGTTGAGCCACACCGTCCTGAACATCTGCCTGTTTCCGCCACTATTTTTTTTCTCCGGCCTATACTATACCGATATTCTTGCCCTGTTAGTTGTGGTCGAGGCCTACAATTGGGATTTGAAGCGGGCATCCGGAGGTCGCTATGCAATTTTATATTCCCTCGGCTTTCTCGCTTTTGGGCTCTTGGCGCTCGTTTGTCGCCAAACAAATATTTTTTGGGTTTCCGCATTTCTAGGCGGGCTACAGGTTGTCAGAAGAGTCCGTCATTCCTCAAAGGCATGTGATTCTTCTGATTACTCTGCGATTGTGAAACGGGGTCTACAGAATGAGATTTATGACCCTCTGGTTTCGGAGGCTTCTTTGGAAGGTATGATTAAATGCCACTTGCTTAAACTAAAGAAGACTAACGAATATATGGTTCAGATTATGTCAAGACTGGAATATCTTTTGCAGCTGCAAGCCTGAAGAACCCCTTCTTGGTTATTGGATCGATCATTCCCCACCTCATTATCCTTGGGGCTTTTGGTGCATTTGTCATTTGGAACGATGGCGTTGTTCTAGGTCTGTCTCCTTGCGAGTTTAAATATCCATATCTTAATAGCGTATGAGCTAATCAATATTGCTGCAGGTCATAAGGAGTTCCACACTGCAGGTATTCATCTGGCTCAGATGCTTTATATCTGGCCTTATTTTATGTTCTTCTCCTGGCCAATCATTGCTGTCCCTGTTCTCAACATTCTTCTTCCGCGGCACTTCTTACCCAAGTACCTGAACTATGGGTTCCCCGAGAAGCAAAAGAGACTACCAGGCATTCTGGCAACTCTGGTTGCTCTGCCTGTGATGGTCGCCATTGTCCATTTTAACACCGTCGTGCACCCTTTCACGCTGGCAGATAATCGACACTATGTCTTCTACGTGTTCCGTCTTCTACTTGGTGTTCACCCGGCAATCAAATATAGTGCTGTTCTGGTTTACTTCCTTTGTGGGTGGGCAGTGATTTCTGCATTTGGATTCTCCCATATTCAAGCACCCCCTAAACTGCTTCGGGTTCCCGCCGCTGCGAAGCCGGCAGCCCCTGCAATCAAGCCCTCACCAAAAGCGCAGCTTCGAGAAACCAGGAAATCAACTCGGTCGCGGAAAACTCCTACCAAGAAGGAGACAAATCCGCAACAAGCCAACCAAATCACGCCTGAAGTTCTTGCTAAAGTTCAGCAGCACCTTATTCAGCGACGAAAAGAACAGCCAGAGCCGCCACGGGTAAGCTTTGTTCTCATCTGGCTCGCTGCAACCTCCTTGTCGCTTGTCACAGCGCCGCTTGTTGAGCCTCGCTACTTCATCATTCCGTGGGTGATGTGGCGCCTGCATCTGCCGCCCACACCGTCCCTCGCCGTGTTCCGTCAACACCATCCTGAAAATGAAGAAGAAAGAGCCCGTGCTGATGTTGTGACCAATGCTCCAAAGTTCCTGGAAACGGTATGGTTTGTCATCATCAATGCGGTGACTGGATATGTTTTCCTTTACAAGGGCTTTGAATGGCCCCAGGAGCCGGGCAAGATCCAACGATTCATGTGGTAACCGCCCAATAAAAGAGATCAGGTCTCAAAATTGTAGGCATATGTATTCACTATCTTGTACTTTATATTACGCTTTAACAAAATATGAATTATATTCTGTTCATCGAAGATCATCTCACGTAATATTTGTTTCGACCTTTTCAAGCGACTGAAGTACCAGTATCCCGTCATATCAGCCGAGGCAACTTGAAGTTAGCACCAACATACCGGCGGTGGTAATAGCGCTAATTGAAGGATGCTAATCAGGAAGTTTCAAGAAATTCAAAACCGCTATACGCAAAGGTGTTTTGAGTTGAGCACCCTTCCAGTTAGAAATCACCAAAAGCCAACAATAAAATCACTCAAATCTCTTATGCGGTATGATGAGCCTTTAAAAATGACAACTATAGAGCATTTTGTTTCATTGCTACGCTGTTATTTTAAAAGAGGCTATGTAGCATGCCTTGGCCCAATCATAAAAGCCATAGCGCTGGCCAGTGTGGGGCACAATCATTATTGACGCTGGCGATGATTGTTATAACGGCCCTTTTAAAAATAGGTATTGACATATATATAAATCCAGCTAGTCAGGTCCGCTAGACTAAGTGAAAGTATAAATCAAGCCTTCAAACTAGTCTAGACATCATTGCTCCCCGATACTTCCCGGAACGTTGAATCAATATGCCTCTTTCGCGTTCAAAGGTCCCAAGCAGTGTTGACAGGTATTTGATCAAAAAAGAACAGTACATATCGGTCTCAGTGCCTACACACAATGTTGAATACTATATGATCGAAAGTCAACAAGGGGAGGAAATAACTCTATCATTCCATATCGGCTGTCCGAATGGGCCTTCCGTTGGTAAATGTGTACTGCCCTCCTTCCTGAGCAACCCGGATAGCGACAAATTCATCAACATTGACATTACATCGTCAATTAGAAGGAAAGGTCCCCATGCCCAAATGGCGTGTGACTGGCATAGAACGAAGTCGAAGATTGCTAGATTTTCTATGCTAACAAGCGATGATCAATTCACCTGGAAATCGCCGGACAACCAGGGAAACATCCAGGAGCTCGTAAAGTCCAAGCTTTTGGTCACGTATCAAGTTGCCAAGTTCTTGCCTGGAGGATCTCAAAATTCCGCCATATATGGAGCACTAGATATTGACTCTAGCTATGACCAGGGGCAGCAATTTTGTATCCTGGCAGCATTCTTAGGGTTTCGAACAGATGTCAAGCGGGATGATCGGGCCCTAGGTATACGGTACGTCAAGAAAAGCGCCGCGGCCCAAGAATAAGAAAAATAGAGGCACATAGCGAAATCCAAGGAAACAGTGGGTAGGAAAAATGCATGACCTGAATCTAACAGGATAGGATTGTTCAATAATTTTACTAGAAACAATGAGCAATAGTAGCAAAATCGCTTGTTGATGAAAAGCCCAACTCGAGCCGTCCTTTTACATTTTTCTATTTAGTACGGATGTAACCACTCATATTCAAAATAATATTTATGAGAGCTGCTTAGTTGCCTAAAAAAATTTAGATGAATAGAGTATGCAATCCATTCTTTATGGGTATAGCCAGCCCCGAGTTCGGGCCTTAACAATCCAGTATTTTAATTTCCCATTCTCGTCATTTCCTCTTTGACCATGAGACACATGAGGATAGTGAACCATACACTGCATATACAGCAGAATTCAAATAACAGAAAACAGGTGCCAGTCAGACACTCCTGAAATACTTGTAGTCTCGAGTTTCTGACATGAAAGATGGGAATGGCAAGAAGGACGGCCGGTGGTCCAAAGATAAGCATAAATTTAACTTCACATTGCGGGATCACCACACGTCCGCATCCACCTGGCCCTTCCTGTGCCCATTCTGCCCAAATGCCCGTGCCAGTCAGCTCCCCCCATCCAGATGTTCCTGCGGGTGAATCCATTGTGGCACCAGTCATTTCGTTCTGACCGACTTCTCCGCCGCTTCCCCTCAATCCATCTCCGCCTTCCTATTGCCGCGCATTCTTTGGCCACAGAGCCCCGGGACGCCCAATCGCGAGAAGCCCATTGCGCCCGAATGGAACACCCCTCTAAACGGGCCCGACTCACGCTCGACCTAGGAGATGAGAGCCCACCCGGCAGAGTGTCTACGCCCTTGGCATCGTTGCATAGGTCCGTCACCCCTCCGCCGTCGAGGGCACGCGCAACGTTGTCCGCGCCTGCTACTCCCGCATGCCCGGACCTAGCAAATGATCGGGTGGAAGACAAATCAAATAGATCAGTCAAACTCAACATTACGGATTCGTCCCCTCAATCTCCACAACTGGTTCCCTCCCTGGTGCAACTCACCCACATCAGAGACTTTCCCGATCACAAGGAATATAACGTTGACACCGTCAAGCTGCGCGACATCCTCGGGGATCCAATGATCCGCGAGTGTTGGCAATTCAACTACTTGTTTGATGTGGACTTCCTAATGGCCCAGTTTGATGAGGATGTTCGGAATTTAATCCAGGTGAAAGTAGTTCACGGATCTTGGGAGAAGGAGTCGGCGAATAAAATCCGCGTGGATGTAAGTGGAGCTGGAGGTTATTGGCCTCGATCTCCGGGTCAGACTGCATTCGCGTGTATCTTCATGCAAATACTCATCTAGCATCATCAGGAAGCATGTTCCCGGTATCCCAATGTCGAGGCTGTGGTTGCCTACATGCCCGAGAGGTTTGGGACACACCATTCAAAAATGATGATTCTGCTACGCCATGATGATCTAGCCCAGTGGGATACTCGCCTCGCTATAGAATCTCTAGCACACCGTGACTAACGACCATAGGATTGTTATACACACGGCCAATATGATCCACGGAGACTGGACAAACATGACCCAGGCCGTTTGGCGATCTCCATTACTGCCTCTTCTGAACTCACGCGGCTCGACATCGTTTCGAGAAAAACCGGTGTTTGGCACCGGAGCACGGTTCAAGAGAGACCTCCTCTCGTACCTCAAAGTATACGGAGTCAAGAAAACGGGGTCGTTGGTGCAGCAGCTTATTCGCTATGACTTCGGATCGATTCGCGCAGCACTTATCGCAAGCGTTCCATCTAAGCAGGTCTTGCACAGGCTTGACTCAGATCAAGGCACTCTATGGGGCTGGCCAGCTCTGAAAGACCTCATGGGTCGCGTACCGATACACGAGTCCGGCAAGAAGAATGAGAACCAACCCACCAAGAAATCCCACATTGCTATACAAGTGTGTTGCCAGATTCCGTAGTTGGCCGTGGAGCTCGCTCACAGTGTTTTAGATATCATCCGTCGCATCTCTGGGCCAGACAGATAAATGGCTGAAAGGCACCTTTTTCAATGCCCTGGCACCACAATCAACCCACCCGCCGCCTCGATATTCCATTATATTCCCCACCTCCGATGAAATCCGCCGCTCTCTCGATGGTTACGGCTCTGGGGGGTCGATTCATATGAAAACGCAAAGTGCACAGCAGCAAAAGCAATTGCAATATATACGCCCGCATCTCTGCCACTGGGCGGGAGACGGGCCATCTACCTCGAACTTCATCGACCTGTCTGAAGACAAGCCTCTCAAGCGCGAGGCTGGGAGAGGTCGTGCAGCACCACATATCAAGACCTATATTCGCTACTCGGACGCGGAAGCCATGAACAGTATTGACTGGGCGATGGTGACCTCTGCGAATTTGTCTACACAGGCATGGGGTGCGGCAGTCAATTCGAGCGGCGAAGTGCGAATTTCGAGCTGGGAGATTGGGGTCGTTTTCTGGCCGGAGCTGTTTGTCGACGCCCCTTTGTCTCAGGGCCTCCCAGACGGTCCGGAGTGCACTACGGCGATGATGATACCGTGCTTCCAACATGACCATCCCTCTTGCCCTGTACCAAACAGTCCGCACGAGCGCCAGGCCTCCACTGTCGTCGGTTTCCGCATGCCCTACAATCTCCCACTGACCCCGTATAACACCTCGGACGAACCCTGGTGTGCAACAGTCGCGCACCATCTCCCCGACTGGCGCGGACAAACCTGGATCGTGTAACGCAGGGATCCTACCGAGCAGCTTTCAACAGATTTGCATCCCGACGGAGAGGGTCTACGGTGGGACAAAGCGCCTTTCTACAACGCGGCTGACCTGCCCCGTGCGAATACCCGTGCAAAAAAGAAAAGACGAAGAACACAAACAAGACAAAAGGGTTATCCTCGGCGTTATTATATACAAGACATAGCCGCCCCCAGATCATGAAACGCATCGCTTTATTGCTAAGCTTGATCCAATTCGTAGAAATATTTCCATCCACATCCTCTCCCTCTCGGTCCCGATATCTCGAATGCGGACCGGGCCGGCCATATGCTCCAACTTGCCCGCCTTCTTCATTGTCCTCGTTCAGCCATTCTTATGTCTGGCCACTCCCAGCTTGCAACCCGGCAGCAAGGAAAGAACAATCTACTCCTCGCGCAGGGAGTACTTCTCAATGAAGGTGTTGACATGCTGGATGTAGAGGGCCTGGCACTTCTGCGCGCTGTAGTGCTTGACCTTCTCCCACTCGTTGTAGAGCTGCTTCTTCTGTAGAGCACAAAGAGAGATAGATGATTAGCCAGTGTTCTCGATCTCGATCTCTCGAGGCGCGGACCGCAGCGGAGGACCGCGGCGTCCGGCATACACAAGGGAATAGAGAAGGGGGGGGGGGGGGGGGGTGGGAATTAGGATAGAAAGAGGGCAAAGACATACCACCATGTCGAACATGCCGGGCTTCTCGAGAATCTCGCCCTTGGCAATCTTGAAGTTGACGTAGAGGTCCTTCTTCTCGAACGGGCCGGGGGCGGTCTTCAGCATCATAACCAGCTTAGTGGCGAACTCGAAGCCAGCCTTGAGAGCAGCGCTCTGGGCCTCATCGGCGATGGTGTCAGTCTCGTTCATGGCCAGGGCAGCCTCGATGGCGGCCTTCAAAACATTGGCGTCGATGCCCTGGGCGGCGTCCTGCACATCGCTGGTGAAGCGCTCCTTGTTCTGGGCGGCGCCGAGGGCGGTGATGAAAGGGGTGACGTCGGACATGTTGTCGATTGAGAGGTTGAGTGGTTCTTGGGTCTTGGGAGGGGGAGAGGAGCGTTTTGTTTTTTCAAGGAAGAGGGTTTGTTGAGGCCTCGAGATGCGGTTGAGGGGTTTGGTGGGGTTCGTTTCTGCTGACAGTGCAGTTCGCCAGTTGCCGAGGGGGTTGGTGGGCCCCCCGCCGGGCAACGCTGGAATTATCATCTCCAGGGAGTGTGATGTTATGATAGAACTATATAACTCAAGAAGAGTCGGGAAGTAGGAGACAAAAGAGAAAGGGAAATATTCTCGAAGAACCAAAATAAGTAAATGCTGGATGTTTTATACGACTGTTCAGCAGCGCCGAAACAAACTTTTCCAGTCTATACAAACGCCGAAGATCAATCATGCTAGTGCCAATGCGAAGCTCACTCGCTATGCACCTAAACAGAAGCCAAGAGAATAACCAAGGTAAGTGAATATACAGCAGAAAAGAAAAGGACCCAGAGAGAGGAAGAATCTACAAAATCACCAATCACCAATCAACAGCCCAACCATTCTTGGTCAGGAACTCCTCGCATGCAGCCTTGAGCGCATAGTTCGGCCGTAGGTCTTTGACTCCGATCGGCTCGCGAGTGATGGGATCCACGCCCGCTTTCTCCACGTATTTGACGATGCCAATGCGGTCGAAGCTACTGCCAGACGGCGTCATGACCGGGTCATGCATGATCTCGAAAGTGATGCCATCGATCAGATAGTCGGGTACGACCTACACAGAAACCCAGCAGTTAGTACAGCGGAATCAATCACCCCTAATCCCTATTCCTTGCACTCTCTCCGTCCATCAAAGTATCCTCCTCTCCCGCCCAACAAGACACACAGCAAAGGCAGACTCACCCGTTCCGTAATCTCTCCCTTCGACGCAACCCGAAACGCCTCCCTCAAATCTTCTACTTTCTTCTGCGCATCCTCCCTCAGCGCCCGCTCATCCTCCCCAAACCCAATTGCCCCAATCTCACCCGCCTCCAGCTGCCCCCGTAAGGCCGCGACCCCGCGCTCCAGATCCGCCTCGACCAGACTCTCTACGCTGCCTAGCGTCTCGTGCATCTCCCGCAGGCGCGCCGTCTCCCGCGCCGCCCAGAGCTGCTGCTTGGCGCGTAGCACCGTGCGCGACAGATTTTCTGTCTGCACGTTCTTGCTGGCTAGGCTGAGTTGATAGGCGGCGACTGCAGTGTCGTACGCCTCCTGGGGTCGGTGGAGGCTGAGCAGGGCCGTGGCGAGGTAGTAGGAGCTCTTGAGCGTGGCCGGGTCCGTGGGTTTGTAGAGATGGAGGGCGGCGCGGGCGTCATGCTCGACGTCGGCCCATTTCTCGAGTTTTATGCGGGTGATGGCGCGATTGGTGAAGAAGGTGGGGTCGTTGGGATTCTTTTGAATGCTGGCATTGCGGAGCAGATGTCAGCTGGTGGGGATTATGTTTCCAGTGCAGGTGGTGCACGGTTGGAATCTTGAAGGCATATGGAGGGAGAGGGGGAGGAGAAGAGACCCGGGGCGACGGGGAACGCGGATGTATACAGAATGTTCCCTTCCACGTTCCCCTTCAGCCTCGGCTTGGGGCGGAATGCGGGCCTTACGCTTGGGAGAAGAAGTCCTCGGCACCGGCGTAGTCACTTTGTTTGAAGAGCTCGTTGCCCTTCGCTTTCAGTTCCTGCGCCATTGCTGGATGGATTGGTCGCTGTCGGTGGTGTGTCACAAAAGAGGTTGTAGAGAAAAAGAAGGACGCTGATCAAGCAGTTCCCCGGGTGGGGCGGCCCACCGCGCAAAGAGGATCAGGAACGCGGGCTAAAATATGTACATGAAGGGGAACGATGCTGGGCAATTAGGCGTGTGCATCCAATCTGATAGAATGCTGGGCCTGAATGAGGCCGGAATGCCTTCCAATTGTGTTGATATGGACGAGTGTCGCGAGTCCATCAACGTCGCCCGGTTGCCCGTTATGGAAAGCCATCGATCCCCGCAGAAAGGACCGCTGACTCAGCACGATGGGGGTTGCAGTAGTGGTTCATTAGGCGGGCGCTATTGGAAGGTAGTTCCGCTACTACGACTATCGGAGGAAGTATAAAGCAATCGCAAAAGAGAAGAGGCAAGAGTGTGAAGGGATTCGCATTGTACTAATGTGCTCCGCACCGGGACCAGTATATAGAGTTCCTCTATCATTCTAATGCCCAATCTCTCCAAAACAGCAGGACTCGACATTCGGGTTCGTGGTATCATGACGCGCTTCTGGTAACAAAGAAAAGAAAAGAAAACGAATCGGGGACGAGGACCAGTCGCCAACCGATGAAATGCCGATCAGGGATATATCATGGTATATAGACTTGGTGTCGATGAGGACCACGCTACCACCGGAGATGTCAAGAGCACCAGCGACGGCGTCCTGCGGTCGGATGTGATGCTCGACGCCTCACATTGCTCCCATCATCCGACCAGATAATATCTCTAGACCACACGGGGTATCGCGGCATTTAGGCGGTGCCATGGAACTGGGTCTCGTAGTCGGTGATGGCCTGGACCTTCGCGGCGGAAGCGCTCTTGGGGTCGAAGCGGTAGTTAAGCCAGTCGGCGGCCAGCTTCTTAGCCAGCTCCACGCCAATCACCCGCTGACCCATGCAGAGGACCTGCGCATCGTTGGAGAGGATGGAGCGCTCGACGGAGAAAGGATCGTGGGCTGTGACGGCACGGATACCAGGCACCTTGTTGGCGGCGATGGCGACGCCCAGTCCGGTGCCGCAGATGAAAAGACCGCGATCCGCCTTGCCCTCCTTGATGAGCTTGGCACCCTCCACGGCGGGGTGAGGGTAGGCGGTCTTGTCAGACGTGGAGTTGACGCCGACGTCCGTGACGGACTCGACCAGCGGGTTCTTCTCCAGCTGGGCTTTGATGGCGTCCTTGTAGGGGACACCGGCCTCGTCGCAGGCCATGACGATGCGGAGGGGCTTCAGATCGGCAGACATCGTGGTAGATTAAGGGGGAAGATAAGATCAAATGAGACTGATCAGAGTGAAGAACAGTACAAGTACAATTGGGATAGATTCAGAGGGAAGTTGGATCGTGATCCTAGTAAGCGCCGAATTGAGGGGGGCGGGCGCCTCTTTATAGATTTTTGGTGGCTTCATTTTTTTTCTCCTCTGCTCGCTATCCCTCCTTCTCCTCTTCCTGCTGCTGCGCCAGCAGATCCCGTCCTTTGGCGAGCACCGTGCAACCCAAACCTCCGAACCCAGAACCCAGGACCAGCCCATACCCCAGGGTGGAGCACGGGCTGATGGGGCCAGTCGACCGGAATGCATTATGGAGTCTCCACTCGTCCCAATCGCGAGAGCCATGGGCTGCCTGGTCTGTCTGGTCTGTCTGGTCTGTTTGGACTGCCTGGGCCAAGTGTATCGGCCGTGGAGGGTAAAGAAGGGATTCTGGGCCCCGCCATCGCGTCATGGTACAGTGCAGGATGCGCCGTGAGTGGTCGAGACAACAACGCTCGCCGGTTCAAGACGGGCAGGCTTGGAACGATACAGCGCGGTACCTTCGCCGTACACTCGCGTACGGCGTATTTACGTGTGCTTTCCGAGGATCCACACGTCCGGCGACGAGACTACGAGAAGTATACCGGAGACAGAGGAGACGAAAGAGAGCACTTTCCGTTCGGAAATGCTTCAGTCCCCTTGATATCTCAATTAACCTTCGTCTAGGTGCAAATCGTCCCCGAGGCCACTTCCAATAGGGACTGCAGCTGCAGCAAGCCATCGATGTCACCAGAGGACAAGGCGACCTTTGTGGCTGATGCACATGCCAACCGGAGGCTTCAATAAGGGACGAGGGGTCGAGGATTGGCACGCCATGGCGGAATCAGAGCAGCCATGGAATGATTGAGTTTATCATCCCGGACAACCTCCCTGGTCCCCAGAGGCACCAGGCACCGCGCTAGGACAACAGTCCGCCGGGCAGGAATGCCCGTGCGGACGCGAAACGGAGAGCCAGACCTCACAAAACTACAGCGACGGAGAGACACCCCTCAGAATGCCGAGACACACGGGCTGGAGGAGGGGCTAAACAGGGAGGGGCACAGAAAATGAGGGACTATCCAGAACCCGGATTGCGGCCCGGAATGGCGCCAATGTCTCCCCCCTAAAGCGAAAGCGTGAAATGTCGCGTGGGACGATGGGGGGTTCCGTACGCATTGAAATTTCTAGGCGCCGGGGGAGCCGCACGAACAGACCAGAAGATCAAGACGAACCCGATACCAGACTCTCCTCCACCCTCATCCACAGCGGTGGCTCCTCTCCTCTTGCTGCATGGTGTTCGGAATCTAGCCTATTCGCATACAACAGGAGCAGCAGAGCATAGAGACTGTCGACAGTCCATCGGATTAACACGCATGGCGACGATGACAACGCTATCACTGTAATTGCCCCCACTTTCAATCCACTTCTCATCCACCTCCCACTCCACCTCCAGGGATACTGTTGGCCGGCAGCCGGTGACAAGCGATCTAGAGCTTACCCCGTGTCCACCGAACCTACTCCAGGTTTTCCGTTGATCGTGTGCATGGGACTTAGTTCTTTGTCTGGGGGGTTGCGGATCTTGAGGATATTAGAATGTGGGTGAAATGGCGTGCCGAAATGCGGAACATTTCTTGAGGCGGTTTGATCGAGAAGGAAAGTTAAGCGAAAGACCGGCTGTGGCTGCCTAGTGCATTGCGACTGCTTGGACTTGCCGAGAAATTGGCGATTGATCTCATTTGATGGTGAAGCTAAACCTCGCCAAACCATATCCCAGCGGGGCTTAGCTACCGAGGCACCGACACCAACCGGCAAGAGCAGGGAGACCAATTCCAGTCTTGATTGAGGTCCTCAGAGCCACTCATGGCATTCATAGTTTTATTCACTCGTAGTAATCATCAGCATGTCAGAACTTGTATTGCTTCGAGTTTTCTCCTGTTCGCATTGGGGATTGTTGGGTTTGGGGCCCGCGCAATCCGGTTTTGGCTCGGCGTTCCTTGTTTTCGTGCGGCCTCATTTTGATTCTTGACGTCGTTTCACCTAGATACACTCGGACTCCGAATCGATGGCCCACCCATTCTTTGTACCTGGAAGTATCTGGACGTACCTGAAAAGCTCCGAGTCGACTGTGGTAGGCCCGCGATAGTCCGGGATGGCTCATGATGGTCCGTGATGGTCTGTGGCCCGCCCTGCTGCAGCCAAACTGCCCGACACGGGCTCTTTCGCAATCCCTGTGACATCATTCGGATCTTCCAGAGCCCGTGCTCGATTCCGATGAGGTTTCACGCGGGGAACAGGCCCTTGGCTCTTAGCGCAGCCATGCCGGGCCACGAATGCGCGCACACGGGATGGCGTTGACGCCCCCTGCGCCTCGTTCGAATTACGGACTAGACGCGAAACAAGACCCGTCCAACATCTCGATAAACCTTCCAATATGTCCAATTGGTCTAGGGACACCTGTTCTCTTCGCAGACACCAGTCGCACTCCCTTGGCCGCGTTCTCAAGAGCGTTTGACCCGACACCGGCGAATCCAATTGTCCGGGGAAGATCGACCGCCCCCCAATGCGCCCTCACTTTTCAACTTCTCTTCTATCAGCAACCAACAACTCCCCAGAGCCGCTCAATAACTACCCCACAACTCCATTCATCCATCTACCATGACCACCTCTACAATTTCCTATCCCGTGCTCCCGGAGAAGCTTCTTCTCATCTCACTCAAGATGTACTTCACCCCGGACCGTACGCTCGCCTATCTCCGGAGTCTCCTCGACCCTGCCCACCAGATCGTCCAGCCCGCCAACCGGGAGAAGCTGCTTTTAGCCCTGATTCCCGACTTTCTCACCATTTGGCCCTGCGCAGAGATTCTCAAGGAGTATGAGCAGAAGCTACTCGCATCTGGCACGTCGGTGACCCCGCCGCCCTTCCTGCTTGGGGCCCAGGACTGTATGTGGGCAGACTACGGTGCCTACACCGGCGAGGTTTCCCCCGCTGCAATCAAGTCTCTCGGCTGTTCCATTGTCGAGTTGGGTCATGCCGAGCGTCGCGCGATCTTTGGCGAAACTGACGATCAGACCGCACGTAAGGCTGCGGCCACTTGTGCCCAGGGCATGGTGCCGCTTGTCTGTGTCGGCGAGATCACTGCTCCTGGTGCCGTGGCCTCGGAGGCCGTTGGCCAGGCGGTTACTGAATGCGCCGTCCTGATCCGCGCGGTACTAGCTGCGATCCCTGCCGATGCGCCGGTCATCTTTGCTTACGAGCCCGTGTGGGCGATTGGCAAACCCAAGCCAGCGGGTGTTGACCACGTCGCGGCCGTCGTGGAGGGCATCCGCGGGGTGATTGGTTCCCGCCTGGGGACAGCCCGGGTGCTCTACGGTGGCAGCGCAGGACCTGGTCTTTGGGGCGCGGGCGGCCTGGGCAAGGCCGTCGACGGGATGTTCCTCGGGCGCTTCGCCCACGAGGTCGAGGGGGTGCGCAAGGTCGTCCGCGAGGTGGAAGAGTCCCTGGTTTGAACATGAACTGCATCACCGCCTGCCCAAGTTCTCACGACCCTGACACTCTGATTCTATGACCCTTGCTTTTTGGTTTAAATTTCGTTTTCTTTTCCTTCTAATCCAGCATCATTGCATTGCATCTCCCAGTCTGAAGGCCATCTAAACAGGAAGTGCATCAACAGGTGGTATTGTGGTTTCGCCTCTTACACTATACCGTCATGAGGATACGCCCTCTCCGTACGGGACCGCAATAGACAATAAACAAAAGTGGACCAGCACCGCACCACAAGCCTCGAATTGCCCATTTGCCCATGAGAATAGGTCAGAAAAAAAAGGAACCACCTCGTGTCCACTTGGTGGATCAATTGCTGTCTTTTTTTTCCAATTCAACCGAGCAAACGCTCCCCGGGCCCCAGCGCGATCCCGAAAGTGCCGCGACCCCATCTTTTCTCGGGAAGCCTATCTGGGGGATCCCGTTACCGATGGAGCAAAATGGAGCCCCGACTCCACTGAAGCTCCTAGGGGGAACCGCCCGTACTACTGCCGTCCATTTTTTATGGAGCACCAATGGAGCGCCCACGGTTTTCCAGACCTTCTGCAGATGCGAACTCCCCCTCCCTAGCGTGCACGGTGGATGCTTTGTGCGCGCCAGTTGTGTCCCCCCCCCCACCCTGTCACGCGGACGATCAGAGACTTGCATTCTCAGATGACTTTAAAGCTTTTTTTAGATCTGCACCGAAGGCACGAGAGGGTCTTCTTCCCCCGTCGGGTAATCTGGGCTCCATGGGGCGGGGACTCGACTCGATTGTACATATCGAGTAACCCGAGCCTGCTTGCTCCTGAATTTAATGAGTTCGTCGGGACTCCCCTGTTTGGCAGGACGGAGCAGACTCCGAACCCACGCGGCGCCCTAGGTTGGTAGGCGACTCGACTCCGATGGACTCTCTATCGGGCGAGAGAGAAACAATAGACCCACCTCAATATCAAAATATCTCAAAAGTCGACTACTACGGAAAAGGGGTAGAAAGAGAACAAGAGAAAAGGATATACATTCGTCTTCTCTATTCAATCTATTGATCGGTGCCACTGTAGGCTGGTCAATGCTGGATTTTCCTATCATATACTATGTACATCCCAAAAGAGAGAAAAAGAAACGAATCTGAAAAAAATGAAAAATCTAGAGCCTGGCTTTTCCGTAATTGATCTTTCTCAATCTCTTTTTGGCGCACGCCTCACTTCATCTTCCTCGTGCAGACCGCTTCATTTCTTTTGCAGCTCCTCGCGCAGCTCCTGCTTCACCCGTGTCACCGTGCCGATACCGCCATACACCACGCCTGTATACATCATCGCCACGGAGGCACCCGCTTCCAGCGCCTGGCGCGCCTGCTGGCCAGTCGTGATACCGCCCGAAGCGAAAATGACTTTGCGCGCGTGCGCTGGCGTCTCGGCCGCAGCACCAGCCTCGTCCGTTGAGGTCGGGGCCTCCGTCTGCGATGGGGGGCCCTGGTCTAGCATGGCGCGGTAGCGGGCAACCAAGGCAACAGAGCGGTCAAACAACTGCGGGCCGGAGTAGCCGCCGGTCTCGGTGAGTGTCTGCTGCTCGGCAGGCGGAAGCACGAAGCCGGCGGGCAGCGGGGCGGGCCGGCGGTTGGTCGTGTTGCCGACAATGACGCCGTCGACACCGGAGTTCCAGACAGCCTCGCAGATGCCGGCCAGCTGCTCAGGCGAGTCCTCATCCGGGCTGACCTTGACCATGACGGCGGGTGTGGTCTTGCGGTCGACGGCGCGGGCGGCGCCCACGACGGCGGTCAGGATGGCCGTTAGCGGTGCCGCAGCTTGCAGATCACGCAGACCAGGAGTGTTCGGGCTCGACACATTCACTACCAAGATGTCTGCGTACCGCGCCACACGATCCACGCAGTATACGTAATCGCGTGCGATCGCGTCGATGTCACCGTCTGGTGTGACCTTGTTCTTGGCCACCTGCACTGCCAGCAATTTGCCGGGCACCAGACTGCCCGGGGGCACGTGGGCCTCACCGTCCAACACGCGCTGCTCAGCGGCATCCTGCTCGCCAAAGCCTGCGGCGTAGGCGAAGTCGCGGACACGCTGTTTCAGCACGGCGGCCATGTGGTCAGCGCCCTTAGAGTTAAGGCCGTAACGGTTGATCATGGCGTGCTGCGAGGGCAGACGGAAGACTCGCGGCTTCGGGTTACCTTCCTGGGGAAGGGGAGTGGTACCACCAACCTCGACAATCGCCGGGCCGATGTCGAGGAGGGCATCGGGGATGTCGGCGTGCTTGTCGAGACCGGCCGAAATGCCAATGGGGTTAGAGAGGGTGTAGCCAAAGACCTGCAAACGACCCATATGTCAATATTGCGAATCATTTATATTACTGGGTCCTGGGGGGAAGAGGGTCATCAGGCATAGCGAATGCACGAGTCACGCATACCTCTGTAGCCAGGGCGCCATCACGGTCTGGGTCGCCCCGTTCACGAGGGTGCAAGCCAAACCGGTAGAGCGTCTTCAATTGGTCAACACCGAGATGGTGCGCATCCTCAGCGTCCGGGTACAGCAGTCGGATAAGAGGCACGACGCCATATCGGTGGAAACTGGCCCGGGTATCGGTTCCATAGATATATCCCACCAGCAGCACGACAGCCAACGACGTGCCGTACAGAGCCTTTCTCGACCCACGGCCCGCCTTCTTCGGGAGCTCCTTGGGCAGCTCCTTCGCGTTTTCAGCGGCGGCAGCAGCGGGCGAGGCTTCCGAAGCGTATCGCACAGCGCTGGGCAGGCGTTCGGCCCGCTTGGACAGCAGGGCGGACGGCCGCTGCGTCCAACGGGATGCGGGGACGGCGCGAGCCCGAAGGCTCGCTCGCCAGGCGATTGAGGCAGAGCTCGACGTCATGGGTTCTCGACAGGCAAATTGCGCTTAATTGGCCTTCCGCGGCGGGTGTGCGCCGGATGGGACCTGGTCGATTGCGGTCAGTTCCTTGGATTTCAACGGCAATGACCTGAGGATGAATGAAGCTTGAATCTGGGGCTTGACGGGGCTTCCCCTAGGGTTGCGCACTTCCAGCCAGGTACAGGAAGAGGTTTTGAGGAGCTGGAACTTACTGCAATGGCTTTTTTCCGAGGTTTTGCAGCTCCCTTGCAGATTCGAGAACTGCGTATTGTAGGGCGGAATCGGCCTGCAATTGCCGATGTGGGCGGTGGCCGAGATCTCCCGCCATCTGGAGGCGGTGAAGGGCCATTGGAACCAGAGTTTGTACTTCCTCTATAGATGGGTTCCAGAAAACGCATTGTAGGCGAAAGAGAGAGTTTGATGTTGATTATTGAAGTTTTGTGCTAACAGAATTACTAGAAAACTATAAAATGATATGTTGATTATGCTTGTCCCTTTACCAAGGGTTGTGAATTCAACGCACTCTTCCATACAACGAAACATATATGTAAACTGCAAACAAGACTATTTGCTGCTAGAAGTCTGGTTGGATTTTTCATCCTCGTTGAATGTTGCTTAAGCCACTAGATCTGAATTTTCACCAATAATGTTGGGGTCTTAGCGGATACTAGTAGATCATCCCTGAAATATAGACGATTTCTTCTATGAAAAGGTCCTTGTTTATATTATGATTTAGTAGGGTATACTGATTAGTAGGGTATACTGATTAGTAGGCTAGTTGCTTTACTAGTTCCCTGGTTTATACGTTCCGTAGTTAGGACGAAGATTCATGGAACCATACGGCGATTAGAGGTGATGCAAAATGACCAAGTTGGTCAAACAGCCCCAGAGTAAATGGATCTTGTATGTAAATTTTGTGTTGACTGTTGATCACATGGGTGGTGGTCGTGGTGATTATGGCGGTCGAACTCGTCATAGTGTATAATCGAGGTCGAAAAACAGGTTGGTCCTAGAACGAAAATGACTTGGAAAGGGTTAATAATTATATGATGTTGCGATAATAGTTTGCGTAGGTATGCCGATCAATTTTAGTAAATGTTTTCCTCGTACGTCCAATTATGTTGCACTGAGAATGAGTCTCTATGGTTCAAGTAATCCAGGGCAGTACTAAGGTGTACAAGGAAGGACCCACTAACCCCAATTCTTCGTCTAGCAGGCAACTCTCCCGTTGTGATGACTGGTCCATAATATGGTAGATCCAGCGTGGTGGTGTCTTAAAATTCCATGTGTCTTTTGGAATCTGGAAATAGCTCGTGTTCTATAGTCACCCATGCGCCAGGGCTGGTCTGAAACCCCAAAGGTTTCCCTTAAATTCGAAAGTTTTGGCTCACTCCCTAAATATTCAAACCCCCTGCCCATCAGCCAGATCAGATTAGCTAGCTCATTTTACCCAGTGAGAGAGAACCTCTGGCAGTGTTACTAGCCACTCTCACAACTTCTTCGCCCATCTATTCGCAATAATTGGGACCCATCCAATTAAAGGCTTCAAGGTAGCAAGATCCATAATATGAAGAATTCTGGAACTCGGTACTTACCACAAGTCTATCTACTACTAGCTTGTGAAATACGACGCTCAGCCTTACCCACTTTAGATTATTTATTTCTATACTAAAATCTCGTACTAAACCCTTTTCTACCACTAATCGATATATATTTCCTACTTCCTTCAGAAAGGTCTTCTTGGCCCTATTGTATAAGACCTGCCTAATTTTCAATAGATTGAATAGTTTCACTATATATATATTACGCTCTACAAGATGTTTCACTAATTCCTGAAGGGTATTCTTCTATGATTTCCCGCAAGATCTAATATAATCCGGACTTCATTTAGGGCTCTAGTTAGGTTATAAATATAATGTTGTGATCCGGGAGCCTATCTATATCTAGTACTACCACTAAAATCTACGTATCATTATTTAGTAAACATTAAGGGGGAAAGCTCAGCACGATTATCCTTCTGCCAAAGCGCCAGGGCTTACTTAGATGCAATATCGTGAGTTGTAATTATCTACTTCATTGGGATTATATACAAGTTCTGAGCACAGCTAACTGGTAATTTAAGCCAATACAAAACATCTATTTGGAATCACGATTGAAAGACAACAATATTTTGTACTGGTATTATGGGGTCCGCTGAATTTCTACACATACAAACGCCTTTTTGTCTTACACCCGGACGCCAGGCACCATAGAAAAGACGCCGAAGTTGCAATGTTCAAGAAAGAGAAACCGCCGATGCGCATTGTCACTACAGCCCATGTCTTACTCGTCACTCATTTGTTCATCGTCCACTGTGTCACGAAGGTCATCCTCAGCTGGTTCCTCTGCCTCCGGTGAGGCATCGTCTTCGACAGGAGGCTCTGGAGGTGACGGGAGAGTTTGTGCGAACTTCGGGTCGATATTCGCCCGGTGCAAAGATCGCTTGTACATCTCCGCATCATCGGGATCACGAACTACCACCTGCATCTGGTCGACACGATCTTCCTGAATCTGTGTGGCAGTAGGTGCCAAACCAGCCTGGGCGATGGTACGAGCGCGCTCGGGCTTGAGGCGCGTCTTGCCGATGATGGGATAATAATAAGCAGCAAGCTGTTTGTCGTCACCCTCGGCTGGTCTGTAAAGAGTCAAAGCAATATCTCTCTGCTTTTGGTCGTTGCTGAGGGTCTGAGCAGTCGTGGCATAGGTGCGAACGCGATCATAGCGATGAAACTTGTTTCCATCGGGGCCCTCGTGCGTATAAAGGTCCTGGCTGTCGCGGTTCGGGTCGTTCAAGTTCATGCTAACGCGGATGTTCCTGACAGATTCGTTCTTCTCGGGGAGGAGTAGCTCGTAGTCCCAAGGGACGGGGCCGGGGTCCGGGTAGATATCGGGACTGGCCTTGTGAAGAGCTTGCTTAGAAGCATGCTCTTGACAGATACGCTCTTCGGGTGCAGAAGGGCGGAGGAGAGCTATATCCATTCTCTTGTCACGCTTGCCAGCATGCCCGGAAACAGGAGCTTTGTCGAACTTAAACTGGACGTAGCCACCAGGGTCTGGGAACCCTTCAAGATCAGGGAGCACGGGAAAGAAGCCAACAGGCTTGAGCTTCGGGTTTTCGGGATGAACTGGGCTCGCCCAAGCGTCTGTTTCCGCCTTTGTGGCAGGAAGGCCCCGAATGTGACTCTCTGTATCCTCGCCAGTGTGCTTGCTTTTAGGGTAGGCAATATCGAATCCCTTCTGAATAAACTTCTTAACGTGCTTCGGATCATCTACCGATGTCTTTCCTTTCTTTGTGGCTCGGGCTTGCGCTTTCGCGGGGGTAAGTGCAGTCGTTGCCCCGCGGTCGACAGAGATATGCTGGGTGCGACGAAGGAAACTGACATTGACGTTCTTTGGCGCGGGGTTTCGGAGTTGGTCGAGGGTCATCAAAAGAGGTAGGTCGGCCGGGTCAATTGGTTGGGGGTGTTCAGGAGCCATGATGGCTGCAATTCCATTAGTTTCAGCTAGCCTTAAGGTCTTCTGCTATGCAGCCAATTTGACATACCGCTCTCGTCCCCCAGATGCAGACCTGGGATGCCAACAAGGTCAATGGGCATGCCGCCCTCCGCATCAACATCAATGTTAGGCTCCTCGCGTCTGGCAAGATTCGATGCAAAGCCAGGAGTAAGAAAACGGCTCAGCCCTTCGTGAGGAATATCGAGGAGCTTCGGGGGCATGTCCGGGGGAGGAAGATCATTTCGGTAACGCAGAGACGCGATATACTCCTGATGAAAGCCTCCGGAGGACTTGTCATCGCGAGAGTTGGACGGCATTATGTTTGGGATTGGGATTCAGAGCCCCACTTAAAGGAATCGTTGGCTATGCGCGAAAGTGAATCAACATTGAGGTTTGCGCCGAAGTCGCACATCGCAAGCTTACCGAATTCTGCGGTCCCGATAAAGAGTCTCAAGGAGACTTGTTAATTGAGTTCGCGTGCAGGTGTGATTTCCTCGATTCTTGGGGAGTGTTTAGCTCAGAAGCACCCTTCAATCTTGAGGTTCATATTTCATACCTTTGACAGGCGGTGGTTCTCGCTGCGGAAAGGGCCAGGCAACGAAAGACCTGGGTAGAAAAGACAAGCGAGAAAAAATGAGAGTCCCAGATATGTTATAAGACTGATAGAAGGACTTCAGAAACAGTATCCCGGAAGAACCCAATGGGCTTGGTCTTGATTCAGAGAGCTGGAACCAGAGAGCGTCCCAGATCCGAGATGTAGACTTCCCGAATATCCTGCCCGTCTAGACCGCCTGCCATGTTGGGGGGTGCGAATTTGGGATCATGGATAGGAGTATTCAGGCACGTGATTTTAATGTTTATAGTGGTAACAGGGCAAGTACCAGGGGGTTTACTTCAAATCAAAGAAGAAAGGACGGGTCATGTGGGGTGAAGTGTCCTTTTAAAGCCGATTCTAATTGCCAGGGGGCCGTTTTGAATTCAAGTAAGCAGAAGAATGATTGAAATAGAGCCTTTTCCATATCGAATCCCGAACACCCATTGCATGAAAACACCGAACTCATCATAGCCTTAATAGGCCCACATGCACTTATATGCCATCAATCGGTGCCCCAGGCGATCGTACTCCAGTTTACCGATCCAGCTATCATTGGTCCCGCTCAACTTGCCGAAAATGCTAGCGCCCTTCCAGACAACCACCTGGGGATCCAGGTCTCGCGGTGGCACTCCAATCATGATTTCCTTGGCAAAGCCGGGACGGAGAGCTTGCAGTCGCTCCTCCAAAAAGAGATGGAAGCCGTTCGTAAGGCTGCCACCGCCAACGACCATGATTCCGCCAATGAAATCGCGCATCTTCTTCTCATCAGAGCGAGCGGCATGAGCAATCGAGGTGAGGATCGCATTATCCAGAGCGAACACAGGCAGGATATCATCGCGGTATTCCACAGCAGGACGTGCAGGCTGTGCTACTGGAGCAGTGGCCGCAGGAGTACTGGTTCCGCCTGCTTGTGGAGTTCCGGTAGCTTCGGGGGCTGGAGAACCGGCCACGGAGGACCGAGGAGTGGCCTCCTGGTCCTGTACTCGGCCCAAGGCACCCGGATGTTGGGGCCGGCTAGGAGTCGCCTGTAACTCCGAAGTAGTAGCCTGCGCTTCTCCGTTCACTTTGGGTAGAGGAGGTGCAAGAGCGGTCATGATCTCGGATTGGGCTGCTGATGTGGGATCATTCGGTTGGCCATCATAGATATCAACTGATCGGTCAATCAGCTTCCGCCGCCCGTCAAGTTTGCGTACATTGTCGAAAATTGTTGGTTCAAAGAAACCCATCGGTGCCAAATGAACCTCGTCAAAAACCTTAAATGTATGCTTCTCCGTGTCTTGGCCGGCCACCCGAAGATGGAAATCAAACACTTGCGGTGAAACATTGGCCTCGTTCATCGTGCAGAGATTTTTCTTCAACTCTTCCGCAAGCAAGAAGTCATATCTCCGCCACAGGTTGATATCAGAGTAGGGGAAATGGTCATGTAGCATCATTTTGACGAACGTGTCGGTCACATCGTTGCCACCCATTTTCAAGTTCACTCGCGAGTTCTCCACGCACATGCCCTCTTCAACACAGCAGATCGAGGTCTTCTGAGCTCCAATATCGACCACACAAGCAGAGGTAAATCCAGCGCCGAAGGTTGCTGCCAGGCTCTCTTGGATGAAACACACTCGAGCAAATGAAAATTCTCGCATTAATATCTCCAGCACTTGGGTGACATAGGATTTCTCATAGAGATCCGGGATGACAAACACGCAAGAGTATTGGAGCCAGTCCTTCTTGCTGGTCAGGCCCAGCTGGTTTTTGATAGCATCTTCAAGGATTAAGGAAATGTCCAGGAACAGCATCATTTTGCTATTATAGTCCTTCTCATTGCATAATCCATTCTGGATCGGCCAGTATAGCTTGTAGCGAGGTTTTGAAGAGTCAGGCAATCTTAATGCCGGCTGCCCAACAATATACTCAGGTGGCGGGCTCTCAAGCTCCGTCCACTCAACACGCATGGGGTCATTGTGTTCCGAAATAGTCTCTGGCACCGTTCTGCGATTGTAGTTCACCACCATCTCCTTGGAGTTGGGCAACATTCGACGCTTGTTTTGCCGCATGCGCACCTTCAAGTCGGAGGACATCTTGCTGAATTGGGCGGACCACTAGTATTTTGAATTAGAGATGGTCTGTATCTTCCCAATAACCTTCATGTGGCTCACCTCTGGTCCGAAAAGTTTCTCTGGCTCTACATCAGATCCATCATCCCGCTTTAACCTCTTAGGCTTGGGCTCTTCTCTGTCCTCGCTTTCGTTAGTGGCTGACTTCCTTGCGATTACCATCGGCACGCTCTTTGGCAAAGCATCACTGGCCAGCCCGATTCGTAGGTTCTGACTTCCAACATGAATGACGATGACCTTAGAGCCAGCAGCTTCCGCTGGAGTTTCTTCTGTATCTTCCATGTTTGCGTCGCCGTCTGCATCCGCCTCTGGCTCTGCTGCTTCATTCGACTTCGCCATTGCGAGAGCACGGTCGCGGTCCTTGGCCGTTTTGGCCATCTTCGTGCGGGCCTCTTCATTTTGAAGTCGGAAGGCGAGGTATTGGTCATCTCGCTTGAGATAATCGCTAGATTATGAACAAAGCGCAATCAGCGGGGCGCCTTCATACGAGGAGACATCGGCAGACAATAAATACAGATGATTGTGATCACATACGTATAGTAGTTTTTTTGATTGATGGCCGGTATCTGTGGCCAGCTCGATAGGTCCATATTATTGTCCGTCCGTTCCAGACCTGAATGGGTTGTTGGCTGTTAGCGAATTGCTCCCTATCGTCCCCAGCAAGTGGAAAGAGAGGTCACAGTAAATTACCTTCATCTCGAAGGGCCTTGCCCGACTTTTTGCCCACCATGATGATTTCTTGTGCGTGCAATTGTCCTGCCCGGCCAATTCCAGGGCAGAGTGCGACGGAATCCAGGGAGCGTACGAGCTAGGCCTTGACGGTTTCCTGGGTATCCCGCTGAATGACGCAGGGGTCTGTTGTTGATCTAGTCCCGATGAAGATGAAAGGACGCTGGAAGTGAGGATTGGAGGAGAGGCAACAGCCGAAAATGACGAGGACGCTTCAGCCGGGAAGCTTCAGAGTCGACGTCTTGAAGCGCGGCGCCATCGACGGCCTCCCCGATTGACCGCCCGGACAGACCGATCGCCAATCGCATGCAGTTGCCACCAAACGAGGACCTCCTTTCATTGCTCTTCACTTCCTCACTCTCCGCGACCCCGCCCTTTCTCTATCTTGTGTTTCATAGAGATCCGGGTTCTCTTTCCTTCAACGATCCTCCCTGCATCGCCTCCTCTCGTCAGCAGACGCCATCGCATCAGCTTGAACACGCCCCTCTGCATACTTGCCGCAAAAACTCGGCGCTTTACGACTAAAGAATACAAGAGCCGATCACACACAACCATGGGGAACTCTATGTCGTGGCTATCCAATCTGCTCTGGAGCAAGAAGGAGACTCGAATCCTAATTTTGGGTCTTGTACGTGGACACTCGAGAGGAATCGTCACGGCGGCGGGGATGCTAGCGCAGGTTTCGATGAATCTCAGTTTCAAAGGCTGACTGGGTTGCTTTGAGTGCAGGACAATGCTGGAAAGACCACTTTGCTCTATAGGCTGAAGGTATGTCCTCGAGTTTATTAATAAATTACTTTTCAGTCGCAACTAGCGTGCCATCTTGGAGCTAATATCTCTCGCGTCTTCAGATCGGGGAGGTTGTCACTACTATTCCCACCATCGGGTTTAATGTCGAGTCGGTTACATATAAGAATTTGAACTTGAACGTCTGGGTATGTATTTGAGAATTATATCAATGTCCATCGTCCCATCGATGTTTATCATACCCCGCTAACAGTAGTGGCTCTAGGATCTTGGTGGTCAAACATCCATCCGTCCCTACTGGCGATGTTACTACGCCAACACTGCTGCCGTTATCTTCGTCATTGATTCGACAGATATCGAGCGATTAGGAACTGCAGCGGATGAGTTGGCAGCTATGCTGAACGAGGAAGAACTCCGCGACGCGGCGCTGCTAGTGTTCGCCAACAAGCAGGATCAGCCCGGGGCAAAGGGCGCAGGCGAAATTTCAGAGGCACTGAAGCTGGGAGATCTGCGGGACCGCAACTGGAGTATCGTGGCCTGTTCCGCCATTGATGGCAAGGGTATTGATGAGGGCATGGATTGGCTGGTTGTATGTGTCTCTCTTCGACCCAGCCTTCTGATTGTTCGATTGATACTGACCTGATTTCTTTATAGCAAACCATCCAGGCGGAAACATGAGGTGCTACGTTCTTCTCGGGCTATAGATTTTGATCTTCGATATATACCTTGCACCTCGGTTGCTCACGCGATTCGAGGCCCGTTCTGCTGCATTCAGAGGTGCCGTGCTGTTTCTTCTCTTCGACTCTCCTCGGATGGACTGGGTCCTTGTCTTATATTGCTACATGGTTTGGGGTGTGCTTGTCCAGCGGCCGTTAGATAATAGTTTAATGGAACTGCTGCTGCGACGAATCAAGATCGATGATGCGTAGAAAGACCCCGGGGCAATCAAGGCAATCCGGTATCGGTATAGCTTCAATATACCGTCATTCCTATCAACCACGTTAGCCCAAGATAATGGGGGCCCCTTTCCTGCTATCTTGCACTCGGGAAGATAAGCGTCATGTAACCCCCGCATCGGAGAGATGCACGCAATCGGCTGTACCTATCAAGTCTGTGCACGATTCGATCGAGTTCCCCCCCCCCTCGTATCTTCTTTCTACCAACCCGTCAGTTTCGATTTCAGCAATATTGGTACCTGAAGATCTAGAAGAAGAAAAGCCGACATGGATATTCCTTTGACTCAAATCGCGGCTGCTATTCCCCCAGGTGGGGCGTCTGGATCCTTCAAGATACAAATCAACCACAAACATCCCGTGCCACTTCCATGTGACGGTGAAGTATTGGTAAAACTTGAGTATTCCGGAGTGTGTCATACAGACGTGCATAGTATTCGAGGTGACACCCCAATGTTGACTGATGTCGCTGGCCATGAGGGAGTGGGGACAATTGTTGCAGGTATTAAAAGAGGCTTCATAATTGAACTGATGTTTACGGTCTCGATTTAACTTGTTGCGCTTTTTCACTTCAGTGGGACAAGGTGTCGATGAGAAGCAGTGGATTGGCCAGAGAGTGGGAATTAGGTTAGTATATCAATGTGGCTGGATGCCTCAGTTCGGCTTTGATGGGTCAGCACTGATTTATGTCCCTTTGACCAGATGGCTATACAGCTCTTGTCTGGAATGCGAAATTTGTGCAATCAATCATACAGCCTGTCCTTACCAGCAGAATGCTGGAGCAGTGAGTTTAACTTCTTCTTAGCTACACCAACAAGTGATAATGCACTGCCGAGGTCAACGTCTGCTTGATTTGTTACTGATGTCTCTCTTGATGGGAAGAATGTTCCGGGTACCTTTCAGCGTGAGCAGTGCTACTTTCATCGTGCAATTTAATGCTCAGCACTAATCCTATGATCCTGCTTCAGAGTATATTGTCAGCCCAGCTATGCACGCTACCAAGATTCCCCCAGGTATACCTCCGGAATTGGCTGCCCCTCTCTTATGCGGTATGTTTTGCACTGTGCTTTTCAGTGGCTGTGTCGTTTGATAAATTATAGCCGGAATCGCCATGTATTCATCGATTAAAAAAACAAAGACACGCCCGGGCGATTGGATTGTGATTCTCGGAGCAGGTGGAGGTCTCGGACATATGTATGAGCATTCATCTTTTGAATTTTAAATCTATATGATTTTGAAGGGAGTTAACCTCCGTGTATAGGGGCGTGCAAATTGCAGCTAAACAAGGACTTCGGGTTATCGCGGTCGATAAGTATGTGTACTGCATGAGTTAACATCTTGACCTATTTCTTTTGTTTGTACTAACTCGACCTAGGGGTGAGAAAAAAAGACAACTTTGTCTATCCTTGGGTGCTACAGAGTTTGTGGACTTTTCGGAAGTCGACACTGCCGAAGCTGTCCATGCTATCACATCAAATTTGGGTGCACATGCGGTTATATGCACAGCCAATGGTGAACGAGCGTATGAACAGAGTATGAAGATGCTCCGTCGCCTTGGAACACTGGTTTGTGTTGGAATTCCAAATGTCCCATTCAGGCTTCCCGTCACTCCACTGGATATGATTGTCAAAGGTATCAACCAACCCTGTACTTTTGCGATATTTGGTTTTTTTATATTATTTTTTCTAAACCACTTCAACTTTGAAACTGAGGCTAAGTCTATAATTAGGTCTCTCAATTGTGGGAAATTCTGCGGGGACTGCAGGAGAGATGAAGGAACTTATGGAGTTGGCTGTAGCGGGCGATGTTAAAGCTCATATTGAGGTATATGATCTAGCAGATATTGAGGATGTCTTGCGGCGTCTCAATAGTTCGGAGATTGAAGGGAGGGCAGTCCTCAAGATTCCTGCATGATCTGACTTGATTCGGGCTCGTTTCATGCGAAACATCAACCCATATTATCGGATGTGAATCATCTGTATACTCTGGAGAAAAGGCCTCAACTAGGCCCAAAAGGTACCCGTAAATATATGTTTTTGGCTGCTGTGTGATGGTTTAAAATCATTTTGATTAGGGTTTAGCACCTTCCGAGGAAATATGGAAATTTGGTACAGGGATAAATCATCCGGAGAGGAATGATTTACATACTCATGCTAGAGACCAGGTTGGGGGGTGTATAACATCTTGGTAGTTCGGAATCATGAGCTAACTAACTACAAACAGGGGTTGAGATAAGAAATCATAAAATCGATTTTTAATGCTCACGCTATTATAGCATTTATCATCGCATTTCCTCAACTTGGTTCCATAACTCAGTTGGTTAGAGTGTGGTGCTAATAACGCCAAAGTCGAGGGTTCGACCCCCTCTGGAACCACATTCTTTTTTTCCCTCCTTATTGCGCTACGTAACCGCCAATTTTTTCTTCCTTCCAAGAAAACTGCTTTAAAGCATGGACGCTTGAGTAGGACTTCAATATGAGCATGGTAGGAAAAGAACAGATTTCTGCACAGACGCAGGCTTCTTTGCCAAAATTGGCTTCTCTCCAGTTAGTAGCAACTATAGATAAAAGATGAACTTTTCGCTAGGGTGACCACGGAATCTAATCAGTCCCTGCCAGGTAGATTTCCTTCATATTAGACTGTAGTTGTAATGCGCCGCGCTCTCAATAAAAAAAGGGAAATCATTTTATATATAAACGTGAATCAATTCTGGGGAGGGACAGAAGGATAGCGTGCGTAATATTAATCATTTTCACGTTGCTCATTCTAATAATCTATCCACCCGGCATATGGTTAGTAAAAGACAACCGCAATTCTCACAGATTGGCTATTATATGTCTGGCCTAAAGCTCTCCAGGCAAAAATAGGAACCAAGTTCCTTGCTATCATCTCTTGGTAATCTCTCTTCCATGGAGAAGAATTACAAAATAGTAAAAAAGAGAATGTGGTTCCAGAGGGGGTCGAACCCTCGACTTTGGCGTTATTAGCACCACACTCTAACCAACTGAGTTATGGAACCAGGTTGTTGAGTCGGGCTCGAAAATATCAAATAACAAGCCAAGAACAAAATTTGCTAATATTCGTTTTGCTGTTCATTGTATGGATTTCCCTTTCCACTCCTTGTGCCTTTTAAGCACCGATGAGATGATTAGCAGCTGATTTGATGATAAATCTACGACAAAGATGTTAGGCTTGTGATGGAATCATCGAATCATCGAATCATCGATACAGTCCTCCTGAGGGTTGGACAGAATGTACGGAGTATCTATTCACAACCTGAAGGCGCCAGGTGAAGATTTAATTTTCTGGAGCCTATAGTGTCCCATATTTCTACATTATGCCAGAAACCCCATGCATAGCCGAGTAAAGCGTCTCAAAATTAGGATTACAAGAACGTATAGGTAGGCAGTATGGGATTAAGAGACCCAAGGAACCGAGATCGCTTATAGTTAGAGGTATTGCGCTGGTCCGACGCAGCAGATCACCACTAAAGGGGCAGGAAGTTCTGATAGCGGTTTCGTCGTGTCCAATAATGCAAATAGCAAACAAAATCACGCTAAAAATGAGAGCAAGAACTTACCGATTATTAGCGAGTGGCAATAATAATTGGGTATCTCTTCCTACCTGCAGTAGGTACTTATCTTTTCTATGGGTCTACTCAATTTATTTGACAAATGCGTCTCAAATCGGTGAATAATTCCATATTGCGAAACGAGCTTTGCATCGGAGCATGGGCCCGGAAATGGTCTGTGAAGGAGGGACGAGATGCTTCAGCACCCATCAAATCCGGGGAAGGCCGAATGTGCTGGCGATGGAGTTCTTGATTGGCGCCCGTTGAGCCAAGAGGGGCGCTGGCCCGTGAACCTATGGTAGCCTCAGCAGGTCTCCACGGGCGGCAGCGATGGGCTGCGGGCCACCCGAGTGGAGGCCGAACAGCCCTGGATAACCATTGAAATTCTGCCAAACACCTCCAACCACGGGAAGCACATGCTATCTGGCCGAGCTGTGAGTGGTCTGAGAATCGAAACTAACGCAGGGAGGACGAAGCCAAATGCGCTTAAAGTTATCCCAAATCGGCTTGATGACTTTCGAGGTATTTCCCAATCACCCACTTGACAAGATACTCCGCCCTAGGGGTGTCTCCGAATAACCCGTAAGTACTCCGGGCTATATGATTTTCTGGGCTCCACAATCCTTTACCTGATGGCGCATCACAAAGAGGAGACGAGAAACAGAAGGAAAACTAGTGGATAAAATCGGGTTGCAGTCGATCCTTGGAGGGCAAGGGCGATCCTCATCCTCGCCTCTAACCCTAAATTGCGAATCCTAAACCGCAAATCGCCAATGCAACGGGTCTACGTTCCACCCAACAACGGAGAAGACAGAAGTACTCGGTACATGCTGATATTATCTCTTCCGGGGTTTCTGACTTACCTTTTAGGTATCCGCTACTTGCGTGCCTCCGTGGTCTCCTACCTCGACGTGCGCTCTGCTTGCCTTCCCCCACTCCCCACTGTCCAAGTCTGGTCTTATCGCCTCCCCACCCATGTGTTTCGGTGATAGGATGTCGCTGATGCCTCGTGCCCCTCGAGATGGGGCGCATATCATCGGTGCTCTTATGCGGACCTATATGAATACCATCCCTCGTGCCTCCCCCGCCGCATCTTCTTCCCTATTCTCCCCCCGCTGCTTCGCTCGCACGTAATGGATTGGCTACACATCTACATTGCCGGCGCGGCATTTTTGGTTTTTGCCCTCGTGTCGCTGGTTCTGCTGGTCTCCTCCCAGCAGGTCAAGGTGGACTCAAATCATGGCATTTTCGCCTATCTAAAATTCATATACGCCAATTTCCTCAAACCTCACGACAAAACCGCTGAGGGTCAGCAGGGGGCATTGGAGAGCTTTTATAAGACTCAGGTAGGTGGTCAATGCGAGATACGAGCCGAGAAGCATGGAGGGCTCGCGGAACCGAGGGAAAGAGGGTATGGAATGTTTGTACTGACTAGCGGGACTAGGCCGCAGTTTATGATGCAACTCGTCGTCGTTTGCTACATGGCCGTGAAGACATGCTCGGCTTGGTTGCAGCTCAGCTGAAATACAAGCTGGAGAAAAAGGAGATCACGGCCGGAAAGGCTGTCTGGGTAGATGTGAGTTTGGAATGAGCATCCCATGTCAACAAGTGGGTACGAATAAAGGCTAACTGCTTCTTGCCCATGAAAGATTGGAGGCGGCACTGGGTGAATATAGCTTGACTCGAAATCGATAAAACAATAGCTAACTAGCCCAACCAGATACAATATCGAGGCTATGTCCGCCTTTATTCCCGTCGACAAGTTCTTTGACCACGTATACCTCGTGGATCTCTCGCCGTCCCTCTGTAAGGTTGCTCGGGAACGCTTTCAACGCCTAGGATGGAAGAATGTGACTGTACTGTGCCAGGATGCCCGGTCTTTCCGTCTTCCAGAGAAGCAGGTCGATCCCAAGTCGGCAGATAATTCTACTACTGATTGTGTGGATTTGATCACCATGAGTTATAGCCTTTCCATGATTCCTGGTAAAGACCACACAACTATGAATAAAGCAAAACGAAACTAACCGTACTTTTCTTAGACTACTATAGCGTGGTTGACTCGTTAAATCCCCGCCTAAAGCCTACGGGCATACTGGGTGTCTGTGACTTTTATGGTAAGCAATTTGTTTCCAATAACTAAACAATCATCATTCTAACAACCATCACAGTACAGAGCATTGTGGATGTGTCTTGCCGTAACTACACTGGCGGTGCCTTCAATCGTCATGTCAACTGGTTGGGTCGTATTTTCTGGCGTGCCTGGTTTGACTTTGACCGGGTTAGCCTCGAGGCCGCTCGTCGCGATTACCTCGAGTACAAGTTCGGTACAGTCATCTCTGCAAGCGAGCGAAACTATCTCCTGGGTGGTATTCCTTACTACATCTTTGTTGGTTGCCCTAAGGAAATCGCCTCTACCCCATCGAGTCAAGCCGCCATTGAAAAGCTGGATGCATCCTTCACAGAGTCTCCCTATCTTCTTCCTGCAAACCACAAGATGGAGATGGACAAAGCCGTTGCGGACAGCACACGCGAGGTCCGTTCAAAGGCATACGAGTCGGCTGTGATCAACCTCAGCGCCAACCTGCCGCTTCCATCATCCTTCTACCAGAATCATCATTACCGGATTCACTACAATGATATGCTGCCAAAGCACACCCAATTCCAGAATGAATACATTTATGCGTTCACCTGGGAAGACCCGCGTGTGGATCATCGACTCCTCAACATTGGCCCTGACGATGTGATCTTGGCTATCACAAGTGCTGGAGACAACATCCTCGACTATCTTCAAAAGAATCCTCGACGAGTACATGCAGTGGACTTGAATCCCAACCAGAACCACCTCCTGGAGCTTAAGGTAGCCAGCTTTACTGCGCTGGGACATCGCGATATGTGGAAAATATTTGGCGAGGGCAAGCACCAGCAATTCCGGGAGTTGCTCATCTCAAAGCTCAGTCCTCATCTGTCTAGTCAGGCTTTCCAGTACTGGATTGAACACTCCCACATCTTCACATCCAAATCTGGGCGTGGTCTCTATGAGACTGGCGGCTCACGTCATGCCATCAAGATGGTGCGTTATTTGTTCAACATCTTTGGCCTCCATAAGGAAGTGGATAAGCTGTGTGAGGCGCAGACCCTGAATGAGCAGCGAGATATCTGGCCACGCATCCGTCGGGTTCTTCTGAGCAAGCCATTGAACTGGGCTATTGTGAGCACTGAGTGGTTTGCCTGGAAGGCAGCCGGTGTGCCACGTAACCAGCGCAATATGATCGTCGATGACTACTTCCGTCGCAACGGGTTGACAACCGACATGAAGCAAGGCAAGGATGTCAGCGGTCAGTCTATCTGGGAGTACGTCGTCAACACCCTTGACCCCGTGGTGAAGGACACTTTGATCAGCAACGACAACTACTTCTACTACTTGTGTCTCCGGGGTCAATTCTCTCGCCGGTATGTCTGCGTCCAATATTTTGGTCATGTCTATTACTAATTTGATAATAGGTGTCACCCCACATACTTGTCTCCACAGGCGCATGTCAAACTCTCTACACCAGGCTCTTTCGATGGTCTTCGCATCCACACCGATGAGATTAATGAAGTCATCAACCGCATCACTCCCGGAACATTGACCATCGCCGTGGTAAGTGAAGACATTGCCTAATACCCGTTAAATGTCCCGTTCACTTATGTGTGTTTCTTAGGTCATGGATTCTATGGACTGGTTCGACCCTACTGAGGATGCTGCGTCCGCCCAAGCCCGTCGTCTCAACCACGCGCTGAAGAAAGGCGGCCGTATTCTGCTTCGCTCTGCCAGCATTGAGCCTTGGTATATCAAGCACTTTGAAGAGAATGGTTTCACAGCTCGCCGTGTAGGAGCCCGATTCCCCGGTACATGCATCGACCGGTAAGGACCCCTTTTTGTAAGCTTGAGAGCCTTCAGTGAATACTAATAATCCGCAGTGTTAACATGTACGCCTCAACTTGGATCTGCACTAAGGAAGATGACGTGGTGCGTCCTGAAAATAATAGAACTATTTCCTCACTATCACTTGGGGACAGTGCGATCGGGTCCACGAAACGGTCGACCAGTGTGGAGGATTTGCAGATTTGAGCGTTATGCTCTTTTATTTCTCCCGTACCATTCCCCTTGTCAGATTTCTCCCTTAATGATTTCCCACTGAATTCAGCTGGTTCCTGGTTCTATTTTTATTGCGCATTTTTTTTATCACGGAGTATTTGGTGAAGTTATATATGGATACCAGCGGAGTTGATATGACAACAAAATATGTCTTTTATCCGGAGGGCGGTCTCTGTAAATAGTGGATGATGCATTGCAAAGAGTTGAAAAATCAACCAATGCAAAGCAGAGCTTTGTGTTCTTTATCGTGTTATTCATCGTTAAACAGTCATTTCGCAACTATTTTCTTTTTCGGCCACTCCGAAGTCTCGGAACATTACGGAGACAACCCACTTAGAATCATGACTTTGGGCGATAGCTACAATTTGCGGTATTATTGGGCGGTGGAAAACAGAGGTATTTGAACAAGAGCCAAGCAATGCAATTTTAACACGTAAACCAAACTATCAAAACATGCTATACACACAAAGTCACAGATGCAAATTCCCAAAGCCTTTCAGTATAATTAGAGCCAATTCACAGTTCCTCCTCAATCTCCTCGGCCGGAGTAAGCTCCAGCTCCCAAGTCTTGATTTCCAGGTTCAGGGTATCGTCGTTGCTGACAGCCTTGCCAGCGCCAAACTTCTTCAAATCCCACTTTTCAACACCCTCGACACCCTTAAGCTCATCACTGAACTCTCGGAACAGGTCGGCGTTCAGGCGTTCGTACTCACTGTAGTCCTTGGGCCAGTCACCCAGACGCTGTACAGCAAGCTTGAGCAGCAGCAGGTGCTGGCGGACGTGCTCGCCATCTGAGATGCTGCCGTGTGCGCTGTCGGCCAGGTCAAGGTCGTAGGTAGAGCCGTCAATGCTCATGCTGTTTTCAAGGCCACCTTCGAACTCAGCCAGGGACGGGTCGACGAAGATGCGCAGCAAGTTCTCGTGCAGGCTAGCGGCCTTCTTGTAATACTTGTTGGCCATGTGCTGGCCGCCCTTCTCAGACTGGTACCGCTGCGCGATGCCAGTGTACAGCTGGGAAAGCAGGGATGACATCTCCAGGGTACTCTGGTGGCGGGCACCGTTGACGCGACGGCAGTTGTAGACGATGTCCTCAGCAAGGCGAGAGGCCTTGAGGGCGTCGCCAACCAGGTAGCGGGCTAGGATGTAGCGGCGGGCCAGCTGGAGTGTGACGGAGGGAGACCAGTTGATCTGCTGGTTGCGGCTAGTCCAGAGGCTGGAAAGCAGCCAGACCAGGTTCTTGTATTCCTTCTGCTCGCCGAGCAGGCCAATCAGGATGTTCAGGTAGTCGAGGCTGATCTGGGCCAGGTTGATCTTCAGATCGCTGATGACGCGGAGGACCTCCTGGATGATGACGGCAGAAACGCCGATCAACTTCTTCTGGGTGGCCTGGTCGGGCTGGGGGGTAATGGTACGACCGGTAATGAAGACACCTAGAGTGAAGACGAACTTGACAATCGCAGCTGTGCGGAAGACATCATGAGCCGAGATGTAGCGGAAAGATGCGATAGCAAGGTCACAAGCGCCATTGTAGTTCTGCTTCTGCAGCAGCTCGAGAACACGGTAGTTACTGGCAATACCGACAGAGCGGATGAAGTTGGTGGACTGGTGGCTGCTGAAGTGCTCCAGGATGGTAGAAAGGAAGATCTTGACTTGCGCAGTCTCGGTCAACTTGATACGCTTGCCCTCAGTAGCGAGGAAGTAAGCAACGTATTCGTCGAAGACACGGACAGCGGCTTCCTTGCGGTTGTTAATGAGCAGGAAGTGGTAAAGACGAGAAGCAGACACCGAGACAGTGTGGAAGGAGCTGCTCTTAGAAGAGACGTGGGTGCGGAACTCCTCATAGTACACGTACTGGGTGGTCAAAGAAGCCAGGATCTCGGTGATGCTCGAGCTCTGCTGACGGAGACTGTGCTCCATCTGAGCCAGGAAAATCAGGCTTTGTCGACCCTTAGTAGTCAGATCAAACTTGGAGCTCTTCACATTGGTGGTATCTTTCATGACAACCTGGCGGTAAAGCTCCTGAGTCAACTCAGTGGCCTTAGAAACCTGGTTTGTGGCAATATAGCTACCAGCAATGGTAACAGCGGCAGCGACGAGCCTGGTGGAGGAAGTCTCCGACTGCAGAATGTTGACAGTCGACTCCTTGAGCTCTTGAATGACCGACTCGGACGACTCGCTGTGCTTGGAGTGGAAAGAAACCATCTCCTTCAGCTTGGTCAGAGACTCCTCATGAGCCCAGCCGTGAGTCTCACGCACGGAGGTAATGCGCTTGCGCAGGACCTTGGAGGCACGCTCAATCTGAGTGGAAGAGATCGACTCAGACTTGGAGATGGCGATGGCAGTCTGTTCCTCATAGATACCGTCAAGAGTAGCAGAAATCTCCTCATGGTCAAGTTCAACAGACTTGATCTTGAGCAGCTCCTCATAAAGAAGGATGGCATCGGACTCGTATTTCTTGGTCTCTTGGCAGACCTTAGCAAGAGTCAGAGTGGCCCTGATTGTGATCGTTGCGGTAGCACTGAACACAGCCTTCACCTTGGCCTGGTAGTCAACAGTGATCTTGTGAATCACGGCATAGTCGGCGCGCACGCTACGCAGGCAGTGAGTGTAGCGGGTGAAGAATTCCTCAACGAATGAGGGCTCCTGGAACTTGGGGCTCTTCTTGGGATCATGGAGGAACGTGGTGAATAGAACCGAGTAGTAAGCTACAGCATCAGTGTAGCGGCTCTGGTTCCACAGCTCAGTCACAACAATGATGAGGGGCTCAATGGCATCAGGGTGGCAGTGAGGAGAGTCCTTGTTCAGGGCCTTGATAATGCGCTGGTAATACTCGACAAAAATGGGACGAGGACGGGTAAGCTGGGCCAGAGTCCACAGGGTCTTGATGACAATGGGGTGCTCAGGGCCATAATGCTTAATATAGTCGTCCAAGATCTCTTGATGAGTGCTGATAACTCGCTCGGGCTGGGAAGAGCGCTCAAAGAAGCGAACAAGCTCATTGGTGACACGCTCCCGCAGCTTGTCATCGACGGGACGAGCGACACGAACGGCATGGTAAACGCGGATACGAATACCTTCTTCACGGGGGAAGCGACGGCGGTAATGGTAGCATTGACTAAGACGCTCGGCAAGGTCCACACATTTCTCAACGTGCTGGCCTGGGAGGATCACATCCTGGATAGAAGGAGCAAACAGAGAAGGCCACAGACCGTGAAGAACCTTCTTAACAACACGAGTGGCATCCTTCCAACGGTGCTGAGAAACGTACAACTCAACGAGAGTGTGGGTCGCGGTGAAAGAGCTCTGGTCAATCTTGGTAATAGAGCTAGAAGCTTCATAGACCATTTCCTCCAGAGTGGACTCGGACACAACAGTAGAAGAGGAGCTAGCCTGGTGCATGACTTGCTGGGAAGTGCTGCTGATACTCTGCTGGATTTCCTCATAGGATGAAGACTTGGTCCGGTTGGTACTCTGGTAGTAGTGAGCACAGTGCTTGAAGATGCTGAGAGCCGCAGCAGAGAGGCCAACAGCCGACATGACTTTGGCAATCTCCTGGAAGTGCGAGGAAGTGGATTCAGAGACAGAGAGGCTAGTGCTTCTGTACTCTTCCCAAACACTTGACAAGATAGAAGAGGCCTCGTACTCTCGCTTCTGGGACTGGAGGAACTTCGAGTAGACAGTAACGGCCTTCAGCTTGACCTGCTCCCAATGCTCAGAGTACTGAGCACGGCACTCCTTGCTGGCGCGCTGCCAGATCTCAACGTAGATGCGCTCAGCCTCGACAATGCGACCTTCGGCGACGTGCTTCTCAGCCAGCTTGATGAGAGCCTCGAAGTCGAAGGACTCCGACTGGACCTCGTCCTCCTCGGCATCAAGGATGAAGCGGATGCCAGTCTCGCCATTCTGTTTGTGACCCTTCAGGTGGACATGAAGGTGGCCACCACGGCTATCAACATCATCGCCATAATCAACGCCCGTAATGGTCTTGATTTGGATTTCAATTTCCCGGACTCTCTTCTCCTCTTTGATCAAGCGGTAGTGCTCAATCAGGGTCTTCAGGGTGGTGACCACCTTCTCTGAGGTGTTACCATAGTGAATCTTATAGCACTCAACAATGAGTAGAAGAGTCTCCTCGCGTCTGATCATGATTTCAGTCTTGGTGTTGGAGACTTGATCCACGGTAAGTTCAAGGAACAAAGCGGCCATCTGCATAGTCACAATATGCTTGGTGGTGAGCAGAGTGCGGCTAATTGTGGTAATCTCATAGAGGAGAGGAATGGCCTCGGGAACGTGACCAACGTCACGACGGAAGAGAGCCAGGGAAATAATGGACTGCAGAGTCACCACGCTGTTGGGAGTCAAGATGTGACGGCACAGGTTGGTGACAGTAGTCAGATACGACAGCAGAGTCGGGGTGGAGATGTTCTGCCAGAGTGTATTCTGGAGAAGCAGCAAAGTGACGGTGACAGGGAAGAGCTTGCCGAACTCCTTCGCCGTGGGAGCATCACCGCCAGTTGTGTAGACAGTTGTCTGTTTCAGGTGCTGGGTCCAGTACCGCACAGACAAGTCAAGGAGGGGATACTTCTGAACAAGCAGGGTAGTGTCATGACGGTCAAGGGGGGTCAAAGAAGGCTCATGCTGCTCAGTCACAGTGTTCTTGATATAGATCAAAAGACGAGTGACGAAATCGGCATGACGGTCCTTGATAGTCGGGATGAGCTTGCCCTTAGTATAGACTTCAAGAACGGCAGTACGGATGAGGCCGTGACGAAGATATACTAGACCATCCTGGAGGAAAATAAGATTGGTCAGCGGCTTCAAGATGGCCAATGGATCGACCTTGCGATCGGTGACGCTGTGCTTTTCAACCTGGATAGAAGCCAGGGTGATGAGCTCCTTCAGCAGTAAGGGACGTTCAGCGGTTGCAAGCCAGAGCAGCATAAACTTAGCATCCTCGTTGACCTCGGTAGATTGGAGGGCATGGGTAACAAAGTCGCTGATGGTCAGCTTGCTGCTAATTAAGGTCTCTGTGGTCTTGAAAAAACTGTCTTTGTTCTGCTCAGAACGGGCACGCTTGGCCGCAAGCTTAGCCCAGAGGAAGGAGCCGTGGGAGGCCTCGGTGATCTGATCAACGACAGTCTCCTGCTCCAGTTCAGACATCGCGACGAAAACCTGGCTGCGGACGAGAATGCTTCGCACAACAGCGGAGACATCATCAGCGATGCGGTCCTCATTGATAGGAACATGCATCACATTATCTTTGATAGGAGGCTTCTCAGCACCCAGAGTGATGAGCTTCACATTGGTGGCATGGGTAGTAGCAACGACAAGACGCTGAACCAGAGCAGCCTCACCGCCAGCAGCCTCATCGAGGCCATCAACAACAATGACAAGTTCCTTGGCACCGCGAAGGGCAGCGGCAAGAGCTCGTTCCAGGGCGTTCCAGAGAATGTTCTCATAGTCGGCAGGGCTGGTACTCTTGCGACTACGCTCGTATGCGTCGCCCAGAATATGCAGCAGCTGAATGTTACCAATACGCTTTTCGAAGAGCTGGAAAAGGATGGTCTTCGCAATGGCAATAGGGGTACTCTCAGCAGGAATGCGAGCATCTATGAATTCAATTAGAGACGTGGAAGGTGTTGACTGTAGACATCCAAAGACTTACTGATGGGAACAAACAGGGTCTTGTAGGTGACACCACCGATCTGGTCCTGCAAACGGTCAACGATGACGGAAGCCAGGACTGTCTTGCCAGAACCTGGCTTGCCAGTGAAAGACAAGGCGGTATCTTGGCTCTTCAGGAAACGAGTCAAGTATGGGCCCATCCAAAGGCAGGTCATTTCCTCACGCTCGTGGGCAAGGTGGGAGCTATTCTCGGCAAGATGGCTGAGGACGCGGTCTTCGGGGGCGAGCCATGATCGGACGGACTTGACAACGGAAACTAAAATAAAATATCTAAAATCAGCAGTTGAACAATGAACTGACTAGAATAACCAAGCACTTACCTCGGTCCGTGTCAATGTTCTCCTTCGCAAGCTGATGTCTCCACATAGCCTCAGCAATCTTGGCGCAGCGCTCGCGGAAAGATTGGATCTGTCCAGGGAAAGTATCGTAGATGTTGACCGACACCGAAGCAGTGGTCAACCCACGGATGGCTTTGTGGAAGTGAGTGGAGACACTGGCGACCAGGGTCACCAGGTCAGCTAGAGCAAGGATAAGCTGCTCCTTAATCTCCTGGGAGACAGAGAAAAGCTCAGTACGCTCCAAGAGGTTCACCAAGGTAGATGAGGTGCTATAGAAGAAGCCAAAGGAAGTCATCAAGGCTGGTGCATTATCTTTGCCCAGCTGATATGTTTGAAATATAATTAGCATGTCTTGAATTTCAAGAGAATATACTAGGGCATACCTCAAGAAGCATAGAGCAGTAGCCATAGGACAGCTGAGCAGCGAGATAGCTATCACCAGCAAACTCCTGAATCGCACTATCGAAAGAATGCAATCTCTCAACGAAGAGCTGGGCCCAGGAAAGGACCTTGTCATAGCTACTTCCCTCCGGGGGCAGGTGGTTCATGCGCTCCGACCGGATCCAGTCCAAGATGGAGCTATAGGATGTGTTCAATAGCTGAGTAGATGCGCCAGTGCCCAATTCATCACCGCTGCGACGGTGCAGAGATTGGACCACACTGGTAATGTTAGAGTTACCGGCGCCATTCACCTTCCGGGGCATGAAGGATTCCCGGCGAGAAGAGCGGCCATTCTGCGACATACTGTCGTTATCGAATGTAGCAGAGAAAGCAGAGACGTGCCGGGAGTTGCCGGGCAAATTCGCATAGAAGGAGGAGGTAAGATTACCCGGAAGAGGGGAAACAAGACCGGGAGCCATTTTGGTAGTAGGAAGTACAATGGTGTTGGAAGAGGAATTAGTGGTTTGATTCGTGAGGTTTGATGGTACAGTCGACTTTCCAGGAGAGGCGTCAGGGTGAGGTTTTGGGGAAATTGGGGTCTGTCGAGGAGGGTGCGAATCAGATAGAGGTTCTCGTGAGCAACAGCTCTTAAAGCAGCAAAATAGACGAGACAAACCCGCGAACTGGTTTGATACTAGGCTCTAGAAAAAAAAGAAAAACATTCGAGGCTCTGAGAATATGGAATAGATAGAGAGAAAAGAAGGAAAGCCCGTGGCAATTCTGGGTGACAGGGAGCTTTTGTAGCAAGCTTGCTTCCCCGGGTCGGTGCCACTTCCGACCCTTATTTTTTTTTTCTTTTCTTTTTCTTTTCTTTCCTCCTTACTATCCCGTACGGGTGGATGGATGCATGTGGCAATGGAGCTTTACAGCATCATAATTGCGACTTCCGGGCTCAAAAGTGGGTATGAGCTTCAGCTTCTGTGGACTCAGATCAATCTTTTCCCCTTCTCCACAGCAGGATCTTGGTGGTTCTGCGATATCTGAAGTTTTTGGTCTCTCCATTTTCGTCCAAAGTGGACCAAAAACCCGCTCGGATTCCCAAGATGATGGCTGTTGGAGTGTGCATAGTCCACTCTTTTTCCATCTAGAGCTTCGAAGGCTCGAGCTTGCATTGGCTGCCTTCGAGTCAAAGGTGGCTCGGAAACATGTGGAAGCCAATCATAGGCAAGGCCAACAAAAAGCACCACACCCTCGAGAGTCAACATCCCGTGTCCCAGATCAATGGGCGAGAGCGTGGAGCATCAAACGTGGAGCGCCTGCAGGACAACCTGCATGATGATGCTACATAATGGGCCACATTAACTCTCTCCACCTGGGCCACCATCACGGCCCATATCATTCGGTAAAGAGAATGATATTGCCAGGCCGGAAGTTTCATACCAGCTGAGGTGCACGTCCAGTGGAGCGCGGAGTACGGGAATGCCGTACATACGGGAGGGTGGTCGGGAGCTGTCAATGCAAAGAGGTCGGAGTCCCGCCTTCGGAGTGCCCGCTAGAGTGCATAGGCAGCTTTCCAATGGCTTGTCTTGATGGTTTCAGTGTCCGCATTGCTGCAACCTGTCACTATCAGTTTGCCTTTTGGACTCGGGAATGGCTGGCTGGAGAAATGGGCTATTTTTCGCCGTGGCGCCCCTGGTGCGGGGGTCATGAAGGGGAAGGTGGAGCTCTAGCCCTTGACATCGGTATCCAATAATAGTCCGTGCACGGCAGACGGGAGGGGACGGCTGTACCCCTCGGACGAACCGTCGATCGATTGGCATGGGAACCATTCTATTTGATCGATTCCAAGTTCTCTCACTGCGGGGGTGCAAGTGGTTGAATTCTGCCAGCCATCGCCGATCGTGACGGGTTGTCGTGAACCATTGAGGATCACTGACGCAACCGACCCACTGGGATCCTAGTGTCAATTATGATCCTTAGGATTCCCGCTCCTTCCGAGATCGTCTTTTCATACCGACCAATACGCTTTGGTGGAAGGGAAGGCGGTTGCAGACCGGCCGTCGTTCGAAGGCTAGAACGGACACCCCCGGTAGGTTTACGGCACCCATGCAGCTTGCGTCTGGAGGGGTTTTAGTCTGGTCTGGATGGCGGCTGTTCATCCGGTGAAAGCCGTGAGGAGAAAAAAAAGAAATGATCAAGGAGGGCTGGATCCTGTTGCTGAGGTTGGCTCTCGTCTAATCGAGGTGCATTAGCATGATGGGTCAAGTGGAGGGGGGAACGAGGAGGAGGTTTCAAGTGGGTTGTCATGCCGATTTAGGGGGCTCCACCACCAGCTGAAGAAGTTCCGCTTCAGCAAAGTGGGTGAAAATAGGCGGACACTCCGGAGGTTGGCGGTTCGATTGGAGCATGGGCTTTTTCATTCTAAAGATTCAATCGTGACAAATGAGGGCGACTCAAGAATATGGCGAAAGTCAAATCAACACGCTACAAGTAACTACAAGTAACTACAAGTAACCCAAGAATGGCGACGCCGAGCATGTTTCCCTGCTAGACAACGCCCGCCGTGATGAGGTAGGGCGTTGAACGCTGTAGGCGATACGGGTATACTACAATGGTAAGAACTCTGTCCGCCCCCCCATCCACCCCCCTCTCGCCCCCTAGAGGTTTGTCTATACTGCACGTACTGCTCCTGGTACAGCCTAGCCATACCCCTGTATACTCTACCTTGAATCTGCGTCTCGGGAATTATTACCTCAGGGGAGAGGTCTCCCGGAATCCAGACCAAATATTCCAAATCATCAAGCTGCGCCTCGCCTGGTCGATTTTGGAATCGTACCTTTGCCGACTGATCACGGAGGATGCCTGCGAACAATACAGTACGTTCGTGACGTACGCCTGGATTTTAGTACTTCCCCTTTGGCATAGTTGCATGAACATGCCCCAGTCTCTGGCAGTAGATGGGCACCCACTCGCACGAGATGGCTCTCCCTACACATTGAGAAGGTTGCGCAATTTCCTTTGAGATCAGAGACCCAGCCTCTCGGTCGGAGGTTCTCTATGATCAATCGGATGAGAAGACCTTCTCATTTGTCGCAGACCGGCGTGGATATTCGTCAAGGAGTTATAGTCTATAAAGTATTACGGAATCCGTCACTATATGCCGTGTATTGTATGAAGTCGTTGAGAACCAGGGTCTCTCTCCTCTCATCCGCGTCCAGTCAAGCAACCGTGTTGCCCAGATCAATTTCGGAAGATTGAAGGCCCACCTCCTCCTTGCATCATGAGAAAGGTGGTCGTCGCTGCTGGGAATTTGACAGCCGAGTGGCGTCTGTTTATTTACTGATTGGTGCTACTGTAGTAATTGACCCTCCTGAATACTCCACCAGTCCTCCGGCACGAGGAGGACGAGCTTGGTACCGGGAGGACTATCAGTGGAGCCCAGCGGGTCCGATATTCAGCCCGAGAGCCATTGCGCACGATCCTGTTTTAGCACCGACCGCACCCGGGTGATCCCTAGATTGCATTGGAAATCCCATAGGGTTTGGAACGGAAGTTGTCGATGGGAATGATCGAGGATGGCTTGAATGAGTGTTTTGAGAATGAAGTTCTCTGACGGTAGTACAATAAATGCCCGATGGCGGTCTTCACAAAAAGCAAAATCCAAGCCGTTGTGCCGTTGTCTCCAGCCGAGTAGTCTGTCTTTCCATAGATACAAAAAAAAAAGAAAGAAAGAAAAAAAAACGGATGTCCTAACTCTAGATACAGGCATTTATGATCTGAAAATGACAGGGAGAAAAGAGTATCCTATCAGCTTCATTTCCTACCGTAATCAATTTATGATTGTCAGGTACTTTATACCAAAATGTCAGCTTAACGGGTCCCCAGATTAAGCTTAATTGACTTGGACCGTGATTATTCAATGTACCCAGCTTCAGTTGGACTCATCTCGATCAAGATGATTACCAAGGTGACCCCTGTATGGACCTATGCTAGCTGATGGAGAACGTAACCACGCGTCAGAGGCTCTATAGTACCTCACGACCCGATTCCGCCAGGGCTAATGATGTGCATGAGCCCCCCTTGACCCAAACCACTTGGTCCTCAGAGGATATAAGTGCAAAAGAATGACCTAAAATTGAGATTGGAAGCAGTTTGTCATAAGTATACATAGATATACTTCAACTTCAAGCTTTCTTGCTTCCTTTGGAGAAGCCGTTGAGGCCGAATGTCATGACCAGCCACGAAACTTAACCTCTCACGAAATTACACAAAAGAACAGTTTGCCATAATTGAGTGGGTCTTTAAGACGTATCCGCTTCCGATGAGAAACCTGCATAGCGGGCGAAAGATTCCGTGCTGGCGCCTCAGGCTTTCAAAACCTTGCGTCATGCATGAAGTTTCTCCTGCCAGCTTCAAGTGTTTCCATTTTAGGAAATATGGGACTTTTGCAAATAGTGTATTATTCCTTGGGATATAACATGAGGATCTAATACTTTTTTTGTTGGATGAGAGCAAGACATGTATTTGACATCCAGATATTCGAGTAAATCATGCCGGACTGTGTCTTGGATGACTCAGTCAACAATCTGTGTGCTGTATAATATAAGTGGAAACAATTAGGCATTGAGCTTATCTGTCCCGCTATAAATTTTTCCGTAATGGCTCCTTTTCTCTTGATCAGTGTCGCTTGAACTATGACATTTTTGACCAGCCACCGATACGCGGAACTGTGCAATAAGAACGAACGGATTTCCTCATATATATCAGGTGTACTTCTTTCTCTTCTGGCTGGTGATCCATAGGTGCTGGCTCCGACAGGCACTCAAAGCACCCAGTGATATGCCAGAGTGCCATTTCCATCTTCTCGAACACTAACTTGATATCTCCAGCTTCTGGCAAATTCAACAGATCAACCTCTTCCGGCATCTCTGTTGATGATTTGATCCCATGACTTTGACGGGTTAGGAATAATTTCTAGATAAACTCATTGCAGAGATATCGGGTTTGCGATTGCACTAGGATAACTTAAACCGCTGTGTATAGCAAGTAAGTTTGATGATCGTAACAATAGGGTAAAGTCACGATGTTCTAACTCAACAAATGGGACTGGTGCCTGTCAAGCGTACCAATCTGCTTATGTCACCTCACCCGTGATGGTGAGGGTTGAATAATAGACCAAGTGAGCAATAGGTTCCACTAAGCAACTGTCACTGGTCCCGGGGCAAGATATTCAAGCACGTCCCTGCCCATACCTGATATCATGTGTTTTCGGGTAATGGTTGTTCCTTGGCTGAACCAACGCGTTGGGCGCATAACCGGCCAACTGTCATTACTTCTTTACCAAAGCCTTCTATATATACTCATACTCAGCGCAAATCAGATCCATGCCCAATTTCTTTGAAGTAAATAAACCTCGCAAGAGGTAAACCCTCGCGTCACTGGCACAGTGGATAGAACTTAATTAAGCCTGGAAGGCGGAGAAATAATAATCCAAGTATCTCTTGACCGCTGGTGAGACGCCCCCTGAGCTATTATTGAGCTTATCGAAGGGATTTTTTAGTTACACTATGTTAAAGAAACGACGACTTCTCCGGCGAGAAGTCAAATATTCAGATGTGAAAGATGAAGAATTTAACATGCTCCACCAGCTTGACTTTCATGCTCAACAAATTCAATTTTTCACCTGCCTTTGGGACAAACGCGACTGGATGAAAACAGTTGTTGCCCATCATCTCAACTTGGCATCGCCCTCTCGATGTGAGGTTTCAGCGGTTGAGGATTGGCTCCATGGTAGTTTCAGTGTTTGTGTGCCAATAACTATTATCGACCAGCAAAAATTCCAGGTTCTTCTTCGATTCCCTCTTCCATACCGTGTGGGCGAGGCTTTCAATCCAGGTAATGGCGACGAGAAAATTCGTTGCGAGGCAGGAACATATGCTTTGCTCCAAGAAAATTGTTCGGAAATACCAATACCTCAGCTTTAAGGCTTTGCTTTATAACCTGGCGAAGTGGTATGTTCCAAAAATGACCTGGTATCCATCAAATCCACTAATGTTCTAAAATTTACCTCTCTAGGATGTATGCCTTTGGTCTCTCGTTTAATTTGTCGTTTACAACATTGCTTTTTATCATGGATTGGGAAACCTATACCATCAAAGTATACCCGTCACCAATACAGTAATACCATATCTGCTGATGGACTAGTCAGTATTGATACTGGTTATATTCTGATCGAGTTTGTTGATGAAACACGAGGCCAGATGCTCTCAAATACATGGAGCACAGGACGACATGATCCTTTTCTAAGGAGAACCCTTTTTCGCGATCTCTCCCGGATTTTCCTTAGTCTCCGCCGATCTTCACTGCCTAGAATTGGTTCCTTGACAATCGACAACTACGGATATGTACACGTCGCAAATCGGCACCTTTCAGTTGAGCTACAGCAGCTGGAAAAGGAGGGAATATCTTCTGACATATGTCGTGGATATACATATTCAACAGTGGACTCATACGTGACTGATATGCTGGGAGTTCATGACAATCGATTTTGCTATCAACCAAATGCTGTTAATAATATCGGAGACTGTGCTTATCAACTCTCTATTTTGACTGCAATGCGAACGGTCTTTCAATCGGTTTTTAACCGGAGTTTCCGAAGAGGGCCATTCATTCTCTGTTTCACGGACCTCCATGAAAGCAATATCTTCGTTGATGAACAGTGGCGGATAAAGTGTCTTGTGGATCTTGAGTGGGCCTGCTCTAGACCAATAGAAATGATTATACCTCCCTATTGGCTTACAAACAAAGGAGTGGACGAGATTACTCCAGCAGAATATGATCCTATCCGCCAGGAATTCATGGAGGCCTTGATCAACGAGGAGGAACAGCTCGACTTGGATAGTTTGATCAAACATGATCACGTAACATCACAGTTGTCTCTTTCAGTAATCATGAATAACACATGGGAATCAGGAGGATTCTGGTATACATTGGGAATGTCAAGTCCCTCGGGCTTGTTCACTATTTTTAGCCACCAGATCAAGCCTTTATTTTTTTGCACTGAAGATTATGACGAAGAATTTGGTGTGGTAATGCCCTTTCTCTTTGAAAAGAACGTTGGAGCTGTTGCAGGTCGTAAACTTGCAGACAAAAAGAAATATGACGAGGATCTGCAACGTGCCTTCGAAGGCCATGCAGAAACAGAATAAACAACTGGTTATTTCTGAGCAGACTGATTTTTCTTCTCATTTACAGCCTCCTCCAAAACCACTCGCTGGACTGCAGCATCTAAAGCCCTGCAATTCTATTTTTCTGATTGTCATCCCTCTTCTTCCAGGCAGTTGCGGCCGATGAATTGAGCTGTTGAAATTCCTTAAGGGTTCCTCCAGTCCCATATCCCTTCGCTGCGTTGGCCTCGGCTTTCTTTGACGAGGACTGCTTGGCTATCTTGGACGACACGGGGAAAGACTGTCAATCTATTTATCTGTCAGCTCCGCTTCGAAATAATATTGTAAATGTTGCTTATATGCTCTCCCAGAAGAAAGTTGTTGCTTCGAGCTTTTCAATATCGAGACGCATAGCGAGATATATGAGTTTCTGCGGTATTGGTGGCATCCTTCCTCTTGACAATTATCCACTTGTTCCCACGCGCTCTGATACTCGCGTATGAAACCGCATGATAGAGCATATAAGTTCCCTTCGTCATATTTTAAAAAGAATTTCCTACCCTACCAACCAGGTGGAGTATAAAAAACCATGAACATTTACTCAGACTTGCGCCCCCGAGCTGTTATTTATTGATAGCTTTTGGCTGGAACTGAAGGCGACGTTGAAGGCGACGCATCGGGTATGGTATTATCACCCCTTCTCACCCTGCTCCTACCTCTATTACCCCCAGACTCCGGAATTCTCACCCGTATCACCCGCACCTACCCTAACATATAATCTAACACTTTTTTTTACGGCCACGGCTCTTCAAGGATTGACCGCGTTCAGTATGTCGCTTGAGTACGGCTGAGCGGACGGGAAGCCTTGTTCTCCACACCCGTGGTCGTATGTACCGGGTATATTATGAGTAGGTCCAAGTAGACTGACTGACAGTCGATGCGGCTAGAGTGAGAATGGGAAGGGTGAGTGCGCAATTGACAGGGTGAGAAGCCGAGTAGCACTCTTCTTATACCTACTGCATAAATATCTCTTATCTAGATTTAAATACACGTCTTCAAGTAAATAGAGGCGCGGAAAGCGGAGTGGTACGTTGCGTTGTTACTTGTTGCACCCTACAGTTTTCAAGAAAGAATCAAATGCTAGCATTCTCATTCAATGACTAATAAGTGAAACCTTTTCAATCGTACTGAACTAAAACTTGGTCATCTCGATGTGAGCTGGGAATAGCAATTTGAGATCCAATGAGTGACCGCACCATATGGCAGTTACGACTCATATCAGTATGAGATTTCACAGATGCTTCAATGAACAAGCATTCACGTGCCATTTACTATTCTGATTCAAAAGCAAGCATCTCTTAGCTGTATGATTCAGCAAAATAAATGGGAAGAATGCCCACCGAAAGAATAGTCTAAGCTGTGAAATCGCAGGGCAGCGAGCCACAGCAGTAACCATGACCGGCACTAAGAGCACCCTCGAAGTTGATGTTGTGGCATCCATCACTAGTTCGCCACATGAGAGCAGTGAAGTCATAGCCCCCGGGACTGGTCTCGTAGAAGCTACCGAACGAGTTAGATTTTGTCTCTTTTATTGTGTTGGTTTTGATTCAAAGGCGACGTACTCGATAGAACACTCGCTGCTGGTGCAAGAATTGAATCCTCCATAAAGAGTACCAGAGTAGGTGGATCCGCTATTATAGTCAGTCAGATAAATTATCTGAAAAACACCACCCTCGTTGGCCTCATATGCAGAGGCGGCCATTTGGCCATAGAAAGCGCTGGCGTGGCCGATGAGAGCGGCAGCACTCAGGATGAAAGGAATCTTCATTTTGGCAGAATACGAGTGAATATTCAAAGGTCTTCAAGATGTTGATCGAATTGCTTCGGGCAGAATTTGTGCTTTTTTGAGAATTTAGAGGGAACTTTGCAGAATATTTATATCTCGAGGCTCAGGTAACATCCAACACTTGATATTATCACCGGACTGAAGTCTACACGTATCGTGACGGACCTTCCACTGATGTGTCATAAGGAAATGGAAGTCTGACAATCTTAGAAAATACTTTGAATCATATCAGAAGAGGTGGATTACTGGCTTGGGAACTAATTTCTGACTACATGCTCTTCTGGAGCATGAGCCGGTGAAGCATCCATCACGAGACAAGAGATGGCAAATCTTGCCGAAAAGACTCAAGGTTATAGAATTCAATGAGTCTTTTCGGGAGAGATTTAGACAATTAAGTGTTAATTTCATGAGTAGATCAAGTACACACACATATATACACCTTACCATACAAATGATATTTTGTTCAAATGCCAAATAATCGGAGGCCAGTGAGCTTCACCGCTAGTATCACCTAAGGGTCGGACATATACGGTGCATGCAATTCGAGCCATGGATAATCTTACCCAGTTACATTTTCGACCTTGCTCCAAAAGGAAAATGCATCGCAATCTGACTGCCGCCTCAGTGTCGCGGTCCCGAGGCCGGAGCAGCCCCGCCAGAAAATTTACTTACTATGCAAAATCTATGAACCTATCTTACATACTTTTAAACCCTTTGGGGCTGATTTGCATATGCAAGGGCTCAATTTAGTTGTAAATGTTCTACATTAGTATGGGCCACCTTAATATATTTCTGGAATGCCATTGGCTATGATTCAGAATGAATCAGGAGGGGAAGCTCTTAGCTAACGTATTTCAGTAGTGATGGCGGTTCACTAGTAAAGTACGTTAGACGATCGGGTAATTTGATTGATATGTCTTTCACCGATTTATTGAAGGGAGTAATATGTTCTATTAAAAGCACAAAGACCTATGCAGGGTCATCATTGCATAAGCGAGATCAGTGGGGTTTTGCTTGATATATCGCCAAGCCGGAAAAATTTAGGTGTGTTACTTCTTAGCGTTGCTTATCCCTTTTCTTGGCTGATTTGAAGGTCAGCAATAGAAGAACAATGACATTATTGGCAGACTAATTTTACGGGTCCTGTAGTTCCAGAAGTCACACTGGACCATCTCGTTTTGGGACAATGTTTTTCCGGAGGGACTCACTTAGAACAAATCTAACGAACCCCGGGAGCCAGTGAAGCTGGTTCCGAACTCCGGCCCCAAAGCTGACATCTGACATCGCATTTTTGATTTCTCATTCTGATATTTTGCAATTATGTACCGACCATGGCATCTTTCAATACTAGATCGCAGTACAGAAGAAAGTGATCGATGACAGAGATCCCAAGTTTCTACCATTCTCAACAGCGGCAGGTCATGACTCTCAATCGAACCGTTTATTCGTGGCTGATGAATTTTCACCCTTCCTCACCACAGGCGGCTATAAGAAAAGAAAGACTTTATCTTCTAAGTACCGGTATCTTCAAATGCGTTTGTTCGCCTTGAAGAAGCTCTTCTAACTCTTAGTTTTGCACTGCCCCTAAAAATAATCAATTTTTATGCATTATATCAGATCTTCTAACTCCAGGAGTTCTCGGTACTTTTCTCCCATACAAGGCGTGAGTAATAATTCCTTGAAAGGATCTAATTCAGCGATGACTCTTCCATTCTCCCAGGCTTTTGAAAAATCGCCATATAGAACGGGATCTGATTGCAGACGATATGACTCCCTTAGCCACGAAGCATCTGAATTCAAGTTCCATAAAGTTGTTTCCGATGTGAAAGGTAAAATGCTTAATACACGAACGTTCGTACAGTGGCCTGATTTGATGGCCGCGTATAAGGAGTCGATCATCACTGAGAAAATAATGGTCCTTCTGGCACTCTCCGTAAAAATCCACTCTTACCAGGTAAGTCCAAGGCCAGAATCACTCGTTTTGAAATTGTAGCTGCATAGTTCAGGCTCTTAATGTAAACATGTTTTGTTCCGCCACTGAGCGTTGGCGGATATCTCCATCAAATAGTTGGATGATTTGGAACAGCATCAACGCCTGAATTGCCGCGAGAAGCTCTAGTGGTGTGCTTTCTTGGTGATCTTGATTCACACAACTAGCAGACTTGGACCCGAGGATACGAAACATAATATCCTCAGTCTCTACTGTTTTTGTCAAGTAGGCTGTCGAAACAGCAAACGCGTCTTGGATTGTTTCAGGCAGATATTCGTCATATAAGCGATTATGAATGAAATGGGTCTTCTGAAAATGAGCAAACGTTTTTGGAAGGTTTTTGATGGCCCGTAAAAGCTGATTTATAGCCCACTTATCAAGCACGGCAGTTTCCGGGAAGTGACCTGTGGGAAGTAGTGATGGTGCAGTTCTCAAGGGAGGGTGGGTGATTAGCCATGAGGCTGGAATGTCACCATAATTACTGGAGGTAGACCAGTAACCAATGGCAAGTGGTAAAGTATCATCTTTCTCAATAGAATGATTCGATAAGCTTTCATACGATTGCGAATCTCTCGTCTGCTGGGGTTCCTGAAACGACAATGCGTTGACAGATGCAGTGGAGACCGCGAGCGACACAACGTAAGCACTGCGGAGTATGGCGATCGCAGCGCCGTTTCCCTTCGGCACATGCCACGCAGGACTTTTGCCGAGACTCATAGGGAGATTTTTCGTAAAGACATTTTTTGCCGAATTTGGCAATCTTCAAAGACGAACACAAGTTCGACTCGGCAAAGTCCGGATGAGATACGAAAGTCCGCATGGAAGACCGCAAGACGTTTGAGAGTCCGCGGCTCCCACTCACTACGTAAGCCGATAGTTGTCCAACTGAGATTCTCGAATTCTCAAGAGAGTTGGCATCAATTTACAATTTGCATAGAAGTCATATTCGGAGAGTAATATTGTCGGATCAAAATCCACAAAATGGATGTCAGGTGGTTCGATCGTTTTTGCTCTAGTCTTGCGATTTAGTATCTTTAAAAGGTCGACATAGGACTGAAAAGATTACCAGAATCATGTCTTATTAGAAAAAAATACATACATATCTCATTGCAATGGCTATCACTGAACTTCCCCGCACTTAGAACAGACAAAGCTTCAATTGCCGAAATTGAACGGGACTCGTCAGTCATTAGAAGGAAACTGATAGATCCCAATCCTCTGCTCAGTGTCCTTCGAGGATTTGCTACCTCGGAAAATGGAATAGACGTAAGAGCTGACTTCAGGGAAGTTTTGATATTTGGTAAGCCGGGACAAAAGGTGTTGAGACTATTTCTGATATCAAACTCGTTAGAATGGGACAAAGTGGAATCATTTCACGGCTTCGTGGTATCTAAGCAATTTGCCAGTCTTGCAGCCTCGATTAAACACCTAATGACCGGACCACCGACCCTTCAGCTCTTTGAAACAAATACCAGCCCTCGAGATCCAGCCTCGGCCCTTGTTGTTGAAAATTTTCGACTGGGTGTCTTAGGTACCATCAATGTGCATAGCTCATTACAGATTTGGGACAGCATGTCTCGTTATCTTTCTCAAACGAGTGAGTCTAGAGTTAGCATTGCTTATGGAAAGAGTTAAAATCTGGATCAAGAGATCGTGGCTGGTATTCTGGGATGGCAATCCATGGAGGTAAGCATTTATTACCTGATTTGCTTGCTTCTTTTTTCTTATAAGCAATCGGAAGCCTTTCCATTTCAACAGTATCAAATTCAGATATCTCGAGAATCGGGACTGGCCAAGGAACTCTATGTCGCAAATTTCTGTTAATATCGAGGGACTGGAATTGTCGCCTCTTTAAGGGAAGCTTGCCAATCGCCGTTCATCCCGAATGACGATATATAGCATATTATACGCTGATTGAGATTGGAACAAATGAAAGATGTCTCTAAGTTGTTTATTGCTATCTGTCAGGCCAGAGAGAACTGATATAGTCCGAAAGGGAAGTTGGTTGCATCCCAATTTTCTTCAATCTGTAAACCCATATGCACAGCATTAATTCTCATTTGATGGTGATGAATCATGAAATATAATTTATCAAACGAATGTGGGTTAGAGAAGAAGGTATACGATACAATTGAGAATTGCAAATATGATGGATTGATTAACGCCTAAGCTTCAAAAGTCCAAAAGGGCTTATGCGGTTGCAGCCGAGAGTAGAGCATAACTGGCGATCTAAGCACCAGCGGGACAGTCTCTTCTCAACTTTCTGATACAGATGATCTCGCCAATTTCAAGGTTCTTACAATCCAAATTGATTTGGGGGTTCCAGTGATAAAGTTCCTCTAGCTTGAACGTGTTCGGATGAGCGTCCCATATTCCAACACAATTATCTCCTGGCTGCACACGATATGACGTTATACCTAAATTTCGTGAGATGTTGTTCAATCAAAAATGATACAGCTTGGAATAGTACTAGAAAGACTGACATGTTGGCTTGTTTACCGCGGCACTGGAAGTAGGATTCTGATCGATAGCCGCGAGGATCATTGAAGGAATAGCCAACACCAGAAAGAACAGCCGTGAGTAAATCAGCATATCTAGCGGCGGGAATATTTTGTCAAATAATACTGAGATCTTTGATTTGGCGACAGTGCGGATTGAATAACATAGCTTGAAGAAAGAAAGATGGGTTACAAAATTTTGTTTCAGCTAACCATATTTATACTTGCGAATGGGTGGAGCCACGAGCAATTTCTGAAGATCATCCATCCTGGGTTATTTGACCTTGCATGTGTTCAAATTCCAGCATTATACAGGGATAACTGGATACTGAAAAGCCATTCGAAACAGACGACAAACATGAAGATACAGAGTACAGATATTACCCAGCCAATACAGAGCGGGGATTACCTCCGAGGCTGGCTTGATGCTCACAGTTGATAGGTTTCTGCTCTGCTGTAACATTGACGATAGCCTGTTGAATGGACGCTGTCACGCTCTCAGCAAGGGAACCTAGTCTCATTTGCATAAGGTTTGACCGTTGACAAGGTGGCAGTCATGAAGCTTGGATATACAAAGTAAAAAGGTTAAGCTTCGTTTCTTGGGGTTGCCAGGAAGACAAACTGTGTAACTATGTCACCAAGGCTGATCCTGGGAGTATAGTACTTAATGTGCAGGTTAGATGACACAAGATCCATCAGACATCGTCAAAAACCATGAATTGAGATGGCAGCATGGGTCGCATCTCATTAGTTTGATTGTACGCCCACAGCACAGATCCGAGGCAGCAACAAAATACTCTAAGTTCCCTAAGATCCCAGACCCTTGGGCAACAAGTCGAACTTTAAATTTGTAACATTGTTCACACCCTTTGGCATATCTACAAACTGGCAACATCGATCGTAGAAAGAAATATTGAAGGCTGACCTATGGGCCAGCTCCAAATCTAATCATATCTGACAGGTGAAGAGTACCAAAAAAGAGGGCGCCAAGCAAACAAAAGCGCATCCTCTAGAGACATAGGGATTACAACAGGAGAGTCATAAATGTATCGCCACGGAGCCCGCCGCCCGCCGCCCGCTTTCATTTTTCTTCCCCCTTCACTGATATCATAATCGATGACGGCCGCTCGGGCACACATACACACATTGACATCCACACAATCCGCTCATTATAGAAGCACAGAGGCGGGGTAAAAAAAGGGAAGGTAGTAAACAAGCAGCATCTCATGAACGACCATATCGGGTCTTGCCGAACGAGAAGGGCACGTAGCGGTACTTGATCATGTGCTGAATCTGTCGACGCACTGTACGAAAAATTAACGAGGTTAGTGCACGTTCCAATTCTCATTACAAGCCCCAAAGATCCAAGTAAAATCAGATCGGAGCTACTTACTGGTCAAGACAAAGAGAATGATCCAGTACATAACCAGGACCGGCCAGAACACGGGGATATCGAAGATCGAGAACCAGCTGCACACAAAGCCAATGGCGATAGCACGAGTAGCTGAATGCCAGAACTTGAACTCCGGAAGACGACGAATGAACGGCCGGAACTCCTCGTCCTTCTTGGTGGGAAGGCTGGGAGCGCCCGCATCGCCGTCCTCTAGGCCCTCATCTTGGGTGAGAGAAGGATCAAATTTCGGGGTGAGGAAGGCGAGGAAAAGGTTCAGAAGGTAGATGCCGAGGGTGTAGGCAACTAAATGGGGGGTAAGAGGGTCCGGTCAGCTGTGTTTCATGTTGTCTTGATGTGTGCATGATATCTCCGCGTTTTCTCTCCACATTTCGGTCCTCTAAATCCCTTATACTCCCGTGCGAAAGACTTATTGGTTCTTTGGGCTATGCTGCCAAAGAGGACGGGAGAAACGTACCGATGTACCATCCTTGTGAGAGGATGATACGCAGGAAAAAAATGAGGAGAAGCGCGGCGGAGCCAACCCAGCGATAAGTAGTGTAGGGGGTCGAGGCGTCAAGATAAGCTTGATATTGCTATAGCGATTCATTAGCACGGCTGATTCTGGGCATTCTGGCGCTTAAAAAGAGGAATGGAGGCGATTGCGATGTACGCGGCCCCTCAAAGAGTCACTCGACCACTTACCCGGGTCAATTTGGAGGTGTGCGCCGTGACGGCGGTGAAGGGCGACTGCTCCGGCTCGGGGACATCCATGGCGACTGTGAAGAGGTTGAGAGAAGAAAGAGAACGGAAACGAGTAGCCAAAGGTAAACGCAGATCGCGATGCTGAATGCAACCGTTCTGGAAAACAGGAGCAAAGTGTCCCCTGGCGCCGGGCCAATCAACGGAACGATGAATTACCAGCCACGTTGGGACATGTCACGTGTGGCGGTGGCCCAACTTCTGAATGACAATTGGCTTATGTGAGTGGGCAGTGTCTGGACGTGTGGCGCATGGAATCTTGGTGCCTGAGGCCGTAAATGATATTGCTGAATCAGCCACATGGGGCCTCGGGACGGTTAACTTCGGCCTTGCTCGGCTGCGGGGACGCATACATCATAGGCTTCCGCTCTCCGTGTCAACACTTTGGTGTTCCTGATCTCTTGAATACATTCCCTTGAATCTTTTCTAATTTGATGCCATGTTTGGTCGCAGTTGTGCTCGTCTTGCCACTTCACGGACGGCTGTCCCATTGAGCTCCTACCTGGCGCGCGTGCGGCAATACTCCTCCGGCGCGAGCTATGAGCATATTCTCACCTCGATTCCTAAGCCGGGAGTCGGTCTGAGTAAGTCGTTCTAATGATATCGAGAAGAGAAAAGTGTAGCTGATCGTGTAGTCACCCTGAACCGGCCTAAAGCGTTGAATGCCCTGTGCAGCCCTCTCTTCACAGAGCTAAACGATGCCCTGAGCACATACGACAATGATCAGGATATCGGCGCGATTATTATCACCGGAAGCGAGAAGGCCTTTGCAGGTATGACGGCTTTCTGTATAATCCGAGTACGGAATTCGTTACACAAGGAGCCATGCTGAACTTATTGACCCCCAGCCGGCGCCGACATCAAAGAAATGGCACCCCTGAGCTTTTCCGCAGCCTACAAGGACAACTTCATCGCTCCATGGTCGCACCTCGCCAACTCCATCCGCAAGCCTGTGATCGCTGCTGTCTCCGGCTACGCACTCGGCGGCGGCTGTGAGCTAGCCCTGATGTGCGATATTCTATACTGCACCTCGAACGCGACCTTCGGCCAGCCGGAGATCAAGCTCGGTACAATCCCTGGCGGCGGCGGCTCGCAGCGGCTCACCCGTGCGGTCGGAAAGAGCAAGGCAATGGAATTGATCCTGACGGGCAAGAACTTTAGCGGCAAGGAAGCTGGAGAATGGGGTGTTGCTGCGCAGGTTGTGGATGGCGGCAAGGATGAATTGCTTGAGGTCGCACTGAAGACTGCCGAGACGATCGCCAGCTACAGTCGAGTCGCTGTCGTGGCTGGCAAGGAGGTTGTGAACAAGAGCCAAGAGCTTTCTCTGCGGGAGGGCGTGGAGTACGAGCGCAGACTGTTCCATGCGCTATTTGGAAGCAAAGACCAGAAGATTGGTAAGTCGGCCTCCCCTTCTGATTTATATTCATCGGAAATGTTGTCATTGGATTAATTCTGAATTGTGTTCCATAGGTATGACTGCTTTCGCAGAGAAGAAGAAGCCTGAGTGGTCCCACGAGTAAAAAGAACTCGAATCCTTCCCAAACAGTAGTTCAATGAACTATATAACTAAGTGCATGTCATGGGATTTGAAAGCTAGGATAGCTGATTTGTCACCCCTCGTAAAAATAAAGTAAATATAATGGATCACTGCCAAGCGCGGCCAGCCGCAGGTTCACTTCGCCCTGGCTGAGCCATATCATCCACCATTGCATCGGCCGATTGCGGCTGCGCGTTGCCAGAGGGAGTGCCACACTTGTACTGCTCTAACGATCGATTGATACCGATGATGCCCCATGCGAAGACGGCAACATCACGAATTGTGTCCATAAGAAGTTCGGCGAGAGGACCATTCGGCTCCACTCCCTTTGTATCTGTATAGAATGGAGGTCGTGTGAAGTCAAAGGCACTACTAGATCCTGGCGGATTTCGGCTAGCCACCGACGCAGGTGCAGGACCTTCATTTTCTTTGCAAAGGGTTGTTTTGATTTCGGGATAGGTTGGATTAGGGCCTTGATGGTCTTGGGGATAAGACGGGGTCCCATAAGCCAGCACTGGTTGAAGTGCCCATGGCGCGGCGAAAAGGCCATTCGAATAGATTGGAACCGGTTTGGGTGGGAGATTGGAGTTGGGAATCGGGGGGCGGGCATGCCGCAGGATGATGACAAGGCCGTCTGATGTACATGAGACAACGGCTTCCAGTTCTAATGGAAATGCAGTGGAGCCAAATGGTTCAGCTGAGGATGAACCATCATATCCATCCACTCCCGCGCCGTCGCCTTGCAAGGGATTGCGGAACCAGAAACGCAGGTAAGCGATCGAATCATTAGCCTTTGCACTCTCTAAGCACCGGACTGCATCTCGAAGGCACCGATCCTGGATACAGTAGAAGAAGCTTTGGGAGATGAGCTGCTGCGGGCTGAGCCCCAGAATCTCTGTCACGCCGTTAGTCGCATACATAATAGTTGCAGTTCGGGTAAAGCGATTGACAAATAAAGCCGCACGAGGCTCATGGAGGGGCTGCGCGAGGCGTCTTGAGAACTTTTCGGATATAAAGGTAAGCATATGATAGCGGGGGTCATTGGGAGAAGAGTCGAAGAGCTGGCGAACAATGGGCGCGTCGACAGCGCGCTCTATACACATGGAACGCGTTAGAGTAAGTGTTCAAGAGCATGAAAAAGCTGGACTTTGATCATTTAGAGTAAAAGCATCTGAAGCTGAATACTGACTTTGACTGCCTCTGCCTCGCCCATACACCGTGGTACTTGCGATCAGTACATCGTACACGACCGTGAACACACATTCGCACCCGATCCAAGATCCATTCTTATGACGAATGGAACAATAGTTCAACACGGCGGCTTTGTCGAGCCGAACTCCGCGGCCATGCACACTACGTGCGAAATGCAGTTCTTGGGGATGGAAATAGTCCCAACAGGAGCGGTTCAACACCTCATGAGGCTGGTAGCCTAGGACCACCTTGATGCTATCAGAGGCATAGCGGATCGAGGCGTCATGGGAGAGATCTAGGAAGTATCATGTTAGTTCTCGTATACCAGGCGCTCGGGGGCTTGTCAGCTGTGTGGCTGCAAGGTAGCCAAAAGCCCAACCCTCGGATGTAACTTACCATGGATTGTGATGAAGGTGGTGTCCATTCCGGCTGCAGAAGAGTGGAACCCCAGTTACCCCGCGTCGCAGAAGGCGCAAAGAGATGCGAACGAGTCACAGACCGAATCCCGAGGACGTGGATTTTGTTTGCTCTGGTCTTGGGGGTTTACAGGGATTGGTATGATGAGGGGTGGAAGGCAGGAGGAGCAAAGGGTAAACCTTGCACTGACAGCGGCTTGTCTGGTGGGCACTGTGGTCCCAACGGCTGTCAACCGTGGATCGCGGCCGTGGCCGATAGCCAGCGCGCCGCGAGACAAAGACATAGTGGATCTATATAGAATCTTCTTATTTGCTGCTGTTTTTTTTAGGACGAGAGCGAATCGGAAGAAATATAAAGTCAAATTAGAGCTAAATTATGGTTTAAATATGGGCTATGATTATATACATCAGATAATATCACACAAGCAAACTGGCTGGACAAGTGACGGGCATTCGAGGGTCGTAAAAATGATGTTACATTTCCATTAATCATGCAAAGCCAGCGTTCTTTTCCGCGTCGCTAGGCTCGGTCAGGTCTTTCTTCTGGGCCCGGTAGTCGTCAATAACACGTCCTTCAATGGTCTCGTCGAACACGTCAACCTCGGTGTCCGCGAACTTGCGAGCGCTCACACCCCGCTCAAAGAGCATATCAAGTTCAGCAAACGAGCGACCGCGCGGTTCGGGGACGCGGAAGTAGGCGTAAATAATGCACAAGAAACAGATGCCGCCCCAGAAGAAGCCGGCATAGTTGCCCCAGTCCCATTCACTGGGATTCAACATATAGGGGGTGAGCACACCACAAACAATGGCGACAATGTTGTACAAGCACCGACCAAGCACGACAGTTTTGATTTGAAGTCGACGAGTCGAAAGCTCAGCAACGAGTGAATAGCAGACAGTACCGACAGTGAGCTGGTAGAATAGTGCCCAGACGAGCATCAACGAACCGGTGGCCATGGAGGCTTGGTCGCGGTGTGAATCAGGAACAAGCCCTAGAAATCCCATGACCAAAAGCATAGCGCACAGTCCGCATAGACCATACAGACATAGAGTTCGACGACCGATGCCGAGAGTCATTAGGAACCATGCCCCAAATACACCAACCATGTTAATGCCATACTGACCCATGGCGAAGTTGTACGCGTTTGATGAATCGAGACCAGCCTGCTCCAGGAAATAGGTAGAATAGTTGGAGAAGGAATTGCCGCTCAGGTTCTGAATAGCCCAGACCATGCAGACAATCTCCGTTCGTCGCAGATCGGTACCTTTAAAGCAGTCCAGGTAGCTCGCACCTTTGGTGATTTTGGCCTCCAAGGCGGTGGTGTGCACCATCATCGAGATTGTCTCATCCGCATCGAAGTCAGACTCGCTGTTCTTGCTGGTCAAGCGCTCCAGGGCACGCTTTGCATCCTGGGTACGTCCTCTCCGAACCAGCCACCACGGCGACTCCGGGGCAAGCATAATGCCAATGAATAAAGGCAAGGGCCACATCCACTGCAGGCCGTAAGGAATCCGGTAAGCCCACTGGTCTGTTCGGTTGAGCACTCCCTTGATCACACCGATTCCAATGAGTTGACCGAGACCCCAGCAGAAGTTGACATACGTGGTCAAGTATCCGCGCAGCGCAACAGGGCACACCTCCGAGGCGTAAGTGATTGTCAGAGTCTGAAAGACTCCCCAGGGAATGCCAGACAAGATCTCAGCGGCAAGGAGAGACTGCACATTCTGTGCAGTGAAAAAGATTGCCGTCCATGCGGTGATCAAAACCAGACAGGCCATGATGGTATAGCGGTATCCAAAACGCTCCGACGCCCAGCCGTTGGCAAATAAACCAATTATCTCGCCGACGTATGCACCGTTACTCAAACCGGATTGCCACTGGACGGGTCTGTTAGTAAAAGTATCGCAGAAAAGGCTCGCCCCGTTGTTCTCTAGGACTGCCGATTGGAAGCTGGAGCCAAACCTACCCTGGCTGGAACTTGATATGATCCGTCGGCAAGCTGCTCGCCATACTTGCGGTTGAATTGGTCAAAGGCGTAAAAATTGTTGACCAGACTGATGTCGTATCCCTCCATGGCAATGCAGGTAGAGATCAAAACACTCCAGGCGACCGCTTTGGGATACAGCTTGATGCCCTGCAAGAGGCTCATCTTCTGTTCCTTTTCCGTCGCGGTCTTTGCATTCTGGATCACCGTTCTCATCGAAGAATCAGAGGGTCGGCCATCGGGGCCATTGGAGGGGTCAAAAGGCGAGGTCCCCTCCACCGGCGCAATGGCATCGTGCGCCTTGTTATCGGCCATGCTGGAATAGCACCGACGAGGCGAAGGCACAGGTAGACAAAGACAGTGGAATAAAAAGGGGTGTGAGAGAGTGGACGTTCGGTCGTGGCGGAGGGAGAGTTCCAGTTAGGTGCCGGAGACCCGCAAAGGGCAAAAAAAAAAAACGAGAGTACCCACAAATCCGGGGGAACATCGCCCGCGAGCACACTCAGGGGCGGACGACAACCACGATCCTGTCGGCAAAGGCAGATTAAATGGACTGGAAAACACCGACGGTCTGGGCAAAAGAGGAGAAATACAAGGCCAGGACTTTGCGGGGAACGCGGGCTCAAGCGTCCTATGCAAAGTTTTCGCGGGACATGATGCTTGGCGAACGGAGGATCGCCGGCATCCCACCGACAACCGAATTTTTATTACCCACTGAATATACTATTATTGATTCTTTAGAGAATTCACCTCCAATTAGCTCTGAGTCTGGATCTATCTATGCACTTCAATCGAACTCTCCCCACATTACTTGAGGCTTACAGTGCTGAGAGCCACACGTGCCCTGTCACTTTATTCCCCGAGTCCTTGCGTTGGGCGGAATGTGGCGCGCCGGATTTGGTCCGAGATCTGCCTACAGTTACATCGCCCGGGTACTAGTGTTAGATATATGAGACCGGATATTGATCAGGCCATGATTTCGTATTTTATTTGAGAGATATTCAAATGGCTTGTGGGAGTAGCCGCGGATCTCGAATCAAGCGTTCCATATCCTCACTCCGAAGATGTAGCGTGATATCCACGCCATGGTCTGTCCAAGCCGTGCCAATATTACCCTTGTTGTCCCCTGATCCTTCACAACCCTGGGAAGGGGGTGCATCCTTGATCACCACATCGCCATCTAAGTTGGGAATCACACCCTCCGCATAGCGTATGCATGGCGACACGCTCGACCCAAAATCGATCTCGTAGAGCCCCGCGCGAGCCCAGCTAGTCACAATCAGATGGCGCTGACCTAGGAAAGCTTGCCAGATGCGTTGAGGGGGTCGTCTCAAATGCCAGACTGTGGATGTGTGAGCCCAATGCCGTGGAGTTGTTCATCTGGCTGATGGTCTGGCGAATGCGTTGCGCGATCGAAAGCTGTTGCACCTGCCGGGGAATCCGGGACGAAGCTAATTCCGTCCCAGTCATCTCGATATTCAGCATCATGACCGGTGATCCGATAAAGGAGTCTTGGAGTCCGAGAGCAGATCGTGTCCCAAAGGCTAGATTGCAATGCACCAGACCGGCATCGTCTTGTTGATTACGGGCACGAGTGATGCAAGACCACAGATGGGCCAGAACCGCATCGTGCCGGCTGATTCGATTGTCCGTTTGACTCTGATCGAGTCCCTTGATTGTATTATTCCAGATCCAATCCACTTGCTGACGATTCAAATGCACGAGATAATGTGACATGGGAGCATCGAAGTCCCAGTCAGACCAGGGCATTTCCTTGCCGACCGGAGCCAGGTTTTGATCTCGAAAGGGCTCGGGAATCTCATGTACCCAGGGACATTGCGCTGGTGCAGCCCACCAGTCATAGCGATGGAGAGGGAATGTTGCGGATTGTGTGAGGACCTGAGGGTCCGGCCTGCTCGCATTGATATCTCCTATTGCCATGCCATCTAATTGCGACGGATCAAAAATGGGATCGAGAAGTGGTCGGGGTCCATCTTGCCCAGACAGCATCCATCGGCTAATCCGTGCCCAATCTTTCACAAAAGCTATGAGTGCATGAATATCTGCCAGAGGATGTGAAACCTTGACGGCTAGCGCAAAGCCTCCACAACCCAACACTGTTACTTGGATAGCCATCACAGGCAGAAGTCTACCTGCCTCATATGAAGTGCTTAACTGGAGACAATTAGCTAGGCGAGTGGAGGGAACAAGGGCATTGAGGGAGACCCTCTTGCGATCAAAGAGCGGTTGATTAATAGTTCGCGAAGCCGGACTGAGGCTCTCCAAAGTGGCATCGATGGTCGCAGTGATAAACTCGACCCCCGGATCCTCAGAGGTGCCGCAATGCGAATAAACTCGACCAAAGCGCCGGGCATGTGGTGGAAATTCTTGTTCTTCTTTTCGTAGTTTGGTCGGGTCCAATGTTTCAATGCTCTTCAATTGACCGGAGAATTGGGGATATGCGTCAAGAGCTATTCGAACGGATTGCCGAAAGTGCTCAAATAGATAAAATGGGAGTTCAAGCTCTGTCGGTCGCTCAAAGAGCCAGACAACCGAGGTGGCGGCAAAATCGGCTGTAGTCGCATCCAATAGTGAAAGTGGTGTGGCATGCTCAGAAAATGCCGTGCTGGGAAATAGCCTTTCCGACCGCATTTTAGATAATTGATTGGACTCTATCATGGGGGGTGTGATGCTACAAATGAGCTTGAGATCTTTGATCGAATTGATCGAGAAGAAGAAAATGATATCTCATATATGATGTGCGGTATCCGTAGAGGCGCACCAATTTGCCCGATAAGTGAAACAGTACAGGCTACCACCACAAGCCTAGTGGCTTGGAAGGCGTGGTATAGATTCTAATGACTCGAAATGACTCATGTCGAGCAAGTTTGTATTCCAGTGGTTGTCATGCACACGCTAGACTAAAATCGGAGCCCGCACCCTATAACATTGGCCGTGGCTTACGCTTAATGTGAGTTCTCGTGAATCATTCGCCCCACGCGATCTCTGTCAGGGGATCTTTTCTTTCTACTAATGAAAAGGTTGTCGTGAAGCCCGGGGGGCATAAGTGATTCGGTATGTAAATCTTTAATATTGGATTCTGCGATCACAAAATCTTGGCATAGTTTTGACTGACGATTGCTGAAAGTCGATATCAAAAGTAGATTATGGGTCTTCTATCATAGCTGCAAGTTTACGTCTCTAATGGCCCCAATGTTTGTCTCAAAGGTAATGAAGGAAAGATCAAACTTCTGGCTTTGAAATGCGAATTTGGAATTTGCTTCTAGACTTCAATACATCGATCATGATGGGTGGGTGCTAAGTTAACCTTGAAAACTGATCCTCATCGCATCATACGAGATGGATTGTTAAAGCGATGAGTAGTAAGCGTCTTGAAAGCACATCGAATATACCGATCATATATGAGAAAGCGGTTTGATGCTATCTCATTGTTTGACGATTCCGAGTCTCAGAAGACTTTCAGCGGTTGCGATCACAGAATCGACATTAGAGCGAGGTGTCCAGCCCAGCAAACTCTTAGCTTTATCGATTGATGCTGCAACAGGCTCATCCAAATATTTGACCACCAGAGCAATAGCTGGGTCGAACCATCCTAGAATTCTCATTACAAAATTTGGAATGGTTCGTGTGGGACACTTTTTTGCTTTAGTTCCAAGTGTCTCTCGTAGGGCCAACGACATCTCTTGAATCGTCATCGATGGTGGCGACATGCATATGAAGCGCTCTCCATTTGCTTTGTCGTGTGTCATTGCGAGTAAATGTAGACTGGCAACGTCTCGTACATCCACAACACCAAATTCCAGACGAGGACACCCCGGGATTTCACCGCTAATAAGTCGACGGATGACTTCGATGGACGAGGAGGTGTCTTGTGCTAGAACAGGTCCCATAACCATTGATGGGTTTATAACAGACATCTCCAGACCCCTGCCTTCATTTTGAATGAAGTCCCATGCAGCGCGCTCAGCTAGCGTTTTGCTCTTGTCATATGCACTAGCCTCGGAGGAATCGAGATTGCTCCACGACTCCTCAGTAAAGGATGTCCCCGGGCCAGTATTCTGATGGCCTACACTGACAGCTGCCATAGATGATGTCACGACAATGCGCTTTACTTTCGCGTCTCGGGCTGCCCGCAGGACGCGTAGGGTACCGTCGCGGGCAGGGATGATCAAGTCATTCTCGTGTTTTGGTGCTGCAGGGGGGAAAGGCGATGCAACATGGAGGACATAGGTGCAATCCTTGGCTGCTTCAGTCCAGCCTTCATCTGAGTTCAAATCCGCCTCCACAAAGGAGACATCTTCTAGGTTGATGGCATCGCCAACACGAAGCATTTCTCTCACTTCTTCTTCGCGCGCTAGGGACCTCACGGTAGTCCTGACCCGATATCCGGCAGCTAGGCATTGAATAATGCAATGACTGCCAATAAATCCGGATCCACCTGTAACAAGTACCAGCTGCTTTTCGGTGGTCATGATTGTTGAATTATGGGGTTTTAGAACTGAAGGTGCGGCAAGTCGGATCTTTCCTCAAGGAGGAGGACTTTGATTTGAACAAAGAAGCCAGCACTTCATCGAGATAACAATTGCACCGAGTCGTAAAGCATCACGTTTCGGATTGGTGATAATCAACAAGTGAAGGGAATGAGTCGCGCTTGGGGCTTGAGACTTTTGAGTTTCGTGTGTCAGCACTATTCCTAACGCGGTAGACTGAGGAAAGAGGATTAGCGGGAAGTCAGCTTCCCGAATGCCAGCATACAAGTTAAAGCTGTAGGACTTCGAGCGGGCAAATATTGCTCCTTCTAGCAGTCATTTCTTCTATTATCAAGTATCTAGTCCTATGTATACAAGCGTAGTCAAGCTCCATATTCCGAAATCAGCTGCACGCCTGGTTAAAGAGAAAGCATACGATACACAATCATATTTTACGCGCTGCTAACTGGTTAACGTAAATGGTGCGTTATCGTAACGCACCTCTTCCCTTACTCCGACGATCGTATCTCGTAACCGTACTGTTGCCGAATCTCCGAGGCCTTACACGGGCTCGGGTCTATAGAGTGGACCGAAGATGTCGTCCAGTAGTAGAACGCCTAGTCAGATAGTCAGTGGTCACTGTGGTCACTATTAAGGTTTCCTTCTAGTTGATAAATTTGTCCTTATATTAAAGCATCAGTGTATAACGATATAACAATAGATTGGATAGCTGTAGGTTCAAGTAACAAAAAGGCTCCTTGGAGATTAATTTTTGTACTAGCGTATCTCCTTTTTATATATATTACCCCTTTTTAATTATATCTATCCTCTCACTATTAGGGAATACTGAGGACAGTAATACTTCTTATCCGCTAGTATTAATACTAGGTATGATATAATATCCCGCCGGCAAACTACGTTACTAGCGCTCTACGGCAAGCCTGAGAATGCAGGCAGGATGAGATAGGTCGGCGAACAGACCAGCAAACCACCACACACCACAATGTAGGAAGCCTCCCCAAAGGAATAGCAGAAGCAGATGAAGCGAAGAGAGTGTGAAAGTTGATTCTCTCCCTATCGGAGATACGAAGCTATATCCTGTAAAGACTGTGTACTATGAAAGATATCCTCCAATCAGAGATCTCCCTAGTGTTGGCCATTTCCCCACTACACTAGTTAGCTTTAGGACTTATAATCTCAGAAGAACAACACTTTATAACCGAATATTCCTACAATCGGGATCAAACAGAGATCAGATGTGCTTAATATCTGATCAGGAACGCCTTCAGAGGTCGCGGAAGAGAAACAGAGAGCACCCAGGGATAATAGTATAAGAGAGAGGATGTATAAGTTGCCGTAGAGAGCAGGGCAGCCTTATATATTACATCGTTATGTCACAGCGCTAGTTCCCGCCCGTGGCGACCCGCCCACTAAAATATATGTTTCTGGCATAGCTACTAGTTCATCGGCATCAATATTTGTTACGAGAAGTATGGTAGAGGTTGTAAAGGTCTCCGTTGTGATACAAGTTGCTACGGAATGAGAGCCAGATGCTGACTAACCACAAATAATCCCAACAATATTAGCAGTGCAATTATGCTCGAGTCCCTTGGCGCGAATTTGGGCTATTGGACTCGAGATTCAACTCTATTCTTCATATGAACGTATTCCAGAAAAAATAGAAAAGAAAAATAAAACAGTCCATTGGTTTCCTTTTTCTAATAGCAAATTGGTGTAATCCAGTCTGGTCCGGCAAGACTACTAGATAAGTCCTTATATGGAATTTAGCTACTACACCAGTTCCACGCTTAACGTGTCATCAATGTCTGACGTGATCCCTTGAACTGCCCTTGTTGCTTTTGAGTCGATAATGATACTTCGTCCATGACACGGGCTCCATTAAAATTCGAGATTATATTGCAAGCTTAAAGTGTGACTGGTGTCGACTCTAGGTGGTGACATCATCGAGGCCGAAAATCGAGTTTAGAAACCGTTTCCGCCCGCTATAGCAATTGAAGAACAATTTAATAATTTCCAAGCTCTTCCTTTTTAAAAAAAATATCAGTAGAGATTTGGTCATATTCAAAGTGATGCATCAAGGCGTTGCACTTACTGCCGTTGCAACGTCGCTTCTCTCCTTTGCAGTTGTTGTAGCGGCGCTGCGTTTGATCTCTCGATTCGCTATCCTATATGTATGGGGTAGTGACGACATTTGCGTCATTGGCGCCATTATCACTTCAATCGGAATGCTCACTGCTATGAATTTGGGTAAGCTGTTTGCTTATATTTTTTGATTTCGAAGCTTAAGACGTCTAAGGGGTTCATTTGGGAGTTGGAAAAAAAGAATCAATCGACAATATCAACATAGTTTCTTTGGGAAAAGTGAGTAAATTTTATACATTTCAAATATCAAAATCTGATCAACCTTACAGATTCAGTTGGCCATTCAAGTCCTTTACATAACGTCTAGTGGTCTGATCAAAATTTCAATTCTCCTCTTATATCGCCGCATCTTTCCAACATTACGGAGACTCGCTTTAATTTCAATAGCAGCCATTTCAATCATCACCATCGCTTTCATCTTCTCCGCCATTTTTCAATGCAAGCCCGTTGGAAGCTTTTGGCTTCGGCCAAATGACAGTCAACATTCTTGCATCTCACTTCTTGTTTTCTGGTGTGATGTTGCCGTCGTTTATCTCATAACTAATATTTGGGTTCTCTGCTTACCTTTGAAATCAATAATTTGTTTGTTTTCTATCACTTTTTGAAAAGAATCTTAAGCTTACCTATAACCATAGATCTACAACTCAAACCATCCAAAAAGGCAATGGCCATCTCTCTATTATGTTCGGCTGGGTTATGGTGAGCCGATCATGATCTCCGGTTCTAGTATCATTCCTTCCTAACTTATCTATAGCACGGTTGTTGCTGCTGCAGTCCGACTAGCCTATGTTGTGCAACTATACAAGGGGCATGATGATATAATAGAGGTAGTCCCAGTCTATATCTGTTCCACGGTCGAAATCTCGGCAGCCTTGGTCGCTTTGAGTGTGCCGGCTTTGAGATTGGCATACATAAAATGTTCCAGTCATTCGTCATCCTCTGCCAGTGACCAAGAAATCAAAGCCTAAAGAAAGATATACCTAGTCTGAAAATGCACAAATCTGAACTACATACTCTAGACATCTGAAGATTTGGGTTCATGCCTTGAAATCGCATGTTGCATTTAAAATCATACACTTTTGCAGCGTCTGACCCTCAGCTCTCAATTTGAATTCATTGTGGATGCTTTTATTATCACTCAGAAATCATAATAGTCGATAATATATCTTGAGCGTTGTATTTTATAAGTATAGATAGTAATAAAACTCTTCTAAAAGTAAACTCTTACGATTATAGTGACCGATATAATCCGGAGATACTTCACGGGCTCTTTTCAAAGCTACAAAATCAAAATTTGCACTATATCCTACCTATATCGCTTCTCTATGGGACCAAGTCCAGCTTATGTATTTATGCTTTATAGGTGGATAGACCATTGTATCTCTTAATGACTTCGCATGGGAGACCGCGGTTCTATTGATGATCTGAGTATCGGCCAAAGGATCATGCAGTACGGGCGTGAACTATGGCACAGTTAATGTGCCCCAAGAGCCCTAGAGCACCATGTTAACCCATCAAAGCAGATTTAAGCGAAACCCAGGAGATTAAGATTACCCTTAATTTTCGATCTTCCCCTCATAATGCCGAGCATTTCCGATCATACAGTTACCATGGATATCTGGGAAGGATAAAAAGGAATACGACCCCAGCGTAGTCATCCTCTACGATTTGACCGTTTGGGAATAACCTACAGAGATAAGAAAACAGACGAAGCAACGGGAAAGCAGATCGACCCAGCTAGCGATGCGCATCCGACCTCCTCAGCTCTTGGCGCTGAACCTTTAGTCAGTCTGAGGGAGGTCTGGGACACGAGGGCGGCATCGGGATGGGAAAGTGGACGGACGGATCTTCCCTTCCCGTGCCTTATAAATGACCCTGATCATGCGAGCCCTGATAGCCGTGCAGAAGATACAGAAGGTGCAGGATCCGCGCGAGATGGCACATGGCTCGGTCGCATGCTCGCCGTGTTACATCGCGGGCTCAGATTGGGTGAGGAGTGACGGTTCCTGCAGTGGCCGAGAAGCCAAGGACCCTGTCGGCTTCCACTCGCCGGCTTCCATCTCCATTTCCCCTCTCCCTCCCCCTTTCTCTCTCCAAGTGGCTCACGGCCGCCTCATGCTATTTTTCAGGCTAAACCCTTTAATTTCTTAATCCGAACTCCATCGGCTTCAATACCACTCCACACCATCCTCCGAGTTACATCCACTAATCCGGGTATCACTCCGGCTTCTAGCCCTGGTGGATGCAACACACGAGCCACCTAAAAGGCTCCTCAGCATGGGGAAGGCAAGCATACCCTCCGGTCGATCTGAAGATGAATCGCCAGATGACAATGTCACTCATCCCCGGCATTCTGAGAGGCCTGATTGGCCGTCAACAACCTCGCCCGGCTGTTTGAACTGACGCAAAGCATCGCATGCCAGCCCAGCACGTTTTTCATGCGCTGTTACACATTCCAACGCCCACGTCTGGGGCGGCAGGCATCGACTCTTGATGGGCCCAATAGATCAAGAGTCAACAAACGCATTGTGCCCGGTGAGGAATGTGGCGCTTCATGGTTTGCAGTTGAAACTCTCGTGATAAAGGAACCTATTGTCCACACTGTGCATGCGCATGCGCCATTTTCCTCAGCATCGCGAGGCTCGAGAGATACCACCAAATCACACCCTCAAGGGGTTGGAATGGACACAGAATCTCGTTTTTTCTGCACAGTCACCCCGCAGGGTGTCGTTGGAGCCCGCCGAGTCCTGCAGGGAGTCCGAAGGGTCCTGCGTTTTTCCCATTTGACAAATAGGTCAGCGGGGGAGCAGACGACCACGTCCGTCCTGACTACAAATAATGAAGTAATTCCCGCCCGAATCTTTCTATATCGCGGAAACGACTACTACACTCCTTGGATAATTCCTCAACACTCACTATAATGAAATTTGTCCTTCCTTTCATGCTGAGCCTGGCATGGCTCTCCAATGCCGCGGCCATTCCATTGACCGAAAATGAGCTTGACGCTCGTGATAGTAATCTGACCACGCGAGCTGTTACGGGATACCGCTCCGTGGCTTATTTTGTGAACTGGGTGAGCATGGTCCATCTTGCCTCGGGTAGTTTTGCGTTCCCTTCAATCCACTAACGCACCAAGCCTAGGCCATCTATGGCCGGAACTTCCAACCTCAGCAACTTCCTGCCGATAAGCTCACCCATGTTCTGTATGCCTTTGCCAATGTTCGCTCGGATACCGGAGAGGTCGTTCTGTCGGACACCTACGCTGATCTGGAGAAACACTACTCTACTGATTCTTGGAACGACGTTGGCACCAATGTCTATGGCTGTGTCAAACAACTCTATTTGCTGAAAAAGGCGAACAGAAAATTGAAAGTGCTTCTGTCGATTGGTGGCTGGACTTACTCCTCCAACTTTGCTGGTCCGCTCGCGACTGATTCCGGACGGGCCCTTTTTGCTTCTTCAGCAGTGCAACTTGTGAAGGACCTCGGGTTCGATGGCTTGGATATCGATTGGGAGGTAATCATCTTTCAGGAAGCTAGACCGAATTATTACTTTGCATACTGATATAATTTTAACAGTACCCCTCGGATGCAACTCAAGCAGCCAATATGGTATCTTTGCTGAAGTCTGTGCGCTCGGTAATGCTTCTTATACTCTAAGATCGGGGGAAAAACCAACCTAACAGCACTGTTCAGGCCTTGGACACTTATAGTGCAACCTACGCATCTGGTCAACATCTCCTATTGACCGTCGCATCTCCTGCTGGTGATTATAAACTGCTGAAGATGTTTATCAAAAGCAAATTAAACTGATACCCATAGGCCCGTCTAACTACCAAAATCTCCTTCTCAGCCAGATGGACCAGTATCTTGATTTCTGGAACTTGATGGCATACGACTATTCCGGCAGTTGGGATACGATTGCCGGCGATGATGCGAACGTATACGCTTCTACCGCAAATCCAGCAAGCACTCCATTCAACACAGACCAGGCTATTACCTACTACACTTCCAACGGTGTCGCTGCAAACAAGATTGTCATGGGAATGCCACTATACGGACGCTCATTTACAAACACGGACGGCCTGGGGCAGAGCTTTAGCGGTGTCGGCAGTGGCAGTTGGGAAAACGGCGTGTGGGATTACAAGGCGCTGCCCCAGGCGGGCGCGACAGTGTACAATCTCAATCAGCCAATCGCGAGCTACAGCTATGACTCCTCTGCCCGCACATTGATCAGCTACGATACCCCCGACATTGCCAAGTTGAAGGCCCAGTACATCAAATCCAAGGGCCTGGGTGGCGGGATGTGGTGGGAGAGTAGTGCTGACAAGACCGGCTCTGACAGCCTAATCACTACGGTATAGCTCAATATACTTTTAAAAAGGAAGATTAGCAATGCTAATTTGGACTTTTAGGTCGTTACCGAATTCGGTGGTGTAAGTGCTCTGGATCAGAGCCAGAACCAACTCAGCTATAGTGGTTCCAAGTATGCCAATATGGTTGCTGGATTCCCATCCGGCTAGATATACACTCATTCAGATCACTCAAGTCGTTGAATATTCATCACTCGCTTGGGTATTCCATGTGGATCGTATCGCACATGCACATTTTGATCTTTTCAGTCGATCTAACATGTTATTTACTAACCATTACATTCGCTGTAACTTATTTTTTTCTTTCTTCGGAAAGAGAATAGCTGGTCTACATTTCAATGAACTATCTTTTCTATATATATACCTGATAGCTTCTGACATTTCTTGACAAACCTGTTCCAGTCATGGTTGTGAACGGGAGAGGGGTGGGAATTGGCCGTCAACGCTCGCCCTGATTCGGTCTCATCGGGTTTTTCACACCCCTTTTCACCCTCGATCTGTATATCTATACTGAGTAAAGCGGTAGAATTCAAAGCCTTATATGCCGTAGATGAAAGTTGTATTTTCCTCAATTCCTTAATTCCATTGAATTGATTTCGTGCTCTTCAGTAGGGGATCGAGTCCACCTTACCTTCGCAGACGAGAAGCAAACGAAATGAATTCAGGGACCGGAGCAGCCAAGCGGGTTCAGTTTGGTCGGTTTAGAGTATGCGCCCCCTCTTCTATGGAGTGATAATGTAGGCGCTTTGCTTTCTATGCAAAATGATGTTCCCCTCATCTAATGGTATCTCTTGTACCATTTGCCAATCTTCTTTTACTTGGAGGTGGGATTTCAGCTGAGAAAATCTCTTGAAGACATGAGCCTGAACCACAGATTATTTCAGCTGAGAAACCATTTCAGGCTATGGAAGCATAATTCGCCAAGGCCTCTGACTTGTGACATGGCTTACTACCAGAGAGACAATATACCATCTTTTGCAGGCTGATCAATTCGTTTTGAGCGGAGTGGCTTCCGTCATCCCGGAACCAGGGTTTGCGGAAGCTTAGCCTAGATTAGGCGCGGCCCCTGTACGCATACTTGAGCCGCTCATAAGGAAGATCAGCTGATATTCGTTCTATCGATGACACGAATAGACTTCATTCTGCTCTAAGGGGACAGCTGTAATTTGCTAAGTTATTCCTCCATTTCTTATCCAAGTATTTACTCTTACAGCTACTCTCATACTTCCCAGCCTGCACGCTGTCAATACCGGCATTATGGTCTTCAAAACTATCTTTCGGCTGCGTGCTATGGGATATTCTGCCCTTGGACGGAAATATTCAACGGCGAATATTCTCGAGCTTATTCCTTCTCATTTAATTGGTCTCATGTTCAGCTTTCTATCCAGTCCAGATCAACTTTGCTTCTCAATGAGCTGTAGATATGCTCTGGCATGCTTTCGAGCCCCCCTTAAGCTCTGTCAAACTCATATTCCTCAAATGCTATTTAACAAGCGACGCCATATTCTCTTCTCAGACACTACAGATCAACTAAGGGCTCAGTTACTCCGCAGATTGAAAATCATCGATGGAGATTTTGCCGTCACTGTTCGATTCTCCATCAGTACTCCACGTGGGGAGCTATACGATCTATTTTGAACTTACCCCAAGATTTGTCCGACTCTAAGCGAGGCATGCGGATAATTTCGAGAAAGACTTGCCATTTACTCCATACTGGAAAGGTTGATATATGCCCCTGCCTTCGGATGACCTTCTGCGACAAGCAAGTCAATAAATCTCGAGGAAGATCATGACTCTCGGCTGAGTGAATTGGGAAACAAATTCATTTATATCCAACAATCCACATCAGGGGTTCCACGCAATTGTCTGTCACACCAGTGTGCCTTTACATCTCATCCAGCCGTGAAATTTCTGGTTAAAACATTATTCTGGATCAATGAAACCAACAGTCTCCAGCTTAGCACTCAATTTAGATCTTCAGAAGTACAGATGGGCTAATCCCAGCCGTCCAGATCACAAATATATATGCTTTTGCGATAAGGAAGCCATTAAATCCCCAAGAATTACCTTTGAGGGACAAGGCTCAACTATTCTGCCCACATAAGAACCCCGTAAAGTGGCTCCAGCGATTCTTTTCTGAAGCTGGTTCGAGCTTTGCAAGTAGGGCCAAAGGCTTTGGGTCTTGCTATCGGTCTGGCTACTGCTCATCTGAATTGCATCCTTAGTACATTATTAGATACTTATTTAGATCTTTGGTAGCTGAAAAGTCCTCATCTATTTTGTTTTGTCCTTGCCGGGAGATACTCAACCTCCCAATTCCTCTACTTGTCAGACTCGCCTACGAGTGCCCTAGTTCATTAGTTAACATCTGGAGGTACATCAGGGCGACGTGTCTACATTGTTACGATACATCTCAAGCCGACTCAAATACTTGTACAAAGATAAATTTCACTACAAAAGGGGATGAATAGGAAAAGACCAAGGAATGAAACATAGTGATGATCACAAGATGAATGATAGATCTAGAGTAGAAGCTAACGGAAGCTAACGGAAGCTAACTAACACTCCACGCTGTGCACAGAAGATAAAATCACAACAGACCCCATGAGCACCATCCCGGGCCATTTAGAAAAGACAAGCACGGTTATAACAAAACAGATTATTAGAAGTAAAGAAAGAATGGATCCCCGCAGCATCGTCTGCCCCCTGCGGCGATCAGCAGCGCCCTCGTGAACAGGCGGAGAGCTCTCATGTCGGGCACAGCCATCGGGGCCTTCGTAAGTTGACGAGTTCCCATCGCCATCTATACTTCCATACTCCTCGCCATAGTCATCAGAGGTCACACTCTTCGTGTTCCCGGCTCGCCCCACGCCATCTTCTTCGCCAGGCCTTCACACAGCCGCTCCCAGTCAAAATCGTCGAGTTTACCCTCGATCTCTTCATCTCCAGCGGCGTGCTCGGGATCCCAAGACGGAGGACCAGCAGCGGAGGCACGTGTACTATGAGTACAAGACGGACGGCTGCATCCAAATTTTGAACGAGAACCTTCAGGGTGAGAGGTTGGACCTATGGACTTGCGCTCTTCGCAGCAGCACCGCGTGCCGCGCGAGGACGTATTCAACAAGGAAATTGCGGCTCACATTTGCTATATTCAAAAGTGATGATAATACATTCAAGAACTCATATATTAAGATAGTTGTCTTATGGCGAATCAATGTCGGTCAACTTTATGCCATCTGATGGTACCGTGTAGCCCGAAATATCAATATGTTCTCCTATACAGTTCATCTCTATCAACCCAAAATACCCCCGAGAGCAAAACTCGTTCCTTTACTTCGTATTGATGTGATCATTGGTGCATAATCGGAACATAACAGCTGCACGCATTGTAGGAGCATCCTCTTCGGACCCAAAGTTCTCCTCGACGGCTGCCGCCAAAGCCACTTTACCCGAGATCAGATCTTCCTGCTCGAATTTTGGCCATAGGGATGCAGTACGTTCCTCACCAAGCGCAAGAAACTTATTTATTCTTGCTATATCGTCCACATCAACAATTTGCACTCGTGCATCGGCCAGAAGGCCGAAAAGGCCCGCGCTGGTTTCAACGTCGGCGTGTATGATGACTGGAGGGAGAACGATCACCTTCCAGCTCACTGGTTTGGAGCGTATCAGATCTGTGAGCTCAGATCGGGTCCACCTATAGTGTCTGTGAGGTTCATCCGGGTTATCACGGCCTTGAAAAACCTGCAAAACACCTAGCATCATAGAAGCTTGGGTAGACCTTGTCCGCTCCGCGGACCATATAAGGCAGCGTATTGGGTCGCCCCAACTATAGCTCGTCATTTCAATATCGACAAATAAATCCCAATTCAGGTGAACTATATCACGAGCTGTGTCAAGCCAGGGATCTTCTATCATATAATTTCCATACCGACAGGTCTCTGGGTTAGTCTCATCTGGGAGTATTTGGGGACGACCGCATTCGAAGGCAACGGCTCTCGATTCACAGCAAACACGCGCGATCACAGGAGGGGTCGCATTTATTCGTGATATATTGCATTCTTTATCTCTTGGTGACCGGTCATCCCATGTCAGTACGCCATGTTGGTCATCCAGCTCCATCACACGGGAAGGTAGGCACTCGCGCCATATCGCTAGACGGAGTTCGGGCGGAAGCCTGGGAAACAAGTGAAACGTGCCCGGTTTGCTTGCCATGTTGAGGAACATGCCACGCTGTTATAGCCAAATAGGCGAAATATTCAACGGTAGGCCCCCAGCTTGCAAGATATGGGTGGGTGTAAGACCTGCATTCTTGTCATGTTGATCGGTCACATGATTAATGGCGTGAATAAGGGCCCAAAAAGTACGTGTCTCGTGATGCAGAATCATTTGAGTGAGTTGTTTCTCTTGGTAGAAGCTACTTATATTTGGCAAACTTCTTTTTGGATTGAAGAGCCCTAATTATATCTGAGATTTATCTACATAGCTTGCTCATCCATGATGGTCAAAGATGAAAGATGAGCTGCTTGCTGGCTCACCAGGCTTCCTTTCCTTGCATTTTCGAACAGACATAACCCACAGCCAACCTCTGGGAGCTAGTTCTGATGTATAATTTGGTCTTCTACATACGTATCGACATGAAATATTTAGAATCAATAGAAGCATAAATTAACATGAATTGTGACACCAGTCTCGGAGTGTTCAGTAACACCAGGCGTCTATGTAAAAGTAAAACTAACATGAAGCCTCACCTTTCTATCGGGCATTAAACTTGTTTCATGTACAATCAAGAAGACGTGGTCACATCGATATTGAAAGTACCGACCCATTGGCAGGTCTCTTCGGGATACTGGTTGGGTGTTTTCTTGCACTCCCAGTCTGCTCCAGTTACCTGGTTTTGGCCCGACTCAGAGCCATCCGGACGAGAAACCTTCAGGATAAAATCTTCGATGTTGCTTATTCCGCTTGGGAAGCTGACCTGATATGAAGTGTTGGAGCAGTTGAACTTGGTGTATCCAGACATGCCTTCCGACCTATGAAAGCATTAATCAACAAACTTCGTAGCTACAGATTATCTGCATGATAAAGAGAAGAGAAGACATTAGTCTCACATACCAAGCAGCATTGCAGTCTGTATCGATGCTGGTATTTGGATCATTCAAGGCAAAGGATACAACATAAGTAGTTGGTGGAGTCTGAGAATACTCGCTACCAGTGAGGTCCAAAATTGCCAGAGGCTCCAGAGCACGCTTCAAGCTGCTGGGAGCGGCAAATGTGGTGGTAGCAGCAGCAGCGAGAATAGTGGTAATAGTGGCGGCCTTCATTGTGTCTACTGCGGTAGTCAAAAGAGTAGATAGTAAACCCTTTTAAAGATACGGATTTCTTGTTGATGATTCTGGAAAAATTGAAGGGATTTCTCTATTTATTTATATTTGAGACTTGCATTGGGCTGCACTTCATGTATGCGTAACTCTGGATCTCAAATGTCTGTGTCATGTGTAAATTAGAGGCTATGCTTGAGGAAGTGATCGTGGGTTACATTGTATAACTTGCAACGGTACCTCATCGAGGTCATTGAATAAGCCAATCAGTGCCTAGGAATACCGGGTGTGAAATGCGGCGTGGAGATGGTGGACGCCTCTTTCTGGGCGCCTGGCTCAACTACTGCTGAAGTGTGGGGAGCTCAAGACTGAGGCTGAGCGCTAATTTTTCTTCCTTCGGTATTCGTTCGTAGATCGCCTGTCCTCAAAGACGAAGTAGATGCCGATGGGTGGTTCTATGGGCGTTTGTGGCCCCAATCAGGCCCCCAGCACGAGAGACAAGCCCAGGCAATCGTTATTTTTAGACAAAATTTAGTGCTTTCTCAAATAGGAAGTGCCTCGAGAGACTAGATCTCTTTCTTTCAAGTGCTTGAAATATGGAATGCGTCGGCCTTTTAATCACCAATTGCCAATTGCAATCGGGAGCAGTATTAGTGTCTTATGATGATAATCTGTACAAAGGGTAGCCTTGAGAAAGGCTTCTTTGCTTATCACTTCTGCGAGTATTGCCTGTCTTATTTTGTGCTGAAATACAGATTCAATTTGAATAATCATAGGCACCGTGTCACAGCTAAATGTTTATTCTATGTCGAGAATTGAACGTTTAGATATATTGTAATGATTCATGTAAAAATACAAATCGTGATGGAACACAGAACCCTCTCCTGTGGCCCAAAGTTCATAGATTGTACATGTATTTCAAAAACAGAAGTATGAGAATGATTATCGCTAACAATCCGGACCTTTTTCATCGCTAATGAATCCAAATAACTGAAAAGAACGCAAAGTTAAAAAGCCAGGCTAATTTCCAAGGGAGAGGGCACTACTGAAGACGTTGCCAAACTAGATGACGACAATGCAGAAATATCTGCTGTGATTACCTGCGCCTCGGGAATTTGTCCCACCATATCATCATCTACCATAACTTTCACTCCTTTTTGGTTGGCCCAGATCAATTGGATTTGATCTGGTCTGATTTGTATCTTCTCCGAAAGTTTGCCTTTCAGTTCTGCTTCTGAACGTATACTCAGATACAATGCGTGATGATAGCTATGAATCGGTTCGCCACCCTTGATAAACTGAACATAGAAGCATGCGACTAGATTCAAGTTAGAAATCTTTATACGCAAATAATGTATGACCAATTAGCACTTACCATATCTTGGTAAACTGTTTACAGTAGTCTCCCAATTATTTGAAACACTTGATGCGGGTGTAGACCTCGATGATTGGGAGTTCATAGAGAAGGTACTCGGCGCCTCGAGTGAGTCTTCTGATAAGGTAGCACTGCGACCGCCCGGACTTCCATCAAGAGCTTTAGACCCAGAGTCCATCGGAGAAAAGGATTCACTCTGCATATTCTCCAAAGCGCGTCTGGTGATATCATCCCCCTTCGGCAAACTCGACTCAGTCGGTAGGATAAGAGGGTGGATTGATGGGTCATCTTGAACGACGCCACGAAGACCCAGCTTGCTCATCTGACGCTCCGCCGAGAGCGAGTCCTTCAACCTAAAGAGCTCATCGTGAAGTTTTTGGTGAAGCATGGAGTTATTCTGCCAATCTGAACGCCGTCTTTTTGGCAGAGATATCTTGGAGATTTTTTGATCCTCAGAGAGACGGTTCCAACTTTGCTTGCGAGTGGACATTTTACCCTTCTCTTCGGCAATTTGTTTTTTCAGCTTCTCGATCCGCTTCTTTGCAGAGGCTTCATCGTTCGACATCTTCCTTTCCGCGCCATGATCGCGAAAGAGTTTGATGATGCCGTAGCACATCTCAAACTCATCTGACTCTGACAAGACCTCTGTCTTGGCGCATAGTCGGACCGGTACACCTTTAACTCCTTTGGAGCGAGTGAAGTCGGTTGACAAAAAGTTGAACCGAACAGGGATATTGCAAGAAGCGATTTGGTCGGTGGGATCCCCTGTCCAGATGACAGAGAAACCATCTGTGTAGACCTTCTCGATTCGAACTCGGGGGGCTGTCTCGTTGTCTGTGGCATTTTGTGACACATCATCGAACTCTACGCCTAAGGAAACTCCATTTTGGCCCCGAAGAGCTTTCCAGAGCTGCCAGGCAATAGTTGGATTGGATCTTTGTTCTTCGGCCTCGAACGTGACGCGAATATGGGTCCTATATTCAAGTGCACCAGAATTCATGTCGCTGGGCCTGGAGTCCGCTATGTTGATAACGTAGCTATTACCCTTGTTGAGATAAGTCACCGGGCTTCCATCAGAATGCGGGAATATCGCAATGGGTGCACAAAGATTCACATTATACCGAAAGCTGCACTGAATTAGCTGAAGTAGTTCCCGGCTGCTCTTGTACTCTATTATTCTCCAATAAATACCTTTCATTGCTCATGTTCGGGGTCATCGCATTGACAGAAGCTTGAGGTATTTCCAAGTCCAAGCTTGACTCGACTTGTAATTCATTGTAACCATACGTCGGTTGCTGTTGAAAGCCATCCATCATTTGGTCGTAAGTTGGAATGTTGGGCGCCATAACCCTTGCCGTAACGCTCGGTTCGAAAGGGGCGACCGGGTGAAATCCGTTTTGTGCCTGCTCGAAGGGTACAAAGCCGGTATACTCATCAAAGGACGCCTGAGGATTCAGTTCGTCGCTAAGCGTGGGAGTGGGAGTGAACCATGAAAAAGTGGATGAAAGAAGATCGCCAGCTTGGTTGTGAAAGACTGCCCCGGATCCTGGAGTAGTAGCGCCCTGGGGATAGATGGCTTTTGGATTAATGGAAGTTTCCATGAGAACTTCGTTCGAATGAACGTTATTCATGCCCATGACAACACTGTCCAGCCCATCAGGGAGCCCGGAGTCTCGCTTGTCGATCGCGAAGGGGGCCGTTTTCCCTTTAGACTGGCAATGACTATACAAAAGCGACCCATAGCTCGTCCTAAACTGGTTGATGAGTTGATCATCTGGTTTACAGCCAGCGCTGCCCAGAATTCGCAAAGTTAGCGATCAGATATCAGAATCTAAAACAAGGCTACACAGAGATACAAACCGGTATTGAAGCATTGAGGATGCCAAGAACCTCTACTCCCAGCAGAGCAGCTGTCCAGGACGAACACTAGGAGAGAAGACGCTACGTACGAAAGCCGTTAAATTTAGGAGGTCGCGACCGAATGAAGAAATCTTTGAAGGACTTCTTTCCTGGTTGACCCGCCCATCAAATATCATTTCCCTGCTTGGGAGGAGTGGGGGGTACGAGAATTATTTACATGGGCAGCGGCCCAGTTACCACGCGGCGGGTGGTATACTCCATACTTCCATTTCGTTCGGCTACGTTCGGCCGAAACTCACTATTGGTTGGCATCGTACCCGTGTTCTGTTCATATCCAACCCTGCTCAGTCGCCCGAATCCATGGGCTTTCATTGGAGCATCGGGGGAGGTTGCAGCCCTTGGTTTGCGGATCTCTGCCAGAATAAGCCCACTATGACGTCGTGTTATCCGCGTGGCTTTTCGTACCGGCCACGCTATCTGTTCTCGTACGTTTCTCGCGTGGAAGCCAACGCCGAGTTTTGTTCCTATGCAGATCATACTGGTATGTAGAGAATATTGCAATGTGAGGAACGGAGAGATTTATGAGGTCGCAAGTCCTACATGACCCTTTTAATCCAGGCCCAACCATACAGATACGTCATCGGGCGTCATCGGGTGGAAACCGCGGGTACCGGTTTTCTCCAGTTTCGACGTATTGGCATATGCGTGGTATAGGAGACGGTCTGAGACACATCGATCTAGACCACAAGGGCCCTGCTTCTAGACCAGCGCGCTAGTGTAGGCATATCGCTTAAATCAAAACAAGGTATGTCCATGTGACACTAGCGCAGTATTCCCCCAACATCTGACCCCGACGCCCAGACGAATGTTCCCATGCCATATAGAGCTCCCCTGGCTCATGATACCCGCTACAGTCGGGAACTACTCCAGGTTTGAACTCTTCGGACCCCCCCCCTTCCCCCTCTCCAACCTCCTCGCCGCTACCCGCAACCAGTTTTCCCGGGTGTACACTAGTTCCCCTGGGTTCCCACATCTGCCGAGCGCAGAAGAATGTTTTGACCCCCGTATATAGACGGCAAACATCCTGGTATCGTGTGCATCCGAAACGATCCCTGTCTCGCATCACCTTTTACCGCTACCTCGAAGTCATTCTGTATGAACTAAATCTATCTGATAGGAGGACGGCATGAGTCTTGGATTGAGAGAGACCCACTAACAAAATCGTATCGTATATTGCCCAAAACAGCCTGTTCGTTGGGAAGCCTCGGTTGCTCCCGACTGACCATCAAACCTAGATATAATGACGAGGGCTCGCGCGAGAACCGGTTTTGAAGCTTCCCTTTCCGGCCAACATCGCATTTGTTTGCGCCACCAGCAACTTTCGTAATTTAAAAAGACTTGAAAGACTTGACACGAAGTGCATATAAACCGTATGAAATTTCAATATTCCTTCAGCCACGCAACTCTAATTATCCTTGCATCTAATCCACCTCTGAAGCTTGAGCCTTCCCACCCCCCTGTCTGCCTCTGCAATTTCTGGACTATTGAAAATGTTTCGAAGGACGCCTCGATCCGCTACCGGTGCAATCAAGCAGCACATTCGCAGTCAATCTAAGTCACGATTTGTGAATTCTCGATTCCAATCCACTTCATCAAACTCCGGTACATCCGGTAGCAATCCAGCTCTCGTTGGTGGTGTTGCTGGCGGCGCAGTCGCTTTCACCGCTGGTTATGCTTGGTATTACTTCTCTGGTGCGAAAACACTCGTCGACTCCAACAAACAAGTGAAGGAGTACGTCGAGCAAGCCAAGCAACGGATTTCTGAGAAAGCGCCGGAACCAAAGCAAGCGTACGCCTGGTTGAAGAGCACGGTCAATCGCTATGCGGTCTTCATTCCTGGTGCCCGTCCCTATGTCGACTCTGCCTTCAATGACCTCGAAAAGATCCGAGATGAGCACGCCGAGGAGTTTGATAAAGTGGTCAAAGATGCCTATTATGAGCTGAGTGATGTTTCTAGCAAAGGCGGGTTTGACACCGACACCGCATTCAAGACTTTCCACATTTTACAGAAATATCTTGACCGTCTCCTCGAAATATCTGGTGAATCTGTGGAAGATGTTTTGGACAACCATCCCCAGCTAAAGGAGAAGATCGGCGGTAGCTTCGATCAACTGAAGAAGCTGGGTGATACATATGGACCTCAAGCGAAGGAGGAGGTTAACAAAACTTGGAAACAAATCTCCGATATCATTAAAAAGGGGGCTAGTGCTGATTCCGCAGAAGAGATCAAAAATCTGATCAAAAACCAGAAGGCCAACATACAAAAGCTTGGTGATGAGGCCTGGCAGAAAGGTCTCGAAGAGTCTCGACAGTTCCTGGACAAGAACCCCAAGGTAAAGTCCTTGGTCGAAGACAATGCCGAGGCTTTGAAGAAAGGAAATTTCCAGGAACTTTGGGGTCTTATAAAGGAGAGTGCTTCTTCTGGCAAGACCGAAGACCTGGAGAAGTTTGTCAAGGACAAGGTCAATCAAGCTTCGAACGTTGGTTTTGAAGACTTGGACAAGTGGCTGAAGATGATTCCTGGCGGCTCGAACATTATTCCACAAATTCAATCTTTGCAGAAAGTTGCGGATGAAAAGGGTGGTGAAGCTAAGGACGTGGTCAAGGAAACCTTCGAAGAGGTTCAGGAAGTACTGAAGAAAAGAAAAGAGCAGATAGAGAAACTTGCCGAAGAAGAAAAGAAAGAGTGATAATCGAAATTAGAGATAGCATACTCTACTATTTCAGTATCGTGACTGAATTTGAAGAATCATTTTCGATGACCACAACAGAGAGGCATATCCCAAAGTTGACAGAATGTGGAGTCAAGTAGATTATGAGTATTGCCCGAAAAAGCTTCCAAGGAGCGATTATGATAAATGTTATTGTTAGATCCAAAGTAATCTATAGCCAACATATGATGTTGAGACAATGAGAGTAAAAGATGTAGCAACCTCTATATATATACGAGGAAATAGGCATCACTATACAATTACTTGATTTCGATAACTCCGCGGCGTCCTCGGTCATTCTCGAATGATAGTGCTCTAGCGTATTTTAGGAGGTGATGATACTGTTTGCTTGGCTCTCGGCTAGTTGATATGCCATTCAAATGGAATCAGGGAAATCTTATCAGCATCCTCAACTCGGCTTGACCGATGGTTCACAAGTACGGACCCTCCAGGGAATCCAAATTCAGTCGGCCTTGAAAACAATATGACGATATGCCCACAGTAATCGAACTCCACTATTTTTCATGACTTATGTTTACGATAAAATTGTTGCTATTTGTACTCAAAATGCTTATTCACCATGTCGCGCCACAGGTGGTGGCCATAGAGGCGACATGAGATCATCGCAATCCGAGAGAGGCGAGAGGCAGAGGGTTCTGCCAGCACTCCAAACCATTAAATGCGAGTCCTCTTTTCCTGAACAGTAACGCATAGATATTTTTTGAAGCACAAGGACTACGCCCTGCCTACTCCATTAATTTGATGTGTATCAAGATTGACGTTCAACTATTCGCCATGTCATCCAGTAACAAGGGAAACCGTGAGTATACTACACTCACTACACTATTTTGATCCCGAGTCTATGTTTATGGTCATGTCCTAATCCCTATTATGAAATCCACCCCCTTGGCATTTACAATTCCTACATGCTTTGTTTCTATATTATGTCTATAAACAACTTGGCTAACATCGATGGTATGATTTCCAGCCAGCTTTACCGGCGGTCTCGGCGAGATGGTCGGCAAGACGGTAAACGGCGCCTCCAGCACCGTGGGAAATGTTGTGAGTGGTCTGGGCGGCACCGTTGGCGGCGCCGCACAAGGCTTGGGCCAGACAGTGAGCGGAGCGAGCGAAGGACTTGGGAATGCAACCAAGGGCCTCGGTCGATCGGTCAACAATGCCATGGGTGGTGGTGAATTAGAGGAAGAAGAGGAACGACTCCCTGAGCTGGAAAATGATTGAACTCCGGGGGTCACGGCTCTTCGGGCATTTGATTGAGTCCTGACTGGTCATACATGAGTGAACTGGGGCACACCGGATCACTGTTGAAAATTGGACAGCTCGTATATGGTATCCATTTCTGTAAATCATATCACAGCCCCAATCAAAGATATTGAGCATATCACGCAAAGTAGCCTAAGGCACTCCATTCTCAGGACTTGAAGACCGCATTAGGGTTTGGATGAAGATCTCGGAAGGAGTCTAATGCACCTGGAATGCACCAGTAGGCAGATTCCGATCCGCAGCGGGATGCCGGCTCACGGAGGCCGGAGTTTCCCGCCGACAAGCTGTGGTGGGGCGCCACGCACCCGGAGGACCCCAAGTAATAGTAGTTCGTAATTGACGGATCGACCTGCTGGATTGGAATAGCTCCGTCTTTGAAACGTATAGCCTGACGGTGGGGTCGGCAGGGATGTAGCAATACGGAGACCCTAGAATGACTGCTTTGATAAGTAGCCTGATCTAGACAGGGTCGATTGACCAAATTGTGCGTGTCTGGTCTGATCTAGTCCGTAGGATAAATCGTGAATTCTCGGATGTCAAATCTTGCTAGATCGCTGACTTCGGCCGGGTGCTGATTGGGTGTGGAGCTTATTGCATGTCCCGCAGTAACGGTTTCGTAGCCATCTCACCAGAATTGTTCGGCATGAAGAAGGCGCTGATCATAGCCAGCATAAAGAACAAAGTCTGATTAGCCTGGAATCAATCTCGATCCAGAGTGGAAGTAGTGTTAGTATTAGTTGTCCAGAGCGCGGCGAATAGCCCAGAGATAACCCATACCAACACCGCAGTGGGTCCCATGGCTTCATGTTTTTCCCCTCCCCACCTCGTTGAAAAGCGATGGCTATATATACAGGTCTCCCCCGTGAAGCTGGGCTCCATTCATATTTATCTGGTTGACCATCTTCGTCATCATGGGCCAAGACAAGGAGCCGAGTATGAAATCCCCTCCAACCGATACAGGCCGGAACAGGAACTGACCATCTTTTGTTCCCTTAGAGACCTATCGTTATGACGAGACTCCGGTCTATACGGCCTCCAATGGCTGTCCGGTACAGCAGATCCCCGAATCTTCTCGAACCTGGCGTCTCCGGTCTAACGCGAATCTCATATCATTTAGGTCATGGATCCCCAGGCTGCTCAGCGCGTGGGCTCCAACGGCCCACTGCTGTTGCAGGATTTCCACTTGATCGATCTGCTAGCTCACTTTGACCGGGAGCGTATCCCCGAGCGTGTGGTTCACGCCAAGGGTGCCGGTGCCTTTGGAGAGTTCGAAGTCACCGACGACATCAGCGATATCGTTTGTATCCGTCAAGCATTCTTCGCATACACCACAGATCCAGCCAACTGACCGGAAACTATAGACTACGATCGACATGCTGAAGGGAGTGGGCAAGAAGACTAGGTTACTGACCCGTTTCTCGACCGTCGGAGGTGAGAAGGGGTCTGCGGACAGTGCTCGCGATCCGCGCGGCTTCGCCATCAAGTTCTATACCGAGGAAGGCAACTGGGACTGGGTGTTCAACAACACCCCAGTCTTCTTCCTCCGTGACCCAGCCAAGTTTCCCGTCTTCATCCACACCCAAAAGCGCAACCCTCAAACCAATCTCAAAGATGCCACCATGTTCTGGGACTACCTGTCGACCCACCAGGAGGCCGTTCACCAGGTGATGCACCTGTTCAGTGACCGGGGCACACCCTACTCTTACCGCCATATGAACGCCTACTCAGGCCATACGTTCAAGTGGATCAAGCCCGACGGCACCTTCAACTATGTGCAGATCCACTGCAAGACCAACCAGGGTAACAAGACCTTCACCAACGAGCAGGCGACCAAGCTTTCGGCTGAAAACCCTGATTGGCACACTCAAGACCTGTTCGATGCCATCGCGCGCGGCGAGTGCCCCTCATGGACCTGTTACGTCCAGGTACTCTCGCCCGAGCAGGCCGAGAAGTTCCGCTGGAGCGTGTTTGACCTGACCAAGGTGTGGCCACAAAGCGAGGTGCCCTTACGGCGCTTCGGCCGTTTCACGCTGAACCAGAACCCTCAGAACTACTTCGCGGAGATCGAGCAAGCGGCCTTCTCGCCATCCCACCTGGTCCCCGGCGTCGAGCCATCTGCCGACCCGGTCTTGCAAGCTCGTCTCTTTTCCTACCCGGACACCCACCGCCACCGTCTGGGCGGCAACTACGAGCAGATTCCCGTCAACTGCCCGCTGCGCGCCTTCAGCCCCTGGCACCGCGATGGCGCCATGAACGTCAATGGCAACTACGGCGCAAACCCGAACTACCCCTCCACCTTCCGGCCTCTGGCCTACAAGGCCGTCAAAGCGAGCCAGGAGCACGAGAAATGGACCGGTGCCGCGGTGGCCGAGCAGATTCCCGTCACGGATGAAGACTTCGTGCAGGCGAACGGTCTCTGGCAGGTCCTGGGCCGTACGCCCGGACAGCAGGAGAACTTTGTGAAGAACATCTCTGGTCATCTGTGCGGAGCTCATGAGCGTGTTCGCAAGGCGACCTATGGGATGTTCCGCCGTGTGAACAAGGATCTCGGTGTCCGCATCGAGGCCGCTACCGAGGCCAACGTGGCTCCGTCCGCTCGGTTGTAGAAAGTTCTATTTTGGCATTGTTATTGTACATCTATAGTTATTTTATCTATCTGCATCCAAATGATGACTTAACCTCCGGATAACGGACATGAGATCTCCAAGAACATTTCTATATTGGTAACCGGTACTACACATCCAAGTTTGTATTGGGGCGTGGAAAGGCACCTTTCAGATTTCTGTTGTCTAATTCCAAAAAAGGTTTATTTCCAACGAGAGAAAATGCGAAAGTCTAGGGCGCTAGAGGGGGAGGGGAGGCCGGATATCAAATGTTAAAATAAAAGCAAATCTCACCCGCTCCCTCTCGCTTGGTTCTTGAACGAAAGATCCGGAAAATATCAAAAACCCAAATTAACTCCCGAAATTGTAACGCTTCTCAAATCATGCCCGCATGGATCGGACTCAAGCCCTGAAGAGAAAATGCTAGCTAAAGTGGCAGTAGTGTTATGTATACGCCAAGTTCAAATACAACCAAGGCGTGGTCAACCGGCTGTCAGAAGCACTTTGAATGGCGATCGATCGCAGCTTAGTTCTATGTATGTAACAACTCACGGGTCGAGGCATATAAGTCCGAAGATGATGCTGTGAGTGCATGTGTGCGAGCTGGTAGATGTGGTGGTCGCTGTTGAGGTTGGAGCGGATGTAATACCAGGTGTCGAAGTTGGCTCATCCCAGCATCCCCATAACAATCCAGGGGTCTTGCAAGAGGCTGTAGAACTTGATGTAGGAGCCGATGTGCGTGAAGACGTGGATGTTGGTTCATCCCAGCATCCCCATAATAAACCAGGTGTCTTGCAGATAGAATGCGGTTTTGAGCCGTTGCCTGTTGTAGTTGTAGTTTTAGCTGGGTCATTGCAACCGAACCAACCGGGGTCATGACAAGTCGTTGATGTTGCAGTCGGGACTGTTGTAGTTATTGTCGGTGCCGGTGTTGCAGTAATCGTAGTGCCTGAAGTGGGGTCATTACAGCCGAACCAACCAGGGGTTTTGCATGTCGAGCTCGCGGTTGACGTTGTGAAAGGAACCGTTGATGTAGGGTCGTTACAACCGAACCAGCCAGGAGTTTTGCATGTCGATGTAGTAGTGGTAGTTGTAGATATGGTTGTCGTGGTCGTGGTTGTGGCAGTGGTGCTTTCGTCAAGGCAACCCCACCAACCTGGAGTCTTGCATGTAGATGTTCTTGTGGCGGTAGATGATGTGGTAGTTGTCGTTGTAGTAGTGGTAATTTCAGAGCCGTTGCTTCTGAAAAACTTCCACAACACACAGTCGTAACATTCCTCCTCGGCTAGGCATGGTGGGACAGTGTCATATTTTTCAAGAACATCAGATATCACATTCTGAATGCTATGAGTGCCGATGCCAACTCGCCAACCCTTGTCTGCCACAGTGTCGTAGACGCACATTTGGCCGGTATGACATGCCGACTCCATCGCATAGCCACCCCATGTGCATATTGCGTTAATTCCATTACAAGTCCCCATAAATACCGGATCAGCCGTGTGGCCAAAATGGAATGCACCTGTATACTGCCGCGTTTGTGGAAGTCGCGGGTCATAGCCGGGTGGACTGGGGAGACCTAGACGGGCTGCAGGCAGGGCTTCGGGAACAGCTTCAAATGTTACAGTTGGCAACCCGAATGTCAGACCCAGCAAGCTGGTCATAGCACCTCCGAGGGAATGGCCAGTCAACCAGACTTTAGATTGGGGGTAGAGCTCTGTCACATTACCATAGAGCTCAATGACTGAGGCATAATACCTATCTTTGCGAACCACTTCCTTCTCGATACACGTCAAGTTCGCAGTGTAGGTAGCATTTTGGCAGTCGCAGACTTGTCTCCAAAGATAGGAGCCTCCTTGGCCGCAGCAGCAACTGAAGTATAGATTGTCGTTATCTTTGTCATTTGTAGTTGTACCGGCCCCATCAAAAAGAGCGGGCGACGTTCCCTTAAGAGAGATAACAATCGTAGAGTTCGTCTTATCGGCGTATATATGCCCCCGGAGCCCGTCTCCCTTCCATCCAAAGCTTCCTGTCCAGTTGAACTTTCCATGGATTGCTCTCCATTCTCCTGTACCGGGTACCTCGATATAATCGTTCGCGGCCATTTTGGCAAAAGTAAGAACAGTCTGTTTATCCGTAATATTCGGCCCAGGGAGTGTGTCTATAACCCATTCTGATGGCGATAATGTTTGGGCATGACCCCAGAAACGGGCAGCTTCAAGGTGATCTTGTATGACCGATACGCGTCGATCTGCCAAACGTTGTATCGTCATAGGATGGGAGGAAGCAACTAAAGGCTGCTGTTTTGTGATGAGCTCCTCTTTCTTGCCATCTTCTGAAACAGTCCAAAGTTGAGTTTCTGGCTGGACATCTAATCTGGCGTGGAGGTCAGGGTAATCGCGAGCGCCTCGCTGGAAAATATGACGAAGTGACTATGTATGGTAAGTTTGGGGCTAGCATGAGTAAATTTCTGAGTGGTGTGACCTACAAACTCATGTGTTTCGGGTGAGAGCTCTGGCCCATCCAAGGGTATCTGGGGCGGGAGGATGGGGACCTGGAGAGCGGGGAGGTCATAGTAGGCCAGTGTCGCCGTTGGGAGAAGTACAGATGATACGAAGAGACCAGCAAAGCTAGGTCCCTTCCAGAGCCGGCCTCGAGACCGCTGAGACCGAGCCATGCTGGGAGAAGGAGATACAGGGAAGCCGAAGATGGGCGGCGGACTATCATAGCTTATCGCGCGGGTGACGCAGTGCGGAGGTGATCCGCACGTGATAGGTACCCCCGTGACGCGCCGGGATCTCGCGCGGTTTTGCCGGAGCTGCTGACAAGCAACGGAATTGTCCTTTGCTTTTGTGATTGGTGCTGATTGTCGTCAAGTGCTTGCGTGCGAGGCCCCCCTCAATTCATCTTGCTGCTGGGCATCAGCCCAACATTGGGAAGCGCTAGGTTTCCGATCTGTATGAACCTATCAGCTGGGCCTGGCGGAGTCACTTACGACTAGTGCCCTATAGGGCCAGGTCGCCCCTTGACCAAGCATGTCTGGCCCCTCCGACGATAGTTCTAACCACCATCTTTTGCATTCAAGGCAGTCGTTTTCAAGGATGGAGAGCCCGGACACGCAGTCTTCAACGCCGGGTAAATCGTCAGCCACTGGCCAGGCAGATACTGGTGCTGGGCCTCTGGCACTCTCACCGGGTGACGACGCGCGAGATAATGGTCCTGACGTGTTTGAAAGGCGAAGTTCTGCAGACTCCAACACTGCCGGTGATGGACAAGGAGACGAAGGCTTTGTGCTCTCTCGGAGCGTGAAAAATCCATCCGAAGAGCTTCCTATCGAACTTGTTAGCTTGACGGACCGGCAAGTCGGCCAAGTACCCCATAAATGCTTTGAAATGCTTTCTCTAACATTTTTCAACCAGATTTATCAACTCATTGAGCGCCAAAGTACATAATTCTCCTCCTACTATCGATAAAATATCTTCTATGTTCCAAGTCTTCTACAGCCGGGCGGAATCTCATATCGCCACACACATCTCCGCTCTTGCATCTCGTATAAATCGCGACCCGGTCCCAGTCCAGTCAAAACCTCGGGCTGGTGCTTTATCAGTCTTAGCCAGCAAACGCTCCCAGGACGATGTTCGAAATGGTGGCACCGGTCGGCAAATGCTGACTGCAACAGAGGTTGCAGAGCGACGGAAAGCGCGTAAGGCACTTGAATATAAACGGGTTGCTTTAGAGGAAGCAGCGGAGCGCAGAGTGTGTGAGCTTGTTTACGACAAGATCTGGAGACATAAAAGCACGCTAGACGAAGTGCGAGATGAGAAACTGCGTTCGAAGACTGCGGCCTTACTTCTGGTTGGGATCAACCTGAAAGACTTGGGTATTGATATAGATCTTGAAGCGATCGATGACGAAAAACAGCATGAAGCAAATGATTGCCTTGCACAGGCCCGAGACTTCCTTGCAAAGATGAATGAAGAACGATATCCTCTGGGCAAACTTCAACAACTAGCAGCGGCTCATAAAGCAATCGTTGATGCCTTGACAAAACTTCTTCCTTCCTCGTCCTCCGCAGACGAGATTCTACCTACCTTGATATACTCTCTTGTCACTTGTCCACCCGATGGAATCAGCATTATCAGCAATTTGCTGTTCATTCAACGGTTCAGATCTTCCAACAAGATCGATGGCGAGACAGCATACTGCTTGACAAATCTTGAAGCTGCCATAAGTTTTTTGGAGAACGTTGAGCTGTCTAGCCTACGTGCAGATGAGATGCAAGAGGGTCCTCTAAAGACTCCAAGTGAAACAGCAACTCCGTCATCAGAGCGACTCGACCCTTTTAAGCCGTCAAAAGAAACTACCACGTCATCTGTTACGGCAGTTTCTGCGGCACCTGAAATAATGAAACCAGAATCCAAAGAGCAGCTTTCTTCCACACTACCTCGTCCTCGTCCATCTCCAGCTCCACAGCAACGACGACTTAGCAACCTCTTCCAGCCTCCGGCTAAGGTTCTCGAGGCCGCCAACGATGCAGTTCGCAATACAGCAGATCAAAGTCTCAAGAATATTGGTGCTTCATTGGATAACAGTTTCAATTTCCTCTTTGGCCGCCTCAAGGAAATGCAGATCAATCAAGGGCCAAATTCGGCCGGAGATGGTCCTGTCGTTCCGAAAACTTTGGCAGATGCTCGCCGTTTAGTCGCCAATCCACCTGCCAATCAACAAAATCTTACGTCGGAGGAAATTGAATCGCTCAATGCCCTATCTAGTGAGGACGCAGCGCGCAACAGTCAAAGGATTACAGGGCTATCCAGTGGGGGTCGAACGCCGCGAGATCGAAGCGTTGATAGTGCAAGAACCCAAGCAAGCAGCAAGAAGTCCATTGCTAATTCACTGCGAGACGAACCCGCTCAGTCTCCGACCGCTGCCATGACCCCCAACCCATTGGAATCCATGCGGAATTTCGGTAACACGCTCAATCCTCTCAATCACATCCCAGGGATGATCAAGAATTTTGGCCGTGGTACACCTGAAACGCCGAATGCCAGGTCTCTTTCCCCTGCAGCGGTAGATCGCTTGAGGATATCACCCACTTCAGGTGATTCCGGAGCCGGTGTTGCTAATTCGTTATCTGGATCTCCATTGAGGGCCGAACCCCCCATTCAACGATTTATTGAGATGCAAGACGTTCGTGATCTTCGTGTTGGGGACATAGCTGTTCTACTAGAAGATTACAAACGGCTGGCCGCCGCACTTTCAAAAGCAGGAGCAGGGTCTAGATAGGTGTGTCAGGTTCCATTTTCTTTTCGTGTGTTGTAGAATTTCGTCTCTGGGATGTGCATTGTAGGTCACTTGGGGTGTTTAGCGGCATAATATGGTCTTCATATCTCGTATACATAAATTTTAGGGATGTCATAGCATTTTTTTTGGTTTCGTTCAGCTGTGCGTGTGCATATTATCTATAGCGAAAACATGACGTGTCAAGATTCAGAACGATGTTGGTCCATTTCTTCGTAAAAGCTGAGAATAGGCTTCAAAAAGCATAACGCCAGGGGTATTTAAACATGCATATTAAAGCTGATAATCCACAAAATCACTGAACAACTGAACAAGACATGCCCATGGAGTGAGTCATAGGCTATGCATATCAAATAAGGAATTCGAGAAATGAAGCTGATTCGAGTAAAAGTGAACGGGGACGTAACAAATAAATCAGCCGTTTCGACCACGAAGAACCTCGGCACCCCCAGTTCTCATTTCATCCAACTTGGTTGAAAGTTCTGAATTCTGTGCATCAATGAGATCATGACGGCGTTTGACCTCGGCTTCGAACACAGCAGCTGTGCGGCGACGAGCTTGGCGCAGTTTCTTCATCTCGGTAAGGAGGTTGCTGAATCGATCGATCAACTGATCTCCACAATTTTCCCATTCATCAACAGACATGCGAGACAAATATGTCTGACGGCCCTGATCTGGAAGCTTCAGAAGCTGAGAAACGGTGTCATTCGATGACTGGGCGTCTGAAAGAGAGGTATTCAATGGCAAGGGTGGAGACTTGACTGGAGGTGGCGTAGGCGCCTTCTCGAAAGGTTCTGCTTGAAGGTCGGTAAAAGATTTCTGGTACAGCAACTGTGGGGGGTAATCTGCTTCTAGCTGCCGTTTTTTCGTATGAATGACGGTATTGCGTCGGCCACGTCTAGCAGATGGGGGTTGTGAAAGGAATGGATCTTGTATCATTTCGTCGTTCTCGCGGCCCAGATCAGAAAGGTTCGTGATATCGAAAGGATGGAGAGAATGGCCGCTTTGTCTTCTGCTGATCACGCGTATAGTTTCATCAATGCCATGCTCATGTTCACTCTCATCCTCGCTTTTCTGGTCGTAATTATAAGATGTCAAGCTGAGCATTCTTCCAGCTTGCGGAGGAGGCTCGGAGCCATGCCTAGTTGGTGAGATATCAAGCTGATCCAAAAGTGAGGGCTTTGGTGGGCTGAACCGTGTTCGCGGTGTTGCTGAAATGCTGTGGGGAAGAGTGATCTTCCTAGGTCCAGTGGGAGGAAGCATATGCCCCAATTTTCGCGGTTGATGTTCGGTAGCAAGGCCCATATGAGCCTGCTGTTGTACTTCTGTTTGAATTTGGTCGACTGATTTTGAGGTTCTTTTGCTTGCTGCCCAGAAGTTTTCCAGACGCTTACTCAAAGGTTCGTCTGCAGCTCTGTGCTTATGAGGCAAATACCAACCACTTGATTCTCTAGGCTCGCTAGAATTATCTGGCTCAACTGGCTGGGTTGGTTCAGCTGGCTCTGGTGGTCGTGCCGGCTCCGGCATTTCTTCTGTCTTCTCATCATCTGCACCCAGAGAAGAAGTCAATTGGCTGGCTGTGTCTTCACCATCATCTGACGTATCGAACCCAGCCTTCTTCAAGGCCTTTTCGCCGAGGCCACCATAGAAAGATGACCGGTAAGACCGACGCGTCGGTCTAGGTAAATAAGATGGCCGAGGCGATGTATTTTCATCGCCCGCTTGCACAGTTGACGGCGCTTGAGAGTGAGTTTCGCTGAATCCAAAGAGGCTTGCTTCGGCGATAGTTGAATCATCAATCCCTTCCACGTCTGTGTCGAACAAATCCCTGTGCATTCCATTTTCAGGAGCTTGATTCTCAGGTAGAGTACGTAATCGCTCAGAGGGACCTGGGGACCTAGGAAGTCCACGTGCTATAAATCTTCCATTACCACTTGGCGAGCTGAGATACTGCGTGGGCACCTCGACTTTTGCTTGTTCGGCACGCAACTGACGCTGTGATGGAGGGAGGTCGGCGGGAGCACGAGGGGCCCCAGCTTCCTTGGAATGGACGTAATCGCCCACTCCCATGTTGAAATTATGAGCAGCTAGAGGCCCAGAGTGAATCGGGGTCTTTTTGAAAGAAACTCATTCAAATAACCAGACTCTTTTTCAAAATTCGTCGAGGAGGTGAAGAATCCATGTTTGTCCGGATGTCCGACGCGAGAGCACCACGTGGTCACGTGCATACCCCATGGTTTCAGCAACTTGACTTGAAGCTTCCATGTTCGAATAAAATCCAGTTGCGAGCAAGAAAAGAGGTAACAAATAACTATCTATCATTCCTATGAGCCCAGCGTGGTGGTTTTATTTGCTTTTTTCTACGGGCCTTGGGTAAATTGAAAGATTGAATGGGGCTAGGATGGATATATTTCTTGAGCGAATGTATACTATTATTCAACCAAAAGGCGAGTGATCATCAATATGCAACTGCTCCAGATTGTACGCAACTCCTCGCTCATGTTTCTTTGCCCTTTCAAAGAAATCATTGGCTTTCTGGATTTCGGTTTCTCTTTTCTCTATTGCGAGCCTTTGTTCACGCCTAGTTTCGAGAGATTCTGAAAGGTCATCTGTATGCATTGCATCCTCATCGTATTCATCGACAGCCCCGGGTGGATTTGCGAGGGAAGATACAAGGAGATCACCAATCCAAAGTGATATCATCCCTCGAAGCTCCAACAGTTCCAGAGAGTCAGAGTATGGAGGCGAGGCGAGCAGCATATCCATTCGCGATGCTATTTTCTGCGCTTGCTGTAGCTCCTGAACTCTCACTGCAGCAACGAGAGCTCTTTTCTTGCCTGTGAGCTCATTTGGTCCAAACCCATCCGAGGATTCCTGATCCGAAAGCTCTTCGGAGGAATCCTCTTCGTTGAGATTGATATTGTGTCTTGCTGCATTGCTTTCTTCCTGAGTGACATACACCCACAGACCGAACATTGCAGAATAGAAGTGTAAAGCGGAAATGGCATGCGGGACACTTTTCGTAAAGGGGTGATTGAGGATCAACCTTTCATAATATTCTTTCGCGTCGGCAAATCCTTTTTTGGTGAAAGGCAAAGACGTTCGATCATCGGTGCTGGGAGGGTCCGAAGACAAACGATGAGATCCGGTTGGCGTCTCTGTTTGACCGCGCCGCAACAGAATCTCGGCACCAATCCCCCACCTGCCTTCATTTCGTACGTCCGCTGGAAACCCCCGAAATTCTTCGCGCATCAGGAGCCCCCATGCTCTCCCTGCTCGGATATAGTCTCTTTGGAGCAAGCAACGGTGTAAGATGGCGGTGAGGGTTGCTAAATGTTGGAGACGAACGTTGTCTTGATGTGACGGAGACCGAGGAGGGTATATGGGTGATGATAACGTGGACAAGTCTCTGAAATGGTGACTTCGCCTCTTCCCTTTGGCGGAACGGCTGTCTTTGGCTGGACCGTGGGGAAAATTCCCACCGGGAAGCTCTTGGTCCAAAGAGAGACCAGCAACTCGGTATTGGTGAGTCTCGTTAGGTGTCAAGATCTGGGAATGCCCAGCAAGATCAGCCTCCGATGTAGCATCTATCGTGCCCGTACCATCTTCATCCTCATCAAGGACCCCGTCAAGCTTCTTCCGTTTACGGCGATCATATTGCGCAACCCGAGTACTCGTCGGCTGCAGCCAGGAAGGCAGTGGCAGAGAAAAAAGGAAGCCGACGGGGCAGGCGCCATATACTAAACAAGTCGCGATTCCCATGCGGGGCGGCGGATTGCGAGCAAAGATTCAAGCAAAGCCGGACGCGGCAACTCAAAGACTTAGGATCGAAGATGACGGAAGACGTGCCGTTGAAAAAGTTGACTAATTGACCGAGCGAATTTAAGTTGGAAGGGCCGAGAACCGCCCTCGGGAACCCAAGCAAAACAGGCAAACAGTCACTTATCGCTATCGCCCGGTCACCTTACATATCTTCCTCTCTCTCCTTACCTCCTATCGACTTGATCCCCTCCCTCATCCCCTCTCGTTTCCGTCTCGTCCGGCTCTGTCGGTATCCTTCATCTCCTTTAGCGTTGCTATCTGTCGTCCTCTGATCACCCTGACCCCCTCTCCTTCCCCGGACTCTCGGCGGGTATATTGGGCACTTCGAGTGTGTGGCCAGTGCCAAAGGCTTGTCAGATCATTCCAGCCTCCCGGTCGCAGTACCTCGTGTTGGACAGTCCGTTTGTCTCACAAATCTTTTCCATTTATTTCGATCTATCACCGCCACGCCGACCATCCGCAGTGCGTTCATCCAGCGATCCATCGTGGTCCGACTTCCGTATCAATCTTCCAGCCCATCGGAGACATTGTTGTCTCCGTAGCGATCACACGAGCATCGCATCTGATTTGATATCCAGTCGAAATTGATTATCTGTTTCGGCTGCCGAGTTGACAGACTCCAAGATCGGAAACGAAACAAATGCTGATACGATCGCCACCGTCAATTTGGTGATTCATATGGCAGTTGAGGGATTTTAACATCCTCTGTACCCATCCTCCATTGCTGTGACCTGCTACTATGGGACAGTCGGCCTCCACGGCACGAGACCTCACCGACACTGGTTATCAGGATTATCACCCACCTTTCCCTCTAGAGCGTGACCCGACAACAAGGAATGAAGACATGAACGAAAGACATACATCCGAGCACAATGAAGAGGCAAACGTCTCCCCTGGGGTGGATGCGAATTCAAATATCAACAATGATACGGCATTAAGCCAGCTGAGTGAGCTCCCGGAGACTTGGCAACACCCCACACGATCCCCCAGTGGATTTTCACGTCAGATGCGGAGCATTGAGGAAGAGGAAGACTCCGAAATCGACCCTGCTTCGCCCGGGTATCGCTCAGCAGCTATCTCTCGGATGGCCGCACGAAGACAATCTACCATGTCAAGACTAGGGTCTAGAATCCTACCTAATTCGGTCATCCGCGGCCTCCTGAGCAGCCAAGAAGAAACGCCAGCAGAGGGCCATGCCCATAGACATGGATTAGTGTCAAGAACACCTCCAAGGTCCGAGACTGGGCACAGCAGTGGTCGATTCAGTCCCTTCAGTGCCCTTGGTTCAAGAGGTGTCACTCGTCGACGGAACACGAGAGCACCTTACTTCATCCCCCAGCGGGCAGACCGCGACTCATCGGCGATTTCAGATAGTGGGGTGAGCTCGTCTCTACTTGACACCAGTGCCGACCGAATGCCGGATGCCAACCGATTTTCATGGCGCCGGGCTCGTCTGCAGCGAATGCGCCATTCATTGTCAACCCCCATTTCACATATGTTTGGACAGCCTCCATCCGAAATGTCTTCCCCGCATGTAGACCCGTCACATATCGAACCAGGCCCACCCTTCCATGACCCTTCACCGAGTGCTATGGACACTCGACTCGACTTTGGCGAGCCATTGCATGAATTGGATTCGGTGGAATCTGGCGTTCAACCGGACGGGCCGCTTTCCGGTAACCAGCCAAATCCTGGGTTGATGGGCATGCGGCGGTTGCCAGGCCTGATCAGAGCTCGATCCGCTCGAACTTTGCGACGAGACGAACAGACTCCTCTTTCTCGAGTGCTTCAACTTGCCGCTGCTGCAATTGCTGCTCAACTCTCCGGTGCCGCAGGGCCTGCGCTGCCAAATATTCAAGCTTTAGGAAACGAGGGTTTGGATGGCTCACTGGAGAACTTTATCCAAAGCCTGCAGCATGCAACATCTACACAGCCTCCACCCCCTACTTCTGGGGAAGGGCCCAGCAATGCTGGGAGTGACGGTCCGACAGCTCCAGTGAACTTCCTGCGCGTTTTCCGATTTGCCAACTCAGATTCCCCTCTTGGCCCCGGTCCTCTTGGCCGAACCGCGACCGGTCCCGAGGCCCAAGGGTCCCAGACTGATGGAATGTCTATTGACGAAACTTCCGAAGGAAGCGAAGGTCGGATGGTCACGTTGGTTGTTGTGGGCGTACGGTCGGTGCCCTCAGGTAATGGAGGAAATAATGAGCAGGCCCCCCCAGTTCCAGGAGGCCCTGGCTTGGACGCTCTCCTGGGACTGCCTTTTCTTCCACAAAATGCCATTCCGCGCCCTCAGGAAACAGGAAGCGATTTTGTTCAGCGACCAGATGCACGATCAAGACTGCATGCCCCACGCCTGCCTGGACATCTCGGACTCCAAGCATCTGGGGCTCCAGAGCTCCTTCGTCAACCAGCTGCACGCCCATCCCGCAGAATGTCTGATGCCGGGCCGCTGCCTACCTATCAATCTTTCCTCCCACTGCTCTCTCCGAGAGCCCCCCGGGACCCCATCCTCCACCTTCGACCCCCGCCGAGCCAGGGCTGTCCGCCGTCTCATCGGGTACCTCGACTCCGAGCCGTCGACCATCTTCTGCATCGGCCATGTCACCAAATGTCTTGCCGCAGTTGAATGAAGGTCAATCCTTACAGTCGACCCTCGAGACGTCGGAGGATTCCGCTCCACCCAATGCTGCCCGACAGCGACGACGAAGCGATTCTGAGTTCGCTCGCCATCGTGCCCTTGGCTCTGGATCGGTTCGCCGCAACGGAGTAGTCGAGCCTGACCAACCTCCTCCCAGTGGCGGTCGAAGTTGGTTGATTTATGTTGTCGGAACCAATCTTTCGGAGAACCACCCAGCTCTTACGACGCCCAGCCTCTTCACTGATGTACGTATTTTATTTCGCACTTTTTATCTCCTGAATCCTTGGTGCTAACTGCATATCCCAGAACCCCACTTATGAAGACATGATTCTGCTGTCGTCGCTGCTGGGACCAGCCAAACCTCCCGTTGCTAGCCAGGATGATGTCAATTCTGCAGGCGGTTTGTTCCGACTCGTCGAGTACTCTGGCTCGTTGGTTGCAGAAGCTGTTGATGGCACAGGCGCTATCCAAATCTCGGATGGAGAGCGTTGTCTGATCTGTTTAAGTGATTATGAAGTAGCCGAGGAGGTTCGGGAACTGGCTAAATGCAAGCATGTTTTCCATAAGGATTGCATTGACCAGGTATGTACCCATTCCAACTCTTACACCCCGCTTCTGATAATGCTAACGTGACTTGGTAGTGGTTGACAACTGGCCGGAATTCATGTCCTCTTTGTCGAGGACAGGGTGTTAAAGAAACTTCTAACAATGATGGCTCGGCGCCTGAGCCGGCTCCCGTCCCTGAAGGCATGGCTATTTAAGCCAACCTTTCCTTCTCCCTACACATATTCCACATCTCTCTTTCCCATTCTGAACAAACCCCCTTATGGCTTTTAGACGCCACAACTCTTCTCATCGAATTTTAGCATTCAGCGTCTGTTTAGAAGTTTTTACGAATTTTTATCATGGATATCCCCACGGCATTCTGCGTCATTTCTTCGGCGCTCTCTACTTTGTTTTGTGAGGTTGGTCACTAGCTCCTTTCCTTGGAGGGCGGCTAGTTTGACCGTCTTTCGGTCACTTATTCCCTGATTCTTGTTTCTTTTTTTATTGGCTTCACAAATATCGATCTTGGGTTGGTCTGGTGTCATTTTACATGGTGACTTTGGACTTTGTCTTAGGGGGACGTAAGTTATCAGTTTGAGACGACAATAAATGGCTCTTCTTCCTATACCTCCCTCCCCTCCCCAACAAACTTTCAAGAACTTCAGACTTGGAAGATAGACCTATGAATACCGCCCTGAACTATCCTCCACGTGAGTCCATATACTGTTCGAGTCTTCTATGTCAAATCTACTTTGGCAAGTATGTGCGCATACTTCGCTACCCCACTCACCCCTCATCACGTGAGAGAAATTTTGACGGGAATGGACCTCGACATCATTGATCGTGGAATGCTATTCTCCTCTATGTGAATGTACGAGATTTTAGCTTAATTATTTACCAACCCCCGCAATTGAGCTCTATCTCACCTCAAACAACGCGTTCGGCTCCAGAAGTCCCAACATTCTCTAAGGCACCCAGCTGAGATCTCAAAGGACTGCCCGCCGACCCAACCGATCTCCCGATAAAAAGCAATACCCCTCTCCCCACGAGAAGCTAGAGACCTCTACACGCACACACCATGACCACTCCCATCCGCACGACAGTCCTTATTTCGGGCAACGGCTCGAACCTGCAGGCTGTGATCGACAAAATCGCCGCAGGCCAGCTGAACGCCAAGCTCATCCGTGTGCTCTCCAATCGCAAAGACGCCTTTGGCCTCGAGCGCGCGCGGAAAGCCGATATTCCCACGCAATACCACAACCTTGTCAAGTACAAGAAGCAGCACCCGGCCACGCCGGAAGGCGTTCAGGCCGCGCGCGAGGAGTACGATGCCGAGCTGGCGCGTCTGATCCTCGCCGACCAGCCCGAGCTTGTTGTGTGTCTCGGCTTCATGCATATCCTGTCGCCACAATTCTTGGAGCCATTGGAGGCAGCCAAGGTGCGCATCATCAACTTGCACCCCGCGCTGCCGGGGGCCTTTAATGGAGTGGTAAGTGGATGTCTTTTTTATCCCTTCTTATTGGCGTCTGTCAAAGACGTTTGGTACATGGATCCCCTGGTGAATCTCGGTTTACTAATCCATTCTTTCCCTTTCTCACTTTAGAGCGCGATTGAGCGAGCTCATGCGGCTTGGATGGAGGGCAAGATCGATAAGACGGGCGTTATGATTCACGATGTGATCTCGGAGGTGGACATGGGCAATCCGATCCTCGTGAAGGAGATTCCTTTCCAAAAGGGCCGGGACGAGGACTTGGAAGGGTTCGAGAAGCGTGTACATGAGACGGAGTGGGGTACCGTCATCGAGGGCGTGGGCCTCGTACTCGAAGAGCTGGCAGCCAAGAAGCAATGATTTGGAGAACATACTGAGATGCCTTCCGGCTGGAGATAGGGGGCAAGGGCGCCGTTTGGTTTCGTTATCCCGGCTAACGTGCCGCTGACGACGCTGAACATGAGACCGTTGACGATTTTATGACTATAAATATCATGTATGATTCTAGAAAGACCGAATTCCCACCATTGTTTACGAATACGGGACCAACCAGAAAAGCTTGTCTAAAATGGATAGCGAGATACTCCATACACTATTTCCATAGCGCAGGGACTATATGCTATTGCTAGGAGCTCGGGCCACACCACAAGATCGAGGACCAGGCCAACGCGCGCGGCCGAGGCCGGAGAGGCCAAGACGCATAAAATGTGGGCAAGACGGGGGCATTCACCAGCAGCCAGAGCACCAACAGCACGTATCCACCATGGAGAAACGAAGCCAAAACCGGCACCGGGGCCGAAGGGACTGGAGTCCTGAATTTCCAGAGGGAATTTGCACCGAATAGTTGAGATTATATCCCCGCCAAGCCCAGGATAGAGCGGGACCAAAACGGCTCATGGTGCCGCGCAAACACCAGAGCGCGCGCACATCTGGTCAGGATGAGGGCTAACGGTGGCACACACACGCTAGAACGCTCATTATGATCTGCTGGGGGGCTTGCAGGGATATGAAATTACACCCACCTCACCGGTCGAGGTTTCGTCACATGCGCAGAATGGCAACAGCATCCACTAGCCTGGGCCCGCGACTCGCACAAGTCCGAGGCAATCATCCAGAGCCACGCGACAATGCGTTGAAGCCTGGCCTGAATGAGACAGCAGGGAGTGACCTGGCAACAGAGTAGACTGGGCAAGACAACGAACAGGACAATCCCTTTCCAACTGCCGCCCCCAATGCTAGGCCGGCTGTTGCTGAGGTGGGCAATGCAGTGCAACCCCGATCCTGATCAGCAATCAGAGACCCTCCCCGCCTCTTCTTGGGACTACCACATTTGAGCGTATCGTGGCGGCCCCCGGCGCCAACGGAAAGACGACAGATCCCAAGGACGATGGCCCGCTATACCGTGTCGGGGCAGCGTTTCTGGGCCAGGCAGATGGATACGATCAATTGAGGCCTAGTAGGAGCTAGTGGCGGAATAGATGGATGTGGTCCCGGTGGGTTTTTGGTGCGGTGCCGGGTTCTACAGCATGTATGCACCGGTCCTGGAGGGACCACATTCCAAACGGCCGGCGTCAACTCAATTCGAGGCTGGTCAGGCAGTCATATCCGACGCTAACCCTGGGTGATCGGCCGATCCATATGGCCCTCGATAGCTTTGTTGAGCTGGGTCGGAACATGAAATTTCCCCGGGTGCGTGGTGTTTGGATCGTCACTGTGGGCTTTTGCGGATATAGCAGCCCGTTCATGCCGGGCCGGTTGAGCCTCATGGTCAAAATCGCATGTTGTTAGGTAGTAACGGAGCCTGCCTCACATAGGAGATAATTTCCCTTTAAAGAAACCCACAGAGTCTTGTTGTGAATCACAATCTAGGAAGGTATGATCAATGTATCGAAGTGTATTGGCGAGGTTCGGCGAAGCTGACCGAGTGGATTGGTCACTTGATCACGGCCTGCATCGCCCCTTTTCCAAGACATTCCCGTCATATTCGTACGACGTAGGTATCAAAGAGAGCCTTAGGAGACCTACTGAATCAATAATCACTTTGATGTATTCCTAAGAAGAACGGGGGTCATCTAAATACCAGGGACCCCTAGGACGAGGGTATTTTTGATGTTGGCGTATATTCATAAATATTGAGTCAGACCTGGCATTTTCATTCTTCCATAAACAATTGTTTAGGCGTGCCGTAAATACTCACATCAACGTCTCACCTAATCGACTGTAGAGTGAAGAAGAAAGCAGAATGAGCTTATGATCTATGAATAGTAATAATCTCATTATGGTCATGCAGCTACAAAACTATTAGAAGTATGTCGGTTCTCATGTTGCTAGTGATGAGAGGCGGAGGAAACTTCCATCCATGCAGAAGCCATATGTGAATTCTCACATCTACTATGGCCTTCGCTCCGACGTCGGGCCAAGAAATTAGGGTTCATGCATAACAGGACGTTCCTCTTGTCTTAAATGATCCTCGTTCCGGCAGCGAAGTATTAGGATACTATAGCCGACCAGCCTGTGGCTAGTAATCAATTCTTGCAGGCGGCATCACCAATATTAGGAAGAGCACATAGTCATCCTTCTCGCGATGCATTGACATCCTTGAAGGTGCTCAGACGATATGACGGAGCTTTCTCGTAGTGTTTTTCAAGCCCATCGCCACGAGATGCCCAGATAGCTGAGGCGAGAAGCCTTTTTATGGGAAGTACCAACAACACGAGGAGTCGCCCAATAAATTACTATATTTGAAATTTAGTTTTTATCCAAACCGGAGATGCTACACTTTGAATGCAGATAGCCGATGTATACAGACGAGGACTCCAGTTTGCGCTGGTTATTATGGTTGAAACAAGTTTCAGTGCCATGCCATGTAGTCCTAGGGTTTCCATTGGATTTTTAATATCTTACAGAGAACTAGCTAGAGCAGTAAGCATCAAATTGTCCCTTTTGGCTGTTAGGCTCTAACTGGTTGATGTAGGCTCTCATGATATTCATGGGAGACTCCTGGTTGAAATGAATCCAAAAGAGGAGACCAGGTATCCAAGGTGCGACATGATGAGGCGCAGGTCTAGCCATGTCATCCACGGCTTGCACATTGAGTAGCATGCCAGCCTCTGGCTCGTGCGGTGGCTTCAAACAGGTCGGCTTGACCAGGGATGCACCGACGGACAGTCCGTTAATTAGCATGAAACGTTCTGGTCTCTTCTTCCCAGATTTACTCATTGAAATGGATCTTGCATGTAATTATCTCTCTTTTGCCGAGAGTGCCAATCGGACGCCATCAATTTGCTGGTGCTCATTTCCCATCGTTGTAATGTCGCGGACAGCTCGGGTTCCAAGTCAGATTGTGGCCCAGAAGCAAGTATAAAGCTTCGGAACACGCACTTTCCAGGTTTCGTCCTTCGGCCGACGGTCTGTTCTGGCCGCATAATATAATTGAGGCTACTCCATGTGCAAACCAACCCTTCTCCTCTCAAGACCTACTACAATTGGCATAGTGGCACATGGGTGGGTGGGACTTCAACCGGTCTTCCCCAAGGCCTTGGACAAGGCCAGCATTTGGACCATGGGGGAGAGAAGGTGGGTGGGTTAGATCTTGAACGGAGATATTACCCAGTCAGGCTCAGCGGGGTCTTACTAGGCTGAGAAGATATGATCAGCAAAGCATGAAGTGCGGCCAGTCGTGAGTCTAGCGTCGAAGCGTCGGATTCGGAGAGCAGAATGTCCTGGTGAATGGAGGACTCTCTACTCCGTACGGTTTGAGTTCCATAGAAGTAGGGGGCAAAGGCGTAAGAAAAAAAGAGCGGACCATATGGACTCCCTTGGGATCCACCAGGGCTCCACCGTATGTCAAGGAGCACGTCCTCTAGCGTTTAGACCGGCTCACCTTTCACCCACATGGCGAGAAGAGGCCGGAGGGTCGTGCGCGGTACAAGTCCCGGCAGAGGCGGGCTAGACAGTTTAGGGCTTTGGTCGACATTCCCCGTTCCCAGCTAACCTATCTGAGTTAGAGGAGCAGGGTGAAGTTGGAGAAGGATGATGGAGAAGGCTGACAGGGTGTGGAAATGAGAAAAACCATGGCAATTCTGCCAAGGATGGTGATTCGACACCTCCAGGATCTCAGGATGGGCTATGGAGATAGCTCTTCCATTGCATTGGGGTTTGAACTGGAATAGCAAGGCTGACGACACCGCATGGTCCATCCTCGTGTTGGCGCGGAGTATGAACGGAGGATGGACGGAGTACACGTTCCATGCATTGAAGTCGAACGAATCACAGCTATTCCGCCACACGCACTTGCAGTGGTGGGACTCCCCTGGACTGCCATCCCCGTCGACAGCCAGTGATAGAGTCCTGTGCGACCCAGGATCCTGCGTCCGGAACTGGGAGCTGCATTGAGGGCTGGGGCCAATGGAGTCGATCCCAAGAAATTCCAAGGATTCCATTGCCCCATGTTCCCTTCTTTTTTTCCCCTCGCTCTCTTTTTTTCACTTTCTTAGCGCCTATTCGATATGCTCGGCCCACCTCTTGTTCTGCCTGTCAAACCCTCGTCGATCAGGCACACTGCCGATTTCCTTCATTCGTGGCGCAGACAAGTGCCTCCCAGCTGGTCCAATAAGAGCTAGACAAACTTGCTGAACAGCGACCGGGAAAGACGACGTATGAAGAGAGAAAGAGATCTTCGAAGGAGAACGGGGGAAGAAAGGCGAGGGCTGCATGCTTCAAAGAATGTGGTAGCCTTCGAGAGGTGCCGCATGTAAATCCCCTGGAATCATTTCCTTGAGTCCGCAATTCCCTCTATCTAATTCCTTAATTATCTCCATTGTTTGGCTAGTCTCCAGTTTTCACCCCCTCTTTCATGCTTGGTTTTCCGCCCGGTTCCTATCACTAACACCCGGAAGAGCTTGGTGGTCTCTCGTATTCATAGGCAAAAAGGGAATAGAGCTCCTGCCAATTTCCTAGTTCTCCAACCATCCTATACTTCGAACAGTAGGAACGGTAGGAGGGAATAACTACCTGGATGTGTTTCTCTCTCTCTTTCATACTAGGATCATCCCGGAAGATGGGTCGACATGTCACTTGGCCTCCTTTTTTTTTCTTTCCTTCCTGGCCAACCCCCAAAACCCTAATGGCCATCAAAGTCCCCCCAACCCCATTCTGCACTTGGAAGCATAATTCATGAATCATGAATAATCATGGAACCACCCTTTCGAATTCCGTTCCCAAAGCAGTGTTTTCCCTGGGGTTCCACTTCTCTTGAGTCCCAGTCTGCCAGGAATCCACTCAAAGGCCCCTTAGTCACCCGGCTCCACCAGCAAGAACCGATCTCCGTCATGAACAGAACGTTTTCGGCATTTTCTCGATGCGCCGGCGCCTCTCGAGGTTTCAGAATTGCCGATTTGCTGGGTCACCTGTACCCCTAAGAGCCCGAGCTTCTCGACGAGACTGTGATGCTTCTGGCCTTGCTCTCGGCTTCCTAACTTCCCGAAGCTTGCGTTCTCGCCGAGGTCCCCCTCTCTGCTCCCCCTCGGAGGAGTCTGGATGATCCACTCATTTTTTTCGCAGCAAGATTCTCTCTTGGGAAGCGCTCCGCGTGTCTAGGACCCATTGTGTTCCCTCGATGTCGGAGTACCGACATATCTAGGTATAGAGTTTCGTAGTCACTCGTCCGATGCTTTATTATGGGACGAATGTATTTTGGTCCCCATCTGAACGACGTAAAAACAATAGTAATAATAAATAAATAAAAATGGATAAATGGCAAAATGCCGCGAAGCTCAGCCAGGGGGTTGACAAATCCGTCGTACTCTGCAGAAACTTGACGGCATTGGCATCATCATCGCAGAGAGAGAAGACCAGAACTGCGAGCTGACAGATGCCCTGATCAGCGAGATCGCCCGTTTTTACCTTTCGGTGCTGTCCTTTGTGCTTCTTCGATCCTGCATGGAACCGGGGACCAGCTTGGGGCTCGAGCCACCCCCGAGCTCAAGCCCTAATTAAGAGTAGAGGCGCCCATTGAAATGGCAAGGGTGATATCACCTCTCCGGCAGCCTCTGTGGCTTGCGAGTGATCGTCTCCCCCCCTCTCCCCCAATAATAATTACCCATCCACCCGCCCCCCTTTCAAGTTCACCGAGACCCGAGGCTCGTGGAGATCCTCTAAGTCAAAAAGAAGGATAAAAATATATCAAGGATGATCCCCAAAGAAATAGTGGGGAATAAGGGAAAGGGGGCCAGCAGTAGTGCAACATGCTACATCATCACCTGTAATACTACCTAAACCTTGCGGATTTTGCGCAATCCCTTCTTTCGCCCCTCCCTCGAAACCTTGGCTGGCAAGACCTGCAGTCCCGGCTGGAATCTTTGCTGGCTCCGCCCTGTTCCGCCGGAGAAAATCGACCATTGACCCGGATCATCACATCGATAGGAGCCAATATGAGATTTATTGGATTTATTTTCAAAAAAAAAACCCATTTTTAACCCACAAAATTAAATATAAAAGCATAACTACCAGAGTACGTAAGACGCCAAGAGGCGATTCGGATCTAATGCTCCATTTCAGATGAACAGAGATTACCAGGAAGAATGGCGGCATGGAGCTCCTCGATCGGCCCAGAGGCGTTTACAGATGGAGCTGGGCATGAATGCAAACCGGGACATATTCTGCTGAGTTGTCTCTAGTTAGTGTGCCACCACGTTCAGCTGGTTCCTCTGGGGTCAGTTCGAGGCATTCCAGTGGTAGAAGTCTCCGGTCTTCGAACTAACCATTTAGTAGCAACCTAGTCAACTCGTGTTGGATACGGCGATCAGGCTCGCTGCACCAGAGAATGGCCCGACTCCATACCAAAATAGCAGTAGTCTCGAAAGAGGTAGAAATCGCAACCAGAAAACCCAGGAAAGCATTCAGATCCCGAGCACGCAGCAGGTCCCCGACAGTCGTAGAAGGGAAATAAATCAAGCCAGAAAAAGAGCAGAATAAGAGTTCCCGATCTCTCGTGGTGCAGACTGCTGGTTAATCTCCGCACATCCTGGGTCCAATAGTCTGGGTCCAACCTCACCCCACCCCTACACCTTCGTCGGGCCCATCCAACTTTACCCTCCCTTTATCTCCGACCCATTGCTTCGTTCTGATCCATTTACAATGCAAGTTCCCACCGGGGCTTCATGCTGACTTCCATCATCTGCATGGAGCCTGACACAAGGCGGAGTGTGTGCGCCAGAACTAGAGACATTTTCTCCCTTCCCCCCATACTTGGATCCTGCGGGCCCTGAATCTTTGGGATCTCGGGATCTTGAACCACCACCATGGCGCAATCATATCATCAGCCCCAGGCCGCCTTGGCCGGCTTCCTCGACTCAATGCAGCAGGACACCAGTATGTCAGCCTACTCGCTCTTCGGTCCCTCGCAGTATCCTGAGAGCGTGGCCTTTTGGCATGATCCCTCCGCGGCGGCGCCCACAATGGCCATTCCCGCAGCATATCCGTCCAAGCAGCCAACATTACTGCAGCCCCTGCCGGACCAGAAGAAACACAAGCGTACTCGCAGCGGCTGCTTCACCTGTCGTGCACGTCGTATCAAGTGCGACGAGACTCGTCCCGTCTGTGAGCGCTGCCGGAAGGGCAGCCGGGACTGTGTCTATCCGTCTCCGACGGCTTCCTCCAAAGCCAGCGCTCGGGCTGCCGCCAAATCGCGTGGGGCTCGTCCCCAGTCGCAAGGGAGTGACTCCTCCGGTAAGGTTGAGATCGAGGAAGTGAGCCCCCTTGAGCCGATTCTTGATGAAGAAGAGCCCGATAGTGCCGGGGTGGCATCACGGCCAACACCCCCCACGGCCAGGCATGCTGGCCAGTCTCGGCCCGAAATGCATCGTACGCAGAGCGGACAGTCTGTTCGGAAGAGAAGCATTCCCAAGCAGACATCGGAGTCTGGCTCGTTTCAGATGGACCCCAGCAGTTCCCCATCGACTGAGTCATCACGATTTGAGTCGTTGAGTGTGCGGTCGGCAAGTGTTGGTCAGTCAACGCTGGACTTATTAAACAGTAGCCGACTATCCGATGATGTCCGGTTCTATTTGAATTTTTACCAAGAATACATCACACCTGAGCACTTCTTCTTAAGACAGAGCAGCTCCCGTTTTATCCATCACAGTATCATCGAACTCGCCCTGGGTTATAAACCTTTACTTAATGCCCTGGTTGGGTTTTCAGCATATCATCATACTTTGCAGAGTCCCGAAGGAAAGCTCTATACATTCCTCAAATACTATAATAAAGCCTTGGTGCTCTTACGACAGTCCCTTGGCTCAGGAGAGGAACACACCGAAGCAACACTATGCACAGTTCTTGTACTGACGACTTTCGAGGTATCGAAATTTCATACTACCCATCGTTAATGCCAGTTCTTTGGATTTGTCTGACCCTATTCATCAATGCAGGAATATATCGGGGATTGGGCAAACCTTATCGACCACCACCAAGCCGCACATGCCTTGATGTGGGAGCTGCTGACTCCGGAATCTTCCAACGTGGTTGAGTTACACACCAACATCTTTCTATGGTATGCTCGTTTCGATGTAGTTGCGGGGATTCTAGCCGGTACGGAGGCAATCCTTAGTCGCGGTTGGTATATGGCCAAAGAAGAATATGATGCCGAACAAGCCGCCCTCTACCCCGATGATCCAAGCAAGCAACTCGCCCTTGTGGCGTCAATCAATCGCCGCTTTGGACTGGACATGGCATCACTATATGCAAAATTATCGCGTGGAATGATCCCGATAGATCAGTTTGCTGTGCAAAACGAACAACTGGGCCAAACGATAGAGAAGGCAAAGGCTATTCTGAGCCAATTTGATGACTCGGAAGATACTGTCCGTTCCTATCCGAACCAACAACCCTTGACCGACAATGATATCGTGGATCCATACGTACCAGGTGTCCTCCAAATTGGCCCACTGTGGGATGCGAACTACGCGAGGATCGATCTTCTTTCTACCGAGTTAATGTTCAAGTACCAAACTATGCTTTCTTTGAAGCAACCGCTCCTTCAGGACCTGCAGAACTTGGCCTTTGAACAGTGCCGCCTGATGGAGACGATCGAACGATGGCCTAATAAAGGGAATGGTTCTTGCATTGGATTTAAGAACAGCATCGGCATATCCAGCATGTTCCTGCCGAAAGACCTAAAGCACCAGATGTGGTCGCGACGCAAGCTGGCCGTGATGGAACAGAACGGGTAAGTTCGACGTGGCAGTTCTGCAATCCTCTTTTCTTCCAGCCTTCCAATATAAAGCAAGAAACCTGACACTTGTTTTTCCGAATAGGTATATCATTGCCCCTCGATTCCGTGCCGCCCTAATTGCCATCTGGCAGCTGCCCGAACTCCAGCACTGGTGGTTACCCAACGACGAAGGCTATTCTGATACCATCGGTGCGATCCGTAGCATGTCCGAAGAGCGGATGAACCAGCCGAGCGATGACTTCCGCGAGAATGTACGGGACATGAAATCACTCTTTTGGAAATTGACTGTAGACGAAGAGGACGACGAACAGAGCCCTTCGAGCAGCCATAATAGTTTCCAATAGCGAGATTGACTGAAACTAAGCCTACGCCATAATTTCGAACCCTGTCGGTCGGATGGCAATTCCATTCACTCAACCGTTCTCGGTATATTGCTACTCATTTCGACAAGCAACCCACCTCCCTTTTCTTTCTCCTGTGTTCCAGTCACAGCTATCTCAGACGACAGACCATCTCGTTCCGCGTGTCCCCGACTATATACCGAACTATTTTCTATACTTTCCGACCGGATGGCACTGCATGCACACATAAACCGGGTCTCTTCTATGTTCATGAAGAGCTGGCCATGTTCCAATGATGCGTGCTATTTGAACCTGTGCCATCTTCACTCCTTTCCGATATCTCCCATGTTTCCATTATATATTCACCTTGCACTACCCCCTTTTTCTCTACCCCTATTCCCTCCCTAACTTAATCCCTGAACTCGATTGATGCCCCCTCCTATCCCGGCGTTGCTTGCTTCGCAGGGTATTCTTGCAGTTATGACTTGATGTGTACATTTATTATATACCCGATTGCTCAGACATCATCGACACATACACATATCTCATATTACCTATTAATGGCACTCTCCTGGGCTCGTTCTATATGTATACCGAGGGATTCGGCCTCGACATCGATGTTTCTCCTCACTCTGATCTTTATAAAAGGATAGAAGGATATTAAGGAAGTCAAATGGAATGGCGTATAGAGTTGATTGGTCAGACACCAGCACAAAGCCACAATATACTCAAAATTACATAACCCCCTTCTGCAAAATTGATCTTCCAACCTTGCACTAAACAGCCTGCGTCCCAGCCTCCCTCTCGCCAGGACCACACCCAGCTTTCCATGGCACATCTTTAGCAACCACGACTGTTTCCAGTCCGCCAGCCAGTTCGCCCACGGCTCCAACTCCAACCTCGCCGCCGTCTGTAACCTCGCCCCATGGCAGCGCATCGACATCCACGTCCCATCCAAGCAAACACCGCAACACAACCTCCGCGCCAGCCTTGCTCATTACAATGTTCATCTCCTTGCACCGCTCATCGCATACACACTCCACGCATCCCTGCGGCGACACACACGAACAAGCTTCGATCCGGGCCACCGCGCGTCGCAACAATAAACCGATAAACTCAAACGCTTTGCTTGCAATACCGGACCCGCACGCCCCGCCCTTCGCATCATAGAATGTCAGCCGCGCAGGACGCTGGCGCGCCGGCGGCGGCAGCTTCCCATCAATGTTGGCGCCTTCTGCGACGCGGCGCGGGGAGCCAGTTCCTTCTTGGCGACCTTGCACTCGGTGCGGACGTCGCCGGGGGAAGAGATGACAAAGGAAGGGAGAAGTGAGAGGACAGCATGCTCGGCAGCATGGATGGCGGCAGCGATGTTGAGGCAGTGCGAGTCGAGAATGTCGATTGCGCGCGAAGGTACGTTCAGCCACATGCCCTTAGTGAAAAGGTCGATTGGCGGGTTGTCCACGGCGATGGCGTCGAGCACGCGGCCGCGCTTGTCGATCTTGAAGAATCCGTAGACAACGGAGTGGATTTGGACCGCGCCGAAGAAGGCACGGCATGCGGTTGGTTCGGTGCCGACAAGACGCATTGCCTCCGTTTCGATAGGGTCAATGTCTGTGAAGTCACGTTGCATGGTGCTCCAGTCGACGTGGACGCGTTGCACGCGAGCGAAGTGGCGCTCGGGGTTGAGCTCCTTGACAAGGTAATTCTGGCCCTGATGGAGGAAGATGCCGCCCTCATAGATCGTAAAGAAGGCGCGCGACGCCTCGACTTCCTCGAGGACGATGTTGCGGTTGTTTGTAGTGTCGATCACGGCGAAATGGGTGTCTTCAGTGTCGCGGATGGCGACACACCGTGATGGCTGAGGCCGAAAGCGTTCGTGGCAATGGTAGAAGCCGAGACTGTCTTGGTTCAGGCGGGTTGCTGCGAGTGCGAAAAGCTGCTTGCCAAAGTAAATATGGTCCTCGTCGGGGCGAATGGGCATCTCGAAGGCAGCACACTGGACATGACCTTCTAAGATCAGCTCGTTGGCTAGGTCGACCTGCAGCTCGCAGTTAGGGCGAGTGAAGATCTCATCGGGATTCTGCATATAATGTTGATCCGTTGGGTGTCTGTCTCCTACAAGCACAGAAAGAGAGTCCTTATTGCGTCGTCCGGCTCGGCCGCTTTGCTGGCGCAAGTTGGAAATCGAATATGGAAATCCGAGAGTGATCACGGCATCGAGAGATCCGATATCAACACCTAACTCCAAAGCATTGGTCGCAACAATTCCCATGAGCTGTCCTTCAAACATCTCTTTTTCGATCCGGCGTCGATCTTGAGGACTATATCCGCCTCGATATCCCATCACCATCCTGCCAACCTCCATTCTTTCGAGGGCCTGGAACTCATTTCGAACCGCTTGAAGAAGAATCTCACAAAGCTTCCGCACTCGACAGAAGGCAATGACCCTGACACCTCGGAGAATCAATTGACAAAAGAGGCGTGCAGTCTCAGCGACGCTGTCACCGCGTCCAGAGGTTGGATCGACAGGGTCTTTGAAAGGTGTGTTCCAGCAGAGAAATTCCTTACGGCCGGATGGGGACCCATCAAAGTCTACTAAGCTCACATCCTGCACACCAAAAATCGACTTCATGTGCTCCTCCGGGTTTGCAACGGTCGCAGAGCAAGAAATGAATTTAACATGCCGATTTCCTACTGCAGCACAGATTCTGCGGAGTCGCCGCATAACAAATGCCACGTGAGAGCCAAACAAGCCATTGTAAACATGCAGCTCATCAACGACCACAAACTTGAGATTCTTTAAGAAAGTACGCCACGAACTTTCTTGTGGGAGAATGGTGATATGCAGCATGTCCGGGTTGGTGAAGATTATGCGCGCTTCATCACGAATGAGATTTCGACTGCTCATCGGCGTATCTCCATCAAATGTTTCCACTAGGATGTGTTCTAGATCACTCATATATTGAAGCAAGTCCATCATGCTGCGCCTTTGATCTTGAGCCAGGGCTTTGGTGGGAAAAATGTACATGCCTCTGCTATCTGGGTCTTTCTCCAATTCGTGAAGCATTGGAATCTGATAGATGAGAGATTTGCCGGAGCTAGTCGAGGTGGATACAATCACGTTATGCCCATCATATAAGTGATTGATAGCCTCAGCTTGATGGGAGTAGAGCCGTGTAATGCCTCTAGTGTTGTAAAGTGCATTGACAAGATCCTGTGACAGCTGAAAGGTCAAATCGCCGTAGACAGGAGACTGGGCATCAAATACGCGGTGTCCTTCCGGAACAATTTGGGCATGATACCATTCCATTTCTCGGATTTCGGCGATAATTTCCGCAATGGATTTTCGTTCTTTGGGTATTACAGCTGGGGCTTTTGCAGTGGCGGGAGTATTTGTGCCACTTCCAGGGGGCGAAGGTATGAATGCGGCTTTCTCTTGTTCCAAAGTCTCGACTGGGTCTAGATTTTTGTCCTCGCAGCGAACAAGGAATGCGTTAATCGCATCTGTGAACTTGGAGTTTCGCTTTTCAATCAGAGACAGCATCTGTTTCTGACTATAAACTGGCATTTTGAGATCTTCATCCTTCATGCGACGTACTGGTTTGGATGGCTCTCCAGTTTTGGGATTTTGGACTTCTCTCTTGAGGTCCCCATCCACGAATTCGAATAGTAATACGTCTTTGGTGTCGTCGTTGGTACACGCCATGTTTTCCTCGGTGAGAAGGGAATGCCGCCTGTGAAGTCCATAGTCCATCATTTCCCGGTCGTCAACGGCCATGACTTCCAACCTTGCTTCATCCACATACTCGAATCGAACCGCACGCGGAACGAGCACCCGGACTCGTGCTACATCTTCAATTGTAAGCTCCCGACCTTGCCCAAGTTGGGCTTGGACAGACTTCTTGATGTTGTCAAATGTCGTGGCAAAGTGTTTGCGCGTGCAGCAAAAGGTATAGACGAGATTCAGGGCCCGGTGCGTCTGTGATAGGCGCTTGAATTCGTCTGGCCATGGCACGGATGGAGTTTTCTTGTCGTGGGCTTTAGGCCGCGAACTTGATGCCGCCGGTTTCTTTCCCTTCTCTGTCTTTCTTCGTTTTGTTTCTGAAGATTTCGGCACTTTTTGTCCACCAGACGTGCTGTGGAGGGGAACGGTTTCTGGCGAATCGTATGAAGAAAGGGACGACGCGTTCGAGGTAGCAACAGCAGAACTGGAAGCCTGATCGCCTTCCTCATTGGTTTGTTTTCGCTTCAAGGGGTTTGCAGATAGCTCTTGTGGGTACTCTGGCATCTCGGACGCCCATCACGACGTGTTGTAATGCCCAAGCTGGATCAATAGGTGCCAAGCTCTCAAGATCGAAGAACCGCGAGACCGGGAAACAGGAAACACGCGATCACGTGCAAGTGCCCATATTGCCTTTCTCGGCAGGCAGCGAATAGAGTCTCCGTGCGAATAGAAATAATACTATCCTAGCTAACACTCCCAGCAATGCAACCCCCATACTTCATATTGCATTTGCAATACTTCTTTTTCATCTCATTATTTACTCAGCAGTTTCTTTGATGTTGATATGACCAGTCTCCATCACCTCAACATGACGTTTGATCTGCCGATTATCGGCAGTTTCGACCGCCAACGCTTTGATTCGGGGATCTCACCGAACCTTTGGCTGATGTTTGATGACCGGAGAATGTGACTCTCTCTCAATTTGAACTATTGCACCCAACTTTCGCTACCGCCGCTGAGCAACTATTGCCGATCCTGGAGCTTGCCTTCAAGATTGTAATCACTACAACCACGTCTTCAGACGCTACTCCGCCGGGGCGAATCTCGCCCCCGGAAGCTTGCCTATAAATCGGTGTCATTCCCACACCCTCTCTGCAGCTTTGATATCATTCTGTGGCTTAAGCGACATGTCCATATACCTTCAATCTTCGTCTCGACGACTCCTCCGTCTTTCTCAAAGTATCTTCGCAGGGCTTCCTCTTAGCGCTAAACTCATGTCTATCCAAGCAGAGACTCAGCCTACCCACGACTGGAGTGCGGCGCAATACTTGAAATTTGAAGATGAGCGCACTCAGCCATCGCGTGACCTGCTCGCTCGCGTGCCTCTTCAAGCTCCCAAGAACGTGGTCGATCTGGGCTGCGGGCCGGGTAACTCGACCGCCGTTCTAGAGACCCGCTACCCCAACGCCCGCATTACGGGGATGGATTCGTCACCGGCTATGATCCACAGAGCCAGACTAGCACTTCCGCACCTTGATTTCACCGTCGAGGATTTGACGACCTACTCGTCACAGGAGACGGTTGACCTCTTCTTTTCTAATGCCGTCTTCCAATGGCTCGGCAGGAAAGAACGGTTCGGCATCGTCAAGAGATTGATGGATCAACAGCCGTGCGGGAGCGTGTTCGCTTTACAGGTTCCAGACAATCTGACTGAGCCATGCCACGTCTTAATGCGAGAAACTGCCAAAGATGGCCCATGGGCAGCAGCCTTGGCAACTATTGGTCGCGAAACCTTCCAGACTCCTCAGGAAATCTATAATCTGCTCAAGCCCATCTCGTCAAGAGTGGATATTTGGCAGACGAGCTATTACCATTCCCTTGAAAATCACGAAGCTATAATTGAATGGGTGAAAGGTACAGGTCTGAGACCGTACTTGGATCCATTGCAGCCAGGGGAAAAGGAACAGTTCTTGCATGAGTACTTGAAGCGATTGGTAAAGGCTTATCCAAGTACCTTTGACGGGCGAGTCTTACTCAAGTACCCGCGGCTCTTTGTGGTTGCCGTGAAATCTTGATCGAGCTTGATTTATCCGTTGATTATGTATCATTCATATATTTGAAAAGAGCCTCTCAGCCTATATTAGTGCTCATTTTTCCTGTTTCAGGTTCAGAGCTCTATATTATATCATCACCTCAGATTCTTTAATCCATCGGAAATACTCAACATCTGCTTCAAATGCCTAAAATTATCATTACACGGCTAGAACGCACAATATAGTCATTTTATATAAGCAGGAGAATTTTTACTTCAACTAGATGATCAATTTCTGACTGTTGATCCATTGAGAGGACATATCTACATAGTAGATAATGGCTATCAGTCCGGTCCACTGCATATTTGGATCTAGGTAGATAGAGAAGATTTTGGTTTTCCAATAGTTGTTTCTTAACTGACTCGACAACAGAGGATTTGAGTCGTGGTAGACTGCTATCTTCAACGTCCCAATAAATTCGAATTTGTGTCTAGGACTTGGACGTCTCCTTCGCTTTTAATTCTTCCTCTGTAGGCTTTCTAGCCCATACACGGCGACTAAACTTCATCAGCCCATGAATCATTCCAAGAATGTTAATAATGTGTATAATCGCTTACTAGGGTTCATAAGCATGCAATCGCGGATTTTTCATCTCTTGGCGTACTCGAACAAGATACTCATCCACTTCCTCTTTTGTCCATGGCTCCGGTGCCCCATATTTAGTGAGGAGCCACATCGCCCAGCCCTCAAGAGCAGTGTTCCAGTGGGCATATTGGATTCGACCAACCTCTTTCAGAGTTTGATCTTTAGCCCAGGCGCCCAGGGGGACCTTGAAAAACTTCTCGTTAGTATCCACGAACCCAGCTTCCTCGATCGCCTTCCGCATAGTTTCTTGGGTCCTGAGAGATCGTCCGGCTCGTTCAGAGCATGCGATAAACATATCGCCCCATTTTCCCAGAAGGCTATCTTCTGACAAACTGTTATCATCGCTAAAAAGTCGGACATCTAACTCCACTTGCTCAATCCATCCTCCAGGCTTAAGAGCACTAGCGAAAGATCAGAATTCTTGAATCTGAGAGGGGTTTTTTTAATCGAAGAACTCACTCGTAGGCTTGTTTGTAGAGCTTAGCCCATCCCTCGGGAGTCAATGCACCGACCATCAAACGCATATGGATGAGGTCAAAAGGCTCCTTCCATGTCCATTCAGAAACTACATCGTCCACTTCAAGGATGCAGTTTGGGGGCATCCAGGTCGCAGGTGGGGGGAACAAATCAACTCCACGAACGATAGCTATTTTGTGTCAGTCTAGTACCCATATTGTGTTTCATGTATATATATGTGTTACCTGACGGATAGAGATCGGCGACGTCACTAAATATTGTTAAAAATGAAGAACTTTTTGGAACAAACTGCCTCTTGACCTACATAGCCCAACTTCCCTTCCCGGTTCCGATATCTAATATATGCTACATTGCGTTATTAGCAGATACGGCTCAGCAGACAAGGCCGTAATTGTTTACCGTAGGCGAGTCACCAATAGGGGATCGAAATAGGGGATTTGGTTCGTCATTATCGAGAACGAGGTGTAGTATATGACTTAATTTGTCAATGTTTACGATCACAGGCTTACATCTTGGGCGTGATGAAAATATAAAAACGTACCCAATCTCAAAGGCTTCGAACTGCTGCTCATCAGATGGACCCCTGCTTAGGTCAGATTATGTATATGTCGTGATAATACTTTAAACCGACCAATAATCGTCTTTCATTGCTTGATATCTGTGCTTGAGGTCAGTCTTTAAGCAAGCCTCAGCTGTGAGCCCACTGACCTTCGGCCATTTTCCAAGCGGCCTCTTGCTATCGAGGATGCGAGAGAGGTCGTTTCGCTAAAGAAATGGTAAGATGCTAAAGAAGCCATGGATTTAATTTTCGAATACTCACGACTGAAGTTCTTCCGGGTTCGAATTGTCACCAATAGAAAGGGACTCGGGGTCCTAGCGGGAGAAATAAGAATCACTCTGTTCGTTAGAAGAGCAGGCGAGACATACCACAGCAATGTGATCCTCTGGCTCTGCCATAGTCGCAATAATTTGATTCGGCGACCGACTCAGATGGTGAAAAGATGAAGAGCTCTCAAATTCGGAAGACCTGGAAAACTTGGAAAAGAGGGGGTCAGAAAGGTGCGGCCCGGGGCGAGCTCCACTCGTTCAGACCGACATTACAACCTGTCACTCATAATGATGGGATAGAGCAGATGGGTAACATATACGGACTTTACATCTTCCAAGGTGGCAAGTGATGACACTTACTGTTATGATACTGGTATTAGTATCTATCCAATTAGAAATCCCTGTCGTTGAAGGATCCGAATAGCGCTGCGCTAAAGGATTTGCAGTAACCTGATTCGATAGTTATAGGAGGGGCAAAAGCAGAATATTACATCATGTTCAAGTAGATGTTGTAGGCCAAGTACTGACAAATGACGGTCCAGATGGCAATGAGCCAGTTCAAGAGGAAGAGCCCTTGGTGATATCTGAACCTTTAATCTGTCAGGGAAGTAGCCCGAGAGGGAGTTTGTTGGCTGCGGCAGTAAATTTGGTGTGTAGCATTCGAGCAAATATTTTCTCCAAGATATCAAAGAGTCAGGAAGACGGGGTGAAGCATCTCAGGTAGATGTATCAGAGTGTTGACTGTTGACCTGAGTGAGATATTGTCTCCAGGGCTTAGCTACTTTCAATCAATCAAAATCTGAGTGATGCAAGCAGCAAACGCAAACACAAACGCTGCCACAATGATATTGTCAAATCCTCTTTAATCCTCTATAAAACCCATCATGTCCATTCTCCTTTAACAGGAACCTTGCAACTCTCGTCTTCATCCGTCCATCATCTCTACTTACAAAATTGACAGATAAAGCTTCCCATCTTTTTTTCTCTTCACTTATGACCAAGGAAGTGAGCGTCGCCGCTTCTAATGAGGCCTCGTTGGCCCTAGAGAAGACGGCACTAGGCACAGATCTCATAAAACGGCGTCTCAACCAGGTCGCCCAAGTTCGGGCCCGTGGCGTGGGTGATCATATCTCCCTCCCACAGATTGTAGTGTGCGGAGATCAATCAACTGGAAAGAGCTCGGTTTTGGAGGGCATCACTGGAGTGCCATTCCCACGCAAAGATGGTTTGTGTACCAGATTTGCCACGGAGATTATCCTTCGACATGAGCCTGATTCGGAATATTCGATTATCGCCTCTATCATCCCGCATGCCTCTCAAGATGAGGCAGCTGTTGCTAGACTCCAGAATTACACTCGCAGACTGTCTGGATATGAGGAGCTTGCAGACGTCATTGAGGAGGTCTCAAAGGAACTGGGTCTCCTACACGGAAGATGAAAATGCACCCGCTTTTGTAGCAGATATGCTGCGAATTGAAGTCACTGGACCTACGGGTCTTCATCTCACAATTGTTGATCTTCCTGGTTTGATTGAGGGGTCCGAAGATGAACATGCTGTTCAGCTTGTTGGGAATCTTGTCAATAAATATCTCAAAGAATTGCGCACCATCATTCTTGCAGTTCTCCCAGCAGGGAGTGACGTTGAAACCCAGCCAATCATCCGACGCGCAAGATCTTTTGACCGAAATGGGGAGCGAACCGTTGGAATCATCACGAAGCCCGATCTCATCAACCGTGGCACTGAAGATCGAATCGCAGCGTTGATGCAAAATCGGGGTCCAGTCAAGATTGATCTAGACTTTTTTCTCCTTAAAAATCCAAGTCCGGAGCAGCTTGCCAGGGGGATTTCCGCCGAAGAGCGCCATACTGAAGAAGAGGAGTACTTCAAAAGCGCAGAGTGGAAAAATCAGGGCCTGGATCCCAGTCGGATTGGCGCCAGATCCTTGCGTTCCTATTGCGAAAACCTTCTTGAGAGACATCTTGAAAGGGAGTTGCCTAAAGTTCGAGATGAGATCACGAAGTTAGTGCAAGACTTTCGACGCGAGCTTGCATTTCTGGGCGAGGAAAGAAGTACTGCCACGAGTCAGCGGCTATGCCTTGCAAAGCTTAGCTCTGAATTCTATCAAATTGTGCATAATGCAAGTTATGGTCATTACTATGATTATGGTACTCATTTCTTCGATGCTAATTCGAAGAAACGTGCGCACCATCGACTACGTGCTTTGGTTCATGAGCTCAACTCGGATTTCGCAGATTATATGCGGGGGTCGTCTCATAAGCGCCAGATCGAGGGAGATCAGTCTGAAGTTCTCTCTGATGATGATTTTGAGAATCATTTCCATAAACTTCCACCTCCGGTGGAAGTATCCTTGGAGGAATTCAACCAGTGGATCATGACGGTGAGTTGATATATATTTTTGATGAGAAAGTCAGGTTAAATTGATACTCCATGATCAGGGCTATAAAAGCACTCGAGGACTAGAGCTGCCCAGCAGTTATAACCACAATCTGTTGTCCCATCTGTTTCATGAACAAGCTAGTCGCTGGCCGAAAATTGCGGACACCCATGTCCGGCATATTCATTTCCATGTCGCAAATTTTCTGACTGATACGCTCGCCCATGTGGTGAAAGATGAATATCTGCGGTTCCAGCTGCAGAAAAGAATACAAACCTCGTGCAAAACGAACCTACAAGAAGCACTGCACGAGTTGAGCAAAATCTGCGCGGATGAGGAAATGCAGCCCATCACGTACAATCATTACTTCACGGACAATATCCAAACAATGCGACACAATACGACAAAACAGGATATGAAGAAGGTTCTGGACAAATTCATGCCATTGCAAGGTAGCTGGCAAGGGAACTGCACTTCTACGGACATGTAAGGAGGCTTCCAACGCCCTATCCTCATATTACAAGGTAGCGATGAAGACCTTTGTCGACAACGTTTGTCGCCAAGTGGTGGAGCGCCACATTATGCAAAAGCTTCCATTAATTTTTGAACCGACAGCCGTTAGCTGCATGTCAGATGAAGAGCTTGCTCGCATTACCACGGAGCCGGAGCAGAATGTGAGGCGGCGAAAAGAACTCCAGTCTTTGGTTAATGCGCTTGAAAAAAGCCTTGAAGATCTGGAGTATTGATAGACTTGAACCAGGCTGAATTTCTTTACACATTTGCTCATATCACCAAGGAAAAATCAAGCTGCGAAAAGAGCCACAGACTTGGCCAAGGCGCTTGGGAAAAAAAAGCCATGTTCACATTTGCTTGGAATTGGTTCTTCTTTGTGCTTCGTTATTTATTTCAATATGGATTGAATAGTTGAGAAGGCCCGCAACAACAAATGCTTATTATTTTCTATGACTCTCCTTCGGCTGCGTGGTCGAATAACTTATCATGGCTCTTCGATGATGATGATGATGATGGTTATTGGGATTCGATTATCGTTTAGTACCGCATCAAAGTTGACTGTAAGTAAGTACAAAGGGACATTGAAATTAATCGAGACAGATGAGATTCGTAGGCAATCGCTAATAATCAGATACATCGGTCACTCATGGTGACTATGTTAACTCCATATACACCAGACCTGACTCCGCTTCCCAGTGTAATTCTTTGCGACTCCATCCACCAGGTCCTCTATGTTTCATGTTTTCATCTTCTTCACTTTCACTCATCGCTCAGAATATCCCTGATAATTGCATACAGATCTTTCGCAACAGCCTCATTGGGAACCTATGCCAAACGTGGCTTAGCACTCTGATGGTAGAGAGGGGCGTACAGGAAAACTTACACGCAGCAATAGGGGAATCGTGCGACCTTCTTCATTGCTGGCCAGGAAGAGTTGCTTAGTAGTGGGCTCCTGGTCCGCAATATCGCCACATTTCATGCCCTTGAAGATCGGGCTGTTCAGTATAACGCGCATGTTGCCGTCAGCGCGCATGATCATGCGGCCGGTCTGTTTGCCGGTGTCTTTATCCCGAACATTGACTTTGAAGGTGCCCGAGCCACGCTCTTTCCACTCCCCGTTTGAGAAGTGGAACAGCTTACCCTTAGAAGAGAAAGCAGTCTCCTCGCCCTCTTCGCCAGTCTCGACTGTATCATGTCAGCAAGGGTCACAAAAGAATGGAAATATCGGAGTCTAATCCTTACTGGTCTGCTCGTAGAAGCGCTCATCAGTTTTGTCAGCCTCGAAGGTGCTAGTCTCCTCGCCCTCCTCGTCACTCTCCTCCTCCTCTTCGGACTCCTCGGCCCCGATTGCCTTGGGCTTCGACTCTCCGAAGGTCGCAGGGGCATTGGGAGATGCGAAGTTGGTCAGACCGGCGGACTTACCAGGAGCGCCGAATCCACCGCCAACTCCTGCAAACCCGCTTCCCAGAGCGCCGAAGCCTGTGGCGCCCGAGGCTGATCCAAAGACCGAAGTGCCGGTGCCGGACTTGAAAACAGACGAGGTTGAAGAACCGAGTGCACTAAATGGTGAGTTCTCGGAGCCGGCGAAAGAACCGAGAGTTGAGGAGGCGAACGCGGAGGAGGAAGCCGGCTTTTCGTTGGTCGAATTTTCCTGCGCCTTGGAACCTCCAAGTGAAGCAAATGGGGAATTCGTGGATGCGCTTCCAAATGCGCTCTGAGCAAATGCCTAAGATGAAAGTGATTAGAACGTGAGAAATTGAGTGATGCGAATATCAAAGAATATTTGAAATTACCTTGTTGACGTTCGTTTCACGTTCCTGCGAACTATCACGTTGTCGCTTCTTCTCCGGCGAGTCTTCGGTCTTCACGGCGACATCCGTGGACTTCTTAGAAGTTCCATCCTCAAGCTGCTCGCGGCTTCGCTTCTTTGTGAGGGCTTTTGGAGATTCGTCGTTCATCGCGTCGGTCGACCGAGTCTTGGGATCCTGCAAAAACTTGTTGGTATCATTCTTTCCTTCAACAATATGTGAATCCACCGAATCGTTATCCGAAGAAATGGAAATGATCTCAACCTCCGACTCTGAGGTAAGGTCGATGACCTCGGCCTCTAGCTCCGGGGTCAATGTTGGTCGACGTCCAATGACAGGCACAGGCTCAGCCACTGCAGATGTAGGCACGGTGAATTGGGGGCCATCGAAGATTCCCGGGTGAATGAGTTCCTCGAGCTCCCAGGTGACTTCCATGAGAGCGCTTGCCATGCCCTCTAGTTTCTGGGAGATGGCTTGAAGCTTGCGGGCTGTGTCTCTGAACTCTCGGGGAACACCATGCAGGGAGGACTTGTCGGAGGTCGAGTAGAGGGAAGATTTTTCCGAGGCCATGTTCGCAGGGGCAGCCAGTTCGGAATCCTGGTAGGAAGGGAGACTCACGTATGTTTCGTTGTCAATGCTGACGCGCTCTTGCTTCACAGCAACTTCTGGTGTAGTCTCGCGCGATCGCTTGCGTCGGTCGTCTCCGTTCTCGTTGGGGTCTTCGGTGTCGTCGCGGGATTCTTCAAAGGAGCGCTTTCTGCTGCTGCCATTCTCCGTGGCTGAAGGAGCGGTCGAGGTATGGGAGGTGGTTTGCGGGGTGGGGTCGATAGAGGTCTCTTTGAGTTGCTTGCGGACGGGGCGCTCGCCGTCGTCGGAGAGTGGGGATTGGGCACGTCCGGTCACTAAAGCAAAATCAACTCATCAGAAACAAGACATTTCAAGTAGAACAGGATATAGTGATAGGGCTTGTCACATGCAAAGGCGCATGAGACAAATGCGCAACCTGTGAGAAAGAGCAGCCAGTGGTCACTCAACAGAGGCTGCCTACTCGCTGGGCCTGCCTGGTTGTTTTGCTTGGCCGTGAGCACCGCCGTGCGATGTCGGCAGGTGCGCACCTCGTTGGCACCGGACTCACAGGGGGAAATTTGCTCCAGGAAGTGAAGACTTACAGTCAGCTGGGACACTTGGCTCATCCGAGGCGGAGGCCATGGCTCACAGTTCCTCGCAGGCCGAGGACTGATTGAAGAGGTTTGAAGTAGGTACTCTAGCTACCCACAGGTTTGGGGTGACAGGTGAGGATGTGAATGTGAGAGGATATTAGAAGATAAGCAATCACAGGTCAATACCAGAAAGATTCAGACCAGCAGAATCAGAGTCAAGCGTGTGGAACGGCTGAAGGAAGGGAAAGGAAGAAAGGTGAAAGGAGGAAACCGAATATAAAGTGTTGTCCCGGTCACCGCTCCGGGCCCCGCAGTGCCTGGAAGCGCTTGGGTGTCGGCCTCAACAGGCATCGCACACGAACAATTGGAACAGCCAGGAACAGCCTTGATTGTCACTGGGGTGATCGCTGCTGATCAGCACTGAGCTTCGTGCGCCAGACTGAATATCGGGCGTTGTTCGCACCTTCTATGCATAGAGTTCCTGCCTGCCAGGCCATGCAATGTCTAAAGGGAACTAGTTCACACCGCAGCCTGGAGTCAAACAATATACCCCATTTGGTTCATATAATGAGATCTAGGCTGCACCAAAGAACTGTGAACATGGAACCTTATTGATTCCTCCTACACTCTGTTTCAACTAGTCCCTAGGGTAATACTTGGGCAAGACCAAAGCCAGATAACCCAGTCACCCCAACCTGTACATATGAGAGTTTGTAAGACCACTTGCGCTGCCTGCCGTATGCCAATACTCCTATCCTCAAATGTATCTCCCAGACAGACATAAACCACTGAAATTCTCGATACTCATGAATTGCGGAAGTCATTGTAGCAAAGCAGCAGACATGGATATCTTTTAGCTCGCTATAGAGATGAGTTAAGACATAAGGAGCTGATCACCTCAGGCCCACGAAATCAGTATTGAACATTTGCTATGACAAGTCGCTAGACAAAAACAAAGAAAACCTAGTTAGGTATACAAGGGTCAATTGCAATAGAAGGCTGCAAGGTTGGTCCACTGGACTCGCAACCCAACGTAGCAGGCCGAGGCCGATCTTTGGCTCTTCTCATGGAAAAACAAAAAGCCACACAAGCCCTCAACTAATAAAACAGAGGCATCCAATCGCAATATAGAAGACAAAGAGTGGATAAACCGCAATACCAACTCGGTTTCGGAGCACACCCGAGCCGCCCAGGATGCTGACTCCGGCAGCCAGTGACCATGCAACAAGAACAAGGTAGACCGGTATTCTGGCGATGGTTGGCAGGCCCAATGCACTGAGGAGAGCGGCAATGACAAGGGGAAATAGCGTGTAACCGATGATACAGATGGACTGGAAGAAAGAACTAGAGGTTGAGATACAGTAGTCAGCACAGCCCGGTGATATGAGAAGAATCAAAAGGGAAAGATCAACAAAACACACATCTTGCCACCAAGGAGTTTGATTTGAAGAGTAACAGCCGCTTCTCCAAGCCAGACAATACAGAAGACACCGGAGAATACCAGCGACGACTGATCTCCCTTCGCGATGGATAGGAACAAACTCAGGACCAAGCAGAAAATCAACGGGCCCCTAAAAACATCATTAGCTCATGACGTAGTCTTTGATTGACCAGGAAAGAGGACGTAGCATACCAAAGGTCCCAATCACGCAAGCCTTCGCTCATGCCGCCCTGCAAGACCACGTCGGCATCTGGCCAGCGACCCACGATCCCGCGTAGGTTGCGGCCAAATCCAGATGCCTCGCCTCTTTCGGCGGCATCGCCCATACCCCCTCCGCTGCGCTGCATCATGCCTCCCAGCAGATACTTGGGCCACAGCACTTGGCGCATCTTCTCCCAGACCGCGAGCAGATCTCGCGATAAGGTCGCCCAAACGCTCTCGTCGATGGTATTCTGAGTCGCACGGCGGTCTTCACCCGGGATGGAGGAAGTCAGATAGTTGCCATAACCCGACGCTCGGCCACCGCGGGCGCCGGAGTCGGATTCGATGTTGCCTCGTAGAGGGGCTGTATCAGAGGTCTCGTGAAGAGGGTCGTCTGCCTCGATAGCTAGAGGATAGGGTGGCATATAAGCAAACAGCGATCAAGGACAACTAAATGAATATGGGGGCTATGAGAGGATACATACCATCGTCGGCATCAATCAAATCATCGTCCAGGAGAGACTCGTCATCGTGAAAGTCGCCATGAGCATGGCCCGGTTGTACACTAGCCATGTTATGCGATCGAGGTTGTGTGAGAGGGGAGTTTCGAGATTTAGTGCTGGAGCATCGCTTCCTTGCAAGGGCGTCGAGAGAACAAGCTCAGAGGAGCAGGGCAATTACTGTTGGTGGTGAAGCTGTCCCGGAAAGGCTAGAGTGGCATCTGGGCACGTTACGTCGCCCGCGGCGTTGGTCCTTGCGCGTCTTACCTAAACATCCTCAGGCACGGCGGCACTGCTAGTTTGAAGTGAACTAACTACTTCACTACTCGCAAATGGTGATGACATCTCTATTTCCCACGCTAATCCAACATGCAATAATATTAGAAATTATGCTAGATCTTGGTAATTTGAGAGTTTGAACTAGGAAGTTTACGGAAAATCAAATTAATTGCCTTCAAGCCCTGACTGTTCATTCGGATTAGGTGCATAGATATGCAACCATGCAGGAGGCCAATGTGATGAGGGTTGCTGTTTTAGAATTCTCCTTGTCAGGACTAAATCTGACAATAGCATGGGACGATCTTATGTTCTATACTCATATTTTATTGCTCACCAGCTTCTTTATGAAGGGGGAATCGGGCATTATTCGTAGCCCATCAATCCCATTGATGAAAGGATAGTAAGAAGCCCGTCCATGGTGAGGCATGTCTGGCCAAGGAGTATAATTGATGCGATGTAGCCGGGGGGCGAGTATGTGTCGATATTACAGCATTCTAAGATACTGTACATGAGATAACGAGCTGTCCCACAATCTCTTATCACTGCATCGGCTTGGATCAGGTATATTCACTACATGGGTCGAATTCGGTTTGAATTTTTTTTCTTAAGACCTCGATTGGTAGACAAGTCATCATGATAGGATATTTTTCAGAAGCAAGAAGAATCGAGAGAGATGGGAGGCAAAATTCCGATGTGGTGAAATCGACTTGAAGGGCAAGAGGACTAGAACATTACTTAGGCTCGTGATCGCAATGTCCACATCCTTTCCTTTTTTTGCTTCCCTTCGATATGCTTCGCTTATATTTTAGCTTCGGAGGAACAACGTAGCGGTCAGTTTGAGCCCTCTGTGTCCCAAATAGCCGTTTGCTTTTTTTTTTTTCTTCTTTTCATATAATTTTGGCACGAGAGTACAATTTTTCAGCTAGAGTCTTGTCGCATAGAAATTTTTTGGTGTCAATGACAAATAACATAGACCATAAATTGGAATTTCATTACATACTTCTTTCATTGGAAACGTATGGTTCTTCTTGGTAGACGTCGTAGTTGTACCGACTTCCTGGATGGTCATCCCGGAGTTCCTTCTGGCCCTTCCCAAAGATCTTCTCGCGCGCCGTAAGAGGCTCCTCCGACTCAGACGGAAGCTCTGGATACAGGCCGCGCTTCCTCAGTTCCGGAATAACCAAGTCAATGAGATCCTCAAAAGTGCCCGGGGTGGTCACATAGCCGATATTGAAGCCATCGAGGTCTGCCTCTCGGATCCAACGCTCCATCTCATCGGCCACAGTCGTTGGGCTCCCAATTGCAACCGGACCCAGTCCGCCAATAGCAGCTTTCTCAGCGACTATCCGAGGCGTCCAGCGCGGTACGTCCTTGCTGGTCTTGAGCAGGGAATCCAGGAGACTGGTTATCCTTCCTGCCTCCAGAGAATCAGCGGCAGTGATCTCCTGGTCCAATGGAATCTTCGAGATATCAATGCCTGTCCAGCCACTGAAAAGCACCAACCCGCCAATGACAGATGCGTATTTCTTCAATTCTGCATATTTCTCCCACGCCTCTTCATCCGTTCGCCCCACAATTGGTGTGAATGTCCCAAAGAACTTGATCGACTGCGGATCGCGGCCATTTTCCGCTGCTAGTTTGCGAATATTCTGGATTTTGGGCAGCAGCACTTCCGGGGAGTGTGAAGAGACAAAGATGGCCTCCGCATGGGTTGAAGCAAACGCAGACCCAGCGGGCGATGTACCCGCTTGGAAAAGGAATGGGGTCCGTTGGGGTGAAGGGTCAACGATATGACGCGTGCTGAGGGAGTAAAACTTCCCCTGGTGGTTGATTTCACGAACTTTATCCGGATTCACATACGAGTCGTTTGCTGGGTCGGGAAAGAGGGCGTCTGGTGCCCAGGAACCATTCCATAGCCTGTAAGCAGAGACTTTGATTAGCTTTTACTTCTATCCTTTTCCTTTGCACTTTGATATTGAACAGCATTTTCACATACTTATAGAGCACTCGCAGGAACTCATCTGCCTGTGCATACCGTTCATCATGCTCAATGGGGCTGTCGAGTCCAATCGCCTTGAACGCGGCCTTCTTGTAGGAGGTCACGATGTTCCATCCGATACGCCCGTTTGTCAGGTGGTCTAGAGTAGAAAACCGTTTGGCCAGCAAAAATGGCTGTTCAAAGGAAGTCGATGCTGTGATGCCGAACGCAAGGTTCTTAGTGACAGCAGCCATGGCCGAGATAGGCTTTCGAGGATATATTAGCCATTGACGTGCTGTGCTCTCCTGGTACTTTCTGATACCCAGCACTTACAATAGACGGGTCGGTCACCGGCCACTGCGCAGCTCGGCGAATGCATTCATCTAGCTTTCCTTCGTATGTATCATGGCCACCAGTGGTATCTGCCAGAAACAATGCATTTATACCCCCTCTTTCGAGGAGCTTTGCCAGCTCAACCCAGTACTCGAGCTTGCGTTTTGTCGCTGATTTGTCTTTTGGATTCTATACGGGTCAATAATTTGTCTTCGTCTTGAAGAGGAGAAGAAAATTACCTTCCACTGCCCCGGAGACAAATGTCCAACTGTCGACATATCGAATGCATTCAGCAAAATGTGCTTCTTGCCATGAGCATTGGCATTGGCATTGGAGACACCATCCTGGCCATCCGTTTCATTGGCGTCACCCATGACTTTAGAAGTATAAGGTGATAATATGACTCAATTGCTTCTTGCTAGCTGGATTTCGAAGGCCATATCCATATATACCGACCTGAAAAAATAGAGACAAGATCCGAGCCCCGCACTTCACGGCCCTGTCACCAACACTCTTTTGCCCATTCGGAGAGTTTCTCACGCCATACGATCCAACCAAGACTCGGGAAACCCCCGAGCGCATGGAGAAAATGTCCGGAGCACCAACTTCTCTTGTGGAAGGGGCCCAGGGTGTCTTGGAGAGGACACATTCGCAATCTTCTCCACAGCAGGCGCAACTACCCCCTCACTACGCCCATCAGTACTTCTCGGATTCTCCCATTCTTGGCACTGAAATCCCGGGTCTCACCAAATTTCATTCTCCGGTGCTTTGGGGGCATCGGAGGACGAATGATGAGAGGCTGGAGAGCTTGTCATCGGGGTTGCGATGGCGTGACTGCCACCCATTAGGTGCCCAGCACCATTTGAACAATACTATGAAACAATTCTCTGTAATCCGCAATTTCAACGATGCAAAGCGATAATCAACCAGTTAATGATTTTGTGAAGGGCGACAAATTGAGAGCTTCTCATTTGTAGGTCGTCCATCGAAACATTCACGATAAAGTGCAAAGCCCCAAGAGAACAGCATAAACCTGAACCGGCAATTTAAACAAAGTACACACCGTGCTTATTTCGTCTAATGGCATAATGGCTTTCAATATCTTTTGTAGTGTTCTTTTTCAGATAAAGCAACAAACGAACAAACAGACACTCTATTCCTTTCTAGTAACCCTACTCTCATGAACCCCAGACTCGAGGTTGCTCGAATCATACACACTCTCCGTGCTAGAGAGACTACTATTCCTGGCCCTCTCTCTTCTATGAACTGTTAAGTTCTGTGCCAAAAACATGTTTATAGGGGAATGAACGTACTCTTTCCGAGAAATGAAGAATTGAACCACATGCGCAAGCGCAATCAAGCATATCGCATTACCAAGAACGAAAGAGTAGCCTTTCGTGAAGCGTGGCCCTTCAACCGTCTTAAATACCAGCAACGGCGTCCACGCCGTCGTGGACTGTGCAATCATATTAACCGTGACTAGTGTCAAGGCCCTCTCAACCGGTGAGGCCCGTAACTGGCTATTAATCCAGCCATAGAGAACGCTTGACATAGCGACCGCGGAATATGTGGTGAAGAAGGCAAACCACAGTGCAGACTCGGGAACATCCCAGATGACAAGGATCGTGACGCCAATGATGTTCCATACATGTGCGGCCGTGATAGCCCATGCCGGGCCGAGGAGCAAGTCGGAGGCGAAGCACACGAAAAGTGTGTAGAAGATTCCGAGGCCGGGTGAGATGGATGCAAGCTCGTTCAGGCGGCTGGTCGAGTACCGTTCCAGGCTCTTCAGCCAGAGCAGGTATCCACCAGCACTCGTGTTAGTACTTCCGTTCCAGAAGAAGATATTGAGCCAGAGCAAGGCCCAGAACCTCCAGTTGCGACCAACCTTGAGCATGGTGCGCCATGTAACTGGATCCTCTTTGACACTATGTTCGGCCCGCTCGAGACGCGTCTTTGCGAGCTGAACATCTTTGTCCTTGAGAATGAATCTGTTCGGCTTATCTGGCGTTCCTGGCAGAATGAAGTAGCCAAGGATGGCAATTGGTATAGTGATGATGGCGCAGATAATATACATCCATCTCCAGCCAGCTAGACCATTGACTCCATCTAACCGGCTAGATGCTCCAGCTTGGATGAGGCTTGCTGTTAATGTGCCTAGGGTGAGACCGACATAGAAGCATCCCCCACGACGAGCGATTTCATCGCTGCGATACCAAGAGCCTTGTACACTGATCAGTATGAGTTACCATTTTTAAGATCAGATAGACATCTACCGAAGATATAGTGCATTCCAGGATAGTAGGCGGCCTGCAGCTTAAATTAGCAATCTGATCTTTGTCAAATGCAGTCCTGCACCGGCCTAGATTACCTCAAACCAACCGACTAAGAACCTATAGGCAGCCAATTCAGCATAAGATGTAGCTCGGTACTGCACCAATGTGAAGATGCCCCACGCGACATCCATGAACGGAATGATCCAGGACATAGGAAGCTTCGTGAACAGGTACGCAAAGGGGAGCTGGCCTATAACGGCACCAATGGTATACATTGTCTGTAGCTGAACCAGCTCATTGCCATGAAGACCCAAGTCTTCTTTGAGTCCGGACACATAGGCATTATCTGCCGGGAACTGGTTAATTCTCCGCTAAGTGAATAGACATGGAGCCTGCTCACTTAGATTCGCCTGATCAATGTACTTGGTCCAGTACGCTAAAAATGCGTACGGGACAATCAGCAAGTCCAGCTTGAGAATGAGCCTTCTCTCCTCCTTCGTATCTTGATCTGCAAACCATTGCAGATGGTACCATTTTCGACGTTTCTGGGGTACTGTCATTGTCAGATTCCAGCTCTTGTCTGTTTGAATATTTAGAAAGGAGACCAAAAAAACTCTTGATGGAATCTGTTATCTAATGTTTACTGGGCTGAAGCTTTAGGTACATATTTCAACACTGTTTGCCCAACATGCTGCAAGTTGTCACTGCGGGTGGCTATTGCGTGACTGCAGGAAAAAACGAAGGCAGAGAGGTCCTTGGCTTAGTACCGAAAGGCAATCAATGCGCCCTCTTTAAACCCTCAAATGCGGCATCTACAAAGATAGGAGCTAGCATTGGCATTCTTTAGTGTCCAAGATGCATATTCCACAGCAAGTGTCAGAAAGTGGAGCGAAGACGTGCTTTGGTTTAGCTTCGAACAGCCACGAGCTTGAATTCTCGTAAAGAACATAGAGAAACGAATACAAGTATTGTAATATGTGACAATATTGAGTGAAATTTGGTCCAATATATCCATCCCCATGATAAGTACAAATGCAAGATAATAGATGCAGCTGGAAAACGCCGTTTGAACCAAATGCCTAATGTACAGTGTATTATACAGTTGTAGGGGCGACGTGAAAGACAAAGAAAGCCATGTGCTCAAATGAAGAATCCCCGTAAGAAATTATTTTTCGGGCTCACCGCGTAATGGAGTATCAGCCCGGGGCTCTCGCTTGGCTTCATTCTTCTCGGAGGATTCATGGGCCTCCTCCTCAAACTCTAGCGCTCGCTCTCTGAATGCGTTCCGTTGCGCGACCGTTGGGTGAATGGTCATTTTGGAGAACTTTTCAAACACATCTCTGTCGCAATACTTCTTCAGCATCGGCAAGTCGGATTTGAGAAGCTTTCGGTTTTCCTTAGAGATGAATGTCTCGTAAGGGGCGTTCAAAGTCTCGTCGACCAAACTACGGACACGAGTCATTAATTTGACGGCCCCTAAGCCGAAAATTACATTGGCGCCTCCGTGAGTTGCAACATTCCAGCGGGTCTTGGGAGCAGGCTTGCCCTGGTCCATTGCCTCGTGGAGCTGTGCGATGTGAGGACGAAGCGCCATGAGAGCCTTCAGGCGGAGCTCGGCCTGGAGCTTTTTTCCCTGAGTGGACAATTGACTTGGGGTTTTATCTTTCTCTCCCGACAACCCTCTCAAGTGTAGAAGGGTGTGAGGGCTGTCAGAGAGGGCCTGAATCAATTCCAGATATCCATCGAGGACTCGTGGATCGGGGAGAACCATAGCTTTTTGCATCAGGTTGAGAATTTCGGTGGCATGCAAGAGCACCGATGCATTACGGCGGTCACGACGACAGCTGGCAAGACCCACGTGGAACAATTTCCCACTGGCTTGTCCAGATGGAATGATCACGTCCCGCAAAACGTCAACAGTCCGTTTGCTAGCTCGTGCCAGGCGGAGAAGGCGGAGATACACAACTGCCGCAGCAGCATCAGGTTGGATGCGGTAGTCCCCAGTCTCTGACGTCAGAATATCCCAATAAGCATAACCCGCGGAAGAGCCTTGGGTTATATTGAAACAAGCATCCTCGATCATTGTGAGCTCTTTGTTGCCTGGTTTGAGATAGGATAGATCCTCAGACCCTGGGACAATCTGAGCAAAGAGGACGTCTGAATTCACTTCCTCATCCTCCTCGGCGGTTGGTTCCGGGGCTTCTTCTTTCAAAGGGGTGCTATCCAAACCAACAAATGGAACATCGTCTTCGACACTCGGTCCTGCAACGCCCCCAGCTTCCTGTGCCTGTCTGTGATGCGACATGATCCGAGAACGATATAATTCACGGGGCTGCTGTCCCGAAGAGGGCTTTTTGGCCAAAATGGGAATCCCCATCGTTTGATTGTAAAGGGCAAAGATGTCATAGAAATCCTGATCACGAGTACCATCCAGAAGTAGATTTGCCATGGCGTTCACCACATGATTGTCAATCGGGACCGCATCTTTCGTCCATCTGTAGACAACATCGGCCCATATCCGTTTCGCTTCTTTGACCATCTGAACTTGGCGAGCGGTGATCTTGTCCATTTTGGATGGATCTAAAGCCGATATATCATTGCGGGCGGCGTATTGCAGTGCTGACAAAATAATGGTGTAGGTTCGCATATCCGGTGCACCTGGCCCGTCTTCGGGGAGATCACCAGCAATACGCCACATCATGTTCAAGTTGTTGTGCCGTTGGCAAACGTGCAGCATCGCATTGGTATGAATGATGGTGGGCTCGACCGGAGAATTGGGGGCGAAAAGGGACTTATAGACACTATGCGCAAGGTTGACGGATGTTCGAGATTTTGGGGCGTCGGCGAAGCCTTTCAGCATGATAGTGAAGGTTGCGGCATTGGGTTTTCGATTGCGTTTTTTCATCTATCAAGACGAAAAAATTTCTTGTCAGCAAGACATTCCACATTGGACACCACCTGCTCTATAGATCTGTCGCGACAGAGGCAGACGCAATAGACCAACTCACATCATTAAAGAACTTGAAGGCAGCCTTCGGATGCCCTCGCTGCATGCAATAACTCAGAATATGATTCCAACCGACGCCGGTCTGAAAGCCTTGATTGTGTGCGTATCGGACTAGTGCCGCAGCCTTCGCGGGATCACCACTCTGTAGAATGCGCGCCACCCGGTCGCCTAGAGCACGGGGGTCTTGCAACCACTTCAGCTCCAACTCCAGAACGCCGCGCGGGATACTGCTTCCAGTATCGCCCGACGATGAGGCAATTTCCATCAGCAAAACGCCCTCTTGCTTCTCCTGGGGGCTTTTGGGTCTTTGCTTATGGCCGAATTGGACGTGGTCGTTGGCGTTTTCATCGTGGATGGATGGCGGCGTGGCTTGGGATTCGAGCAAAGATTCTTCGTTTTGGATAGGGGCCTCATCGGGAATCGTATTCGCATTCGAGTAAGGCCTTGAATTGAGCAGGCGATTCTGTACATCACGGGCATAAAATCCTGTGATTCCAGCCAGTCGTCGCGCGGCCAGTTGGCTGCGCAGAGCACTGCTCAAAGCCGACACCGGAAGCTGTAGCGCCATCGCCAGCTGCTCAGTCTGAAATTGAAATGAGTGCAGGTATGCCTTGTCATATGAAAACAAAAATATGAAGAGAAAACAGAGACTTTTGGCAACGATACACCCAATACGCCGCCGTAGACTCGATGGGGTTTTTCTCGAGTCTCGGAGTCGCAAACAATTTCTCGGGGGAGGTTCACTAGCCCCAATCTAGTTAGACCCTCCCCCTTATCGCTCAGGCATCATACTAGTGCCTGAGGCCGCCAACCACATGGCTGCGGCAGCACTAGAGCCCAAAGGAGTTTGGCTGCAGCGGCGGGCCGCTGGAGCGTGATGATTCCCCTCGCATGCTTACAACCCGCACACTAGTTCCCGGGGTCTCAACTGCGGTACGCCCTGGCCGGTTCCGGACCTGCGGCGGACTAGGGTGCTGCACCCTGCACACAAGCCGATGATGGTCGGTATATACACTACACATGCAGCCATGCAAGCCATGCATTAGCCATGAGGCATTGGGGTGATCTCCGTCTTTCCTGTATGTTTCCAGGGTCAACCATGTCCTTCCCAGCTAAATGTGATATAGAAGAGCAAGAGCGCGTGGAGGAAGTTGATTTTGATGCTGTTTTTTCGAGTGCCTTGATCATCTTCTCAAACCAATCGGTTAGAAAGATATCATAGACGCTGGCTTGCAAAGGATGTCCAGCAATACTTTCTTCCGGCCATGTAGGTGGTCTTGATTATGAGCAACATCAGAGATATGAATGCTCTGATTAAAGACAGCTTGAACATATCAAGCAAAAATCGCTTCAACCCCTCGACCCGCGGAGGGGACAAATTAATCGTATGCCTGTGTATCTCCAAAATTGTGCCCGGGCCCCAATCACATCCACCAGCCTAGGGCTCCTATTCCCGCGCTAAAACAAAAAAGAAAATCGGCTTTGGAGGGGGTGGGAGCTACTGGAAATTTTGCTTCTTTTAGCCGAAGCCACACAGCACAGGCCCTGGCGCGCTAGAGGTAATTAATCCTTCTCGAACAGACCAGTCCGGATGGCCTCCGAGTCTTAGCGCGCACCCTGATCTGCAGGGTACACGGCCCACGTGGTGGCCCTCTAACCCTATCCGTGAACAAGTACTTCGTACTCTCCGTATAGGGTCAGTTCGCTGCAGGGATCCCTGGGCACCGCCTAGGAAGGCTGCAGCTGACCTCCTCTGGGACTCGAATTGAAATCGATCATTCTGACTGGACAGAGTCTTGTATATGGTACAAGGTTTACAAACACAATCCACATGCTTAAAAGACAATCATAAGCCAACACACCCCCAAAATTTACATCCTGTGACAAGTAGTTTTCAAAGTCTCTTCCGTGCACAAAAGAGAGAGAAAATGAGCCCGGGAGGGGGGGGGGAGGAACGCTTACTTCCACCTCCCATTCAAGTCCCGGACAACCCTAAAAAAGCCACCCAATGTCAGTGTCTCACCCAAAAACCCCAAAACTAAGCCATGTCCCAAAATTCAACGCTAGCCCGGCGGCCCCGTATCACCCGTCACACACACATGTCGCCGAAACGCCGCGTAGCGCTAAAGACCGCTAGCCGGGCCCGATATGAATCATATAACCTTATTCTCCAAAACGGCGGGTGGGCCCGGGAGTCTGGGCCACGTACTTTCGGAACATGGCTGGTTTGGGAGAGGCGAACCTAGGTACTCCGGGCTTGACTAGACTAGGCAAGGCTCTAGGATCTTAGATCTGGGTGGCGGGAAGTGACATCTGGCGAGGGAGTGAACTCTTCCCAGGAGAGAAGGATGTGTTTTTAGCATCCAATTGTACCAGTTTACCTTTTGAACAGAGTGTAGCTACATAGTTTACGGTAGATTTTGCCTTTGTCGAGATTCAGTCTTACTCTGGACATAGATGTCCACGGGAAAGGGCCAATGGTGGAAATGCATTCCATGAGGACAGCTCAAGTTGAGGGTGGCAAAAGGCGGGTGTATATGTTTAGAAGAGCAACGCACAAAGGACGACCAGGGAGGCCAGTCGGTGAACAGTCCACCAGGAATTATAATGGCCCCCTTCTAAAAAAAAAAAAAAAAAAAAAGAAAAAAATAGAAAAATGCACAATAACAAGCAACCCCGTCAGTACGACCGCAAGAGGGGGTGGAATCAAATGATGCACAAGAATACATTCGCAGGCAACACAACCTGGCACCGTATAATGTACGTTAGGAACAAAAGGAGAGGGGTCGAGAAGAAAAACAGCAGGAAAGACAAAAGACCAACCTGCAGCATAAAACAAGACTTCATACACAGGACAAAAGCGAGGCGTCAAGAGAACAGGCAAGAAAAAACAAGAGCCCACCGGGAGAAAAAGGAAAAGCAGGAACAACCATTTTGGAACAGGAATGCCCACATAGAACCAAAACAAATTGGACAGAGCCTAGCACATAGGCAGAACAGACACATGGCAAAGTAAAGCCCTGATGCAAAAAAAAATCCGCCACCCAACCATTTCCTTGAAAGCCAACAACAACCCCGGCAAACAGGCAACGTGAAGACCGAAAGGGGAGATTGCCCCAAAAAAAGAAGAGAGAGAAAGAATTACCAAGGATTCATTTATTCCTGGCCAAGTTGGGAAAAGCAGGAAACAAAATGTCTCACAGGGTACTCATTTCTCGCTCTGTATCTCCCTTGGTTTCTTCAGCAGAGCTGGATGCACAAGCATCACTCTAATACAATGGGAAGGAGAACAGCGAATCGGAAGAGAGAACAAGGTCGGGGAAGCCACTCTTTGACTGGATAGATTAAAGTCGCGAGAGGTTGGTATCATGATAGGAAAAGACTTGGAACGAGGAGGGGGAGCAGGGATAGATCGGCGAGATCGAATCCAGAATCCGGGATCCGGGGACATGAGTCAGGCAATGGGATATCGTGATTAGAAGCACACGCATGAGAAAGAGAACAACAAAGCAGACAAGAAAGAGCCCATGGTAACGGTACCAGTAGGGAAGGGAGACATGAAGAAACAAGGAGATGCGGGGTCCCGTTCCATGAAGAGCGTAAGACAAATTATAGAGGATTATTGGTAGCTGGTCGATTGTGTCTCTGGAGTAGCCGGAACGAAATCAGCTGACCGGTTTTCCTGGATATTGGGAATGGCGCAGACGCGGGTTGGGTGTGTGAAGACCGCGAGATGGGAAATCAAGAGAAAAGCAAATCCAGTGGGAGGGGTCGACTTGTTGGCAGAATAAAACACGGCAGCATGGCTAGTTTGTTTTTACTCACGTTGCTGGTACACAGGACCGCTCTGGTAAGGAGAGTGAGGGTAATTGGGAGGATAACCCATCTGTCCGTTGCTTTGGTAGACCATGCCACCACCGGGGGCGCCATACTGGCCCGGCACCTGGCCGTCGGCAGGCTGATAGCCGATGGGTGGCAGCTGGGGACGAACACCACCGCCGTATGGGGAGGGGGTGGCCGCCCTGAGAGGGATCGGAGGGGCCACCAGGACCGTCAACCTGGTTAGCCTGGGCCGCCTGGGCCGCAGCGCGCTCACGCTCCTCGACAGCCTTGCGCTGAGCCTCCTCTTCCTTCTTACGGGCTTTCCATTCTTTACGGATTTCCTTGAATTCTAAAGAGAGGTTGGCAATCAGCAGCAGGACAATGATAATAGTGCAGCAGCATCAGCAGAAAGAGATGTGACAGGCAGTGGGTGTTTGTGTAGAATTCCAAGGGCCGAACGGGAAGGGATGGGCAAGCATTTCAAGCAAGCTTAAAAACCTCCACACCATCGGCCACGCTACTGCGGCCCCGCGAAATCTAGTGTAACTCACTAGCGCGTAGCTGCCGGCGCTAACCCAATCCAGCCATTTGCGACCAGAGAAACTTGGGAGCGCGATCGAGCACACGTGGAGAAAGCCACAAACAAGGAGATGCAGAATGATATGCGATTGAGACTCACCTTCCGGAGTACGTTTCGCACCGTGTGACTGCATTGTCACATGTGCATTCAGATGGTTCAGAGTACCATATGCCTTCTCACAACCCTGCCATCCGCACTTGTACATGCGCTCAATTTCCTCATAGCGACGGCGGGGGCGCTTGTGCTGCTGGGCACCAGGGATCGGAACGAAAGAATAGACCTAGAAAGGAGGAAGGAAACATGTCAGCAATCCAATTGCCCTAGGACAATAAAATCTGTTTTTTTTTTCTGCTTTCTTCCACGAGAATTCAAGCAAATCCCAATGGGACAAAAAAAACACGCTGTTTTTGACGATCCCTCGGGGAGCGACTTCCAGTTTGGCATAGAGCGGGGTCGAGCCCAGAGGCGTCCAAGATAAACAGCCTTGTATTTTTTTTTCTTTTTTTGGAAAATTCGCCGGGATCATCAAAAACATACCTGACCAGGGCGCGGCCCTGCGGTTGCAGCAGGGGAGGCAGAACCAACCGTAGTAGCAGCCGGGGAGGCATAAGGGCCTGGCAGGCCATGATGTTGCTGGCCATAGCTATGCGGCCAGTCTGGACGCGCATACATCTGGTGTGGGGGAGGCGGGTGGCCCTGGTACTGCGCCATATCGTGTCCCTGGGGCTGGTAGGGGGGAGTAGGGAGGAGGATAGGTGGGGCTGTTGGCCGGGAGCGAGGGATCTAATGGGACAGCCGGGTCAGACTTGATGGGCGCAGGAAGGGGATCAGAGGGGGAAGCAGGGCCGCCATGCGGGAGAGCGGAGGACGGAGGAGTGGGCATGGAATTGAGCGGGAACGGACTTGTTGCTTGAGCCATACTGGGTGCGCCACCAGGCTGGGAGTTCGGGGCGTAGGAGGGGGGTCGCGAGATGTAGTCCTGGTAGGCCGGGGAGCGGGAAGGCGGAGGGTTCAGACCGTACTCTCCAGGCTGGGGAGTATTGGAGGCCGAGATAGCGGGGCGAACCTCAGGCTGCGGCGTGTACTGAGGATTAGGGCGCACTTCAGGTTGCGGGGTGTGAGAATAGTGAGCACTGGCAGCAGCCGTCTGGTCTGCGGCGGGTTGTTCAGAACGGGTGTCGTGGTGGATGGACGGTGCTGGGTGGTGCGAACCTGGCTGTGCGTACTCGGAGGCGGGCCGGGTGTCCATAAAAATGTTTGGGGTGACGATGCGCGCGCGCAGAGGTCAACCGAGCCTGGGCCGAAGAGGTGGGAGGGAGATTGTTCCAGGGGAGGGGAGGAGAGAAGTTCCTTTTTTTCCGTGTCCGCGTAGGGTTCACCTGCAGACGCGTCGGGGACCCCACAGTCAGCGGGAATTGAGGCGGGAAGGAGGGACAAAGTCGGGGGAGGAGGGAGAAGGAAGTCTCGGCGCGACAAAGGGCCGATGAGGGCAAGGGCAGTGAGGTGGGAGGGGGGATGTGAGGAAGTGCGGTGGGTGAGGTAGTGCAGTGGTGGTGGTGAGGCGGGTGAGGTAACCGTGGAAGGGAATCGGGGAAATTGACTGGGCACGTTGCACGCAAGGGACCAGGCGACTAGGTCGCCACGTTGGAAATCGTGGCTTACCGGGCCTCCGCTAGTGCCTTTTGGGTGACTTGTCGGTTGATTTGGGGGGGAGGGAATTGAGGGAGCAGTGACGGAGAGAGTGATTGGGGAGTGATGAGGAAGTGATCGGGGGGAGAGGAGTAGAGCACATACGTAGAGGACGTTAGGACAAAGATCGACGCGTTGCAAGGTAGTTCGATACAATGCTTAAATCTTAGCTTGGGAGGATGCCTTGCAGGGACAGCACGAGGCACCGGGGCGGAAAAAATAACGGAGAGGGAAAAAATAAGAAAAGGGACGGCGTGGAAAAATGGACGGGGCTTAGTAGACTTAAAGTTAGAGGGCTTTTTAGGAGTCGAGGTTTAGGAGAGGCCGTGGGACTCGTTGCTCGCACGGATCCAGTCCTAAAAGGAAACTTGGACTGTATAAAAAAGAGGGATATGAAATATCCCTAAAAAAGAAGGAAACCCAGATAAAACGGAGAGAAAGTATTATAGGAAAATAAAGATAATTAATAAAAAAAAAAAAGGAAAAAGGAAAAAAGAAATAAGAAAAAGGAAACCGGCAGCCGGGGGGGGGGGGGGAGTATACTGTGTATCATAATTTACAACAGGTAATTAAGAAGGGGAGGGAGTCATGCATGCCCCGAAAAAAGGAGGGGACAGCACGGAGGAATCTATGGATAGGCGATAGGTGGTCCAAGGTCCCAAGGGTTGGGTTGGAACAAGCCGATTAACAGACAAAAAAGCATTTGACAGCAAAAGGGAACAGGGTGGACAGGGCCTGCTCGTGTGGTGGAGACGCGGTGGAGCAGGTAATTTGGTTACCACGAAACCCAGTGCTACTGCTTCTTACATGATGATTACGCAGAACTTGATCCAAGCCGGGAGAAATAGGAAGGTCCCTCCACGTCAACTCCAAAATATTCCCAGTAGGAGTTAGATGAGAATAATCCTGGGTCTCAATGTCATTCTCGGGTAGGGATAGACGTAATTCTGAGGGCTGGTTCGAAGCGGGGGAGCAGGATTGTTACTGGTTTGCTATCGCGGGTCGCAGAGCAGATGCGACCCGAGGGCGGAGAAGAGATCATGGGCATGCAATCGTTTGAGCGAAAAAAAAAATACCAAAGAAACACCCCCCCAAAAAAAACCTAACAAACCCTTCCCCCCCCCCTCCTCGGACATGTTGGCTCCGAGCAGGGCTCCATTCATCGTTGAACAAAGGTCAGAGCCGGTATTATTCTTTTTTCTTTTTTTTTTTCACGAGGATAGTCCGACGATGCTCCTGTCTGTGACCCCTGTGGTACCGCAGTCTCTCACAACATATGAGTTATCGGCAATCAGAATCATTGTCTACTATCTACGAAAATCCACACCCGGAATGACCAGAGTTAATCAACCCACAGTATTGCTTGATGAGGATCATCCAGCCAGATCACCCGGTGAAATCACCGGTAATTTTGAAGTGACAGATGATCTCTGGATTCTCCCGTAAGGAGTACCAAGTACCTTGTTTATGGCGATGGGATATGATTGATGTATGAAGTAATATTACCTACCCTTGTCTCTGCCCTCTTGCTGGCTATGCAAAATGACTTGCTTTGCCCGTCGGACCATTCCCTTTTCTCACCCAATCCTCCGAGCCTCGAACCTGGAATCTGGAAACTGGGGAGATTGGAGACTGGGATTGGCCCCCTTTCCCCTCACCCGGCTAAGTGTTGCCCTTGACCCTGTCCGTGTGATGGGAAATTTTTTTTCTTACCTGGGTAAAAGCGGACCCCAGAGCATCCATATCATGATAATCGAAATAATAATAATAACCGACAATAACAAAAATATTAATGATTATTATGAGGTATTATGTATTTGTTCGGTATGGCTATCAGAAGCAGGATCGGAATCGGAGTCATCTCATCAAATAACTATTATAAATCCGATCAACGGAGGTGGGAAACCCCCCCCCCTCTCCCTCCCCCCTACTCTCAGTGGCGAGAATTGCTCGGTTTGGCGAGGAAGTCGGCCGAGCAATGGGTTCCCATTCGCTGCTACAGTGGTAATTTTTTTTTTTTTTAAAAAAAAAAATAAAAATAAAGAGTATTCATATTTCTGCTTCAAATGAGAAAGCACGAGATCTCAAGGCATGGATAGGGAAGTATAAGTCGTGAACCAACAGACGATGTCAAGATAAGTCGGTTTTAGCCTCCCATCACACTAGTCTACCCGCAACCCGGGCGCGTCTCGTTAGGGACGGTGTGAACCTAGCGTCGTGGGTACCAACCAAGATCGCTGTCAACTTGGGAGGGGAAGTTGGGCCCAGGGGAAAGACGGGAGGACAAGAGGACAAGAGGACGCGAGAGAGAGAGAGAGAGAGGGGAGCGAGTGAGGTGGGTGGGGGCCAGGACCAAACCCAAAGCAAAGGCCAACACAGCAAATGGCGTGCCAGAGGAACCTCCGCGAATCTCAGCGCGCAAGCACTTCTCCCCCCCATCCGCTCCCCACCGAACCCGCCTAACCGCTCTGGAAACGAGCCCCGAAGAGGACTAGTCCGGGCAGGTCGATCCAATCGCGGACTCTGACGAGCAAAACATCGCGCAGTTGACCCAGGAAATCCTCCAAAAAAAACACCGCTAGGACGAAACAGAGACTAGCGCAAGCCGGGGGAAACAGAAGCGATGGACTCGGGAAGACCAGGGCTAGCGTAGACGTGGATGCGACGGGGTGGAGCCGGGACGTGCAGAGTGGAGCGGCTCTCCCGATTGAGGGACTCATCCCGGTTTAGCCCCAAAGCCAGCTGGGCCCCCAGCACCCAAACGGTGGAAAGCCGGGCGGTTGAAGCCGGTCTTGGATTGGGAAGGTTGGACGTGGACTTGGACTCTGTCGTCTGAGGATCACAATCCACCACGATCAATGTGATCGGGAAGTAAAGCACAGTGTAGAAGAGGGAAGAGGGCGTCCTCTGATGCTTGTTGCTACCAATCGACGCTTTTGTTTTTTCTCTACTTTCTCTTCTTGGTAGTGTTCCATCCTACGATCTTATAAAGTATATGAGTGATTTCATCTGCGGTAAGGGCTTCGATAATCAACACCTGCAATTGGAACAGGGAGAGCAACTGTGGTAAATTACATATCAGTACGGAGTACTGAGTACCACGTACGGATCACCAGGCGGGCATGGGGTTTCAGTGGGCTGAGAAGAGGTACTCCATACCTGCGTCCCGAGGTACCGAGTACACCTCGTAGAGGGAGGTGCTCCACGGGTGCCCAGGTGACCGGTACCACCGCTTCCTCCGAAATGCCGCGAGAGCAAGACGCGCCCTCCCAAGAGGAAAAAAAAAACAACTGATAAAAAACAATAATTGACACAAAGATCACATCATATCTACGAATAGGAAACGTCAAACCTCCCGAAAATCATGAGCTATTCACGTCGCTTCGCGGTATGTGCCTGTACTGTAGATCCGGATATAGTTCTCAAAAAAGTACCTCGACCAGACAATGCAACATGGTGCATGGGCCTGTACAGAGTGCATGTACAGAGGTCCGCATAGACAGACGGCGGTACTTTCGTTTCTCTGAAGAATCGGCATCGGTGCTAGTCTAATCCGTCGCACCCGAGGGTACACCAGGACCCAGAATACTTCGTCTCCATGTGCGAATACACGTGCATGTGCTCTCTACTCTGTCTTGCGTTCTTGGAATCCATCCTGGATTCGAACGGGGTCGTTTTCTCGCGTAAACCTGAGTCACGATACCTCAGGAACGCGTCGGTGGAGCACAAAGAGCAACGTCCCCACCGCCCGTGATCGGAGGCTATCTCGGGCCTGACACCTCCAGGGTAATAATATTATGCTTTTCGGGGATTGACCCATCATCATTGGATTGGGGCATCGGTCTCTGTGAACAAGAAGGTGGACATTGGCAAAGGTTCTCCTCTTCTCGTGGCTTCCTCGGGCGGGAAAAGCCGCGAGGGCAAATGTTGCCCCCTATTCTTGCGTCAAACCATCGTGATTCACCCTCTCATACTCCGTATTCTCGTACAGTCAAAGGGGGCCCACTGTCAATATCGACTCCCCAGGTTGAAGTGCTCGTTCCTTTTTGTTGACGGCCCATTTAAAAAGAACATGGGTTCTGTGTTTCTGGTTCTCCCAGTCATACGACAATCCTAATTAATCCTATACTTCCTCCTCCCGAGCTTCTTATTCATCCCCCCATATCACCCTGTATCGTCGCTAATCCTAATCAACCGATGGATACGGGTACGACCTTGGGAAGGCGCCCCGATTTAATTATAGATATTGATAAAGCTTGCCCTCAATGGACTGGTACATGGGTTTCCCTCCTGCTCAAAGGGTAAAAGGGGGTATCACTGACGAGCTCGGGGGCCTGTGGAGCAGTCTGCTGGAGAGCTGGCCCGCGCGCAATTGGCTGGGAATCGCGTTGGACCTCCCGAGAGCCACTGGCGGGCGGAGTTATCGGCGGCTCTCCGGACACTGAGACGACCTTGAACTCCGACCTCGTGGAATGAGACGAATGTGGATCGCCTGTACAGGAGCGGAGGATACACCATGCATCGCATGGGAGGGTCTCTCCACCAGCAGAGAGACCCTCCATCGAGGCAGACGAGGCAGAGAGAACATGTCTGGTTCCTCGCTTGCTCTGATAGGAAGAACGCGGGAAATTATCCGCCTCCAAATGCAGAACTCATGCAAGGCTCCTATCTCGGACAGAGCTCTCCTGTCTCGTCGTGCTCCCGGTGATTGGCCTGTCCCCGGGGTGGGTTGTGGAAAGACTGGATCTTACCCCCGCGTAGGCGGAACCGGGCCCTCCAGTGCCGGTGAATAGAGAAAGCCTGTACGGAGTACGGCAGATTAGGCTGACTGTATAGCAATACGTACCGTAAAAAAAAAAGAGAGAAGCAAAGGGGGGGGAGCGATTGACTACGGAGAGCGCTTGCCGATGTCCACATGCCCTATCTGGTTTTTTTTGCGCTTTTTTGCTTTTTTTCCTTTCCCTCTGAGGTAATGTCGTTTCGCGCAATTCCTGAATCATTGGTTCTCGGGAAACACCGCAAAGGGTCAATGACATACACAGTGATCATAAAAGGCAACGCTGTGTAGAGACGGCCAGCATAGCTCAGCAGCCAGTGCTATCCAGAGAGCTGCTGTTCCTCCTCCAGCTCTTCGTCGGTCGGCAATCTGGGTCCAGGCTCCGCTATCACGTCTACGGCCAGTGGGCCTCCGCGGAGAGCTCCGTGGGCTAGAGAACAGAGGCAGAGGAGTAGGGGCGGGCACGGGCAATACGGGATATCCGGACTCGCAGGCCGCGGGATGATCGATATCAAATTCATATGGCGCCTCGGTCATTGGACGCCGCAGCCGCAGGTCTCCAGTACACGGGATAGCGAGGCCAGACTGGGCCTCTGTAACCTCCGTCGGACGATCACTCCGAAAGCCAGTCCTCCCAACAGAAAACAGACCAGATGTGGACTCCGGCGTCCCCAGTTTTTCATGTCCACGCTGTATTGTCCCACTGACGAGCAGGCCGTCAATCGAATTGCATGCACCGGCGATGCATGCAGTAGACCACTGGAGCGAAAGAGACGCTTGGCATTTGTGTTGCGGCTTTTTCTCCCCTGTGCTTCATGGTTCCTCGTCTGCGTTGGGTATGAACTGTCCTGGCTTTTTGCCTTTGCCTTTGGCCTCTTTGATATGCCCAATCAAGTCACCGCTCCGAGGCGCTTTCCGCGGCTGTGGCTTCCTGCATAGCTTGCATGTATGATCGCAGGGGGGGGGCAGGGAGATATGACCACGATCATCCAAAGCACTCAAGCACCTATTCGCCTCTGGGAGGAGAGAAAGCACGTGTAGATGTCGCGAGATGGACTGGTCGAGGCCGCCAAGGCACGGGTATACTCCGGCGAACGGCCGATCCTAGGGTTTCCCCAGGCCACCCAAAACCTGGTTCGACTACTCCGTACAGAGTCCGTACTAGGCTCCGTAATCCCGCTCCTCCGGCGACGATGATCCCCCAGGGAAGAAAAAGGAAAGGTGACAATGCGAACGGGGCCAAGAGCAACCCCCCCCCCCCCCCCCCTCCCAAGCTGTCAAGAAAGACTGGGTCCTCGGGTATCTCAATCCACCAGCTCGACCACCTTTCTTGCCGAAGTCGCCCATCAGAGCAATAGGATAGTGGCATCGGTGCCCCGTGCTCAGACGCTCAGGGTAGCTCTTCCGTGGCAAGTTTGCTGGGCCCAAATCTCCCTAGGCTCCACTGCGGCCATGGCCAGTGCAGACCCGAGGATGAAAGGGGATGCTACGCCATACCTGGTAAGTCTTACCCGCCCATCCTTCGGCAGATCGAATTAGGTCGCTTCGGGCCCCCCCTCCTCGTAACGACGACGCGGGCATCCTAGGTGATGATCACGGCGAGACCGCGAAAACGAATTGCTCATCGCCCCCCCCCTCTTCCTTCCCGGAGCATGTCCTTGCCGAAGCAATTTTTCTACCGAGCTTGCGACATGCCCTGGTTCTTTGTGTCATCTCCTATTTGCTCCTCTGCTTGGCTGTTTCCTCGGTTCGAGGGGACAAATCGGAGATGTTCAGTGCATCTCCTCGGGGGAAGCGGCTGGCTGTCATCTAGCACCGGTACCAAAAAATAAAATATAAATCAAAATAAAAAACATATAAATAAACATATAAATAAAAATAAAAAGAACAGAGTGAAAAGCAATAGCCAGGACTACTCCATACAGAGACTAGGTCATTTCAGTCAAGGATCCGAATCCCGAGCGAGACAGGGGGTCAGGACAGTCCGGGAGGATTGCAGTAAACCCCAAACACAGCGTCCAATTCGCCCCAAATCGTCAACCTGGAATCACTATCATAGCCTTCCCATATCTGCCAAGATATGCACATCTGGCCCCCGGGACCCAGTATAAACCTTGCGAATGATTTCGCGGGATCAACTCGCTCTTGGTGGAGTTCCGTTGCAACCATGTGAAATCCTATCTCCAATTTCCTGTTTCCACCGTGGCTGCTCATTATACATACAATTGGACCCGGTCTTTTCAGGCCATGGACAAGGAGGAGGCCAAAAAGTACAAGGCGCAGACTCCAAACAAAATTCAACATTGCCCAATCCCTATCCGGGCCAGCCGAGTAGAAGGTTACATTTTCCATGCATATTCTACGGCTGCTCTGTACATTTAAGCGAATGCGGTTAGAAAGAAGGCAAAGAATAAAAAGAAATAAGAGTCCGGCGGCAGGACCAAAAAAAAACCAAAGCCAAAAAACACGCTGGGCGTACATTGCATGACAGGGGGGAACCGTTTGACTACTAGTGCAATCCTGGCGCGCGGGGTCCGCCTAGTGGCCGGCGGAATTGCGGCTTGATGGCGTCCACCAACCCGGTGGAAGCGGTTCGAGAGGCTGGGATCTGGATTCGTACCGCCGGGCACACGGAGGTTGCCTCTTCGATGCCCTAGATGCTTTGCTGGGGAAGATGCAGCACCCGTGCGAGGACCATTGGCAGACTGCAAAATTAATACGTCAATGGCGCCTATGCAGTGGTGGATGGAATGTCTTGGATGGGAACGGAAAACTGTGCTGCACGGTGCTCTCTTCGTGTCTTGGGGGGGGAGGATGGGCGTGGTGGTTGCATAAGGCGGAGAACCTTTGGCTCCAATGCATGCGGGAGATGCATATGCTCGGCACGGAATCCATATCTTGGGCCGCTAAGTTTAGGGGTGAAATTAAGCGGTCCTCATTTTCGAGGACTCTGGTCGGGTCTTTTGCACCGGATTCTTTCGAATCTCTTTCCAGCGGGGGGCAATAATGAAGCGGTCAGTCTATCTAGGTGGATATCTCGAGTTCATGCATAATTGTGTGGAGAAGAGAGAGTCACTGATGCTTGGTATTTATTGAATAGATCGAAATCGACGGCAATCTCACCCGAACCCTATATACCCCAGATTTAAGCACACTAGACACAAACAGCCCTTGTCATTAACGCGCATGTACGGAGTACACCCTACTAAGAAAAGCAACAAGAACATCCACCCCACTACCGTTGCTCTTAGCGTACTCTTGTTTTTTTTTTCAAAGCGTCCTATGTCCTCCGTACTCCGCAAAGGACGCTGTGAAACCAACTAGAAAAAGCCGAATCCGCTAGCATCAGCACAGCCTCCCTGTGGGCCGATCAAGCGTGAAGCTGGACGAATAGATCACGACCTAACATCACAATGGTAGAAGATCGGACCACTAGGCCCTGTATGGATCTCGTATGGCTCAGGTGAAGTGACAGGTTGTGAGATCAAGCGTTTGAGATCGCTAAGGTCAAAAGCTTAGGGCTGACAGACTACATATGTATCTTGTCATGTCACTAACCAGAAGTGACAACAACCTGGTCACACGGGCGATCATTCTTCAACTCACAACTTATTCCCCAACTAGCTGTCACAGCTTTGGAAAATATGCCAAGATACATCTGATGTTCCCTTCAAATATTATTCGATGGGCTTGATTTAGCATTAATACTAATATAAGTTCGGGTATGCATTTTTTACCGGCAATATATCACTATGCATCAAGTTACCTGTGATGTTATAATGACCTCTGATGCTCTCGATACCCCTCCCGTCAAAGCTCATAATGAAATATGAAGCACTCAAGGTTGACGGGAAAATAAATTCCGTGTTCGTGATGAATTAGCCCGGAGTCTGTGCCGGTTGCGGGGTTGCGACACCGGGATCGCGCGCTCTGAGATCTATATATCGCCAAAGACAACAGCAATAGTAAATGAAATCAATTTCAATAGAAAATACCACCCTACTAGCTCGAAGGAACCACTTCACGGGGATTAATACTAGCTCCAAAATGTTTTTATCCTCAAACATCTTTCTAAATCTCCTACCATTCGCAGCCTTTAATACGGCGTCCCCAATATCGAGGTCAAGGGACAAGTTTGATTGGTCTTCCAAGAAGGCATTGTAAGTACCAATATCCGTCCAGTGATATCACTGAAACCGGGTCATTAGAATCAGAGGTAACAATGGGAATAGAATCACATTCGGAGACTCTTATACCTATGTCCAAGGAACCCACGGGCACCAAAACTACAGCTTTATCGGTGATCAATTCGACTTTGCATATGATGCCCAGACTCTGCTCTCAAATAAAATTGTACAAAACCAAGTCAGTAACCTGTTATACCTGCCATTAACTCCCAGTCCGCCCAGTCCACCAATAACACTTCTTTCTCTTTCGTTAGACGGCCACAGCAGAGGGAGGCCCGAACTGGGTCGAGTTCCTCACAAAGTGCGGCTTAGAGGAAGGCCTGACGTCGCCACGGAGCTGTAAAAAGCAGCTATGGGACTTCGCCTTTGCAGGAGCCGACATTTCTACCGAATTGTCCGTAACATGTCCCCATACACGCGCGACCTTCCACCAGACCATCCCCATGATAAAGACTAATCAAACTGCCAGCACCCCACTGCACCACAACTTCACCGTCTCGCTCGTCAACCAAGTCACCCAATTCAAAGACTACGGCACACAGGTGCTCCAAGAATTCCTGCCCGCGAAGCAAAGCCTCGTGGCAATCTGGATAGGAATCAACGATGTCGGCGATAGCTCCAAGTACGCCGTGAACTTCCCGACGTTCTACGCTAATCTCACACGTACACTGTTCGCCTCCGCAGACCAGCTCTATGACATCGGCTACAAATCCTACCTCATAATGAACCTGCCGCCGCTGGATCGGACACCCGGCAACCAAGCAACGAGCACACCGCATCCGAATGCGACGCAAGTGGCGTGGTATAACGACGCGCTCACCGAGGCCGCGACGAAGTTTGGGAAGGGAAAGGGGGACGTAGAGATCAGGGTATTTGATGCCCACGCCCGGCTGAGTGCGATCCTGGATGACCCTGGACGCTATGGAATTGTGAATACGACAAACTTCTGTGCGGGATACGACCAGCCGGATATTGAAACGAACTATAAAGCGTATGGGTGTCCGACACCGCTGGAGACGTATTTCTGGTTTAATTCAGGACACATGACGAGCCATGTGCATCGTATTCTGGCTACAGAGCTTGAAGAGTGGTTGCAGAGCTAAAGGACATAGATATATGGTCCAAGTGCCAGTCGACATGTCGATATGGGTTGCAAGCGGATCGCGAATCGCGAAATCTGCAAATCACTACAGCCGTCTACAGTCTGCCCAAGCAAACTCAAAAACGAATTTCAGATAAACAATAAGAATTTTGTTCTTTCATTCAAACATGCACATATAAACTGCACTATCAAGTCAGAGCGTTTTAGTGACTATCAGACACGGAGAGAAAGATAGGACACTTTTGCGAATAATCGACATGTATGAAATGGCCTAGGGAGTAACCCAAGCTCTAGGATTTGCCGAGGTGTTGCACGGACAAAGATGCTGGGTAGAAGCTTGTCGGCAGAGCCTCAATAAAACCGATAAGAATCAAGTAAAACTGTCTATGACATCAAAGAAGTAACGCCGCCCGAACCGAATTACGCATGGAACTGATGTGAAGCAAGAACAAAAGAAAGGAAGTCTACCGGTGACGCAAGACAAAGCCTGCTCAATGACTGCTCAAGGGTACAGCAGCGAGGATGGGATGTCTACCAGCCGCGGTTTGAGTTCACGCGGTTGTAGTTGGAGCCGCCACGGCCGCCACGCCAGCCTCCACGACCACGGCCACCCCAGCGGCCGCCGCCGCCGCCACCGCTGTAGCGGACCATCTCGGCAAGACGGGGGTCAATCTGCTGCTTGGCCTCGGTGAGGATAGTAACCAAGTCACGAGCCTGCTTAGCATCTGTGGGAAGCAAAAAAGGTCAGATAAAATGTCGGAAGCAAAGAGAGCGCCATGGGAGGCTGGACCGAGAAAGAACTTACTGTCAGTGGTAAAGAAGGTGATGGCGGTACCCTTGGCACCAGCACGGCCGGTACGACCGATACGGTGGACATAGTCCTCCGAGTTGTTGGGGTAGTCATAGTTGAGGACATGAGTGATGTCGCGCACATCTTTTCAAATACGGGGTATGGTTAGCAAACTTGAGCATTAGTGAGGAATAGCAATTGTGGCCATGAGGGCCCTTTCTCAGTCGTGCAGGACTTTGATGCATCAATGCTCTCTGCTTGGACTTCTTTGAAGAAAATCCCTCGGGGAAGCGAGTCCATGGGATGGCGGTGTAATCGTGGTCCTAAGAGGCCTTGGAAATGCAGCTTTTTCAACAGTTCAAAGAAACAACACTGAGGTGTGAAGACTCCAACTCGCTTACGAGTTCCTAAAACAAAGGAGTCGGAGAATCCGGTCAGGCCTGCTTTCTGCTACACTGCACTGTGAGTCCAAGGTCCTCCCTGGTCATTGGGAACCATTTTGAGTTGACCCGACGTTCCGCCTGGACGAAGTCGTGTTTACACCAACATGCTTCGGAGAGAGCTGAGCACCGTGCCATGGTGTCATAAATGATCAACACGGGTGAGTGTTCTCAAGGGCCCCGTAAGGGGTAGAAGGGGGAGGAGGGGGAAGGGATTTGCAATTTGTTCATACCGATACCACGGGAAGCCACATCGGTGGCCACCATGATGGGGCTCTTGCCCTGCTTGAATTCGTTCAGAACCCAGTCACGCTCGTTCTGCTGCTTGTCACCGTGGATGGCTATGAATCAAAGTTAGCAAGTGAATATCAGACGGCAAGACATGGGTAAGCATACAAAGAGCGGGCCATCCGTCCTGGCGGAGGAAGCGAGTGATGTCATCTGCGATACGCTTGGTACCAGTGAAAATGAGGATCTTGTTGGAGCGGTCCTCCATAATCTTCTCCATGTGCTTGATCATACGGTCACGCTTCTCCAAGTCCGACACAACCTCGACAATCTGAGTAATACGGTGGTTGGCTGACAGATCCATCGAACCAATGTTGACCTGAATGTAATCATTGAGGAAATCCTTGGCCAGCTGACGGACCTCCTTGGGCCAGGTAGCAGACCACATGCAAGTCTGACGGTCAGGGCGAATCTGGCCGATAATCTTGCGAATCTGGGGCTCGAAACCCATGTCCAGCATACGATCAGCCTCATCGAGAACCAAGTAAGTAACTCGGCGAAGGTTGGTACGGCCAGCCTCAAGCATGTCAATCAGACGACCAGGGGTGGCAATGCAGACTTCGACACCACGGGACAGGTCACGAATCTGGGGACCCTTAGGGACACCACCGTAGACACAGGTGTTGCGAATACGGGAGGACTTGCCAAACTTGGTGATTTCGGTCTGGATCTGAACAGCCAGCTCACGGGTGGGGGCAAGGATAAGAACGATGGGGCCGTCACCGGGAGCCAGGAGAGGCTGAGCATTGATGTGAACAATAGAAGGAAGACAGTAGGTCAGGGTCTTTCCGGAACCGGTCTCGGCGATACCGACGACATCACGTCCAGAAAGAGCCATAGGCCAACCCTGAGATTGAATGGCAGTGGGACGCTCGAAGCCCTGGGACTTCACCTCAGAGAGAACGTATTGAGGGAAACCGGCCTCGTCGAAGGTCTCGACGGGGCGAGGGACATCAGTGCCCTGAACAGCCATCTGGTGCTTCTTGCGGAACTCCTGGACCTCCTGCTCCGAGCGGTTGGTAACATCCTCATGCTCCTTGTAGAAGGACTTCTCAAACTTGGGGAGGGTGCTGAGGTCTAATCAATCGTTAGTCATGTCGCGGTCGGATATTGGCCGGATCATCGTTCTGGCCCTAACACTGGAGATCACTTACCCCATTCTTGGTTCTTCAGGCCAGCGCCGAGGTTGGACATACGGTCACCACCGCCGCCACCGTAGCCGCCACCTCGGCCGCCATAACCACCACCGCCGTAGCCACCACCACCGCCGCCGTAGCCGTTGCCATTCGAGTAGCCGCCATTATCGTAACCACCGCGGGAGCTGGACGAACAGACGATGTTAGTAAGAAGCCTAACTTGCGATGTGATGAAAAGACATGTTGGATGATGGCAAGTGGAAGTGGCAAAGAAACTCGTTGCCGTCCAGTAAACGGGACAACTTCAGGCTTCGAAAACACAAAGCCATGTTCAAGTGTCCAAACATGTCGATAACAGAACCAAAAACAAACCAGAAGCGCACCAAAGCGATTCTTGATCACATTTTGGGACTTGTGGTGTTTTGTGAATCCTCGATAGGGGGAAAAAAACAAACTTACCGGTAGGAGTCGCCGCGATCACCGCCGCGATCGCCGCCGCGAGAGTAGCCACCGCCGTAGGACATGATGCAAAAGACCGGGTTTTTTTTGCTGTGAATGAGATCGCAAAGAAGACCTCGTATGGAAGAAAGGGGGTAGGGAGAAGAAAAAAAGAAGGGGGGATGAAGAGTGGAGGAGTGGAAGAAGATGAGTTCTTGAAGGAATTGAGGAAGGAACAAAAAAAAGCCTCCAGGGGAGGGAAAACGGCAGAAAAAGTCGGTGGCGAAAAAAAAATCCCCTTTCGAGATTAGCCACCACGTGACTAGCCTGGACTCTTTTCGGTTCGCAACAAAACAATTCAGTTAAGCTTTTCGATCGGAAGATTGCGAAGGTTTGGCTACCAGATTTTCCTTAGGGACCCAAGATTCTCGACATGAGGAATGCACATGCCATGGAACCGTCGATAAGAAGTTTTGTGTTTGGAAAAAAAATCAAGATTGACTGGAGTTTTCGTGAATGGAATTTCTAAGCAACAATTGATGTTAACTAGATAGCGCTGTCTATCATTTCAAAGCTTTCGGTCGCTGAGGCCCATATCCCAGAAACTAATCTCTAGCTCCGTCGCCCGAATGAAAATCTTGATCAATTGCTCCATTCGACTCGGAGATACTTTCTGCATGTGTTCTTCCAGTAAAGCTAGCAGGACGAATTAGAATTAGAATAAAAAAAAACCGGGGTAGATAAGCTATCTTTTGAAGGGAGGCGGTCTTACCTGATCCGAGGCGTACGGCTTCCGAGTAGTCCTCGGCGACATAGTTTTCGATCCACTTCCAATACTGGTTCCCTTCGCGCAGGGTATTCTCTTCGGAATAAAGTCGTCTCGCAATGGCGCCATAGCCAATTAAGCAAGGTGCTAACGCCATTTGGAGGGCAAGCCAATCCTCGGATTGGCCCACGTCAAGGATGAATCGGCTGTACGCAGTGCATGCTGTTTAAGATGTAAGTATGAGATGCGGGATGCAGCCAAACTCGGCAGAAAAACAGTATCATACCGATAGTTTCTGGGTGTGCCTCCATTTGCTGTTTGGAAAGGCCAAACGAAGCACAGTAGTCAAGATGAAGTGCCATTTCCCGCTGGATATGCAAGACAATTTGCGAAGACTGGTTGAAAGTAGTTAGAATAACACTGACTGTCGAAGAACTTGAGTACTCACAGCCGCAATTGACTCCATGTTTTGGGATTTGTATGCCGCGAGAGCATTGCTGCGAGCGAATTGGACCTGTTGATTGCTTCATCAGTACTTGATTTCCATCCAAATTTCTGCGTATAGCACCACGAACCAGGTAGAGATAGTCTTGCACAAGATATTCCTTAAATCGCTCCACTGGAAGAGTGCCCTGTCCCATTCCTTCAACAAACTCATGATACGTGAACTTCTTCCAAACTTGCTGAATATCAGGGCGATCCATAATATATTCCAGGAAGCGACCACTAGAGATCAATTCTGTTAGAAACATTACTTAATCGTATCATGTGGGTGAAATCTCACGGAGCAAACGGCATCGTGTAGAGTGAGTGGAAATGGTTGATTGGCCCACTCCCTTGGCCCATGTCAACACTACTCTTGATCCCGGCCTCAACAAATCGGACAGCGCTACGAACAGCCCGCACCATGTCCTTTCCCATAGCCAGGTTGGCAGCAATGGCAGAGGCAAGTGAGCAACCGGTGCCGTGTGTGTTCTTCGAAATCAAGTACTCAGTTTCGAACAAGGTAATTGTCTCCGTCACTCCATCAAAAAGCACATCGACAACAGTAGTTGCATCTTGTGAATTTTGAGCCGTCTTATGATCCTTTGTAAGAGGAAGGTGGCCTCCTTTTAGAAGAACTGCCTTTGGCCCCAATGAACATATTTTCTTGGCAAGGTCAATGATACCATCGAGATCTGCCGGTTCAGGTGCTTCTGAGCCGGAGTCCTTAATCAGGAGTTGGGCCTCCGGGATGTTGGGAGTCAGAATGGTAGTCATAGGGAGCAATTTGGTTCGAAGCTCTTTCACAGCCTTCTCTGGTAGCAACTGAGATCCACTGGTGGAAACCATGACCTATTTACCTATTAGACTGCAATATGAAAAGCTCAAGATAGGGTTCAAATTACCGGGTCGAGAACAATGGATGGGACTTGGTGCGTTGACAGTGTCTCGGCAATGACATCAATAGTCTCAGCAGACGAGAGCATTCCTGGCTCAAATGAGCATTCATCCAAGAAAAAAAACTAGACCGAAACGTTTTACTGACCCATCTTCACTACATCAGCACCGACATCCTCGAGACCAGCGTTGATCTGCTTTTTCACAAATTCAGACGGGACGATAAAGATATCCTGGACACCCAGGGTGTTCTGGGCAGTCAGCCCAGTTGTGGCAGTGAGAGCATAGCAACCATGGGCAGCCAAAACCCTTTGGTCTGCCTCCAAGCCCCTTTATGCAAGTTAGTGCCGATGAAAACGCTCAAAGCTCAAGGGCTATGTGCAAGCCATGACTTTTGCAGGACACGGCGCTGGTCCTTTTGATTGGGCAGCAGCCTTTGAGGGGGGGCGACTTACGCGCCACCGGAACTGTCAGATCCAGCAATAACTAGGACCCGCTTGACCGACATTATCGATTGAACCAATCGGGGAAGATCCTGTATACGATGAACGACCGGGGGAGGTGAAAAGAGAGTGGGGGAGTGAACGGCGGACGAAAAACGCGATAAGATAAGGCGTTGAGAGCATTCAACGTTGACCGGTCCCTGGCCGGATACACGCTAATTGAGGGTGGGGCAATACAAGAAATCCTATCTTTGAAGCGAAGCTACTCCCATATATTCTTATTTTACGATTTTGCATATTGGTGTCCAAATTGCCGTATTCATGGTCGGCAGGGCATTCCAGCCGTCCGTGCAATCAGTTACCTCGCGTCGAAAACACCATCGCAATAATTTGGAGACTACTCTTCAGTTAAAAGTCGTTCAGAAATTGCCTAAATTGTATACATAATGATTTGTATAAGATGCGAAAAAGCCTTTATCGCCTTGAGACACAGCAGAAGACGGCCGATTTGGCTAGGAACCAGAGAGAGCCTACAAAACGGAAAAGAGAAATCCCAACTGTTGCCCACACAACTGCGAGCAGATAATTCCATATCCGCATGTTCGGAAGTGTCTATCCAATAAAGTTAGCTCTGGCTTTCAGAACGGGGCGGAGGAGGCACTAAAAGTCTGACTTACCGAGAGACAGAACCGACTTATAGTGGTGCACATAATGCAAAGAACCATGAGCAGGTTACTGAAAACCCAAAGTAGGATCAGGTAAGTTCGGAAAGCTTTGTACAAATCTTCAACATCCTTTGCGCCGGATTCCTTTGGTGGCTCAAATCTTTCCAGAGCTCGTTTGACTGTAGCAGTGAACATCGTGTCAATATCTGCCTGCGTTTTTTCCTCTTCCTCCACGAATTTGGACTTCTCATCCTTTTGGACTTGAGCTTCCGGCAGGGCTTCAATCTTGTCAACCACTTTTGTTCCAATTGATACATCGTGCCAGTTGCAGAAAGCGTAAACCATCAAAATATTTGAGGCACATGTTGTTCCTGCAAAATAGGCCCAAGAGGATGTTAAGATATGCCAGGGGTCCATGTATAGAAAGCTTGTAATGAAATGCACACCATATGTGGCAACCAAACCAATTAAGATCAAACTCGAGCCCAGGTTATCCCAGACCTCGGAGAGAAGCTCATGCTCATGTACCATCATACTGAATGTGATTTTTGTTGTGGCCTGGCTCACAAGGTAAAATGCCAAAATAGTGACATATACTTGAATGATAGCGAAGTATATGAACGAGAAAGTATACGCCAAGCGAGAGCTTTAAAATGCAGTCAGTTTCAGCCGTCTATGTCACTTTCAGGATGTCTTACCCCTTAGGACGATTGCCAAGAGACAAAATAAATTGCAAGACCAACAGCAACACGTAGATATATTTGAGGAAATTGTTCAGAATTGGGGAGGCTTCATTGCCGAAGGGCCATGCCCGCTGACCATTTGCTTCGTTTGGGGTACCCACGAGACCCATAAGGATCGATGTTATCAAGAAATACGAAGCTATCAACAATTAGTGACTAGAGCACATCACTCAAATCAGGTTAGGATCAGCTCACCAAGCGAAAACCAAGACATCACGAATTGAGTGAATTTATAGAGCATCTGGAGATGAAGGAATGCCAAATGGAAAATGTTGTGGCCGCTCTGATAAAGCCGACCAAGGTGAATAGAAGTGTATAGGTTTGCAGCGAGATCACTGTTAAGCCATTGGCGTCGTTGCACAATAAACTCTGTGAAATCTTTTGGAACTTCAATCTCTGCTCGTGACCCCTTGACGAAGGCCAGGTGCCATTTGAAACCGGCCTTGGCCACCAGCTCAAAAGCTAAGATTCGGTCTCCAGCAAAATACATGTTCTTTTTGAAGATGCTCATTCCCTCAAAGCCTTTTTTGCCAAGCTTTTTCGATAGCGTCAAATCACCATTGAAATATTGCTCCAACGGTCGACCCATAATAGCCCTATACCGATAAGCAGAAAACTCCCCCAGAGAAACGTAACCGAAAATACTTTCCAGGGGTTTTTCAAGAATGTTCAATCTTTTTAACTCAAAGTTTTGGGCGGCAACAAAAGGATTTAGAGCGCTCTTCTTCCCCTGAGTAGGGTGGATTTCACCACAGGCTCCACCGAGGTTTCTGTCGTTATAGAATGACTGCCACAGAGAGAGAAAGGATTCTTTGCAGGGTTTTGTACCAGCGTCAAGAAGAACAACCACTTCCGGGTTCAACATGCGAGAAAAGGCGTTAAAGACCCAACGGTGAGAGTTGATCTTGTTGCTACTATCCTGCTTCAGACAGAGAATCATCTGGACTGGTGGAAGGTTAGAAGGATCGTCTCCTTGCGGACGAACCAAGCCTTGACTCGCGGTGACAGAAAGTTGTGTGGTGTATTCAAACTATGAATATAAGTATATTGAATCGATATCGGCCGAGGATGACTTACGATATGCGCGGTAGTCTCTCTGCCATCGACTGATCGCTTCATGATGCCATCTTGATAGACGCCGATCGTGGCTAGTGTATCGAGTGTGTTCTTATCGCAAGCATCAATTCCATCAAACACAAGGCAAACAACGATCTTTTGCCACGCTGGACCTCCCTGGTTCCAGAATTCCGACTTTTTGAGGTTATTGATGTCGCGAATATTCTGCATTACTCCGTGCAAAGTTCGAGCGGTGAGAACCTTATTTTCGCTTCGACAGGTCACTGCGATAAGCAACTCTGTATGTCGATTATACATCATTGGACGGAGGTTATAGCCATTTCGCAAGACGAATTCATCCGGATCGCAAGTAGCGGCGGTATCTGCGCAATTAGTCTCTAACAACGCCCCGATTTCACAAGTTCAAGCTCACATCGTAACTGAGAGAATTCTTCGTTTAAGTCTGACGAATCTCGATATTTCTTTTGTACGGCATTTTGAATTGCGCTCGGCACCGGATAGTCTGCGCTCAGAACATAACCATGTACAAGTTTGATTTTCCGTGTCGGATAGCGACGAACTCCAGGAACAAGAGACCGGCGTGGCTGCGATTAGGCTAGTATCCATATCCCTGGCCACCATTGGGGCTTAAAATCATGAAATTGTCAAAATTGACTCACATCGTAGGAACCATTCGAATTGGAGCTATTCTCTCTTGCATGTTGTGGGCCAAAATAGTCGGGAAATCTCGGGGGAGGCGTGGCCGCCGGCGTAGGAGTCCCCATGGTGTCTGTACACAAACAGTGCGAGGGAAAGGAGTAGAAAATTCAACGAATTGCTTTGAATTGAACTAATTGGCAAAAATTTAAGCTACAGGGAATGCCCAAGATATTTAAGATAAAATGGGGCAGACTTATCGCAATCCTATCGCGCTTATTTATCGGGCTAGCGGGCCTGATCGCCTGTGGCCAGTACTAAAGCGACATTTGGGCAACGTATATCAAGGATCGAAATTCTATTAAAAGGGACCGAGGAAAAAAATTTTCCCTCGAGGAGCCACGAGTGGAGGGCCAATTCGTGGGCTGTGGATGGGGGTATATGTTCTTAGTCTCGCCCGCGGCGCTGCGCAATGGACGTACGTCAGCGGGCCTCGCAGCGGCCCACCAGCGATTGGAAGGGATGAACATAGAGCCCCGCGCGTCATCCCATCATATCCTTAATGTGACTTTAACACGTTTTCCCCTGTGGGTTATCCGTGACGGCTTTAACCCAAGTAGGCTGGTAGCTTATGCAGCTACCGTGGACTACCATAGATGACAACGTATTCCCCACGGCGTCCGCGCAACTCGCTGAGAATGGGCCGCCCGTTCATCTATGTTACTATCCTCGGTGGCTCACAAAGCTTCTGTAGCGCACGTGAGGCGGGAATTCAGCAATCAATTGGTCCTGAAATAGGTTATATTCTTACAACTACAACAATTGAATCGATGCGGAAGTCATTGTAAAGCTCTTTCTCAAAGATGGAGCATTGGATCTCTTACAGGATAGAATTCAATCTACAGATTTTATTGCACCATGCATTTTTTTAGGCGATAGATCTTTTCAAGTCAATAGAAAATGTGTCGAATACCAGTTGTCTCATTGTTCGATGAACGTTTCCTCATTGGGACATGTCAGATGTCAATTACCAAGGTGAAAACCAAGACTCGGTACTCGAGAGTTTCGGATCATCAATTTTAATTAAGATCTGCCTTCAATTCCCTTTCTTGCATCCCCGATCAGTTGCGTTTAAGGCATAACATCTGTTTCTGGAATCACCCCCAAGGGTTTCGTACATGTAGCTTGACAATTTTTATGCCTGTCTTGTATAATCGGTACAAGAAGGAGAATGAATACCATAGGCTTCTCGAAGTCATGGCTCAAGAAGATCTTGGCTTAATCGTCGTGGGTCGAAGGGCTGAGCCATACCGAACCACCCACGCAACCATCAGCGGCGGCCTGCACGCAACAATTCCAATGAATTATATTTTCAACACGATTAGTCTCATAGAAAGTAAAAGAATAATACTTGGGTAATCAATTATGAATTTCTCTTCTTTAAAGGTATGATCTAGCAAAAGAACGTCTATAGTCTAAATTCCAAAGCATATATAGATATATGTATGTGGCTCTTCATCATTAGTTTGATTCACATCAGCCGTTTCCATGCATCATAAAGCTCATAGTCGATCCTATGGCCTCGTAGTCTATTGCGCTAAATATTTTCAATCATAGTTCAAACTGTGTTTCTGGCTCAGTCTTGTTTCAGTCCAATGCGGCCAGTTTTTCGAAGACCTAGCGCTGAGATGGCAGTGCAAAGGATCATGAAGCCAAACATGGCCCAAAAGCTTGCCCGGTATCCAGCTAATAATGCAGGTATCTCTTCCTCATTGGATTCTTTTTCATTGGTCACAACGGTAGATATGACTTGCAAAACTGCAAGCCCGAGCGCGGTACCAAACTGCGCAGCTGTGTTGAACACCGCACCTGCGAGCGCCTTGGTATCGTCTGGAAATATGTCTGTGATGATAATAAGACCAACTGTAAAGAGTGCATTGCAATTGACAGGTTGCAGAAGTTGCGCGACGAAGGTATTCGACCAGTACGTCCAGGACGGATTAGCTGTAGCCATAAGCAATGGCGAGCAACAGCATAGGATTGCGGTGAGTGTCACAATCCATATGGCGGGTACTTTATGGACGAAGAACCCTGCGGTCACTTGAACCAGTACTCCGACAATAAGGCTAGGGAGAATGCGGATAGAAGCTTGAAGCGCAGAAAGCAGCTGAACCTCCTGAAAGCTATGGGCCTGTCAGTTTCTTATATCTTCCCATGCATAGTGGGTGGTACCTACTACAAACTTGCGAAAAGTTCCATAGAGTTAATAACAGCAAAGGATAGGGCGATGGTCGCACAGATACTGGAGAAAGTCGCATTCTTCCAAAATGCATTGGGAATGAGTGCTGGCCGTCCACGACGAACTTGGAAATGAATCCATGTTACGAAGGCAGGCAATGCAATCACGCTCAAGCAGAGGATAATGATGCTAGCAGCTTCCTTGATACGATACGGATTCGAACTCAAGATACTTCAAAAAAAAGAAGTATCAGCGATGTTGTTAACAATAATGGCTCAAACCAACTTACGCAAGAAGGTAGCAAAGCAGTGCCATAAATGCAGATGCTAGAATCGTGCCAATCCAGTCGATCTTATGCTTCATATCATGAAGAATATCATCCAGTTTGCGAGGCTGAGGGGTTCCAGGAAGAGCCCAAAGTCCAATGGTTGAGAGAAGCAGAGCAAACCCTCCTGAAATATACCATCCAACACGCCAGCCAACAGTGTCCACAAGGATACCTCCGAGAACAAGTCCAACGGAGAAACCAAGCGGTTGACTCATTCCGAGACAAGCAAAGGCCATGTTTCTACTGCCTCCCTGTGGGAAAACCTGGGCAACTATGCCAACCGCAGATGCAAGATGGAGGGAGAGACCAACACCTTGGAGGGCCCGCATTGCAACCATTTCAGTTCCTTTCTTCGAGAAGCCCATTCCAAGCATCAGCGCACCGCTTGCAAAAGTTCCAGTTAAGTCCACCCATCGCGGTCCAATGACATCTGCCAACGAACCAGAGAGCAGTAATGTTGACGCAGTAGCTAGTCCGGATACAGAGACGGGCCAGAAAGATAGTGAGGAGGGCAATTGAAGATCCTTTGTGATTGTGGGAAGTCCGACAGTGACAAGGCCGTTGATGACACTCGAGAAAAGTGTATTACCACCCAGCAAAAGGACTATGATAAACTTTTGGAAATTCGAAAACTGAGCGACCGGCGGGGTAGTCGGCCTCTCGCTTTCGTGAGATCGAAGACTCGTTGCTTCGAGACGAATGGAGGTTTTATTGCCCTCGCCAACGAATTCAGAGCCTGTGTGAGTTACTGTGATGGTTTGGGTTGTCGCCATTCTGGTGATATTTGAAATCTCCCAAGCCCAGGCAAAATTCACTTGAGAGATAGAACAGTTGCTGATAGTGATCTCTAGCTACGAATTCTACGGAAGTTATTGGGTGTTTTAAGGGCTGGTAAAAAGCATAACGACCTAGTGGAGACTGCCATCAAATTTTTTGGGAGGTAATCCAACACCGGTTGTTCATTGGAGAGGGCCAAGCCATCCCACGCTACTCGCAGCGGAGCCGATGGGTTCTCATGGCCATAACCCGGCGTTGTGATTGGCCAGATTCGGATAGTGGAACTATTGTAGGGCGTGAAGAAAATAGGGCGTAGGTTTCCAGCAGGTGATTGCCGAAGGACCTTTCACTGTAGACATGAACCAGAAATAAGTAAAAAGTAAGATGGGATCTGTCTCTTGAGTATGAGATCTTGTCGATTTGCCAATAAAGTCAGGTTGACCTATGCGCCGTAAAGCCACCCCACCTCTAAATCTGTGAAGAACTCTCCAACTCTTCCGGGATCGCGAAGCCTAGGTCTAGACCCTTTGTCAGATGATGGATCGTCCCCAGTCTGGGGGCTGGCATGTTGTTTCTATGAGCCATTCGTGTCGTATTTACTACAATGCATTCAATGTCCAGTCGCGAGCCATCAGTGAAGGCAGCGTGGTAATTGGAACGACAGACGATTGCGCTATTAGATGGTTCACTTGATTGCGAAAGCCAGCATGGCGATACTACTTCCTCAACACTTCTGCGCCTAAATTGAGGACAGGGGGTGACATCGTGCTTTGCAAGAGGTGGTCATTGAAGGGGATGAGTCAAACATCCGGACCCGCTTGAAGATGGGGTCGACACGAACAATCACTTGGCCGACGCCACTCGATGGCACAATCGCATCCTCCACGCCCTACACGTGATTTCATATACTTGAGAACTCATTTATGATAAATTGGAGGTAACCTCAAAGTCATTCAATGAGTCACCATGAAAACATATTATGATGACATGATGCAAGTTGATTTCTCGTGAACCCATCCCAGGAATCCCTATTTACAAACTCCCAAAAAGAAACTCCCCAACCCAAGTCGTGCGCCCACCAGGGCTATTGTTGGAACATGAAGCGGAAGAGCGTGTCCATTTCCACCCACTGTCGACCACACTTCTTCAAATAACTATCTACCACCGCTTTGATGGTACCAAAGCGCGTCCGATTGAACTCGGCGAGAGCAGAAATGCTGTCTTTCTTCTCGCCCATCTCTTTGCTTGCGGCAGCCTTAGCCTTATCAACATCCCAGAGGCCAGCGAAGTATAGAAGCTGGTTGTACATCTGTTTCTCGGTGTACTCGTAGGACATTCGGCCCAGACAACCCTCAGCACGGCCTCGTGGTCCCAGACAGCGGTGACCATAGACGCTGATTTGGCGTGTACGGTTGCCGCAAGCTGAATCGTCACAAACAAGCCAGCCCTCATAGTAACGAGCAGTTTGTTCACGGATCTGGTTTTCAAGCTGTGCGATAATGGTGATGACCGAGAATGGTTTTTGGCAGCTCTCATTCGGGCAAACGATACCATGCGCAGTGCACATTTGAGACGAGTTAATCAGACCTTCAAACACCGATTGCTCTTTGCAAAACCGGCATTTCAAGGCCAGCCGAGCAGAGTTCGAAAAGCGAACAGAGTCTGGAATTTGAGACTCTAAGGGGAAGATCTCTGCGTTTTGCTGGTTGCTCGAGCTGGAAGTATTAATCTGATACTTGCGAACATCAAGCCCCAGACATTCAGCGAGACGAACGGCATCGGTACCAGGAATCGGGGCACATAGACGCTCAATCGGAGGGAAAATCTGCTTCAGGAGGTAAAACTCTACGTCCGGCTTGAGACCCGAGGAGGGTTTGAGCACATCTTGCGGACTATAGGATCGTTTGGCAGGGGGTAAAGATGAAGTCTCCGCATCCCCACTTGTCACAATATATGAGATCACGTCATTTGGTCGCACATTCTTGCCACGGGCAATGTCCCGTAGGGCGACTTGTGCCGGGGGCATGCTCTCCTTGTTGGGGTATTCTTCTGGTCTCTTGGACAGTTTCTGTTGAATTTCGAATTAGTGTGATGAGCGCCAATACTAGATTAAAAAAACTCCACATACCGTGTAGATCACATATTTTTGGACAGGGATCGAAAAGTCCTTCATTTTCTCTGCCAGCTCTTGTAGGTAGTCGTGGACTTTGTTGAGGACGACTTCCTGGTCTTCACCGGAAAGAATCTCATTTAGAAGTCTTTGTGAGACTTCTTTTGAGAGCGCACAATATTCACGACGCTTCATGTCCAAACCCTTGACTTCCAGCTTCTCAACATACTTGCCGTCAACCTCGGTCAGATTCACGGCGGCATACTTCTTCTTCGCATGCAACAGAAGCCGGCGGAAAACATTATCGATATCAATCTCCAAGAGCCGATACCGTTCGTTGACTGACTTCTTGAATTCTTCTCCAACCTTGAGCGCTTCGCTCATGGTATCCATGTTGGTGTTGATCATGACGGAATCAGTATCACCGTAGATGACGCGCAGCTGCTTGCTCTCTGCCAAATCCTTGGTGCTCCTAAGGATCTCACGTCCTTTGAAGGTTGTGAGCATGGCAAGAGGACGAGCGTAGAAGCGACTTTGGGTGTATCCTAAACATCCGTACATTGAGTTGGCAGTAAGCTTAAACGCAAGTTGCTTTGTGTCCCATAGAGCAAGCTGCTCAGGGGTAGCCCGCTTATCCTTCATCAACTTCTTGACCTCTCGTCGACGACCGACCAAGGTCGCAATAAGCCGGGGAAGAACACCTTGCTCTTGGTCCGAGGAAGGAATTTCGGGTACTTTTTCTTCGTTTTCATTCTCAGACTATGTCATCAGACGTCAGAATAGCTTCTATGGCTTCCCAGATTGGCAAAGAACACTCACCGTTGATTGTCGGTTAACTGTTGTGAAACAAATATTGTACTCCTGGATAATACTAGGATACAGACTATTGAAGTCCATGACAAGGATGAATCTGTCATACAGACCTTTCTCAGGCTCGAAGACGAGACCACCCTTATACTTATCCTTCTTCTTCTTGTCGGCTGTATCATCATCATCTCCATCATGCATCTTCTCCTCCGCCTTTTGCATGCGCGAGGAGTACTTATCGGGACAGATGTACTTGTTTCTGTGGAACTCGTGAAGCAGAATATACTCGTTGCGCTCTGCACGAGTTCCGCTGAGGGTACGTGCCCAGGAGTTACCAGCAATGTTGGTGAGCACTTTGGTGAGCGGCAACATCTGTAGGCGCAGCACTAATGCGGCGATGAAATAGGTATCCGTGTCGCAGTGACTAACAAAATTCATGAGACCTTCCTTGGTTGTGGCCCAGGTCTTCAAGGCTGCCTCGACGTCCAAATCCTGCCGGGCGTTACCTTCACCGAGATAAAGTTGGCACATTTCGGTCAAACTCCACGATTGACATTTCATCATCAAAGACTATTCGCTCGAGTTAGCAACTTATTGCTCCACACCTTGAGAAAGCTTTCACAGCATACCTTGCCCATGTCGTTACCAATATCACACAGCAATCGTCCGGCAATAAGTTGTCTTTCGGCGAAAAAACTGCCTCCTTTACCGAGCTTCGGCCACTCACCACGTCGGAGACGACCAATGCGATGCCATCCCGGGGTTTTCTTTTCTCGCATGCGACTGAGAAGAATGCCCAGGTCGACATCTTGGAGATGGTGACCCATGATCACATCGGGGTCCATCTTCTCAAACAAGGCCAAAAACTTGCTAAGCAAGAATTGCTCGCTTTTCTCCAGCATGACCATGCCTCTTTGCTTCCGAGCTTCGGCCTCAAAATGCATTGGGTATGAGGAGCCAGCTGGACGCATGACAGTGAAGGTTTTACAGGGGAGCTTCTCCGGAGGGGTTGTGTCCGTCAGAGAAACATTTTCATAGACTCGAGCACTAGCCACGAGAATTTCTTGCTTGTTGTCCTTGACATTCAACTGGGTTCGGAAGGAAAGGCTCATGAGGGTCAATGGTGGCGTATCCAAGTTCTCCGAGTCTGGCACCGGGGTAATGAGAGCTGGTTTGGAGGCTTGGCATTCAAACTTGCACCAGGATGCGTTGTTGACAGCAGAGAAGTCGGCTTCGTCGATCTTGAGCCAACAAGGGCCCATGATGTTTTTCCACAGAACAAACTGTTCGAACAGGGATGTGTTTGTACCAAACACGTGGGAGTAAGTCTCTCCCTTGATATCCATCGGCAAAGCAGGCTTGTCATATGGATAAAGCAGCTTCAGATATTCCGCCTCTTTCGGAACACCGGGCAACTCAAATGCATACTTCCGGGTGCAAGGCTTAATTTTGTGCATGCCAACCCGCATCCGAGACATGAGTCCATCCACCTCCTGGTAGACATCCTCCATATCAACCTCTTCTTCGGTCTCTCTGCCTTGCTGGTGACGGTTCTCGCGAGGGAGGAAGTAAAGTTTTCGCAGGACGTTGTCGACTTTGACGAAGGCACTGGCATATGAGCCATTCTGCTTGTTCTTTACTTTTCCAAAAAGACACAGACTTCCATTGACTTCGGTGTAGTCCAGCCAGAACATACGGAGGCTGCCATCTTCCTCAACGACATCCTGGGCACGCAGTTTCCCGAAAGAACGCATTTCCGGTGCGGGGCTGCTGAGTACATTCAATTTGCTTTGAATATCATTCCAAGAAGCATCCATTACCTCCGGTGCAGCCTTGGCTGGGGAAGAGCTTGCAGGTGTTGGAAGGATCTCTTTCTTGAGCTTCGGAGGGGGGCGACTGCCAGTCATGTTAACATTGGCTGTCTTGATGTTGGAACTGACGGTGGCTTCAGCAACATCCATCATATCGATATCTTCTTCATCCGAGTATTCGGTCTTGATTATTGGTACTATGGTCTTGCGCTCCACCGCTTTGCTGATCGGAGACGACGGCATGGGATCGCTCATGTGTACGTCGTCATCGTCCACCTGGGGAAGTGGATCGTCATCTAGATCGTCGGAGGGAAGAGGTACTTGATCTTTCATCGGCGAGCTCGGTATGTCATTCTCATCCTTTATTTGTGTCTTCTCTCGGCGTCGTTTCTGCGATAATGGGGGCGAAAGGACGCGAACTTTCCGTCGAGCCTCGGACTTGACAATGCTCTGGGTAGGAATGTGATTCGCCACAACGTTGGTGTCAACCTCGCCGAGGAGATCTTTCATGAAAGCGTCATCTTCGGCAGTTGCAACAGGCTGAGAAGTTATCAGCAATAGTCTCCTCGCGGGTTCAACACACCACACTCACTTTCGGCTTCGGGGCCGCCGCAGCGGCATTACCGCTGTTAAAATACTTAGAAATACCGTTATTGATCTTCTCCTTCCGTTGTTTTTCCTCCTCGCGTTTTCTTTTGGCAGCTTTGCCACGCGCAGGCAATTCATCGCTGTCGTCGCTGTCGTATTCCACGGTACGTTCATTCCAGACTTCTCGGCCATCATCGGCGTATCCAGCACCGTTGTCGTCGATAACAAAGTCATCCTCATCAAGACGACTGCGAATGACTTTTTTGTATCCCTCATCGTCGACTTCGTCGTAAATATCGCCTTGTTCCTCGATCTCGTAGGTTGAGAGACGTTTTTTGCCGGCGGCACGGAGGGCCTTCAGCTCGGCCAATGTGTCGCGAGCAGAAGGCATAGCTTATGGTGTTTATGGACAAATGCCCATCAATGACATGGGACTCAAAGCACGGTTGCAGAACAGTTGCGGGGAAAGGGAGAACAAAGGGGGATCGCGCCTGGCAGCGAGGCGCGACGGAGACGCGATCGGACGCGTTAGGTGGTTTAGGTAAGATGTTAGAGCCTTGTGGCCTCAGGCTTCAAACTGTCAGCCCTAACCCGTAAATCCCAATTGGGCCACGCATTGGAACCGCGCGATACTCTTTAGTATCAATGATTCAGGTGTTTGCAATTAGCTAATCGACGGGTGAGCAAATTTATCGCAGATTATTTAAAATTTTCATTCAATCTGGGAATCCGAAGTCTGTTGGAAGCACATCGATTATCTTCGCTCGTCAACCTGTTCGACCGGAAGAATGTGAACAAAAAAGTCGAAGTCTTGGGATTCCATCCTCTTCGTCAAGCTCTTTAAAACTATTTCTCTACGTAATCACCAGTTTGGTAGCCCAATATAAAGTGGTCATCTGCATCTGCCGAGCTTGTTTATAGCCGACGGAGATGTGACTACATTTGCAACAAGAAGGATTGATCAAGCTGGGCATGTCCGTCTGTCAATGATTTTTCCGGGACTTTCAGAGGCCGTTCCAATTGCTAGTTGCTGTCATTACAAGATATCTCAAAGGCTACAGACTAAAATATGAAATTTTAGGATACCCTCCTCCCGGTATTCGCGAGTTTTCATGTCACCTGCCGACTGTGCTGATAAATTATTCAGAGCCTGAAGGATATTTGCCCCGTGTGTATCGAGACTAAAGGATTTCAGACCAAGTTCTCCCCTTTTCTCCGATCATTTTTGGTATGCCAGTAGGCCCACAGATTCGCTTCTGTTTTATCCTCATAGTAATTACCATTGACATCTCAAAGACCTCCTGACTGCTGATTCCCGTCCCGGTACTCTCTGTACATCTATACCTCAGCGACACTGTTTTGATTGAATTCATAACGGTAGGCTTATTTCTTCTCAAATATATGTCTTGCACTTGAACTAAAGCTTTTGTTTGAAAAATCAGTATTCTGTCTTGGACTATGGTGAATATTTATATTTCTTATCTTCACACCAGGGTTTCTCAATCTTGTTTGCTATTCGACATACCACTTTCTTATTCATGATCTCAAGCTTTATCCCTAAGCAGGCATAAGAGCCACAAGCCTTTATGCCCATATATTGCGGCTCTTTTCATCTTTTTGGCATCCTTATTTCTATCCCTTTCTGTCCCTGGCTGGCAGAAGCAAAAAGCAAACCCACAATCCCTCCTTGTTTCCCCTCCTCCCCCTCTAAAAAATATCTTAGCAAAAAACATGATCTTAAAAATACTGTAGTTAATATATTTCTTTTTTTTCTTTTCTTTTTCCCCTGATAGAGCCTAGTCGAAGCCGGTAATAAAATAAACTCCAGTGATGCCGCATCTGTGTATTAATACGTACATTGAGGCATGTGACTACTTAGACGGCTGACCACAATCCCTTCTATAGTTGCTACCTCTAGTCAGTCTTCTTCATGTAATAAGCTTTATAAGATTTTGCCTATGGCTCTATAACAAAAATATCGAGTTTTGAGAATAATCAGTATATCAAGCCAACATCGGTGGTGCTCACACCTTAAGTTCACTTTTGGCAGCACTTTCGCAGACTCTAAACAGTACAGCTTAAATAGTGAGATCAGATCTAAAGTGAAATTTCGAGTCAGTCTTGTATCTCCGTATGTGAATCAAAATATGAGAGGCTCCCTTCCCTGGCTCACTTTCTTTTTCCTGGTGGAATATTTCGGTGAGTTGTGTTCCGAGCTTCTCCCTCCTTCTCCTTCGCTCCTTGTCAACATCTTCGTCTGCTGGTAGGCTTATTTCAACCTCCTCCCCCATCTCTCGCTTTGTAATCTCATGTGAAGTTCCAGGATCGGGTGAGGGACCTCAACATCGCCTTTCACCTTTACTTTTCTTGCCACGCATACACCACTTCATCCTTCTGTTTTCCAAAATGGCCATGCGTATGAAGAGAGCAATACGTGAGGAGGGCTCTCACCACAATCTGCCCGATCTAGAAAGTTCTAGGACACTGAGGTCTGACGTTGTTTCGATCCCAAAAGATGAGTACGAGAAGCTCGTGAGTTTGACCTGGCCGCCTCATTAATTTTGATCGTCTTGCTGAACTCCAATCACAACATTTTTAGCTGGAAGCATCCGCAGAGCTCGGTAGATATATGACTTTCCATATTGACATGCACCGTTGTCACTAATCAGCGTTTTCAGAGAGACTACGTGCTGCTTTAAAAACCGAGCAGCCAAGCCAGTCCAGAGAACAAGGTGTAAGTCCATTCCGTCTCACTTCATTTCATGAAATGTTTTGACAACCTTCCGAACAGAAGCTCCTTAATGATATTCCTCTTCAGACTTTATTAGGCAAAACTGATTCCTAGTTCTAGATACCGCTAGAGCTTCAGTTGAGCAAGCCGAAAGCGTTGACGATGAATCTGACGGAGGAGTTCCTTTGGAACTGGAGACCCTCCTGAAGCTTGAACAAGAAAGTCCTGCCCACAGGGCTCACAATGCGTCGGCGGCCGGGGGTGAGATCTCCGAGCCTTCAAATAAAAATACCAGCATTGTGATCAGGTTCCCCCGGGGCCTGAAGGACGCTGTGGGCCACGCTGCAGTAGCGGCCGTCATTCGGGGCGGACCCCTTCTCCAGATCTACATGCACCGTAGAATCAATCATGCAAATGTGACCTTCGCCCGGGCTGAAGATGCTGCCGCGTTCCTCGAGTACGCTCAGGCAGAGCCCTTCTTCATTGGCGGACACCACGTACGTTCCGAAGTACTCTCCTCTTTTGTACTCTTCTCTTTTGTCATCCCCTATACTCTCTTTGCTGTCACTTCAGTGGCCTTCATCTGCTCTGTTTCCTATCAAATCCTACCCGCAACCTGACCTAAGTTTTCCACATCTAGACTTCGCTCGACTGGGCTACGCAGCCCTACGTGACTCCCGAGTACGTCCGCGCCCAGGTCAACAGCGGCGACGTGAGCCGAAACCTCGTCATCCTGGCCGTCCGGCCCAATGTCACAGAGACCGTGCTACGGCGTGATCTCGCCCACATCCACAACTTGACCGTGATCTCGGTCAAGTTCGAGGACGGCAACGCGTACATCTCAACGAACTCGGTCGGCGGCGCCCTCTATGCGCGGACGTGCCTCAAGTCGCGCAAGCTCTACAAGGATATGTGGGTTGGGTTCTACAAGGACGAGTGCGCGGGCCCGCTGCCGCCGCGGGTTCCTCACGCCGCAGCCCGCGTGCCTCCCGCGAAACGAGGAGCCGTTTATAATCCGTATGAGCTTTTGTCCGGAAGTGAGTTCGTTCTTGGCAGCAGCGAGGATGACGAGGAGTGAACTTCTTCCGGGGAAAAAGGACGGTGCTTGGGGATGGGGGGGGGGGGGTTATGGTTTCCCGAATCGATCATTTCTTGTCTTGTATCTACTTGCATCACTCTCCTTTCGACAGATCTTGATCTGAGTATTCTCTTTCTTTATTTCTCTTCTGGCGTTCGGATTCAAAAGGGTGGCGGTTTGCATCGGGGTATCATCGGCATTTACAATTAGCTACATTGCAGATAGACTGGACATATTCATGCAGTTTGCAGATAATCTCATATCTGAACATGGTTTGCCTGCGCAACATTCATAAAAGGGCCGAGAGCAGGCTAAAGAAGACAATCGACCGAATACAAAGTCAAGGATAGTTGATGTTCGCAAAAGATGGGTGGAAGCTTCGTCCAGGACGTAAAGATACGCATCGCACGGGACCGAATTGGCCTAAGCATAGATATAACTTGGCGATCGACATCTCCACTGGCAGTCCACCAAACTACCCGCCTTTGTTTATGACCGAGACGGAAAAATTGATGCCAAGAACGAGCATTTAGAATAGAACGTATAGTCGTAGTGGAGGGCAATGAGCGAGCCGGTCTTGCCGTGTATACCAGCCAAGAGTCATGTACTGTCGCATGGTTTAGCCTTCTTCTACAAGGGGTCGGTAGGTATTTTATCACTGCTACCGCATTTAGGAAAACATCTAAAGTCTACGTCGAATCCAGACTACGACGAATCTAGACTCGAAGGTATGACCTTGAGAAGCATAGCAAGCAATTTCGTGAACAAGTAAGAACCCGGTGTTATTTGAGGCAGATTTTTCCCTGGCCTATGCTAGGTATATTTTCCAGCCGTGAAGAACAGCGCCAGTCGAAAAAAAAGACATAGGATATCCATCCTCTTCCACCACATCAAAAAGCCAGTCCCGGCAACCGGGAACGAGAACCGGAACCAGCCTCCACAAGCGATTTGTCGGGGCTCAAAACCACCAATTTCCAACCGCTCATGCCAACAACCACCATCCTCCTAAAGAAACCCAGTTCCACGCAGAAGTCAATGGAAGAAAACAAGTCGTGATAAGATCCATGCAAAGACCATTTTTTCCATTTCCGTTTCCATACAGCACCGTTTTGTATTCCTTTCGCCGCATAAACACAATATGACAGAGAGGAGGAATTTAACGGTAAGACTTCTGGTAGCGGGCACGGGCACCGCGACCACCGAACTTCTTGGGCTCAGCACGACGGTTGTCGGCAACGAGCAGGGTGCGGTCGTACTGGACAAGAGCCTGCTTGAGCTGGTTCTTGGAGTGCTCATCGACGTACTTCTGGTAATAGGCGACGATGGACTTGGCGATGGCCTGACGGATGGCGTAGACCTGGGAGGTGTGACCACCACCGGTGACACGGACACGGATGTCGACACCGGCGAACTTGTCAGCGCCGACGATCAGGAGGGGCTCGTAGACCTATACGTGGGCGGAAAAATCCATGTCAGAAAAAAAAAACCATTTTCCATAGACGAGTGCGAGCTCCGGTATTGGGCCTGGCCTGCGAAATTGTCGAGTGGTTCGTCCTCGAAGTCGAGACTTCCCCATTCGATGTCGCGGCAGGTATTTCATGGGCTTGAGCGGAGAAGGAAGTGTTGCGTACCTTGAAGCGCAGGATCTCAGGCTGGACCAGAGAGAGGGGCTGGCCGTTGACCTTGACGAGGCCCTTGCCTTGCTGTAAAATCGAAAAAGTCTCAGCATGCTGTTCTCCAAGTAACGTTGAATTTTCCCCCCTCATCATTGCGCCGTCTGTGCGGTTTTGTTCGAAAATATCGCCCTTCCCCCCAAAAAACATTCATCTTAAAATCCATTGAATATCCCTCCTCTTCCTGACATCGGCAATGTGCTGGCACAAAGCGATTCCTCTATACTCTTCTTTTCGCACGCAATGATTCGATAGCGGGGAGGGGTGTGATCGGAGTTCGTCCTCATACCTTGCAGTGGGCGACAGCGGTGGCTATTGAAATCAATCATCAGCAAAAAAAGAACAGACCACGCACGAACTCGCGGAAAGCGCAACAAACTCACCCGTCTTCTTCTTGCCGAAGCATTGCACACTCGGGACGGAAGCCATGGTGGGTGAAATGGCCCTTGTCGGTGTCGATAGGGGAGGGAGTGTGTTGTCGTGAGAGATGGAAAAGAGTCGACCGCGAATTCCCACACTGCAGCGATTCGCCTGAATTGCCCTTCCGTGCGGGTTTCGCTTAGTGTACGCTAACCTAAAGAGGGTTAGTACAGTCACCGGCTTAGGGCTTGATCACGTGGTGTCGGCGGTCAGCGGAGTCGGGGGGGACAGACGCAGAGTTCGGGGGAAGCAGGTCTTTGCGGTCCGCGTGTTTGGAATCAACGCTTTTATCCACCCCCTCTCCTCCGGCGATACCCATTTGACACGATGTCGCAGACGGTCGGAAAGGTAAGCTCGATCTTGAGATGCGAGCATGAGCAGCATTCCCCCGCCCAATGGCCGAGGAGCTCCAGTATCTAATGTTTTTCTCTCGCTTTTGCTCTTGTCTAGACCCGTCTTGCCTACTCTCGCGCCTGGCATTATGTCGACGCCGGCTCCGATCCTCGCTCCCTCGGCCGACTGGCCTCCTCGATTGCCCTCGTTTTGATGGGCAAGCACAAGCCGATCTATGATCCGTCGACCGACTGCGGCGACTACGTGGTGGTTGCCGGCTGCCACGACCTGCGTACGACCGGCAAGAAGCGATTCCAGAAGATGTACTACACCCACAACACCCGTCCCGGTAGCCTGAAGAGCATGACGATGGACCAGATGTTCGCCAAATGGGGGGTGGTGAGGTCTTGCGCCGCGCCGTGAAGGGCATGCTGCCCAAGAACCGTCTCCAGGAGCCGCGTTTAGCCCGGCTAAAGAGTAAGTGGTTGTCCGCGAGAGAATATGATCATACGATCTAGGACGAGCTTCTAACATGACATTTAACAGCATTTGAGGGCCTGGCGCATCCCTACAAGGAGAACATCGTTAAGTTTGGCAATCAATCTATCCTGAACCAGCCGGAAGTGCAAGACGCCTTCCAGGCGGACAAGCCATCGGCATAGACCGCCCTTTGGTTTCAGGTTCGCTCTCGCCCGGAATCTTGGCCGGGGTTGCCCGTGTAATCTATCTTTCTCTTTCTTTCCTTTTCTTATTTCTGCGTGATGAACTAAAACCGCAAGCGCATGGGTGTGGAGTCCAATTTCTGGGAAATGTCCTGTTGTTTTCTGATTCTTCTGTGCTGATATTACACTACCACTTACCTTTTTTTTCCAGCCCTCACTATCTACCCCATCTCCCCTGTTGCATCCCCAGTGCTCTTGTTATTTTTTATCTTCTTCTCCCCGTCTCCTCTTGACATGTACATGTACTTCTAGATAGCAAATCCGTCCCCCAGGGGGGAAGGGGGGCCAAATTCAAAAAGGAATTGTATTCCGAGATGATATTGGGACGACGCTTCGAGGCTTGATACGTCCAGAGGTATATAAAGATATATGTACAGGAAAAACACCATGCTAGAAATTTCGGAATCGGACGTCGTCGCCGCGCTAAAGTAAATTCTACAGCTTGGCCTTCTGGCCAGCACGGCCCACCGTGCACTTGATGAGGCCGTTGGGGTTGGACTGGGGCGCGTACACCTCGGCATTCTTGCCGGTGTTCTGGAGGCCCTTGTGCCAGCTGAGATCTATATCATGATGTGTTAGCGGGGGTGGGGGGGATGAGCACAGTGACAGCGAGGGGAGGGAGGTGGGGATAGAAAACATACCAATTTCAAAGTAGTGGTTATTGGGCAGGGCGTACTCAACGGTTTCGAGCAGGGGCACGGCGGCCAAGATCAGCTCGCCCATCTTGTACATGGTGGCCTGGACACTAGCGCTGTTGTCCTCGGCAAAGGTCTTGAGGGTGGTGGCCCGGGCAGTCTCCCAGGCCTCGTTGAAGTTGTGGGCGTTAGCCTTGACCTCGGGGAGGCTGCTGAAGCGGCGCCACTGCCAGTTAGCGGCAACGTCGGTGCTGAGGATGCGGTCCCAGGTCTCCTTGAGGGTAGTGAACTCGTCGCGAACGAAGCCCCAGAACTGGGAGCCGGTGCTTTTCAGGACGGTCAGGCCGTTGATGGAGGAGTTGATGTCGATGCCCTTGCCCTCGACCACGTCGACCTGGACGTTGCGGGTCTCGGGGCTGTCCTTGATGAACGAGTGGGGGTGGGGCTTGCCATCGATGTTCATGCGCACCCACCGGTGGGTGATGATGTTCACATGGGCGGCGTGGATGTGCGCGTACTTCTCAACGAAGTGGGTGCCCAGGATGGAGCCGAAGAGCTCCGGGGGAGTGACGGGCTGTTGCTTGGCGGTGATGTAGATGGTGTTCTTGATCGAGTCAGTCGCGACAACGACGCTGTTGTCGGCCTTGGTGTAGCTGATTTCATGCGAAATTAGTATAATCTCTTGAGTATGGGGGGGTGGTCCCTTGGGGGGGGATTTCTTTTTTTTTTGGCGTGACTGCGATTCGCCAGCGGCCGGCCGATAAGAGCGATCGCAGAGAGGACGAGACCGCGGGGACGGAAGGGGGAGCCGGGGGAATGAGGTACAAGACATGAAGCATGAAGCAAGAGGCACTTACGAGGTCTCGATATCACCCTCGAGCAGAACACAGACGGTCATTTCGACAACCGTCTGGACACCGGTCTTCTCATCGCGGTGGACCTTGTAGACGCGGACATTGTCCTTGCCGTAGCGGGCAGCAGCCAGAGCGCTCATGATGGCGAGAAAGAATGAGAAGATGAGAGGGAAAGATAAAGGGAAGTCGGGTCTGAAGCTGGAAGGAGTAGAATTCGAGGCGAAGAGTGTTCAATTGTGCGCGCGCGTATTTAAGAGGTGCATGGGCTGATGGTGAGAATGCGTATCGGGCAGCTCCGATGCCCGCGAGTGGCCGATCCCCACTCCAACTCGCTGGCCATCTTATCGCCCTCAACGCCCGCAACGGGGTTTGCTTCTGCGTCTGGCTCTGGCTCTCTCGCTCGGCTTCTCCTCATGCGCTGCTCAGACGGATGCTCGGATCCTCCTGTCGCCATCTGCTCGTCCTCCGCCCCCAGTCTACGATCATGCCATCGTAGGGCCGAGCCGCAAACCTGCAGCTTCCCCAGACTTCGGGATTTGACCGCGAGTCTTGGCCTGCTTTCCCGCGCCGACGTCCGAATTTCCGGCGTCCGAGTCCATCCTGCCTACCCGCTGTTTGGCCTACCCGTTCTTTGGGCTCCGTAGGTGCTGGCGCACCGTGCCTGAGGCCATTGGCTCTTGTAGAATGCGTCGCAGGCTGACGATGTGCCCCAACCCCTCGAAGGACCTTCGAAGCCGGCCAGCCTTGAGATTCAGGCTGAACCACGCTGGGTTCTCCACTTTCCTCGGCGACCTCCACCGGGTGCTGGTCGCGGGGAGATGCGATCTCCCGGGACCACGGCTGGCGCCTCCCGGTATCAGGGGCTTGTCTGATCCAAAAGGGAGATAGAGGTCAATCAATCGATGACACTCAGTCTCGCATCCCCCAAGACTGGGTGTCATCCTCTCAAGCAATTGACAGAGACCTTCTCAGCCGACTTGAAGATGCGAGTTGGATCCATTTCCATGTTCTTATGCCGTGTTTCGACGAAAGATGAGAGAACACTAAGCCTTCAGTCCATCTTGGAGACACCAATACCCTTCCCCTATTTTTTTTATTTTTATTTTTTTAATATCTCTCGCTCTTTTTTTTCCCGTCTACAATGGTGTCTTGCGTGACCAGGGATCTAAGAGAATCCACAGAAGTAGAATCCCCTCCCGATCTGATCAGAGATTCGAGTTAGCATAGGAAGATCATCACACCAGCCCATACCTCTATAATCTCATAGTCTCACAGTCTCCGGGAAGAGAGGAAATCGACAATGTAAGCCTTACATAAAACCGTTTATTCTACGAGGCCTCGCTTTCTACCACAAACTTCTTCTCTTCTCTTTACTTGAGGGCAAATCGATCTTTTCGTATCCTCAGGGCTTAAAGTCATCCTCTCGGCCCTAATACCTAGTAGTCATGCACGGTAGATCCCTCGGGGGTCCAATGATCGGAGTAGACTAGATCCCGGCATCCCCTCCCCTGTCCAATCTGGCGTCTTCCCGCCACGCAATACAAAGCAAGAACGAGGCAATGCCGCCCGCCCAGTTCGCAATCTACGAACGGGGAACCTGCGGCGGCTACTCATGGTCACCCTTCTTCCCTGACCAGAAGAGGGGATTCTGCGGGCGTTCAAGCGACCAATGGGGGTCCGGCCCAGACACGCAGAAGGAAGGCACGGTAGGAAGCCCGGCCATGGCTAAGCGGCTGTTATAGAGAACGATCAAGATCAGGTTCGCAAGCCGGGCACGAACTGGCCAACACAAGCAAGCAGGATAAATCGGGACTTGGTCAATCAGCCTCTATGTCTGAAATGATTAGTCTGGCTTCTGGCCTCTGAGACCTCGGGCTCAACCCGGCCACGCTCCCAATCCGTCTACTCGACGCAACTGGATTTCGGAGCCGAGGCGACATGAGCGGCGTTGAAATAACCTCGCTCCCCCGGGAACTAGTCAGATAGTAAGGTAACTCCGCTGTTTAGTCCACTCATTGCAAGCCTAGTGTTTTTTTCTGTCTCGAGGAATGCCCAAATGTTCATTCCCTGTGTCCGTTTGGAGTGGCATTTGGGAGGGGGGGAAAGGGAACTCCCTGATCATCCATATTCGAGGGCCTACCATGCCCCAACGTCCGTGACAGCGAATGGACTGGAGTGGACTGAACCCGCTGCGGATCGTTATCCTGAGCCGACGCTTGACTTTGGCGCGGGCCTGGTCTTCTTTCGCACTTGCCCCGATTGCCAGTTGAACACCCCCCACACCGAGCGTGTCTAGCCTTCGCTTTCTGATCGACGCGGATGATCTATAGGCTATCATGGACGTCACAAGAACCCACCACTCCGACATAGACCTGGAGAGCAAGACAGGCCGGCTCGGGTCCGCGGGCCCCGATGCAGAGGGGCTCGGGCGCCATTGTTCGGTCCGCGTGGACGATGGTGGAGTCTCGTGGAGTATGTAGGGCAAACGGTGTGTGGGGCGCGATGTCAGGTACGAAAATCATTGATGTCGATGCACCAGGGCAGTGGAAGGAGACTGCTAGACCACGGCGAATGGATTGGGCTCGAATAGATCGTTATGAGCGCCGGTAGAATCAATGCCAGGAATTGCTGGGCTCATGGTGTATGGAGAAGTAGAGAACGGTGCAAGGTAGTGCCAGTGGGAAGTCGTGAGTCGCCCGTTCAGGCAGTCAAATTGAGTTGATCCGTCGATCGCGTAGACTATCCTTTTCGGGCAACTTGCTACAACGTCACTTCGGCTTCGGTCACAAGAGAGAAAGAGCGGAGGGGCTTAAATATCGCGAGACTTACACATTCAGGTAATGATTTCTCGGACTCGCCTCCAATGTCGACGTGGCTCAGCACAACTCGCTCTCTTGCGCAACTATCAGCCTTTGAACAACGCTTCTCTGCACGCCTCCTTCGTCTTAATGTCCGTCTCTCTCTCTCTCTCTCTCTCTCCAATGCCTTCAACACAGTCGCATCCACCTAACCTTCATTGCACAGGCCTATCTAAACCACAATCCATCTCCTCTCTGTCTCCATTCGCCTTCCCGTCGAGCCATTCACTCCCGCTCGCCCCGCCATCCCATTCGCAGCTCTCGATCGCCCTTCCCATCCAATACCATCACCAGCATCATGGCTTCTACCACCATTCCCAATCATCAACATGCCCAGCGCAGTTTTCTCCACACCGAAACCGACCCAACTAAGCAATACACTTATCCCGCCGAAACGGGCCCTCACCGCGCCACGATCCTCGGCTTCCCCCTCTCGCTGCTCCACGTTTCCAGCTCTCTATGACCAAACCTGCGACGAGATCATTGACCTCGCCGCCACTATTGCACACTTCGAGCCCGTCCGCCTCCATGTCCGTCCAGAGAACATGTCCGCCGCGCAGGCCCTCCTGACCACCCGCATGGCGAGCTCTCCAACCGCCGAACAAGCCCGCGTCACGCTACTATCCTGTCCGACGAACCATATCTGGGTGCGCGACACAGGTCCCGTCTACGTGCGCGGTGCGGACGGGTCCCGTGCAGCGGTCGACTTCCGCTTCTGCGAATGGGGCAACAAGCTCGACGAGCGCATCTATAACAGCGCTGCCGAGGACGACGGGTGGCCGGTGATGGACGCGGCCGCGCAGGCCGAGAACACGGGGTTCGCGGCGCGGGCGCTGGAGCTGGACGCGGCGACGTGGCCAGATGAGCCCGTGACGCGAGTGGTCTCGCGGGTGCGGGTAGAGGGCGGGGGCATCGAAATGGACGGCGAGGGCACGCTGATGGCGATGGAGAGCAGTGTGACGGTGGCGTCGCGGAACGCAGGGCTCAGCCGCGCCGAGATCGAGGCTGAGCTAGGTCGGCTGCTAGGGGTCCGCCGATTCATTTGGATTCCTGGGCGGGAGGGCCTGGATATCACGGATTACCATATCGACGCGGAGGCGCGGTTTGTGCGGCCCGGCGTCGTGGTCGTGGGCCGACCGCATGCCAAGTGTGCGCCGGTGTACTGGGATGTGTACCGCGAGATGCGCGCGGTTCTGGACGCCGCGACAGATGCGCGCGGCCGGCGGCTGGAGGTGCATGATGTCGAGGAACCAGATCCAGAGCTGGTGAAGGGGGATGTACCCGGGGAGGAGCAGGAGCCGGCGGCGTCGTATGTGAATTTCTACTTCACGAATGGAGGGCTGGTGATTCCTGCGTTTGGGGATGCCATCGCCGATCAGCGCTCGCTAGAGACGATGCAGAAGCTGCTTCCCGAGCGCGAGATTCGCCAGGTCAAGGTGAATGCGTTACCGAGGACGGGGGGCGTGTTGCACTGTACGACGCAGCAAGTGATCTGAGAGATTTGGGGTTTGGGATGTTGATATGCACAGAAGGATGCATGATGATTGATGTACTGCGCTTCGGCGAGCTAGGCGGCGAAGTTTCCTGGATTTTCCGGAGGTTTCTTCTTATATTTTCTTTTTTCTTTGTTATGGTTGGACGGCGCCTGAATCTCTTCTCATGTAATTTTGATCTCGTCTCTAGTACTTATACCTCTCATGCAACAATACCAACAATATGGGTAATCAGTCTGTGCAAGCTGTGCGAGTTAAAAATGCTAGTAGATGTTCTATACCAAAAAAAAAAAACTAGCACATATCCAGATAATTCGTCAGTAGTGTCCAATACAGTCAACCATAGACAATAATCATTCAAGATAACAGGAACAAGATAGTACATCTATTCCCTAAGTATTGAACAGACCCAACAAGGACACTCTCAACGTCCAAGCATCAACATGCATCTACCTCCCTGGCAGCTCTCGAGAACTTCATACAGCGAGGAAAGGGAAACAGGAAAAAAATAGAGGATAGATGTAGTATATCAAGCATAAACACAAGAGAACCACGTAAAATGTTTTTCCTCCAAGAAAAAAAAAGAAAGGGGAGTCCCAGGCCCCCCTATGAAGAAACACTGGCAAATGTATGTCTTTTTTGTTTCACAAATCATCCCCACAGAAAAAGAAGTCAGAAAATCAGACAAGAATAATACTCCAGATTCGAAATACCCAGCCTATACAACGCCAACCTTGAACAGGCTCCCTCGAAGAAGAAGAAGAAGAAGAAGAAGAAGAAGAAGAAGTGGGAAAGCCCTGATCATAAAAGAATCCCAACGCCACAAATGAACACCGATAACTCCCCTCGGGCAGTGACCACGCCGAGCAAAAAGAAAGATGAAAAAAGGCGTCGCATCAGAGTCCTCATGCAATCATTTTTCCACAAGAAAAAAAAGGTCCGGCTAGTGAAGGGGCCGAAGACTCCACATCCACCTCGCACCCAGCACGTATTTTCAAAGGAAATCGAGATCAGTAGTATGTCCGCAAGGACAGAACATCGCCAACTAAAGGGCTCCATGCTCACAGGCTCAACTGGTCAATGCTGCCGACACGGCCCCCGCCGCCGAGCCGGCCGCCACCCTTGGTCACCATGCCGAGACGGTAGAAGCGCTCTTCACCGGCTGGCGTGCGGCCGCCAATGTACCACTTCTCCGGGCCGAGGGCATCGCGAAAACCACCCGAGCCGGAGGAGGAATCACTGCCGCGGCGCTGGCGGTCAGCGGGGCCGCGATTGATAGGGATCGGGGTGGATGTGGTGGGAGGTGGGGGTGGTGATGCGGAGAGAGGGGAGGGCTCTAGAGGTGCATGGTGATAGTGGTGGGAATGATGGGTGGGAGAGGAGGTCTGTTGGGTGTGGGCGGAGGGAGTTGATGTTGCTGGAGCCGCGGAAGCAGATGAGGAGGATGCGGAGTGCTGGTGGTGATGGTGATGGTGGGAGGAGGATGTTGCTGCGGCTGACGAGGGGCCTGATTGGGTGGCCTTGGAGGCTATTGACCGAGCACTGGAAGCGATCTGGGCTGATGAGAGAGACGATGTGCCTGATGGTTGTTGCGAGGCGGCTTTGAAGGTGGACTGGGCCCGAAAGGCAGCCAGGAAGTTGGCCAAGAATGGACGGTTGGTGGACATGGTGGTGGATAGTCGGCGAGCTTATGGCAGAGAAGGAATACGAGAGATTGTAGATGTGTTTTTCTGTTGATGAGAAGCAATTTGAGGATCCCCAAATTGACGACAGAGGTTGGTGGGGACCAGAGCAGACGGCAGCGACTGAAAGATGCCGACTGCTCGCAGGGTTCAGAGCAGTGGGATCGTCCTGTAAGCCAAGCTGAACAAGTACTGATCCCACAGCGAAATGATCTGACGGATTCTGGGAGGTCTTTGCAAGTAGTGCACGTCGGGGGAGAACGCTGGAGATGGCGGGTTGAAGTCGGGGAACGTTTGAGCAGTGGGGAGAGTGAAGATCCCGACTTTCCCCCGAGCGCCGCTGCGGGGCCAATCAAACGTGGGGGATTATGGACATGACGTCGCAAAGGAAGATTCCGGGGAGGCGTTTCCGTTCCTCCGTAGCGTCCAACGCACAGGAGAACATGAACAGACGATCTAGCGACATTTGGTTAGTGCCGAGAGGGGGACAGGAGGGGGACAGGAGGGGCACAAGGAGGGGCAGGATCGCCTGTTTCCTATCCGATGAGGCTCGAGACCAGAACAGACCAGTTCTCGGGATGTTCGGGATGACTTGATCACGCCCGGCTCGGCCAGCGTCACTGCAGCCCTCGTACACGGGAGTCCTCTATACGGTGTACATGGAGAAATGCATCCATCATCGTCTAGAGCCAGGACACAGAGATGATGGTCGTGGTTGATACGCCCCGATTCCCTCTTTCTACCCCATCTACTACTATTTAGTGTTAAAATATCAATCGCGGAAATCGAGAGAAAAAAACGGATCACTGGGTCTATTTCTAGATGCTTTTCAGAGTAGAACAGAAGCCCTCCTAAAGATGAAGAGAAAAGAGACAAAAAAAAAAAACACAACACCCTAAATCACCTCAAGAAGCCCGAAGTGCACATATGTCCGTGCCGTGCCGACTGTACTTACAGGAACGAGGCCATGCAGATGCACCGGGGAAGTTCAAATCAAAAGAGAAAAAAACGCAGGAAAGCACGCAGAGCAACAGGAACCCACTGCACAAGGAACGACCTGATCATTCAACAGTAGCCTTCTCGCATAGCTTTTTTCTCTTTCTGTTGCGATCGCGTAAAAGAACAACACATGCCCATGTCTATAGTTGTGGACGCCAAACGAAGCCACCCACCATACCCGTCTGCCCACTCATCGAGGGGATAAAAGAAAACAACCCGACTTGCAATTCAACCACCGTGTTGGATAAAAACTCGCCGAAGAGAGGAAATGCGGTCCCACACCGGATGGGATCTTAGATCTGAAAACCCACGGAAGAAGAAAAGTGGAGATGAAAGAGAAGGAGAAAAGGTCGAGGCACAACGAAGCCAGAAGAAAAGAAAAAAAAAAGAACAAGCCATCAATGACGCGCGAGAGAACAAAGAATTCGACGTATCGAGAACGAGGACGCCAGAAACATAAAGAGACCACGCCGCGACAAAAGGGTCGAGCGAGGCTGGACGGATCAAAACGCGCGTAGTCATCAGACGATAAGGCTTCTGTTCCCGTTCAGTAAAAGCAGGATTGCAAAACTGGAGAGAAGTTCAAGAGACCGTGTCCGGACAGAAGAGGTAATAAAAGAACTGAGAACAACAGGGAGGGGGAAGTCGAAACCTCCTGGTTCATCTTTTGATAAAGTCAAACAAACTGGATCCTTCGTCTTTGTATACTCTCAACTGACTGAGCCACGTCCCAGGTTCGCCGAATGTTTCGTAACGTTGTGTTTCTCTCAATCTGTCGAGATATTTACTGTCTCGCAGTCTGGACGGTACCTAAGGGAAGGAAGAGGCTCACATTAGTATCGCAGTCGTCTTCTTGGACCAGTCCAAGTGGATGTGAAAGGTGAGAGTCACTTACCATCACCGCTCAGCGTGGTCGAAGCCAGGTATAGTCCGTTCATGCCGCTCTCAGGGCCGCCCGCGGTCGTGGCGGGGTAGTACTTGCGGTCAGCATCGACGGGGGCGTGGATGGGCTCCTGGCCGGCAGCCATGGAGTGGGGGAAAACGGGGTTCATGTAGCCGTTGTCGGCACCGTGCTGAAACATCGAAGTCCAGTCAACACCAGGCTGATTCGAATGGGGTCCGGGCATAACCGGATGTTTGGGGTCAGGGATGACCAAAGACTTTACCTGTTCAAGAGGACGATCAACACTCAGTTGCTGGCCATGGGCATCGGCACCAGGCTGCATGAGGTACGGATTCTGCTTGGGCGCAGCCATCCACGAGGCTCTCGCTGAGGCCTGGTCGGCATACGCGTGATCACCGGGACCACGGCTCATGCCGTTGACAGGCGACATGGTGAACCCCAGGGGCTGCTGGTCCTGGTAGCCAGGACGGCCGTGGGCCATACCATTGCCATTCACGGCCCCATCGCCGAACTGCGCACCCATGACACCATTGGTACCTGGGACGGAATTACTGACTTCATCCTGAATGGGCTTGGCGGGGTTAGCCGCCGCCGCCGCAGCGGCCGCCTGTTGCTGTGAACGCTTCAGATGGGCTTGAGGGTGCGACAGGTGAGTCGCGCCCGTGGGGTTGCCCCGACGGATAGAGCACTTCTGGAAGTGGCGCTTCAGGATATCACTGCGCGAGAAGGTGTCTTTGCAGAGGACACACATGTAAGGCCGGTCACCAGTGTCTAAATTCGACGCGTCGTTAGCCGTGAAGTCGCGAACAAAAACAAAAGCCGAGGAAAAACACCAATCGAGGCTGAGAAGGATCTTTTGGCAAGGGAGGGGTGTAAAAAACAATAAAAACTCACGTCGCAGCAGATGGCGCTTCAGGTGCTTAGCATGAAGGTAGGTCTTGTTGCAGTGCGGGCAAGGGAATTTGCCATCGGCATCCTTAGCGGGGATGGTGGTGCTCTTCGCGGCGCCGTTGACGCCGTTCGTGACCGGGGTCGCCCGGCCCGGAACACTCGGCAGGATACCACGGCGGCCCTGAGAGCCCACGACCTGCGTGCGTGGCTGATCCTTGGGTCCGTAGGGCGATCCGTTCGCGCCGTTCACGTCCGGGCCCATGCCCCAGGACTTGCCATCGGAGTAGCTGAATGCGCCGGACGGGATACCGTTGAAGTCACGGCGGTCGCGCGGGGGAGCCGGGGCGATGGGCTGGGGGTAAGTCTGCGCGGTTGACGCGGGAGGCAACACGCTCGGGGGAGGGGGGTAGGACTGGGAAGGGTGGCCCTGTGGCGGTTGGTTAGGATGTGATAGAAATGACGGTGGCTGGCTACCGACAGTCGTGTGCGGCATGATCGGGGCCGTGGAGGCCCCATACACGTCGTGAGTTGACGCGGGAAACCGAGACAGGTCCGGCCGGTATGGCTGGCCCATGTATGGGTGCGGAGCGGGCGACTGAGTGTGATGCGGCTGTAGAGGCGGCAGGGTATGCGGCTGGGAGACCGGATACTGAGGCTGCATCGGATAATGCGGCATGGGCATACTCGAGACGGGGGTCGAGGACAGCGGCGTGGAGCCCTGGGGCAGGCTGGTGGACGGGGGCCGCGAAGGGTGCGATCGGGGATCCATGGTGGTTCACGAGGGGGAACGGCGAGAGGAGGATGGAGTGGTGGTGGAAGGTGATGGGGAGAAGGGGAGAACGGTTCGTGAGAGAGATCGAGGGTGGTGAGAGATCACGCAGCAATCATCGAACACGTCGGGCGGGATTTTCGTCGTCTCGAAACCCAAGGAGCTCCTTGTTGTTCCCTAACTGAAATTTTTCCGAGGCGGAAAGGGCGTTGGACTTGAGAGCGGAACACGGGGAATCCTCTGCAATTGCGAGAGAATCTGACTCCACCGAACGAGGAGAGTGTCAGAAGAGGAGGATTGAAGAAGAGAAGAAAGGCTTGATCGGAGGAGATTCCCCACGGTCACACCCACCAGGTTCAAGGTCAGAGGAGTCGTGTGTGGAACTTGGTGTTTTATCCGCACGTTGTCACCGTCGATGGGTTCTCTGTATCCACCAGGGAAGCGGGCAAGCAAGTGGGTCTTGCAGCACAACAACTAGTCAGATCTGCTTTTCGCGCGTCACCAGATGTGACCAAAGGCAATCCAAGAAGAACCCGAAGAATCAATCTCGGGTTTTGAAGACAAAGGAAAGGGGAATCGAGTAAGACCAGTCGAAGGGGATGGGAAGAAGAAGTGAGATGGGGAGTTGAAAAGGAAAGGGGAGGATGGAAAGGGAAGGGAAAAAAAGTCTTTGGGAAAAAGACAGTTTTTCGATCGCGGACTTGGGAATTGAGTAATGGTAAACGGGGTACAGAGTACGGCTAGGTACGGTACGGTACTTGGTAACGGGTACTAAGTGAAAAGAGAGGGGAGGGCGACACGAGTGTTGGGGCAGGTTGGTCAGCCTGGTTAGTTAAGCGGGTAAAAAAAAAACCAACAAGTGAAAAAAATACCAGAAAGGAAATTGAATTCCAAAAAGGCAAAAAAATTAAAAATAAAAATTAGTGAAAATAAAAATTGAGTGAAAAAAAAGGCACGGAAGACCGGGTGCGCCAGATGGACGATCGTTTCTTTCAGAGGCAAAGAGGCGAGACGAGAGATAGAAACAGAGAAAAAGAAGTCAGTGAGTGAGAATCTAAGGAACGGCAGGGGACTGAACCAGAGGAATTGTCTTTAGAACCACGCCCAGAGAATGGTTCTGGCTGGAAATTATAATTATCAAAATCATTCGGAGTCTTGGTGGTGGCTAACTATAAGAGCAAACTACTATCCATCGTACAGAAAGCGCTCTTGCATAACAACCACCACAGATATACCATCAAGTAATATGGACTTCTTTTCTCCGTATTCCATACAGTATGTTGAGAAAACCCGGGAGGGAAGGGGGGGGGAACAGAAGGAGGGCAGAGAGAGTAAGAGATGTAATGCGATGTAATGCGATTTCCTGATGGTAACGAACCAGTAAGTTTGTGGCCAAACCAGAAACCAAGAGAAAAAAAAACCAAGAATCAGAATTTCTGGATGCGCCAAACAGAGACCAGAGCGAGGAGAACTGGAGGGCCTCGGGCGAAGCGGCTTAGCGGGCTAGCGGCTGGCGATGACGATATGCCCGGGAGTCTTCCGAAGACAGCTCGGCTGGGAATGGCCGCGAACAGTCAGGCCCTTACGTGTCCGACCACGAAGGATCGGAACACCTGAAGCGTTCTGATGCTTCAATGCAGACCTTCAGGGTCATTGCGTTGACTTTGCAAAGAATGATAATCCAGATATTATAATTACTACTCGTGATTACTCTGATTACTATGATCAAATTTACCATTTTTACTGACGGTTCCCCTGTATGACAGTACATACGCTTTCCCCCCTTCCTTCCCCCCATCGATAGGTCACTTCGGTATAATTGCCTGATTACATAGATGGCCTGGTCAGATTATTCTTAGCCACTCGTGTGCCAGCCGCACCTGAGGATATGTAAGTGTATGTGTAGTGAGCGGTTGCCGCAATCCCGGACGTTAATACCGCCCCGATAATAATTTAGGGGGCCGGGACACCCGTTATGGAAGAAGATGCGCTCTCCCCTGGTCCGAACTCCAAGGCAAACAAGAGACGGTGACCCCAGGCTGTTCTCCCTTGGCCTAGTATATAATTCAATCCCAGAACAATTGTTTGGAATTGAAGCTAGTTTCTTGGTCCAACGCAAGATCCCGCAAACGTGTTGAGATATTGCCGTTGCTTCTCAATTGTTGGCCCCTAGGTTCAGGATTATTGACCCGATTTCCGGGGGAGGCTAGCGACCGGGTGTTGGATGCAACGATGAGAATGAGAATAAGCCACTCAGAACCTATCATGGTCGTCCTCGTTCATTATACTGAACCAAGGTCCAGAGTATACGTACCTATAGGTGTGGTGATATTTTATACATCTATGTACCTCTCTAGCGCTAGCAAAATACGAAGTCTTTGATGACTGAGATATTTCTCAGCAACCGTCTCGATCCGAATCAGGGAGGTTCGGTATACTTTGTGCATGAGAATTATACGTCCCCAGACTCGAGGCCCATACCCACCATGCTCCCATATGGCATCGTTATTGGAGTAAGGAAAGAGGCCCAAACAGGTACATCCCCTGCCAAAGGACCAAAAATTGGAGAAGTGGGTTGCTCCCCTGGCTGTCGGCGGTGGTCGGGCTCCGCAGTGGCTTGACACGCCCCGCAGGTAAACAGATCACACATCTCATGCAGGGAGGATGCAATGCGGGAGCATCTTCACCAGGATTTGGAACTGGCTGACGCCTGGTGACGACGTAGAGTGCTAACCGTGCTCAATTCCATGTTCTCAGCTCCGTAGAGAGAGTTGGCCTTGACCTCGACGACGACCAGTGTCAGGCTCGAGCTCGAGGTCGAGATCGTTCGTTCGCACTGATCTCGAGAGCAAGCACGTCATCTTCTGATGCGGTACGGGAGACCTCAGCGTACATTCCTCCGCAGGCTGCAGTCGTCCCCCCAAGGCGCTCTTCGCCGTGGCTGACATGCTACTGCGGAATGACCACGGACCGTTGCCATGCAAGTTTGGGTTACCTCGAAAGTTGACAAGCAGGAGCAATCTCCATATGTATTCTTATATTCTGTGTTCACCGTTCTATGTCGTTATGTTCTTTGATCTGTTTCACACCCTCTTCGTACCACCGGTAACGGCCATGCATTGTTGCCCTACCTAGTTTTGTGGACGCGCCGTAGCCGCTTTCTCACAGCCTGCTTAACCGGCTAGGGGAGGCTGCCGACCGAGCTAACCCGTCGAGCTAAACCCCCTCAGGAGCCCCAAGCAGCAACTCCTGCCCCCTCCTCCCCCTCTCCTCCTCTCCTCTCCCGCGACCCCGATCTCGCCCAGATGCATGATGCATAAGACTGGAGAGCGGAGAGGGAGGAGTGTTCCCCAAATGGTAGCCTGCAGGACTCATTGAGCCTAAACGATTCCCGTCCATGCTTTTGACGCCCTGTGCATGGGAGGGAATGTGAAAGCGTTTCCGAGGCGTCGAGGCGGCCGGCTACAATTGGATGGCAGACTATTTCCGAGACTCGCACAGGCTCCGAGTTTCGCTGCTTGGGGTTTCGTTGGCGAACAATCTCGAGTTCTGGTCTCTTACCTAAGGTTTCAGCGGGATTCTTAGGTGGCTGGACATGGGACATGGGGAGTCCAAAGGATGTCTCAGTGTATTTCCGTAATTTCCTCCCGAATTTCAATTCCTTTCATTTAGGCTTGGTAATCGCCATGAAACACCTGGTTCCCTTATTGAGCGACAGTACGAGTGACCCCCTTCAGGAGGTTGGGCGATCGTGTCGAGGCCACGCCACGCATCGGTACAAGAAGTATAAAAAGGCGATCCGAGCTATATACAACTTGGACGGAGTACTTCAGCTGTTGATGTCCTTTGGAGGGCCAAAGCGACCCTGGCCCCTCCCGTGCTCCACCATCGACATTCGCAAAAGCTTCTCCCGCTTCGATTGTGGACCTGGCGAAAGGCTTCGACCAGGGTTCTGCAGAAATCCATGATCGGATCTGAGTATTACCCCCCTCTCTCTTTTTTCCCCCTTCCCCCTTTCCGCTTTCCGCTTTCCACTTTCTCCCCGTGACTGGTGGCTGGCAATTTTTCTCCCGAACTATCGACTTCTTGGCGTGTTCAATGGGGTACGGCGTATGAGGACGGTCAAAGTTACCTGTTGGCAAGCTAGCGTAATAAAATATTTTGTTACCGAATAATTTCCTAGGAACCAATCAGGGCCGTTTCATCTCATAAGGATTTTGTGCATCGTCTCTTCCAATTATCATAATCTACTACGCCCACTAGCAATATTTCATACTCCGACCGGAATACCTCCATAGCACACCCCCTCCCCTTCCCCCCCCGGCCCCATAACGGACCATCCCACCAGACTTTGACCATGCATTCTATACGATCTAAATATTGAACTTCTTTGTCAATCATTCGAAATGGTGTCTCCGACAGAGCACGTGGACAGTCCTCGCTTAACCTTCTCGATTCATCGTCGCATGTCTTTTCCCGGGGGAATTCCGGGAACAGACCTTTCAGGCGTGTGGCTTGGCCTACTGCACGACCACGGTGTGTTAAATCTGGCAGGTGCCTTCTCGCAGAGACTTTCAGAGGCGGGAGGATCATACACTAGAGTCAGTGTCTTGAGGGACGCAGGCGGGAAAACAAAATAAAGGCACAAATCGCGTCCTCGGCATCGTCGCCGGGAGTTGGCCAGCTCCACTCTCCTCTCCATCTCCTCCGCGGAGGGGCAAAGAGGAAAGAGTTAGTCAAGAGGCGCCCAACGAGGGCGCAATTCCCGGCACGGTTCGGTCCACGAGCAGCACAGAAGCGGATCCCGCAAACTACGGTGAGGCTGTTCCGAGTCCCCAGTTTCATGTTGGCCTAAAGGGACCCCCCCCCCCTCCCCGCCAGTCTCAGAAGATCAGGACGGACCGAGAGGCCGAACTCCATCCCCATCGTCTGTCGTTTCTGCAGAGAGGGTCGGCTGCAGGACTGCAATCCAGAATTGCCCCTCGGGAACCATGGCTCAACCAGTCCCGCGTATCCGGATTTCATGCCCCGGAGGCCACAAAAGGGCCGCTCGAGCTTGGTCCCGATATCGCCAATCCCCAGTTGCCGACCACGCGTCCCCGCCAGTAAGGCTATCCGGCTGCTGCTCCAGAATGAGGGGCCAATTTTTTGGTTTAAACTATGCAGCAGCAGCATCGTTTCGGCTGCTAGTAGCCCTCATTAGTTCAACCGATTATTTGTGAATATGGGGGGCATAGTCTGCCAGATCGTGTAGATCCTCGCCCCTCGCCCCCTCTGTGGCTCTCTCCGTCTCTCACTCTCTCTCCCTCTCTCTTCCGGCACTCGTCGCTCGCAGCCCCAAAAAAATAAACCCACTCGCCGAGATATCTCGGCCGAACTAGTTAAGACCTCACGCGGGCACGTCCATCCTGACCGTCTATACTCCGTTTTCCGCTATACTCCAAATTCCGTTCTACGCCCCAAATACCCCTTCCCTCTCCTCCTACCTAGTGAGACAACCTTTGCGACAAAGACACCTGGTATTTGCCAGGAAAATGGCGCGGATGTCCCTCCAGCCGTCAGCAAACTCATCCGAGTGCCGGCACAGGCCGGAAAAGACCTGAAAAGCCAAGTCCGAGTTTCAGGACGCTCAGCCAATCAGCCGCGCGCACAGCCCCCATCCGACGAGAGGATCGTGGGCGCCACCCACCTCATAGGCTCCCCTGCTCACAAATCTTTTTAGTCGAGACCCGTGGTCCTCGAAAGGTCCTCGCCTCGGAGGTATTGAAGTATGGGTGTATGGCTCGACTGCAACATACTGCAACATTGGTCCCGGCCTTCGGTTTCAACTTGGTAATACTACTTCCCGAGAAGAATTACCCGTGGTCAAAGGCGAAGGATATTCTCAACAGAACAAAAATAAAATAAAATAAAAAATAACACCCGCGACGGGACCTGACAGGCGGCGGAGGAACTCCATTCTTTCCCCATGTGAAGAGTGGAGCGCCCAAAAGAAAAGTAGAAGAAACGAAAAAAGAAACCAAACGAACCCTACCGGGGAGGAGAATACACATGGTCGGCATAAGCGGAGGGAAACCATATCAAAGGGCATCAGACAACATTAGGCATCAGGCAACTGGCCTGTCCTTACGGGAAAGAACAGAACCCGACGGAGGAACGGAAACTACGTACATTTGTCCCAAGTTGAACAGGTCGGCAAACTTTGTTCGACCGGTGGCCACCACATAGCCGCTACGAACCGTGGACCTGGGACGCATGCTCGTTCAATAGGAGAGTTGAGGAAATCGATCAGGGTGGTTTTTGGCGGCATCTCATAGCATCATCACCGAGCCTTTTAGACGATCCGCCATTGGTATGCCTAAGATCGGCAATTCCACTCGAGTCAACATCATCCCAAGATGTTTGTTTCGTGGTTTGTTAGATTCGCATTGTGATGTTTGCTATTGTTCGTGATGGTAGCAAACGTATAGTTGTATAAATATGGCGCGGTCCGAACGCTTCCCCCCCCCCCTCTTTTCCCCCTTGACCTCCGGCCGCGTCACTGATGTTTACGGGGGTCGACTCGACCTTCCAATCGCAGATCCAGACGGACTTGGGCGGCGTGAAGAAAGAATTCCATGTGATACTAGCAAGACCTCGAAGCGCCAGAATGGATCGCCAACCGTGGCCGGCGCGCTGTTTGCAGTTGTTGGGAGGGGGGAAGAAGTCTGCCTTGAGAGGGCCGTAAACTATGTCTTGTAATGGAATGCTGCAAAAAAAACCCCCAATTCCCCAAAAACCAGCAATACGCCGTAACTGGTACTGGTACTGTGATTACGGAGACCGTCTCACCTATTGCTTGTAATAAAACATCGTGAAAATGTCCTCCCCCGGAAGGGAAGAGGTTCCTCCTGTTGCGTCAGGTACGCAGCATGTCCCTCTTTCCCCCCCCCCCTCCCTTCAAGTCCCAGACACCCTTTTTTTTTCTCTCTCTTTCTCACCCATGGCTGCCTGAAATGCGCGTGCCGAACATGACCACGTCGAGGAGTTCATGATTGGATGCGAAGCCCGACGCTCTACCGTGTGCTAAATTGGCAGGACGACCATAGTACCTCCTTCAACCCTCTCGATCAGGTACCTATCGTGTTGATGTTGTAGTTGCCCATCATCCTGTTGGTGGTGTGGCGGAGGGGGGAAGGGAACTCGTTTTGCCGATGATACCGGCGTACGTGCCCGTACACACCGGCCTCTCCCCGAGGACTCCTCAGCACTCAAAAGAGTCCGGTGATTTAGTTACGGATCTAGTTAGCTGGTATTCACAAGGACAATGATTTTCGTTCTTAGAATATGAAATGGTAGCCAATATCTTTTCTTCGAGAACCCTCGACTCGGCGTCTACGGGACACTATTGAACCATTGAACCATTGAACCATTGAACCTTTGTACCATTGAATTATTGGTATCATTGAATCATTGAATCATTGAATGAACACTATGATCCTTGCTATATGGTAAATTGAACGTATGAAACGAATTTCTCTTCCTTTTTCCATCGCTTTGGTACTATGGCAATTTCAAACCCCGGCTCATTGCCAGTCTTTTTCCGGGTCGAACAAGTCCACGTAAGAGAAATCAAACTCAACCAAGAAACAGCCTTCCCTCTCCAACCTCCCTTCTCGTGGCGAAACTGGGAGAGACCCAGATATGTTTCTGGGCCTTTTTCTTTTTTTTTTTTTTTGTCTGGGAGGACCCGATTTTTCCAGGAACCCTTCCCCGACTGCCCTCATCCTCGGCAGAGCACGCCAGTCGTAGCCCCTGGCAGTGTCGATCAGTCGCAGCGCGCCATGAGCCGGCTCCTGGGCTCTTGACGCGGACGGTAGCGGGCGCAGGCAAAACTGGTTGGTTCGGACGAGACACCGGTTTAGGGTTTAGAGAATGTATCGAGTGTAAGGCCCGCGCTCCCTCCCAGCGAGAGTGTAATCTAGTTCTCGTTGTACGGTGATCGTTTTTATTTTTCGATGATACTTTTTCTATACTTTTTTTCCAAGATACTATGGTCGGGTCTCGGATCCTCGTACGGTGATACCGTGGTGATGGGACTCGGCAGACGCCCGTGGGCCGATTCACCGCCACGTTTCTCACCGGTTCGCGGGAGAGAGAGAGAGGCTGGTGGGTGCGGGCAGCAATAATTCCCAATGGTGTACGTTGGGGAGGCGATTAAACTTCCGCCCGATGGTAGCGGTGGCCCTTGGGAAGGTTTAGACCAGATAATAGTGGGAGGAGCAAGAGGAGGGCGGCACGATGTGAGTTAATTCCACGACGTGCATTGGGTTGGGCTTTTTTCTCCTCTCTGTTTGGAAGATAGAGTTCGCTTTAATGAACCCGAGCCGACAGGAATTAATCGTATCCGCTTGACCCCGAAAATCAGTCCTTACAGTGAGAAGGATGGTCGGGTGGGCCTCCTCCAGGTGTCGTGCACCTCCAGGAGGCGTGGTAGTAAGAGAGGGAGAAGGGGGGGGGTTGTGGATAGGCCATGCCCACTCCCATCTGGAGTCAGATTAAGCATATCTGTGTGTCCCATCGAACTTATTTCTCCATTGCATCCATGTCCAGTGCCCACCGCACCGCTGGTGGGGACCAGGGCAGGTGGATCTATTCGCAGGATCCCTCCCGGGGATCCCAGCGTCGCAAGTATGACAAGGTACGCACGGTGCAGGCTTTCAGCGTCGGGTGCAGCATGGATTTCATTCGAGACGGTCTCCGAGGAAATGGGCTTCGCGCTCGTTTGGACGACGCTTTGAATTGGTCTGAACTTGTCTCGGATACGACGACGAGACACGGCGCTGCTCCTGAGCTGATGTACTCCCGACGGAGTACATGGAGGTACCTGCCATACTGGAGATGATCGACCACGCTGGAGAAACCCTTGCAGCGAAAGCGCTCTAGACTATCGAGGTCATTACGGTGGTTTTTGAGTGTTTCTTTCTCATAATTACTACAGAACTGGTCCATTTCCTTTTAACTGCCATTGAATATGGAATGTACATGTGGATGCTGTGTGCTGGTTTGATGGGTAGGTATATATACGCGGCGTGAAGCCCTAACATCGTAAATTGGGAAACTGTCGATAAGCAAGCCACAAACAATGAGTAACCAACATGCAACCAAGGCTTGACTACAAGAAACCAGCCGTTCCTACATAAAACCTACTGCTCCTCTCCTTCGTGCTGGCAGGAATCAACGATTTAAGCATCTGGGGCTGGTGGAGCCAGTCCACACCTCCATTGTAGGGAGCCACAGCGCCGAGCACCACCCACCCAGAGATAAGACACAAGATGGGGCGCTGGGTCAGGTCCCAGAACGGAGATCCATCAAGTGTCCCATTCGCAAATTATTTGCCAAGTTCTCCCCAGATTTCGCGGAAAATTACCTCGCCCGAGAAAGATCTATTGACCGCACCCAAAGTTGGGATATCGGAAAGTACGTACAAGGTCAATAGACACCAGAGACCCACCTTTGCGGAAGACAGTGGTCCATTTCCAAGGAGACTCACGGGTAGAGGATCAAAAATACTATCAGAACTGGTTGCATGTACATATACACAAGTGAAGTAGATTATAGGGTACACAGTGGCCCACAAAGATACAGAAAAAAATTAGACTGAGCCCACCACCTTCCCCCAAAAAAGACATAGAATTATAACAGAAACTCCCGCCCCCCGAGCCAGACAAGACACAGGACAAAACGCCCTCCTATTATTCCTTAGCGGACTTACCAGAGCTCGCTATGCCCTCTGACCCGAGCTGCGGCTCCGGCTCGACGCCATCGCTCACCACCGGATGCATTGAATGCTCGACGTTCACCACCGGTCCCTTGAACCAGTGACGCGCATCTACCACCCACCACACCAAAACAGCCAGCATTGGCCCCCCATATACCAGCGCCGTCCAGTTCATCAGGTCCGGGGCCAAGTCAGCGCCCCTCACACTAGGAAGACACAAAATCGGCACCATCAGCACGACGAACGACACGCCCACAGCCCCGATATATGGCCCAAACGGGCCCAGATGCCACGGGCCCCTGCGGAAGCGATTGCCAACGAAGAACACGCGGATGAAGATGGGAATTGCGAACGCGACGAACTGTGCGATCGCGCCGATCGAGAAAAGCGCGCCGATGGCCACGGTCCCGGCCAGGATGAGCAGGCACATCAAAATGCCGAGCACTGCGTTCAGAATGACTGCGTTGACAGGAGTCTGCGTATGCACGTTGACTTTCTTCCACACGCGCGACAGCGGGAAGCAGTCATCGCGCGCGTAGGCGTACGTCACTCGCGATGCGGCCACCATGCAGCCCTGGCCCATGGAGAAGCCGCAGATGATGGTCAGTCCGAGGATGCCCAGCGCCGCCTTCTGCGGCATCACCTGGAGCAGATAGGAGGCCCATGGCTGACCGAGATCCGAGTCTATCACGGCGCTGATGTCGACAACTGTGTAGGCCACGACCAGCTGCAGGAACCAACCCATCAGGCCGCCGACGCCGGAGGTGAGCACGATGGCACGCGGCGAGGCGATGTTCGCATTCGAGCACTCCTCGCTGAGATGGAAGGGCGAGTCATAGCCCGACATGGTCCAGATCACACCAACGAAGGTCATGAGCACGGCGACGCCGTCGGGAAAGTCGGTTTGGTTGGTGATGTTGCTCCAGACGTCGTGAGCGGAGGTGAACTTCGGGCTGTTTTTGGTTCCGGCTGGGATGGCAATGATCGTGGCGATGAGGGCGAGCATATTGAAGGTGGATCCCCAGGAATTGAACTGCGCAACGCGCTTGGTGGGGAGGCTGCTGATGGCGGCGTGGATAATCATGATCAAAACTGTCAGAAGGAATGTTTGCCAGGTTGTGGGGACATAGTCTGGATTTGTGATTGACCCAGCGGCCAGAATCATCGCGGCCAGAGCATAGTCGACTGATGGCGCCGCAGTGATCTGTCCGATCCAATTCGACCACCCAGTGATCCAAGCAGCCAAGGGGCCATATCCCGGAGGTGCGAGCACGGCTGCAGCGTAATATAGACCTCCACTAAAAGACAAGGAGATATCACGAATCAGCACGGGTTCCAGGAATTCCAAAAGGAACTTGTGAGGGCTGAATCCTTACCTTGTTGGCATAGCTGAGCAAAGCTCGGCCATTGACATTGCAATACATTGAATGAAAATCATGGCGACAATCCAGCCCCAAACCATGCCAGCTGTTCCCGCGTATCCCATTCCTGCGTAAGAGCTCGTTAGTCAACCACGTTACATCGCAGCAGCCTGGTTGAGCAACCCACCATAATACAAGGTGCTTGCGAACGATGGCAGCAGACCGAGCACTGCAAAGCTGACACAGAACGTCGTCCACAGTGAGAACTCGCGCTTGAATTCCTGTTTATATCCTAGGGCCGTGATCACTCTCTCGTCAGCGTCCATATCATGGTCCGCCCATGGCACATCGCCATCGGGGAGGACGGATGTGACGTGGGCATCGCTGGCATTGGCGTAAACGCGATGTTTGGAGGTGCTCGAATCAATTTTTTTAGCCTCCATTTCCGTGGATAGATGGACATTCGTCCAAAGGGGAAATCGTGATTCAATACGGCCAGGTAGGTAGTGGGGAAGCCGGTCGTCGATACGAAGTAGAGTCTGATGATATTAAGAATCTCAGAGATATTGAACGACCTTGCCGTATTAGATGTTTATTGATTTGAATCGGAGCTAGTTCAACAATGAGGGAGAACCGGCGATTTTAAAAGAGCCGGGGCTATCAGTTCACCAAGCTAAGGGGGCATGTCGGCAGTGGTTATCTTTGCGCCGACCCATGTGGTAAGTTGGTACCTATCCCTGCGCTACAACGATTAAGGACGCCATCATCCGAAACGAAGAATCGCAGCAAGCCAACCAAGCCCCGTGGTGTCTGATCCGGTGGGACTGGCGGAAGCTCGCGAGAAGGGCTCATGACGAGAGGGGCGCGCAGCAGGGGGTGCCCCCGTTCAGCGGGATAAACAGACATGCTTTCTCCGCAATATTAGCGAGCAGCAGCATTGACGATAAGGGGGCAGAGCCCAAGCTATCATTAGGTATCGCGAATAACGACCGGATTAAGGCGAGACGAATCGATCTCGCAAGGCAAAAGAATCCCTTTGATTCGATCAGAATGCACTGACTTCTCCGCACGGGGGATCCTGTGATTCGTAGATGGCGGGCACTCGGACGCAATTCCATTCGAGCGGCCACTAGGATCCTTGCTATTCTGCTACCCCGGGAGCTTGGCAAGAGTTCCAAGCCCACAAGGGCAATTCCAAGCGTTATTTTTGAGGAGGCGTTGTTTATTGTTCGGGTTGTGTTGGAAGGATGATCTGGTTGGTTCTTATCGGATTGATAGGCGCGAGATAACGAGCGTGACATGATACGAATGCCCAGGCTTATCGGCACTTCAGGATAGACCTGCCCGAGTAGGCATGGTTGAAAGGCTGAAGGGTCGAAGGGTCAAAGGTGACAAGCACTGGCCCTATCGGCCGGACCGACTAGTAAATGAGGATCAGAGGGGTAGCTACTGTACATCTGATAACTACAGTTGACAATACGACATCTCGTACTGGATCCTAGACACGAAGGAGATCCCCACAGCTGGGTTGGAAACGGCTGCTTCTATGTGCTATTATTCAAACAGAAAAAGAGACTTGCACATCACTATTCTACATACTGTCTCGGTTGCCTATTTCATCGCTAATATCAAGGGTACCTGAAGAGACACCCCACTTATGAAATCGCAGATGATTTAGAAAGGCTAAAAATTGAAATCAGCATAACTTTCATAGAGAACAAAGAAGGTCGTAAACTTACGTTGTCCTCGGGGGCGATGGTGCGGTCAAAGTAGGTGTCCAGGAAGGGGAACTGCTGGAGAATATCACGGCGGACACGGGGGACCTCGCCGAGGAAGAAGAGCGCACCGGTGCCGGCAGCAACACCGAAAGTGGCGGCAAGGGTACCACTAAACCTATGCATCAGCCAACCATGCGAGACAAAGTTGACACTCTGGGTTGAACCCAAGAGAACCGGGGTAGAGACTTACGCCTGGACGGCAGAGGGGATGGTGAAGCCCGCGACGGTACGGGGGATGGCAATCCTGTAGCAGCACAAATGCTTGTTAGTCTAATCTCCTCAATCGTCCGATCATATATGGCTATGCCTGCAGGCTATCCCATGGCATTTTGAGGTACAGTGCATTAGTCGCGAAAGTCCAAAGTGCCAAAGGTCAAGCGTCGCTTCAACCTTGACTAATTGAAGTGCTGAGTGAGACCATGAATATGTCCTCAAGAAGACACAAGTATAGCTCATGGGTGCAACAGTAGGAATTTCGAGAATATTTGGGGATTGATAGGTCGCCGAGAGAGGCATCGGCTTTAAGGGTCGTGGACGGGATTTCGGGAGTCTTACTTGGGCGCAAAAGCGGAGGCAGAGACCTGGGCCGCGGCGCGGCGGAGGGTGGGAGTGAAGGCCTATCAATTCAGAAGTAAAATTAGTGACTGCTTTCAGTTCATGTACCATTGTGTCATCCGCGCTCGTTCCGTGGGGTCTTGGGACCCGATCGGGTGCAAGGAGCGAGACGCCTATCACCCATCCCAGCAACCTGGCACCAGAAGGGCAAAGCCATCAAAGTCCTGACACTGCGGAGACTCCGACAGCGAGTAATTGAGAGCCACATACCATTGTTGTCAGCGAGGGCAGTTGGGACAATTGCTCGAGGAAGGGATCGGAGCTGCACTTTCGAGGTCGACGAAAACCGGGAGAACACCACGTGATCAACACATGACAGCCAATCGGAAGGGACGCATTTGGTCAGACATAGGCTACACCTTCAACCCGTGGACACAGCGCGTCGAGGAATTCGAAGAGCTACGATATACTTTCATGCGAATCTCAATGGTATCAAATTTGTGGATTCAAACTGATAAAAAATATAACAAATAAAAAAGGAAAGGGAAAAAGGAAATATGTGCTTCAAAACCCCATATTCGGACATGCAAAAGATTCAAATGTGACCGGACGGAGCAGGAAACTCTACCAAAGAACAAAGACAGCTGCAATCAATCAAATACAGTGTAAAAAGGAAATTGTAACCACACAGCCAAACACCTGAACTGTACATGCGTCTCATTAATCGACTTTTCCGGTCGAACCTCCATTCAAGAATCCCTCCTTGCCATCCAGCTGGAAGAAGCCGCCACCCCCATTCGAGTTGCCCAGAATGCCACCACGGCCAAAGCCACCACGGCGTAAGAGGCGTCCACGACCGAAGATAGTGGCCACAGCAACAGTGAGACCCAGCAGGATGAAGAATAGGATAGGGTGGCCGCTGAGGAAGGATCGGGTGTAAAAGAAGAAGGCTTCAAAGGTGCCAACGGTGGACTTTGGCGATAGCTTCGGAGGAGAAGCAATGACGAGAGGAATAGTCTCAAGAATGGAAGTACGTGAGGCCATGATCGGAGCTCCACTTGATGCAGTATCCCAGTAACGACGATTCTACAACAGGTCAGTACTCATTCTCGTAATGATGGAGAGGAGGAATGTGCTTACATCTTCATCATTAACAATCACGCGGTCACCCTGCTCCACATCGATACCGTAAGTGGTACGCAACCAGCGCTCCCAGAAATCACCGTCCACCCACGCAAAAGCAACAGGCTTCTTGTCGTCCTCACGAATGGTAATACGCATGTTCTTGGCAGCGCGCAGCGCGCGTTGGTCATTGCGATCATTAGCTTCCTCGATACGCAACTGCTTAGCATCACGAAGTTCTGACCGCTCGAGACGGAACAACTGAATCTGCTTATCCATCCACTCAAAAGCGGCCTCCTTCAACTCACGCTTGGACTGTTTGAAATCGTCGGAGCGACGACGGCTGAGAATACCAAGAACCACAAACTTGCCATCCATGATCTCGTGGGCGTTGGAAGCTGTGAGCTCGGGAACAATCGGTAGCCAAACTGTCTGCATCCAGGATAGAATCTGGCGGAAGTCTCTCATGTCCTTGGGAGCAAGAGCATTGTAATAGTTGGGTCGTCCATCGCGGACGACCAGGAGGCGAGGCCATGTGGAAATCTTGAATCGCTCTGCCAGGGCAGCACTGCTAGTTTTGACAATGCGGGCATGGCCCACAAGGCTGAGGGTCAAGCGCTCCATAGCCTTGAAGTCCTCAGAGGTAGTCGCTTGGTCGTAAAAATACAAAAACACAACTTCTTCAGTCTCCTCCAGCTCTTTGAAGGTGGCTGCATCAACATCCTCGATACTGGACCCTGGCCCAATAGCCTTTTTGGTGTAGGAGATGAGATCTCCAAGGCCACGCAGACCGGCGTACTCAACTCGTTGACCACCTCGGAAAAAGTAAATGGTGGGGAAGGCCGACACACGCGCATCTTCACAAAGGCGAGCTTCCACGTCACAGTTCACTTCACCGACATTCAGAGTGTCTTTCATCTCCTTGGCCATTTCCTTCCAGTTTGGTGCCATGGCCTGGCAGTGAGGGCACCACGGAGCGTAAAATTTAATAAACCACGAATCTTGCGTGGTAGTCACCAATTTCTGGAAACTCTCAGCAGTAAGGGGAATTGAAACGCCCTGCGGGTTAGGGGGAGCTGCCTGGGGTTTGGAAACAACGACACTATTCGCAGTGTCGCTGGGCGAAGTATCCAAGGCGTCGGACGCCTTCTGAGCAACCAGGGAGTTATGTTTCTCACCAGCTTCGGTACCGGCCTGAGGATCTTTATCTTTGGCAACAGGAGAATCAGGCTCGGCAGAGGAGTCAACGCTGCTCGCACCAACCTCGGGCAATTTGATCCCTTGCGGAGGACGAGACCCCGGCTTGATTGACTCAAGCTTCTCTTCGATCATCTTGCTCAGATCCGCGATTGACTTAACACCGACGTGCTTATCTTTCTGAACACCCTCATCGTAGAATGCGAAGATCGGATAGGCACTGATGCCAAGTTTCTCACAGAAATCGCCATGAGCCAGACAGTTCATGGAAGCGAAGTGGAAATTATAGTAATTGGTGAAACCGTTCAAAGATTTTGGATCAGGGGACTTTCCGGATGATGGCGAAAGGGGATTAGAGGTCTAATACTGCAAATTAGCGGATATACTTCATCCAATGGTATTGAATGGGATCATTTACGTAGTAGTACTCGAAGGTAGTCTGGTAGGCCGGCGCAGCCTTTCTGCAATGGGTGCAAGACGGCGAATAGTGCTTCACAAACCTGCAAGCAGTCAGTACTGAAACGAATATCCTGGAGGAACTCTCGAGGAAAAGAGAGGTACTGACCAAGTGCCATCCTTGGTGGCCTCCTCGAAATTCTCCGGAGTCAACTGGAACAGCGGTGGGACATCTAGGCCGTTGAAGATAGATGGTTCTTCGGGGTCAACACCACGGCTGCTTCGCTTTGTCTTCAGGCGGCTGCCAACTTGTGACTCCGACTCTGACGGCACAGCGAATGTAGGCACAGCCAACAGCGACAGAAGGGACCAACCTAGCCAGGAGGCCTTCATTGTAGCGAGGAAAAAAGAGATATTACCCTCGAGAACGTGTTAAAAAGGAGAGTATCAGTGAGCCACCGGAGGGCCACAAAATCGGATTAAAACGAAGGACGCTGGTCGAAAGGGAGAATCGCGAAATGTCACAGGTGGCACATTGGACGGGGGGCGAAAACTGGCTCGGATCGAACGCCGGTCGGTCAGCCGAGAGGAAGCAGCAAGTAGGGACAAATCAGACCCAAGCCTTGAGCCCTAGAAAGACAATATCAGACAGCACAGCGTCCGGAAGAACCGAGAGGTCGCGCGCGTGCGGATTAGGGAGGGAAGGGTGGTTGCCCCTGCCAGCGTCCTTTGGGGTGGGATCTCAAGTTTATCCGCTCCGGCCTGACTTCGACTTCCCATTCCATCACCCTGACCAGCGTCCGCCTTCAACCCCAAAACCCACTCTACTCCACGCCAAAATGCGGTCTACACTCCGGCTGTTGGCCAATGTCAAGCCCCGGTACTTGGAGCCCTTTGCTCCCACCGGATTGACTGGCCTGACCACCCACCCGAGCCCCCGTCCGACTTTGATCTACCTTTACAACACTACCCTTCAGAAGCTGTCTAACTTCCCCGAGACATCCGCCTACCGCCAATCGGTCGAAGCATTGACTCGCCATCGCTTGCAGATTGTCGAGTCACAGAAGCCCCCAGGCTTTGAGTCGTGGTTGGAGCGTGTGAAGAAGACCGTGGGCGCCGAGCCCGAGCGCTTCGCCCAACTCCAGCGATCCGATGGCACATTCGCCTATGTCGGCTCACAGCAAGCGGATGGAAGCGACAATGCTCGCGGCGAGGAGTGGGATGGCGAAGGCCTGTCTGCTACGACCGAGGGTCCTACTCGTACCCCGCAAGAAGTTGCTGAGTGGAACAAGATCATGGAAGAGTCCAGCACAACTGCTGCGGAGACGGAGGCGGACCACTACGAAGCTGAGATGAAGTGGGAGAACGAGCCGGCCCTCGAGGCGAAGCAGTGCGTGAAATTGTTTGTTCAATGCAAGGCATTCCATGGCTAACATATGTCGCAGAATCGACGAGATTGAGCAGCAGATTGGTGCTGGCCTCATTGAGGAGGTCATCCAGGTCGCAGAGGCGGAGCTCAAACTTGTTGATGAGCTGTACGCTTCGAGAGTGTAAGTCGAAAATGGCGGTGCCCTGTCACTTAAGCCGATTATCCTAACATCATTTATAGGTGGGAAGAGCTGGAGGAGAAGCCCGCTCCTGGCCAATGGACCTACTTCGAGCGCGGTAATTAAATTTATTCCGGAAAATGGCCTATGGGCCCAATTTCTGTAACGATTAGAGGTCGGACTGTTCCAATACATTTCTTTTACTTTACTTTGCATATCGGTCTGTCTTCGTCGATGCGAGCTAGACGTCCGTCTCTTGGTGGAGCATGTACCCCAGTAGCTACTGAGAGTTTTCTTCGTACAATATGGCCAAGAGGCTTGGAATGAAGACTGAAAGGGATGTGCACTGTTCTAGGTACGAGAAGTCGTCGAAACTCTGGACTTGTGCTCTCGGCTCTTCCATGTAAATCTAGACGACGTTTGAAAATTTGGCAAATACAGATAGATCAGATAAATAAGGCGCTATTGGTTTGTAATAGCCGTTTTCAACCATTTTCTCTCTATGGACTTCGATGAATGGTGCATTCCCTGATCTAAAATTGCTTGGTAGATACGCAGTACCCTGCTCTCGACTGCGCAGGTGTCTCGAATCTCCGGAAGGCGGTGAGCCCAGGCGGGAATCCCTTGTGGACACATACATTGTCCCTGAATGACCTCCAGCTCTTCTCTAGCAGAGAACCCTTTGCGATTCTCAAATTATCCCCAGCTGATTCCGAGGACCGTTCGTCGCTCATATCTCGGGCTGTCTGAGCGGCTCGTGGAATCCTCCCTCGCTCTTACAGGCCCAACACCGCGCCACACAAACACCTCTCATCCCCCACACACCCACCCACCATGCGGCTCGACGTCAAGGTACGAACTCGGTCAAGAAGGCCTTATTTGCTCTTGCATAGAGATGATACAATACTGGCGATGGATATTTGTGGAATTGGGGGCAATTGCTGACGCGTTCGTTCTAAACAGAGGCAACTCTTTGCCCGCTCGGAGCGGGTTAAGGGCGTCGATTTCCACCCAACCGAGCCCTGGGTCAGTTCGCATGATGTGATAGGCGACCTATAGCTGCGCTGACTCTTTCCTAGATCTTGACAACTCTGTACAGTGGCCACGTCTATGTTTGGTCCTATGAAACACAGGTGAGTTGAAGAGGTATTGATCGTTGATGTTTAAAGGCAAGCTTTGCTGACTCGCTGTTCCTTTTAGTCCATTATCAAGACCTTCGAACTCACCGATGTCCCCGTCCGCGCTGGTCGCTTTGTGGCACGCAAGAACTGGATCGTGACCGGTTTGTTATTAAACTCTTTACCGGTACTGCTAAGGTACTGACTGGAATACAAGGTGCCGATGACTTCCAACTCCGCGTCCATAACTACAATACCTCCGAGAAGATCACTTCCTTTGAAGCGCACCCGGACTATATTCGTGCAATTTGCGTCCATCCTACCCAACCATTTATTCTCACAGCCTCCGATGGTGAGCCTAAGCTCTACCTTGTGCCATTTTGATCAACTGGCTAAACGCATAAACAGATATGAGCATCAAACTTTGGAACTGGGATATGGGATTCAAATGCGTTCAGGTCTTTGAGGGTCATGGTCATTATGTGATGGGTAAGTTCCAAGATACATGGTCTTGCATCCCTCACAAGTCCAGTGTTAACCATTTTTAAAAAGGCCTCGCTTTCAATCCCAAGGACACGAACACATTTGCCTCTGCTTGTCTTGATAGGACAGTCAAGATCTGGTCGCTTGGATCGCCAAACGCGAACTTTACACTCGAAGCTCACGAGACAAAGGTTGATATTCCTTCTGAACACTTTGAAATGGCCCGCCAAACTCACTATGCACCAGGGAGTCAATTCCGTTGAGTACTATCCCAACCAGGATAAACCTTATCTTTTAACCACATCGGATGGTAAGAATAAACACCACATTTTTATGGGCAAATCTAACTTAGAATAAACAGACAAGACCGTGAAGGTGTGGGACTATACCACGAAGGCCCTCATCGCCACATTGGAAGGTCACACTAGCAATGTTTCCTTCGCTTGTTACCACCCTGAGCTTCCTGTGATCATCTCCGGTTCAGAGTCAGTTTTCTAGCATATGCCCTCTTACGTGAATTCGGTTTAACAAAAAAAACTATAGGGATGGAACCGTCAAGCTCTGGAATAGTAATACTTACAGGCTGGAGCAGTCATTAAGCTATGGCTTGGAACGAGCATGGTGTGTTGCCTACCAGCGTGGCCGGCAAGGAATTGCAATGGGCTTCGATGATGGTGCAGTGGTTGTTAAGATGGGCCGGGAGGAGCCCGCTGTCTCAATGGACGGATCTGGTAAGCTCATTTGGGCTCGACACAACGAGGTTATTTCATCGGTCATTAAGGGCGGTGATGCAACCCTCAAAGATGGTGAGCCTCTTGTGTTGGCGACAAAGGAGCTCGGACAATGCGAAATCTACCCACAAAGCCTTTCCCACTCACCTAACGGACGTTTTGTGTCTGTTTGCGGTGATGGTGAGTACATCATCTATACTGCGTTGGCGTGGAGAAACAAGGCCTTTGGCCAAGCCCTGGATTTTGCCTGGGGCTCTAAGGATAACAGCAACGATTATGCTATCCGTGAATCCACAACCAGCGTCAAGATCTTCAAGAACTTCAAAGAACAGAGCAGCGGCCTCGATGTTGGCTTTCAAGCCGAAGGCTTGAGCTCTGGTGTCTTGTTGGGTGTTAAGGGACAAGGAGGTATTGGGTTGTTTGACTGGGAGACCGGCAACTTGGTCCGAAGAATTGAAGCCGAACCCAAAGAGGTTTATTGGAGCGAGAGCGGCGAGCTTGTAACACTTGCTTGCGATGATGCCTTCTACGTCCTCCGCTATTCCCAGGAGGCTTATGCTGAGGGTCTCGCCAACGGCGAGGCTGACGAGGATGGTGTCGAGGCAGCTATGGAGCTGGTCGCTACCATCAACGAGACTGTCCGAACCGCCGAGTGGGTTGGTGATTGCTTCATCTATACCAATTCCACCAACCGTCTGAACTACCTCGTGGGTGACCAGACCTACACCATTTCCCACTTCGACCAGCCCATGTACTTGTTGGGATATCTCCCCCGCGACGCTCGGATTTACCTGTCTGACAAGGATGTTAATGTTATGTCCTTCGCTCTCTCTCTGTCGCTAGTGTCTTACCAGACCTGCGTTCTTCGTGAAGACATGGAGATGGCTGCCGAGCTACTCAAGGATGTACCCGAGGATCAGATGAACAAGGTCGCTCGCTTCCTTGAGGGTCAGGGATACAAAGAAATGGCCCTTGAGGTCGCTACAGACTCGGAGCACCGTTTTGATCTAGCCTTGTCACTTAACGACCTTGAGACCGCCCTTGAAATTGCTCGTGAAACTAACACTGAACACCGATGGAAGATCGTAGGCGATGCCGCCCTCGCTGCCTTCAATCTTGCTCTAGCCCAGGAGTGCTTCACCAATGCTAAAGACGTTGGTTCTCTCCTACTGCTGCACACCGCTAGCAATAACCGAGAAGGTCTTCGCTCCCTGGTCGTTCAGGCTTCTGAGTCCGGGCTGCACAACGTTGCTTTCTCCAGCCTGTGGGCTTTGGGAGACGTTGACGGTTGCATTGATCTTCTCGTCAAGTCCAATCGATTTGCCGAGAGTGTTTTGTTCGCCCAGACCTACAAGCCCTCTCGAGCCCCTGAGCTTACTGTGAAGTGGAAGGAGTCTCTCGAGGGCTCAGGCAAGACCAAGGTGGCCCGCCTGATTGGTGTGCCTCCTGGTGCTCCTGATGTTATCTCCACGGATGATGATCTTTTCCCCGAATGGGACGAATACATTCGCCTCGAGAAGGAAGGCATTGTCCCCGAAGCCCCCTTGTCAGCGTCACTGATTGATATTGATGGCGACAACGAGACTGCAGCGAACGGCGGTCCTGCGGAAGAACCAGAAGCCGAGGCCGAGGCTGAGGCTGAAGAGGAGAGCGAGGAGGCAGAGTAAAAAGGCTTGAGATTTGGTTTGTCTTTCAATCAGCCCGGAGATGCGTTGATAGAGCATTTTTTTAACCTCTTCTTTATTTGCTGAGTTGGTTCACTCGGATTCTTTGCTAGCGGCGTCGTAACGTGTGCCCGATTGTTTATTAACATTATGGATTCTTTTTCCCCTTTCTTGTCCCCATCTTGTCTCTCTCCTTATGTAATTTTGCGGCGTCATGACTCAGTCTCACGGGGAAACGCCCGATGCTGGACGAATAGACAAAATTAGGCTGTTGTTCGTTCAAATTGGTTCGCAGTCAAGCTGTTGGTCCTACAGATCGTTCTTATAGATACGTACTAGACGGTTCATTGTGAAAGACATGCTGTCTTCTCCTGCCGCTATCAACGAAGGGATGAAACGTGACCTTCCATCCCCACCTCTGCGCGGCCTCAGCCTTCACCTTCTAATTGTCCCTTGATCCGAAAAAGCAGCTCTTATTGTCTCCCTAATATGTTATACCATACATAATGCAGTCATGTCAGTCTCTTCTTCTCTATCTACGGCCTCTGGCCTAGAATACAAGTCATACTGTGAAGATGAGAACTTCATGGCCGAAGGAAAGCCTGAGCCTAACAGTCGCTCCCAGACTGTGGTCAACCATCTACGCGACAAAGCTTGGTGGATCAAAGTAACATTCCATGGCATATTTCCTCCCGTTGCTCACCATACCAAGCCTGGGCAACTCAGATCAAAACGCGAACGACGAATTGAATTCCAAGACTTTGTCAAGCTAATCGATTTCGAGTCACTGGCTCGTCTTGATGACACTGTAACTGAAGTTATATTGAAAGAGGACACAAAGGCTATCAAGGATATCAACCTCCTTCGCGACCCGACAGATAAGAATCGGTTCACGCAGCTACTAAGAAGCTTGCAATTCTTTGTTCGGGAGGATCCATTGAAAGTGACCCGCCAAGCTGCCAATTCCCGTCGTTCCAAGCTATCAAAGTCACAGAACTGAGTGAGGAACATGAGATCACTGATGGGGTATTCCGCGTTTTACACAAGGGCGATAATAAACGATATGTTCTAAAAGTGGTCAACCGCCCTTTGTACCACCCGCGGGATTCAGATGTGCTACGACAAGAACTAGAAAACCTCGAACTATTCAAGGGTATAGAAGGGATAATTCAGCCAGCTGGCGTTGCAGTGATCCCCAACCCATACGCGACTGACCTCCAAAATCGTAATCCACAGACAGTTATCAGCGGTATTCTTTTGGAATACTGCGGTGGAGGCAACTTACAACGTGTCTTGGGTGAACAGAGAGTCAATAAATTCCGTTGGGGGCAATGGGATGTTCAAATTGGGAATGCTTTGGACACACTTCACCGGGCAAAGAAGACCCATATGGACTTGAAGCCTTCAAATGTTGTTCTAGACGATGATGGCAATGCAGTCCTCGTCGATATTAGCGGCATCGGCGGCATGACGCATGAATGGCGTGCTCCAGAAATAATGGATGAAATATACCCTTTTGAGCTCCCTTTCCAGACTCGTCGATTGAACGATACTTGGGCTTACGGTACGCTTCTAAAGAAAATTGCGTTCAAAGCTGAGGATAGCCCTTTTGTGAAGACTCTCAAGTTGGTTGCGAATCATTTGACTCAAGATGTCCATACTCGGTTGACTCTTTCTGAAGCAATCTCTGTGTTGAAAGCTTCATCGCAGTCGAACTTGTTTCACGATGGTGAAAGAGAAATCCCCCCCGAGGCGCATATCTCTCATCAGAACATTGACGCGGCCGGACGTCAGATTCAATCATAAACCCATGCTACATCATCCTTGCCAAAAGCACCGTTCGTCCTGCAGCCTGCATGCTTGGCTAGCCATTATATATGAGATTTAACGCGACCAATCTCAAGAGAAAGAACCAACGTAGTGTAGTGGGGTTCTGTCCACGTACACCCTCCACATACTTATTATACTTACTGTGCAATTGTTCTTGTTAGTTTAGCTGGCTGATCAGTGTTAAAAACTGGCATGATCATGGTGGAGATAAAATGACGAGGCAAGTAAGATCTTCGGTGCCCTCATGCAAGATATAAAAAGCGCGCCCTGCAGATCGTACAAAACGGCCCTAATGTAGCATGATTTACTTGGGTCTACTCTCCATAAAAAGGGTATATGGAGCCATTGACCCACCCCCCTAAGCGCCTTTGAAACACTATACAAGACATAATTGACCATTAGAAGATCGAATAGCATTGGATTAACTTTAGACATCGTCGTTGCGTGATGTCACAGTAAGCAGAGCAAGATGGGCAGGATCCTTGGCATAAGCTTGGGTTATTGGCATCAGGGTTTGGGGACGTGAAGATGATTCGAAGGCAGTATAAAAGCTCGAGAAATATATCAATGAAGGGAAAGAATTTCATTGGCAAGATTCGTTTATACTTCAATCAGTCATCGGAACCGTCAAAACCGGTTCATCTTCCAAATATTTCCGAATCATGGTTCCCTCTCACACCGCGCTTCTTCTCCTTGCAGCTACTTCTGCAACAGTATACGCCGAGCATCTGAAGGTTGTCTGGTCTGCTGGTGACTTTTCAACTATTTCCGGTCCTGCTGGTGGCAATACCAATGGTCACTATGCGGGCTTCGCCATCATTAATGATGCAGGCGAAGCGATCTACAACGACGGCTTTCCGGCCGATCATTCTCCCTGCTATAACACCGATGGCGGCCGCGAGTTTACTATTGAGGGTGCTTGCTGGAGCACCGCACGCAAATTCAAGTGTCTAGCGGACTTCGCAGGTCATTCTCAGGACTGCGAGGTTAAGGATGGTGATGGCAACAGTCTAGGCACTGGCGAAGGACAAACAGATACAATATTCATTGATATTGCTATCGGTCAAGATGCTAGCTGTGTCGTTGAATTTGAATCCGACAGTGACGGCTGCCCTGTTGACGATGGCAATGGGCCCCTTCACGTCACCTCCGGTTAAACAATATGATGGAACTGTCCAAGGCAGAAACTCTCTGCAAATGTTGGGTTTTGTCTTTCACCTGGAGCAATATGTAACCTATTGTTTGCGATTTGATATCCTTGATCCTATCTGGCATTTAAGTGGGATTGTAGGGAGTCAGTCAAGGACCTCATGAATCGAGACTTGATCGGATCCGACTAGAATGGTTTGATTCTTATATACGTATGGAAGAGGATTTACTGTACAATGGATCAAGAGTTATCAAAAATTTCGACAGTTTAGACAGCTCTAGCATCAGCGCTCTCAGGACATTTGCGCCTTTCGTCTCCATGGTTTATCTCCATCGGTAAATCCTCATAAATTAGCCACTGATTACCTTAACATGATAATCTGTCTCAGAAGGGAAGCCTCTACGCGGAATAATTTACATCATGTTATTTCCCGTCGGTTATACCTTACAAATTACGTCTAGGGGGGTCATTTCATCGAGAAAGGAACTTGGTACCAGTGAGAAAGATGTGCTCGGCATTGTCCATTGAGATTTTATCAAGGGTACGGAGAATGGACATCTCACACCCGAAAAGCTGGACGAATACAAAGAGAGACGAACAAAAGTCGACAGGTAATGACCGCTTGAGAACATCAAACGAAAACAAGGGGTTGGAGAGGGACCTGCCTGGGAGGGTGTTTGAATGATGCTGAGATGGGATGGCCAGAAACAAATCAAAGCGCTCAATGGGAAAGAAAAGGGGATGGGGGTTTGACGAGAGGGGGAAAGGAAGAAAAGAACAACAAAGTGGGTGGAAGAAAAGAGATGACTGTAGTCTCGGGATGTGGAGGAGATACTTCGAGACCAAGATGCCGCAGACTCCTTGGGATGGGAAGGGAAGAAAAAAAGACAGAGGAAAAAAAGAACACAAGACAAGAAAAATGATCAAGATTGGTGATATGTGGATCAAGACAAAAACACAGTACAAAGGAGAATCATGTCTATGAGGCCCTTCTCGCACATCGATCCGATCATTCTCGATCTAATTGTCGTGGCGAACAGTCCAAAGCAGACCCTGCTTTTACTCCGGAATGCTGCCAAAGGAAGGGTCCTTGACACTGCCGCCAGCATCGCCCAGGCCAGCCACCGGGCGGTTATATGACCAGCCAGCGAACTGCTGCTGCATAGTTGAGGACAGAGCGGGACCATCAACGTAAGAATCCTGCGGCGCCTCACGAGTGAACTCCTGGTCAAAGTTATCTGTGTCACGGGCATCAAGCTATACAAAAATTATCAGCAAGTTTGTTGATATAAAACAAGTCGGTGGGGTTGAAAATGTGTACATACCACGTTGGGACGGAAGCTGGGCTCATACTTCCGCTGGAGGAGCTTACGCCAATCGATGTTCGCGAAGAAGTGGTGAGACTTGATCTCCGCGGCACCGTTGGCACCGAGACGACGCTGAGGGTCGCGGTCAAGCAGACGTGTGAGAAGATCCCGAGCAGCCGGAGGCACAATGTCACTGCTGGGGAACGTCAAAGGCTCCTGCAGAATCTTGCGATACATCTCATTTGTGTTCTCGTCGTAAAATGGTGGTAAGCCAGTCAACATTTCGTAGAGCAAGACACCCAGTGTCCACCAGTCCACGGTCTTTGTGTACCCATTACCAAGCAGCAATTCAGGGGCCAGGTACTCAGGTGTGCCACAGAAAGCTGAAATCCAATTAGCCAAAAATGCGACGAAAAGACGAGAGAGAAGTAGAGCTCACTATTTGTTCGGTCCTCATCCTTCATGTCTAGCTTGCAAAGACCGAAGTCGCAAAGAGCAATGTGACCAGTATAATCAAGAAGAATGTTTTCGGGCTTCAGATCTCTGTAAATGACCTTGAAGCCATGCAAACATTCGAGCGCGCACAGCAGCTCTGCAGTGTAGAAACGGGCACGATTGATGTCAAATCGCTGCTCTCGTTGCAGGTGGTGGAACAATTCTCCACCGTTGACAAATGCTAGAACCAGATACAATTTTTCAGGTGACTGGAATGAGAACTTCAAGGGGACAATGAAGGGGTTGTTGATCTGGGCGAGCACAGATCGCTCTGCGAGAGTGTGCGTCACTTCAGACCGGGAAATAATGTGAGCCTTGCGAATAGTCTTAAGGGCGTAGATTCGGCCAGTATCTTTCTTCCTGTAGTTGAATTTCCCAATAAGTATGCAGGGACACATTGAAGTTCCCAAAGGGAGGAGAGAGGTGGGTGTCCACTTACACGACCTGCATGACCTTGCCGAAACTTCCCTTGCCCACAACCTTCAACAAGTCAAAGTCCTCCATCTTCAGACTGCGCTGTCTATTCTCGACGAAGGAGACACCAATCTTGACCGAGCCGTTACCGAATTGAAGGTCCAGCCATTCAGCGCCGAGTTGGCCCATGGTACGCTCTTGCTCTGCATGAGCGGCGGCCGCCTTCTGGTTGTCCTTCTTGCTCAGCTTCGGGTCTTCCACATATGCTTGTCGCTGACTGGCTTCCTCAAAGCGCGGGTGAATCTTCACGGCGCCCAAGAAAATATCTTCGCTACGACCGACACCTTGCCGGGCTGCGGGGTTACGCAAGTACAACTGCACATTCAATTCAGTTTTCCGGGACACATCGAACTTGAACGCTGTGCTGTCACCGGCCCACAGCGGATTTTCAGGGGTTCCCGACACGGCGTCAACAAACACCTGGTTCTTCTCGAAATCAAGAAGGGCATAAGGAAGGTATTTGGTCGAATAGCGGCCGTGAATAGTGGGCGCCGCATTCATGCCACCGCTGGTGGACTGCGGTCGGTTGGACTGCACGAAGGAACCCGCCTGACCATGAGCAGAGTGTGATGAAGAAGAAGTGCTGGGACGCAAAGAGGACGGAGCGTAGGAGTTGTTTTGGAAATGGGAATTGAAGATCTGCTGGAAATGAGGAGACAACGAAAATCCTCGACCTTCGTGAAGGGTGACAATGAGGATGCCTGGATTCACGGGCGCCACAGGGGGAGAGACAAGGGACTCGGACGCAGCTAATTTCCCCGACGGGAAAGCAGTTAGTTGTGAGACTCAATTCATGAACATCCAAGAAAATCATACCGATTCCATTCGCGGAGGAAGTCGCGGCAATGCTGGGGGCCTGCGAGACCACGGGGGTCTCGTCACCACCATTGCCATTCGAATCACCCTTGATCGTTGAGGTGGAAGACGAGCGGCCAAATGTTTGAGTCAGGGGCGCTAAATGCGTCTCCTTCAGTTCTATAGTATAGACAGATTAGCCATTGTCTGCGAGGCTCTCCCGTACCCTTCACATGTACCGTGGAGGGGTGCCCGGTCCTCTTGAAGAGGGGGGAGGAGGGGGAGGCGAGAAAGGAGATAGGGAGACCAACTGAACATACTTTTGGTGAGCTTCCAGGACATGGTGGCGGTCTCAAGGCCAAGGTATCAAGGAGCAAGATACAAAATCCAGGATGCCGACCGCAATGCGATATGCTAGACTGCCTGAACCACCAGCAAGTCAACATCGAAGTTCCCAAAATAATGAAGCCGGGACCACACTAAGATCAGCGGCCACGCAGCCGAGAAAACCGGCGAGTCCGACGACCACCACGGCTTACCTTCTTTTTCGCAATGGAAAACTGAAAAGACGGGGAGGCACCAGTAGGGGAAGGAGTCTAGAAGAGGAAAACCAAGGCTCCAGTTGATCGGTTGTTCGTTGAAGGTTGACGGACAGGGCGAGTCGGGAGGGGAAGTGGCTGCCTCAGGCGTGGGGATCATTACGTGAGAATACAGTGGCACGGCACGTGATTGGGCGGGTGTCCGTAGGGCTGTTCCTGGTGACCAAATCGTGACAATACGGGAACGATACCCGTACCGTGAACCTGCGCAGCCACACTGAGGCAGTGCACCGGGCGCCACCGTAAGGGCGGCTTCACTGGGAACATCTGGAAACCACCTTCAGCGGACTCGACCACAGCCCAATCATTGCAACAAAGCCTCCAATTGCTCCTTCTTGCCTCCATCAGCCTCAATCAGAACGCGATTGTGTCCAGTGGTGGTTTCATTGCTGTTTCGGAACATCTCCCCACCCGATCTGCGGAGATCTTAGTACCCCCAGGATCTCAAACCTCAACTCCGACGTCTCCCCTCTCAGCCACCTCCCCCCTCACCCAACCTCGGTGCCCTCTCAGATCTCTGGAGGGCGAATTTGGGATTTCGCGACGGCGTCGGACTCAGCGGAGGATGAAAGGATCCAAGGGTCGATGGGTGTAATACGCAAAAAGACCGCCTCGCGCGGCACCGAGGCCGGCACCAAGTTCCACTGCGACGTGTGCTCGGTCGACGTCACATCCACTGTAAGATCTGACATCGCGACCCGAACGAGAAGAATTCATACTGATCGCGACTGTATCGCATAGGTCCGCATCTCGTGCGCCCACCCCGTCTGCCATGAATACGATCTTTGTGTCCCCTGCTTTGCAGCTGGGGAGAGCTCCAAAAATCACGACCCATCCTCCCACCCCTTTCAAGTCATCGAACAGAACTCCGTGCCGATTTTCCAAGAAGACTGGGGTGCAGATGAAGAGCTTCTGCTGCTGGAGGGTGCGGAGATCTATGGTCTCGGCTCATGGGCCGACATCGCCGACCATATCGGTGGCTACCGTACCAAGGACGAAGTGCGTGATCATTATATCGAAACCTACATAAACAGCTCCAACTTCCCACTCCCCGACCGAGCCGACCCGGAGGATAGGAGCCTTCAGGATGCGATCTCGAAGGAGGAGTTCCAGACGCGTAAGAAACGCCGCATCGAAGAGCGCAAGGAGGCGACCAAGGCGGCACCTCCCACAACCCCCAAACAGAAGCCTACCGCCAGTGTACCGGCGTGTCACGAAGTTCAGGGCTACATGCCAGGTCGATTGGAGTTCGAGACAGAGTTCCTCAATGATGCAGAGGAGGCTGTACAGCATATGGCGTTTGAGCCCGGCGCGGGTATCGGGCCCAACGGCGAGATTGATGCTGAAGCCGAGCTCAAGATGACCGTGGTTGATATTTACAATTCACGACTCACGGCGCGTACAGAGCGCAAGAAAATCCTATTCCAGCATAATTTACTGGAATATCGGAAGAATACGGCGCTGGAGAAGAAGCGCTCCAAAGAAGAGCGCGATCTTTTGAACAAAGCGAAGCCTTTGGCCCGAATGATGAACCAGAAGGACTTTGAGGACCTAAATAAAGGACTTGAATACGAACACAACCTTCGCCTAGCCATCTCACAGTTACAAGAATGGCGGCAGATGGGCATTGGCGATTTGAAAGCCAGCGAGAAATATGAGCAGGACAAGCAGTCCCGTGCGCAGCGAATGATCCCTCAGGGATCCTTTGATCGATTTGCCAGTGCTCGCCCCAAACAGGCTCAACTACCAGAAGGCCCTTCGGCTGCAACTCAGCTGACTACGCCCGAGTTGCCTCTACGACTCCAGCAAGCTGCTAACCCCCACAAACAGCCAGAGCCTGCTGAAATTCCTCTAAACGACTTTGACCGGATGTTTGCTGTCAACGGCGATGGCGCCCCGCCTCAACCGGCCAAAACTAAATTTGTTGTGCAGCCGTTGAGCGGTGTGCCTGCTTGGAAACTAGATGACGAGGGAGCAGCCGACCTTCACCTGCTGACCCGAGAGGAGGCCGAAGTGTGCAACATGCTACGTCTGATGCCGAAGCCATACCTGGTGGTTAAGGAGACGCTGCTGAAGGAAGCCATGAAGCAAGGTGGCAACCTCAAGAAGAAGGATGCACGTACGATTTGCAAGGTTCGTTTCGCCCATCTGGTTATTCAGACCTTCTCTCTCTTGAATCTCATTAACATCTCCCTTTACCAGATTGAAAGCAACAAGGCCAGTCGCATTTACGATTTTATGGTGCACAGTGGATGGATCAACAAGGCTTAGTCTCTAGGTCTAAGTCTGTGGTCGTTGTGACCCACTTGTTCATGGGGTTTGCATTGTTTTTGTGTCTGTATCTGGCTTGATATCCACATTTATTTGTGATTTGCGCTGTGCTTTTCTCGGAAGCGTTCTTATTTACTGGCGTTCAACTTTGGGACGGGGAAAGAGGGAGGTCGACTACTCTTTTTGAAGTTGCCCATATACCGAGGTAAACCGACGGTAGCAGAATACACCACTTTTGCGAGTTACATTATAGCAAATATCATATCCCTTTATTTTTCAATCTCAAATGACGGACCCAAGTAGGCTTGTAGCTTCATTCTGCAAACGTGTATCCTCATCACACCCTCGGATGTGCATTTTAGTTCTCTATCAGCTCGAATTTCTCTTAATCGTCTCCGCACTCCACATCGGCCCTCGGCATCTCTAGCTCTCTCCGCATTTAACACCCGCCCGAACCCATCTTCTATTCCAACCTCACCCAATTCACCTCAATCTACATTTCCCCCTTTCCTTGCCAAAGAAAAAGGAGAACCGAAATACAATTCCTACAACCTACTTTTCCAACCCCGTCCCATCACACCCTCCCCACCATGCCCAATTTTACCATTCCACCTCCGCAACCGCAACACGCGCTTCTCTCCTTCCCAGCTCCGCACATCCTCCTCGTCACCCTCAACCGGCCCCGCGACCTCAACTGCATCAACTCCCAAGGCCACAGCGACCTCCATGATGTGTGGGAGTGGCTCGACGAGGAGCCCAGCTTGCGTGTGGGCATTATCACTGGCAAGGGCCGCGCCTTTTGTGCCGGCGCCGATCTTAAGGGCAAGTGTCAAGGTTTCCCGAAATAGCACCAAAAACCAACATCTTACTTCGCTTACTCTATATAACCCCATTCTCCTTCACCACCACCCCGTTTCTATTTCTATTAATTCCCTTCCTGCATCCTCACCACCCTAACAAAGAGCTCCAAATCCCAAATCCCAAATCCCCCTGAATCCAAAACACCAACCACACCTCCACCTTTCCTTTCCCCAGGCCTGCCAAACCCAAAATCCAAAAATGGAAACATTCCCTCCACCCCATCCCCCGAACAAAAAAAAACCCCCACCACACTCGCCGTTAACACTCTCACCCAACACCGCTAATAAACCCTCACAGAATGGAACTCCTCTGCACAATCTAGCGGCCGCAGAGCGCCCACCCCGTCCACCGGCTTCGGCGGGTTGGCGCGCCGCAAAGGCCGCAAGCCTGTGCTCGCCGCGATAAACGGGCTCTGCTTCGGCGGCGGGACGGAGATGATAATCAACGCAGATTTGGTGGTTGCGTCGTCGCGGGCGACGCTGGGCCTGCCGGAGGTGAAGCGCGGGGTGGTGGCGATGGCGGGGGCGCTGCCGCGGCTGGTGCGCACGGTGGGCAAGCAGCGGGCAATGGAGATGGTGCTGACAGGGCGGGCGTATAGCGCGGCACAGGTGGCGGAGTGGGGGCTGGTAAATGAGGTGGTTGATGTGGGGGGCTTGGACAAGGGGAATGTGGAGGGGGTAAATGAGGCGGTGGTGCGGCGTGCGGTGCAGGTCGCTGGGGAGATTGCGGCGAATAGCCCCGACGCGGTGCTGGTGAGTCGTGAGGGCGTGAAGCTGGGATGGGAGGGGATTGGCGCGGACGAGGCGACGGTGATGTTGAATGAGACGTGGGTGCGGCGGTTGTATGAGGGCGAGAATATTAAGGAGGGGCTGAGGGCGTTTGTGGAGAAGAGGGCGCCAGCTTGGAAGGATAGTAAGTTATAAAAAGGCGGGTGTTGATAGACTCACGAGTGATCAAGAGTGATTAATAGACATTATGTCAATGTTTCAAGAAAGAGTTGTCTCAGTATTACCTATGGCTTGAGTGTTCTCCCCGGATGATCTATCAGGTTCTAGAATTCCCAAATAGCATACTAGTAGGATGCAAATTACGGAGCCCGCTACAGCTTACGATCGACTGGAAGATGCAAAGGAAGTGTGTGGTAAAAAAGCATATTGAGACAGTTTTGATGCTATTCCTACTGCACCAAGTCAAGGTCGTTAAGTCATATCTGCTAGAGGCCCAGGAATGGGAGGGAGGGGCAATAAAAAGGAAATAAAAGAAATAAAAGAAACAAAAGAAACAAAAGAGAACCCGATCATGGTACACCGTGTATTCGCCATATCCCATGCGACTCGAAGGATCCCGCTAAAAAGTGAAGAATAACACTTAAATGCGCGGCTGGCCCGTTTCCCTATTGAATCAAATTAGTATTTGATGGCGAAACACACGCGCCGGGAGATAGTCCCGAGAAACGGGAATTAGGGTTACGTACTTGGCCTCGGACTGCACTTGATCCACCACCTTCACAACAGCCGCGAACAATGGGTGTGACCGCTCCAGGCCGGTCAATTGAACGGTAGCGTCTGCCGGAGAGTTCTCCTTGAGAATCTTGGCGAGACCGACACTCTCCTCGTCATCCTGGACGTTCTGGAAGCGGAGAGCCATCTCAACCGAGCCCAGCAGGGCTTCATACTTCATGCCTCGCTCGGCCAGTTGGGCAGCAGGGCCGATGAAGCGCTCCTTGCGAGACAGCTTGCGCAGAGGAGCACGGCCAACACGCTCGACACTGTCCTCCAGGAACGGGTTGGAAATGCGGCTGACGATGGTTTCGACGTATTCTTGCTGCTCTTGGGCCTCGATCTCGTGCTTGGCAACAATGAGCGAAGCGGTTTCTTTGAGGACATCGGCAACAACACCACGGATGTAGGTGTCCTTCATCGCTTCTGCGATGGTCTTCTTGCCGGCGTAGCGACCATAGTAGGCGGCAGTGGCATGGCTGGTGTTGACAGTGAACAGCTTGCGCTCAATATAGGGCTCCAGGTTGTCAACCCAGTGGATGGCGGCGATGTCGGGGTGGCCCACGCTGCCGAAGGGCTTCTTCTCCACTGCCCATTCGTAGAACTTCTCGATGCGCACGTTCAACCCACTGTCCGGTGCCTGGGCGGGGACAATGCGGTCGATGGCGGAGTTGGCAAACTGGGCCCGCTCCCCCATAGTCTTGAGGCGCTCCGAGTCGGTGTTGGACTCGATGAATCCACGCAGGGTATCCGTGGCACCGATGGCATTCTCACAGGCGATGACGGCCACTGGCTTGGGGGTGGAGCGGATGTCGATGCCCTTGGCGATGACCGGGGCAATGAACTTGAGGATATTGGGGCCGACGGCACAGGTGATGATATCGGCCGTAGAGATCTCCTGGATGACATCGCCCTCGTGCGTCTTAGAATTGATGGCGCGGTAGTTGGTGATGGTCTTGGTGGACTCGCCACCCTCGCTGACTTCCGTGACCTGGTATGACTTGGTGGTCTGCAGGGCCGAGATGATGCTATCCATCACATCGATGAAGACCACCTCGTAGCCTGCCGTATGGAGAAACTCGGCCACAAAGCCACGGCCGATATTGCCGCCTCCGAAATGAATCGCCTTCTTACCCATGATGATTGATGGATGTGAAGGTGGGATGTGGATGAGAAAGTGAGTGGAGTGATTGGAGGCGAGATTGGTGCAGATGCACTGTTGCAGGAATGTAGCAGGGAGAGGGCAGAGAAAGCAGGTCCGGTTGTGCTGGTAGATCCGTAGATCAGTCGTCGATCAGTTGATCACAAAAGGAAGCAAAGTTTCGCCTAAGGTGTTTGATCTTGTGATGATCTAAGGAACTAAGAGCGGGTGGCTTGCAGAGTGATCTGGATGGGGAGGGGAGGGGAAGAAGGATGAGGAGAGGGTTGTGCAGAAGCAAATAAGGAAGTCGGGAAGAGCGATGCTTAAGTAGTTTTGGCGATGACACCAGGCAAGACTGGATTGAGGGGGTTTGAGGGCAAGCGCTGTGGTCGTGGATCCTGGAAAGGAACAGGGAAAGGGCAGGTGGGAACAACGGGGGATGCACGAATGCGAAGGAGCTGAATGGCTCGAGGCCGTGAGCAAGTCGTTTCAAGTGGTCCTATAATGGCCGTCATTAACCCCCATAGTTCTGGTAAGGCCCATTCGACTAGTGTCATCGTCCGAGGCCCACTATTATACTTTGGGGCGCGCGGGTGATGACTTCATCGACCGGGTCTGCGCGCCGCCTTGATGAGAACATGATGAAATAGAGTCCTGCCTCCCCGTGAATTGCCTTGTTCGCGCAGTCTCCGCCTCAGCATGGCAGCCAGCGACAGCCGGCGACAGCTACAATCCCTTTGACCCAGGCCAGTGTCACCTCCGCTCCGGTCCCAAGTGTAACCCCCCATACTCCTGCGGGCTGGATTCGCCGCTATACTTCGTCGCACGTATACTTCCATAGTCGCCCACTAGCAACCTCGTCGCAAGTCGCGCCGGGAACTAACGAGCCCACTGGCGCTCTAATCCTCATTCGACTATCGTGTCCCTCCCCTCTCGCCCTCTGGCCGGCCTTCCCCACTCCCGCGGGCTCGATGATTGACTCAATACTCCCGCAGCGCAGCGACTATACCCGCTCCGGACGACAGTTAGTTGATTATTCGCGACATGCCTTTCCCGATAATCTCTCCAATCTAACACGCGCATCTCATCCTCATCTTCCCTAGCGTGTCCTTTCCATGGTCTGAAACGGTCTCACCGGACCGCCAGTGCGGACGGCGGACATGGTTCTTGCGACTACGTCCGGGAATTCCCGCCAGTCGCCCTCGCGATAGCCGGCCGAACCCTGAGAAACCTTTGACCCCCTGCCTATTCCGGGGTCGCACAGGCAGGTCTGGTCCCGGGGTCTTACGGAGGCCCAAAGCCCGTGGCAGAGGGCCTGGAGGTCCTCCAGGCCCAGGGCCCCCTTTGGGCCCCTTTGGGCGTCTCCCCGGGGGCTGAGCCGGGAATAGCCCGCCGATACGCCGGCCAACCAACCAACGTGCCCCCCTAACGCCCTCGTCAACCACTCATCAAAGCGCCTTCGTTTTCCCTCTTTTCCTCTTTCTCTCAGGCCCCTCCGTGCCCCTCCGTCTCCCTTGTTTACCCCGTCTCCCCATTCATCCGGAGGACAGTGGTCCTACATTACGACCCTGCAACTCCATACTACCCCGTATATGGTCAGATTCGGGCTCTTGGGCTGAAGAAGAGCATGGGCCATCTCCCCTGCCCTCCCCCCGGGCTATCTGATACGCGATAATCGCTGGTTAGGATCGGCTGGCGATTTCTCCACTTTTGGTGACGTCGGATGAACGACAGGGCCAAGACGAAAAGACCCAGTTTTTTCTTTGGACGACGCCGTTAAAAGGCCAGCCGAGGTTGATGCGATTCGTGCCTCGCCCGCTCTGGCTTCTTCCATCGCTTTCCAACCCGGTGTGTTCTGCCTTCGGTATACCACCCCCTTCGTTCTCCGTTTCCTCTCCGTCCACTCGGGGAGTCCCCGTCCAGACTCGTCATTCCCTCCCTCCGTTGCCTAATCGGACCGCCTGCACGTTCGGTACCTGCGGCTGGGATGCATCCCAGACCACTCACCGCGCGCCATTGGTGAGACCTCGGGTCCCCGAAGTAACAGCAGACCACCCCCTTGAGACACACGGCCATGGGACACCCTCGCAGCAAGTTGGGTTTGCAACCATGCCAGTCAGGCACAGACGGTCCGGAGAGAGAACGGAGGGATGGGGCCCCCAGCTGCAGGCTTCCATTGGATTTCGGCGTTTCCAGGACGTAGTTTCATTCAGTGGCATATGCCGTCAATATACTAGTAGAAAAAGTAGGGGGGAAAGTTCAAAGGACACAAAATAATCCACAATCATGCCGCTCAAGCGTGCGAGTGGTTTCCCTGGCCGCGCGAATATCGCGACACGTTTCCGATTCTCTGGCCGCGGTAGGGCCCCTGCTCCATGGGCCTTGCGACTATCGCTGGGCGTTTTCATCCCTTCCCTCCCACACTCCCCCCTCCCTCCTCGTGAACCCCAAATCCCACATGTGCATTGTCCTTTCTTCCCCACCATAGCCCCGCTCTCCGCTCCTAATACCCCTCTTCTTCGTCTTTGCCTGCGGGCATCGCCGCCGGCGGTACGTACGCACCCCGGACAAACACGTTCAGGAAACTGGCCATGCTGCCGATAAGCAGCAGCCCTGTCGACGCCCAGGTCATGCCGAGGAATTTCTCGCCATACCGCGCGGATACGTTGGACCCGTCACCGTGGGCGTTGACCAGGGCCACGAACTCGAAGGCCAGCACCGTCGCGATAATCGACGCAATGCTGATACTGAGTGATCCGAGCTAGACATGCAATGCCGGGTCAGCTTCGGGCGAACAAGGAAGACCAAATAATAGAGAGACGAAGAGCAAAGGGCAAAAGAAAAATGTTGAGGACTCACCACCAATAACCCGAACTCAAAGATGCCATACTGCATGCGTGGCAGGAGCAGCGAGGCCGACTTCAACAACAGCACCATACCCACGGCGCCCACACCGATGATATACAGTACCGCCATCACCCGGCTCGTCATCCGGAACGCATGGAAATCGTCGCTGATCACACGCGGCCACTCCAGCGTCGACCCATGGCTGATCTCCCGCGGCCAGGCATCCGTCGGGTCGAACGAGAACAGGATTGTTCGGTTCGAGCACCCCGTCACATTGCGCACGAAGTCAGTCGACCCGGGTGCTGCCGTCCCCACGGTGCCCTGGCAGTACGACATCACATGGATGGAGTAGAAGTCGTGTGCGACATCGGTGGAGCTGCCTTCGGGCGTGTATAGCTTGATAACAAGAGAGAAAGAGGTCAGCAAATGGCGGACAAGTGCCGCGGCGGGCGTGCGCGCGTATGTTAGGGCCTTGGTCTTTCTTGGCACATACCGTGAGGAGATCTGCCTCGTTGAGAAGGTTCTTCTGCGTACCAGCGAAGAGGCAGCAGAGCGTGATTATGAACGCGATGAAAGCCGTCAGCGTCGGGAAGAATGCTTTGAGATCGAACATCGCGGCTTGCGGGTGCGCGCGTGCTGCCGCGCCGGTGCTGATCTACACGAGTGTCTGCGCCGCCGGGAGTTGACCCTCTCCGCTGTTCAATCGAACTGTCGCTGGTGCGTAGAGCTGGGGACGAGTGAGCCCTCCAGGTCGAGTGTGATGTCGAGAAGTGAGCCGGGGAGGAGAGCGACAAGAGACCTAACAGGGCAAAGTGATCATATCAGCATCTCTGCATAAAGGTCGCGATATAGATCACAGTAACCACCCAAGGTCAAGTCAAGCCTCGCGGTAGGGGATGTCAACTAACCCGAAGCACTAGTATCAATGAGATCGACAAGAGAAGAGAATTGCCCACATGGAACCAATCCAAAACCACTGTCTACGAGCTCGCATCCCGCCAATTTCTCTTATATACGGCGACGACTCGCGTCGCGCGTCGCCCCTCCATTGCACTCATTAAGCCATCATTCCGTCGCAGGGCTGTCTGTCATAGACTTGACCAGATCGCATATCAGAGGCGTCCTCGGTCACGCGGACAAAATGACCCGAGGCATGTGTCGCAACGATCGAGGTCGTCTTATCACGGTCCGCTGGCACTGTCCATTCTGGAGAGCCTTGGTTCCGCGACGGTGCGGGCGTCTCGTTGGTTGCAGGGGCAGTATAAGATTCCTGGGATCTGTGTGGGGGTCCCCCCGGCCTGCGTTTGGAATGCTGCCAGCCACTGGCGATCTTGTTGATCGGGGAGGGCAGGTTGAGGCGATAAGAGGGGGAAGAAAATGTTATTTTAGGCAATCTCAGCAGAGCTTGGGATGTAGGAAGAGGATGCTGTAGATTCTAAGAGTAGGTGTTCATTGTAGGTTGAGGAAATAAGTTAGCTGGTGCTTGGTGGTTGATATGGTCTGATGCAGAGCGACCCCGGCATGCTTGGCGGATCGTGCCCTAAGTCCCGGACGCCCCTTCATCACCATTATCAAGAGTTGACCCTCACATATGAACGTAGAAAAAAACACTGAATGGAATCCATGAAGACTCTGTCTCCTTGTTCATTAGGAGAACTCATGGGAGTATGATATCTTGAGGCGAAGCCAGGAAACAATGGAAGAGGGTCGAGTCCGACGCGAGGGGAACTCATCTCGCACTGGAATGCGACCACCGCGACCAGCCTACGGTCCAGCTGAACAGACAAACGCCACTTTTTAGTTGCAAGGCAGTCTGTGTGTCATGAAATGAGCTATTGTTGCGTGAGTTAATTAATATCGTCAGTGTATGGTCCAATCGCAACCCCCATCCAACATAGCATTTCTACGCGACAAACCCGGCTGAGGTGGATCTCCACCTCATCATGGATGTAAGAGAAGACAAAATACGCCCCCAGACGGCCACTAATTGATCAGGCTACGCGTAGCGTCTTCAGGGTCATCACCCGAGCGAGCGATGGGGCACTGGTTCGTCAGTGCTGTGGTGATAGTTCAGGTCTAAAGGATTTGCGATTTACGAAAAGGGGCTAGCACGTCCAGCAAAGAAAGAGCATGTGCACAAGACGAGCAGGGCAATCTCGAGGGAATACCACCTCGTTGAGGAAAATGCAGAGTTGGGGGCTGAGAAGAGAGAGGAAAACTGACTCATGAATCGGGCACTGGGAGGACCAGTAGTCCGGCACGGATTTACCTCGTGTCCTGCCTGTGCAGTAATTATTTCATCGCCGGATTCAATCTCACCCTCTCTGCCTTGATGGGATTCGATCCGCTTGGCCAACGCAGGGAGGGACTTGCTGCGCCCAGGCGCTGAAACAACCCAGTCGGGCAACCTTCTAGAATGCTTCCAAAGCTTCCGGAAGACCAGGCGCGCCCTGTGCCGGTGGCAATTTCCAATGGGATGACTGGGCTGATTCCACGGGGCTCCTCGCCATCGGGAACCTAGTATCATGTCACCGAAGCCTGCCCATTGGATGGCTGATCACTGCAGGATCCGCGAGATTGGTGGCCGGGCAAGTGCAGGAAGTGGGCTTCGCCAGCCCAGATCGTCCCGGCAGCCACACCGGCAAGCCCCTGGGAATAAATGAGAGGCCCTAAATGAATAAAAATAAATAATAAATAATAAAACGAAAATAAAAATAAAAATAAAAAAAAAAAAAAAAGAGAGGAAAAGTTCATGCACGCGAACTCTGTGTCATGCGGCGGTGCCCTGCAGAGAGCTCCAGTGGAGACCAACGACATCACCATATCACCCCCCTTTTCTGAAAGACAAGGCAAACGCCGAACAAGGACGCAAGAGAGCAAGCCGGGCTGCGAAGCAGTCTGGCAGCATCGGACGGCCATACTCCCGTGCTTCTCGAGGGCTTGAAGGATGGAGTGAACCAAGAAGCACTGGGAACCAGCATTTCCCCACGTGGTGACCACGACCAAGCCTTGCGGCGTCACCGAGGGGGGTGTAGGGCGTCGCTCAGAAGAGCTTCGACGGGCTTGAATGGCCTTGGTATTCGGCCATGGAAGCAGCCAATATTGGTCAAGCAATGGTAAGCAATGGCAAGCCTTTGGCCAAGACCGACTTGCCAGCACGATGGGAGTGCCACCTGAGCCTAGGCGCATGGGGGTGGCAACGTAGCCCTTGTTCGTAATGCATCGAACCATATGAGCTGGCGAGTTTGATATCGGACCTCGACCTTGGATGAATGCCAAGCCCGCAGCGGGCGTCCATACAAAGCGAGGGAATTGAGCACGAAACTCGAGGGAGGGTGTTACCCTCTAATCTGGGTCACCTGACCCTTAGCACCCTCTTAGCTAGCTTTAAGACAGAACCAATAAGATCACCTTTACATCTCCCGACTCTGTCACAGAGGGATCCTCTTGGCGGAATCAGACAGGTCGGAACGGCATCCTGGCCAGCCAGGAAGGACAATGCGCGCAGCGATCGTTGAGAACAGCCTGTTTGGGCTTGAGGTGATAGTCGGGATAGTCGGGAGAACTGGGGGTGGACGGGATGGGCGGGGAGGGGGTTTGGCCTGGGGTCCAGCGAACAAGTGTAGTCCAGGGGTGCACATGGGCTCAGCGGGGGGATTTAACTGGCGGGGGATAAGATGCAGCCCCCAGATGCTAGCGCCGAAGTTAAACCCTCCGTGCCGACGTCAGACGTCGAGTAACCAGTTCGGAGCAACAACCCGGAGGGGACGAGGCCTGATCCGGCTTGTCTTGGCAAATCTGCACGTGTGTACATGCAAGGATGGAGAGACGATGGATGTCATCCTGTTCGCCCGATGCGAGTCTCTAGTGCGTCGTGAAAAGGGCACCCTGGTGCCCGGGCGAGACCTCGAGGCGATGATCGTTTGGGAAGGGGGGGGAGTATTGGGGGAGGGGGAGAGCTGCGTCTGCGTGTGAATGACCGAGAGCACATGGAATTGCAGCCGAGCCCCATCGTGTCGTGCTTCGAGACCTGAGACCAAATTCCCGATTCCAGGTGTCGCGTGCGCGCGGCAAATGTGGTTGAAAGGTGTGAAGTGTAAAACCGTCGGGATCCACTTTTCGCGGATCACAGGAATCTCTTTTGCGTAGGCGGTGAGGCCGGTGGGTCTCTCTCTTTTCGTTCTCTCAAACCGTCCGCAACAGGCGACGGAAGGCGATCTGAGGCGATCTGAGGCGACCGGCCTGGGAACATGGAAGCCAACGTGTGCCGGACCGAGTCGGCACCGGCGGGAGCCATAGAATCTCCAATTGCTTCCACGCCTTCCATACAACCCTCGGAGTATTGCTGGTTCTTGCTGATAATTCGCGAGGCTCTGGCGTTACCTAAGCCGGCCCGCTTAGGTCAGCCAAAAATCTCTTCTCCAGACAGGGGAGATTCTGCCACCACGTGCTCTGGTGATTGGCTGGCGGCCACTCCTGCACGCAGCACGGCTCCACTGCTGTTTTCGTCGTTTGGAGCCACTGGAGAAACGCATCTTGCGCCTCCCCACTTCCCTCCGTTGCCTACTCCAGCAACATGGAGTGCCACCCACTCTCAGGGCCACTTCTGGCCCCGGCAGACTTTTTTGTCGAATCCGCCAAGTGCGACCACCCCAGTGGATCCTCCGCGCCACCGACTTATCAGAGTTGAGCTCGGGAGCATGTGTGCCTGCTCGTCGGCCTGCTTCTCTTTTTCTTCTTCCGCCGCCTCCCACGACCGCCGTCCCGTATATAAAGTCCTCGAGATCGCCGGACTTGGCCTGCAGCCACGCCATCTCTCGTGGTCATCACGACCTCTACCTACTGCCTCCCCATTCGAGGATTCCTCGGTCCAAGCATTGCCAATACTTGCCCGTCAATCGCCAAGCGAAGCAACGAGTAAGCCACCGCCATGGCCGACTTTGGTCCTCGCGCCCCCCATGGGCCCGATATGAGCGGCACACACAATCCGCTGGAGGATATGGACATGAATGAGAAGGGTGCCTTCGACCGTCTCATCCGCCCCGATGACAGCTACACCCTGGACGGCGTGTACTGGGCCGATCTGCCTCTGGCCCAGAAGGTCAAGTTCGTCAGCTCGTACGATGCCCAGGAGACAAAGCGCGAGCTCAGCGGCATCTGGTCCATGATCAAGGAGGACCCTCTGTCTCCCATCTCCTACTACTTCCGCAACATGGTTCTCCCCGGTGCTGGTCTCGGTCTCGAGGGTTATGTGCTGTTCTCCATTGGCAACATCAAGCCCCTCTTCCAGAAAACTTTCCCGGAGTGCTGGGACACCCACGAGATCTGTGATAAGCAGTGGCTGAACGCCGTCGATTACCTGGAAATTATCGGTATTATTGTGGGCCAGATTCTGGTTGGTGTCGTTGGTGACTGGTAAGCTTACCCTTTTTTTTGTCGGTTCCTTCCCCCGGGACCCGAGTAGCCAGTTGCGGTTCATCGCGTTTGCTAACCAATCAATGCAGGATTGGCCGTCGCTGGGGTCTGATTCAGGATGCTACAATCATGTTTATTGGTCTGATCATGCTGACTGCCGCCTGGGGTGTGACCCAGAATGGTTGGGTCATTTGCTACGCCTGGTCTCTGTTCTTCTACTCTGTTGGTGTTGGTAAGTTCGGCGCTTCTCTCACTTTTTTTCACTCCATTTATATGTGAACCGCGCGTCTAACATGATTTAGGTGGTGAGTACCCTATGACCGCCACCTCTGGTATGGAGAACGCCGTCGGCTCTGGTAAGATCTCCACCAAGGAGGATCGTCTGCACCGTGGTCGCAAGGTCACTAGTGCCTTCTTGATGCAGGGCTGGGGTCAATTCTTCAACCAGGTGCTGCTCATTCTCCTGCTGCTTATCTTTCACCACGGCAGCGGTAACGACCCCTACTCGACCGTCTCGGCCCAGTGGACCTACCGTGTCTCCTTCGCAATCCCTGCTGTCGGTACTCTGTGGCTTGTCTACTACCGTGCGTACCACATGAAGGCCGCTAGCAAGCAGCTGGCTGCCGCTAAGAAGAAGGCATCTGTCACCGGCTACGATGTCGAGTCTCTGCGTCTTACCTTCAAGTACTTCGGCCCCCGCCTGATCGCTACCGCTGGTGCGTGGTTCGCCAACGATGTCTTCTTTTACGGAAACAAGCTTTTCCAGAGTGAATTCATTGCTGTCATCAGCCCAGCCACCAGTTCGATTATGCCTACCTGGCTGTGGAACCTGGTTAACGTCGGTGTCTCCCTCGTCGGCTACTACCTGGCTTCGTTCCTTGTGGACAACAAGCTCTATGGTCGCAAGTGGATGCAGACTGTGGGTTTCCTCGTGATGTTCGTTCTCTTTGTGGTGCCTGGTTTCCACTACAAGTACTACACCTCTGCGGAACACATCCATGAGTTCCAGGCTATGTACTTCCTCAGCTCTTTCTTCAACCAGTTTGGACCCAACTGTGTGACCTTCCTGGTCGCTGCCGAGGTCTTCCCCACTCCCATCCGTGCCACCGCTCACGGTATCTCCGCTGCCGCTGGTAAGGCTGGTGCTCTGCTGGCCTCCGTTCTCTACAACTACATCGATACCCAGACCAAGTTCTACGTCGTTCCCTGGTTTGGTCTCGCCGGTGTTGTCGTGACCCTGGCCTTCCTTCCCGATACCACCGGTCTCGATCTGAAGGAGCAGGAGCGCCGCTGGCAGTGTATCCGTGAGAACCGCGAGGAGGACTACCACGGCCCTGCCGTGCACCCCAAGCACCTGTCCTGGTGGGAACGCTTTGTTCTGCGCAAGGGCCGCTTCTACGATGCCGAGCTTGATTACAAGCAGAAGGTCGAGGAGTACCGTGCTGAGTGGGAGGCCCTTATGGCTCAGAAGGCTTCTGAGAAGGAGCGTGGTGATGAGATCTTCGACACTGATGATACCCTCCTTGAGGGCCACGTCCACACCTATTTCCACCGCACCAGCCCCATGTTCAAGGGCATGGAGTCCGCACCCGGCAAGCAGGACACTTTCCAGCTGCCCCCAGCCGCTGAGGCTGGCTCTGAGGAGACCTTCTCGCAGGAGAAGACCTCGGAATAATTGCATTGATTCTCAGTCATTGTCATTTTTGGACTGAAGAAGCACTAAACATATACCATTTTCCTTTCTCTCCCTCTTGTCTTTTTATTTTTCCTCTTGGCTTCTTGGCTTCTTGGCTTTTTAGCTTCATTTCCAAAAACCTTTGCTTCACGTTGGATATCCCCACCCTGGTCACCCACATACTGGCCTTGCTTTGGACATTTGCATGAGTTGCACGATGCATGATGCAGGCTCGTTTGCCTGTCTGTAATTAGATGTTGATACCTCACATACCCTGAATTTTGCTAGAATGATTATCGCTTTGATGGAAACATTTGCTTCTTTCAGTAAACTCGAAATCGTCATAGTAGGTCAGATACTGTAGATTTACTTTAAATAGTAAGTCAAGTGAAGCCCTGTCATGTAATATCCTCGGTCCAATATTGTCGGCGGTCATAAAGGCGGTGACTCAATTTCCGGACATATCCACTGCCCCTCCGCAAAGAATAACGGCAAGTAACCATCAAATCCCGAGCAAGCTACATACTACAATCTCCCATATCGAGACACCCAATGCGCCTGTTCGCCTTAGGGTCCAATGGCTCGGGTCAGCTAGCTCTCGGCCACACAGAGGACGTCTCCCTGCCCACACAATGCCTCTTCACAAACCCCCCGGCTCCAGTTGACGAGATCGTCCACATCGCTGCCGGCGGCAACCACACCCTTCTCCTCACAAAACAGGGACATGTTTACGGAGCCGGGGCCAATTTGGACGGCCGCTGCGGACCCCCGTCTAAAGCCGATGGCCTGAGCCCGGGATCATCAGATGAGAATCTCCTGTGCTTCCGGCGCATTGTCCTGCATGATGAGGTCACGGGCGAAGCCGTCGATACCTTCGCCTGCGTTTCTGCAACATGGGAAGGTAGTATTCTCGTCGCACGAAGTAACTCTGTGCATCCTGAGCTCCCTAGTTCTGGAGTGAATGGCCCGGTCGACTCGAGCTCCGGTGATACCGTCTTCGTGCTCGGGTCCTCGCCGAAAGGTGAGCTGGGCCTTGCCCTGAGCCCGGGACAGGGCCCGGTTGTTCGGCCAGGGAGTTCGATCACGGCGTTCCCGCCGGCGGGGACTTGTGTTGCTGCTCTGGCGAGCGGAATGGGTCACTCGGTTGCAGTGCTCTCGAATGGAGAGGTCTATGGGTGGGGTGGTGCGCGGAAGGGCCAGCTAGGCGATGGGCTGAAGGGCCAAAAGATCGTCTGGACGCCGATAAGGATCGAAGGTATCCCGTTTCCGGCGAGAAGTGCGGTTTGTGGACGCGAGTTTACGGTTGTCTGTGGGGATCCGGGGCGGGGGGAGTTCGTGGTGCTTGGGGACCCGGCGAACCGTTGGGGAGTGCTGGGTGTGCCGGAGGCTTTGCGGCAGGGAGGGTCTAAAGGGGACTATCATGGAAGAGAATTTGTGGATATTGGGGCTAGCTGGCATGGTATATATGTACATGCAGGTCCAGGGGACACGGGTTCTGCTACGGAGGCTCAAACTGCAGCGCCAGGCACTATTGTCGCCTGGGGGCGTAATGACCGTGGCCAACTCCCTCCGTCGGGTTTGCCTAAGCCGCTTAAGATGGCCGTTGGTAGCGAGCATGTCCTTGTGTTACTGGAGGACGGCGCCGTGGGGAGCTTTGGATGGGGTGAGCATGGCAATTGCGGACCTGATACAGATGCTCAGGGCAACGTGGCCGGCTCGTACAATGTCATTCCCTTGCCAGAGGCTGCGCTTTCGGCGGGGGCGAGGGTCACTAGGCTCGGTGCCGGGTGTGCGACAAGCTGGATTGTCATGAAGTGACTGGTTCATCAGTCATAGGGCTGCCACGACTACCACGGAGTAGGAGATAGCACGGTCCTCATGATTGCGAACATCCATATCCAGATTCCATCGACCGAATGATGCATTCAGTCGAACAGGCCAAACTCACGACGAACCTACGCCGCGTTACATAGTTAGATCTTCGTCGATTCCAAGGTCGATTCATGAGGGACTTACCTGCGACATGTTCTGTGTCGGTGGGATGCCCATTTCATTCTCCACGGGGTGGATAGCCTTCGTCTTACCCGACTTGATGAATTCAGACTCTGTGTCTCGAAGCGTCCCCTCGAATGCATCTTGCCCTCCACTCGCATCCCACCCGAGAATATCCTGCGGCTCTTCCTCCTCGTTCATCTCATCCCACTGTCGGTCATCATCTGCCGGCACGAAAAGGCCGTCATACTCCATCGAAATTCCCGATGCAGCTGGCCTTTCGCTCGCCGCCGACCGTGACAAGTGCTCCTCTGTGGACATCCCATTCAATGGTCTAATGGATCGCGCTCGTGGCGCTGGGGGCGGCATCTCCATGCTCTGTATTCCTGTGCGTGGCGTCTCGGTCCTGCTAATCGAGATCGGAACTGGCGCAGGGGTTACCTGTTGGGAGAGCTGCGGAATGGCGACCCGCGATGAAGTCGGTGGGACCTCGCCGTCAACGTCGCCGCGGGTCATAATGGTGAACTCGGCGTTGATTCCATCAAAATCATATGCGAACTGCATCGGCTTGCATGGCCGTGTGTAGCGCGTCGTTATGGTGGCATTGGCTGTCTCGGCATGTGCAACAACGGCCTTGAAGTCTTTAAGATTGATGGCGATGTGCATGTTGTCTTCGACGAGGAATTCTTCAAAGTCGCGCTTATCGGCAGCGACAGATGTATGAACCGGGTATTTGAGAATCTCTGGCATTGATAATTTCAGCGTCATGGGTCATTTCCAGCTGCGCAAGTTAGATATCACACTGGTACAAGTTTCATACCTTTGCCCTCCATAATCTTCGTCGTAAAACTAGTAAACACGGCTTTGCCTGCATCGGAGTACATGTCCAGCTGCTCTGCAGAAAGGCTGAAATGATCGATGATCTGTCTGAGAAACCGTGGATCTGCTGTCCATTGGTTCGTGGCACTGCTTCTGTCGAACACGGCATGCTGGATGGATGCCGGTTCGTATGTGAGCTTGTATGATTTGATGACGCCTGGTGAGGTCAGATGGAGCTGAGAACAGGCTGCATCGCTAACAGAAACTTACCCAGCCCACATATCATCTTAACGGTCAATCGGCATTCTGTCTGGTTGGGATCTTCCTGCAGTTCCATCTCACAACGCTCTACGGCCGCGTCCTTATTCCGATCGACTCTTCCCCGAAATATTGAGAGAAGCGCCTGAAAATTGCGATAAGCATTGGCTCACTGGCGAGTGAGGTTTATATTCCGCTCTTACCTTGATGTAAATCTGGCAATAGAACCGTTCTTCAGCCGCATTCGCTCTGCCACTCTGTTGATACGAGGGGCGCACGCTAAACGAGTAGGTCTCGAAAAACCGCTCCCGCTCGCATGCAAATGACGCAAATGCTGTCTTTGTGGAATTCAGAGCACTCAGTTGAAGCTGAATTTAGTGTCAGCCGCAAATTTTTAGGCTAGGGCTCCTGGGCAGGTTGTTTACCAGGTCATGCTCGGCTTTGATAGCCACTGTGTCGCTGAACTTCGACAGACATATTAACACGTCGTGTAACTGGACTAGGGCCGGCGGAGCCAGCGAGAGGGAAAGTGTCGCCATATGCGGTGGGGTTTTTGAAAATGGCTCCTATGACCCTATCTCACCAAACACGATGGCCTCTGGGTAACGATGAACGGCAGTGGCGCGTCCCAAGATCACGATTCCAATCCACCTTACATAAGAGCAAGAACCTCAGGCCTGAAGTTAACCCTCAAAAGGTCAACCAAGTGCCCTCCATCGCTTGATAGGACCAAGTTATCGAAAATCTTGCAGATTTTACGAGTATGGCGATGATTAATTGGTTTCAGATAGGGGGAGCCCAATTAATTGCAGGGACGTGGGGGACGGCAGAATGAACAAAAGAAAAATAAAAAGAAATCCGTTAGCGACAGGATTCGAACCTGTGCGGGCGAACCCAACAGCTTTCTAGGCTGCCACCTTAACCACTCGGTCACGCTAACTGCTTTGATGTAATGTTGCTCGAACTTTTGTCATATAAGGAAAAATCAGTTTTGACCTTGTCCTCTCACTTTCTTCCCTGTTAGATGATCAGGCTAAAATTTAAAGTATTGTGGGAGTAAAACTAGACTTTCTTTCCAGATAGCACAAAAAAAATCTTTGAAGACATTCACGATCGCTTTTTGCATTGGTCCATCTCAGCAGAACTCTAGGATACATTGATACTGTATCTATTGTCAGTTGCAATATATATTGTGATGGGGTTTGATGTGGCCTACGAAGTCCGTATACGTGAGACATGTAACTTTGCTAATATGGCATTCCATTGATTCCACGTACGATGAGCTTCATTTTCAAGAGGCACTGAATCTAGACCGAGCGAATACTATTGGTAGTTTTCGTAATAAGCCACACCTCACGATTCTTGCCACCATTTACTAAATCCATCAAGTAGTTACACATGGGCAATCTGCCAAACATACAGGCGGTGAGGTTCACGCTCAGAGCTCCAAACTATATTTTGGATCTTGGCCACTCAGGCGCCCCGTAAGCGGGTAAGCAGGCTGAGCCTGAGCTGAACGTGAGATGTCAGCCAGGATGACGGTCTCGATTCTCCCACTCACCTTCAATACTGATCGACCCTTCTGTCTCGGTCGCCGTGCCCGATCCCAAATTTCCGAAACTGCGGACCCCACGCTGAATCCTTCAGGATGATGAAAAAGAAAGAAACCTATACAATCATAACACCCATCCCCTCTTGCGTGCCCCGACAACTGGCTCTTGACATCCTGCACAGCCATGGGGAAATCATCACTCTCAACCCGCTTGTACTCTCCTACCAGCCGATCAAGGCCCCGCGGGATGCCCCCGCAGATGAGTATTACTCGACGTGGTATGAGATCACCGAGCGAGTCCAATACATCCCCGGTCTAGGGAAGATGGGCTCCGGCAAGATCAGTTTCAAAGGGTGCTTCCATAACGTTGCCTGGGGTCTACACACACATACGTATGTTCCCCTAGGCATCGACCTTCTGAACAAATATCATATCGAGGGCAACCAGCCCGATGAACCACTTGATCTCCGAGATCGCCCTAGTGGTGCACCAGACAGCGGGCTCTACCTACGTGAGGTAGTCAAGATATCATGTAACATAACAATGATGTCGTTTGTCAAAAATCAGTTGAAGGCAGCGTCGAAGATCTTGGTCGATCGCTTGATCAAGAAAGCTGAACTTCTCGACGCTGGCGTCCTGCAAGCCATGATGGAGAATGGGAAACTCAAGACATTTAACCCGGCCGATCGATCCAGTGAAAACCAGATGCAAGCCTCCCAAATGCCGCTAGATCAGATGTCATTGCCAAGATCATCCTCCACTTCTACGCGAAGGGAGTCAATGTCTGCGAGCTCACAGATGAACTATAACTACTATCAGCCCCAGTATGCGCAGGAGTCTAGTCAAAATACAGCCGTTGAATTACCGGGCAATTACTATCAACAAAACTTGCAGCGGACTGGATCCGAGAAATATCAAGAGCTGCCAGACATGGATCGCAGACGGTATACGAGCCCAGGAGGCCTCCATACTCGATCGTACTCGAATTCAGATACATCCTCAATTCCGCCCTTGAACTCGCCTCAATTCAACAAGAATTTTGTCGCCGAGCTACCTGCCTTCAAAGAGAACGTGGACGAACAGACAGGAGTCCGGAAAGACGTCCATGAACTGTTCGTACCCCATAGTTAAACCCAGTCGTGATGGTATCCCTCAAATCCCGTGAGCGACGCACGCAACGAGACCTATCGTTCTCTCCCCTTCAATATGCCTTGATGGCTTAGCTTCCTTGTGCAGGTGTGTCTTCGGTGTTATGGATGGGAGCTCCGGTGACTAGGCTGGGGCTGATTTCTATTTTCTTGGGAGGGCGGTTTGATCTGGGTTGAAACATTGATTCCTGCGTAAATTGATACTCTTCTTTACTATTGCTGTATTAAGCTTCGATTATTACATGTAATGACATCAGAACAGCCAAATTACCTTCGCATCCAAAGGATTTGTGTACGGTTAAGATCGTTTGAATGAAGAGAGGAATGGATAGCGGAGGGTGTGCCTTTCCACCAGCAGTTCTGAAATAGCTGTTTTGGTTTTGGAATAGATACGAACAAGAACATACCATATTCGAGAAAAATATCAGGGAACCTAGTAGCACCTCAATCCCCCATTGTTCGAGTGGTTTGGAATAGCGAAAAGGGAGAAAAAAAAAATTCGGATTATGATATATTAAAGGTGTATCTATCTACTATCAGATTGGTGGCGGTTTTGACGACAAAAAAAGAAGAAGTAGCAGTTGTCCCACCTAACAGCCAGCTTCCCTGTAACGGGACGGTGTACTCCGGCGACGCCACCCCAGGGTGGAAGTGTCTCTGCAGAATTGCTTCCCTCAAGGGTCACTTCCATTGCTTAGCGTCTCATATCATCGTGGATTACTCGCACGAGTATGTAAACGACCCCAGGGTTCGTACCGGGCACCAGTACCCGCTGATCATGTGATCGAAGCAAGGTTGCCAACTTAGCGGTGAGTCTTCCACTCGGTTATCCGTGACAGATTAGAGTTATACGAAGCAATTACGCTATATATACCCATAAAAATTACGCAACGTCCTCAGTTCGAACCCGGACCGACGCGATTGATTATGTGCTAATGTCTCGCCATTCATTTTTCATGGCGATCAACGCGGTACCAATTGAAACACTGTCGAGACACATTGTCGAGAAAAAAAATACATTTTCTACAGGAATATGCTCCGAAGAGTGTGTTTATGAATAACCAAAGTGGTCGTGGGATGATTGTCTTGCTCCTGGATATGATTTCCAACAGAGTTTTTATGGGGCTAGTGGGTGGACTGGTTTATGTTCATCAGATCCAAAAAAATCCCGCCTTATTTTATACATATCCTGTACTATCACTTCCTTCCACAGAAATAGTACATAGATAATCAAGGAGCAGCTACTACCATACTGTGCATTTCCCATCTCATCTCTCCTTTTGATGGAACTAACCTTCCAGTGAGATAAACCTTGATCCTAGCCACTTTGCAAGCCTTCGATTCTGAGATAATAACCCTTGCTCTAATTATTTTAGTATTAATTGCTGTCAAATGTACAACATTTGCCCACAGAGAATCGCTTACGCTCAATAGTTGTTAGCGTCCAAGTCTATTATTCGTCAAAACTTTGGCGGCGCCATCCACGCTTGTTTTTGAACCAAATAGTTTGCATCCAAACCACCTCGAGGTCAGACAAAGATTGTGTAGACAATCTTCTCTCTTCGAGCGTCGTCTATCAGTAATGGGTCCACCCACGACATTTCATACCTAATAGGCTATTAAGATGATAGAATAACGAAATAGAATACCAGAGAGCAGGCATCCGAGTTCTCATCCTTTGTTGAGGCTAGTCCGTAATTCCCCACCTTGCAGGGTGTTTCGGTCATGCATAAAACGCCCCAAGCGATACGCCTCACCAAGCTCAGATTGTTTCATAGTGGGACATTGCAGGACTAGATGAGATGGGTTATTGATGAAACCCTGCCTGGAAAGCTGGATGAGTCGATGAATTTGACAGATGGAACAAAATGAGTCTCTGCTTGTATTGTGAGAGATGCAGATTCTGTTTCTTGTGTCCTTGATGTGCTTTATAATCCTTTCATTGCATTTTTGGCAAGGGTACGTACTTCTTAGGGTAGATATTCTATATTGCATCCCTCACAGACCCTACCAGGCAGGCATAATGCATGCATATAATATACAATCTTTCGTTCAATTACTAGAAAGAGTCAAATTAGCGGGAAGGGCGATAGAGACATTCACTGTTTCACTAGGTACCATACTATACCTGCAGGGCTTCATCGGGCGTCGGTCGTAATGAAATAAATATGATCGCCATAAAGGCTTTCAGCATTGCATACTAATGGTCCCGGGCTCAATCTTTCAACTCAACCTAATCACAAAAAAAGCAATCTTCGATGATTCACATTGGGTCAGCTTTGTCACGCCACGTCAGCCCAGGGAAGGAGGTAAGATAGTCAAAGAGAAGTATCACGGTCGGATTGGTTGGAAACTCTCGGCGGGGGCCGGTTTGGCGCTTAGGTTTCCTGGATATGATCCTATCCATCCCCGACTTCTCCCTCTTGTATCATCCTCACGATATCCCCTTGCCCCTTGAAGCTGCATGGAATCCTAAATTATCCAAATCATCACTACAACTATTCTTCTTCTCTCTGCTTATGTTGTTTTTTTTCCCCTCCAGGCTCGGTGTACGGTTTACTTGAATTACCTGTCTCGGCCCGGTCACACCTGAACCCGCGTTCAAGCTATCTTAACTGCCCCTCCTTTTCTCTTCCACCACAAAGCTAAACGATAACTACTATGCCGCCTCAGACTCTAAACTCTTTCCAGCAACTTGAAAAGGTTGGTACTTTCTTTGACTTCCTGGTGGAATTGGTATCCTCGCACGGTGGTAAGATCGGACATGTTCGATACTGAAATGTGACGAGTTACGCTGACCCCGCTGACTGTGGCGCCAGTTGGGCGAAGGCACCTATGCAACGGTGAGTTTCCCTCTTGATTGATCGATGCTTGGCTAGGTCTGCATCGGTATACCCAGGCAATACTGTATTAATATTGGCAATATAGGTGTATAAAGGGCGGAACAACCAGACGAATGAGCTAGTAGCTCTGAAGGAGATTCATCTTGATGCCGAGGAAGGCACGCCCTCTACGGCGATCCGAGAGATTTCTCTGATGAAGGAACTTAAGCATGAGAATATCCTTGCCTTATACGATGTGGTCCACACTGGAGAAAAGCTCGTGATGGTGTCCGAGTACATGGACAAGGACCTCAAGCGTTTTATGGACTCCCGGGGTGGCGCGCTTGATCTCGCTACCATCAAATCCTTTGCGTATCAGATGCTGAAGGGTATCGCTTACTGTCACGAGAATCGCATTTTACACCGCGATCTCAAGCCTCAGAACCTCTTGATCAGTAGGGATGAAGGGCTGCGCTTGGCAGACTTCGGACTTGCCCGTGCTTTTGGAATTCCTGTCAATACGTTCTCGAATGAGGTGGTCACACTCTGGTACCGACCACCAGATGTACTGCTAGGAAGTCGATCATACAACACTAGTATCGATATCTGGTCAGCAGGCTGCATCGTTGCGGAGATGTACACTGGTCGGCCCTTATTCCCGGGTACCGCCAATGACGATCAGCTCTTGAAGATCTTTCGTGTGATGGGCACCCCATCTGAGCGGTCGTGGCCTGGAATCAGCCAATTGCCCGAATTCAAAGCCGGTTTCCTCGTATACCCGACCCAGGATTTACGGCGTCTGATTCCACAGCTGGACTCCCTTGGGGCTGATCTGCTGAATCGCATGCTGCAATTGCGACCGGAGCTACGGATATCTGCAGTTGATGCGCTGAATCATCCGTGGTTCCAGAGCCATCTTGCAGAGGCAGAATCTTCGTCGCAGAGCGGGGCTCCTCTTGTTTAGATTTTCAATACTGTTTAAGTGCCTATTTTCATGTATGAAGTCGCATCGGAATGCATGTACCTTTCCAAGCCAATGTTGATATTAATCTCTATATTTCCTTTGATAACTGTCTATCTGAGATACGATCACCCTATGAGAATATGGGCATATGTGTACCCAAACTATCTCTATTCTTTTATGATAAACATACTCTCAGAATCTGGCTCGAGTGTGCAATGCAATCTATCTCCAACCCAGCTGACTAGATAAAAGATGTGTTCTCCCCGTGGGGGCCTGGAGACTGGGGCTTTTTAATCAAGTACGCGAATGACCCGGTCGCATCATTGTCTTTAATGTGCTTCATAGTAACTCGACGTCAGTCATCAGCTTGAGCTCCTGCAAATTAATGCAGCGAATAGATATAACAGCGATATTGCGAGAAAACACACTTGATATTGTACACGGTGGCTGAAGAAATCAAGGGAAAGTTTCGTCAACGATTCGGGCGATACAATATGGAGGTGGATACAATATACCATTGACGGAGTGCCGAGTCAAACTTAAAACCTTTGATCAATAGTTCGAGGTGCGAGTAGGGCGATCAGTTGTCAGTTGCAAAGACCGTAATTGTGGCTGTAGCCGTAATTGTATCGGGAACACAGCCGCTCTCACTCGTGGTAAACGAATCGTCAGAAATGGTAGTTGTGGTAGTTGTTGTAACAGTGACTGTCTCGCAACTATTGGTGATTTGGCTTGAGGAGCTCTGGCTAGACATGACCTTGTCTGCGGCCTCGGATGTCACCACAGGTGTGGAATGGACATTTTTTGAAGGAGTTTGGACGGCTTGTGATGCAGAAAACATGGTAGAGGATCCAGACACTTGATTGCTTGCCGTGGCCGTTGCGGATCCCATTATAGGAGTCACAGCCGGTGCCGACCATGTGCCTGTGGGTGTGCCAGTGACACCTTCGGCGTAGATGGAATTCCCAATACTGAGGGGCCAGACTTTAGGACCAGGCATAGTATAATTCCTCCAATAGTCGCGATAAATGTAAAACAAAATACCAGGCTCATATCCAGTATAGACGCCAGGAATTTTAACAACTGGCCCCGGGGTTTCCGTGCTGTCACTCTCAACCTCGATCTGGGCGCAGTTGAAGTAAAACTCAGCCCCGCCAAAGTCTCCAGCTCCATGAAGCGCAATGTGTTCAATCCGAACAAGATATTGACCTGCGGGAGTCTCCTTTGGCAAGGTGAAGGTAAAGTTCGCTCTATCAGTCACACCCCATTGAATGCCGTCGCTGCCGAAAGATGTCGGGCCGAGCTCCCAAATCTTGAACCAGTCACCGGAACCGTCGTAATCCCGGACATCTCCCGGAGCCTTGGACATGTATACTTGCATAGGCCCGGGATGTTCGATTAAAGCGCCAAAGTCGGTGCCGAACCCGATCTGATCGCCTGCTTTTACTTTATTGACGTCGGTCTGGCTGGCATGCTGGAACGAATTCGTGTTGCAACGGAAATCATCACTGGCATAATTGCCTTTCCAGGGCATGTAATTCTGTGTGTCTTCGCGGACATACTCGTAGTAATTGGTGAAGTTGCTGTTGTGAATAAAGTAAGGGAAAAAATAGTGACTGAAGGTACCCGGGATCGAAGCTAAGGAGAAAATAAGCGTAACGCTTTGTAAACGCATTATGGGGGTTAAGGAATAAATGTTTAGGGGAAAAAAATGCTCCTGTCAAGTTCCAGAATTGACAAGGATGCTGAATGAAAGTGAAAAGGAGTGACTAGAACAAAGAGTAAAGGCTTGCCAAGGGTGCGACGTACCGGGTACTGCTATTTAACACTTGTGTTCCTGAGTAGGGGAAATGGTTTCTTAATGTCAGCCTGAATCATGCACATCGACTGTGGGTTCTTTTAGATTAGTTTATTCATAGTTATGTTCATTATACAGAATCCCTTAGCGTTGAAACAGCGAGTGTATCAAGTATGCCGTAAGCGACGTCTTGGCAATGGGGGCTATGTGGAGAAGTGCAGTCGACTGGCTGATCAGATCCGGTGAGACGACAATATTGCTACAGATAATTATGCCAATGTTATAGGATGCTGTAAATTATAGGCTTTGAAATATGGGATCCAATGGAATACGATCCTCAATGGGATGATGTCTTAGTTAAACTGGCTGGCAGGGGGTGATGGTTTTCCCTATCTCACTGACTAGCGTGTTACAGCGCTAGGTTCCGAGTAGACCCAGGATACTATACTAAACAGGAAGAGAATCTGGTATCCCTTTCATTTCTGAGCAGCGGAATTTGTGGCTCTTCGCGGTATTGTATGGCTTCTTCCCCTCGACCCCCCCAACCCCCATAGGGATAGGTGATTCTAATCGTTCAACATCTTCTAAATGTCCTTTTTTTCACTATCTCCCTCGATTGATATCTGTTTCCTATTTAGGAAGATATATTAGGGATAGGACGGCTTGTAATCCTAACTAGCATACAAAATTGTGATATCGCTGGTACGGAAGGTTCTTTGTAACCTGTCTGTAACTACTTCTTTATTAGCCATCTAGTAGCCACCCTTTAGAATCGCGGGTCCACTTCGCCCTGAATAACAATCCTCACTGGACCCTGAAGACCCTGAGAGTCTTCTGTGGTCCCGATGAACAATGACGTTGCTTTACATGGTTCAGGCGATTCTAATTGGCCTGTGCGTCGCGTGTGCCCAAATGCGGTTAGAAGCGAGATATGATCTAAGAAAATTCTCGACTGTGTTAGTATTTGGCGCTTGGCTGCCGGGTACTTTCACAGCCTCCATGGCCATGACTGGTTATCGCGTTGGGCCCATTTGACTGACTCGGTAATCATCTTGTCACCGTGTTTAATATAGAAGTTTTGCTCGAAGAATGCGGTCTCTGCCAACACTCAACATACGTATGTACGAACCGTGACGATAGTGGCGCACAACCCCCCTCTCCAATGCATAAGGACAACAACTTTGAGCAAATCTAAAACAGAACCGTGTCGAGACGTGAGCTCTGTTCGCTCGTAAACATAAAACTCTAATTATTCCCGAAATATCATGGGTGGGGGCAGCGATGACATGTTGCTATCGGTTCTGGTGGCTAAAGCTTCTCTAATGGATGGTGTACTTTGAAAGATTTGCCTGTAACAAACGTTGAAACAGTAATGGCCGATAAAAGCTCTTGCGAGACTCGACGATCAGCTCCGTCATTTGCCCTGGGGCGGAAAATGAGTTGTGATCTTATCATCGTGATGATTACTCGGCCCCCACCAAAGACATGTCGATCGAATTTAAGGCTGTGTGGGCTTGGCCTGCGGCACGTAGCGCCAGATTTGGTTAGCTTTCTTGCCCCGAACCACAGCTGAGCCTACCACGGAATATGAGAGGTATCTATATAAACCACGTTCTCGGATGCTCGAAGAGTTCAGAAATCCAACTTCGTCAAATTTTATTCACCTCACATCTAAATCCTCTCAAATTTTGAAATCAACATGGACGCACAATATAGCATGGAGCCATTGCCTGCCATGCCACCCCAATACAAAATGGACGAACCATACTACGATGTGCAACAATCCTCTAAAGTTATACCTCCTCATATGGCATCTGCTCAGTCCCGCACGCTAGCGGTGGACTTCACATGGAAGAAGTTTAAGGCTCTCGTCTCCGATTCCAACTCCTCAAACCCAAATCCTCTGTACACAGTCTCTTTCCAAATGGTATCAGCACCACATCTGCGCTTCAAGTCTACCGAAACGGGTCAGCAAATCGGGACAGGCACCGTGCACGCATTCAGTATTAACCCTGATTATCAGCTCCACGGAGCCAAACACACTCTAAAGGCCCAGAAACGTCTGGTAACAAACTATACACACATGTCTTCCGCTTTTTCGGACACAGATACGCCCGTTAAGATGACATGGACGGGTGAAGTTGGTTTGAAGACATGGAGTTTCATCTGCGTCGATGAAAACCAAGTACCGGTGGCCAAATTCTCTGCCAATCTATGGGCTGTTAAAAAGCTTGCGAAGATCGAGCTCATGGGCCCCAAGGCCCTTGACGATGCCGTCCGGGACGAAATTGTGGTGGTAGGATTTACTTTGTTCTACTGCATGTACCTTCGGGCGAACAATATCTTCAACCTCTTTGGCTCTGCCTTCCTCCGACCTGATAAGGAAGGCAAGGCAGAAAAGGGAGGCAAGGAATAAGATATTGTCAAGCCCAAGACAGGAAAGCACAACTGAATGCAAGTCGAAAAAATTGAATAATGCATGGATAGAGGGGGTTTTTGTACATATAGTTTGATTTCAGCGAGTTTTATTACTTTACTTCACTTTGCGGCATTACGAATATCAATCTTCTCGAGACCAAACACTCTTCTTCCACCTTTATATTTCGTTCTCATGCTTGTGGCTTTTCATCTTGGAAAAAGGGGCTTGTATTCAGCTACTCAATTCTCAGGCCTTTTTCTCCCTGAACGGCATTCTTGAATTCATTCTCTACCACACCTCCATGTAGGGATGGGCTCTATAGTTCTCGGTGTGTATAAACGCCACATACGTCAGCTCTGGCTTTGGTCATCGGTGTTTAGGCCTGCCGCTGCTATAAGATCTGTGCACTTTGAGCCATATTGGACCGGCGATCCAAAATAGTGAAATCTCACTAGAACGTCCGAATTGAGAGATTGTTTAATTTTTTCGAGATAGGACGGACGTTCTTGGATTTTCAATGAGCTTCAGCTCCGATGGGTTCGAGTTTGAAGACATGTCACAACCTAAATTGTTGATACCCACGTAACGAAAAGCAAAAATGAGAGGCGAAAATGTAACTAAGAATTAAGTATATACATAATAGATCGTATCAATTGAGGAAGAGGTGCAGGATGTTTTTCTGGGGGATTCTGGACCGATCAGATCCTGTTATCCAACACCGCGTCCAAGCCCGGGGCCTCGTGGTCCCTCTCCTTGATCATTTGCAATCTCTTCGCTCAAGGCCGTCCCTTGATCTCGATTCCGACCCTGGTCCATCTGTGGCAGAGGCTGCGGAAATTGCAACTCCATTGCCTGTCTCCGCCGTCGACCCCTGCGTACCACTTGCATAAAATTGACACCCACTTGTGTCAAGAAAATCATAAGAAACAGACCTATCACGACGGTTTGCGGAATATACGTCTCAGAGGGTTGGTTAGAAGATGCTGGCGTTTGAGGGCTTTTATCAAGGATAATAGACTGTGAACCACCGAACGAAACCGAAATTGAGAAAGAAAATGGCGTGAATGTGGTGAAAATATTCGGGGTCATTGACTTTAAGAGCGTTGAGAATGGATTCAACGCTAACGGTATGATGCAAAAGATGAGGAGAGGGACGGCTAGTCATAAGACAGAGCTCAGAGATGAACGAGTGGACCTAGGAATGTTAGACAGACAGAACTGTGGGTAGTTACCATCATCCACCTACCAATCCCGAGCCTCCAGCTCTCTTGCCCAGCGAGCGGCAATTTTCAATCTCTCTCTGACGCTCATCGCAGAGAGAATAGGGTACTTTTCCTCTTCGGCAATGGGTAGGATACTGGCAAACCACCAAGGAAAACGTGCGGCGTCAGTAGGTACTGGTCCGTAGGCAAGCATTACGCGTGGATGGAGCCATGGTGCTCCTGTTTGCCGTTGCTTGCGAATGAACTCGCGACCAAGATCAAGGAGCTCTTGAGTTGACATCGAGTTCAACGGAGGTTCGAAGATTGTCTCTTCTGGATCTGGAATTGCCGAAGCCGAGGTTTCCATCGCCTCGAGCCTCTCTTCCTCTGCCAGTGGGATATCATCCACACGCTCGGTTCTGGCAACGTGGTAACCGTCCAGTTCGCCAGCTTCAAGGACCTTGAAACGAGACACCCCCGTTGCAATGACAAGACTGCGCCCATCAGGTAGTAGCTCATAACGCTCAACCATGAGAAGTGTTCCATACTGCATGAATGGAACACTTCCCAGATCATCTCCTTGTGAGCGACTGCGTCGGTTGTACATAACCATCCCAAATTTGCCATCTCCATTGTCCACAACCCGTCGGATCATGAGCCGATATCTGGGTTCAAAAATATGCAGGAAGGTTGGCATAGTTGGGAAGGATAATGTACACACGAACAAGGGTAAGTTCTTCTCATGGTCTGTACCCATTTCATCGGCCGCAACTGCTTCACGTCTAGCGGTGATTTGGTCGGCGAAGAAATGATCAATTAGTTTGACAAGTGTGCGATTGAGCGACTCCGATTGCATAGCGGCAGGCATGCCAACTTTGCGACGGCAGATGGGACATAGATCTGTATGATCCAAAACGCGAGCAATGCATTTGCGACAGAATGTATGGCCGCACGGTGTTGTCAGCGGATCCAATATGAGAGCATAGCAGACTTGGCAGTCCAGCTCCCCACGCAATCGATCCCTGAGTCTTTGAAAGCGAAGCCGATCCTGTGCTTCGCAGATCTGCTCTTGGGAACCATCGTCGGATGGCTCATAAACCACCTCGGTCGGATTGCTAGGTAACTGCCCTTCCCAGGCAAGGGAATACAACCCCCATAGCCATCCTCTCTGCATCAACCGAACACTCTGGTAGTCTGAGGATTTTGCATCGTTTGGGAGGGCCTTCCACCGAACAACCCGACCAGCGGCATCCGGTGGCGACTCACTCTCTGTGTCTGGAATCGGAAGTGCCAGCTCTTCCTGGAAGACTCCAGCGATATTAGAAAGAACGACGTCTACTCCGCAGTCCCCGACGCAGTGTTCCCCAGTACATCTATCCGTGCCTTCCCAGTAGCACGTGAACCCTTCTTCTCGGCCTTCCGCCACAGGATAAGTAATCCCTGTCCGGGGCCGTACAGATGGTAGACATGTTCGACAGACTGTATTTCCACACGGGAGTCGAAGCGGAGTGTGCAGTGGACGCGAACAATGCCGACACTGGATTAACTGGATGACGAGATGTGGAATGTCAAGCTCGCGGGGGCTATGTTCCTCGGAACTCGACACATCCGAGCTCTCGAGCGCGGGGATGGGCTCTAAGCTGTCCGACCGTGCGGATTGCGACGAAGTCGGCGCCGCTACATTCTCCATGGCGAACCAATGAAAATTCCCTTGTCTCGCGACTAAGAGGATTCGTAGCAGGCAGGCATTCGAGGAGGTTGGGAGAATAGGTGATGGGCGGTATCGGGACGAAACTCTGGGGATCGACAATCAGTCAGAGCGGGTCAACTTTAGATAATCGGACTTGGGTTTGACGAACCCCGAACTTCCCAGATCCTCTACTTCATCACAATCATTCTTGGAAACTATCTACCTGATAAAAAGAGATTATCCATGTTAAAACGGATCATTTGCCTTTTTTTGGATGATTTTTTCTCCCTAGTTGCGCTCGAAGGTCTTCTGCTGGCGTAAGTATAAATGTAGAAGCTCCGACTGAGTGAAGGATATAGGCATCGTGAGATAACGCAGGGAAGCTGGGACAGAACTTGGACCAGCGAAACGCGAATTCTGTATAAGAGCCGATATCATTGATTGCTCATGACTTTTCTTCCGAAACGACTCCCCACTCCGAGATATCCAGACCGACTCATCCAAGTTGCTCTGGCTGCTGGGGTGCATGGAATATCACGTGATCAGAATGTTCCCCAATTGCTTCTCGCCGGAACTTGGAATCCTTGAGACCTCGATTTGTTAATAAGATTGGAGATGTTCCTATCTTGGTGGAAAATTTGAAGGTCTTAATCGACAGCGGCACATTGTAACCTCGTGTCATCCCACATAGATAGATATGGGATCCCCCTCTCGAGAGAACCCCATCGCCTAGGAGATTAATATCCCACTGATATTTGAAGGGAGAACGCTGATCTACCCAAAAATTCTAAATCATCAGACCTGAAGGTAAGACTCACTATATGTCCACCGCACAGGAAGAGCACTGCTATCGCTCGGGCTCTTACTCTATTTGGAAATCCAGCATCGGTTCGGAGCGCAGACGAAGTTTCCCCTCACGCCTATCCTAATCTGTATCCTAATCTGTGCCGTGCTTATCCATCATTGCCATAAAATACAAATGCATTCCTTAGTTCCTGGTATGCTTGAATGAGACTTTACTACACCGGTCATTTCTTAATCAACATGCTAGAGATAACCTGCTCTGGCACCCCCTACGAGGTGAGCGTTCTAATATCATGATGGACTCTACTTGTGGCTAACCTGATCGTCTACTCAATCAGATTGGATTCCGTCATGGAAAAGAAGCAGCAGATTTAATCCAGGGAAGCTTGGACTTCTACAAGACCTATTTTCTGAAGAAAAGCAACTTGGCCTGGGCAGAGGCTTCAGAAGTCGCTCAAAAATATCTTCCGTTTCTCGCAAAATATGTCCCCCAGCTTGTGGAAGAGATGCGAGGTTAGATACTTAATGAACCTTTTTAGCTTTCTTGTTACCATATCGAGCTCTGACATCTGAGAACTATTCAAAAGGCATCGCTGACGGCGCCAAAGTCGATTTCCTATCCATACTCGCACTAAACACTCGATCGGAGATATCGATGGGAATGATGGATGATGGCTGCACATCCGTAGCCTGGCAAACGCAAGAGTTCAGCACTGCAGGCCAAAATTGGGACGTATGTTACTATATCACTATCTCGCTTTCGCCCAGGGACTCTAATCTGAACTCAATAGTGGGAAGATCCTCAAAAGGAACGGTTGGTGCTGATGCACATTAATCCAAGCCAGGACGAGGATGGACACAAGCCCAAAGTTAGTCAGGTCACCGAAGCAGGTATCATCGGCAAAAGTGGGATTAACTCCTCCGGAGTCGGGGTATTCCTGAATGCAATACGTGCTCGCGGCATCAACTTCAATGGAATCCCTATCCATCTCGCTCTCCGACACGCATTGGAGATGTCATCTCGCCTGGAAGCTGTAGAAAAGCTAAGCTCGTTGGGCTTCGGAACTTCCGGCCACATCATGATTGCAGATATCTCTGGCGCAACTTCCCTTGAGTTTACCCATGTGGATGTTGTGCGAATGGAGATGGTCGACGGACAAATCGCCCATACTAATCATTTCTTGGCAAAGCATGTAGTTGAGGCGCCGAAGAGTGTGGACCTCCCAGATTCAGTCTCAAGAATGAAGCGAATTGCCACCCTTCTGCGCGAGGGAAATTCTCAGCTCATCGAGGAGCTTACAGCACGGGAAGCCGTCGAGAAGATGCTGGAGGATGAAGAGAGGACTTCCAACAGCAATAAATCGAAAGAGTAGCCCTCTTAATCCAAGTTCTACTTTGTTTAGTATTGTGGCGGATTTCAACTCTTGCACCGCGCACCTTAGGTTAGGAAGACCGACGGAACAGGAGGGTACTTGGGTGCTACGGCCAAAAACATTATAATTTGATACAGATTACCAAGAGAAACAGCAAGGAATTTTATAAGAAGCATGCAATGCTGAAATTCGTTTCGTGTCTCATTCCTAGGGTCAAACCATCGCCATGCCTGTTACAAATGCGTTGAACAAGTTAAGCAAAGAAAAGGAAAACACCGGAGAGCTGACCCAGATTCTTCAGGCTTTATAGATCGAAAAAAACGCAAATCATGCCGAGCAAGAACACAAACGCCAACCAGTATTGCAGGGGAATCAGATTTGGCCGGACCAGGCCGTCTGTCATGTTAAAAAGAGTTGACAGAGGAGAGAGAGAAATTCAGGAGAAAAAGCCTGCATCGTAAAAGAAGATTGGGGCTCTAGGTAGACGAGTCCGATTCTGATCCGGACGATTCGTCTTCGAAGACAATGCGTCGCATGACGCTCTTGTCAAAGAGATCTAAAGTAAAGCGTCGGGCTGGTAGGCGGAAATGGTGGCTTTCAAGAATGCACAAGGCTTTGCGAAACAGATGTACTTGGTGAAATCGTTCAGGTTGTTTGGACTTGATACTGCAATTTTGACATATAAGCGGGGATAGCGACGAAAATAGAGAGGCGGAGAGGAAGATTACCTGTGCAAATCTGAAGCAGATCGTTTAGATAGGACAGTATTTCCCATATCAACGATCAGCTTTAAAATCTTCTGGTTCACAGGGTCGGAATCTGTGGTCGCTTCCTTGAGTTTGTCCTGCGGAGTACGTTTCGCCTTGGTATCATAGCCGGGGAAGGAAACCTAGAGAATTTAGTAAAGCATTCTGCGAAATTGGAACGACATTCTTACCAAGAACAGCTTGCGGAAATCAGCGGGGAGACAAAGGCCCAGTGACTCGCCATTCTGATCAATGGCCGAATCCCAACCCAACTGTTGCAATACTTTTAAGCCTTGCCTGCTTCGGGAAATCAACCCAAGAACGAAAAAGGCGGTACCACGCATAGTCAACACGCCTGCGCTCTCGGCAATTGTAACAATGCGCTGTACAATATCTTGTTCCAGGAATGGTGCGCCGAGTTCCATTGACCCAACGTTACCTACGGCCCACAGACAACCTTTCACTTTCAGAAGAACCTCGGTATCTTCTTCTTCTAACCGAAAATCGCGAATAGTCCAGGCAAATTCATTGAAATGACCCGACTGCTCCAGCAACTTGCATCCCTCGGCGGTACGAGCAAGTTCCCGGTAGAAGTGAGGTGGAACAACTCCAATATCTTGCAAATCGACCAAGTCTTCGGGGGCGAAGCTGTTACGTCGAGGTTGGTCGACATAAGCTCGGGAAAGTGCCGCTTCCACAAGACCCACGTACGAATCATTCCTCCCAAGGAACCAATCGTCCATTTCCTGCGTGATATAATCCAAGCCATCCAGGTAATGGTAGCCAACGGACGTTGAAAGAAAGCGAAGAAGTAGCGGTGCGCCAATTTCGCCGAGGTGATCGAGGGAAGGCCGGCATTTGACTACAAATTCAAGGTAGTCACGCTGGTTGCATGCCTCCTCAAGGATTTTCACGGCAATTTGACAAACCATGACATCGGGGTCATATAATTGAGTCACAAGAAGCTTGACAACCCATTCCGCGTTGCCAATGGCCACATGTGGAGACAAGGTGACATCTCCGACGGCATATTTGCGAAGGAGCTTGGTGGCAAAAATCCGAATTTCTTTGGAGCCGATAGTAAGTGCCTTTGAAAGCATGACGCGCAAGTGGCTTTCGCGACTGTAATCCATGTTCCCTAGTAGGGTCTGAATCAAGTCATTCCGATCTTGTAATTCGATGATGTGATAGAACATGTTCAACATGTGCCATCTTTCCATCATGAGAAGGCCATTGGCATCCGCACTCAACGTCCCCAGCATCGCAAAGTAGCCGCCACTCATGGTATTAGACATCTGTTCACGCGAGAAAAGCGGTGATGCCGAAGTCAATCCACTCATACGATCTAACTGCGCCAAGCATTCAGCAACTTGCCGCAGAAACTTGTTCTCGGCTAGATACTTGGTGCCTTCGGCTGTTTGGACAAGGGTTCGCATTAAGGCGCAGCCGGTTCTGACATATCGGTAATTTGGCTTTGAGTTTGGAACCATCGAGAATCTATATTTGAAGGGTCGGTAAAATCCAATGAGTCGTTTCATGAATTTGGACCCTTTGATCGCTTCGTCCACTCTCTTTGGGTTAGTAAGAGGGCCTTCAACAAGGCGGTGGATGAGATCCCATTTCCATTTGTTGAAATTGACCGTGTTTAGCACGTGGGTCTCCAAAATAGCATTGCGAAACGTTTGTTCGTCCATATTAGGGCTCAGTTTATCTTTCCCTTGGTCACTGGGCAGCAAAGAGGCTGACAAGTCTGCATCCATGTTATAGCGTCCAGCCCCACCGGTAAACCCGCCAGAGCGTGCCAGCGTACGATTGATACTCTCGATTTGGAATATTGTCGAGGTGGAGACGTCATGGTTCTCGGTGTCGAATTCAATAGCGGGAGGCAGAAGATGTGCGAGAACCTGTAGGTCTGAACTAACGGTGGCTGGTAACGAATGATGGGCCAATTTGAGAACTTCGGTTAAGAGGAGTGTTGCTTTTCGTCGGAGAGAGAGGTCGGGTTCATCCTCAATCAGCTCAGAGAGTGCCTATACTTATCAGTGTTTTGATAATACTATTTGGACAAGATGAGAATTCCTCACCTTTGGGAGACCAGCTGCAATCAATGCTGCCAGGATGAGGGTGGAGAAATGCGCTGTAAGATCAAACTTATTGCTACCACTATCAGAAAATCCGGAGGTGCGTTTTGAGTCAGTGTCAGATCGCAGGTTTGAGACTCTGCCGTAGGTTGTAAGCCTTCTCCCTGCAAGGAAGGAAGATGACCAGGATGGGGGCTTTATTCGGAGAGCATCAAATAGCAGCTCCATGATAAGATCTCTAGCTTGAGGGTCAGGGTAGTGAAGTGACTCCAAAAGAGACTGTAGTGGTTTCGCCCCATGTCTTGTGAGTATCACTAGGCCGGGCCAAGTCTTGAGCATAGCAGAGATTGCTCGAGCAGCAGACTTTAATCGACCGTTACGCAATGAGTCGGCTAATGAATCCGTGAAGGGGGCCAACACAGCCTCCAACTCACATCCCTGGAGATATTTCCGACTGTGTGGAGTATCCAGGACATGCAAGAAGCTCGAAATCAAGCTTTCCGATGCACCAAACGTACCTTCGGCTAGAGCATCGTGCAGGGCGGCAAATCCACCTGCGGAAGCCACGAGCTGAGGGTCCTTAACCAACATCTCTGCCAGAGTCATAATGGAAATATTCCTTAGGCGATCCTCATGGTGTTCGGCAACCGAGACGATTGTACGCACAATGGCGCGAGATATCTCTTTCACGCCGTCCTTAACGTCGAGGAAAGCTCTCACGAACTTCAGAGCCTGCTCTCGTTCAATGCTAGCTTTGCTCTCCTTGACAAGCGACAAGATGACGAGTTCATCAGTATGTAATGCTCGAATTGTCTGGAGAGATTTTCGGTCTGCGATGGCATAACGAGTTAATCTGTAGCCAGCAGCGACGACTTCTTTGCTGTCGCTAAGGAGCATGACCTGGACGCGCAAACCAAACACCGGCCATGCAAGGTCATACTTGAGGGTCGGATATCGTTTGAACAGCTCAACCAGACTGTTGGCGCGTTCAACATAAAAATCTGGTGACATGCCCTCAATTTCAAGGGCTTGAAGTGTTTCGGTGAGGACATATGTCGGTGACTCCATATCGCCTTCCTCGTTCTCTTGCTCATCCTCATTCAACGATTCAGCAACGATGTTGTTATTCCGCGAAGGAGAGCGCATAGGACTCCCACGGAAGAGGCTCGAAAGGCGACTACGCGGGGGAGTTGTGGATGGTGCCTGGGCACGTAGCAGCTCCTCTTCCAGTTCACGTTGTAACTCCACCAGTTTGCGGTTGGAAGTGCTTAGCTCCGATTCAACCCTCAGACGTTGTTCCTTGATTTGCTTCGGTGGCTTGGTGAGAAGGGCCTCCAACATATTCTCCGTCCCTGACTTAATCTTCATTTCCTTCGCGATCTTGTCTCGAATGACAGCCTGCCGTTCTTCGGTGGTCGGAAAATCGTCTTCGCCAATCGATCGGCTTGCTCGTCGCGTATACGTGCCATCAGGGCGGGGTGTGATGCTCCGCGAATTCATGCTCTTTAATTCCGCACTGAAGCTCCCTGGGCCGCCAAAGGACGGGGCCAGTGAAGTGCCTGCTCGTGTGCTGGCGGTGGCACTGCCACCGGATCCCGATCGCCCATTTCGTCCCGACCTAGGCACACTATCATTCCAGCTCCCATCCACCGAACCGCCATCGTGGCTGAATGAAGAACGACCATCACCCAACGGGCGATGATGGGTGGATGCGGAGAACGCTGAGTTGTGCCCGGAAGCCATAGAGCTCCATTTAGCCACAGAGGCTGTCTATCACCTGTCACGAATATGTAGAATATTGCGGGGCCGCATTGAGGTTGGGGGAGGAGGTGAAGTCGGGGAGCAAGGGCTCCGGCTGTTGTCTGGGGAAGCGTAGGGGAGGAGGGAGGGGAAGGGCTCCGCAGTCACGGGTTGCGCTCCTAGTGATCAGTGAGCGACAGCTGCCATCACAACTGACCTGCAGTCAACAAGGGAATAGGACAAGTAGTAAAGGCGATCTGCACGAATAGTCGATTGTCCCACTCACTTCGGTTCAACTCGATCGCGGCGGAGCAACACATGATGACTAAGCCATACACTCGAGGCATTGAGTCGGGAGCTGTGCACTTCTATTTGTTAGTGCTCAAGAAAGAAATGGGAAGACCATCGGATGAATTCTCAATACCGAAGGCCATCGAATAATTACTCTGCGTCCTCTATGTTTGACGACTCATATTGCGGAAGACGCTGGCAAGATAGAAACTATGTCTTAATTTATAAAATCCAGTCAAAAAGTAAATATTGAATGGCCGGTTTAACAAAGGAGATATATAATTTGTAACCATTGATGCTCTTATGTTATCCATTAATCTTGCTCATAGTACATTGGGGCATTCTCAAGAGTATAACAGAGGAATCGTAAAAGAATCTTCTGGGTACGGTCAGGCGGTGCATCCTCCAGCCTGCGTTAATTTGATTTTCTTGTTCGTTTCCACAGAGGCATCATACACTGGCCATAATACATTCATACACCAGAACCTATTGTACACCTTGTATTGTTCAAGGTTGATTGGTGGTTTTCTCCAAGATCGTCTTCATCATCTCGTTTCCAAGCTTGGCAGCTTCCGGGAATTGGGGTGCGAAGTACTGAGCAATCCGTTCAAATCGGTCCCTGTAGGACTCAAAATCTCCGAAGGAGACACAGTCAGACCACGCCTACGAAAAATCAGTATGTTGAACAAAGGATGTAACTAGGCGAATCAAATGCTCGTATTTTTTTTGTAGACTCACCCGAGCAGCAAATGTAAACTCTAGGTCATCGGAGCGGAAGGTATTATCGTCAATGGCGGTATCCAGAGCTTCGTCGAGGAGCTCAGGGTTGCGGAACAAGTACTCGGTGACTCCCAGCCAGAGACGAAAGAGCTATGAAAGTTTTCTTGTTAGGCGAAATCGACCTTACCGAAGCTTTTTGTTCTTTGGTTCACGTACCGGCGTGGAGCAAATCATATGGTCGTAAGGTACGATACCAAGCTTAGACCAGCAGTCGACAATGGCAAGCAAGCTTAGATGACTATTCGGTGGAGACATCTCACGCGAGCGATTGGAAAGAGAAAATCGATCGAGTACCTCGTCCTTCAGCAACAGATCTTGTCCCTCGGTGTCCTTTTTGAAAACAGCGGCACCGGCCGCCTTCACTCGGCGCTTGAGCTCGTCCCGATGTCCTCCGATCATGAGCTTATAAAGTTCTGTCACCGACTCGGCGTACTGTCGAATCTGCTGCTTCGCAGCCGGGTTGAGGATTGCCAGACCGGCATAGACATGCCACTTATTCGAATAGATACGGAGGGTGATGTTGATTTTGACGTTCTCGATGCCACCCACCCAGCGAGAGATCTCCCAGGGAAATTGATTATTGGCCTGCCATGCAGTCCCCATACTCAAGAAGGCAGCGTGGGTGACTGCCTGTGTGTCGGCGGTGATACGATCGTGCATCTCACCAGTGAGATAGACATGTTTGGACCCGAAGGACGACAGAATACCGTCGACAAATCGGAGGCTTTCGTCAGACGCTCGGTGCTGAATTAAGACCTAAAAATGAGACGCGGTGTCAACGCCAGAACTGGTCTGATAAGAATCGGGCTTGGGATCGAGTACCAGAGGCTGGCCTTTGGGGTTCACTTTGGGCCCATGTAACGAATGGCAGGATACGATCTCTACGTCGGCCGGCAGGTGTTTTTCGAATGCTGCAAGTTCCGGGGCTTTGCAGGAGGTTTGGCCACCCACGATGGCGCCAACCTTAGTAGCTTTAGATTTGGATTCCAGTCAGAACAGATGGACTTTCAAGGTGTACTTGGGGATCTCCATGGCACCGCGCCGCAATGGTTTAGGGCTGGATGTTCAGTGGGTCGCGAAACATACATGGCCCGTACTGCGCCACGACTCGGTCGATGACGCCGGCTTCTACACTGTAAAGAATGAAATCGCTAAGTCTGGAAACGAGATGGCCATTGGGTAAAATGGTGACCAGGGGCTATATACGATGAGTATCTGGGGGTATATTAGGACGCCCGCAGGAGACGTACTTGAGAAGCGAACTCTTGGGTCAGAGATTCAAAGTTCTCAGGCATGTCACACGCGTTAATCCTTGGGAAGAACAAAAGGCCAGGTTAGTGACGAGTGATCACAACTTTACCCATCCATAGTCCATGTTGGGAAAAAAGTATATAGCAGACTATCGGAAATCACTCATTAGCACTGAGTCACCAGGAGCAATTGTAGCGAGGAGAATCAAAAGAAGAGTTTTCCATGGTAGTCAGACAAAAAAAGTAAGGTAGCGAGGGTTTCACATCACTGACAGCCCAGCAGCCGACCACCGACCAGAATGGTTTAGGCAGTACAACCACCGAGCCATACTCGAGCCAAATGCACTCAAGTCATCATGTTGAGGGGGACGGGAAAAGCAAAAGGACGGAAGCACAAGACAAAAGAAGCTTACCTAGTTGCTCGCATGGAATCCACGAGGACAGAAAACGGGAATGGCTGAAAATTTACCTCCATCCGGCGTCGCTCAGACGCTGAGCATACATCTTGCCCATATCACCCATCCCGATGATGCCAATCGAGGCATCTTGCTTAGTGCGTCCCATTCTGACAATGACTCAGGCCCACAGCTTGCGCCGGGCACCACGGAGCTGTCACAGACACGTTATAGAGGGTTAGTACAATCGTTCAATCTGTCTTTGCGGTGGCCTGGCTGACCCGGAGTACTCCGAATCAATCGAGGATGGAAAGATCACTTGTAGTGCTTGAAAAGACATGAAAGTAAGCCGTCGCAGAAAATTTAAATAGACGAGCGGAGCTTCCTCCTCACCGCCTTCCGGGCCGACTCTTGCACCGCGATTTTGCCCGTTTTTGCCCGCTTGGGGTTCTTTCGGGCCTCAGGCTCTCACTCGCTTGCCCGAGCACCTGCGCTGTCCAATCACAGTCCACGGGTGCGCTAGGGCACACACCCACTTTTTCAATCTTTGATCCTCGACCAGTGCGACTTTTCCTTCTTCTTTTCCATATTCCATCCACGACAAACCCCATCCACAATCGCAATGGCTCCCCCCAAGAAGGCTCCCGCCAAGGAGAACGTCTCCCTCGGCCCCCTCGCCGGTGACGGTATGTTCGAATGCTCGATGTTCTTCTTGGAAAATTCACGATGATGAGAATGCACCGAATCTAACAAACTGGGACATGGAACAGGCAAGCTCGTTTTCGGCGTTGCCCGCATCTTCGCCTCCTTCAACGACACCTTCGTCCACGTCACCGATCTCAGGTTTGTCTCTCGTCTCTGACTCCGATCCCAATGTTTTCGCGCTCGGCGAGCCCGATTCTTGCGGCACCCGAACCAAGACTGCAGCTGGAGGGTCATTTTCGGAGAAGTCTTAGATGGTGTTGACTAACATTTCTTGCAAATAGTGGTCGTGAAACCATCGTCCGTGTCACCGGTGGTATGAAGGTCAAGGCTGACCGTGACGAGTCCTCCCCCTACGCTGCCATGCTGGCTGCCCAGGATGTTGCTGCCCGCTGCAAGGAGCTCGGCATCACCGCCCTGCACATCAAGATCCGTGCCACTGGTGGTAACGGCACCAAGACCCCTGGTCCCGGTGCCCAGTCTGCCCTCCGTGCCCTTGCCCGTGCCGGTATGCGCATTGGCCGCATTGAGGACGTGACCCCCACCCCCTCCGACTCTACTCGTCGCAAGGGTGGTCGCCGTGGTCGCCGTCTGTAGACGTGTGCGAGCTTGGTCTTATCTCACTGCGAATTCATTGCGCGGCTGGATTGGCGGAGCCCGGCAGGATCTACCTGCTTTTGTGGATGGAATAAACGCGAAGAACGGCCCTTATTGCCTGGTCTTCAGATATTTTCATGCCCTGAAAAGTTCATGCTTGATTGGGTTATTGAACTAGTTTTCGTTGACTGAATCAATAACCATTTCTGAGTATATATTCGTTCCCGCCCACTGTAGTCTTACTTCCCATCCTTGTATGACTGCTTCAGTCTTGTCATAGGGGCCGTAGTTATGACGTGTTTTGTGAAACTGCACATCGTAGAGTTGTTCTCTAAATCGCCTTCAACAAACACACGAGGGAAACTGGTGCAAGTGTGGAGGCTTTGGGTTTTCTGTACACTACGGCCCGAGAACAAAGCCGAGTGTTGCGCTACCACGTGAGAAACGCTAAAATGTATGACGTGCAATAAATCTTCGCAACCACCACCTCAGACGCGCATTGACGATGTGCATGCTCTTATTGTCTTTCTCATCATGATTATGGTTCCTAGACATTTTTCTTTATGGTAGAAATGGCCCTTCCAAGTAATGAAAACAACCAATTTTCACCGTTGCTATCCACCGTACCCAAGCCTATTAATAACAAGGTCTGGAATTGGCACTCGACAATTCTAGCGATCAAAGTTCTGAAGAAGATCCGGTCACGATATGGAGACGTTCTCATGCTGACAGACAAACTATGTGTGAAGTACGGGCGCCATGTGCATTTATCGGAAGCTTCAACAATGCTTTTCTTGTCGCGACATACACATTTACCAGTACCGAAAATTCATGTGCATTTACTCATTCTGGGTCGACCTACATTGCGATAGAAAGGATTCAGGGGGATATTATTAGCAGTGGCTGGGTCTACCGAAGTGAGGAGTCAAAGGCAAAACTTTTTTCACAAGTGGGAAATCTTGTATCGAGATGCGGGAGCTCCAGCCTCCGCAAGGAATAGAGGTTGCTTCTGTTGATAGCGGATCGCTCTTTGATAGCTGTATACCAGGCTATTCCTTGCGCTTTGGTCCGTTTAGGACCGTCCAGAACTTCTATCAGCATCTTTGAATAGATATGGAGTTTAATCCCAGGCTTTACCCTCAAATTCAGAACCTTATCTAGCAACAACAAAGCAGATCTTTGCCTTTGGTGTTCACTCATAGCGATCTCAGCAGCCTGAAAATTCTTGCTCGTGGAGATAATATTGTTGGTATTATTGATTGGGAAATAGCTGGTCGGTATCCATCATATTAGGAACACACTACTGCCAACCAAGTCAATCCTCAGAACCCTTTTTGGGCTAAGGAGATTGATAATTTCCTACTACCAATGCCTGAAGAGCTGGCGATAGAATGGATCTGCCAAGAGCATTTTGGAGATTTTTGAATAAGCCTGTCCTAGTAACTCATACGATGATTTCCTTATGAACCATCAAGTCGTAATTTGGAAGCTTTCTCGTATCAAATTTGCTTTGGCCATCAATCGGGTGCTGGTCTTTCTTCCGTTGACGATAATCCATCGCACATTGCGCACTCTGATCCATTCAATGACACTTGTCTCTAAGGATTTGATATCTGCCTTGAGGCCTTCAAGAGCCTCCTCCACCTAGGAGACGCAATTCCATTGTGTCAACATCTTAGGCCCTCGGATGCAAAGCCCCCTCAATTGAAAGATCTAATTAGTGCCATAAAAGATTGACATAGACATATCATCCTTTTGTTATGACACGGAGGCTGCATCAACTAGCTCCTCTGGTTGGACTGATTATTCTCTAAACACTTCATTGACTTGGCCAATGGTATAGGATTGGCGCCTCTTCAACCAAGTGTGGGGAGCTATCGCGGGGCCGATAAGAAGAATGAGCTGCGCAGTTTCCTGCACAACCTTGAAGCGACACCATCGGCCACGCCTCGCAATCCCTGCTCCCAGGAGCAAAAATCTCACATAATAGTCCTTGCAACCATCAGCCTGAGATACGAAGCGCTCTATTCCAGCAATCGATCAGTTGCACAGGGCTGCGGTCCCTGCCGCACAAGTTTTCAACCCCATCAAACCCCGCCAGCCAGCGCATCCCTGCCACCACGACGACGCTTTCTAGATCTTCCCGGTATCTCAGGATTCACCGGACCTGAAGTGCACCTCGGTGGGGCTGGGCTGCTCAAACATAATGCCTTCGCCGCTTCAGCCGTCGCCGACCATCCTCCTTCCAGACCTACCCCCGAAGACCCTTGTCGGCATTGATCTGATCACTTTTTCGTCGACAGCCAATTTTCATGGGATCCGAGATCTCCCGGTCGGATGGCACTTCTTATACACAGGCACCACAGAGAGCCTGTCTCTTCGCTGTGGCGCATGGTTCTACGTGGGAGATATCCGTGCCACTGGACATGGAGACAGCAACACAGCCCTTGTGGTGGCGCAAGAGTCGAAGATCGGGCCGCAGATCTATATTTGGAAATGGAACGCCGGCATTGAGTCCCTAGCCTCATTGAAAAGCGGTAGTGATGCAGATTGCCAGGAGGCGATGCGCCATAAAGCCAACCTAGGTGCGGTCTGGCAGCGCGGCGGCTTGTTTCGGTATCGCAGTCGCGTGTCCGCGGCCATGCTGTCCAACAAGCCAGGTTCAACACCAGCTGAGACGACTATTGCGGAGGAGGACGAAGAGTCTGAGCAGATTGGGCGCCGGGATTGGCGACAGCTGACAGATCGGATTTCTCCCGATATTCTTTCGCGCATACTTGGAGATTGTGAAATGGATGTGGATGGCCACCCGCGCTGGACGGTGACTTCAGCCAGTACCGCAAATCGTGATGCCGATCATATTCCTGGAGTGGACTCGCCGGCTGAGGTGCCCCAGGAAACCCAAGCGCCTGCGGAAGAGCAAGAAAGAGAGTTTCAATTTCTCCCGGTTGATTTGAAGAGAACCTGGCGTGAAGGGGCCATTGGAAGAGAACGGACAGAGGGCGCTCAGGACAGGTCCTGGGCTCTAGCAGACTTGATCATCCGATATTCCAGTCGGGTCTCAGGTGAAATTACCGTTGATGAGCAGACAGGCGAGGCGCAGTTGCTCGGGGAACTGCAATTTACATTCTTGGTGGTGTTAACACTGATGAACTTCTCCTGCCTTCAGCAATGGAAGCGCTTGCTGGAGCTTATCTTGACATGCCGCCGAGCGATCGTGGACAGGGAGGCTTTTATAGCCGAAGCTCTTCGCATCCTTTTGCGACAATTACAACGATGCGATGATGTTGAAGGTGGTCTCTTCGAGATCGATGGAGACGAAGGCGGAGAGTTTCTGCGCCAATTATTAATTAAGGTCCGGCGGTCCGTTGATGAGGTTGTTGAGATAGGAGCCTCATCGATGGTGAGAGATGAGCTTAACAAGCTGAAAGCATGGGTAAAGGAGGAATACGACTGGGAGCTACAGCGAGAATCCATTGTCAGACGTGGTATGCTCCGATTGGAAGATGGCGAGGAGGTTGAAATGGAGCTAGATGACAATGATGAAGATGAGGAGACGGGTGAATATGCCCCAGTCGTAGTTGACTTGGAGGAGCATGATGCATTGTCCGAAGACGAAGAAGCCTCGGATTTAGAGGACATGAGATACTAAAACATACTATCCCATTTTGTTCTTAAATTAAGGACGACCTATTTTGCGGAATAATAATGACACAAATTACTAGATGATGGTTTTCCTTCCTTGCGAATCCTACTTTAATCAATACACGGAGGAAGCTTCAAAACTACGCAAAGTTTCTTAACGCGACTCAACACGCTATTCGTGCTCTCTTTGAATTCATGAAGAGAAACAAAAATCTATATACACCGAAGCTCATCTATTCTAGAGTTCGTAAGGAATCATCAAGATATACCGCTCGCGAGAAAAGATCAAACTACAATGATCTATTTCGCCACGCCTGGTATCGCCGCTCTCTATTTCTCCTCGTCCTCAACCACGTATGCCCACTCATGCTCTTCTTTGCCAAACATAATGTCTCCCAGCCAAGACTTGAATTGGGCAGCGTACCCGGCCGGCTCACCGTCCTTGCCAAGGGTGCTGATATCGGTGTCGTGATTACGAATCATGGCCACAGGCGTGATGAAGTACTAAATAACAGGTGAGTCAGGAACAAAGCCATTTTAGAAGCAAGGCCATCAATGTCAGTTTAGACTTACAGCAGTGCCTGAAACAAAAGACTCTACAATGCGGCCCTGTTGGGCAGCCTTCTCAATCTCGGCGATGGTGATAGTTCGCTCGACGACCTGCAACGGGGCCAGCTTGCCGACAAAATGCTCGGACAAACGTTCACGAGCCAACTCCAACACGCTCCGGCGAGTCACACCAGGCAGAATGAGCTGGTTCTCTAACGGGGCCGTGACCAGCTCTAGACGACCGGTGTCACCGTTGTGCCAAACAATGAAAAAGTTGCTGGCACCAGCCTCGGTGACCTGGCGGTCCTCGCCAAAGAGCCATAGGATCTGATCGAAGCCGAGCGCCTGGGCCTGGCCATGAGCCTGCAGGGACGGACCATAGTTGGCACCCAGCTTGGCGTAGCCGAAGCCACCAGGCCAGGCACGAACGGTATCGGGGTGAGATGCAAAGAGCTTCAAGCCCTTCTTCGGGGCCTCATTGGTGTCCTTCTTCATCTTGGTCATGTCGGGCCAGGGCACGGCAATGATGAACAGGAGAGCCTCCTTAGGGACCTGCACGCCCAGGTGTGGTCCGTTGCCAATGACAGTAGGACGAATGTAGAGGAACGAGCCGGGACGATCCTCGGGAAGCCAGCCTATATGCTCTTATTAGTAACGAGAAGGGCCTCGGCGAATTTCAATGACCAGATAGAACTGGATGTTGCCTATCACTTACGGGGGCCATCAATTTGCATCAGTTTCGCCACGAGCTTTTTCACCTCGTCAGTCTTGAAGCCGGGCAGGGAGGATCGCTGGGAGGAAGAGTTCAGACGCTCGCCATTGCAGTCCGGGCGAAACAGGCGCAATTTACCGTCATATCCACGGTACACCTTCATCCCCTCAAAGCACTCGGTAGCATAGTGCAGACATGAGGCTGTGGGCGGGATGCTCAAGTTCTGAAACGGCTTCACCTCGGGAGTCTCCCAACCGTTAGTGTCTGTCCATCGGACCGTGACCATGTGGTCAGTGCAGTAGGAGTGGCTGAGCTCCTCGGGCGAGCCAGGAAGAGGAACATCCCGGAGGTTGGAGGACCGAGTGATCTTGAAGTTGGAGGCGTCAAGCTCGGCGAGGTTGGGAGAGATGGAGCCCATTTTTGGATATGTCTTTTAGATGGGGGGCAGTTGATATAGCGTGATTGAATTGAAGATAGCGCAAATAAAGTCTTTATTCCCCTCTTCTTGAGACTGAGGGAAATGGCAAGACGGTCTAGAGATGTGAGTCACTCGGGTCGATGAATCGAGGCCCAGGGGTCGCAACAATTGGGGTTTCCGAATAAGCGAATATAATAGATGTGTAGCAAATCCGGTCTTTCCGGGATCTCTAGAGGATAAATAGGAGTTACAGAGTGGAATTGAGGGTGTCTTGGTCTTATTATATGCTGTATCGGTTTGCCCCGGGCTCCTATTTCCTTAATCAGTCGGAGCCGAGAAAAGTTTTTTTTTTTCGCTCGGGATGGGTTTTGCCATCGAGCTCCCGCCAATTGATTCCATCGGGGATGTTGATTCCGAACGCTTTACTGACAAAGTATCTTGCATGTCACACCAAAACGCGGTTGCTCCCATCTAGAACCCTGTGCAACCCAATGCATATCGTTCTATGCAACATCTCGTAAATAAAGCAGCGGGGATGCTGATAACCAGTTTATCAGAAAGGCTCCACCTCGCGGGGGGTAAATGCCGATGGTAACCGGAACGGGACCGGCACATAAGATAACCAACGAATCAATTCCTAAAAGGGTTGAAAGCAGCTTCGGGAGTGGAGAATAGTAGGTGCACGCGGCAGGCTGATGTGGTATTTTTCACCCATTCTTCATCGAGATACGACGAAGTGACAGATGTCCAGGCAGAGGCGACAGAGTGCGATTAAAATTTGGCATCAACGGGGATGTTGCTTGTTTCAACATAAATTGGGAATTTTGGAAATCTAAATCGAATCCATAAGCGATTTGCTTCTTGCTCAGTGGATGATGTGCATAAAAGTTAAGCACGGTATTCCCATTGCGTGACCTATCTGTCAATGAATACTAGTATGGATGCCCAGACGGGTAAGAGAGTTAAGAATTGTTCATGCAGTCAAAGTCTGAATTAGTTCATCCACATCTGATTGAAGAGTGCTGATTTATGCATTGAGGTGGTATCAATGAAGCCCCAGGGGTGTCACATCGATGAAACAATGGGGATCTGGTCATCACCAGATGTTTCAGGATAGGTCTTCTTTAACCAATTGAAGACTCAACAAATCATAATGGCTAACTTACAAGCATCTAACTGCATTGTATGACTCAAATCATTGATTATTTGAAAAGTCACTGCTGATTCTTAACCAGTAAGGGAGGAAGCCTATCAAAGTACGAATCATTCTAGGCCTATTAATGTAAGATTCCAATATTCGCCATGAAAGAAATTCATTCAATATACTAAGAAGGGTAACTTACCAACCTATGAATAGGATCTTAATGCTAACAACATCTTGATCAATAGAATGATGAGCTTGATGACTCACTCAATATAGCCTGAGTATACATTAAGAAGACTCCGGCTGGACAAGGCCGTGTGCTTCTACAGAACATGCAGTCTTTTCCTAAAGTAGTGGCAATAGCGCCAAGTCACATGCTATTGGGTATACTTAAGTGTTCCCACACTTTGACCAGAACACCATTTCCACCTCTTGTTAGAGAACCCTCCCATATGCATGTGCTCAGCTGCACTGAGTCTATTCAAGATTGGACCTCTGCACATTGTACCTAATAGTTGTTATTGATTTTTAACCTGATCAATGGGCATTCTGCCCTAAGAAGAGAGTGAATAGCGGAAATATTACCGAGATCTATTTATACGACTCATCTTCATATACCTGGTTGTTAACATAATTGTAGATGTTAGTAGAAATATAGCTCAAGTTCCACGAAGGATTAGCTAATTAGGCTACTGTCTTTCAGGCAGTAAACCAATCTTATGTGTAAGTATATATATGGGATGCTTACCTGGCTCCTATAAATCAAGTAGGATGCAGCGGAAAACAAAGCTTATAGGAATTGATCTCCGGCTAATTTAAGACATCTTTAAAGTAAGGGTCCGTCAGCTTTGTGCGCAGCCTCACTGTCATCGTACGAACAGCTAAGCAATTTCCGATCGAATAGGCAAGAGTGATCAGACTCCGTGTCCCTAGAACTGTTCAGTTGGTCAGTCAGTTGATATCCGGAAGAAAGCTTAGCATTGCAGTCAGTAACCGGTGATAACTGAATACCTCATTACCTTGGGATTTAGGCCAAAAAGACGTCAACATACTTGAGTTTGATAAAGGTGAGTGTTGCTCAGACCCATGGTCCCTATAAAGAGAATTTTTTCTCGGGTAAAGTGTGGCGACCATGTTGGTCAGGGGAGCTACAGGTGTCTCTAATGTTACACGCGGTCTTTTCAGTGTCAATTTCCCGGGTTCCCATATTAAAGTTGTCCAAAGAACTTACAATAATATGCTCAATAAAGTAATATTTAATGATCTGGCAATCACTAGTATGAAAATAGGACAAGGAATTGGCAAAATGTTCTAGTTAGCGCTACCCTTTCTCTTGAACAGTATCTTTGTGAACGAACGCCTTTGTTCAGCCAACGCAAACTGCCGAGCCATCAAATGTTTGGCCACTCTCACTATATCAGACCTACTAATTTGTCTTGGAATCAAGTGAGAGATAATGCCGCTTTTCAACTTGCCTACCATTCCCCATCGAATATTTAAGGAGCATTTTCTCCTTCGCTGTATCTTCTTCTTCTCCCTCAACCTGATCCTTAATCTGCCCGTCATGGCACCCTTCACGCGTGCCTACATCCGTGGGAGTTTTGAGATATCCCCTACACCTCAGACCCAAGCTAACACCCTAACACCATGGTGGCCTTCCTTTCAACCAACTCCTCCGCCTTTGATGATGCCCGACTGGAATCCGCCTAAGTTACCAGCCTGGACGATTTCGTACCCGGAATCGACGCAATCAAGTTACAGGCCGTGGAAGACCGTCGAGTCCCCGTTTCAAAAGGTAATTGTTGAAGCTAACAAGATCACCCGAAAGATTCAGGAGCGCGTACACAGGTCAGAGACCCCGTATAGTTATGGTCAAATTAAAGATCCTCTGAGAGCCTGTGCTTACCTAAAGCAGCTTTTTCCACAACCCCCAATACAGCGACGTGCAATTGATTTGCAGGGACACGATTTTCTTAGCTCACAAGATCATCATCTGTCCTTTATCAGGCTACTTCAACGCTGCATTAAATGGAAAATTCAAGGTACGAGTGATGAAAATGTGTTGCGTTTTCTTTCTATTTCTTCTTTTCTTCATTCTTTTGCAATTAAGTTTGGAAACCTAGAGCTCATGAGGGTCTTTAGGAAAATTTTGGTCATATCACTCTTTGCGGCCGAGATTCGATCTTTGTTGAGAAGATTCTAGAGTTTCTATACACAGGGAACTACACGTTGGATCCAGGCAAGTACAGACGAGCTTTTGAGCTTTTAAACCCCCTCGTCGACAATGGAGTTGGCGCAAAGAAATCCACTAATCTCTTACACAGAACATATGGCAGTGGAATTTAATGGTATGTATTTAGAAGAGGATTTCAAGGGCAACGAGGTTAAAAAAAAATCTAATAACATTTTATGACCTATTCTCCAGACTATGCAGACTTCGAAGAGCCCGACATCGATATCAAGTCTGATCCCAAACTTCTCAATTCAGCCTGTGAATTGATGACCGCCCCCTTTACATCCTTCAAAAAGATTAACAGCTCACGAAAGACGTCTGCGAGGAGCGCATCTCCCGGAAATACCATCTGCTCCAATCTAGCGTATCACCACCTTCGTATCTTCGCCGAAGCAGACTACTTCGTAATCGACGAGCTCCGCGACATGGCTGAGGCGAACTTCCACAACGCCTTCCAGGAGCTCCTCTTCAGGGAGCTCAAAGCTGCGTCCGCGTGGGACCACACGCCCCGACTAAGCTTCGGCATGGTCATGCGCGAGCTCTATTCACGGCGCGCCAACTACCGCAAGCTTAAAGAAATAGCGCTGGAGCTAGTGATGAACAATCTACCCGAGCTCCGGCGGACAGTGTTGAAATCACCCCTCGAGGGTTGCTTCTTTATGGGGTCGCACCCGGATTTCGCCGCCGATCTGGCTTGGATGCTTATGGAAAAGGTGTTTCCGACGGAATATGGTGACCGTTTCTATCCTTCTCTCCTGCCACAACAATTTTCATCATGGGGGCGATACGTGAGGGAGCAGAGAATTGAGGACCAAGGAACCGTGCTGCGGTGAATTGTCTAGTGCAAGAAAGGTTCGGCGGGAAAAGGAAGGAGGCCGAAGCTATTATGGGCAAAGAAATAGGCCCAAGACAAGTTGTTTTATCTAGATTAAAAGATGGCACTAAGTGCCTGGACGTGGTGGGTGGAGACCCGGCGCGAGATAGTTATCAACGATAATACAAATTGTGGATAAAAAAATTAATGCAGAAAGGAGAGATCGAGTGAGCCAAAAGAACCCCCTGAGGACGAACGGTAGCTGTTTCTAACAGGTCGACTTGCAGCACTTTTTGATTTTGATTCTTATTGACTTCAAGGGAGCCATCGGGTGTCTCGATTGAGAACGTCCTTCGCAAGCATTGTCCCCCACCAATGATGCGCTTTAGTATCACTAAATCGAGATCAATGCATGGCTGCCAAGGCGCAGCGTCCAGTCAGAGGCGGGCGCAAAGGGCAGGCGTAATGCGCCAGGAGAGGAAATTGGAGAATCTCCGAGGAGGAGGACATGGGAGGACTAGGGAGGAATCATTGGGCATCGACTCAAGTTTCTCTAAAGAAAACCCGATAGGGCATTTGACCTCTCAGGCTATGGACTTACGAAGCCGTCCGCACGCCTCCGAGGCCCCTGGAACTGCCGTAGTTAACCAGGTGCAGCACGGCTACCAGGTTCAGCCCTGCCTTCCCCACTTCATTCTGGAATTACGAAAGAAAAGGGAGGAGGGGAGTCACCACGGTATCGCAGTCACACCGTTTGGGGATGGACTTCTACTTCCTCGAAAGCTCTAATTCGATTGAGTTTCTTTTCTTTTCTTTTTATTTTTAGGGGACGGGAGTTGTCTCTTCCTAGCAAAAGTCATGGGAAGCGCCGATAGGAGGCAGATTTGCCGTCATTGAGATAAAGTCTGTATAGTTTAGATTGCATCTCCTCAATCGAGAGGGTCAGTGCTTGGATCGTGAAAAGCAGGCGCATGCCAGGGAGTTGCAGCAAGTTTTAAATTGAGATGGACGGAAAAGATACCCTTGAAGCGAACTAAGCAAAAGTACCACCATTCGCGCATGCATCTCTACTATTTTGAGACACTCAGCTCTCCCATCGGGAGGGTGGGAAGTTCTATGCATCTATGCACGAAGACCCAATGAAAGTCGGTGAGACAAATCCGGCTGTTTTATCCGAGCCAGTAATCGGGTGGGGTTGACATCGGGTTGGGGGCAGGGTGGTTGACTTGCCATCCAATGCCGCCTCCAATCTCGGCTCTTGTCTCACCTCCTCTCCAGCGGACAGATGCAGCTGGGGATCTGCGATAATGATGATATTGATGCAGATTTTCTGGTTGCTATTCAGACCAGCCCTTCCCATGACCCAAGATGCGGCACTTCATGCGCCTGTTAGAGGGGGACGACAGGGTATTTTGGGTCTTCGACACATGCAATAACGGTCTGTCTCATTCTTGCATCGATACTAGTGACAAAAAGAAAATGCCATTGCATAATCGTGAACTGTCCTTTTTCAGCTGCACGGTGAAGCACTTAGGATCTGGGCCGTGTGTCCGGTGTTGATCAACCAGGGCCACTGCAAAGGAACATCTGTAGTTCTGGTTCTCCCCGTCCTGCATGACAATAGGCCTTTGAATCCTCGGGGAGAGATGTATTTCATCGATGAACGAGGGGGTCTGACAAAGCGTTGACAGGGGGCGAGGGCTACCAAATGACCAAGCACAAACGCAGGGAGCGAAAGGGCGCAGATGCAACAATGTGTCAGAGTTGGAGGAAAACCCAACTGACAAAGGATCAAATTGATGCCGGCACCTGCATGATAGACTTTCTCAGTGGGGATACAAACATTTCAGGATCACAGTGGTTGACGCCTGTCACTCTTGATAAACCCTTGATACTAATGCATGCTGTCTGTGTCGCCAGCCGTCGACCTCCAGATAGATACCATATCAACTGTAGCCTGATAATCGCTTCCTCATTGGATGGCTCGCTTCCGGCCAATCAATCGCGATGGAGGTGGGCAAAAAGCAAACCGACCGGCAGGTCCACGATTTTGGGAGGAACTTCCAAGAACGTGATGGACATCTAGGATAAAGTCAACATGATGTATCATATGGCGAATATTTCAGCTCCCCTCAACTGACCACCACGATGTCGATCAAAGTGTGGAAATACGAAGTTTGGCCCTGCCCGAAGGAACGTTACGATGGATAAGCGGAGGGCGTAGGACGTCGGAATCTGCCGAACACATCGAAGCCCGGGAGAAATCTTTTGCATACCTTTGATTCTTTGTTCCCTGGTTTCGTCCGCGTATCCTATGAAACATTTTATGTAGCAAGCTAGCTTGTGGTCGTTTCCGTCAACCAGGACCGTGGGAGATACTTGTCACATACTCCAGACAAGAGAAATCTTCCCTCTCGTTTCAACCAGAAGGCGATGGGCAGTTTGATCACATCTTGCCGCATTACCGGGGTTCATCTCGATGGCATCATCTGGCACTTACCATGCCGCGTATAGCGATGTATGCACCGAGATTACAAACTGCCCCCTGGTAGCCTCACTCCGAGTGAGTGGAGTAGCAATCCGATGTATTGGATACCGAGTGGACGGTCAATCCTACTGTAGGCAGAATCCAGTCTGTGCGGAAGTCAGTAGCGGCCAATCGAAGCCGCGGAATGGAATTCTTGTTACAAGGGCACCATAACAGGAAAGGAATTGTGGAGACTGATATCACCTAGCATCCATTCTGCATAGCTGGGTTTTCATTACGTCGGGAGTGCTGCTCGGGTGCCCCAGGAGGGCTCAGAGTCGGCAAACGACAGTTGTTGGCTTGGAAGAGCAGCGACCCCTTCTGGAATTTATGTGGCGTCCATTTTGCTCCTGAGATCCCATCCTTACGGCGTTGTTCGGAAAAAAGACATACTATGCATAATTCAGCTCCAATATCCATGACACGCGTGCATGACATTGGGCATCGTCTGGTGCTTTTCAAACTTGCAGCGCTCCTCAGTGATTGTTTCGGTAAAGTATTATCATCGGTTCGTGGGGCCGTTCAAGTGGCTAAGGCGAGTGAGGGCCCGGTGCAAGGAGCATGTAAAAACGAATATCCAATAGCTACCAACGAATATATTGCAATTGAAACATGGTATTGTGCCGGCAATGCGGGAGTTTCCACCGGGGGCATAGCGGTCACGTCGTAGGGCCCGGCAACGCTCCGATTTTACTCCTGTTTTCGACGCAAGTCCCACGCCGACCTCCAAGAATACCCTAGATCCAGCCGACCCTGGTCTCGTTCCAATCCCTTCCCTGCAGCCAAAGGTGTAAGATTGGCTGTCGATTCGTCGCCTTCCCCTCAAGTCAATCGTGGCGTTCAATCCTGAGCAATTGGGGCCACGGGGCCACCCTCGTTGTGCGACAGCAAGCCCTTGTGTTTGTTAGATGTCGTGGACCCCCTCAATTATTCCTTGTCGCGTGCAGATCAATTTCAATGCCTTTCAGGCAAATTCATATCGATTGCTAGTCGAGTTCCACCCGCGAGTACTTAACACAGCAAACGAGCCACAGCAGCCATACCTCTGTTCGACCAAACATGATCATCGAATACCGTTCGGGGCGCTAGGAGTCGAAAGGAATATGAAGATTTCGTTAGACGGCGGTATGTGCCATATATTCGACCACGCAAAACCGCCTCGCAATGACCCGCGTGGTCTCTGTTGCCCTGGGGCTAGGCGCTGCTTGGAAGAGCAAGTCCTGAACGAAGCTGACCCTCGTTCTCATCCACAGCTTTGCACCACAACGACCAATTGAATCGAGGTGAACTCTGAGTACTGGATAGGATAGCATTGTCTGGAGCCCACATATGCGTGGATTTGGTTGCTTGGCAGCCAGCCCAAAAGATGAGCCAGCACAACTCCAGACCATTCCCTCCTCTAGCACCCGGGCCATCCCGTATGTTGACCTCCAACACTTCGATCGCCGTCAATCGGCCAAAGAAAAACTCCACAGCGTGTCTTGCATGCAAGGCTGCAAAGCGAAAGGTAAGCTGCACAACTTCAATCAGTCCGGCCATGCCCTAGCTCTGCTAGGATTAGTGAGATCACACTTTCGATTCAAACTTCTCAGCAACTGATATCTGTCGTCCTTCAAAAAAAGTGCTCCGGGCCACCGTCCCCATGCCAGGCCTGTGTTGGGGCAGGTGCCGAAAGCGATTGTGAATTCGACCCAAGCCGAGACCTGCGCCGTAAAATCGCTGTGAAACGCACAATACGAGAGTTGTCGGACTTCAAAGACATCCTGAACAATTTGGTTGCCAAAATTCGATCGGCACCGCAGGAGAAGGTTGATAAAATCATCGATTTGATTCGAGAAGACGCATCATTGGAAGAAATAGCCCATGCGGTGGGTAGTTCTGTGACGCAATTCACGGATTCAGGCACTTCATCAACAGCAGGTCAATCGACAGAGCGGGAGGATGGAAGCAAATATCTGGAAACGTCTCCTATGGAACGCTTCGAAGGAACGCTGGATCGCACCTCCGCTTCCCCAGAGCATGCCACCGAGTCGCTGAAGGCCGCATCTGACCCGTACGCACGAGTGAGCTTGGAAAGCCTCTGTGATATCCCCATTTTTAAAGTACCGGCCAAGCCTTGGACCAACGTCACCGCTAGCAACGACCTTGTGTCGAATTTGATTTCCTTGTACTTCACGTGGGATCATCCATGCTCGCAGTTCCTCGACCAGCATGTTTTCCTTGACCACATGAAACGGGGAAATTTGAAGTCGGAATTCTGCTCCCCCTTCTTAGTCAATAGCATGTTGGCGATGGCAAGCGTATGAGAGCCTAAGACTTAGTCCCTACTATACCAAGCTTGTTTTTAACCAACAATAGGCCTACTCCGATAGTCCTGACGTTCTTTCTGACCCTGATGACGCCTTCTCTCGTGGGCAAAAATTTCTGCAAGAGGCTGAAAGGTTGTGGAAAACTCAAGATGGAGATTTGACATTGACAAATATCCAGGCACTTCTCATGATGTCTTGCGTGTATGTGGTAAACTATCCGCAAGACCTTTGAACACCTTTGACAGAAGGCTAACTGATTCGACAGATATTCAAGTCAAGGAAATAAAAGCCGAGCTTGGTGGTTGGTTCGACAAGCAGTGCAATTAGCACAGGACATGGATCTCTTCGTTCTTCCAAGGCTATCCTATTCAACCAATGAACCAATGACACCCACCAGACAACGCGTGTGTACCATTACTGCATGGGGGTTTTCAGCGTGAACTTGGAGCTGTCCATGACGCTGAACAAATGCTCAAACTTGACACGACCTGTATCCAGGATCGAAAATGGAGGCGACAGTGACGTCAACTGGGCTCCATACCCACGACCAAGTCAAGTCGATTATGCCTCAAAGCCGACCCAGCTACCTCTGCTCAGACAGAGTCTTGTCCATTTGATGAGCATCGCAGTGCACATTCAGGAACTTCTTTGCGACGAAGAGTTACGCGAGAACAACTTTCACTTAGTGAAAAAAGCAGAGCAACCGTATAATCAGTTGACGGAGTGGCTTAAGTATTGGCCTGATGCATCTCAGGTTGGCGAAGATCCCGTTCCACACCTGCTCATAGTCCGGTAAGACCACTGCGGCGCTGAGTTGTGGCTGTCCTTGCGCGTTGCTTCTCTCTCTCTTCCCCTTTCTTTATCTTTTCAACCCATGCTGATGGTATGCACAGTATCAAGTATCGCCAAGTCATCATGAACCTCCTTGAGAATTTGATCAATCGAAATCAGCAGGGAATGAGGGCGAAGCTTTTCCAGGGCATGTGGATTGAGCAGGCAAAAGAAATAGCTGCATGTCTTCGTAGTCACCGCCTGTCTTATGGACTCAAATATCTTCCTACTGGTGTGGTTGATGTTGTCCAGACGAGCCTGAGGCATTTCGTGGATCTGCTGGATGGGGCTGTCCAGTCGCAGCACGCTTTCATCGAGCTTTGTCGGTTTGGCGGAGCGATTAGTCGGAGGTCCAAACCCACCGCCGTTGTTATCCACCACATCCAACGGGTGGCTCAAATGGGAGTTGTAACACTGCCGCTTGAGGCACTCGCTATCCTAGATGAATCTGCAGTTCGCAAAGGATCAGAGCCATGGCATGGCGCCTTGTTCGAGCCTCGGGACTGAAAAACCGAAAGGGAGTGATGGGATTGATGCGACCGATATGGTTGCTGATTGTCCTACGAATGAAGAGCCGGTGCAAAGGTGAGTATTGTGTGAACGAATGCGATTGACGCTTCCGGAAGTACCCTCGTGCTAATCGATGTTGACGGCGCTGACGTGTGTGAACATCGTCAACTCGAGGGAAGATGGTCCGCCGTACCTTAGCAGGGAGTCGCGTTCTGTCCGAGCACCAGCCTCTCTGCCCTGGAGTGGTTGGTTAGCGCGATTAATTCTCTCACGGCCGGCAGTCGACAAAGGTTGTTTCATTCCAACATCAGGGAATAGGTACTGAGTTGGCGAGCTGAAGTAGCTAGATGAGTGGCTCACCGACTTGGGAGGAGCCCGAGGAGATGATCCTAAGAGATAAGCGGTGGCATTATTGACGGTGTGCTGGTACGTGGATGTTGCCACAGGTCAGGTCCCCTGTCTTGTCTATAGCATAGGGATTCAGGTCTAAAGGAGAGAGGAGAAGGAGAAATCCTCCACATTCTCGGGCTTATTTCGTGGATCTCTCTTAATACAACGAGCTCTGCTAGTATCATTCAGATCTCTCAGTTGCTCGTCCCGTAAGAAAGAAGGCAAGCATGGCCTCTGAAGGCGAGGGATAGAGGGTCGCGGGCCGCCACCCACCGGTGCAGCCCGCCGCCTAAACAGGACCCCCAAGCATCAACCCTCCAGCTTCCGGCTTCCAGATTCTCACCGAGGTACTCCAGGCGAAGCAGGGGCTACTTCCTCAGAAAACGATGTAAAAAGGATGTAAAGTGAAATCAAAAAAATAAACCCGATCCACGCTTTCAAAAGACTTCAATGTTCATCGATTCAGAATAACGGTCGAGGCCATACCTAATTTTTGTGTCCAAGACACGAGACTATCATCCGAGCCTACTGTGCTACCAGCGATGCGAAAATATTATGAATAGACCAGTGTTTATTTGATCACAATCAGATTATGTGGGTAGAAGGTCATGTAGTCCAACCACCAAGATGGCTCTACCATGACTTCTGAGGACGCTTGCTCTCATTTCCATTACTGACTTAACACTTTATGCCGCTCCTGTTCCAAATCCAAATGAGTAGTTTAAACTACAAGCTCTAGGAGCCAATCAAACTGGTGCCGAAACCCAAGGGAAGTGGAAAGTAGCGTAAAAGCCCAGAGCTACTAATCAGAAATAGTGTGAAATAACCAACATACTGGCTGTCTCTCAGTAGTCAAGAAAACAAAGAGTAAATTGGCGTCATTTCATATAATGATTTTATACAATTATATACGCTTAGCTGGAGCAGAACTCCAGTTCATTCAAGTTTCAACTTGAAGGAAGTTGTGCATCTGTTGCTGAGTCAGCCCCGTCTTTATGCGCAGATAAGATAAGCACAACACCGAAGCGAAAACCCTCAAAATTCGACTTCTTTTGGCAAATCCCACACGCCGCCGACGGACGTGCACCCCCACCCACCACCCTCTCTTCCGCCCTTGCCGTCATCTCGGCGCAAGAAAAAAAACTCCCATCCGATCTCTCCGTTCTTGCCGATCCTATCCCACCCAAAATGTCTTACGATGACCGCGCCAATGCGCGCCCTAACCTGAATGACGAGTCTGATGTCGAGGAGGAGGCTCTGGTCAACGACTACCGTGAACAGGTCAACTACGAAGATGGCATGAGTGAGCTGGACCGGACAACATCTCTCGGTGGCTCGCAGGCCCAGGACCTGCAGGCACAACTCGCCGCTGCTGCTACCCCGCTGGAATACCAGGCGACCCTCGAGACCAAATTCGCCAGTTATGACAACTACTGCAGCCTGTTTCACTACATCCTGAACTCGGAAGGTCCCGTCGATCTGGAGGTTCCCTCGGTAGGTGCTCCGACGATGTCCTCTCCATTCCCTTGGTCGGTTAGATTGTGTCGATGGCGGAGGGAAAACAATGGAAATTGAAGAGTGGCTTTTGTGAAATCGACGGAACTCGACCAAGAAAGAAAGAACAAAACAAAAAAGAGATGAAGATCACACGCATTTATTGTTACACGGAGACTAATATTTTCAATGCTCTTTCATAGTACTACTGGGCCTGGGATGTCATTGACGAGTTCATCTATCAATTCGAATCGTTCTGCCGTTACCGCAACCGAGTTGCCCGCAGTGGCTCCAACGAGGAGGAGGCCCAGCTGCTCCGCGAGAACCCCAACACCTGGGGGTGCTATTCCGTGCTGAACGTCCTGTACTCACTCATCCAACGCTCCCAGATCAACGAGCAGCTGGCCGCCATGAAGCGGAGTGAAGACCCTGTGGCCTTCGCTGGCGAGTACGGCTCCCGCCCTCTCTACAAGATGCTGGGATACTTTTCCATCATCGGCCTGCTGCGTGTGCACTGTTTGCTCGGTGACTTCAGCCTTGCCCTGAAGACCCTCGATGATATCGAGATGAACAAGAAGGCCATGTTCGCCCGGGTGATGGCCGCCCACTTCACCACCTACTACTATGTGGGTTTCTCCTACATGATGATGCGCCGCTACGCCGACGCCATCCGCATGTTCAGCCACATCTTGGTGTATGTGTCACGGACGAAGAATTTCCAGAAGGGCGGCAACAACTATGATGCCATTGCCAAGAAGAACGACCAGATGTATGCCCTCATCGCCATCTGCGTTGCCCTGCACCCCACCCGTCTGGATGACACCATCCACTCCGCCGTGCGCGAAAAGTACGGCGAGCAGTTCCACCGCATGCAGCATGGCGGCCCCGAGGCCCTGCCCGTCTTCGAGGAGCTTTTCCGCTCCGCCTGCCCCAAGTTCATCAGCCCCACCCCTCCGGACTTCGAGAACCCGGCTTACAATGTCGACCCTGTCGACCACCACACCGCCATCTTCATGGATGAGGTCAAGAACACCCTCTTTAACCCCACCATCCGTTCCTACCTGAAGCTCTACACCACCATGGACCTGAAGAAGCTCGCTGGCTTCCTCGAAGTGGAGCCTGAACAGCTCCGCTCCTGGCTGCTTGTGAACAAGCAGCGCAGCCGCCAGATCCGCTGGGTCGAGGGTGGCCTACTGGAGGGTGATGCTGTCATCGCCAATGATCTTGACTACGCCCTTGAGGACGACCTGATCCACGTTAGTGAGACCAAGGCCGGCCGTCGCCTGGTGGACTGGTACCTGCGCAACCTTGCCCGTGTCTACTAAAGTGGTGCACAAGACACATAGAGCCTTCCCCACCTGGGATAGGTATCACCCCATGCATACCCATCTCATGGTATGTTCTGCAGGTGCTCGGGGAGGGTCAAAAAGGTGGAGAATGGCACTGACTCCACCCGCGCAAGAAAGAGCAGTACATGACTTGAGATGAATATTTTTCTTTCATATTCCTACCCACTTCCCCCTTCTATTTCCATTTCCCCTATTGTCTACATTGCTTCTCCTGTTCCTGGTTCTTTCTATACTACGATTCCTTTTCCTTTTTCTTTGCTGTTCTGTCCCTGGTCCTTTTTTGGTTTCATGGACTCCATGTGGATGCAAAATCAAGTCGGGCTATCGCGATATCTTTGGAGGGCGTACGAGACTCACATTTGCCCCGGTCTGCTGTTCTGCTTTTTCTTTCCTAGGCATGTGATTTGATTCACTCGAAAGGAGTGCTGTGTGAGTTAGATTAAGAAAAAAAAGAGGGAGAGACTTGATGAAATGCATAGATTTATGATGTTCTTTCCCCCTGCCATCGACTATATATATATAAATACCGAGGTGCTAGAACGACTTGAATCCTTCTTCAGATACAAAGCACAGAAATCCCTGTTTCGAAAAGGGTATTTTCCGGCTCAGGACAAGATAGTGGCAGTGGAGCAGTGCTTAAATGACCTGCCTAGTAACTTGAAAGGATGCCAAAAACAACTTTCCGGAGGCTACCTCTTCCTATCTCTCCTCATTTCACTCTACTCTAGTCCCCTCTATATCAGTATCTATAAGGCTTGTGTTTGTTTTGCTCAGGCTGTTGGCCATCTAATGAATCCTTTAACACCTTGAGACTCAAAGGTAAACAAGACGAATTTATGCATATGCCTGCGTCTTGATTGTCGATTGATCATGTGCAACACCTAATTAGCTTCCCAAGAAATTCTCAATCACCAACTAACACAGAAAGATTGCATGGGTCTTGGGGTCGTAGATAGGCTTCAGAGAGAAGAGGGTATAAAATGCAAATTAATCTATCGGCCCGATGAGAGGTATGGTATTTGTACAGGGCAAAGGGAGAAGAAACGTGAGTTGGCCTTCAAATCAATGCAGTCTCCAGGCTAAAATCAATCCATCACATCAAAGCTCGTTCCACAGCCACAGTTACTGGTTGCGCGGGGATTATCGACAATCTTGAACTGACTTCCAATAAGTTCAGTGGTGTAGTCAACTGTACTGCCGGATAACAGCTCCAACGAGGGCTCGTCCATGATGACCTTGGCTTCGCCAGCGACCCCCGTGGATCCTTCTGAAGCCTCGGCCTCGCCCTCGAAAATGGTGTCCTCTTCCAGATCAATTTTGCTTGCCGACTCTAAAGACATCATGTATTGGAATCCATGGCATCCGCCACTGGTAACGGTGATGCGCAGGTGGTGGTAGGGGTTTTCTTCTTTCATGGCGGAGGGAGAGGAGGATGGATCAGTGATTTCTCGAAGGCGCTGTTTGATGATTAGTATCCGAACTGTACTTTGGGAAATCCATTGATAACAAGAGCTTAAAAAGGATCAAGAAAGAGAAAGGGCAAGAATAAAAAGATTAAACCAAAAACATACAACAGCAGGGATTCGCTGGTGGTCACCCACCCAACTACTAACCTGCCGGCGTGTGGCTTAAGTACGGCTGAGCGGACGGGAAGCCCTGTTCTCCACACCCTGTGGTCGTATGTACTAGACCACACTTTCAGGTGGCCTAAGCAGAAAGGATAAGTTGGTTCTCAGTTCTCTTCTAGAGTTTCTGATCATCACCATACTTCCATTGCAGCGTAGGAAGGTCTCACAGGGCTTCCATCATCCACCAGCACTTTCTATCGATCACAAACAGACAAACGAGCCAACCAACAATAGGACCATGCGAGGGAGTATTGTTAACGTACCTCCACAGCGCGCGGAGAGATATTGATCATGAGCGCCTCGCCGTCATCTCCGGTTCTCGGATTCTGGGTAACTTTCGTAGCCGGGCGCGCGGGCGAGGAGGAGAAGCGAGCATATTGCTGAACAAAGGGCGACCGGAGGGAATAGTGTCGCAAGTGTGTGGAGGAATAGCGAGATGCTTTGGCTGTAGCTGTAACATTTCGGCGGGCAGCGAGTTCGCCGGCGGGCGATGCCGATAGGCGCAAAGCGGGTCGAGAAGTTGAGAAGAACCGCTGGCATGGCTGCGAGAGCTGCTTGGCAGCAGCAGCAGGGTGAATGGATCGAACCATGCTTCTAAGTTGACTGTGAGGCAAGGCGGACGAGAGTTTGCAAAAGATGCTTCGATTATTGTATCGTCCCATCCGATGCCCGCGGGTTAGTCAGTTCGGAAGAGGCATGATTGGTCAGCGTGAGCGGAGGGATATGGCAGAATACTGAAGAGGTAACGGATCGGAGTTTGGCGGGGAAGACAGTTTAAGTCTACTGGATTCAAATTTGTCTGATGAGAGAAAGTCCGTAATCCGAAACTCTCGGGTTATCTTCTAATATTTGAATATATCTTTCTGGGCTACCTCGTTGGACACTTTTCGATATGGGTTCGCTGCAACATCTCCGCGATATCAAGTCTGGCCCCCGCTTCCCTACCAGAATGATATCAGAGCGTATACGAAGGAGTATGCCGAAGCTCTCGACGCTCAAGACCCCCTTCACAAATTCCGCGCAGAGTTCATCATTCCTTCCAAACAGGATTTAAAGAGAAATACTCTGGCGCTTAGCGAAGGTGCGTGCTTGGATTGCTCACCCAACCCGTCTGGATGTGGCCACAAAATTTTAATTCGATAATTAGACCACGATGAGGAGGCTGATAGCAGATCCATTTATCTCTGCGGAAACTCCTTGGGTGTACAGCCCCGTAGTACCAAGCACTTTGTTGAACAATACCTCCGCACCTGGGCGACAAAAGGTGTGACTGGACATTTTGTGCCCCATGAAGATCAACTTCTGCCGCCATTTGTGGATGTGGATACGGCCGGATCCAGATTAATGGCTCCTGTTGTTGGTGGTCTACAGAGTGAAGTTGCTGTAATGGGAACTCTCACTGCCAACCTTCATCTGCTTATGGCTAGCTTCTACTGTCCCACTCCAGAGAAGTATAAGATCATCCTGGAGGGCAAGGCGTTCCCTAGTGATCATGTCTGTGACATCATCCTTCTTGAGTTCACTTTGAAATATTTGTGCTGACTTGATATGAATTCCAGTATGCCATTGAGTCTCAGATCCGTCACCATAATCTGGACCCCGAAAAGGCCATGGTCTTGATTGAGCCGGAGAATCTAGATCGACCCATTCTCAGCACGGACCAAATCCTGAAAGTGATTGATGATCATGCTTCAAGCACTGCTTTGATTCTTCTATCTGCAATTCAATTCTATACCGGGCAATACTTTGATATCCAAAAGATCACGGCCCATGCTCACTCAAGAGGCGTTTTGATTGGTTGGGATTGTGCTCATGCCGCAGGGAATGTCGATCTGCAGTTACATGACTGGGATGTGGATTTTGCAGCCTGGTGTAGTTACAAATACCTCAACAGCGGTCCTGGCGCTATTGCTGCATTGTTCGTCCACGAGCGCCATGGCAGTGTTGACGAGAGAAGCCTCCGCCCTCGCTTTTCGGGTTGGTGGGGTGGGGACCTGAAGACTCGTTTTAACATGGACAACAGTATGGGATCTATGCTATTCATGATAAAAGTAGAGCTGACACGGTTTAGAATTTGTCCCACAGCCTGGTGCCGCTGGGTTCCAACTCTCGAACCCGTCCGTCTTGGACATCAACGCCGTGGTTGCCTCTCTCGAAATTTTCAACCGTGCGACAATGAAGCAAATTCGGCAGAAATCGTTGAATATCACAGGTTACTTGGAACATTTACTACTGAAATACCCGCTGGATGCCCCAACAGAGGACAAACCTTATACGCTTATTACCCCTTCCAATCCAGCCGAGAGAGGCGCACAGTTGAGCCTCCGGCTCCAACCCGGTCTATTGGATCACGTCCTCCATCATCTGGAAGTGAATGGCGTGGTGATTGATGAACGAAAGCCGGATGTGATTCGAGTGGCGCCCGCTCCATTGTATAACACTTACGCCGATGTATGGGAGTTCTGTCAGATTTTCCTAGAAGCATGCCGAGAAGCAGTCAAGGCGAGAGGTTAGATCCTTGTATATTAGTACCAAGAACATAAATAACTCTAATTTTTGAAGATGCACTCGTCTCCCTGGACGGGTTGTCCTTGATTTACTGGTCTACTGGTCTATAAGCTCGGAGTAGTGCAGAGTAAGATTTCAAGATAAGCAGAAATGAAGGCCAGAACACACGTGCGGAATACCATATTGAGGTACAGCAAAATCCCCGACTCTTTTATCTCTTCGAAGCAAGTTCGGCAACCTGCACTGATTGCCGAAGCTCAGTAGTATGGAGGAAGCTTTGGCCATGCAAGCACAGTTTTCCTGGTAGTCAAGTCGGAGTTAACCGCCGATAAGCCCTCTGATGTCGAGAACTTCGGCATCTCGGCACGCCCGTCGCGTTCTCCACAAACGCCTGGTCCCGCCGACAGGAATTTTGACACCAGGCCTGATACCTTCCAGATGGGGGCTAGTCACGAGCCGTGCAAAAACCATAGCAGGCTTGACCCGCTGAACTCTCTCCAGGATGTCTTCTGGGCCCAGAACATCGTTTTAAGCCCAGATATTATTTGGCTTGCCAACCTGTGCAAGACCATCACGGCCGTTTCACGGCGATGGGAATGCCAGAGCCACTAACAACGGCCTTGACTGACTCGCAGACTGCTCACGATGTGACCGAGAAGGCGGGGAATCGTGGTGGGGAGATTGCCGATGTCGACTACTCAGTTTTTCCTGTGAATCAGCGCCGGTATATTGTCTTCATGGCATCATGGGCTGGGTTTTTTTCGCCAGTGTCTTCTCAGATCTATTTCCCAGCCTTGAATACCTTGGCAAAAGACCTTCATGTGTCGAATTCCTTGATCAACTTGACACTTACAAGTTATATGGTAGGCTGATCTGCCGCGTTCGATTTGTTCTTCCCGCTGTAGTTAGACTAATATTCTGGATATGACAGATTTTTCAAGGGCTATCACCCATGTTTATTGGTGACTTTGCTGATAAAGCTGGACGGCGGCCAGCATATATTCTATGCTTCACGATCTATATCGCTGCCAATATTGGCTTGGCTCTGCAGAACAACTATGCAGCTCTCTTCGTCCTGCGATGTCTGCAGAGTGCAGGAAGCAGTACTACAATTGCCCTATCCTCGGGAGTAGTATCTGATGTGGCCACAGCATCTGAAAGAGGGTCCTATATGGGATTCGTTACCGCAGGATCACTATTAGGGCCTTCTGTTGGGCCAGTCATTGGGGGTCTATTAGCTCAATATCTTGGCTGGCGAGCAATCTTCTGGTTCCTGGTCATTTTCTCCGGAGCTTTTATGATACCGTTCCTCATTTTCTTCCCCGAAACGGCAAGAGGCGTTGTTGGTGATGGTTCAATACCGCCCCAGAAATGGAACATGTCCTTGATCAACTATCTGGAATCTCGGAAAATGCGCGAGGAAGGAGTGCTACCCTCGGCGAGCTCGCCAAAGCAGAAATTGAGGTTCCCAAACCCTTTCCAAACCCTCGCCATCGTGTTCCAGAAGGATACTAGCATAATCCTCTTCTGTAATGCAATTCTGTTTGCTGGGTTCTATGATGTCAGTGCGACAATTCCATCAATCTACAACGATCTTTACGGTCTGGATGATCTCCAGATTGGCCTGTGCTATATTCCATTTGGCCTTGGAGCCTCCATCGCGTCCATCCTCAATGGGAACTTCCTGGATTATAACTATCGCCGCATTGCGAAGCGATTGGGATTCCCTTTAGTGAAGAACCGCCATACAGACTTGCGGAATTTTCCCATAGAAAAAGCTCGCCTTCAGATTGCTTTTCCAATGCTGACTCTGGGAAGTCTCAGTATCCTAGCTTTTGGATGGTGCTTGGATTTCAGAGTCCATCTTGCTGCGCCGACCACCATTCTGTTTATTATGGGCCTTACCCTAACAGGGGCTTTCAATACTGTTAGCACCGTCCTGGTAGACCTATACCCAACACAGGCAGCCAAGGCTACTGCTGCTAACAACTTCGCCCGGTGCTTGTTAGGCGCTGGCGCTACAGCTCTGATTGATCTTATGCTTTCTGCAATGGGCCGTGGCTGGTGTTTTACATTTGTCTCGTTGGTGATGCTGGCAACCTCACCTCTCCTTTTGCTGGTGATCTACAAAGGACCAAAGTGGCGTGAAGAGCGTCGTCAGAAAGAGGACGCCAAAAAGCTCGACGCTGAGACCGATCCAGCAGGGGGGAAATGAAGAGATCCATATTGAGAAATACTAGGGTTGCACCAAGAGACCTGCCGACCCTGCGATGTTAACAGCTATGCCAGATGGCAACACATACAGATTATGACGCTATGTGCATGAATTCATATTGATACCCTTATGTGACACTGGATGCAGCCCAGTATTTGTTGTTATTAGAAGATTTGAAATACATCACAATACAACCAAAATCAGGTAGTAATCACACCATCTATTGAACCTTAACCACCTCGTTATCGTTGGATCACCTGAATGCAAAATAAGCGCGCTCCAGAGGTTCCCGCTCAGATTCCCATGCAAGCCAATCTGATCTCGTGGTCCTGTAAGATGTGTGAGTACCCAGGGAGAAAGGAGACAAGGTAGATGAAAGACATACGGCAAGAGCCCCATGCCATTAACCTTCCAGATACCCAGCGCCAGCAGTAACAGCTGCATCAAGATGTAGACCAATTTCACCACAACCAAGCGCCCACGGGTGGACGGAGTCTCGTACTTGGCGAATGCCGCATTGGTATTAACTAGGCCCTGAATGGGGCCTTTAAATAGCATAAACACCATCATAATGCTGAAAATTTGAAGACTGTTGCCGGACATGTACATCATGATTGCATTCATTGGGATCTGCTTGGATGGCGCAATGGCAATTTCCCAAGCCTTCTTCATCTTCAGAGCGTCGGTCTCTTCGGGTTTCTTCGAGGTGGGTTGCTGTTGCTGCTGCTGACGCTGGGAGAGATAAGTATGCTAACCTACACAGCTCTATGAAGAGAACTAGGCTCACCTGTTTACCTCCTCGGCTGCTGGAGAAGCCTGGTGGATCCGGGATGCTGGAGGCGGCCTTGGTGGGACGCGGCATCGGAGAGTTGAGCGCGACCACCCATTGCGGTGGAGGGGGCGGAGGAAGTGCAGATGCCATGGAGGAGGAGGTGGTGGGGGGTAATTTGAAGAAGTAACGAGGCGTGGCTTGAGAGGAGGTCGGAAGGTGGGAAAAGATAATGGGGCGCGAGGTGACGGGGAGGTTTCCTCCGCAGCTCCCACTCCACTCCGCCTTGCCCTCGATTCTCCTTTCCCTCTTCGACCTTGTCTCATTTTCTTCTCTCATCCCACGTCAATTCCTCGTCGTTGTCGACTATGTCCAACCAATGATACTAGCCCTCTCAGTTTCCCCCGACCGGGCTTCAGTCGCAGTGCAGTGAAGACTCACTCGCGCCCTTTTCTCGAATCTCGACTTCTAGACCACCCGCTCTCCCTGCTCCCACTCAGATCCTCTACCCCGAAGCATTCCGGCACGATAGCTTGCGCACACACGAAGAGTCTGCCTAGTCAAGCTTTGCTCGACTCTCGAACGTTGAGACCGTCCGCAACTATTGCATGCGATTGAGCACACGGCCGCCAAACCCGCCTCAAGCCACCCAAGAGAAGGAACCTGCAATAAAAAGCATCGCCATTCGTCCACACAGCAGCCATGAGTTCTGGAGGCGATGCAAAGCTGTTCGCTAGGGTACGTGCTAACCCTTTCTTATCGTCTGATCTGTCCGTGGTGGCTTTTCCCCCTTCCCCGCATCGTGTCATCTCGTCATATGCAACTTGCGTCTTATGTGAAGGGACCGAAGCGGCTTCAGCTGCTTCCAAATCTTGTTCCTGTGTTTTCCCCGGCATTTGTGCATTGATATATCCCGAAGTCTGCTTCGCCATGTTTCTCGGCTTCGCCCCTTATGCTCCAGCATCAAGCTCACGCTTTGCGCGAACTCCACAGGGCAAAGTCGCCGAGTTGCGACAAGAACTCAATAGCGGCGGCAAAAAAGATAAGAACTATTCCGCCAAAAAGATCGCCTTGAAGAAGATCGTTGCCAATATGACCATGAGCAATAATGATATGGTTGCGCTCTTTCCCGATGTGATCGACTGTATGAACCTGCCGAGCTTGGAGATCAAGAAAATGTATGTTGAGGATGAGAAGGTGTCCTTGTGACGGATTGTTGAAGGTGTAGCCTGGTTCCTAATGTTCTAATTAGGTGCTTCTTGTTCCTGGTGAACTATTCAAGGATGAAACCCGAGATCGCGATGAAGGCGCTACCCATTCTTGTCGATGTAAGGGCCCAAAATCTTGCTCTGAGGATGAACCCCCATAATAGCGTGGCTGACGATTGCTTGAAAGGACATGGAAGACACAAACCCACTAGTACGCGCCCTGGCCCTGCGAACGATCTCTTATGTCCATGTGCGCGAGTTCGTTGAAGCGACTTTTCAACCCCTCAAGCGTCTCATGCAAGACAACGATCCCTATGTTCGCAAGACGGCTGCGTTCTGCGTCGCCAAGCTCTATGAACATGACAAAAAGATGGTTGAGAATTCGGATTTGATTGATCGGTTGAACCGGATGTTGAAAGACGAAAACCCGACCGTTGTTTCGAGCGTTCTGGCTGCACTTTGCGATATTTGGGGTCGTAGCGAATCCATTTCTCTCACTATCGACTATGTCAGCGCTTCAAAATTGGTTTCAATCTTGCCAGACTGCTCCGAGTACGAGGCCCAATTTTCTTGATGAATGAAATGGTTAGTAGCTAACAGATTAACTAGATGGGGTCAAAGTTATATCCTTGAAGCTTTGATGTCCTATGTGCCGCAAGACACTGCAGAGGCGCTTCTTCTGGCAGAACGAGTAGCCCCGCGGCTGTCTCATTCAAACTCCGCGGTTGTGTTGACCTCCTGTCGGGTTATCCTTTATCTCATGAACTATATCGCCGACGAAAAGCATATTACCTCGTTATGCAAGAAGCTATCTCCGCCTCTTGTCACCTTGCTTTCTAAGCCCCCGGAAGTCCAATACCTGGCCCTGCGAAATGCCATCCTCATTCTACAAAAGCGACCAGAGGTTCTACGTAACGACATCCGTGTGTTTTTCTGTAACTATAACGACCCGATTTATGTCAAAGTGACCAAGTTGGAGTTGATGTTCATGTTAACCACGAAGGATAATATCTCGGTGGTTCTCGCAGAGCTTCGAGAGTATGTGCCTCTTATCTAAGACGTTAATCATCTGATACTAACTTTCTTGACAGGTATGCTACTGAAATCGACGTACATTTCGTTCGAAAGGCTGTCCGCGCCATTGGAAAGCTGGCTATTAAGATCGAATCAGCTGCGAAGCAATGTATTGACACCCTCCTGGAGCTTGTTGATGCCAAGATCCCATACATCATCCAGGAGGCGACGGTGGTGATTCGCAACATTTTTCGCAAGTATCCCAACCAATATGAGAGCATTATTAGTCATGTAATTCGCAACATCGATGATTTGGATGAACCGGAGGCCAAGGCAGCAGTCATCTGGATTATTGGCCAGTATGCAGACCGCATCGATAACTCAGACGGTCTCTTACAAGATTACCTGGCTACTTTCCACGACGAAACGGTCGAAGTGCAGCTGGCTCTGCTCACGGCCACCGTGAAGCTCTTTATCCAGCGGCCTACAAAAGGCCAGCAGCTTGTCCCCCAGGTTCTCAAGTGGTGTACCGAGGAGACAGACGACCCCGACCTTCGTGACCGTGGATATATGTACTGGCGCCTGTTGTCCACTGACCCAGCAACTGCGAAGCAAATTGTCATGGGTCAGAAACCTCCAATCACGGCCGAGAGCGAGAAACTAGACCCGCGCACGCTTGAAGAACTTTGTCTGAATGTCGGTACATTGGCTACCGTCTACCTGAAACCTATTCATCAGGTCTTCCGTGCTGCCCGTCCTCGTCGCCTGCAACACAGTCCAGCTCTGCAACGGCCTCCTGTCGAGGATGGTACTGCCGGCATGCTTGAATATAACCCTCCTACCGCCAATATGGCTTCTGCATCGACCAGCAACAGTGGCTTAGCCACTATTACAACGACTGGCAATCCCATCAGCCCGGTTAACGCCCCTCCGCCTTCCGTGTTCCCTATGGGCCCCAATGCTGCCACTGCCGCTGCCACTGGCCCGGCTGCCGGTGTTGATGCAGTCGCCGCCGCGGACAGTTACTTCAATGGAATCGGCTCCCAGCAAATGGCATCGATGGACTTAGGTGGGCGCAGCAATGGTGGTGCAGGCGGTGGTGGTGCTCCCCAGACGCAGTATGTGGTCACACAGAATCAACAACAAGGCTTCCAGCCGCAGTACGCAGGTGGTGCTGCCACAGGCGAGCTATTGTTGCTGTAGTCTATTTTATGGGTTGTAATTGTAGATAGAGAAAGCATCGGTACAAGGATTTTAAACATAGGGAACAAAGTTTGCAATTAATCTGTTGAATTCCCCTAATCAAAAATAATTTTCTGCTACCTGGATTCGACACAATCTGTATCCTTCCAAACCCCTTGGCGACAGAAGGGTTTGAGAAGCGCTGACTCTAGCTACGCCTTAACACGGTATCATAAGCCCTTAGTCTAAGCTCTTTCCCGCAGAACTGAGTTTCATGTTTAGATCATCACCACCTCCTTTAGTTACTCCTTTCCCCCTAATCCTATAATCAATGACACGTCACAGTGCAAAGATTTGAGCGGTACATGAAATTCAGTTGTTGGCATAATATTGGCATAATAATATTGGAAACATGGGAATCGCCGCTAAAAATAATGAATACATAGAAAAAGAGCCTTCGCTAGGTTGAAATTTTGCTGAGGACTGATCCGTCATTCAGAGGACAGGGTTGATAATGATAAACTAACAGACTTCATTTGAAGACCAGCCGGGCTGGAAGTCTCTAGTCCTCATCCTTCGATAAGCCACCACGGTTGCGGCGAATTCGTTCATCCAGACTGTCCTCTTGCACGCGTCGGTGAACCTGAGACAAGAATTGACCACGGTCAGAACGTTGCTTATCTTCGCACTCCTTTTCCTTCTCCTCCTTTGCGGAAATCTCAGCGATGCGATCACGTCGGTTTGACTCTATTTCATTCGCATTGGACTGCATTTCTGCCAACTTCCGACGTCGTTCTTCCTCCTGCTCTTTAATATCTGGCTTGTATGGTGTAGGTCCAGAAGGGTGTGAACCACGGCTGCGATTGTATGACTCGGGTCGATTATTGTAGTCGCGCCCAGGATAATCTCGACGGTTGTCCCGGTCTTCCTGTGCGTGGCTGAGACGGTCGTTACGCTGTTGGGAGGGGTTTGAAGAGTTTGAGCGTCTCCGAGGGGATTTGTGATGGTCACGCTCGTCTTCACGATCTCGTTTCACATCTCGGTCTGTATCTCGAGGGCGGCTGGAGTAAAAATCTCTTCTATCGCGATAGTTCCGACGATCACGGTCACGGACGTCTCGGCGGTCACGGGTACGATCACGGTCACCGTCAGGATCCTCGGTACGGCGTCTGTCGTCTCCCCGGTCTCGGTCATTTCCGCGGTCTCGCTCGCCGCGGTGCCGGCGATGGGTTCGTTCGGGTGAAGTAGGAGAGCGAGATCGATCTCTCCGGTAGTAGCGACTCCGATGCTTATCTTCTGCGTCATCACTATATCTTCGGCGCCTTGAATCACGGCTGCGATGGCGGCGGTCTCGATCGCGATCACCATCACGAGCACGTTCCTTCTCCCTTTCCTTCCGCCGGAGTGCTTCCTTCAATGCAGCCTCATATGCAGCCTGCTCTCTCTTCTTCACCTCGAGTAAGGGATCGTTCATAACCTTCATCATGGTGTCGCGTGCGGACCCGGCAGATGAGCCCGCTGCGGCATTTGCGCCCACCACATCTGCGCCCTTTTCCAATTTCTGATTATCGGTATCATTCTTAAGAAGAATACCATCAATCCGTCGCTTTCCCAGGAGATATCCTTCCATCTCCTCTGAGTAGTGACCGGTTGCGCTGGAGGGGGCTTGGTACATCCAGTCGACTCGTGAGTGCTGCTTGGCCTTGCCCGAAGCTTCCTGAAGACGCTGCAGCTCTTGTATCTGGCGTTCCTCCTCGCGTTCACGGCGCAACTGGTCGACTTTCTTGCGCTCTTCCAGCGCCCGCTTTTCCTGAGACCATACTCGCTCCTGGTTCCGCAGCAGCGACGGGTGCCACGATCTGCATTTCGAGTCAGCATGTTTTGTCAAGGGATCACTAAATGTACTTGATCGCGATTAATTCAGGACATGGTTTAAGCACTCACTTCTTCAAGTTCAGATCGCCGCCCATCTTGGAAAGTACAAGGTATGCTGCGAGGTTGGGAGATGAGAAAGTTGACTGCCCGAAGAGGAAAGCGTTATCCGCCTCCGGGTGCCGCCTTAGGCATCATGATAATCACGTGTCTATATCTAGCATGTTATATCAATGTCCCAGAACAAGTAAATAGTCAGTAGTTTATAAAGTTACTTTTTTGAAAGGGGTTTCAAATTTCTTTCTAATGATACTCTACTGATATCATAGAGAGCAAGTCCCATTTCATCTTATATCATCTTAACCCTGATATGTATTTCTTGCGGCGGGATCTGGAATCAAAGCTTGGCTAGACAAAACATTATTGTTATGAGTTTCACTATTAATATTCTGGCCAGAGCCCATAATTTTAAACACCCATAGATGAATAGTGTAGCATGTCACCAAGAAATAGAACGCCAGTGAATCTACTGAAGTGACATTTGATTGGATTTCCTGAAGAACTGACAAGTGAACCTTGAACCAGGTTTATGGATTTCTGCAGTCGGGGTTTATCAAAATGGATACATTGCAAATAGATACAGGCAATGGAGAATATGGAAAAATCATAGCAGAGCGAAAAGGCGTTGATCATGCAGAATTTACCGTGGGGGAGACAAGAAAAGGCAAAAAAAGGGGTGTGCACGCTCGCTCAATTCTCCATCAAAAACCACCATCTTGGCTCTCTTATTACCGCATAAATGAGGACAGCCAACAGGAAGGCAGAAGCAGAAACAAAAGAGAAAACATATAGGAGGGTGGAAAAGAGTCCAACTATAACTTCATACATAATCCAGCCGCGATCTAGAGGGGAAAAAGAATCGTCTCGGCATGCGAACAAAGAGGGTGTGGGGCGTAGGTCACAGGGAGGCACGGTTCGTCCACTGTTTATTTGGTGGATTCCCAGCCAACCCAGCTGCGTGGCATTACTCGCCAGACCTTGCATTCACCACTGCGTAAATCGTTCAGCTTGAAGCTCTCCATCTTGACCTTCTTGCTCTCACGTCCCTGCTCCCAGGCACGAATCTTTTTCTTGGTGCCGTCCCAGTCAACGACGATGCCAACATGATCTGGCTTGCCTACCTCGGCACTGTACTTTTGGTGCATCGTCCCGCGGTGACCTTGGAAACGCGCGTTACGGAAGCTAACGATGTCACCAGCCCGGATTTCATCATGTTGCGAGACGGATGCATTGGCCAGATTTGAGTAGACCAACGCGCCATATCCACGTGTTCCAACGGGGAGAAGTGCTTCGGATAGGGGGTTCAACAGATGCTGGACCAATCCAAAGGGAGTGCCGTCGCTAACCGTGGAGTTTTGAATTGCGTTGACTGAATCCGAAATCCGAGTGCCCAGCTGAAGATGCGCCTGCTCTAGCTGGTCCTGACGAGGCTGAAGCGGGGGTTGTTCATGGCGCTGCTCAAAGGAGGCATCCGCGGGGTTCTTGGCATCAAATTGTACATTCACCACTGTCTGAGAATAATCGATGAAGAGAACATAGATATCTTTAGACACAGTTGTCTTGCCGCCCCGTTTGGTTGACGAAGATTCCTCAACCTCGAAGAGGATATCTTTGCGGTTTTGGAAAACAGGAGGAGGGCAGTTTGGCTGTGTCCACCAGAGCGTGGTCTCGCCAAGGTCGACGTCAGTAGCGATGAATCCCTGATCAACAGAGGGACGAGGGACGTCCATAGACCGCCGCTGAGAGCGCATCATATCCATAGAAACCCGTTGGCCTCGAGAGGCGGACGGAGACGGCAAGGCCGGAGCTTGACTTTGAGGCGGCAGTGGCGGTGCCAGGGACGGCCGTTTCTCATGCTGAGCTGCTCGATGGATCTCTGTGGATTGGCGTTGGACAGGAGATGCCTCGTACAGATCGTCGTATTCTTCAGTTGCGGGTTGTGGAGGGCCAGGAGGCGGGGCTTCTGGGCGTCCAGTAGGAAGAGGTGGAGGGGAAGGCAGACCATGCTGGGGAGCAGAATAGTTAAAAGGGTCATACTCCTCGTCGTCTCCCCCTGCGGAGCTCCCTTGGTTGGTGGCAGCGGAGGTGGTCCCCTTGGGGTGTCAATCGAAGGCCGAGCATTTCGAGGTGGTTGATTTGGCGGAGGCGGCGGAACTCCCCTAGGAGCACCAGTGGGAGGTAGCGGTGGTGGCTGACGAGCGGCTTGTTGGCTGCGCGGGGACTGAATAGACTGGTCGTCAGTGATTGGACCCTCGTCAAAGCTCGAGTCGCGTTCATGGGACCGCAGAGCGTCCTTGAACTTGGCTCCCGATGCGATATCCGTGTCATAGTCTCCATCGTACTCAGTCACCTCCCCCTCTACCTCCTCTCCGGCCTGTCGGGGGGCAGAAATGCCACTTCCACGGCTGTCAGCGGTGGACCGACGGCGAATTTGCCCTGGAGGCGGTGGAGGCGGAGCACGAGTCTGTATCGGTGGCATGGGTGGATTAATTGGAACCGGGGGAGGCGGGCGGCTTGCTCTCTTGTCAGTTCCCGGAGTCGAAACTACGGGAGAAGTCGGTTCATAGGTAGAAGAACGGCGGGAGTCGAGATGGTCAGGCAATGCAGAGGCGGTCGCGCTTTGTGAAGGGATTGGTGATTCACCAGGGCCCAAGGACAAGTTCCTGGCATGAACAGAAAGCTCGTCATCAGACTCATCGCCCTGATCAGTGGTTGATGGTATAGGCGGAGGAGGGGCGGGGCGGCCTAGGTTCAAATGTCAACATCTGGTACGTAAAGAGCTAGGTGATATGGAATTGTATTTGCATACCTCCTGGAACAGGCGGGGGAGAAGACGGCATTTCAGCTGGGACTGGAGGTGGGACAGGTCGTGAATCCAGAGGCGGAACCGGAGGAGCAGAACGTTCTGTAGTTATTAGCAGCCTATTCAAAAAAAGGCAAGACGCACGGTTAGCTTACCTTGGGCAGAAGGAACAGGAGGTGGGCGATCAGAAGACCGACGTGGAGGAGCGCCTTCATGAACAATCTCCTCGACATCTGGCACCTCTTGTGGAGCATGTTGCTCGGTGATCGGGCTTGCCAAAGGCTCTTCCTCTTCCTTCTCAACATCGACGGGTGGAAGAGGTCTGGTGATGTTCATTCCGGGAAGTGGAACGGGAGGAGCATGTGTAGGCGAAGCTGGCTCAGCCTCTGCAAGTCTCTTCTCGGACTCGCTTGGGGTCTTCGGCTTGCGGGTTGCCCCAGGAGCCATGCCTGGCAAGCCACCGGGAGGACCAAATAGCCCCATCATACCCATACCGCCACTCATCTTTGCCATTCGATTGCGAAGTTCCATGCGACGTTTTGTTTCAGGATCCATCTCCTCTTCGTCCTCCACCTGTGCCTCTTCCTCGGCGGTTTCCTCGTCACCTTTCGGCTCGATGGGGCGGACAGGTGGGTGGCGTGAGCGTTCTTCGTCTTCATCCTTGCTGGTAGATGTTTCTCCCGCATCCTCGGAATCCGCGGCTGCAGAATAATCGGCATCATTCGTATCACTTGCTATTTCTTCGGCGGGCGAGAAAGGTGTTGGCTGCGCGGGAGGAACCTTCGCCCGTAGAGTGTCAACGCTGGGGTCTCGTACAGTCCCCGACGGCTCAATCGGCGAAGTTTCGTCTTCTTCCTCGGCCGCATCTGGTTCCACGGGATGCTCGACTGGCTTCTTCACAGGGTTGGGCTTCTCCTTCTTCTGAGCTGCTTCCGCATGACGTTGGGCTTGTTCTAGTTGCTGCTTCTGAAGCAGGGCAATGCGATCCTTCAAACTGGTCGGCTTTGGCTGGTCCTCGGCGCCTTCCTCAGTCTCTTGAATCTGGACAGGAGCAGGCGGGAGGGGGCGGGTTTCGGAGACGGGAGGTTCACGAGTAATTTGCTCCTTCACTTCCGGATCCTCCTCCCTCCTATAGATTTTCTGGGCGGGCTCCCGGGGCAGGGCCACATAGGAATCCTTGCTAGGGGGTGGAGCGACGAACTGTTTCTTAATGAAGGAGCTTGATTGTGTCGGGCCACTCGGCTTGAACGGAGCAATCGGTGCAGCTGCGGATTTGTTGAATGCGGCGATACGATCTCTAAACGAGGAACCCGTGGGTTTGTCGGCCACGGCCGGGGGCGGCGGCTTCGAAGACTTGACGACAGGAGGGGCAGGGGCGGGGGTTGCAACCGCCGCGACGGCAGACTCGGGTACCTGGACAAGCTGTGGAGATGATGGGGCTTCGGTGACAGGGGGTCTTGGTTCCAGTGGCGGTGATTGAGGAGGGGCTTGTCTGAGAACCGGTTCCTGCTCCTGCTCCTGTGATGGGGGCTGTTCAGCAACCTCGGGCTCGATCGGGGGTTGGCTTTCGGGTGCCTCGACAGGGGGCTCAACAGGCGTGGGATCGGGTTCTCTCTTTGGTCTGCTAGGGCGCGTAGGTCGCGGAGGGGCCGGGGGCTCATATCGTTCAACAAAATTCTTGGGGAAAATACCCTCTTGTTTAGCCCCCGAGCCGTCTGTGTATTCACCGAAGTACCACTCGGCATCCTCGACGGCCGTGACGGTTACGATCTGTCCGATTGGAAAGCTGAGGTCGTCATCATGGCCCGAAGCATACTCGAAGACCGCCCGAACCGTGAAAGGCGGGTTGGACATCTGGCTTGTCGAATCCACGTTCGGAGGAGATGGGGAGAGGAGTAACCGCTAAACGTGAATTGGAGCAATCAGCGTGAGAACTGTATAGGGCTAAGCACTAGCTCTGATTTCCTCCGACATGCAGTGATACGAGGTGGGCGTGAAATGGAATTCTGTATGGTGATCGGGAGTCGGGTCAGCTTTGGGGGATGACGAAAGAGTGTTGGACGGAGTGGTGCCTAGGAGAGATGAGGGGGAGGGCCGTCCCAACGGGGTAGAGGGCCTGCGAGAGAGTGGTAGGGACTCACGTTATCCAGCAGAAATGATTCACCCTCGCTGGAGGCCGGAATTGAGAATCGATACAAGAAAGGAACCAGCCGTTGCGAGAGTGATGGGGAGGGGGAGGAAGGATGAAGTCGTGAGGTGGTCGTCACTTGGCGGGATGAGGGAGGCTCCACTGGACGATCAGCGGCTAACAAGAACCAGGGTACACACAGCGCAACATGGGGCGAGCGAGTTGAGAAAGCTGGAACAGCCGCGGGGTTGCTGAGTTTCGAAGCTGAAACACCTTGGGACGGAGATGACTTGGAGATGCCTTGGCAGGAACGTGATCGAGCTCGTATCTATGAGACCACCGGGAACCTATGCCAATTATTTGGAATCATGCGGACGGACACTTCTACAGACGACAAGTACGAGATAATTGCGCTCCCGGATGATAGCCAAGAGTACATACTAACTAAAAAGGTCTAAATAGCCAGATAAAGCCTGAAATTATGTCGAAGCATACGTCAGAAGCTTGGAGGGGGAGGTTTTCATTGGCGACATCATCGAATCCTGGGGATTTTTTTGCCTCCGCCTTTCACGTTTTGCTCGGTCACGTTTTTTTTCTGGGATGGGGAACGCCATCTTACCAGAGCCCGAGATCAAAGACCCGAAAGCTTCTTCCCCCCCCTACATTCATCATATGGTATATGGTATCCAGCATGGCTACACCACAAGGATCGTCGCACTCAGCGTTGAAGACCTCCCTACCTTCCGCCTTCGCCGCCGCCAACGCCGACCAGCCTGCCAGTCATCTGCCCTCCCAGGAGGAACAAGAGAAATACCTACCAGGCCGACCAGCGGCCACGCCACGCCATCTCGGAATTGCGCTTCAACATGCACACCAAATTCAGGCCCAGAAAGATGCCGAGGACATGATTCTCGATCGAATAATCGATCTCCTCACCCTGCCCTCGTCTCCGTCTGCCAACCCCGCCGCTCCTTCTCCAGCAGATACGCAGGCATTCAAGTCTGCCATAGTTCACTTCACGCCTAAAAACTACGATAATCTCATCACCGAAAGAAACTTTGAAGGGCTCTGCGGCTACACCCTCTGTCCGCAGGAACACCGCACAAACGGCGGCACCAACCAAGCGTTCTCCTTCAAATGGGGCGCCAAAGGGAGTGGTCCTGGCGGCCGCGGTCGCAGCATGGATATTGTTCCGCAGGAACAGCTGGCAAAGTGGTGTTCTGACGAGTGTGCCGAGCGAGCCTTGTTCATTCGCGTGCAGCTGGCCGAGGAGCCGGTGTGGGGGCGACGAGCAGCGGATACCGATGCGATAAAAATTGAGCTTCTGGAAGAATCTCGAGCTCACCAGCGCAAGCTCAAGGCTGGAAGTTCCAGTACGGCTGCAGTAGCAGCAAGTCTGCGCGACTTGAAAATTCAGGACCCCGAACGTGCGCGTGAACTTGCCATGGAGCGCGGAGACACCAGTCTTCCTCTGCGTCAAGGGCGCGTTGATGTCCAGATCAAGGAAAAGGAACACAATGTACAATCGACTGCTCGTGCACCACAGATGCGCGCGGAGGATGCTATGGGTGGTTCCATTGAAGGATATGTGCCCCAGAAACCGCAAGGCCAAAAGTCGGTGGACTATGATAATAATGGCGATGTGCTTGGCCAGATTTGAGATATGGCAAGATGGTGTTGGCGTTTCGGTTCTACAGTTTATACCCCTCAGGCAGAAAAGATACCCATCGAGAGCAATGAGCATTCTACGCGATGACCTTATCCGTATGTGGACTACTCGATCCTCGACTGCAAGATGTAGAACATACATGCATAGCCGGGAACTAGATGGTCTCGTACATCCCGAACAATTTGTTCGAGAATTCCTACGCGGTTTTTTCCTGGGGAATTATATAAATTCCACCAAAGAGCAAACACGAGAGGGATAGTAATTGGCAATCAAGCGTCATCCCCATAGGAGAATCGGCGACACCTTTGTCATCGGGAATCATGTTTTTTTCATTCCTCATCCGAGATAGCCTCCATTTAACCTAAACCATAAAAAAGCCGGGGTCGGGGACACGCCAGGAGTCGGCCGAAGACAAAAATAACTTTTTGTTTTTCGAGGTGCTTCACCCAGGAGTTTGGATTTAGCGGGGACCGAAGCGGCGGGGGCGCTCGGACTGCTGCTGCTGGCTGACGGCAAGGACGTTGACCTTGAGGTTGTCGAACTATAAGATTCAGATGTTAGAGCGGTCAAGTGAGACGGGTTCAGCGATGTGGAAACTTACGCCCAGAGACTTGAGCAAGTCCTTGGTGTCGGAGTCGACCTCGAGCTGGCCGGACTCGGTCTGGGAAACATCCAGAGCAGAGACCTCAGGAACGTACTGATCCTTGCGCTCACGCTCCTCCTCCTGGAGCTTGAAGGAGATACCACGGACGGGACCGCGCTGGATACGCTTCATCAGGTGGGTGGTGTAGCCGGCAATCTATGTGAAATTCAGTCAGATTTGTTTTCTTCCATGTATACTGGGGTGGTTGCTGGGTCGTACCTTGTTGCGCAGGCGCTTGGAGGCAATGATAGCGATCTCATCGCAGATGCGCTTGTTGGTCTCGAAGTCGAGGGTGAGCTTGGGGTAGTAACGCTCGATGATGACCTTGGCGGACCGCTTGACGGTCTTAGTACGGACGCGACCCATTTTGGCGGTTGTTGGCTGGACGGATGTTCAAGGACAGAAATCACGATGCTGGAATCCAATTTGGATGGGGTCAGCAAGACGCACTCGCTTACCTGTGTGGGTCCTTGCCCTAGAAAAGCCCTAGTCTATTTCACGTGACTAACAGCATGACCGACATGAATACAATCCTAAAGGTCAGGTGATATAATGCCTTGCTTATGTAATACCATTCTCTCACATGATGCCGTTCTGCCAGGCGGCCAATAATAAAGCCGAATAGGCACGACTGGTTCACTACTGAGAGTATACGTCAATTACGATGAAACAAAGGATTACAGGTACGCAGAAGATAATAGATGAACGAATTTGCTTTATATCACAATGGCGGTAAAGGTAATGAGAATAGCTTTACACAAGCCCCTAATCTAATCATACAATGGTTTGAAATGCTTCGCACAACACATCTATATCTCTACCTCAACTCTAAGAACGCTTGTTCGCACCCTTCGAGTCCAAGTTCAACCCCTCCATGAGAAGACGGGCAATGTCTTCCGTACCCTTCAGAGGCTGACGGGGAGTACCCTGCACCGGGCCGCCACGTCGAACATTGAAGCGGGGTCGGTCTAGTCGGGGAACCATGTTGGCGTGGCGGTGGGCTGCATCAGTGATGCTCGAGCGGCCTTCCTTCTTATAGTCTTCAATTCCGTAAGGTGCCTTGGCAGCAGCACCCGCACGGTAGCTCGAAAGGCCAATTCTGCCCTCTGAATCAACGGCAGCACGGATGGGAGTAACCCAGTATTTGGCACCTCCAGGAATGGTAGCATCGAAAAAGGTAAGTCCAGGAGGAGAGCCCTGGTCAATGAAAGTCATGGCATTCAGGTCCTCCACGGCAATACCACCAATACCAGCGATAGCGCGAGACATGCGTCCACGGAATCTTCCCTTCGGGCGCAATATACGGGCTTCAACAGGGCGTTGATAGGCCTGGGGACCATATTGCGGGTGGTTGTATGTCAAAGCGTGAGAGCGAGTGTAAGAGAGACCGGCAGAAGGGTGTGTCTTCGGGGGACCTGAAACAGCGTATTCAGGTGCGGAAAGCTTGGTTCCGGGGGTTGGTAGTATTTTCGGCCAATGCGTTCGCTGGGAACAGCGGGGGGTGACGGGAGGTCCAGCAATTCAAAGACGACGGGACCGAGGGCAAAAGGGTCTGCCCGCAAGGACTTGATGTACGCATTGAACTCCTCGTCAGTAACCTTGGTAGGTTCGAGGGTCTCCAGATCTTTCCCGCTGTCCTGGGCTTGTTTCCTATCCTCTGCAGAGCGCTTGGCCACAAAGCGTTCACGCAGCTTTTGCAGCAATTCCGGCTTCATGCGCCGCACCTCATTCAGATAATTCACAAATTCGGCCTCAGTCAGACCTGCAAGCCAGGGACCAGTGTGTCGATATTGTTTAGCTCCCGGCTCTCCGAGGCCTGCACTGGTCTCGGTGTTATCGACGTGCGTCTCGAACGGACTCTGGTGGCGGGGAACAATGCTTGTCGCGTAATTGACCTTCGAGGGAAGTGACATGGGCATGTGCAGCTCTTGGAACTTCTCTAGGGTCATGGTATGATCGGCAGCGGACTCGAAGTCGGTGACATGTTCGTAAGTATCCAGGGCGTGAATGCGAACGACCGGTCTCGATGATTTCTCCGATGTTGACTTTGCCGGAAGAGGTCGCTTCAAACCCCAATCGCCTCTGGCTAATGATTTCTGGGGTGTTACGATCGAGGCTCGGATGGGGCGAGGCAGTGTTGCGGTTTCTGATTCAAAGACTGCCTTGGATGATGGCGGCTCTTGAATGGACGGCAATGCCTGTGGGAGAGCAAACAACCGGGATTTCCGCAGAAGATTCGCCGTTGGCGATAGCCTGGCGGTCGCCATCTTGTTCGATATCTGACAGAATGGAGCTGTTCGGAGTCGCGCAAGAAAAGTTGGCCAGGACACGAGCCAAGCCAATACGGTGGGTCACAACGACCCTAAGAGCATTTCTCCATATTTGCGGTCGTTTACACTGGAGACAGTTCTCTTGCTATTCTATCCATAGAAAACTTCCGATTTCTTCTTCTTATTAATTAAGATAGGATTTTTTTCGCCATTAATGGGTGTATCTGATATACTTGAGGGGTAACCCTATCACTGATTCTTCTGATACGTCCATCACTTTGTTGAAGCGAATGTAATATGGAGAAGTAAGTACACGATTTTTAATAACAGCTCGGCAAAAAAGGCATCTTCTGGTGGTAAAAGATTGTGAAAGACATGTGCTCGCATCAAGCTCAAAGAAGACTCCATGGCGCTGTTTTCGACCGATTTTGAGCGACATAATGAACTACAAAACGAGATTTCCCAGTCGCATTGCGAATCAAGCCCCCACTGCTAGCAACGAGCTAATCGTGTCCGACACGGTCTCCTTAAAAGATCGATACTTGATGCCAAGCACTTCCTTCGATTTGCTGTTGTCAATCTCGTAAATGTCGGATGGGAAGTCACTGGGTGAATCGTTGGGAGGAAGTTTTGAGTCCAATTCAGGATGAGTCTCGCGAACAATGTCAACGATGTCCTTGTTCGAAAAGAATCCGGCCGTCACAAAAAACCGTTGACCCCCTGCCTCAGGGACCTCAATGGCCCGGACATGCGCGAGGGCCACATCGCGCACGTCAACGTAGAGGAAGGTACCTGTGGGCGCGATTTTCTCCTTCATTTGGCCTTGGATGAGGTTGCGCATCCGCTGATTGGAGGTGTTGATGGCGTCGAGGGAATTCAGATAGTGAACAATTGGACCGAAGACCAATGGAGGATTGATCGTGGCGATATCGAAATTAGGCTTTTCTTTCTCCACAAAATCCCACGCAGCCTTTTCGGCAAAGGTCTATATGTCCATCAGGATCAGCATTTCTCTTGAATCTCCTATATTGCTTTTCTCCCTTGATTCGAGGCTCTTGAGAAGATTTAATGCTTACCTTGCTAGCTCTGTATACATTGGAATGGTCCATGGCTTCCTGCCAGGTCACCGGGTTCCATTCTTTCTCGCTATAGACTTTCGGATGCTGCTTTGCGTTCACGATGGCTGCAAAGGAAGACGTAACCACCACTCGCTTGACGGATGGAGCATAAGCCTTGATGGCCTTCAGTATACCGGTGGTTCCCTTGATCGCAGGATCTAAGAAATCTTTGACTGGGTCATCGATGTTGAAATGGAATGGGGATGCGGTATGAAGGACGTAGTCAAACGGAGGGTTGGACTTGACCGCCTATTTTCAGAATGACCGTCAGTGTCGGAGATCGAACGAGAGTCGTGGTCAATAGATGGTCTGCTTACCTCGTCAAAGGCTCCATCCTGAGCGACATCTTTCACTATCACGAAGGAAAGCTTCTTCTGAGGTGTATTGGGGTGGTTTTCCAGGATTCGCTTGCCCTTCTCCTCCGATCGGACGGTAAAAACGACATCGAAGCTGCAAAATCGAGGCTACTGGTTATTTGAATTCCTTTCGGTCAAAGAGTGCAAGAATATCTCGAGTCATACCTGTGTTGAAGGAGAATATCCACGATGTGGGCGGCGATAAAGCCGCTACCGCCTGTGGTTGGCTATGATTAGGCCTATGTCCGATGATGATATAGAGGGGGCAGGGGAGTGAGCATGAACGTCTCCATACATACCGGACAGAAGAACTTTCACCATAATGTTGACTTGAAGGAAGTACAATTGCAGTTAAAGATGGTTGAGACCGGATGGTTGCGCCTGGATCCCGGGTTTATATCTTTCAATAGTCCTTGGTCTGCCCCTCCATCCCGGATCCCGTCATTGCCCCCCACCATGGTTCACCAGATCCACAGCTGCTCAGCATGATTACAAATAATCGTCCCAGGACTCTTCGTAGAAACACTTAGTTTCCGAGCACGGGATGTCAATGGTTCAATAGTTCCCTCAGCCCATGCCTTTCTTGTGTGGGTGGTCAGTGTTAACTTGAAAGCCCATCCTGCACGGATGACCGGTCATATCCCCGGAGATAGGCGGTGATACAAGGACCTGCAAGTCCCGGTTTCATTAAGATAATTCCTAATGCCGAACGCAGTTCCCGAAGATTAGGAGAGTCGGTGGAACTGCACCTACCCATACCTTGATTGTGACCGAACTGAACACTGGCCGGAGTGACAACGATCTTGTACCATGGCCGACGCGCCAATTTACGGCTGCGGCATGGTAGGAGCCGCCTGCTCTGGCTAACGCGATGGTATAATCAACACAGAGCAGGCCGCAAGTGGGCATTCTTATGGATTCGGAAAGCTTGACCGCGTAATTGAATGAGGTGCGGGAAGTATGGAAGCTCAGTGATGTTAGCGACATCTTTGGACCCCAGGGCTTTACGCCAATATTCTGCCAGTCAAAAGCTTCACAAGTTGCTTCACAATTACTGGTATCTAATAGGATCACTCCGCCCTTCATCCTCAGACATTGCTATCACGCGATCTGGTGTTGTGTTAGGTGTTTATATCGCTATTGGCATTACTCTCACTACCCCACTATACTACTATCAGTACGAGCATTAGAACTTGGAGTCACATGAGAAGTAGAAGAAGTATATTAATAAGAGACGGAGTGAGATTGATATATAGCATACACGCTCCCATATCCTGATTATTGGTATGTAGCCTACCGCACTCATCTACTTCACTCACGTCACTGTATACCAGTACAGAAGTACTAAAGCCCAGACCTAGACTCGGAGATCCTTGTAGCCCGTTGTCCGGTGTGTATCAGAAGCCTGCAATGCCGCTCGGAGCGTGTGATTCGTAAAAGGCACCCGCTGAGAGACTGCTGGTCCCATCCGCGGAGCTGGTTGAAGACAAGAGCAATATATTGCTTCAGAGAAGCCTCCTGGTTGCCCCTATCCCCATCCGGTGGCCTGTTCTCTAAGGCCAGCGTAACGTTCACACCTTGGTATCTTCGTCCCCCTCTCAAACTCTTGAACTATAAATCGTAGGGATGCCGTAGACTTAAAAATGACAATCCATTGTATAGTTTCATTGAAAGCAATCAACCAGTAGCTTCGAGTTTCGTCGGTCGCATCATCTAACCTAGTCACTCCTAGTGAGCGTAGGTGACTACAGCAAGTCAATCCGCCGTCGAACTGGCAAAGGCGGAGATGGTCCGTGCGGTCAACCTGAGGCTCACACCTGACCCTCTCCTCCGCAACTCCTCTGTGCCCTGCTGCTTCATATCCCAGGGCTTCCAATGTCTACCCGGGGCCGTGGCTTGCAATAATGGCGCAGGCAAGTCCCATTACCGATGTTACGCAGAGACTATTTGTGGACCTGAAATCAAAGAGTGATGAGGTGAAGACCCGAGCTGCCGATGAGCTCTATGAGAACGTGGTCGCGGTGTCTCGCGGTACGTATGATTTGGAAACCCCGCCACAAGCTGCCCTAGACCTCCACTGACTCTCCTTTGTATTGCTGCAGATTGGCCCTCGGAGAAGTTTGTGGAATTTTACAACGCGGTTAGCCAGCGGATTGCCCAACTAGTCGTGACTGGCAATGATGCCAACGAACGAGTCGGCGGACTCCTCGCCCTCGACCAACTCATCGATTTCGATGGGGTGGACGCCGCCCAGAAGACCACCCGATTTGCCAGCTATCTTCGCAGTGCCCTTCGCAGCAACGAGAATGCGGTGTTGATCTGTGCGTCCCGGTCCTTAGGCCGCCTGGCGAAACCCGGCGGGGCACTCACGGCGGAGCTGGTCGAAAGTGAGATCCAGTCTGCCTTGGAATGGCTACAATCGGAGCGTCAGGAAAGCCGACGGTTTGCGGCCGTATTGGTGATTAAGGAGCTCGCGAAGGGCTCGCCGACCCTGCTCTATGGCTTCGTACCGCAGATTTTCGAGCTCGTCTGGGTTGCGCTTCGAGATCAAAAGGTGCTCATTCGAGAGACTGCAGCGCAGGCGGTGGGTGAATGCTTCAATATCATCGTTGCTCGGGATGCACAGGTCCGCCAATCATGGTTCGCGAGAATATACGATGAGGCTTTGCTGGGTCTGAAATCGCACAATGTGGACTGGATCCATGGATCGCTCCTGATACTGAAGGAGCTGATCCTCAAAGGCACAATGTTCATGAAAGAGAACTACCGGAATGCCTGTGAAATCGTTCTTCGGCTCAAAGACCATCGAGATACCAAGATTCGCACCGAGGTGGTCTACACCATCCCAATCCTCGCATCTTACGCCCCAACCGACTTCACTGAGGTCTATTTGCATCGATTCATGATATATCTCCAGGCACAACTCAAGAGAGAAAAGGAGCGCGATTCTGCGTTTGTCGCTATTGGAGAGATCGCAAATGCGGTGGGTCCGGCTATTGCTCAATATCTCGATGGAATCATAATATACATCCGAGAGGGCCTTGCGATGAAAGCGTAAGTCTTCAATGCCCCGGAAAATTCATCTATATTCCACCTTCTCACCCGCAGCAGGAGAAACCGATCAGGTGTCAAAGAGGCTCCTATGTTTAAATGCATCAGCATGCTCTCCTTGGCCGTCGGGCAAGCTCTCAGCAAATATATGGAGGCTTTGCTGGATCCAATCTTTGCCTGCGGTCTCAGCCAATCATTAACACAAGCCTTGGTAGATATGGCTCACTACATCCCGCCCATCAAACCAACGATCCAGGAAAAGCTTCTTGACATGCTCAGCATCATCCTCTGTGGAACACCTTTTCGTCCACTTGGCTGTCCCGAAAACCGTCTCCCACCTATGCCATCCTTCGCCAAGGATTTTCCTCTTCATGAGCCCCATTCCGATGCTGAGATTGCCTTGGCTCTTCACACCCTGGGCAGTTTTGACTTTTCCGGCCATATTCTGAACGAATTCGTGCGTGATGTTGCCATCAATTACGTGGAGAACGACAACCCCGATATTCGCAAAGCCTCAGCTCTCACGTGCTGCCAGCTTTTCGTCCATGATCCGATTATCAACCAGACTAGTGGTCATTCAATTCAGGTTGTCAGTGAGGTCATTGACAAGCTCTTAACAGTGGGTATCGGCGATCCCGATTCTGATATCCGACGTACGGTCCTTTGGTCACTGGACCGCAAATTCGATCGACATCTAGCTCGCCCAGAGAACATTCGTTGCTTGTTCTTGGCAGTCAACGACGAGGTATTCGAAGTCAAAGAAGCCGCTATCTGCATTATTGGTCGCCTTTCCAGCGTAAATCCAGCTTATGTATTCCCACCACTGCGAAAATTACTGGTTAATCTTTTGACTGGCCTTGGATTTGCAAATACTGCTCGTCAAAAGGAAGAAACGGCTCAGTTGATCAGCCTGTTTGTTTCCAACGCCACCAAGCTTATCAGAAGCTATGTCGACCCGATGGTCACAGCTCTTCTACCCAAGGCCACGGACAGCAATCCAGGTGTGGCTGCTACCACCCTCAAGGCTGTGGGAGAGCTTGCCAATGTCGGTGGTGGAGAGATGAAACGCTATTTATCAGAAATCATGCCGATCATCTTGGACTCTCTCCAGGACCTTTCTTCTCATACCAAGCGTGAGGCTGCACTACGAACGCTAGCGCAGATATCTGGCAATTCAGGCTACGTCATTGAACCGTATCTCGAATATCCGCATCTTCTTGATGTTTTGATCAACATCATCAAAACCGAGCAAACAGGTTGTCTAAGAAAAGAAACCATCAAACTTGTGGGCGTCCTTGGCGCCTTGGATCCCTATAAGTATCAGCAAATCAGTGACGTGGAGCCGGATATTCATCATATTAATGAAATCCAAAATGCATCGGATGTTGCCTTGATAATGCAAGGCCTTACTCCGTCTAATGAGGAGTACTATCCGACAGTGGTCATCCATACATTGTTGCAAAATATTCTGCGGGAGAACTCGTTGGTCCAATATCATTCCGCCGTCATTGATGCAATTGTCACCATCTTCAAGACTCTGGGTCTCAAATGTGTGCCATTCCTCGGGCAGATCATCCCTGCTTTTATCTCCGTCCTCCGAAGCTCCCCTGCCAGCCGCCTTGAGTCATACTTCAATCAAATGGCTATTCTGGTCAATATCGTGCGTCAGCACATCCGTGCATTCTTACCTGAAATTATTGATGTGATTCGCGAATTTTGGGATGCATCATATCAAGTGCAAGGCACGATTCTGTCACTGGTCGAGGCAATTGCCCGGTCTCTGGAAGGAGAGTTCAGAAAGTATCTTGCTCGTTTGATCCCACTGATGCTAGATACTCTTGAGAAAGATACCACACCTCGCCGACAGCCATCTGAGAAGATTCTTCATGCTTTCCTGATCTTCGGATCTAGTGGGGAGGAATATATGCACCTGATTATTCCCTCAATTGTGCGTCTTTTCGACCGACCACAAAACCCCCAGAGCATCCGAAAGTCTGCTATTGACAGCTTAACTAAACTGTCACGACAAGTCAATGTATCTGACTTTGCTTCTTTTATGGTCCACTCTCTGTCGCGAGTTGTAGCAAGCCCCGATCGCGTGTTGCGCCAGGCTGCTTTGGATTGTATCTGTGCCCTCATTTTCCAACTTGGCCAGGATTTCACCCATTATATCCATTTACTGAACAAGGTTCTGAAGCAGCATCAGATAACACACGTTAACTATCAAATTTTGGTGACGAAGCTTCAAAAGGGGGATCCGCTCCCACAGGACCTTAACCCCGAAGAGAACTACGCATTCCCCACCGATGATACCAGCTTTGCGGAAGTTGGGCAAAAGAAGATCGTTGTTAATCAGCAACATCTCAAGAATGCGTGGGATGCTTCACAGAAGTCCACGCGCGAAGATTGGCAGGAATGGATTCGACGCTTCAGTGTGGAGCTTCTGAAGGAATCACCGTCTCCAGCACTTAGGGCATGTGCCAGCTTGGCTGGTATTTACCAGCCCCTTGCTCGAGATCTTTTCAATGCCGCCTTCGTCTCTTGCTGGACCGAGCTCTATGACCAGTACCAGGAAGAGCTTGTTCGTTCAATTGAGAAGGCTCTTACTTCCCCGAACATATCACCGGAGATCTTGCAGGTGCTTCTCAATCTTGCTGAGTTCATGGAGCATGATGATAAGGCTCTCCCCATCGACATTCGTACTTTGGGCAAATATGCTGCCAAGTGCCATGCATTCGCCAAAGCTCTTCATTACAAGGAACTCGAATTTGAACAGGATCAAAACTCGGGTGCTGTTGAGGCTCTGATCACAATCAACAATCAGCTTCAGCAATCTGATGCTGCTATCGGTATCTTGCGTAAGGCACAGGCATACCGTGATGTGGAGCTGAAGGAAACATGGTTTGAAAAGCTGCAGCGGTGGGACGAGGCCTTGGCTGCCTACAAAAAGCGCGAGAAGACCGATCCAGACTCATTTGGCATCACGATGGGTAAGATGAGATGTCTTCACGCCCTCGGAGAGTGGAAAGTTCTCTCAGATCTTGCGCAAGAGAAATGGAATCAAGCTTCTCTGGAGCATCGCAGAGCCATTGCTCCTCTTGCTGCCGCCGCTGCATGGGGTCGTGGCCAGTGGGAATTGATGGATTCATATCTCGGTGTGATGAAGGAGCAGTCTCCAGATCGGTCCTTCTTTGGTGCAATTCTTGCCATCCACCGCAATCAATTCGGAGAAGCCAACTCCTACATTGAGAAAGCACGAAATGGACTTGATACGGAGCTTTCCGCCCTGCTTGGGGAATCATACAACCGGGCTTACAATGTTGTCGTCCGTGTCCAGATGCTTGCCGAACTCGAAGAGATCATCAAGTACAAGCAGAATGTTGGTGACCCAGAGAAGCAAGAGGCAATGCGCCAGACATGGAATCAGCGATTGCTTGGATGCCAGCAAAATGTTGAAGTGTGGCAGCGAATGCTCAAGGTCAGGGCCCTTGTCACAGCCCCTCGCGAGAATCTTGAAATGTCAATTAAATTTGCAAATCTTTGCCGGAAGTCCAACCGCATGGGCCTTGCAGAGCGATCTCTTGCTTCTCTTGAGACTGTGGTCGTGGACGCAAATGGCACGCACACAATCGCACCCCCTGAGGTTACGTATGCTCGTCTGAAATTCAGCTGGGCAAATGGAAACCAGCAAGAAGCCCTTCAAATGCTGAAAGAATTCGCTTCTGGCTTAAGTGATGATCTTTCCAAGTTTAACACGTTAATTGTGTCTCAAAACGAACACCATGGAATGAATGGCGTCAATGGAGTTGCAGACCCAAGTCATCCAGAGGCTATCAGTCTGCGAGAGCGAATTGGCGATGTTGGAAAGTTCAGGAAACTCCTGTCAAAGAGTTATCTTCGACAGGGAGAGTGGCAGACAGCCATGCAAAGGGGCGACTGGCGACCAGAGTATGTCCGCGAGGTTCTCAGTGCATACTCTGCGGCTACGCAATACAATCGCGATTCATACAAGGCGTGGCATGCTTGGGCTCTAGCCAACTTCGAAGTTGTTACGACAATTTCTAACCAGGTCACCCGAGAAGGTAAACCGATTCCGGTTCCTACCCATATCGTCACCGAGCATGTGATTCCTGCGATTCGTGGCTTCCTGAGGTCCATCGCTTTGTCTTCGACATCCTCTTTACAAGATACTCTACGGCTGCTGACCCTGTGGTTCACCCACGGTGGAGATCATGAAGTCAACACGGTTGTGACTGAAGGCTTCACCGCCGTGAACATTGACACATGGCTCTCTGTCACTCCCCAATTGATCGCTCGAATCAATCAGCCTAATATCAGAGTCCGTGGCTCTGTTCATAGACTACTTGCTGAGGTTGGCAAGACTCACCCGCAAGCACTGGTCTATCCTTTGACAGTGGCTATGAAGTCTAATGTGACCCGGCGCTCACAATCCGCCAGCAACATTATGGAAAGCATGCGCCAACACAGTGCCAAGCTTGTTGAACAGGCGGACCTTGTCAGCCATGAGTTGATCCGAGTCGCTGTTCTTTGGCACGAGCTTTGGCATGAAGGCCTTGAGGAGGCTTCTCGCCTCTACTTCGGCGATCACAACGTCGAAGGCATGTTTGCAACCCTTGCACCCCTACATGACATGCTTGACAAAGGCGCAGAAACTCTTCGTGAGGTCTCATTCGCGCAGGCCTTTGGACGTGATCTCGCGGAAGCCAAGCATTACTGTATGCTTTATCGCCAAACTGAAGAGATTGGTGATTTGAACCAAGCTTGGGATCTTTACTACACCGTGTTCCGCAAGATCAGCCGACAACTGCCACAGCTGTCCATTCTGGATCTCAAATATGTGTCTCCTCGCCTCAAGGACTGTTCGGATCTTGATCTGGCTGCACCAGGCACATACCAGAGTGGCAGACCTGTGATTCGAATCATCAGCTTCGATCCGATCCTTCATGTTCTGCAGACGAAGAAGCGGCCAAGACGCATGACTCTCAAGGGTAGCAACGGAAGCTCTTACATGTATTGTCTGAAGGGTCACGAAGATATTCGACAAGACGAGCGAGTTATGCAACTCTTCGGGCTATGCAACACTCTTCTGGATAATGATGGGGAGAGCTTCAAGCGCCATTTGTCTGTCCAGCGCTTCCCGGCTATCCCTCTGTCTCAAAATTCCGGTCTTCTGGGATGGGTGTGTAACAGTGATACTTTGCATGCTCTGATCAAGGAATACCGAGAAAGCCGCCGTATTTTGCTTAACATTGAGCATCGGATCATGTTGCAGATGGCCCCCGACTACGACAGCCTCACACTTATGCAGAAGGTTGAAGTTTTCGGTTATGCCATGGACAACACCACCGGTAAAGATCTGTATCGGGTTCTGTGGCTCAAGAGTAAGAGCTCAGAAGCTTGGCTCGAGCGGCGCACGAATTATACCCGATCGCTTGGTGTTATGTCGATGGTCGGATACATCCTTGGTCTTGGTGATCGCCACCCATCTAACTTGCTGCTTGATCGTACGACTGGTCGCGTGGTTCACATTGATTTTGGCGACTGCTTCGAGGTCGCAATGCACCGCGAAAAGTATCCAGAACGTGTACCTTTCCGACTGACTCGTATGTTGACCTTCGCCATGGAAGTGAGCAACATTGAAGGAAGCTATCGTATTACCTGTGAGGCTGTTATGCGCGTCCTTAGGGAGAACAAGGATTCTCTTATGGCGGTCCTGGAAGCTGTAAGTCTTTTGTTTTGTCTTCATTTCTCCCTTCCTCTATCTATATCTATCCTATATTCATTACCGAGGAACTGCTCTAACCATCCCTATTCAGTTCATTCACGATCCTCTGATCAATTGGCGTCTCGGTGCCCAAGAGTCGCCCGAGCGTGCGTCTCTTACTGCCGAACGCCGCCAGTCCGTTATTGATGGTATAAACTTCGAACACGGCGTGCAACCCAGCACGTACACCCGCCATCGCCGACCTTCAATCCTGGAGGGCGGCATCCTCGATACCCAGGAAGGCATACCGGCCGAGGCTCGCGAGGCCCAGAATGCCCGTGCTTTGCAGGTTCTGGCTCGAGTGAAGGAGAAGTTGACCGGACGTGACTTCAAACACAGCGAGGAGCTCAACATCAGCGATCAGGTCGACAAGCTCCTTGCGCAGGCCACCAATGTGGAGAATATCTGTCAGCACTGGATCGGATGGTGCAGTTTCTGGTGAGACAGACAGACCCTTTTATTCACCCTCGCTATTGGGTCGCGAGACGGGTTTGTTTCGGAGTTCCCTGGCGTGTCTAGGATGCGACATGATGCTTTACCACCTCTTTAATGCATTCAAGACATAATTTTTCATCTGTTTTCTTTTTCCCCATTGTATTTAGAGTTACCCTGCTGCTGTCGTACTTGTCCTTATTTTCTCCCTCTCTCAATTTCTTTGGGGATCGCTGTTCACGTTCACGCCGTCTATCATGAGTTCTGGGCTGGTCATGTGTATTTAGACTTGCTTGTTGAGCGCTAACAAGAATAATCTGCTATGATATCCAGTTTGAAAGTAGTACCATCGTTTCTCTTGTCCCCAATCTCGAGGGTGTGGAGGGTGTGTTAACGTATTATTTGATTAACGAGCAGTTCATCCGGCTTCAAATATGTAGGAACGGGATACTAACTAACTAAGAAGCTGTGGTGCTGGGCCCGCAACATGTGACTTGGGAAATCCGGGGTAGCTGGAAACCACTTGGAACGCAGGCAGGAATTTCGAATACAGAAAATTGATGCTATTTATACTAAGATTCCGCTTCATTGCCAATATGATATTTCTTTATGACAGTCAAGCGCCATCACAGAGTATGCCGTGGTGATCGTCTATCTCTATACCTCATATGATACAAATGCCGAGGTCGGTGTGGTGGAGCGGAGAACCTCCTCTTTCCGAGTCCGACTCCTCCTCGCCTTTTACTCAACCATGGGCGGTTGATTTCGCATCTGGACCACATCCAACATGTCAGCCCCAGATGTTGTGCCTGGTGCAGCGGCAGCTGCTCCTGGGGATGCCTCTGATGTGAACACAGTCGTTCGCAACCTTCTCCGTGTCAGCCTGAGCGCCAAAGAGTACCGGGCTCTCCACGGGGTTGCGTCCAAACGGATCCCCACCATCCAGAACAAGTTTCCTTCGCCGTCGCGTTACGATGCGATTGTACTCTCAGCAAATAGGCATAATGAGGCTGCTCTTCGTACCTCGCTACGTGTTCTCGTCGGCTCAAACATTGCATTGAAGCTTGCCGAAGCGATCCTAAGCCGCATTCGAGGTGGCTCCAGCGAGTAAGTTTTAAGGGCTTTTATGTTGCTTGCTGATTATTACCTCCCTCAAGAAGGAATCTCAGTCTGACTGAAAAATGACTAGGAAAAAACCACGCACCACGCTTTTCCGCTCCCCGAATTTCCGCCTCTCGATCTCGCTGTCCCTCTTACTTCTGCTTCACCGTCTACTTTACCGTTTTCTTGTGCGCTTACGAGCCAATCTCCGCACCGATGATGCCAAACCATTTAGGGAGCGAAACCCGCGCATTTCGCGTGCCCTAACCTCGCGTTTTGCGCCTGCTGTTGGCGCTAGTGTGGCAGGCTTTGCGTTAGGAATTTGCCCCCAGGACCAGCTGCGGTTGACGGCGGCCATCTATACGAGTACCCGGAGCTTGGAGTTCCTCTATAATCTCATGGATTCCAAAGGCTGGCTGGATAAGCGCCCTTGGTGGTTCGGCAGCTGGCTGCTGATGCCTCTCTCGTGCGCTCAGCTCTTCCATGCCTTTGTGTTTGACCGAGAGACTACGCCGAAGGTTCGCCGAATACAACTCTTGTGACTATGCTGATAAGATGGCTGATTCATGTGCCAGTGGTTTGGGAATGTCATCCTGAAGCTTTCGCCGAGCTATATCGCTGCACGCCCAGACTCACTGCCAGACGACGTCGCCTGGCCCGAGAAGGAACAAATCGTGGATTCTCTTGCATCGATTGCCGATTTGCGCTGGCCGTGAGTTTAGAGGAACTCCTTTCTAGCTATACTACTGGCTCACACTGTCTAGGGCATTTGTATCGCCGATTCTCCACCCAACTGACCCCAACACTCTACCTTTGTCGGTGAAGTCCATTTCCCCGATCACTGGACCTGCGCACCCCTCGATCTCGCGCCTCTCTTGCGCTCTACTTCATCCCAGTGTTCCGGGCTGCAGCACTGCCTTCTTGCACCACATTCTCCTCTCGGTGCCGCCGCTGGCCCGATTTCTGACGACCGTCACTCTAGCCCTGACCATCCCCAAGCTCAAGAGCGTCCTGGCACAGCCGATCACCTCTATTAATAACCTGTCCAAGAGGATTATCATTATGACTACTGTTATCTCGACTGCAATCGGCTCCGCCTGGGGCAGCGTTTGTCTCCTGAACAGCACTCTGCCGCGCTCCACCCTCCCAACCAAGCGGTTTTTCCTCAGCGGTGCGTTGGGTGGTCTTCCATTCCTGTTCCTGAGTAACAGCCGTAGTGTGTTCCTGTACTTCTTCCGTGCGGCCGTGGACTCGGCCTGGAAGACTGGCGTCAAGCGCAAGCTGTGGAAGGGTGGTCGGGCTGGCGAGCTATGGCTCTTTGTGCTCTCATGGGCCGTGATTGGATCTCTGCTCGAGGCACACCCCTCCACCATCCAGAGTGGTGGCCTCCGTAAGGGTCTGATGTGGTTGCGAGGTGATGGATTCAATGATCCCGAGGAGGCTGAGAAGCGCAAGTTGCGACGGGTGAAGAAGCCGGAGACCGAATAGCGGCCTTGGCAATTAACCCTTGTTTCCTGACTGTCTTATTTTTCTATTTCCCGGTTGTTGTTTTCGGGACGTTCATCTTATACCATTAATTTATTCACCGTTTCATTCCAATTGATCAATTGATCAAGTTCCATGCGCTGGAAATCGCTTTCCGACTCCACATTTCCGGGGTTTCGCCTCCGAAGCAACCAAGCAAACGCTCGGAGGCCATTCTCCGCATCCGACGATCCTCCCGGCATTTATAGAGTCGGTGTGCCAACACCTCCATTTTGCTTGGGATTTTCTCTGTCACTTTCATGCTTCTGTTTTTGTCATTTATTACACCCTTTTTGCTCAAAATACAATGTCTGCACACAGATTAAAGATTGGCTGCGCCGGTCTTGGTCGCATGGGCAAACGCCATGCCAAGAACTTCCTTGAACGAACTCCTCGGGCCCAGCTGGTCGCTGCCAGTTCACCCGATCCTACCGAGCTAGAATGGGCCAAGATACATCTCGAGCCGTTTGGTGTGCGATTGTATCAGAACTATGACGACATGCTGAAGCATGAAGGCCTGGAAGCCGTGGTGGTTGCATCGGCGACCGCTGTGCATGCCGAGCAGGCGATCAAGGCGATCAAGGCTGATAAACATGTTCTTTGCGAGAAGCCGCTATCCACCAGCGTCGATGTGGTAAGTCAGCGAAGCTCCTCTCTCCTTTATGTCTCTACATCTGGCTCTGCAAAAAAATCGACCGGGGAAGGTAGTAGCTCACTATATACTTCGTATGGCCATCTAGTCCCAATCCGTCCTCGATGCAGCCTCCCAAAAGCCCAACCTGAAGGTGATGTGTGGCTTCTCTCGCCGCTTTGATGCCTCCTACCGCGACGCCTACAACAAGATGCGTGCCGGCGCAATTGGAGCACCCTCTGTGCTCCGCAGCCAGACCTGCGACAAGCTCGACCCATCCGGGTTCTTCGTTGCATACGCCCAATTCTCGGGCGGCATCTTCGTTGACTGCTCGATCCACGACATTGACCTGGCGCTGTGGTTCTTCGGTGCGGGCAGCAAGGTCAAGTCCGTGTCGGCGGTGGGCATCACGGCTGTGGAGCCGGACCTACGCAAGCATAACGACCGCGACAATGCAGTCGGCTTGGTCGAGTTCCACGACGGCCGCATTGCATACTTCTACGCGTCGCGTATGATGGCCGCCGGCCAGGAGGACACCACCGAGATCATCGGCACCAAGGGCAAGCTAGCCGTCAATACGCAGCCGGCTGTCAATCATGTTCACATGTACGACGACACGGGCATTCGGCGGGAGCTCCCGCAAACCTATTATGATCGCTTTGAGTATGCGTTCGTCACAGAGGCGAATGAATTTACGGCCTCGGTGCTGGACAATAATCCGCTTCCGTTGGACCTCACAACTGCTGTGCAGGCGGTGCGGATTGGCGCAGCGCTGCAGGAGTCGCTAATCAGCGGGCAGAAGATCTCCTTCGATGAGCAAGGGAACCGTACGCAGATGGCTCGTCTATAAAACGAAGGAATGGGATAATGACGATTTGGTCACAGAAAGCGACTCACATGTAGCGTGGCATGCAGTAAATACTTATAATGATGCTATGGATTCTTGTATTTGCAAAGAAATATTGAATCATCCGAACCTTTATCCAATCTATCTGTGAACTTCTTTTAATACTTCTACTGTTGCTGTTAATGTCTATCAAGTGCCCATGCCAGCTCTTAGGGCCGCAATTTTAGAAAGTGAATAGTGATCTACACCCTACTGTATAGCAGAAAGCGATTGTTGAGTCAAGAAATTGATGGAATTTCGAAATTGGCCGAATATCTGATGTCAAGTTTAGTGGGCCAGGGGGAAGATACTTCAACTTCACAACGAAAAGTACATTCAAATGTCATGAATGTCTTGTAGTTATCTACGGCATGAAGTATTATAAGGTAATATCTAGAAGAATGAATCTAGGAAGTCAACTGTAGATTGTACGGGCTCGTATCCAGCTATATGACTGGTTTGATATATTCATTCGCAACATGTAACTGTATAGGTAATCGCTTCATCATAACAACATGTAAAAAGACCAAAAGAACTCGTGGGAATCTCATCAGAAAGAAAGGGTGGAGAGAACAGGTTATCTAGAAAGGAAAGGGTGCAGTGCAAATATGGGCATGGATCCTTTTTCTTTTCCAAAACTGGTTTACCAGCGAATAACCTTGTTGGGGAAGTACTCATTAATGAGCTCCATGTAGTAGGGCTTCAATTCCTCAGCGCTGGGGATTCCATCGCTCTTGCTGTACAGGTCATAGGGGTTGAATGCCTTGACTGCGCGCAACATCTCCTTGTCATGGTCATCCATCAGCTCATGGTAGGCGCCGGCGTTGTGCCAGGGATAGAAGGAGTGGTAACGGATCATGGCTAGAGCCTCATCCGGCAGCGTGGACTGCTCCTTGGCGATGTGGTAAAGGTACTCGTCGTGGCCCCAGGAGAGCATGACCTTATCGAGACCACAGCCGGGGCTGTAGATGCCGAACTTGGTGTCGTAAACAGGATGCTCAAAGTCCTCGTTTTCCTTGAACGACTCGCGGCCGTAGATGATCCGCTCATCAAAGCCGCAGCCCACAGGGAAGGTGTCGCCGACCACGTCCCACTGGCCCTGGGCGTCGAAGAAGAAAAGCAGCTTTCCCAGGTCATGGATCAGGCCAGTAAGCTGCATCCAACGGGGCTTGCCGTCACGCCGAATGGCTTCGGCGGACTGTAGGAGGTGCTCGATCTGTGAGAGGCTGGTATCCGGGTCAGACTCGTCGATCAAGGTGTTGAGCTTCTCCATCGCCTCCCATATAGTCATTTCGGCGCGGGTCTTGCTGTGGAAGTCATGGCGGGCCTTGAGGTTGTAGGCAACGGTCTGCTTAGTGTGCTGCTCCTTGTAGAAATTCTTAACCCGGTCGCAGGCATCCTCATACTGACGGAAGGCGGTTTTATCCTTGCCCTTGTCAAACTCGGACTCTTCGTATAGACCCTTCTCCTTTATGGCGTCCTTGAGGACGTTGACCTCATCGATGGCGTCAGAGAGTTCCTCCAAAGCCTGGCCATCCCGTTTCTTGTTGAAAATGGGAGCAGGTGTGTCTTCGGCAATAGCGACAGGGGCCATTATGTGTAGGTGTATATATTTGAGAAATGCAGTTTTCTCCGGATTTGAGGAATCAAAGATCTGCGCAGGGTACTCTGAAAAATATGGTGAGACACAGCACAATTTTCTTGCAAGAGAGTATGTTTCCAACAACAGAAATAATGCAACTCCAGCAAGAGATCTAGAACCATATATAAAGATCGAGTCCCATCGCGTCTATGTTTCCGAGGGCGAGTATCTCCAGAAGCGTAAGACAGCCGCTCTCATAGGTAATTTTCCCCGGGGATCGACCATGATTTGCAGCCATTGTTTGTGCGAACAACCATCATTCAGCAAGATCACGGATTCCAGAATCCGTGCCGATGAAGTTTCGGCCTCCCTATGGACGCTAGCCGTTGTCCCCACACCCCCGGAGCGCGAACCTGGGTGATGATTGGCCCCGAGGGCTGCGACGTGGGGAAGTGATGTCAACTGGCGCCGAGTTCAAGAGACAGGATACTGGTTTCCGGTGCTGACTGATGGGTCGCAAGTGTTTGGTTGTTAAGCTATTTTCGCCGGTGCTTACCCGACTGGGATGCCATCCTCTTTCTTCCCATCGTCGTTTTGGTTCCTGATTTCTGATTTCTGCACTCGTGGGGCCCTCGATTGCTCGACTCGGGGCCCCAGTTGCCGATGCTGCGGGGTAGATCCTTCGCAGACCAAGGCCTTATGAGATAGAGAGGACGGCGATGGCGACAGAATGATCAAGACTCATTCTCATGAACCGTCAATAAACCCGAAGGGCCAGCGAGCGAGATCAATGTAGATGGAATACGCTGGAATCCTTAAACGGGCCCGGGCGGTGATTGATGGGAAAAAGACGCGTGACCGGCGCTGAGTTTGGCGGGGGACCCCCGCGTGGGGGGCTCGGGGTATCTTTACCTCGAGCCCCTCTTCTCTTTTCTTTGCTTCAATCCCTTCCCATCCTCTCTAGAATTTCTCAAACAAATAACATATCACCATGGCTCCTGCAGACATTCGCTTCAAGCTGAACACCGGCGCTGAGATTCCGGCATTGGGCTTGGGTACCTGGCAATCTGCTCCCGGCGAGGTCGCCCGTGCCGTGAGCCATGCCATCAAGGTCGGCTACCGACACATTGACACGGCGCTCTGCTATGGCAACGAGCACGAGGTAGGCCAGGGCATCAAGGAAGCCATTGACGCTGGGATAGTCAAGCGTGAGGATCTGTTTGTCACGACCAAGCTGTGGTGTTCGTACCACGCCAAGGTCGAGGAGGGTCTGGAGGCGAGCTTGAAGAACCTGGGTCTCGACTACCTGGACCTGTATCTCATGCATTGGCCCCTGGCTATGAACCCTAATGGTGCGTTTAATCTTCCTTCTTAGTCCCTGGATCATCTTGAGGCCCCGATGGTAAAATTAGAAGAGACTAACGACGGGGCAAACAGGCACTCACCCCATTTTCCCCAAGCTGCCGGACGGCTCGCGGGACATCGTCCATAGCCATAGCCATGTGACTACCTGGAAGAGCATGGAAAAGCTTGTCGGCACTGGCAAGGTTAGGGCTATCGGTGTCTCCAACTACAGCCTCAAGTATCTGGAGGAGCTGCTGCCCCAGGCCACCGTTACCCCCGCTGTCAACCAGATCGAGAACCATCCCTCGCTTCCACAACAGGAGATTGTCGATTTCTGCATCCAAAAGGGCATCCACATCACTGCCTACAGTCCCCTGGGCAGCACTGGCAGCCCGCTGTTCACAGCCAAACCCATTGTCGAGGTTGCCGAGAAGCGTGGTGTGACCCCAGCCACAGTCCTGCTCAGCTGGCACAGTACGTATCGCCCATTTAATTCCCAGCCCACATCGACGTCTTACCCTTTCATTTTCTGTTGTTTTTATTTTATTTTCTCATAATCTAACTATGTCCATTGCAGTCGCTCGCGGCTCATCCGTCCTCGCCAAGTCTGTCACCCCAGCTCGCATCGAGGCCAACCGCAAGGACCTGATCAATCTGGATGCCGAAGATGTGGCCACCATCAAGAAGTACTCAGACGAGCTGGCCGCCTCGAACTCCTTCCAGCGCTTCGTGTACCCGCCCTTCGGCGTGAACTTCGGCTTCCCCGATAAGCAGTGACTAGCCAAGCTATGATGCATGATTAGCCTCGCATCCGGCACACCTATATAGAAGGGAAAAAGTATATTGTCTTGGAAGGTATAGAGAGATGGTCATTTAAGTTCGCCGGGAGTGTTTTTATCGCACGATACCAATGAATCGAAGGAAACCCCGTAATTTCAGCTATGCCTCATTTTGTTCGTGATCTAATTGTACATTGTCGTACCGGTAGGGCAGACACTCTTTCCCGCTCGAGATTTCATCATTATGTCCACTTCTCTCCACCTCGCCGCACTATCGTAGGTACACCTCGTCCCCTGTACATACAATCTGGTCTTTCCCTCCCTCCCTTCCCCCCGCCCAACCCACCTACCCAGCTTCACCTTTGCGTATTTTCATTTTGGCCATGTTCCATGACCTATTACACCCCAGTGTGCTCCCTTAACACCTGGGTCGCAATGCCTCTGGGTCATCCCAGACCCGAGTGAGGACGGCGCGCTCGTCTTCGCCATCCCGCTCCACCATCACCGATTCCCGGTACCCCAGCTCGTGGAGGGCATCAGCTGGGACCTCGCGCTTGTACGCGACAAGGATCCGTAGTGCATGGAGGCGGCGCTTCTCACGCTCTTCAATGACCCGGATCAGCAGGAGGGTGGGCAGGGTGCCGTTCGAATTTATCAGGTCTACACCCGCGGCCAACACGCCGTATGGCAAGGCTAGGAGGAAGGCGGAGGGCACGGTGATTGCCGGATCAGTGGGCCGGCGCTGCTCGAGGGATGGCATGCTGCCAAACTGGATCTTTTCCAGCAGCCTGTTGGAGAGCATGGAGCCTGGCAGTGTCCACAGTGGCGGGGGTACGCGGTTAGGTGCGTAAGTCGGATCGGCCTCGGCATAGAGCTCGAAATCGGGGGTAATGACGGCGGTAATAAACTGGAGCGCTGCATTGAATACAGTCTCCGCCCAGTGGATCTGGAACTCGTGGATATGGTCAATTCTGATGGCTGGCGTGATCTCTGGCGCATTGTTCGTATCCGAGTAAGAAGAGCTGCGTGAGCTGCGGGTGCTGGTAGGTCCAAAGGGGACTTCGGGGCTGGTAACGACATAGGAAGAGGCCACCATGCCAAAATGGAGAATAAATTCGGCCGTTTCCCAGGAAAGGAGGTTCAGAGCCATATGGATGCCTCGTTCGGTGATGTCGGAGCGGGCGAGGAACGCGCCACTGGCGGCGTAACACAGAGCAAAATCAACTTGAGCGTGTGCTATGGGAAATTCATACTCGCCGGTCGCGTTGGTACTAGGGAGATTCAACCCGGCCAAAGTTACTTCGCGAAGGGTGTCCGGGGTGACAATCGGAGACCCGTAAAGAGTCTTGAGCGCCATGGCAAATGCGTGAGAGCTCTTGAAAGCCATGCCGGTGAGAGCATGGATCTCATTTACTTCATTGTCTCGCATGCGTTTGGCATTCATGATGGCGTACAGGAAAGGACTTTTAGCGAGGATGGCCTTATGGAGGTAGAAGACCTCAGAGGCAGGAAGTCTCTTGTCGGGGCTCAAGGCCGGCATCATCGGGCTGAGGATGACCTTAATGTCGGAGAATTCTCTCTGGTTGAAAAGGCCTCGAAGGTGTCCCAGGTGTCCCAAATCAGTGGTATCAATGAATGTTGGGACCTCAGAAGAGGAGGCCCTGTGAGAAAAGGCGTGCTCCGAGTGAGGTTGTGTTGGAGGACTTGTTTCACGCGAGACCTCTTGAGAATCCATAGTCAGCTTCGATTTGGCGTCAAAGTACAGGCTGGGAGAACGCAGCGCTTCTTCTGCGAGGCTGCCACTGGCGTGAGGTTGATGGAACTCCAACTCTCCGGAAGTTGGGTAAATTGAAGTGCTTGAATCATTGCTAGAGATCACTAGAGGGACAGGGAACTGAGACTGGGAAGTTTGTGGCATGCTTGGACGATTCACAGTGCTTCTATCAGACGAGGTTGACGAGCTCGCTTGATGGGAAATCCGGCGGCTCAGTTCGAACAGCGATGCAACCGAAGGACTCAGGTCCTCCGATACGGGCATATCGAACGAGCCCCTGGAGACATCACTGTAAGCGCGGTGAGGAGACATATCAACGTCGGAGAGTGCGTGGTAACGTTTGGTGGATGCAGGGGAAGGAGAAAACCGAGCAGGAAGTGAGGCCGAGTATTTGTGTGTGAGTGAGAACGGGGGGCGCGCGCATTCAGCCAGCAACGTCTTCAGGTCTGCTTCATCTGACCCCGGCACATCTGCTCGACAAGACAAATTCAGAGTTGATGGACTCGTCAAATGCATATCTAATTCAACGACCCGAGTCTGTTCATCTGCAGTACGGCCCTTATCCCCACTGCGGTCTTCCTTTCTTTCATACCATCCATGTACCACACACTGGCAACAGGAGTGTCGATCATGAATGCAGCAACAGCCTTCGCCAGTCAATCGGTGCTGGGAGCCACAACATATTTTGTTGTGGTGGTGGTTGCAACAATCCGCATAGAATCCGCAGATTCTTTCTCGGTCGAGCTCGGATGCTCTGCTAGGCCGAACGGGTTGGTGCTCCCTCTGCTCCCGATTTCCTTCCCTCGGATACTGAGCTGAACCTGACAGGTTTAGCTCTTTCCACTGAGCCCAATTCATCTCACTCTCCTCATGAGATTGAGGAGTGGCTTCTTCCTCGACAGCTCTTTGTGTGGCGAGAGCCGGTGCCCGCACGCTCCACTTTTCAGTGTTCACGATACAGGGACCGGTACGCTGCGTCCGGGTCTCCTTCTCCATACCTTCCATGTTGACTGTCATTGCGACAGTCAATGGCACCCGCGAGGCACAAGGGAACCAATCCTGACCGTTGTATCGGAGGACACCGGCAGGGATCCCCGCCTTGAAGGGCCACATAGTACTGGAGAAGTTGGAGGACGCCGGATCAACAAAGGCTGCGTCCTCGAAAGAGCTATAGAAGATGTCAGTGTACGAGAAATCGAGATCGGAAATGTTGGCTTGTGAGATATTGCTGCTGTTCTTGAGAGCCAACCTTTTCTTCTCTCGCTGGTTCTTATACCTTTTTCGATCTTTGAACCGACGGCGCGATGCCTTCTTCCTGGCCGCTAGTCTGGCCTTGGCTTCGGCCTCCTTAGCGGGAGTGAGAGGCTGTCGGTTGGTCGAAATGAACTGAGAGGGGTTGATTGTGGATTCCTGTTCAACCCACGCGGCATCTCTTGTAGTTTGACGACCAATTTCTGGCGGGGCCGAGCTGGAACGGGAAATGATAGGGACGAACCAGTTTTCTTTGACTGGTGCAGGGGCTTCTTGTTCGAATGGCTCAGGCCCTGTCTCTTCAACTAATACGAGGTTCTGCTCTTGTACCAACTCCGGAACAACCGCGTCAACATGTTGGGTTAACCCAATGCTATTTTCCCCGATTGGCTCAATGTTCTTTTCTTGTAATAACCCGAGGACAATAGCTTGAGTTTGCTCAGTAGATTCAGTGTCCGCTTCAAGTAGCTCAGGACTCTCTTGCACTGGCTCGGGATCCTTGCCGGCTTGATTCTTGCGGTGCTTCCTTCCTCGTAGATGTCCGCGTGTGCCCCTATTCTTGCGTGCTTTCTTCTTCTTGACAGGTACCTCAGCAGGCTGCGCCTCGATAACCTCGACGAGAGTCTTTGTCTCAACAGGTACCTTAGTTTCAGTAGTAGCCCTTGTCTCGACAGAATCCTTGGCCTCGGCAGGAACGCCAATCATGACAGTAAACTTGTCTATGACAGGAGCCCTAATCGCAAGAGATGCTTTGGTATCCACAGCAGATTTGGTCTCAACAGGTGTCCTGGGATTGATAGGGGTGTCGGTCTCTAGGACATTCTTGATCTTCATAGCATCCTTGAAATCAGACAACAAGACTAAGGATACATCAGAGCCTTCATACTTTTCAGTAAAAGTCCCCCGCATCTGAACACCGGGAATGACTTTACTACTCCCAGAACTCGCTTTAGACGTGTCGGAATTGCCCAAGCCCAGCCGCTGCTCACTCGATCCATGGTTACCAGGCACAGGTTTTCCCAGAACCGGAGGGACAGGGGTCTTGATAGACGCATTCGGAACTAGATAAGAAGAAGACGTAGGTGCCGGTTTCACAGAAGTAAAGATGCTAACAGGAGATCCCAAATGAAAAGGTGTTGGGATTTGAGGTGGAGGGGGCCGTATAATATCATCGGCTCCGATGCGATCCCTGAGCCTAGATGAGAGGCTTTCAATCCAGTCATACACATATCGGTCTCCGAAGTTCCCGACAACTCGGGAGTAAACAGGAGCCATAATAACGAATAAAGCAGAATAATTTGGTGAGAATATAGGAGTTTTGACAGGTTTGCCGGCTGCTGGTCTGAGGCGCTGTCATTAGCAGCCACTTGCCTAAAGAAAGTCAGCTAGGGTATTAAGAGTAGAGAGAAGAAGGGGTCAAGGCTTTATATACTGTGACTTGTCTGTTTTCGCTCGATATTAGACGAAAGGGCTTCGTGCGCCGAGGTCTAGAGTGTTGGCAGTTAGCGTTGTTGCCAACCACCTTCCTTGAAACCAACTCAATCGCTCTTCTGAGGAGCAGAATATCAGTGAAAAAGGTAGTCAAAGACTGACATGGAGTTTGAAAGGGATCAGAAGAAGGTAAGGTGTTCACCGCGCAACAAAGTCAAGCTCGTAGATGACAACGTTGATGTCTTATGACCGGCGGGATCCTCACCACAAAGATCAATCGCACTTCCAAGGAGTAGAATGAGAGTCTCAAAAAAGCTCAACACTGAGGTAGATTTTGAAAGATGATAGGTGAGTTAGTGGGTGAAACGTAAAGAAGTCAGTTTATTGACAGTTGGTCTGATTCGTTGTGGCTGGAGATCTCTTTAGAAACCAAATTAGTCACACTTTAAAGAAATGGAAAATAAAGCTCAGAGATGCTTCAAGATAGTGTGATACACTTTCCAAGAAAGTGAAATAAGAAAAATGCAGCAATCGATCGAGATAATGGGTAATGTGGGAAGAATGGTAGAGGAGGAGCGTGAGAATGCGTCTGAGAGAAGATCCCACAACAACATGGCCATAAGGGTAGCCAAAGCTTTACTCTGCATATCTGGAGTATCAATAAAATTAAGTTTACATAGCAATCTGTTCAATTGCCTTCATTCTGGAACTTCTGCGTTTATAATGTCCAGTCGCAGGCTAGTCATCGGAGTATTTTAATCTTAGTATATTTGTAGCTCAATCTCTTCCAAAAAAAATCAATCATCTACATCTATTATAAGAATAACTTTAAGAGGATTGTCATGAGATTTAGATACTTTCAGGCAGAGAAATCTTGGTGTAAATGTGCACGAGAAATGTTTGATTGTCCCTGCTATCAGAGAAACAAGGGCACGTTTGTCCACGTGACTGTATACTTCTCTCACTTTGGGCCGCATACAACAATAGCCGTCACCAGGGCTTTAATACAAACACAACCACGACGGAAGAAGGGTATCACAGAGAATCACAGGTGCATACTGATGATTCCTTTCATAAAAAGAAAGAAGCCCACGTTTGTCTATGTGATTGTGCACCTCTCTGACTTCCAACGGGCTATAGTCAATGGCCATCTCACATTACCTTATGTCGAATCAAAAGAATCATATAGTCCGACACCTCAGGAGATGAGCATTGAAATTTTAAAACAATATGTATTCATTTGAGTTTAAGCAATACACCTGGTTACACCTCTGCTCAAAAATATCTGTGGACCGAAAAAAAGAAAAGTAAAGGCACCAAAGGAATGAGAAATTTGATAAAGGACAGTAGACAGTAAACGCTCAGGAAATGCACCAGGTGGTATATAGTCGTGAAGAGTATAGAGAAGATAAAGGAAATCGAAAAGAGGGATCAAAACAGACAGATTCCAAACGAAAGAGGGAATGTGAAAAATTACATGTATGGCAAGAGACCAAGACAAAGACAGGAAGGAAAAAAGATACAAAGAGTGATCAAAACATGCCACCATCAGCAGGGATGGCTGGCGGTGGGTATTGGGGGATGGCTGGGGGAGGGCTCGCCATGGCCTCCTGGCGCGCCCGCGCGTTCAGGTTGCCACCCTCGCTGGAGGTTTTGCGCAGACGGTTTCGTGAGCGTTTCTCATCATCTGGAAAAACACTGTGCTCGTCAGTGATGCTGGGGGCAGGAGAGGCAACCCGCGAAGAGTCATGTTTGTCGGCCTTGAATGCGCTGAGAATGGTCTGGGTACCACGGCGGCGACGAGGGTTCATTGGAGGCAACGGAGGAGCAGCAGCGCCCTGGGAGGCAATGGAAGATGCAGAATTGCCGGATGGTAGACCCACAGTGGGCACATTCGAGGTGCAAGAGACAAAGGTTGGCTCGGAGATCAACTTCTTGTTCACGCTGCGCTTCTGAAGCATGTTATGTCCAGGTGCACGCTGGGGTAGAGTGCTAGAGCCACTAGAGATGGTAGCAGTTGGAGACTGGTCTGCGGGATCATTCAGAGGCGGAGTTGCATTGGCCGAGTACGGAGGAGCAGCAGGGGATGGTCGGGGCGCAGCACCAATCATTGCCGCAGGCTGGTGAGGCTGTTGGTTGAATTGGAATGGTCGTTCATACTGGAAACTTGGAGTACCAGAGCGGCTAGTGCTACGATAACGACCTGACGCAGCAGAAGAGGACCGATCATGCATGGAGGGGTCGGCATATTCCATTGACGGGCGAGCAGAGCCGGGCACCGAAGCAGGCACCGGAGGCTCGAAGTTGTCAGGGACAACAAAGTTTTCGTGGGCAATGACCGCACCTTCTTCAACGGTCTCAAGATCTTCCCTCTCACGGTAGCGAGTGCGACTCTTGGATCGGCCCGAAGCGTCGGAGCCGGAGCGGTCTCGCTGAGACCGGAAGGGAGACGGAGAAGGGCCACGGCTGCGACTAGACTCGCGTGATTCCTCCTGGCTGCCACGGCTGATTGTCGGCATGCGAGACCTGAACGACCGGTCAGATCCAGGAAGAGGAGAGCTTGAGTTCGAGTGTCGACCAAAGTTGAACGGCGGGCGTTCTTCCTCTCGCCAGGTTACGTCGTGCGCCAGGGAAGGTGAAGAGTTGCTGTTCAGGCCATACATCTTGTTCTTTGAGTCTTGCTTCTGGAAGCCTTGCTTGTTGGACTTATGCTTCAACATAGCAAAAGCGTTGCCGGCCTTGATTTGAGTAAAATCCGGGGTGCTTCGTCCAGGTGTGGGGCTGCTGGATCGGCTCTCGCTTTCTGCGACGCTTCGCAGTTTTTCTTGGACCTTTCGGCGTCGCTCAGCTAATTCGATGGCGAATTCCTCACGCTCCTTTTGAGTCTCAGTGCTGCCATCTCGCCGGTGATGGTAAACCAGCTGTTCCTTCCAATTTGATGAGTTCGAGGCCTCAAAGCTGCCATCGGGCATAGTGCCTGTATCAGACGAGTCTTCACTGGATCGGTTGGCAGTCATGTCTGAAGATTGGTGAGAAGGAGGTTTCGGACTCAGCGGCTCGGGCTGCGAGCCCGAAGTCGAGGAAATCTCGTCAGGAGTAATCACCTCGGAGATAGGCTCCTCGATGACTATCTCGTTGACTTCCATGTCCCGCGATGGAAGACCCGGAGTTGGAGGGTAGACAGAAATGTCACTTTCCTGTCGCAGATGAGATTTAATAAATCCGTTCAGACCGAAGGTAGGCGAGTCAGGTCGCTCAGGAGTGATATCACCATTCTGACCTAAGACCTTGGGAGCGTCGTCTACAGCGTCATTCTCCTGAATGGGCTTGAGATCTCCCAGCTCCGAGTAGGTCACTTCGGGGAGGGGTTCCAAGTATTCCCCATTGGAAGTGGATGGCTTGGATACAATGCTGGAAGGCTGATATTGGTGGCCATAATCCGTGGCCATAGATGTCGGGGAAGACACCTCGTATGAGCGCCGTTCTTCAATGTCATCTCCAGACTCGCTGGCGGTTGAAGGGGCGTAAAAGTGCGGACTCCAGGCTGCGACGGCGAAGCCTCCACACTGGAAATATGAGAGTGATCGATACCATGGTGGGCATCACTGCTATAATGGGAAGAAGCAGACTCTGCTCGGGATCGATAGCTGGATTTGGAGAGACCCCGGGTACGGCCGACAGATTCCTGGGGCATTGCACGGCGCGGGGGAGACGGCCGTCGTGGTGGAGGGGTGCTTCGGCCTTGATGCATCTGAAGCTGGCGACGCATAAATTGTTGTTCATCAAATCCAGTAGCAGGTCTGTTGAAGAGACCCATCGCTGTCGCCTTGCCATGGTCTTCAGGGTTGAGCGCAGCAGCCAGCAAGGACGCGCCATCATCGGTCTCACTTGAGGGCGGGCTCAGAGGTGGTGCCGCTCCAAACGCTGCAACCGTTGGTGAAATGTTGGCTTTGGGTACAGGCTCAGGGAGAATGACTGTCTGCGGTTTGGGCGATGTTGCCGATGACGGGGGCTAGTGGGCTGAGCCGTGGCAGCTGGGTCCGCGATATTGAGTTTTTGCAGCCGATCACGAAGGTTGGCCGCGCTGCGGGAGTAATTACGGTTCAGCGGAAGGAGCTCTGGAGTCCCGGACCTCTGGCGGCTCAAGCTTTCCAATCGTTGTAGAGTTGATGACTGCTGGTTTTGTGCCGTCTGTGTCAAGCCTTGGCCATAAAGCCTGTGGGATCTGACAGAGCCGTTTCGGGGTGTAGACAAGGCAGACGGTGGGTGTATGTCGACCTTGGCATCTGAGATCGGATTCGAGGGAACTTGCGATTGGGAAGCAATAGGGTGAGACTCGTCGATGGACGTTGCTGCCGTTGACATACGAGCGTCTGGAGTGTGCGTCGATGCGGTTGAGGAGTAAGTCGTGCGTTCGGTCGAAGAGAGAGTCGAGGTATTATCTTCGAATTCTTGAGAAGCCTCACGTGCTGCCTCTTCCGCAGCGCGTCGCTCCTCTTTTTCTTGGAGTCTCAGGCGTTGGAAAGCAGACATGTTCAAGTCGTGTTCATAGACGGCTTTGCCCATTCCCCGTGAAATGGACTCTGTCGGACTTGGCGCTGATCCCCCGGGTGATCGGACAGGAATCCGATATACCTTTTGGCGGCCGCCGAACAAATTGTTCCCTTCTGCTCGTCGGGCGCGGCTCATGATGCTACCGTTCTGCGATCGGTCATCATCGGTGCCATATCCATCGACGCCCGAGCCGTATGAGTCGGTACGTCCCAGCGCAAAGGAGGGCCGGCTCCCATCGTTAGAGGAGACTTCATCAATATCGGTCAGCATGCTGGGGTTATGACCGAACAAGTTTAATCGCGAGGCTCGTTTGGGGAATAGCACGCTGTCATCGCTAGCCTTGCCCAACTTAGATTCCGGGTCGTCCTGTTCTCTCAGCATACTGAACCGAGCCGACAGCTTCGGCATCAGCAGACTGGTTCGGAAATTGTCTGACGACGGGAGAGCGGCCGACAAATCCAGATCCAACTTCGCCTCTTCAACATCTTTTTTCTTCGAGGGCTTCAAACTAAACGGTGATGGGGATGACGTGCCCTCCAGGTCGTCTAGAGCCTCCTTGACCTTCTTGTGCTTGCGAAAACGATTCATTATGCCGGGAAAAGAAAGAAATAGCTCTGAGGGTGTGTTAGATCGGTGAAAGTAGAGAACGACTACCGGCTCCAACAATCCGTCAGGAAGGGAGTGACAGAGGAGATTGTGAACCAGGACGAGCGAGCGAATGACTATAGTCTTGAGGCACCTGGCTGTCAGTATTTCGAGCCGTTCTCCCATCTAGGCACCGGGATAGCGTATTGCAGATGGGATCTGACTCACGAGGCAATGCTTATCGGCAGAACGAAAGGAGCGGCATGACCGTCAGGCGCAGGGCGGGAAAGTTGAAGTTGGCGGGGACGAACGGTGGGCGCTGGGAGCGGACTGCGCGTCTAAAGAACCCCAGCGGATGCACAATGCTTTGCGCCCCGCAACTCGATCAATTGACTCCGGATGCTGGGTACGGTAGACGGTGGACCGTAGACCAGACGTAGTTTCCAGGGCCGTGGCAGGGAAGGGGGATCCAGCGGGAGAGTGGCACAGCGCAATTGGGCGTGGACAGATCACAGGAAAAAGGAACGAAGGACGTTCGATTGGACCGGGTCTGCAGGGGGAGGATCCAATGCGAAGAAGTAGTGAGCGTCTCGGTGGATGTCTGGACTGGTTGGGAATGCAATGCAGTCGCTAGTGGGTAAAGGCGGACGGGGAATCCGAAAGGAGCGTGGGCGATTCGATCTGGAATTCAAACGAGAGGTGAAAGGGACGAAGAATGCGATGAGTTCGAAGCAGAAAGAGGAGGCGGAGGTCGAGAAAGTCTAGTCGTTTCCCGAGTCCCTTTTTAGCGTAGATTCGTCACGAAGTTAAGATTACTCGGTCGCAAACCCTCGCAGGTACGGGCAATACTGGCATTACTGGCATTATGGGGCTAGAAACACTATGAAGAGAAGCTAAAAGCTTCTAGTTTTTTTTTGGGAGGGGGTTTTTTCTCTGTCTTTCTTTCCTTCTTCTGATTTAGAAAATAAAAAATAAAAATAAAAAAAACCACCAGAAAATTACATTAATAATAGTACGAAAAGGGACCTGGATCCGGATCGTCCCTTGTGCCCACCGTTCAGTCGATCCCCTATGACGGTCCCTGGTTTACTCCCCAACCCGGAAAGAAAATTTTTTTCAAAAATCGAGAGTGGTGATAGTACCGTAGAGGTCGTGGTTGAGGGTTTGTTTATTTATTCTGACACCTGCATTGCAATGCCCATGAGGTTCCCCCTTCCCGAAGCTGCATCCATGGGTGAAGAGTGCGGGCCTGAGACACACCACCAAGACCCGTAGGTTACCATAGATTACCATAGGTTACCTATCGATTACAGTGCTTCCCGGGCCCCCTTCGCCTCTCGTCTAGCTCGCCCTCTACCCTTCAATACCCCCCAATCATAAGGACTTGTCCCTGCCCGAGAATAAAACGGGGTCCCCCGTCCCCCGTCCCTTGCAGCTTTGCAGCAGGCACGGCCACGTCCCACGGTAATTTATCCGTATCGTCCAATACCTCCAGGTCCTCGCGTGCTGCGGCGGCATGTGGACCGGGGGACCTGGGGCTGAACCGCCACCTCAACGACTGTGGAGGATCCCAGTCGCGGTCCTGAACCCGGTAGACATGGGTATGCTGAGCTGGACATGCCTGCTCATCAATCTCATAGGCCATTCCAACGCGGGGCTACCACGACACTCCCACCTCAGGACGCGTTCCAGCCCACCAACCATACGATTCATGCAGGTATTGCGAGGGGAAGAGGGGTTCCCTGCATTTTGACGGCCCTAGAGGTACGAGGGCACCAACGCCATCGCTGCGATGGGTGCCTTTCACACATTGTTTGGCGTGTCTTGCGCTCTTTCAGGGCATTTCGAGACGGGCGAATCATATCAACAGAACCCCTCCCAAGTCATGCGATCGAACCGTAGAAGATCCCTCGAGTGGACAGGCCGGAGTGGTCCACTAGTCATTCTAGTCAGTTCCGGGAGTCTGGAAGCGTCACAACAGAGAAAAGTGCACACACATACCCCCCGAACAAGTGTGGGCGATCTCCGATGAGGGTTTTTGCATTCAGGGCCGATCGTTCTTGGCAGGTTTGCCAGGATCGCGTTCTGAACTGCCTGCCTGGGCAAAGACTCCGACAGCAGGAACACACCATTTGCTGTGGAGGAACAATGACGATATGGAGGTGGATAGATGGTAGAGTCTACTGGCTATTCTTAGCTACCGATAATGCGATCGAACTCCTTGCATGGGCGGGAAAGCCGCAGCTGCATCCTCGCCCTGTCCTACATGTAATCCCTCTTCCAGGCTAATTCATGGGGGATGGAGGAGCATTGATGATGCAACGGAATCATGGATCAGCAATCAATCAATCAATCAACCACTTAATATCACTCAATAAGGTAATTCTTCTAGCTCGCCCAAACACCAATGGTGCTGCCGTCCGTGAGCGACGCCATGGCTTGCAGCATGTATCGCAGCCACTCGGCAACCGGTTGTCGACAAAATTTGCCAATCTTGATGTATTTCTCCGATGCTGCAGGGCCTCCTGCGTCGTGCAGCGGTCCGTTCTGCATCCCCAGAAAGTTTACGACAGAATCCAAGCTCCAATCCTTAATCAATTGCAAAAACTTGCACGCCTCCTCTCATGAGGCTATCCGGGTGCTGTACCACAACGATGCCGTGCAGTTCCGTACAATGGACAATCCCTTAGTTTGGCTTTCTCCTCGTGGATTGCTTTTTTCTCCTTTCCTCCTTTTCCTCTCTAAGATTATATTGTTTTCGATTTCTTATTTTCCCACATACTCACACGGTCGGAGCAAAACGCCAAGCTAGGCGAGAGACCATCTCATCTTCTTCTCTCTGGGGTCCACACTTGGGAATGATAATCTGGAATAAAAGCCTAGCGATTGCCCTGGTGAACACAAGTTGCATCATCACTTCGATATAGTAAGAGAAATTAGGGGGCAGAAGTCATTTAACGATGAGAAAACCCGGATTCCGGTAACTCCTTTTTGTTGGCCTTGTGGAACTATGAGATCATGAAATAAGCACAGACGCTATAGAACAAACAAATTGAACAATAACTCCCCAAAGAGGAATCTGACCAAAAACAAACTTGGCTCTAGCTTGTAAGGGTTGGGCCGCTTGGTCCTCTGCCCTGAAGAGGGGCGCGAGGCTTGACAGCCGTTGCTGGACCCGGTTGGAGCAAGCTTTTTCCGCTCTGCTCTTTGTGCTTCGCCTAAAGCTTCTGGACCGCGGACTATCTGCTCCGTCAAGCGTAGCTTTCATCAAGCACCTAAGAGGGGGGAAGTTGACCAGTGGGGGCGGAGAGGGTGCTCGCTTGGGTAACTATTGGGGACAGCTAACTAAGTACGGAGTACGGAGTACAGTGGGTTGAGATGGTTCCCACTAAGCTGTAGAGCTCAAAACGGATCAGAGTCGATGCTGCTTTAACTTCATATTGAGTTTATACTCCGGAGCCAAGGATGCCGATATCCATCTCTGGATGTTAGATCATTCGAGGTATGATCTAAAGGAGAATTATATTCTATACATGTTTCGTGCATGAAATATTACTCCATGTTGGCAATTATGGTGGGTTTTTCGCTATAGACTTTCCGATAGATTGCCTCTTAATGAATCCCACTCAAGAATGCGAAAGCACCTGGCTAGAACCTATCGACCAAGGTGTTACGGCAGCATGATTTTTCACTGTGACCGTCGCGCCAAGCAATAATTTACAGTAGACTGACTGGCCGGTCCCGCCATCGTGGGCGCCCTAAAACCGCGTCCACTTCCCCGCCGCCCGGAGATTGGCTGGGACCGCAAGTGGTGCCCCTGACTAGCCTCAATGGGGCGTTGGCTGGCTGAGCCCGGTAATTTTGATGTTGCCTTTCTTGCGCCGGTCGGGGTTTCACAATGCATGATTCAATGAGAAGGTAGACACGGTGGCCTGGAATTGACCTGATTAGAAGCTGGCTATCTTTCAATGGTCCATAGATTTCAATCATTCGTCACAACAGGATCTCATGTGCGGCAAACAATAATTCCACGTAGGCAAATAAACTGAACCGCCCGCTGTGGGGGAAAAGCCGGTACGATAGCTCCACCGGTACCTGGAAATGCACCAACCATAAGACGCTCGAAGGATACGAGTCCTGGGAATTTGTGCCGGAAACTCCCTCCGTCTGCCCCGTTGGATCCCTCGTTGGCCTCGTGGAAAAAATGCCGCCTTTAATTTCCGTTTTCTTTTCGATGCATCACCGGGGCGGAGCACTATGCGCTCCAGCTACATGTATCTATCTCCTCCCTACATACGGAGTCCATATGTTGTGGTTGGTTTTGCTTCGGGCGTCGAAGCCGCGAAGGGGATATTTGCTTGTATCGTCACTTTACATACATATGCACTCGACAGGAGTCGATTTGGAATGATGATCCAGCCGCAATTATTCTCCAATTCTCCTGGATAGATCGACCGAAATCTGTACCGATCGTGCTCTTTGCACATCTCTGCACTACGAACTCTCGGGCGAAACTGCCGAGGCAGCCAGCACTCTGGAAGGAGGGAAGATGGAGGAAATGGAAGAGACGATCGCCCGGGCCAGATTCCTAAGCCATGTTCTTGGGAAAAAAAATACTGGGTCACTAATCTGGATGATAGCTCCGCATCGCGGAGAGCGAAGGGGCCGTGTCCCTGGGGGCAACCGCTGTTTCACCACAAGATAAAATTTTTCCTAGGGCTAATGATGTGCGGCCTCTGCTTCTGATTGAATCTAGGCTTTTTTTGCTTCGTTCTGCTGGCTCAGACATTGCTGTAAACGGATCCTCAATAGAGTCTGTTCGGCTTTGTGTCGTTTCATGCCCAATGTCCAACACCCTTGTAACATAATTACCCAGTGGGGACGGGTCCCAGGAACCACCGAGATATCGCGAAAACGGTTCTTGGGTCTGGTGGAGCCGGCTGTTGGATCTCGTATTTTTGTCCATCTTGGTTGAAGAGGGTTGAGCGCAGCCGTCGTCTTGCTAACAATCTATCTCCGACCGGAATGATGGAAATCTAGACCATTGCCCTCGGTAGCGGTCATAATCAAGCCAACCATTTCCGAGTCAAATAAGCCAGGAAATTACAAACATTTTCATTTCGACCCGAAGTCTCGATGTCAGTGCCGAAACGAATCAATATCACGACCGAGCTTAATAGATTGCCTGCGTCAGATTTCTCATCAGGTTTCTACTAAAGAGGACATGGCCGGCTCGGAAGTTGTTTTAAAGCATATAATTCGATACTAATATCCTCTGTACAGGGCGCCGTGTGGATGCAAAACAAATCTACTGAGGTTTCGCCTTGTTTTGACATGCCAGTCCTTCCAATAAAATCGGAATTTGGCTTGATGGCGGCACCTCTCCGATTCAGCAGCCCACGGTATGATCAAGGCAAGAGACAACTTTACAACGAAAAGGAGAGTGCCGCATTTGCCCACTGGGCCGTTGGTCACTCCTTTTTCTTTTTCTCTTCGGTAGACTTGTAGGCCCCAGACTCAGATAATCTACCCGAGAGCACCGAGGTGATTTACAGGGCTATGACTAGTCCAGCAGCTGACGTGGAATGAAGATAAGGGGAGACTCAGCCTACTAAGGGATCGATACACACAAAGCTCCCACTAGCGACACAGACCAATCAGCCATACCGCCACAGGTCCGTGTAAGCTTGGAATATCAATTGCATTAAATCCCAGGATGGAACCTACTGCATATGCAACGACAGGGAGAACGGAAGATGCAAGGGAGCCTATAGCTCCAACAGCTGCAAACAGCATCAAGTGCAATTCACGACCATCGAGCAGCGTAGAGAGCACGATAAAATTTGTCTTCAGAAATTTAAAATGCGCGATTTGTGTGTTGAGTCCGCAGACCAAGACATTGCAGCAACTACCACATATGCCATACTGCCAAGGTAAATGATATTCTGCGGGCTGGATATATTAGCCAATACCATGATTCTATTTCCGATATATACTATCTAGTAGGGTCTAGACCAGTACCCTCTCAATCCTCCTTTGAACTATTTGCTATAGGCTTTGATATAACATCAGAAGCAGGAGTAGAAAGAGGTGGATAAGGAGTAAAAGGTCTCACATCGAAACCCGCTGAATACCTGTTTAAGGAATAATCTTATCTATGAGAGATTGAATCTAATGATTAGTTACTTAGAGTACTATCTATCTATATATGGATAGAGGGAGGTTCGAATATTCGGAGGCATTTGAGTCCAGCTTGCCGCATCAACTCTACCGCTTCTTACTCTCTTCAGAATGTTTTCAAGATTCGGCGAGACGTTGCTCGGCCTGGTGCCCATTTTGATATGACCGACACTTGCCAATATCATCTTTATTCAAGAGCTCTTTGACGAATGGAGATTTGTCACTAGCCCCAGAAATCTATCGTATGTGCTCCTCATATATTTCATCCAAGGAGCCTATATCCACGGCATCTTTCAATTCCTCGTAAAATACAGCGGAGTGCCATGCTGAAAAAAAATGGGGGGAGAAGAGCTTCTGAACATTATTACTAGCGATAATACGTATCTTGAAAATCCGTAGTCCTAGAAGAGTCAATTCACCCACAAGGGCTATTTCTGGCTAAAGCGATGGGCAGGATTAATGGTGTAGACTTTTTATTTAAAATTTGGTACAGACCAACCAGGATCATTACGAAGGTTGAATCCGGTTTCTTTACATTTATTTGTTCGGTTCATCCCCTAGTGACCGGCAGCTAAGTCCACAAAACAAGTAACTTCCATTACCCGTTCCTCTAGGCTCCTTACAGCTCTCAAAGATATAGACTTTGGGTGGAGAAAATGACGATAATGTAGACTATCTACCAGAAAATAGGCCAATACGAGATAAACAGGAATCAAGATAGAGCGAAATCAAGATAGAGCAGAATCACTCGGGTGCATCTCCCAGGCCCCTTCGACCTGGGGGACTTAGAACAGTCTGATTAGACGTAGACTCCACGTTCTCAAGTACCAGACCCATTGTATAGCGCCAATTAGCAAAGGTCACTTTGGCCAGTGTAACACAGTAAATCCACAATTAGATGCTGATTAGTATCATTTGATAGATTCGTTCAACATACTAAGCTTTTTGCCAGAGACAATACAATGGGAGGTTCCGGAGACGGTATGAGCTGAGTAACTCTCGCTGTATTTATACCAAAAGATATGGTCAAGCAGTTCGTTTACCATCAAATTTCACTTAGTCACCACCTACTATGCTGTTTCTAGACTCATTTAGCTTTCCGTATTGAGTATCGTGCATTTTGTGGTCTTACGGCTAAAGAATACCTCGATTAAAATCTCAGAATATCAGGACTTCAAATTAGCGATCAAAGAAACGATAAACTGGTCAATTTCAGATAAAATTGAGCCTATGAGGACCATGATGATGGTTGCATGATAGCTCTTTGCCTCACGGAAAATTATACGGTGGACCGCGAAATAGATAGTACGTATGATTGTCATTAGCTTCTCTAGGCGGCATATATTAGACGGAGCTCCCCCATATACTGGGTTGTAGAGCTGTCTTGGTAATCATATAACAACAGATGGTTGCTAGGGGTTCAGGATGGTTCCTTTGGCGTGCTAATAATCGGTAGGCTTTGTGGTATGCTGTCCATCTTCACCGGGGTAAAATACACCTCTAGCGCCGGTAGCTACTTAGTAGAGGCTTCATTCTTTCTCATCGCCAGAGCGTGTTTCAACAATTTATCTGTACTCTCGAATACAGGAGCCATTTCATCTTGCAATCCTTTGTATATGGGTCGTCTGTACACAGTCTCGTTTAAACCAACGAATTAGGCAGCGACTACCTCGCTTATTTCTTGGACGGTTGCGATAACTATATCGTAATTGAAATTAGCGAGAGACGGCAACATGCCTGACGGCTCATAAATATCACACTTGTCGAGCAATTTTTTGGTTATTAGACTTCCCTGGAGTGTCTGGACCTGGTATTGATCTATGATGATGGAACTAACAAGCTCGAAATCTCTAACGGTTTCTTTTTTATATTGATGAATTCTATCAGATTGAAATTTTGCATAGTCTCGCCTCTGTCAAATTGAAGATGCTTTGTCACATGATTCAGCATATCAAGTAGGTTATTTCGACTTTTACTTCAGAGTACTCAAAGACTGTGGCTTGGCTTTTAACCGATGAGACATAATTGTGAAAAGAATGACTGGCTGTGGACGTATTGTATGGAAATGCTAATGGGCTAACATTTGCGACTATTCTCCCTTCGTGGTAAGTGACTGATCAACCTGGACAACAATTATAACAAACAAGTTCTACCCTAGTATGCTATGAGCAGATTCACTCTAGGATCTCCAAGCCCATACTCAACTCTTGCTCTACTTACTACATTGACTATAGCATCTTCAGTATGCTGACTTGCGAACATAGTCAATGACTGTTCCGCCATATGCAACTGCATTTAGCCAAAATGGGCTCTTTGGAGTGTTGCTCAAATGCTGAAGCCCATTAAAACTTCAGATAAATTGAGCTACTTATGTTCGGGATAAAACGAGAGAACCTGTATGCAGTCGTCATCTCTTTGCTTCGGAGTTCAAGATGAGGAATATGTTTCACTCCAGGAAAATACAGGTATATCATGCATGATCTTTCCGGTACCCAAGATAGACCAGAGAAAATTGGGTGGAGGTAATATGAACAGCTCTCATTCATCATCAATTTCTTTTTCTTCTTCTAATATTTAGATATTCACAACCCTTTCGGTAGAGAAAATAAGTATGATTTAGGAGGCCTCCGAGTTCTTTTGAGTTTAAATACGCTTTGACAAAGTTGCATCCGAAGCGCAGAGTAAACCGACAATCTTGGAGTAACATGACTTAAGTCCTGACTATAAAATGCTTCTGAGGCATTTTGCTAGATGGCATGGTAAAATTCGATATGGTGACTTCAATTCTCAAAACTGTCTTAGTTGAGGTGTTACCAGCCAGTGTTAGCTGTAGTGCTGTTAGCGTAAAGGAGCAAAGAGGTGCACCAGAGGGCAATGATTGGCATCGATATGTTCGCTCGCCAAAACTCCCTATATGGCAACGTATTTGGATGATAATGAGTCTTTACAATCATATTTCTTGCAGAGTGTTTAGCCTTTCATCTCATATTTCGAGTAAGCTGCGCGCTTTGCTACCCAGACTCGGCTTATGGAATCAAGCTTCTGGGCGGGTTGATGGCGACGCCTGACCCTTGAGTCTGCCTCTGGGAAGGTATTGGTCGCAATGGATCTGCTTATGAGCAAGAGATCACCTCATTGATATATGGCCAACTATGTACTGGGGACCAAAAGCGCACCGGTCCTGAATTTTTTGACCTGGCAGATTTGCCCCATCGTCAAGGAAGATAATTCAAGTTGGGCCTGTGGAAAGGTTGATTTACCTGAAGGGCCCTGTTTGAGTGTCCTGGGTAAAGGGGCAGGACAATACTTTACTCTGCATGTCGATACTCCGAAATATACAAAAGAATTAGTCTGTGTGTTCGAATGGTTCAAGAACAGCCAAGATCTGGTCGCAGCCGCCCAGTGAAGATTGCAAGTCAATACAGCTGCTGTGGGACTCATTTGGCCACAGGAAGTGGATTTAAAATAATCGAGGTCAGCGGCGGGTTGCATACATTTTCCGTTGGAGCTTGAATCAACCCTGATCCATCATAGGTTGATATTGTGGGTATTTTCTTCAGGGCAACATTCCATATCCGCCACATATTTGTATCCCATTCAATGTCATATATCGGCCTGTTATATAAGAGACGCATCCTTCACGTTCACAGGTCTTCTGTCTACAAAGATGACTGCACTTCTGCAATTCACAGCTCTGTCTCTTTCCACGTCAGCGTTAGCTATTAGGGTAGGCTTCGGAGCATTTATGGCACGCTTCTCACTCCACCGAGCCATGCCCCTGACTGTTTCTAAGGCCGTTCGAGTGCCAAATTGATCTAGTGCACTAGTGGAGAACCCAATGGGACAACAAGCATCGCCCCATGCGGCAACGGCGTAAGCTAGTGCTAGCCACGGCCCCCGATACTTCGGCGCGATTGGGTCATCCGCTAGCCGGCTCAGGCTGAAACCAATGGCCCGGACCGAGAACAGTGAATATTTTTCCGATCATCCGCCGAAATTTCAGCCCCCTTGTCGCTGGTGGATGTAGACAAATATATTTTCCCTCCTGTCAGCGCGCTGACCAAGTTCGGGTGGGTCAGATCATATCATTGCTAAACAGGAGAACCGACGGAACGTGATGAAGACGGCGATGATGTGCACTGTGGAGACCTGCCGGTAGTTCGGCAGGCCTGGTTACTGTATGTTGATGAAGACCCATTGACTAGAATTAAGGGGCCATCATAGCGGGGTGGACTGAAGTGTGTGTTTCATGTTGCATCAATCAATATCTTGAATAACAGGTCGAGCGGCCGCTCTGTTATTAAGTTCTATATCAAAATCAGGCCGGGACCCGTGGTCGTTTGTTTTGTTCAAGCCATTCTTTCTTGCGATCCCTTCCCTCTTTTTTTTGTGGTATTTCTTTTTTTCAATCGAGAGCTAGTCTCTATCGTCACTCTTTCTGTCTTGTTCTTGTCTGTTGATCGGACAAGCTAATCATCTTTAAAAATGCGTTCGTCGCTGATGTCTATGGCCATCCTGGGCGCTGCTGTTGCGTCCGCGGCTCCTACTCGCGTCTCGAGCCTCGTCAAGCGTGCCAGTAGTTCATGCATTTTCAACTCGGCTGCCAGCGCCAGTGCTAGTGCCAGCTCCTGCTCAACCATCGTGCTGAGTGATATCGAGGTTCCTGCTGGCGAAACCCTTGAGTTGAAAGACCTTGAATCCGGTACCAAGGTATGTGGTTGCATCGAGCATCGACATTGGATGTTTGACCTAACCAACGCATAGGTCATCTTCGACGGCGAGACCACCTTCGGTTATGAGGAATGGGATGGACCCCTGATCCGCATCTCCGGCTCCGGGGTTACAGTGTCTGGTACCTCCAATCACAGCATTAATGGCGATGGGTCTCGCTGGTGGGACGGTGAGGGTACTAATGGCGGCAAAACGAAGCCCAAGTTCTTCTACGCGCACGACTTGGATGATTCGATCATCACTGGCCTGAACATCAAGAACACCCCGGTCCAGGCCTTTAGCGTGCAGTCGGACAATCTGGTTCTGAGTAGCATCACGATTGATAACTCCGACGGCGATGACAATGGTGGCCACAACACCGACGGATTCGATGTGAGCGAGAGCACCGGGGTCACCATCCGCAACGCGGTCGTGAAGAACCAGGACGATTGTCTGGCTATCAACTCTGGCTCGGTTAGTGTACCTCTTCTCCGAATTTCGGCCATGCTACATACGATTTGATCTCTCGGTCGCACGTATACGGATGAACTAATTTTGCATCATAGAACATCATCTTCACCGGTGGTACTTGTTCGGGAGGCCATGGTCTGTCTATTGGCTCCGTCGGTGACCGTGACGACAACACTGTCAAGAATGTTACTATCTCGAGCTCCACCGTGACCGACTCTGCCAACGGCATCCGAATCAAGACCATCTCTGGCGCGACTGGCTCCGTCTCAGGTGTCACCTTCTCAGACATCCAGGTCTCTGGGATTACCGATTACGGTATCGTCATTGAACAAGACTACGAGAATGGCAGCCCAACTGGCACCCCCACCACGGGCGTTCCCATCACCGACCTGACTGTGGAGAGCATCACTGGGTCAATCGAGAGCGATGCTGTGGATGTCTACATTCTGTGTGGTGATGGAAGCTGCTCTGACTGGACTTGGTCAGATGTTGAACTCACTGGCGGTGAAGACAGCGATGAGTGTGAGAATGTGCCCTCCGGTGCATCCTGCTAAACGCCCATTGCTAGCACAGCCCAGCAACACCTTTCCTTTGGCTGATACTTGTAGGCATGAGATATAGTTTCCAAGCGACAATAATCAATCAACCAAGCTATACGACTCTCAAATATTATGGTGCTCACTTGTAGTGTCGACTGTTGATTGTTGACTGTTGTAGTATTGTAATTGTGAACATATGTCCCCAAGTACATAATAACTTTGTAAGAACTTTAAGCTTAGTTAAGATCTGCACCCATATTTTGATGACGACATTGCGTGAAGCCCCGCAGCTTCGGCCAGACACCGCTTGTTCTCTTTTGTCAATTACATCCTTCCTCTAATTACCTTTCTCCAGGATCAAACCCACGCACAATGCAAGTCCTTCTACTAGGTGGCCACGGCAAAGTGGCACTCTACCTCACCCCTCTTCTCCTCAACCGCGCCTGGAACGTCACCAGCGTGGTACGCAACCCCGATCACGAAAGCGAGATTCTGGCCCTTGGCAAGGGTCGCAAGGGCAAGCTGAGCGTGCTTGTCTCTAGTCTGGAGGGTATCAAGAGTGCCAATGATGCCCAAAAAATCCTCGACACGGTCATCCCCGACTACGTAGTGTGGTCGGCTGGTACGTTACGCGCCTGTCCTTTGGTCCGCACCCCGCAAGCCCCGCGACCGCCGAGCCGCGAAGCGCGAACCAAAGTTGCCTGATCTCCGCTCCGCACACACCTCAAGATACACTGAAAGAGTTTAAATGATACAGAAAATCTAATCAGACCTTCTTGATGTAGGTGCCGGAGGCAAAGGTGGCCCAGCGAGCACCATCGCCATTGACCAAGAAGCTGCAAAACACTTCATGACCGCGTCCTTCGCTTCGCCCAGCGTGACAAAGTTTCTGATGGTTTCATATTTGGGCAGCCGTAAGAAGCAACCTCGCTGGATGCCGGACGACCAGTGGGCTGGTATAGTGCGGACGAATACCGAGGTGCTCCCCACATATGCCAAGGCCAAGCAAGAGGCCGATGAGTACATGACCGCGTTGGCGGCGCGACGCAAGCAGGACCCTCACGCGACCTCGTTCCAGGCGATTAACCTACGACCCGGCATCTTGAAGGATGACCCGGCGACACGCAAGGTGGAGCTTGGTATCACGCCGAAGGGCCGGGGAGCGTGACACGCGAGGATGTCGCTATCGTGGCGGATCAGTTGCTAGCGCGGGCCGATGCTGAAGGCTGGATTGATCTTGTGAATGGGGAGGAGGACGTGGAGGCCGCTGTGGAGAGGGTTGCGAAGGAAAAGATTGACGCGGTTGAGGGAGAGGATGTGGAGGGCATGGTCAAGCGATTTTTCTCTTGAGCTACAGACATGAAGATTGTATTTTCTTTCGGTTTGCATAGTTAATATTGTGGATATTGAAACCCCTAGATATGTGGACAATTTTGGGAATACCATGTCATTTCGGGAAGCATCTATACTACGGATAAATGATTGGGTGATCTATACATTGACATTAAGGTCTATCTAAAGAGAGAAATGACGTAAATCTACAGCTTGGCCTTCGGTCCTTTGCCCACATCCTTGAATTGCTGTTTCAACATGCGCCGCAGGATCTTTCCGCTCGGGTTCTTCGGAATTTGATCCACAAATTTCACGCCACCACGAAGCCGCTTATGATGAGCGACTTTACCATCCAGCCATTTCACGATATTGGCAGCTTCATCCGCTTCGCTAGCACCTGAGCTCTTGCTCTTGGCACTTCGGACCACACAGGCCAGCGGTACCTCTGAGCCGTGAGCATCGCTCTCGATGCCAATTACCGCGACATCATCGATAGACTCGTTGTCGACCAGGATACCTTCTAACTCGGCAGGAGGAACCTGGAAGCCCTTATACTTGATGAGCTCCTTGACGCGGTCAGTGATAAAGAAATTTCCCTTGGCATCCTGATAGCCGACATCACCAGTTCGGAACCAGCCATCCTCGGAGAGACACTCGCGGGTTGCAGCGGGGTTCTGGTGGTAGCCTAGGAAGACATTAGGTCCACGCAGATATAGCTCGCCAACTTCACCGACGGTAACCTCGCGGGGTTCAGAGCCATCCTCGGGCATGCTCATATACTTTGCTTCCATGTTAGGCATCAGTCGACCAACAGAGCCGACATGCTCGCGCCAGTCCTCCCAGCGTTGCGAGTGTGTGGTAGGGCTAGTCTCACTGAGTCCATATCCCTGCTTGATGCCAACCTTGATACGAGCGTAAACACTCTCTACCAGCTCCTGCGTGAGGGGCGCTGCGCCGGAGTTCATCATTCGCAGACTGGACAGATCGTATTTGTCTACTGCGGGGTGCTTGCCCAAAAGAAGGACCACGGGGGGCACAATATAACTGAACGTGACGCGGTAGTTCTGGACGTGCGCGCACCAGTTCTCGATATCGAACTTCGTCATGACAATGAGGTGATAGCCCTTATATAAGGCTTGAGTGATCAAGCAAGTCAATCCTGGAAAGCTGAGGTCAGCCAGCTACATCGATACCGATTCGTTGAGTGGTTTCAGCGAGACCATACCGTAAATATGATAGAACGGCAAAAATGCCAACACACGGTCACCCTTTCCATCCGGGCCTCCATTCCATTTCAGATTTCCACCTTCGCCTGTCACTTGCTGCAAAATATTGGCAACGATATTACGGTGCGACAGCATCACGCCCTTGGGCACGCCAGTCGTACCGGAGGAGTATACCAAGAAAGCCAAATCCGAGTCGGGTGTGATTTTCTGCTTGCGATACCGAGTCGCACGGGAGATGTTCCGCACGGAAGTGAAGTGCTTGAATCGCGCATCCGGGTCTCGCTGGTCCCCGACCAGGAGGATACGATCTTCCGGGATGCCGGCCTTCTTCGCCGCCGCGGTGGCAACTTTCAGGACCGAGACCTGCGTCGCAAGCGCCTTCGCGCCAGAGTTCTTGAGTTGGAAGGCGAGCTCATCCACTGTATAGGCGGGATTTGCGGGCGAGATGATGCCGCCGGCCCAGAGGGTACCCCACATGAGGGCCGGGGTGTCAATACTGTTCGGGGTAAAGAGGGCAAGGACATCTCCCTTGCGCCAGTCGTAGGTCGCCTTGAGGCCCTTGCCAAACTCGAGAGCGGCCTCTTTCAACGACTGGTAGGTGTAGTGGCGCTTTGTCTCGGCATCTTGGTAGAGGACTGGGGAATGCGTGAGCACACACAGACTCATCCGAATATGGGCCAGACGTGATAGGAGGGATAAATGGGCTAGAGGGGTCAGAGGACTAACTCTTGTCATCCGGGAAGGCACGGTCTTTGCGCTCAAATAAGAAGGTCCACAGGTCGACATTGGGGATGTCGACGTGTGGATAATTGGAGGAGACAGGCATTTTGCGGGGAATAAAGCCAAGTGCCGATCCGGGGACGGCTGTGTACAATGCAAGGGATGGTCGGCAAGCCGTCAGGAATAATCACAAGGAGAACGTGATGCAGGGATGCAGAAACCGACTTTAAAGGTGAAAAGGCAGGCGACGCCTTTCTCCGCAGTTTCGGTACTGGGGAAGCGGTTTGCCTCGGCCCATTTGTAAATATGATATGTTGGGGTGGCCAATACCCGAAGCGGCCTCCACACAGGGTCGGAGTTAGCGGAGCAGTTGAAGGCCGGACTGGGTCGTCGTGTCGTGTTCTCTACGTCGAGTCAGGATATTATTTATTAGTCTTCGATTTATTGGTACTCCATACAATTTTGTATCCATGTAGATGACGTCTTTCGACAAGACCCTGCGATTGTTCTTATTAATTCACACGACAGTCGCTCAACATATCGGATAGGGTATAATATATATTCTTGAGTCATAACCAAGAATCAATCAGTCCAAGAATATTTGCATCGACATCTGTAGCGATATATTCATTCTTGTACAACTCTCAATTCAATTATACTATGTGACATTCCATTTTACCTTCATGTTCCCTTATCGTGGAAGCAAGGCCAGGTCAACTTTCGGACGTTGACTTAGATATACTCGACAAACATCCTCATAACCGGTTTTAGCCTCCGCTAATGTAGATTATTGTTTCAATCCATCCATGGACGAAAAAATGATGAAACTGGTAGGTGCTGGGGATAATTTTGAGATTCTACGCGGTTATTACGACGACGTCCATGGGTTGAAATTTGTCATATCGTAAATTGAACTCCTTTACCTAGCCACGGAAACCAGGTACAGGACGTCCTATCTTTTTGCTCCACCGACGCCGGCAAAGACTTGGAAGGAGGCAAGATCCCAAATGATTTTTTTTCATGCCGACAAGATCTTAAATTGAAATGGAAACAGCTTATCCGCTCTGGAAATACAAGCTGAATAAAAGAACCCAGTTGAGGAATGTGCTGGCTTCCATTTTTCCTTTTCCAGCACCTTCTCCACCACACGCCACTCCAAGGGGAATCGTTCGAAATCGTTTACTTCAGGGGAATGAAACGGGAGGAGTGGGTGGCACCGATACCGGGACGACCGTGCTTGACAGGCTTGCTATGGGGTTGTTAGAATGAACATAATAGGATGATGCCGTGCAACCAGGGGTGAACATACTAGGAGATAGAGAACTCAGCCAGGTAGTGGCCAACCATCTCAGGCTTGATCTCAACCTGGTTGAACTCCTTGCCGGAGTAGATACCGATGACGGAGCCGATCATCTCGGGGACAACGATCATGTCACGGAGGTGGGTCTTGACGAGGTCGGGCTTCTCGTTGGGCTTGGCCTCCTGCTTGGCCTTGCGGAGCTTCTTGATCAGACCCATGGGCTTGCGCTTGAGGCCACGGTTGAAGCGACGGCGGGCACGGGCGTGAACAACATCGCGGAGCTGCTCCGAGGAGAGGTCAAGGAGCCTATGGATTGCCTGTCAGAGTCTTGTTACTTGTCTCTAAGAAATTTTCCAACCCAATCTCGGCATCAACATCCAAAACCATGTGAATCAGCACAGCCAGATATGGCAAGTTCGATACGTTTTATGGAATCACACAGATATTGGATGTAGGCTGCGAGAGTTTGGTGGGCGAAAGATTCGGTAGGAAAAACGTACTGGTCGAGGTCAATACCGCGGTAAGAAAACTTGCGGAACTGTCTCCTCTTCTTGATCTCTGTTGGGCGAATATCCTGGTCAGCGTTCTGCGGATTCGATCGTCTCGTGTGCGTGTATTGGAGAAGTCGTGTCCATTGCCCCCCTTGTGTCGTCGAAAAGTCACTTCGCTCCCCCACCAAACATGCATAATTCTTTGTCGAGTGCCGTTTATCCTGTTTCCCATTTCGATTCTCACGTCGACTGTAGACACTTGTCGGGGGGTTGGAGGGCTAGATAGAGATAGGTAATGATTGAGAACGTACCGGCAGCCTCCTCGGCGTTCTAGATAAAACTTTGTTAGCATTGCGCTGAGGCGACTGGCATCAATATTGGAATGGGACTCACGTATTCGACGTCAGCCATTTTTGCGGTGGTTCCTGGAAGGTCGCTTTTCGATCGGGATCTCGAAAAGCGAAGGAAGATGGGTTGTCGGAATTGTCGTGTCGCTTGGGCGGTCGTCTGGCACACCACGAATGGTGAGGTGGGCAGGGCTCGCCTAAGCGACGGGTAGGTCAAGCCCTAACGCACTAGGCCATTTTGGGAACATATTACTTAGTGGTCATGTATTGTCATTTAAATTACAGCTACTTGTAATGAGTCCTCGTTGGCGCACAAATTTGCCATGTCTTCCGTATCATTGCTTGTAGAGACTTATGTATTCATAGTACAAAGTTATTTCTTTCGAATACTAACAGGCGCAGGCAGGCATGTGAGATATCAAATCGAGGGCCTGGATGCGTCTGATAGGCTTAAAAGGGGCTTTGACAATTTGAACTATTTCGTATGCTTATGAGGACCCGTCCCTGGAACAGATACCAATAAGAATGATCGATCGGACTACGTCTTACGCATTGCGCAATAATAGGAGGACAGAAGAATCTGTATTGGCTAGAGGCTGTTTCCAGCTCACATATGAGAAATTCGTAACTGCATCACAACAGCCTGAACCGTGCACACTCGAACCAGTCGGCGAAGATACTCCCGAACTGGCCGTACCATCCAGAAGTCTGTCCCTCCATGTCATCATTTTTGAGGCCCGTGGGAACGAGGCGCTTAGTCGAAGAGACCGAAGCCCATGTCCTCATCGGACTCCTCCTTCTCCTCCTCCTTCTCCTCAGCGGCAGGGGCATCGGCAGCACCGCCAGCAGCAGCGGCGGGAGCGGCAGCACCACCGGCACCACCAGTGGGAACGGTGGCGAGCTTGGCAGAACCCTCAGAGATCAGCTGTAACCAGCGAATTAGTATGACTTGTGTTAGGCTAAATCTTCGTTACGATAATGAAACTCACCTCCTGGAGGTTCTTGCCCTGGAGCTCAGCGATGAGCTTCTCGAGGCGCTCAGAGTCAGCGTCGATGCCGACGGAGGAGAGGACAGCCGAGACATCGGCAGCGGAGGGGGACTCGTTGCCAGCGAGGGCGAGGAGCAGGTAAGCGGCGAGGTGCTTCATTTTGAAATGACTGTCCAAAAAATTCTAGGTTAGCGGCTTGATCGAAAGGCTGAATATGCGAAGACAGGTTCACTGGCGGAGTAGATATCGACGCGCGTGAAGAGACGTACCTTTTTGTTTGTTAACTGAGAACAAGAGAAACAATCGATTTAACCGCAAGTTGGGCGGAGACTGCAACGTCAAGTTCGAGGAGGTGGTTGAGGAACAAGATGAGCGGGCCCTCAAAATCGAGGGAAAAGTGCGTTGCGCCGTGATGTGGCTGTGTCACCGCCCGGCAGAAAATCTAAGCGAGTGTGGCGCGTGTCGGATCACGTGATGTACTACCATCTCGGAGGGTCAATGATGGCCTATATCTTCCCCCGCTCATTCGTGACTGCCCTGCCTATCAGTACTGGGAAGGGATCGCCTGGTGGTCGGAGGTCTACTCGTGCTTAGTATCTTGTCCGCCAGGCGTACCGCGCATCGCCCCGCCCCTGTGACAAGGGATTATTCTAGTGATATCTTGTTCGGAGTCATGAAGCTACCCGGTCGAACCAACCATCGACGGTAACCGGTATATCCCCTATTAGCTCCAAACAGACGGCCTTTCTATATATCTCGTCTTTTTCAAGTCCCCATTTCGCCTCAGCAATCAACATGAGTGTAAGGATACAGTTCTCTTTGTCCCCCATCAGATTAGTCTGACATCAACAGTTCCTCGACTCAGTTCTCTCGTCACTCCAGACGAACAAACCTTCTCAAGGTCTGGTCCCTCATCCACCGACGGCTCCAGCACAGTCACCTGCCCCGACAAAAGATGAAGCACGACTTCCGGCTACTTTAAGCGCCCCCCGAGCGCCTGCAAACACCGGAGCAAGAATAAAGCGCAAAGCCGAGGATGAATTGCACCATCCCTCAAGACCCGACAGCCAGATGACCAACAAGCCTCCATCATCTCGACCTCCTGCGATATCTGGCCCATCAAAGACCTTGTCCAAACCCGTTTCATCCAATAGCCTGAAAGTTGCTTCTCCTCGACCTGTCCCCAAAAATGGCACAGCATCAGTATCGAAGATCCCTCCCGCAAAAGCCACTCCCGCCAAGGCAGCACCATCGAAGGCAGCACCATTGAAACAAGATCAAGCACCGTCGAAACCACCACCGAAAGGCTCCTTTGCCGATATAATGATGCAGGCTCAGGCCAAGCAAAAACAAGCTCCTGCACAGGTTGGTATGTTACGTCACCAGGCGGTGTCCAAAAAACCAATGAGCAAAGTTGAGCGCAAGCGACAATTGATGGCGGAGAAGGCTTCGGAAAAGGTTGTTCGGTCTGGCAAACGTGTGCCAGAGCCGGCTTCTACAAGCAAATCCGCTGCCAAGAAACGGTCGACTGAGGTCCCGTCCTACAAAGGCACAGCAAAGCCATCACGAACCCCTGAGCCTCCAGCATACCGTGGTACAGCGGGATTGCCATCGATTCGTGGCGAAAATGACCGCCGGGCACATGGAAAACGTCGTCGGGATGAATATCTAGGCACTGATGAAGAGGACGAAGGCGACTATGGCTACGGTGGATACGATGACTACTACTCTGACGCCTCTTCCGACATGGAAGCTGGCTTTGATGATATGGCGGACGAGGAAGATGTTGCGTTGAAGTCTGCCCGCAGAGAAGATGAGGAAGAAATGCGGCAGGAGATGGCCGCGAAGCGGGCGAAGATGGAGCGCCAGAAGAAACTGGCAGCTCTTGCATCCCGTAAGCGTTGATTTGTGTCTACATGCATCAAGGATTACTTAGTATTGATTCCTGTGTTTCATTTGTCTTGGGTGGAGGGTTTTGTTGAGCATTCTGAGCGTTATGGGGGTGTCCATAGATGGGGATCAGTACTTTCTTTCACTTTTTTTCGTCTTTTTTTTTTGTTCATTCTCCAATATCATGATAGCGGGCGCCATACCAATCACAACTTTGCTTTCACCTTTCGGGCCTCTAAAATATACAAATATTCTGTGCTGTGTAATTCTGCGATCTATGTATTTGTCTTGGAACTTCTGGCATTCCAGTGAGTACAAACCTGCCATTGTTTGTCATGCCCCACTTCGTGGTGACATCACCCGCGGTGAGAGCTTACCATCTTCATATCACCGCCGTTCAACTGTGATTTTTCAGCTCCCGTTCCGTCCCTTCTATCGCCATGGAATCAGTTCACCATGTCTCAGCTTCGTCGAAGATCCTCTTTGGCAAGGTCCGTAAGATCGTGCCACCGATGTTAGAGAAGTTCCACAAAGGTTTGTTGTCATCCTGGAATTGTTGGATCTTGGATTTCGGCAGCATCTTGTAGTTGCTGCTCATGGGACTGACTGGGGTTTTTTATAGGACAATTGGGGCGTGTGGCAGTAATTGGAGGATGTGCCGAGTAGGTCTCTCAGTCAAGTTGTTAGGACGTGAATCTCATAACGTCAAAGTTATACCGGAGCACCATATTTTTCGGCAATTGCATCCGCCAAACTAGGTATTTTGATCAAAAATTTCCATGAACTCTCTATTTGAGTGTATAAATAGGCTAACCTGAGATTCTAGGATGTGACATGGTACGTGAACCGGAGGCTGTGTCTTAGCATATGTCTTGGCCAAGAGAGAGTTCTAACATATTTTAAGAGCCACGTTCTCTGTGAACGCTCCGCTGCACCGGTATGTATGCGCTGTTCTTTTAAGAATAGAGTAGTACTGATATCGTTCCATAGGTGATCAAGAGTTATTCTCCAAACCTGATGGTGCATCCATTGCTTCCAAGCACAGAGACAGTCAAGGATCCCAAGTCAATCGATGCATCAGAATTGGCAGGTCCAATAATCAGTATGCTATCTCGCCTGCACGCACTAGTCATCGGGCCTGGCCTAGGGCGCGATGGGGTTACCCTCAAAGTAGTTGCAGAGGTGATCAAGGAAGCGAGGGCGCGCTCAATCCCATTCGTATTGGACGCAGATGGGCTGCTCATTGTGACAGAGGATCCCAATCTCATCAAGGGGTACAAGGAATGTATTCTGACACCGAATGTAGTAGAATTCGGACGTTTGGCGAAGGCACTTGGGATCAAGGTGGCTAGCCAGGCAGATATTGCGAAGGAGGGAGAGGGCGACACAACCAACAAAGAGTCAGATGCATGCGAGCAGCTCTCAGAGGCTCTAGGTGGTGTTACTATTCTCCAGAAAGGACCTCATGATGTAATATCCAATGGAGTCACCAGCATCATCTCTGATATCAAAGGAGGTCTCAAACGCAGTGGTGGACAGGGAGATACCTTGACTGGGTCGCTAGGCACCATGCTAGCCTGGAGATCAGCTTATCACAATAAATTATGGGAATCAGGTGAGAAGGATAATGAAAGGGAGGCGCAGAGCAGGGATGAGGTGCAGGCAGAGCTGGAGTCCGAGGGCAAGCGCATGTCCCCAACTACAACCCTTTTACTGGCTGCATGGGCTGGCAGCAGTATTACACGGGAATGTTCACGACGAGCGTTTGAGGCAAAGGGGCGGAGCATGCAAGCCAGTGACCTGACCGATGAAGTACATGGGAGCTTCCTACGCTTGATTGGAGAGCCGGAAGGTTCCAAGACGCATCTCTAGCCTATACTGATCGTAAGGATCGGGCAGTGATCGTGTACCGACAACGGGACTGAATCCCAAATCAAATGACTCACTTCTTCCATTTAGGCAAACCTTCAACCAGACAGAAAAGATAATTATAGCCTCTTTTCAAAATCATCCATTCCGCATTCGTCCCATTGATTTTTCGGAATTGATAGCCGTGGACGGCCCCTGTGCGCTACGGAGGAAGCATAGGCCGACCGACATATTCATTTATTGTATTCTCATTTGGAACAAAAGGACAAGTCCATAGACAGCGTAGATTGTTGACAAAGTCTAAAATTTGTTTTGGTGGTACAGAAGACCCTGATCCAGATCTCTCTTCATGGAAAAGCCAAAAAAGAAGAAAACCAATATTGTATGCACCCCCGAAGGCTTCAGCAGGGATTGTATGTGCCATGAGATCGTGTACGAGCTTCCAAGTATGCTTTTTACCCACAGTCAGCAGCCCAGCAGCTCAACTGAGAACAATGATGGCTATGGTTGCCGAGTGCCGAGAAGTAAGCGTGAAGTCCGACACTGGAATGAAGAGGTCGGACGTGTCGATCGCGCTGTCATACGATATTGCGGGAGAACATACAAATTCCATGTGGACTTTTAGGTAAATGCATCAACAAATATTTCAAACTAGACCAACCATGTTGATGTGGATGAAGTGGGTCATTTCCTAAACTAGGAGTATTGGACGAATATGCAGATGAGCCATGGAGTATCATCGCAGGAGCTTCAAGTAACCTAGGCCTTTTTTTCAGATCTTCACTTCTTTCCCAATAAATAATATCTATCTACGCAGTGCACCTCAGGTTCTAGCCATTTACTTTTCAGGATCCGTTGTTCTAAGGGATGTCAGGAAAAGTGACAAAAAGAGAGGTGTCTTCACGCGCAAGAGAAAGGAACATCTCGAAGCGGTGTGAGACATCGACAGAGACATGACGCTGTTTTGAACCCTTTCCCCGCATCTTTCGTGCCAATTGGGACACCAGAAAAGCTGAGATCTAGATCCTAGAGTAGTTAGGGCTGTGTGGGTTCGTCTGAGACATCCACCCCCGCCTTAGCAGAAGGAGAATTCGGGCTCGCTAACTTGGTACCTTCGACATATGAGCTCAACATTTCCGGAAAGTGTATTAGTGTAGCGCCTTTCGACTCTTGAGTTGGCAAGCCGTCGACATCAGCCAACTCAACAAGCATTGGTGGGGTCTCTAGGACCCTGTTCCAGATCTCGTATTCGCGCCTCGACCAATACCGAATCTGGTGGCTCTGCCTCCCCGGCCTATCCGAGGCTGAAAAGCCAATGCACTCCATCCTGCAGCGACCAAGGTTCCCGAAAAGAAAAAAAGACTGGGTGGGATATATTCTCATTAATCTCGAAGTGAGACCTTGGCTAATGGCCCCGTGATATTCCGGCTGGCTTAGACAGTCCCATGGCAAAGCGGAGGCGTATGTCTATTTTTTGACGGACCCCAAAAAGTGAAGTATGCTGATGAGGCGGGTGACAGTGAATATAAAAGAGGCATCTATTCCCCTGAATGGTGTCATCTCAGCACCAGATTGAGCAATATCAAAAGATAAAAGCTTGAAATTCTTGAGTCAATATATCTGTATACCATCGTTACCATCACTATGCAGCTCTCCACCCTCACTGTCCTCTTGACCGCAGCCTCTCTGGCCCTGGCCAACCCGGCCCCAAAATGCGGGACTTGCAATCCCCTTTCCGGCCAGAACAGTTGTGATATAACTACTTCGTGCATCAACACAGGCTCGACCTTCCACTGTGCCTGCCGTGCCGGTTACAAGGCCTCCAAGAATAACAACAACATCAAGCAACAGTTCCGCCTGCCGATGCCCAACTATGAATTTTTGGTCTTTGTTCCAGAAAACACTGTTTGCAACACTCTGTGTGATAACCCCTATGCTGCTCCGGCCGACATCTGCAGGGAGGTGCACTTGTACGAGCGTTGCACTGTCTGAGGCTCATCAACTCGAAAACGAGGGTTCTATCATTGGAGATGATAATGTGAATAGTACTTCTGTGATAGATGGGAATGTCTGGGGCCGTGGAAAATGAAATCCAAGGGCCCCAGAAGGGTTGGAGGAAACATGAATGCCAGTTTGGTTCAAAAGCCAAATACTCGGCTTGCCATTCTTTTAGGGACAAATTTATCTACATGCTACGAGGAAGCCATAGGGAGCAAAGCCAATGATCACTGAGTTAAATTAAATTGAGAATAAAGATCTTTTGATTGATCAGAGAAATCATCATAAGAACCGGCACCCTGTCCCTTGCAAATACACCGAAACACCCATTGCCCTAAGATTCTAACGGTTCCACTCAATGCATCTTGACACGCAAAAAAAACAGCCAACCCTCGAGAATAACGAGAAACAAAACACACACGCAAAATCTGCATTAAACATCCATCTCATCATCGACGTTAACGAAAACAAGGCGAGATCCGTTTCCGGAAACTTGCCAAACCTGTGAAAATGATTGTCAGTATTAGATACCAATTCAAAATTCCGTGTGGAGAAATACGTACGTTAGCCTCGGAATACTCATGGAGACAAGTGGTGAGCTGATCCTCAGTGAAGCCCTTCGCCAGCACACGCTCACGCACACGCCGCAAGCTAAGTTCATTGTCTTCACCGTCACCCATAGCAGCAGCACCGCTCTCCCATAGATTGCGGATCAAAGTGTAAATCTTGCTGGTAGGCGTGTGGTCGGCACCTGAATCACCATCATTGTAGAGAGAAGCCTTGCTGACTTCAATGAGACGCAAAGCCTCGTCAACATCCTCACGAACAACCTCTTCGCTGAAGCGAAGACGGGCAAGAGCTTGCGAGAGACGCACAATGCCAAGGAGAGTACGCGGGGTGACGTGCGAGAATTGCTGTTTCCTGGCCTCGTCCTTCTTTTGACGTTTCCGCATAGCGACATATGCGCCGACCATGTATTCAGAGACGTTTGAGGGAACAACAGGACGGAAGGCTCGCGCCTTGGCGATATATTGACGGACCTCGTGAGGAGTGAACATGATGCCTGCGTCTTCGGTCTCTGGGTGCTTGTTGTGCATATGGACGTAGGTAACGTGGTTGGCCAATTCCTCGTCAGTTTCCCGCGAAGGTAAATCCAAAAGCAAAAACATGACATCAAAACGAGACAGCAGGGCGGCGGGCAGATTGATGTTTTCCACAGGCGAGAGCCGAGGGTTGTAGCGACCATACAGGGGGTTAGCAGCCGCCAAGATGGAAGTGCGGGCGTTCAATGTAGTGGTGATGCCGGCCTTTGAAATGGAAATAGTCTGCTGTTCCATCACTTCATGAATGGCAGTACGATCGGAGTCGTCCATTTTATCGAACTCATCAATACAGCAGATGCCATTGTCGGCGAGTACCAAAGCGCCACCCTCGAGCATCATCTCATCAGTAACCGGGTCTCTCATAACAGCGGCAGTCAAACCAACACCGCTGCTACCACGACCGGTGGTGTAAACACCACGAGGAGCGACCTTCGTAATGTATCGCAACAACTGAGATTTGGCGACACCAGGATCACCCATAAGGCAGATGTTTATGTCACCACGAATGTGCATTCCATCACCCATCTCCTTAGTCACGCCACCAATCAACAGCAAGAGAAGAGCCTTCTTGACATCCAGATGTCCGAAGATCTCAGGAGCGATGGAGCGGGCAAGAAATTCATACATATTGCCAGAATTCTGGTATTGTTCAATTTTCTTCAAAGTCCGGTTGTCCATACCCATGTCATTGTAGGACTTCTTGTGCTGGGTGATGTGCTGGGCTTCAAGGTAGGTATCGGTCAGGAGACCGGCACGAATGGCCCGGAATCCAGTGTACGGAGTAGGCAGGAAAATGCCGGCGACATCGACAACGTCACCCGGGTTCAGTTGCCGAGTAAGAGCTCCGTGGCAGTTGATAGTCAGAGTTCGGGGGATATGACCCACTGGCACCTGATCCGCCATTTCTTGGATCTTGACTTCCTGGAAAGGAATGAACTTGGATGCACGAGTGGAGAGGAATAGCTGGCCCTTCGAATTGTTTTTCTTGCACTCTTCAGATAAACACTCCGTAAGAGGGAGGTACTGCTTAGTGGTAACAGGCTGAAAGACTTCGCAGCCACATCGGTCGCATGTGTAGGCATTAATCTGAACAGCTGGTTTGACATCGGAAACACGGGTGGTGATGCCGCGAACAGTGATCAGGGAACCCAAGTGTTCACCCCGCACGTTTCGTACGGCAAGCGCCTTGCCAGCGCGGTCGCTGCTGGAGCCAGAGGGTGTGAGAGGCTTAAAGTTGAGAGTGTAGCGACGAGTGAGCTCTGGGGGGAACATGGATGCGGCATCAACATCGTCCATATCGGCTTGCATCATCGTTTCCACCAGTTTGTTGCGCTCTTCACGCTGTTCCATAATCACATCAAGAACGTCATCCTTGAATCTGCACTGGGTTAGCTCAATCATCCCATCGAGGGGAGTTCTAATCTGAGACGTACGTAAAGTCTTTTGTCTCCTTTGGCATGACCGTATCGACCGCCTGCGAAAAGACCTCGATATAGCGCTTGGTGTTCTTTTGGATCGAGTCGACAAGCTTCAAGTTCTGCTGCTCCTCCGGAAGAGCTTTTTCGAACTAAGGTTCCAAATGTGAGCTAAAAATTAGGAGACCATTAATTTTTCCTTGATACTCACAATTTCCAGATCGTCTAACTCAATCACAATGTTTGTGGCATCCCTGTTGGCAATATCCTGCAAAATTTGCATGTACTTGAGCTTCGGCTCCCGGCGCCGTCTTGCTCCATGGGGAGTTGTACCCTCGTCATCCACGTCGTCCATGAAGTCATATTCATCACTAGTGCGGTTTCCATCGATGTTCAGCTCCTCCATCGCCTCGGTCGCAGCAGCTTCCGAGGTCGATTGAAGCGTCTTGAAATGGCTCAAGAAGTCCTTGAAGCCATCCAGTTGCGCGGCATAGTCAACCGGTGCTTGGTATTGAAGCAGAGCCATGCTGGATGGTGGTGCGCTTCGGTCGGGCAAGGGGAACACGAAGTGGTGGAAAGTGGGTTTCCCACGAGAAGAAAGGGCCGAGCTTGTCCCTGCGCTGAACCGAGAAGAGCGAGACGCGAAACGCGAAAAGACGCGCCAAGTATGCACTTAACCATTAAAGGACTAGCGCGAATATGCATACTTGAAGAAAGGATGAATACTTTCTCCGAGAGTGAGATAATCCGGAGGCGGGAAAGTCACATGAATTAATGCCTTACTGCCTGGATGGACTGAGTGCGGGCCCGTTCACCTGACTCGGTCGGGCCTCGGCTGTGGAGTGAGTCCGGGGACCTGCGATCAAGCGGACATCCCACTCCCCCTTCCTTGTGTTTGCGACGACAGCTCTGCGCCTTGACGATGGCGCCCAAAAAGCCTTCTACGGCAGCAGAAGTTGCTCTCGTTCCTTTAAAAAACTGTCTTGTCAATCTACCGCCGTCGCTAGTCGCCTTACTGGTTAATGCCAACACGGTCAGTTCCCGAACTCGACCAATGCTATATTTCTGGCTAATGTTGAGGTCCTAGGCTGCTCAAAATGTTATAATTGAGCTGCAATACAAGTCTGTCTCCGGGAAGATCAACGGTGCTCCGCCGCAGCAATCTTGCTTCCTGGGATGGACAGGGATGCCGAGCAAGCGGAAGCTTGCGCCGGTCGTTGACCGAGACGGCATTCGAAGTGGATATGCCAGAGAACAGGAGGTCTCAACTGTAGAGTTGGATACCGCCTTTGGGAGACTTCTTGGTCTCACTGACGGCCAAAAGGTGCGCCATTCTCGCTCGCAGCCTTCGCAATTCCCACGTGGGGTACTTACTCCTTACAGGTCGGACTACTCGTACATCTTGACCCACCTGTTGCCCATACCATCAGCATTGACCCATTAACTCCAGAAGATTGGGAAAGTATGTATTAAGCATGTGGAATATTTTGAATTTTGTCTGCGGCTAATTGATCTTTCCCGCAGTCATCGAGCTACACGCCACTTTCTTAGAACTCAACCTCCAGACACAGATCCGTGCGCTTCCAAACCCTTCGTACAATGCAGAGAAATCGGGTCACATGCATCCCCTTGCCTTGCACCTTTCACCTACATCAACAGCTAATATTGTTGTTACCTCTCTTACACCTGCCCCGCCGACCACCTCCCCATTCGCAAAGATAGCACCGGATGCCGAGGTCATTGTTGCTCCGAAGGTCCGATCAATGCCCGGAAAGTCACAGCGGGGAGAAAGCCGCAGTAATGCTGGCAGTAGCAGGAAAAGCACTGGTGGACGGAGTGCTAGCAGTACGGTTCGCCCCAAAAGCAGCCGGTCTGATTCCAGAGGTGCCTTGTACCTTAGAGGCGTGGAACGTCTAGCAGCTGATCAGTTATTTGATGCGGAGATGGATGAAGATGAGAATGATGGTTTCCGTGTTTGGGTTGATCCAGATCTTCTTGCTTCCAATGAGCTTCGAGGTGCGGCTTGGGCTTGTGTATCAGTTGTTCAGCCGTCGGGCCTGAAAGTGCCTGTGGACCCTCAGCAACAGCTCGCTCAACAGGAACAACAAAAGTCCAACGACGCCGGCTCTCCGACAACCAAACTAGTAGCCAAGTTACTGCCATGGGAGGAAGCTCCCGACAGCCGTCATGCGGCTATGTCCAGTTTATTGTGTTCGGCCCTTGGTGTGGAGAACATTGTGGGTGGAATCGTGCGTGTGGAGGCCGCGCCGCCACAGCTACACCGGTCTGCGGTGAAGACCTTAAAGCTGTATCCCTTCATGACAGATGCATCGAAGAAAAAAGATGGTCTGAAATTTGGAGCTGACACTGCTGCATCGAGAGATGCTCTGACCGAGCGCCTCAAGGTGATCTATGGCAGCACTGGGTCCGACATTGGGTTGTTTTCGGGACCATTGACTGATGGAATGGTTCTTCCTAAGGTCGAAAATCACCCGTCAGTCTCTTCTTTTGATGGTGCCATTCTTCGATTTGATCCTCCTCTGAAGGTTAGCTCTGATGAATCCAAGTCTATGTTTGGGTGGCTTCTTGGCTCCGAAGCCAAGCTCAATCTCGAAGTACAAGCAGAGATACCAAAACCATCTGATTCAAGTCTATCCGGCTTGCCTTCTGATGATCCAATTCCCGACAACATTACCCAAATGGTTGGAATTGACTCGATAATCTCTCAGTCAATGGCCAATTTAACGAAATCGTCGTCCATCTTGTTAACAGGTGGTTTGGGAGCCGGAAAGACAGCACTTACTCATTTACTCGCCCATCGACTGCGCAAAGAACATCTTTTCAATGTGAAATATTTCTCTTGTCGGAAGCTCGTCACTGATGAGACGCGGATTTCCAACATCAAGGAGGTGCTGAATCGCCTCTTCATGTCGGCTTCCTGGTGTGCCCGTTTCGGCGGCCAAGCCATCGTCATTCTTGACGATTTGGATAAACTTTGCCCTGTAGAAACGGAATTGCAAGTCGGTGGTGACAATGGCCGCAGTCGTCAGAACAGTGAGGTTATCTGCTCCATGGTACGAGAATACTGTTCTATGAACTCTTCAGTTGTGCTACTGGCCACTGCGCAGGCTAAAGAGTCGCTGAACAATGTCATCATCGGCGGCCATGTAGTTCGTGAGATTATAAACATGCGGGCGCCGGATAAAGAAGGACGCCGAAAGGTCTTGGAAAAACTCACTAGCCAGGATAAGGCCACTGAATTTCTCAATGGCCATATACGGTCCACTAGTTCTTCTACTCAGAATACTCAGGACTCCTGGCTTGACCCATCAAACCCTGGCAGTCGGCCAAGCTCTTCTGGGGGTGACGGTTTTGTGTTGAGTCGGGACGTTGACTTCCTTGATCTCGCAGGAAAGACCGACGGATACATGCCCGGTGATCTGGTTCTGCTGGTTGCTCGTGCCCGTAATGAGGCCCTGATCCGATCCGTTCAGGATTTATCCAATGAATCAAAGATGATCACCCTTGGGTCTGATGACTTTGACAGCGCACTGAAAGGGTTCACGCCTGCATCCCTTCGCAATGTCACCCTGACTTCGTCAACAACGACATTTTCCGCTATCGGTGGTCTGTTCGAGACCCGCAAGACTTTGTTGGAGACATTACAATACCCGACAAAATATGCACCAATCTTTGCACAATGCCCGCTTCGGCTGCGTTCGGGTCTACTCCTCTACGGCTTCCCTGGCTGCGGCAAGACTCTTCTGGCCAGTGCTGTTGCTGGAGAGTGCGGCCTGAACTTTATTAGTGTGAAGGGTCCTGAGATTCTGAACAAATACATTGGTGCTTCTGAAAAAAGCGTTCGTGATCTTTTTGAGAGAGCACAAGCGGCACGACCTTGTATTCTCTTCTTTGATGAGTTCGACAGTATTGCCCCGAAACGTGGCCATGACTCCACTGGTGTCACTGATCGTGTTGTCAACCAGCTTCTCACACAGATGGACGGTGCCGAGGGCCTTTCTGGTGTATATGTCCTTGCTGCAACTTCGAGACCCGATCTCATTGACCCGGCCCTTCTGCGCCCGGGTCGTCTCGATAAGTCTTTGCTGTGTGACATGCCTTCGCCTGCTGATCGCGTTGATATTATCCGAGCAGTGAGTGAGAAACTCAAGATGGACGATGAGGTTCGCTCTCGTTTTGATGACATTGCTGCGAAAACGGAAGGCTTCTCTGGTGCTGATCTTCAGGCTGTGGTATACAATGCCCATCTAGAGGCAGTCCATGACGCTCTTGGTGATCATTCTGGCAGTGCTGATAAGTCTGGTGCGAAAGCCAGTGCTGGGAAGAGTTCCTCGACCAGTACTTCGAGTCGGTCATTCATCCAATTCCTCTACTCATCTTTGGAGGAAGCATCAGGGTCGGTGTCTATGCCTCCAGCAGCAGTTGTCGCTGCCAAACTGGATGCCATTAAAAATGCCCGGCGGCGTCAACGTCAGCTTGAGAATGGCACTGCGGGTGCTGATGGCCCTCCTGCTGTACCGGCTACAAACGGCGCTGATGGCTCTGCCGACGAACTTCATGATGAGATAATTGTGCGGTGGGAACATGTCAAACGCTCTCTGAACACAACCCGTTCATCTCTGAGCGCAGACGAGCGCCGACGTTTCAACGGCATCTACCGAGAATTCGTTGTTGGCCGCAATGGTGAGATGCCTAATGGCGAGGCTGTCAATGAGATTGGGGGCCGATCGAGTCTGATGTGATGTGGGTGATTGTGCTGTTCTGGTGCGTGAATGATCTTGTACATTGTAAATATACACTTTTTGCACTTACGCGCCCCATCCTTTTCATGTATCTATTGATATTTGCCTGCATCATGGATGTTATCTACGCCAAGACTCCGTTTTCCATATGAAAGACAGAACTTTTTTTCATCCTTAGGATAGAATAAAACTTCAGATTTTGAAAATAAGCCAGACGCGCCTCGCTATGCCTATTGCCGTCTCATATGAAAATCGTATCTACCTATATCTATCCTCACAGTGTGTTCAGATCAAACCATGAATCAACGCCGACCCCAGCCAAACCAGCGAGATGAGAATGTTTTGAAGATCTTCCCGAGACTCCCATTCGATACAGAACTCACAAGAGCAATTACAAGAACCGGAGTGCCCATTATTGTCATGAACATTTTGATCAAAGTGGGATACTCCTCTCGCAGCACTATGTGGAGAGCTCGGAAGTAACGGCGAGCCCGAGCAAACTTTCCGGGAAATGCCTTGTCAAGAAAAGCTCTGATGGTCTAAAAAGAACAAAATAAAAACATTAATGGTTTTTTTTTCTTTAGCTAAATTATGAATGTGAAACTCACCTGCATCCGGGTTGGCGGTTTCTTTAGGGCTGATCGTAGGTCAAATTCAGGATTGCCCGCCTTTGCGGTGATGTACAGAGCATACACCTCCCACATATCCAGAGCGTCCAGGTACTCGTACAAGAGCTCTTGGTGGAAAGGCTGCTCCCATGGATTCATCACTTCCTGTACCTCAGGAAGGGACAATGTCGGCGAGCGCCATGGAGAGGCCTCTGCATCCTCTGCGACTCGCCGGAGGCACCTCAGGATGGTGTCTCTTTGCTCACGGCCCCAGAACTCCAGGAGTTGGTCCAGACGATCGCTCTCCATTGATTGGAGAGGTTTGCAACAGCAAGTCTGTTATGACTGCGGGTCTTTGTTAGGGCTGAAAGTGATTCAGAACCAAGATCGGAGTGATTGATCAATAAAGGATAGAAAGGATTCAGACTGACTTGTTTTTGTGACTGCAGCGGGGTTTTGGATGCTGGCGTGTGTATGTGTTTAATGGATGAGTGAGAATGAAAGCAGAGAAGTTCAAAAAGATACAAGCCTCTTTTTGCGGTCTTTAAGCGAATTTGGGAGGCGCGATGGGCGAGTCGGCCTATTCGAATTGATATTCTCACATATTCACGGTGTATACATAGTAACAGTGAGAGCAACTCACTTCTTCGCGGAAGATGCATAGTAATAGTGAGGGTACATCACATGCCTATAGGAAGGCAGGTTTGAAAGGCCTCTAATGTAGTGTCAGGGGCCTATGCCAAGGTACAGGTGATCAAGCCAGGGACTTTTATTATTCTCGGTCGAGAGCTATATCAACTATCTTCTCCAGTTTCTTCCATTCCGCACTGACTACTGCCTTTGAGGTGCTCGGATCAATGCCATTGGCTTTGAATTCATTATGGACCTGTGCAAAATTGTTCCCAACCAGTCTTTTGAAACTAGGCACTGTGCAGCTCTCCAATTGCCTGCTTGCAAGATCAGCTAGAATATACCATAAGATGTAGTGGAAATTCAGATCTGATTCTTGTAAGAGAGCAGCATCTTTTGAATTACTCTCAAATCCTTGCTGAGAGAGATATATAGCAAGCTTTGCCAGGATCCAGGCGTGGAGGTGACGGATTGGGTGCGCGGGGCTGAAAATAACGGTGTCGACGCGCAGATAACGGATGGCGGCGTGGATGAAGGCTTTGCTGAAGTTGTTGACAGAGAGGAGCGAGAGGATAAGTTGGTCCCGGATTGAAGCATACGGCTGACGGGTCAGCGGCCAGGAAGACGTCTGTTTTAGGATGTGCATGGCAGTTTCTAGTTGTTTGATGGCTTCATCCGGTTTGTCGTCTGAGGTGGAGGCGGACTGCATGAGCTCCAGGGCTTGTTTCTCAGCGTTTTCAAGCACAGACGTCTCCTTTGGTGTCTCCGAGAATCTGTCTTCGAGAGTATCGGTTCCCTTTGCACATTTGGGACATTGGCAGTCAAAAAAGTACCGCTCAGAGAGTTCTTTCCGGCGGACCTCATTGGGAGTCGTGGTATCAATGTAGGAGATGAATATTTGCTCGCCTTTTTTGATGGGCCTGATGGCTTTGACAAAAAGCTCTTCCCCATCAAACCCAACGGTAGAGTTGTAATCACAGCTATGGTTCATGAGAGCAGCGTATGGGTGCAAATATAGCCCAATGCGATCATACATGGCTGTAGTGAGATTGAAGGAGTTGAGGTCCAACTAGATAACATATGAGTGCCCTGATCCAAAAAAGAGAAAAAAGAGAAAAAGAAAATTTCAAATGAGCCCTTACTTTTGCGGCATATGTCATGACAGTCTCCTCAGAAAGGTCTGTTTCGGAATAGTTCTTGACTGCTTTAGATGAGAGATAGATTCGATCCAAGTGGGCCTGGATCTCTTGAATCTCTTCAAGGTGGGCGTCTAGGTTGGAGAATATGTCAAGTTCTTGAGCTGTGTATTTGCCCTTTTTAGTCCGCAGTACCATCCGCAGGATGGCACGGGCATTGTTCGGGAGCACTTGGGGCTTGAGCTTCTGGAAGATAGAGCATTCCTGGGAATGGGCGAATTTCCAATCCTTGGATTGACAAGCCTGATGTGTTTGACTTATTAGGTATCAAAGAAATGTATAACAACACAACAGAAAGCTAGTATAGCCAGACACAGGGTAGTGATGAACGAAAGCCACATAAGTTAACTTGCATTAAGAGAAAAAGGCTGAAAAACACAACCAAAAAAGCTAAGCAAACTTACCCGATCACAATATTTCACCACACGGCAGCCTGTGCAAGCTTTGAGTTCTGCTCCCGATTCCATTTGCTTCTTTCCAAAGCAAGCGGCACAGGTATCCTCTAGCCGTGATGAATCGAGAACAGCCACGAAAGGTGTTTTAGCATGCAAGACATCTTCTCCGGTCTTAATATCAGTGGTCGCGAATAGACCATTGCCCATGCCATTAGGTGCAGGACAAGAGACCGTCCTGGTCACTACTGACGGTAGGGGGCCTGACGACATCTTGGAATGTTTACGCAACAGGATCAACGCTCACCAATTGAGCACGAGACGATGGTCTGAGTTGTTGGCGGCTTAGTCATCTGGTCTTGGCGGCGGTGAGCAACTTGAGAACCGTGGCACCACTATCGTTATGGGGAGAAAGCTAGTATAGAGGATATTTCCTGGGGATAGGAGGTTCCGACAACATTGGTAGTTTTTGATCTCCTATCAAAACGGGGAGCCCATTATTTTTTGGGTTACAGCTATGCCAGTCATTATCGAAAGCGGAAGTGGAGATGAACCTAATATTCAAGAATCGACAACAGAACAAATACGCCTCCTCCCTGGGAGGAAAGGAAAAAGAAAGAAGATATAGAAGAAGAATTCTTTTGTCGCTGAAACATAAAAAACCAATCGACTACATGTAAGGAACCTGAAACAGACAAACCAGCAGACAAGCAGACCCGATTCATTGCCAGGCAGATCGATATCCAATCATCGTCAAATCAGGGCGCTGCGAGCTCTGTGCGTCCCACCTTGTTTCGCCGTAGGGAAAATACAGATAGGTAAAATAAAACAAGCACAGTTGAAAACCCGGAACAAAGAGACAAAGGAAGAAAAAGAAACATGCACGTCTCTATCAACAAGATACCCTGGCCAACACGCTACAGCGCACAAGAGCGGATCTCTTTGGATTGTTACAGCCGGTGATACAGGCCCGTCTCGGTGTGCACGACGGGTGCTAAGGCGCTTTGGGGAGGGGGGGAGGGAGTTCTTTTGTGCAAGAGATCAATCATTTACAGCAACTTGCCGCCGACGAAGTTGGACCAGGTGCGGACCTCGGAGGGGATGGTGCCCTCGGAGCGGGGCAGCTTCTCGTTCATGCACTGAGCGAAGAGCTGAGCAGTCTGTAAGGGAAGGGTGGGGTTAGCATTCGGACTTTGAAACGGGAGAGGTTGAGGGAAAAGACATACCTTGGGCTCCATGAACAGGGGAACGCTAAAGTCGACAGCGTTGCGGCGCATAACGTAGTCCTCATCGAGCTGTGTCTTGGCACGGGTCTTGGCCAGGTTGAAAACACCACGGATGTCATACTTCTGGAAGACCTCACGCAGAGCGCGCTTGTCCTTCTTGGGGAACTCGATAACCTGGATGGAGACGTTGTCCTTGCAGGTAGACTCGAGGTGGGCCTTGACCTCAGGGTTGGCGGCGTAGAACTTGTAACCGAGAGGGTTCAGGTAGTCGACGATGGTGGACAAATAGGGCTGAGTAATGTCACCGCCGAGCAGAATACCCTCACCAGGCTCGGGCATGCGGAAGTTCATGGTGGACTGGAGAGAAGCCCAGTAGGCCTCGACGAGATCCTTACCGAAGCAAGCAATCTCACCAGTAGAAGCCATCTCGACGCCCAGGAAGGGGTCGGCGCCAGCAAGACGAGTCCAGCTGAACTGGGGCACCTTGGTAGCGAGGTAGTCGCGCTTCTCCTTCATGAGATCGACAGGCTCGGGAACGTCACGGCCGACGAGCGCCTTGGCGGCGACATCGATGAAGTTGGTACCCAGAACCTTGCTGACGAAGGGGAACGAACGAGAGGCACGCAGGTTGCACTCAATGACCTTGAGCTGGGACTCAGCTCCCTCCTGGTCGGCCTTGATGATCTGCATGTTGAAGGGACCAGTGATGTTCCAGGCCTTGGCGACCTTCTCAGCAATCTCCTTAACACGAGCCATGATGGACTCCTCCAAGTTGGCCGGGGGGAGGACGAGGGTGGCGTCACCGGAGTGGACACCGGCAGGCTCAACGTGTTCGCTGACGGCGTGAACCAGCAGCTTACCACCGGAAGCGACAGCATCAACATCGATCTCTTGAGCACCCTCGATGAACTTGGTGATCACGACAGGGTGGTCAGGGGAGACGGCGCTAGCGTTGAGGAGCTTCTCCTTAAGCTCGTCAACACTGTAGATGACGTTCATGGCGGCACCGGACAGAACGTAACTGGGGCGAACCAGAACAGGGTAACCAACGGAGTCAGCGAACTTCTCGGCCTCAGCAACGGAGGTCAGCTCCTTCCAGGCGGGCTGGTCAACACCAATGCTGTCCAGGATCTGGGAGAACTTGTGACGATCCTCGGCCTTGTCAATATCGGCAGGGTCGGTACCGAGAACCTTAGCACCGCCAGTCTCCTGGAGACGGAGAGCAATGTTCTGGGGCAGCTGGCCACCGACAGAGACAACAACGCCGCTAGCGCTCTCGAGCTCGTAGATATCCATCACACGCTCGTAACTCAGCTCCTCGAAGTACAGCTTGTCAGCAGTATCGAAGTCAGTGGAGTAGGTCTCGGGGTTGTAGTTGATCATGACAGTCTTCTTGCCCATGTTGCGCAGGGAGAGAGTAGCGTTGACAGCGCACCAATCAAACTCGACGGAGCTACCAATACGGTACACGCCGCTACCCAGAATGATAGTGCCGTGGTCATCAAAGGTAACATCATGGGAGGTGGCATTGTAGGTAGTGTAGAGGTAGTTGGTGTCCGCAGGGAACTCAGCAGCCAGGGTATCGATCTTCTTGACCCAGGGGGTAATGCCGAAGGACTTACGGCGGGCACGAACGTCATCTTCGGAGGCACCAACGAGCAGAGAAATCTGCTTATCGGAGAACCCAAGCTTCTTGGCCTTCATCATGGTCTCAGCAGTGATGCCGAACAGGCTGCCGATCTCCTTCAGCTCGTTGTTACAGTCCACAATGTTTTGGATCTTGTACAGGAACCATTTGTCGATCTTGCTAAGCTCGTGGACCTTGTCAACAGAATAACCCTCGTGGAGCATGGCCTGGCCGACAGCCAACCAGCGGCGGTCAGTGGGGTTCTTCAGAACATCATCGAGGTCCTCGAAGTGATCGCCCTGGAGACCAAGGAACCTAGGGTCAACCTGACGGATAGCCTTCTGCAGGGACTCCTCGAAAGTACGGCCGATAGCCATGACCTCACCAACAGACTTCATGGCACTGCCAATGTCACGGTTGACATGCTGGAACTTGCTCAAATCCCAACGAGGGATCTTGGTGACAATGTAGTCCAGACTGGGTTCGAAGTTGGCAGTAGTGGTCTTGGTGACAGCATTGGGAAGCTCAGGAAGAGTGTGGCCGAGACCAATCTTGGCAGCAGTATAGGCGAGCGGGTAGCCAGTAGCCTTGGAAGCCAAAGCAGAGGAACGAGACAGACGAGCGTTGACCTCAATTACGCGGTAGTCGAGGCCATCGGGCTGCAGCGCGTACTGGACATTGCACTCGCCAACGACACCCAGGTGACGAACGATCTTGATAGCCGCAGTACGGAGCATGTGGTACTCCTCGTCAGACAGGGTCTGACTGGGAGCAACAACGATACTGTCACCAGTGTGGATACCGAGCGGGTCGAAGTTCTCCATGTTGCAGACGGTGATACAGTTGTTAGCAGCATCACGGACGACCTCGTACTCAACCTCCTTCCAGCCCTTGAGAGACTTCTCAACGAGGATCTGGGGAGCAAGCGACAGGGAGCGAGAAGACAAGTCACGGAGTTCATCCTCGTTGTTGGCGAAACCAGAGCCCAGACCACCCAGGGCATAGGCGGACCGAACAATAATCGGATAGCCGACCTCCTCAGCAGCCTTCAAGGCATCGTCAACGGTGCCAACAGCAATAGACTCAGCAATGGGGATGTTGATCTCCTTCAGGGCCTGGGCAAAGAGGTCACGATCCTCACTGGTCTCCAGGGTCTGAATGCTGGTACCGAGGACCTTGACACCGTAGCGCTCAAAGATACCCATGCGGTTCATCTGCACACCCAGGTTCAGGCCGGTCTGACCACCAAAGGTGAGGAGAATACCATCAGGGCGCTCGCGCTCGATAACGTGAGTGACATATTCGGGAGTGACAGGCAGATAGTAGACCTCGTCAGCCAGCTTGTGGTCGGTCTGGATGGTGGCAATGTTGGGATTGATCAGGACGGACTGGACGCCGGCCTCCTTGAGAGCCTTCAGAGCCTGAGAACCTGTGGACGCAAGAGCTTATTGTTAGTTACAAGGGTTCTGGGGATGAGAATCCTATGCGGGGATTGGCAAGCTTCAATGCTCGCCCCTACGGCCAAGCTCCATTCGAGAGCAATGGTCCATCAGAAGGAACATTGCTCGCCTTCGTGAGCGGAATATATCTATGTCTTCCCAACTTACCAGAATAATCGAACTCTCCAGCCTGACCGATGCTCAGACCACCGGAACCAATGACCAGGACCTTCTTCACATCGACGAGGTTGCTGCCAGGCTTAACCACACCGCTGGCGAGATAAGACTCGGAGGAAGGAGCCTTCTGGGCATCCGCCAGACGGTTCAGGGTGCTGGAGAAGGCGCGCAGCTGCTGCGAGCGGCCGGCAGAGGGGAGCTTCTGCAGTCGCAGAGTCGAGGCCGCTGAGCGAGCGGAGGTCTGGGAGGAAAAGGCGCGGAGAGAAAGGGCGGGACGAGCCTCAACGAGGCATCGCTGGCGCAGAAGCGCCGCCGCCTGCCCACAACGAGCCGCAAGAACCATAGCGCCGCACGAGCGGAGAGACGTATCGAGGTTCAATTGCTGGGTGGGAAGTGTGTAGAGGGTTGAGTCCCCGACTCCTCGGAGGTCTTTTTTTCCCCCGCTGGGTCGCTAATTGGTTATCCCCTTCACCGTAGGGTTCCACTTTTTTTTCCCAAGAACCAACAGAAAAAAAAAAGGGACGGACACACAGGCAAGTGAAGTGAAGGAAGGAAAGAGTAGAATTGAAGAAGAATAGGATTATACTAGTAGTCGATACGGACTAAGGTATTTTTTTTTTGCTTCTTTTTTTCCTGGGGGAATGAGTCACTACGGAGAACGCAGTGACCGGTGGATTGAGGAATGATGTAGTGGGTAAGGGTAAACTGGGGCAAGAATATGGAATCGAGTTCAATTACGCTATAGTTTGTCCGTGAAGCATTACATCCGTGCTTGAAAATCAAAATTGAGGCTTCTCGACCACATGGATCAGTATTGTAGTGTCCCAGCCATCGTAAAAGGTAGAGTTTTAGGGTCGAGAGCACGATCTTTGCTGATGGTGCGTGTAGTGCCGATGCCGGAAGTGCCCCGGTCGCGTTGGAGACCACAATCTGCTTATCCGTGGGAAGATCGACGGCCGCAGAGGCTGGGCGACCATTTCATTTACGAGAGAGATACACATATGCTCCGTACATAATGCCCCCCAGTCGCTAGTCCCTCCTTGCACGGGTCTGTCCCCTCGTCAACAAGGCCCTGTACGCCATGCTGATCGTCAATTGACATCATTTCTTAATTCCTCCCGTAGAAGACATGTCCCTGCAGTGCGGGATGATGACACCCGAGAAATAAATATAATCGAGCTCGGTGGAGCCTTTGCAATTGAGTTTAAGTGCAATCTAAATTTTTGCAGACCACGATCTGTGTTGAGCCATTTCAGATAAACTATATATATTCCGCACAACAACGTCATAGCAAAGACGCCTTGAGCTGTAAATCCTACACACGTCAAGAAGAAGAGATTGACTACATATACATTGACTTGACTCTAGCTTGAGGTACTAGGACTTAGCGACAGCCATAGGGGTACTGCTATTGATTCCCAAAAATCTACAAAGAAATTGGTATCTCTTCCATGCAGCGATGCGATGCCAATAGCTCGGCTTCACTCCGTTCCGACGCGGCCATTCAACCCTGACCAGGGCCCTTTCGGGCGCCTCTCCAACCGGGACCCACCGGCATGATTGCCGGCCGCTCGCCGGGAGCGAGCTTCGGAGGCCCAAATATCCAACGGATCTGCCTCATGTGGGGTATTCTCTTGCAAGACGTCCTCCAAATCCTGATTGAGAGTGTTATAAACCTCCTCCAGCGTCTTGCGCGCATCCTGTGCGACCTCGGTGCCCAAGACAACCTTTTGCTGCACGTATTCCCGCTCATTCGTTCCCGCGGCATTGGATGCAAATGCCCACGCCTCGGCGAGGCTCACAACTTCGTCGGGCGGATTCTGGTCAGAGGTCGAGGATAGATTTCGGGAGCTCAGAGCCGCCACAGCATGCTTGAAGCGTGGCTGTCGGGACAAGATGGGGTATTCGGGGAGGAGGTGGCTTTCGTCGGAGAGGCGATGAAGGGCGCGGAGAGCCGTAGTTTTCTCTTTTGTGAGAAGTCCAGATAAGTAGGATCTTTGGAGTGCTAGAGCTTTGTGTGTTTTGGAGAGGGGTACAAGGACCTCGTTCGCATAGGACAGAACGTCCAATGAATTCGGTGGTGGTCCTTCTTCGGGGACATTGTCGGTTTTGTAATTGGGTCGCGATGGTGGTTTCGAAGTCGCAGTCACTGGCTGGCAGGCCCTAGAAGCGGCATCGAGAAGGTCTCGACGAGCATGGAGGTAGGCATTGTACTGCTCCGTGATTTCAGTTTTTTGGTGTTCGAGAACGCGCTGCGTCTCCTCAATTTCCTCGGCCGAGAGATCCTGTATCATGCTCTCCTCCGGATCACCCTCGGGAACCAGGCGTTCCTCAACCCACTGCACCAGTTCATCACGGGTCCGCTGTAATGCACGGGCTTTGGCTGCTGCGGCAGCCTCACTAGGCAACTCATTGGTCCTTGAATTATGTTGCGCCTTAGCTTTTTCAAACAGCTGTTTCTCTCGATCCAATTGTGCTCGAGCCCGCACCACTGCTCTCTCAAGTCGGTGGACTAATCCCTCTAGATCGGTATCCGAACGCTGGCGATCAGGATTATTTGTATGCAAGTCTTCAGAGAGCAGTAATTGCTGATCGGAGCTCTCTCCCATACCCATTAATTCTGGCTCACCCGCTTCCTTTGCTTTCAATTCTTCTAGGTAGTGCTGGAATACTCGGAGTTTGGTATGGCGCCGCCGATCGCGCAGCAATTGAAGATAATCTCGCATGTCCCCGCTGAGGTCTTGGGGATCGACAGGTTCCGAGGGGCGATTCTTAGACATCAGTTGACGTCGGAGCGCGGCCACATCATCAGACACAGCATGAAACTCCTTTCGAGCAGCAAAATTGGTTTTTAGCGCCTCGAGAAATTCTTTTCGAAGTCCCGGAAAGTCGGCCGGGATGCGCTTGACATCCACGACGTTGTCGGCTGGCGCACACAGGGAGAGATGGGATTGGGCGTGACATGGCTGGTCTGTCTCGTCGCGAAACACGATGAACGAGCGTAGGTATAATGTCAACACCTGACGGATGCGGAGAGCTTCCTGACGGGTCCTGATGTAAGGAATGATCGGTTTCACGAAGGGTGGAATGTGAGAAGGGGGGTCGTAAGGTCGGGCCATGTTGTCATTGGTAGGGGCGGAGCTCTGATAGGTTGAAGAGGGTGATGTCAAGGACACTTGGTGATCCGCCGCGGAAAATTTGGAGTTTCAGAGACGACCAGTGTCTTTTCCCTAGGGAGGGATTCGAAGGCAGTTCGGCCGGTCGAGATGCCGAAGTTGTTTCCCCAGTTGATGTTTTGCCGTTTTGGGCGCTTATGTAACCTGAAGATCAGTCACTGCCAGTGCTTCAATAATAAAGTAGTGACTAACTAGTCAAAGGATAACGATTGAAGCTTATCCAGACTCAGCAAATTGTGATATAGTAGGTTTCGCTCTGGCTGTCCGTAACTATATGATTACTGTCTTCTGTTTTTCAAGGAGAATGGACCTCATCTGAATGTCGAGTCTGAAACTGTAGGCACTGTATACTAAAGTAACAGAACCTTGAGTATATTGTTTGTGCTTCTATCTCCGCAACCAAAAGTCTGAATGAATGACGCGGGGTTGGTCTCTAGTCTCTATGAAATCTATGGAATGATTCTGCTCACATTGGATCCACTATGTTACTGAGCAGGTGTCGAGGACCAGCCTGCACTTCTTGAGCTCTTATGACTGATCGATTCCATCGGTCCAGAGGCCCGAGCACAGATAAGACAGACATAATCTCGTCATTGTTTGTAGATCGTCGTCAAGGTTGTGATGTCATGACCATAGACTCCTGAATATCTCTATAATGATCAACGTAGAGTCAGGTACTTGGGGATGTACGTATGTCTGGTTGTGAGCTGTTCCTCAAGCCCAGGGGTAATTCCTCTGTTTACTCGGCCGATCTAGCGATCGCCAGGTCCCGATATGCTGGGAAAATGTCGATATCTCCATCGCGGGTTTAGAGAGCACAACCGGAATGGCCAAAGTCCAAAGCCCAAAGCCCAAAACAAAGGCCCAAAATCATACTCATAAATGCCCGCAGCCAAGCGCAGCCAAGAAAGACTATGGATGTACTCCGCATATGTAGATGCGTAACCGAAAGTACATGTGTACAGGGCACGGTACGCTGCTCCACCCGGCACCTGCCGTGCTGGGACGAAGTATCGACAAAGTACCGACGAGGTACCGGCGTAGGTACCTTATCCTTGTGCGGGCCGTTGTTTATCAGGGGGATCAACCGGAACGGGCCATCACTGTCTCCTTTGCATCTGCTGCGTCAGATGAGCTCATCTGCACCCCGAGAAAATCCCCCTCTACCTGGAATGTTTCATGGCATTCCGATCAAGGGGTGTTTTGGTTCAGCCACACCTCGCTGCCCGACCGGGAAACAAGACAACAGTTAAGAAGTGAGCCCACCGCAAGTCCTCGCAAGCTGCATGCCTTCTGCCGGCCCAGAGGTGCTTGTCCGTCGTTCATCCCGCCATCCTCGGTGATGGCTCCCGACCTCATGGCCGCCCATTCCACTCCCCGGCCCCGTGCGGCCACCACTGCTCTGTCTGCCATGGCACCACCGATCCAAGGCCCTTCTGGTCCGGTCTCGACAAGTCCCCTGTTGCACCATGGAAGTCCGCCGTTGGGAATGAGCGAACATGGGATTACCAGCACCGCACAGGGTGGGTAGATCTGGCTCTTAATGAAGACGATATATTCTCTCCTGGCTGATAAAAAATCAAGGGCCACTGCGGCACCCCAAGCCCCTCACACCGTCTGATCTTCATTTGGTTCTGGAGAAAGAACAGGAAGCGATGGTGAGTGACGACCGCTCTGAAAGAAGATATCATGTCGGTGGTGTGTTGGATAACTGAACCAAAACCTACCCAGGTAAACCGATTGACTCGGGAACTGTCTCTTCTTCGCCAGCAGACAGCCTCGGTGGCATCCACCACCTCCTCGACCTCAACTCCCCATGACCCTGCCGATGGGGTGCATGCCTCCCCAGCACTGAGCAGCTCGACCTACTCTCACTCCTCCCGACGACAGCGGTCTTCGTCCAGTCTCAGTTCGCATACCGCAGCCCAAGGATCGCAAGCTGCCAGCGTGACGGGGATTGCCCCTTCGCGCGATAGCATTATGCCCTCTCGGTCAACCGACTACTCCCATTCGCATTCTCACACGCGCTCAAACCGAAGCCGCGAACCTTCTCTGACAGCCCGTCGCCCCTCCGTCGGATCCTTGTCTTCCTTCACTCAATCATCTCATGCAGAGCCACTCCATTATGGAAACAGCCCTTCCATCTACCCCCATAGGAATTCCGTTTCGCAGACCCACTTGGGGCTGTCGAGCAGTTCCATCTCCCGATACGAAGAGATGGCCCTTCATCGATCGGAGTTTGAAACTATGAAGCGGGAGAATGACCAGCTACGGAAGCGGGTGCGGGAATTGGAGAATATTTTGAAGAAAGAGAAGGAAGGGGGGCCGGAATTTTGACGAATGATTTGGCTTGTTCCGTAGACTGCCTGGGGCAGTTCATGTCTTTCCTTGTCTTTCTTGACTATTATCTTTCCTTTTCATTTTCTTAGGGCTGGAAGGGTTGCAGACAGATACAATTCGATCCCTCTTTCGTGGTTACTCAAGACCTGGAAATCCTCTACAGAAGCAGCTCTGAATGTTCTCTGCACAATGAAATCCGCTCGCTAGATTCTTGGTCCGACGCCATCATGAAGTTGCCTTGGCCCGCCCGAAGGCGGAAGGCAGAGCTCAAAGATAGCCATACACCCAGCCCCGTACTCTCAGCCACTGTAAAATTAGCCCGAGCTCAGTAGAAGGAACTAGCTTAGGCAGAAATATAAAGAGAAGCCGGCATCAAAGACAACAACGAAATAACAAGCTAGTAGCTTCTTGTAGATTCTCAGCTAAATCAAAATCAGATTGCTTGTGCCCAGATTCCCACTTTCCTTGTGACACGAGGCGGTGCAGCCCCGCTCTACGTCACCTGTGGCGCAGGCACCGATGGGAATAAATACTGACCTCAACGACTGTTCGCCTTAGATTTTCCCTCCCTACTTGCTTTCCTTCAGCAAATAATCTGTCCCTAACTTCTATTTCACTTCCTCCCTACAAACACCATGTCTAGCGGAACTACCGTTCACGTCTCGGGTATTGCGCCCACCACCACCGAGAAGGAGGTTCGCGACTTCTTTAGCTTCTGGTAAGTTGTCCAAAAGGTCCTTGAAATTTTACCCCCCACTCACAGCTTCTCTGCAGTGGAAAGATCACCACTTTGTCCATCACCCCGGTATCCTCGGACGCTGATGCCCAAAAGTCGGCCAGCGTGACGTTCGAGAAGGAGGCGTAAGCTACCCCGCACCACGTTTCAAGATGGCACCATTGCCCCCCTCACCCCCCCTTTTCGGCAATTATCACGATTTGAATGATGCTAATTTGATTCTGCGTGGTACAGGGCTGCAAAGACTGCCCTTCTGCTCGACCAGACCCAATTGGGTAGTTCGTCGGTGCACGTGGAGGCGGCTCAGAACATCGACGACCTGGCTGGCGCCTCCGCTACCAACGCGGCGGCCACTGAAAAGGAGGAAGAACATGACATTGCTCAGGAGGATAAGCCCCGTTCGCGCATTTTTGCCGAGTACCTGGCGCACGGCTATGTCGTGAGCGACAACGCCATCCAGAAGGCAATTGCTCTGGACCAGAAGCACGGTTTCTCGAGCAAGTTCACCACTGCCCTGGGCAACTTCGATAAGAAGTTCAACGCTACTGAGCGCGCCAAAGGTCTTGATGAGAGCTACCAGATCACCAACAAGGCTGCCACTGGCTGGCGCGGTCTGCACTCCTATTTCGAGAAGGCCCTCGAGCACCCCTCTGGCCAGAAGCTGCGCGACTTCTACTCCCAAACTGACAAGCAGGTGCGCGACATCCACAATGAGGCACGCCGACTGGCAGACCTGAAGCAGGGCAAGAGTACTGAGTCTGCCGCCCCTGCGGCGGGTGAGACTGCCCCGGTCGCCCCCGCTGCCGTCCCGGCGTCTGAGCCTGCTGTTGCTGCTGCCGCTCCCACCGAGCCCAAGGCCTAAGCACATCACTCTCTCAGCCTATCGTTTTGATTTTGAGTTGATACCGCGCTGGCGTGTTTCTTTCGTGTCTATGATTTGCCCACTTTGTCCCTCCCGTTAGGTTTCTTAACGCCATGAGATGTCCCTAAATGCTTCGTACTTTTGCTTGTGTTCGGCTCTTGCTTTCTGGGATGAGGTTACGATCGCGATGTGATTCCGATGTTTGCAGTTCCCTATTTCTTTCTCGGTAACTATGACAAGCGAATGAATGAACATACACGTTTGCCCTTCAGTGAACGCTGGTAAAGTATCGTCTAGATTCATTTCTCTATAGGACCGAAGCGCTTGACTCGCCAGTCTCGAGTGATGATGAACGTACGCTTACTAGAACTAATACTACCACTACTACCATCACCACGTTCAATACTTAATTGTACAAAGTGATTGTCAATGCAGCAGTGCAATATGGTTACTTCTGCATTTCCCGTTATTATTCCCGAGATTTAGGCTTAACGGGTATCGGGAAAAACCACCCGATCGCGTTCCCGAAAATCGTATTTATCTCGAGGATCCTCGCTGAAACTCTAGAGTTATATTCAATAATAATCACATATATCATTGCACAGACATGACCAGAAGTGATGACAGCCTAGTATATTGGTGACATCTCTTGCAATCCTTTCTGAAAATATTATCAACTCTGCTGTGCCGACGAAAAACTATCCCTTTAGCCGAGGGCCGCTGGCCTCCGGGGGCCAAAACCTGGCGATGAACAAGCTCAAGGTAATCCTGATAATGACGATTAGGGATGACGAGTTCGAGTGTGTAGACCTGAGACCGAATAACAAGCCAAGGGCGGCGTATAAAGACCTGGACCATGTTTTTGGCGATATGGTGTTTCAGGAATTGAGGCTGGAGGCGAAGTGTACACGACGGTAAACAAGCGGTAGAAAAAAAGGCAATGAGTGTCCAAGACCACTACTGCTTCTCCTAGTATGATGGTCATCTGGCCTTTGAGAAAGAGTATGCGTCTCTGATACCGCCCTCTCTTACGAATATTTCCCCTGCACTTTTGAAAATTTCTCCCATCTCATTTTATTCTTAATACCTTGGCGTTAATTGCTGCGTTGGGGCAGCCGCCGCCTAACAAACCATATTTGAACCACCCCCTTAAATCTCCAGCAGGGGAATCTACAATGCCAGATCGAATGTTGTGCTCTCACAGTATTGCATCATAGTCAGAAATTTCTCCTTTTCACATATGATATTGGCTTCTCGTTCTCACTTATTCTGATGTGATACCGCAAGGGGCTGGGGCCAGACTAGGGCCTAGTATAGAAAGTGGTGCCGCCGAGAAAAATTGGACTCTCCTGTTGTTCATATGGCTTTTCAGCCTAACAAGGCATTTCGCATAATAGCTTCTAACCTCTAATTGTGGACTTCTTTCCAATACAGAGGTGGGTAATGGTGGTGGTGGTGGTGTGGTGGTGGTTGGTTCAATGATCCTCATCGGCTTGCCTGCTTTGCCAGTCCAGCTGAGAGCGTCTGGGCTTCAATAGGAGTATTAAGGCCAGCTTAGCATCCTATTTTGTGTGATTAACGATCTCGAAGTCATCAATCGTTCAGCAACCGGCATATATAGAAGAACGAGGCGGCTGAAAGAGGCAGTTGGGAAATGGAAATTCCTGCTTGTGGGTGCCATTTCATTGGATGTGCATGTCCTGTTGGTTTTTGGCCTGAGTTTAGATTTGGCATGCATGGATGAGAAGCATGACCGCCGTGGTCGTTGCTTTGGACAAAGATGCTTTTATTCTGGGCCGAGTATCCTTTGGTTTCGCGAAACTGCGCAGTGCGAGGCTCTTAGACCCGAGCAAGAAGATGGGTGGAATAAAAGTAGCGGATCGCCACTACAAAAAGCAGACCAACAAGGGACATCGCGCCTGTATAATATGCAGCTGGTCGGTATGCAGCAGTGCCGGTGCCTTCGTCGGACAAGGAATATAGCCCTGCCGCTATCGGTGAGCCCTATAACACTTTTGTTAGCTGGCAGTTCCGATGACAAGAATACAAAAGGGGACAGTTACAAAGAAGTAGCCAAAAAACCATCCAGCCCATAGAATTGGCAATATGCCCATAGTGTTTTTAGGGCCGAACATGGACCCGACGGTAGTAGGGACCAGGCTGAAGAAAGCACCGCATCCCAACCCGTTGATCACAATGAATACAGATAGCACGGCAATTGAGTCCGCAAACGGCCAGATGACTAGCGCACTGATCCCGGCCAACAAAAGGGACATGATAAGACTGTTCAACGGTCCTAGGACCAAATCCGATAGAACACCTGCCAGAACACGGCCTATGGTCGAGGCCACATTCCACATGGCCAGGATGATGATTGCCACGCGTTGTGAAGCCACCGCTCGGGCATAAATAGGAATGAAATACGAAGGGATGAACAGAGGGAAGCAGCCAAGTCCCGTCCCAATGAAGAGAAGAATGAATTCTCGCTCCCGGAAACGATACCTACAGATATCCTCATGTTATCATAATATCCCTTTGGGGCCCTGATGGCGAAACATACCACTGAACTGGCGGCACAGCCTCGGTTATGCTCTTCGGCTGTTGAATCATACATGCTGCTGGCACACAAACAGCCCACAGGAGTAAGCCAAAGATCCGGAAGGTCCATTGAATACCGACCTCGGCCACCAGAAGGTTAGCAGCAACGCTCATGGCCGCAGCTCCAAGACTGCCTCCACCAAAGACAACACCGGTAGCAAGACCTCGATATTTGCGGAACCATCGTAGAGAAGCAGTCGAACAGGGCTAGATAAAATTAGGAAGAATATAAGAGAACTGCTGGGCAAGTATTGTCATACCAGAATCGTCAGCCCTCCCCCTACACCAAACAGCACACTATGGCAAATGAAGAGGCCAGCCAAACTTCCCGTTACCCAACTGGCCAAGAACTCGCCCAGTCCCATGAGAATGGCACCAACAAAAGCTGTTCGCCGGTATCCAAATCTCCGGATGGACATACCGACTAAGATACTGATCGAAACCATGAAGGAGGTCGCCAGGGAGCCGACAAAAGTCAGGGTCGTCAAGGAGAATGCAGTTGATTTCACCAGTTCAGTTTCAATTACGCCCCAGGAGTATATTATTCCCAAATATACAAATAGAGAACATGAAGCGGCTGTCACCACCAGCCATCCCCTCCAGCCGTCCAGTTCACTGTTTGGATCATTGGACAAACCCAATTGCTTCTCATCACCGGGAGCAGCGGTGCCGACTTCTTTTTCGTCTGCCATGATCTTGAACGAGGCCAGGGAAGGACACCAAATCCAATGCAAAGAGAGGCTTGGTCGCACTGTGTATTTTCTAAATTTGAGGACCCCATTTCATATTTCTTAAAAGCCCGGATTTCAACTGTGTTTGCATTGTGAAATGAGTCGGGTTTGCAAAGTTCGGTTTTCGGTTCTGAAAACTCCAGCGGCCCGAAATCCGAACCCGAGAGTATAGTCGGTTGGTCTTCAAGCTTGACCAAGCGCTCCCCACTCTTTTGTGGCAACGAGCGGGCGAAATTATAGTTATGCGATATGATTCTTTAACCGATTTGTCTGGTATCTGACTCTAATTTTGTATCTTCACCTCCTCATCAATCGGCCATACTCAACACCGCGGTAATACCTGGTGCCATTGAAATTCGCGAAAGTTACGGACGGAGAAACCACCGTCGACTGACGAGCATGTACAGATATCGCCCTCATGGACCATGGCAACGAGGTTATTCGCCATATAATCACCGGCTAAACACAGGAAATCACCCAATACTGATAAAATATTCCTTCGCTAGCAGCCATCTTATTGTTGACAGTAGGTTGCTCGGTCTGGAATATTAAGCCTTTGTCACCAACCATTGGGTCTAGAGATCATCTACAGAACACAACAATGTTCCAAGAATTCCTACGCCATGCCCAGGCATCTACGCCTGGCATATCCTGTTTCCTAAACCGTCGAGCATTTCCTTACCTCTCAATGCATTAAGCTTTTCCAGCAAGCCTTGTACCGATTCAAGATACACCGCGACTCGAGATTTATTGATAGGGCGTTTGAGCAAGACGACTGGGAATATGAGTGGACGAAGTCGCACTCTCTGCGGATAACTTAGTGCATCCCAATATCACTCTTGATTGTATGAGAATATGATTCATGTTCTTCCCCTACTAACTCAGTCTCCGGTCTCTAATGGTTTCTAACGGTGCATTATTCATGCCAAATTCACACTCCATGCAAGAGATTACGCGAAGGGTATTTGATTCTTACTCGGACAATGCGGAAGGTGGCCAGCCCTCAACCAAACTCTGACTCAATTTTACCTTGGTTTTGGCCATGATTTAAACCCGGGGGACTGGCTTGATGAGAATCCCTATTATCCGGCTGATTTAGATGACCAAAAAGAACGGGCGAAAAAATAACAACCGCACTGCACTTCTGTACTCGACTAGCACTTGATAAACAACGACGAGGCCATTTTATCCATCTGCATAATTTGGATGATCTTGGGAACCCCTTTACTGAAGTGAGGATATCACCTTATACAGTGTTAAGCTTCACAAGCCATCTGAGAGAGATATCGATGCGAAATGACCATTTAACTAATTTCCAGGCCCTGAAATTGTTTTTTGAAACCTAAGAGACGGAGAGATTATTGGGTAAGTGACTCTTATTGACTGAGCTTGACCGGATTTAATCATTGTATTAACCCCCGCTCACGCTTTCAGGTGCTATTTTCTTGTAGCAAGCTCTATATATCGAGAATCCACCCATGTCTACGAGGTGTAGAGCGCTTCTGACTTGTTCAGGGCGCTTGAATCCGCCGTTTAGCCTGACCGAGATAGAGGATAGCCCATTTTTGAACTCTTTGGTCCAAATCACAGTTTTTCACTTGTCAATGACGTTATATAATCTGCTTATTGGGTGTTCTATCAGAAAGCTGGGACATGAAACGCTCAAGATGGGCCGCCGAATGAACATCTTCCAAACCCAGCTCGCGTACAGGAAAGCATACCTCTCTACCTCCCTATGGGGCGATTTCCAAGTTTCCTTCAGAGCAGACAATTTTATGGTGGTCATCCCATTGAGATGATAAGGTCGCGGTCACTGAAAGGTCAAAAATGTCTTTGGTGACGTCTCGCTCACACCTAAAGGGCCGCTTCTGGATATTCTTCGGGAGACGATTGCTTCCGGAGCTGGTGTCATTGAGCTCCCTTTCTACATTTGAAAGTGTAAACTTTCATCCGGGTTTTCATATAGAGAGTGGAAAGAGACAATCTTATCAGTCTAGTCATATTATAAAATCATCATTCCAGCTCATCACAATATTTCGACAATATTACATTCCAATGTGTTTTCAACGATACCCTTTCCTCTTCACATCATTCTTTGTGGCCCCTTCGCGAACTTCGCTGCCTCAATTTTCTCCAGTGGATGCTCCGGATTACTTTCCAGATTCTCTGTTCCATGGCTAGCCAGTTCATGTGCGTATTCAGGGGCCGGGCGAGATAATGTGCCGTTGAGGATGCCACGGCTGGGTGGGTCACGCTGCTGGGGGCCGGTCTGGCGCTCCGGCTCAGGAGACTGACGGCCTGGGAAACGGGACGACATGATGAATGGATTGATTGTGATAGAAAGGGTGGCTTGGTAGATGAGATCGTCAGGTTTCTGTGCGATCCGGGGTAGGGGGGAGACGGATTGAAATATCGGAAAGTTACCTTTTATCTTCGACGGTACGTGTTGCTCAAGATATGTTTAATAGGATAGAACACCCAAATGATAATATTTTTTAGACAGAATGGTTGAAATCAATCGTCGATTTAAATGGATCTGTGCTCGTCTACATAAGTGCTCAGGCTCAGCCCGGTATATTGGGAGCTTCATCATGATGACGTTAGGACCCGTTCACACCATCCAGTCACTCGATAATGAATCTTGAATTGTGGCCTTCCATAGGCCCGCGGGCGCGCATTTTCTGGTTGTTTCCCAATTCTTGCCAACTCTCCTGGGGGCCCAATTCAAGCGGCGAGGCCCATCGGTCGCGCCCTGACATCATCTGTCCCGTCACGTGGTATCCAGATCAATTGATGTACCCGACGCACGCTCAGTAACGGTATGGAGTACAGAGAACAAAGACTGGCTACAATCTAGACAAGACATGCAAACTACATTTCCCAAGCAAAATGTGGAGAAGTGAACTCAGTATTTGTAGCGTGGCTGATGTACTATATCGTGAAGGAGGTCTTGGGGAATATCTGTGCAGCGAGGCGGATTAGGATGAGGGGGTTGGGGGGAGGCGGAAGAGAGGGACTTTTGAGAGCACATCAGCAGGGGACATGATACGAAAAAAAAAAAACTTAGACAGAGAAAAAAGCACAACATCGACAATATAGACGGGGGGCAGACATGATCTAAAAGGCGGGAAGAAGACATGAAACGGGCATATGTCTCGTGAGAGCAAAAGGAACGAGAATCCTAGACAGAGGGAGGGGGAGATGTGAAGATCTTAGTTGATGCTGCATGGGGGTTGGTCATGGGAGAAACGGAAGGCAGTGGTTCACTCCATCGCTTGATCTATTGGTTGCCATTAGACTGCATACCCGCTGCAGCGGCGGCTTCAGCGTTGGCGGCTGCAACCATCGCCTTGGCGTCAGCTTCGTGGAACACAGCCTGGATGATCTGTTGCTCATCGGGGCCAAGGACCTTGGTCAAGCTGTCATAGAGTTGAGGTTGCTCGGACTGGAGATCTGGAAGGGAGGGAAAGAGTTAGAGTTAGTGGGCCTGAATTTAGTGGAGAGGAACAACAATCACATACTGAGGAAGACATGCTTGAACATGCCGTACGGCTCGACCTTGTCCAGAGGGGTCTCCAGAAGACTCTCCTCATCGAGTTCCTCGTCGTCATCGTCGGCAAAGTGGCTGAACTTCTGAGCCTCCTGATTGAGGAACTCGAGGTAGGCGGCGCTCTCGTCGGGAACATCACCCTCAGTAGCCTCCTCGGCCTCCTCCTCATTCCACTCAACCTCACCATCCCAATCGTTCTCCTCGTCGTCATCATCGCCCTCATCATCAAGGGTGAAATCAGACTCCTTGGTAGCATCCTCGCGCACTATTAATATGGTTAGCAAAGTAGTTGGCTATCAAAAACAAACAAATCACGTACGCTTGATAGCAGCAGGCAGGGTCTGGAAAAGTCTTGTCACACCCTGCAACAATCTCGGCCATCCCTGCTGGACGCTAGCCGGGACATCAGCAGCCTTCAAGGTGAGAAGGGAGCTGATGGCGGCAATTGAAAGCTTCTTGTCGTGGACTCGACGGAACGAGTCGATACTAGAGAACCAGGTGCTGAAGAATTTGTTGGTCCAGCCCTTGGTCTCCAGAACCTGCAGACTGAGAACAGGGTTGTAGTAGATAGCATTGATAATCATCTCCATCAGGTGGATACGGTAGGACTTGGTGCGGGCCTCACCAGCATCGATGACAGCCATGGCCACCTCAATGAAAAGAGGGATATACTGGTCAATGTGACCACGTAGGTTGAGCATGAGGGTCTCGGCGAGCTTGCAACCGCAGATACGGTCAACGCCACCGACCTTGTCGTCACGGAAGATATCCTCGACCATGCCAACAAGAGCAGCAAGGTAGGCTTGGTTCTGAACCAGCATTTCAGAACCATAAGTGACGTAGTTGTCAAGGGCAGGCAGCATATCCTCCAAATAGAGCTCGGCACCAGCTTTGAAGGTCTTGTGAATCAACTCAAAGGCTTGCCACATAGTGGGAGAAATTGACTTGGAAGCGAAAGTGCAGCTGTCAATGATCTCAAAGATCTCGTTATACAAGTCGTAGAGCTTGTTCTCCAGAGTGATGCTGATGACGGGCATCAAAATAGTCTCAAGGTGCAGGAGCACATCGGGAGTGCTTTCAAGTGTGAGGATGAGTGTTCCAATGGTCTGCAACACACCCAATGCGGTGATGCTCTTGTCATCCAAAAAGTCACCGTATCCTTCATCATCGCCGCCCTTAGTAGCATTACGCTCCAGGAGCTCACCAACAATGCGCATGTAGGTGTCGCGCAGCTGCTCGCTAAGCGCCACAGCGAAGGGAGTCAGTTCAGTAGAGAAAACCTCAACAAAATCCTCCATGACGTTGGCGAGAGCATCAACGTCAACCTCATTGGCCAGCTTGAGAAGCTGCTGCATGATCTGCGGAATGTTCTGCTGCATCGAGGTTCGGATGACATCGTGACGAATCAGGGGCTGCAGAGCAAGGGCAGCCTCGACACGGACAGGCAGCTCAGCATCGGTCATGGACTCCAGGATGTTCCGATAAATGATCATGAGGTTGTTCGGGTCCTTGAAGTCTAGCTGTTCAAACTTCTCCAGGGTGTCGCAGGCACGGGCCCGGAGGAATCCGTGGGGGCTGCGGAACTCAGGGAAAACGTGGCGGACGAAAAAGTACTCAACCTGATCCGCGATGGGACTCTTCTTGCCTAGAATAACCGATGCAAGGGAACCAATCATTCTGAGGGCACCCTCCTTTTCGCGAGGCAGCTTCTGGTCATCAGAGGCCGACTCATATTTGCTGACAACAGTGTTGACGAAAGTGAGAATAGAGAAAGTCTGCTTTTTGCGGTTCTTGGTGAGAGAGACCAAGAAGTTGGTGGCCGCAACATCGGGAGCGGAAACCTCCTCATAGAAGTTCAACTTGCGGTGGAGGTACTCGGAGGGATCCTCTTCAAAAAGCTCGATGTCCTCATCGGACTGGCACAGGATAGGGAAAACAAAGTGGGCGATCAAGTTCTCCATATGCGGCTTGAGATGCTCCCACATCGCCTTGGGCTTCACGCACTCTTCCATAAAAACAAGGGTATACGAGAGAGCGGAGTTGCTGAGCCATTGTGATTTGGAAACCCATTTGTCAATCTCCTGCAGATATCCCTTGAGAATTTCGGGGGCGAAGGTGCTAATAAAAGTCTTCGCGAAGGGAGTGTAGTCGGGAATAGAGGACTTGGTAATCGTGGTGGGGTTTCCGTATCTGAAGAGGTTGAGAAAGCACAGATAAGTGAATGCTCCGGTTCGAAAATTCCAAAAGAAGCCATAACTTACCTGATGAAGAGACGGTTGAGGTTGGCATACGACCACTTCTTGCACTTCCACCAGTGATTCAATTCCCGCTCCTCCTTGGACTCGGCCATCGAGCTGGCGGGGGGAGTCTTGGAAATGATTCTCAGGAACAATGTGCACCAATCAACGGTGGCCTGATGGGTCTGGAGAGCCGGCGAAAGCTCGAACTAAAAGCCGAGTATGTCAGTTTACCACTGGAGGGTCCCGTATCAACGACCGCAGAGCCACTCACGTAGATAGCATGCTTATACGCCTTCACCACGATGCGAAGCATCTCAGCAGCCTCCAGACTCTCCTCATCAACCAGCTTCTGACCAATGCTTAGCAACTGCGGGAACGAGTGCTCCACAATCTTATCAAATTCGTCCCGCTTTTCACCGGCCTTGAATCTATACACACGGCAGATTGCCAACAGGCACTGCAAACCCGCAAAAACTGTGTTCGCATCGTTGGTGCCGAGCAGCTGAAGAGTAAGATCGAGGAAACCGGGCCACTGCTCAGGGAAATCGTTCTGCAGGATCTTCTGGAGGAGGGGAACAAGCTGAGCGCGGACATTAGGCGGGGTCGAGGCCAGGGCAGGAATGAGTCTCTCGCGGAAACTGGGCTTCTCAGATTCAGGAATAGGCGCACGCTGCGGGTTGTCCTCGACTGGAGCCCATCCTCGGCTGATACGGTTCTTCAGGTAGACACCGGCTAAAAAGACGGGGGCGGGGCTGGTTAGAGACAGGATATGATTTGGCGACGGTAGAGCCGAAAGCTGAACCGAAAGACTCACCTGATAATTGAACGGCATTGTTCTGCTCTGACTGCAGAATGTCCAACAGGGCATTGATGAAACCGGGTTGCGTCTCGGCCTGGAGAGAGGGGAACCCCCGTATGGTCAGTCTCACCCATAAACTGCCCTCACCGCCACAAGATATTCAACCACATACATATTTCAGATCCGCCTCCGCCTGTTGACGGATACTTGTGTTGGCGTCTAGAGTAGACTGGATACGGTCTCGGAGAGCCGTGACATCCATCTTGCAACACCTGGGCACCCCAGCGCCAGAAAAATCACACAAAAAAACTCCACGCAAGGAACCCCCGGGGAGCACGGACCGGGGCCGACAGGGCGACAGTGGAGGAGAGGTGAAGAGAGGGGTGAAGAGATGTGCAAGGACGAACAAGCCCAAGGCGAGAAGAAGGTGGAGGTCGAAAAAAGTGGTGGAGGGGGAGAATATTCTTTTGGCATTTTCGCGGGCGGTCGCCCCGCAGCTAATCAGCGGCCGCACACTGATTTTCTATACTCCATCGCGCTTCCCGATTGCCGGGCCTCATTTCTAAACAAAACATAAAAAATAGGAGAAACTACTGGGCATGTTCAATTGTCGTTGATTTTTTTACTATTGTCTGTCTGAGCTTGTCATAACTCGCGAGAAAATCGTGGTGGGGAAAAATAGACAGCGCCAATCGGCGGGCAGACAATCATAGAACCCGCCCACGATAACAGGCCCACGTTCTATACCCGAAAGCTTTACATGTATAAAGACGCGGCGAAAATAACGTCGCGCTTGATCAGCTCCTGCGCTTGCTGCATTTTGGTGTAGAGCGATGGATCGCCCACCAGTTTTGCTGCATTCTTCACCTCGCGACATGTCTCGTCCAGCCGAGTGATGGTGCGGACAATGGTGCCTTCCATCACATCAGTCAAATCGGTGATGCGGTTGAAAGACATTCCCTTGGCCCATTCGTAAACCACTTCGGCCAGGCCAAATCGAGGCTCGCTTGCAAAGTCATTGGAGTCTTCGCTGGATTGGATGACCTGGTGTAGAACCTGGAAGTCATTTACCTTCTCGGAAATACGGATAATAGCCGCCTGGCCCTTCTCCAGTCGGGGTGTGAGAGTAGGTGTGCTTTGGGTCTTCTCTTGGAAGACAAATGCTGACAGAAGAGCGACAATCTCTTCCGGCTCATACTCAGCGAGAACATTTTCGAGGATCAGCTCTGTCAGGACCAACTCGTCCGCAGAGTGGATTTCGCATGCCACCTTACCTTTCAGTTGGACACGGGCTTGATCGTCGACAAACCCAAGCTCCTTGAGAACCTGGATACGCTGTTCATAATCGGGGAGCAGCTGGAGGTTCTGGTCCGACATAAGTTGTTTCAGTTGCGAGATATTCTCTTTGACTTGCCATTCGTCGTGTTGCATTTCAAACTGTAGAAATAGATCAGCGCGATGCACGAATCCTCCCGACGCGGTGATACTCACGTGTTTCAAGAAGTTAGGGCACTGCAGGCAATGGCAGGATTGTGCAATCTGTGCCTGGGCCTTTCGTTTATCCAGAATATCCCGCACTTGAAGCTCCTTGACTCGCGACCAGTCGAGTTCATCCCACCTGTCATCAACCCATGAGGACGTGTACTTGACCAACTCCTTCTCCGCAAACTTTTTGGCTTCTTAAATTCGTCGAAATGTTGTCAGCTTGATCCGATTCAGATATTTTCGATGCTAGAAAATTACCTTTCTTGATATTCAAGTACCAGGCGGGTCCCCCGGCCTTGACTTGCGTGTTCGTAACGCATTCGAGGTCGACAACCGGGATCTTGTACACTTTCAGAGACATCGAGGCAGCATTCGAGGGTAGCGGTTGCAGTAATGATCGAAATTTAGGCAGGAATGGAAGGATGTCCCCAGGATGTCGCTTATTACCGATTGTGCCAATCTCAAGTACTTGGATACACGGCACAGCTCCGTTGGTAGTTCCGTCTCTAACGATAATTCCAGCGGTTCGTAATCCGTCCTAAATGCGAATGAGCTTGCTATACCAAACACAACACGATCGAGCCAAATGTATAGACAGTCCTACCTTTCTGTATACGACCAGCTTCTTCTGTGGAAACTGGCGCTTTCCAATCGGCGATGCCAAAAGTCCAGTGTGCAATTCGCTTGTGAGTCGCTCATATTCCATCGCAGCATCATGGCACGCTGCCAGGTCTATGTCGCAAACTTCGCAGGACTCTCGCTTGATTTTCTCCAAGCTAGCCTCGGAGAGCTGAACTTGCTTCTCATGCTCAGGAAGCAGAGCCTGTGTGGCATTTTCACTGAAACTTCGCTTGATCATCTCTTCAATCTTAAGCGCTTCAACACGCAGCAGATTGAGGATCATGTTGTACGTGAGTCGAAATTGAGATCTGAGCTTGGTAGGATCTCCAAGAATCATCTTTTTCAGCGCACCGGCAGGGGGCGCATCGTCTCTTCCGGCATTGTTTGTGATTATCACATAGCCCACAGTATCGAGACCTCTGCGTCCGGCACGTCCTGCCATTTGCGTATATTCACCGGGTAAAAGATCCCGGAACCCCTTGCCATCGTGTTTGCGGAATCCAGAGAAGACTACTGTCCGGGTGGGGAGGTTGAGACCCATCGCAAAAGTCTCTGTGGCAAACAGAACCTTGACCAGGGACTTTGCAAACAAAATTTCAACAATCTCCTTCATTATAGGTAGAAGACCACCATGGTGCACAGCAATACCTCTGCCGAGCAGCTCGCGAAGTCGAAGGATTTGAGGGAGAGTACGGTCCTCGGGCTTGAGTCTAGTGAGAGACTTTTCAATGAACAT